TTCTTCTTCTTCTTCTTCTTCTTCTTCTTCTTCTTCTTCTTCTTCTTCTTCTTCTTCTTCTTCTTCTTCTTCTTCTTCTTCTTCTCACCCCGTTCGTATACGTAACTAATCCACCGCGAACAACGTAGTTGACACATCTCATCGGCGACGAAATCCGCGACTCGACCAGCCTCGCGGAGAAAATGAACGATCAGTTTGAGAACTCGAGGAATAAACTAAAGGGCACGATGAATCGTATGTTGAGGATGGCGCAGAAGACGGGCGTGGGGTGGAGGGTTTGGTTGGGGTTTTTTGCGGCGGTTACGGTGCTGTTTTGGTGGGTGTGGTTGGGGTAGTGGAGGGGTAAGGGAGAGGGGATGGTGATGTTGGGTTGGGTTGGGTTGCTTTTGGCGTGGCGTTGGGGTGTTGGTTTGGTATGGGCTGCGGATGGGATGGGGATAAAGAGGTAGTGGAGAAGGAGGAGGGGTGGGAGTGTGGTTTGTATGTGTATGGTAATGAGTATGTTTTGTATGTGTTTGGGATGGCCATCATGAGACTTTTTTTCTGTTGTGGTAGTTGAGATTATACGTCTTGTTGACGATTCAATGGATTGTCTGATACTGTTTACTCTCTTGCTCATTGTCTCTTGGTATCTCTCTTTCTTCATGCCAGATATACATGCTTGACTGGGGATATGAAAGACTGCCTGTCTTGTATGGAGATATTATTTTGGGTTTATAGCGTATTCGTGCTTATTGTACAAGTAGATAGGCGCAACACAGTAAGAGTTTAGTATAGTAACTCAGTGTAGAAGCTAATACCCAGCCCCTTTACACACAGTAAAGATTAGTGAGAATACACAGTAAAGGTGACAGGGAGCCGATCAACCGTCTCTTGATGACTGGCTGCTGAATGTACCAATGCGGACGCGTGTTCGAAAGCCCAGGCAGCCATTGATCGAAGTTTGGTTTGGCGTATAGAGATATAACCGTGTAGTTCTGTTTCGCTTGCAAGATTGCGTTGGATACGATCTAGTAAGACTAACAATACTCTCAGACGACTCTCTATTTGAAGTATGTACATGAAAGTTTTCTATTCATGTTGTTGAGCATGAGGAAATGTGGAGAATATCATTTGTTCTGCATCACTCCTATTGCCTCCGTGTTCCTTCCGCACATCCAGAATAAAATGAGAGGAAGATGGGAAGATGTATAGAACAGTCAGATTTATATATACCGACACAAACGTAACATTGACGCCTAAAACGCCCCTAATTGAAGCACAAGTTCCGAGTACGAGAGCACGCGGGCGCTTTCTTCTGCATACGGCGTGTTCGCAGAAATGTTCTCGTGGGGAAAACGGCTTCGCAGGGGTATTGTTCCTTCGGGAGTCGTATTTCTCGCGGATCCCAATGCGTAGCGAAATTGGCTGGCTTGGCTGGTCGCCGGAAAATCGTAACAGCTTATTTGTGAACGGGAGAGCACAGTGATTGCCTTTATAATGTGCTGATTTGCGCGATGAACAGGTCTACAACGCTTTCTCTGACAAAACAGTAGAATATACAGTACTGACGTGCTTTGGGAACGGACCGTAGACCGTGCGCTTCATCCCTTTTTCGGCCTCTTTCACCCTACCGAAGAGTTCTGTTCATTGGATTTACCACTAGCAAGGGCTGAGCCAACCAATCTCACAACAGGACGTTGAATTAACAACGGCTCAGTTGCTGCGCCGCAGCCCAAACCGTGCTAGGGGTAAGCCTATCGAGTAGAACACTACGGTAACAATATACCAAGCTTCTTGATACCAGGATGGTTTAATAAAATTGCATCCTGTTCATGCCTCAATGTCGACATTCCGTCCCTCGTCTTTCCAACTCTGAAGCATCGCGCTCACCACTGTCCCTCACCATCCACAATGCTGTTCTCACAATTATGCCGGGCCGTAATGTTCGGAAGAGGCATTTCAGCCATGACAAGTCAACAAGACCGTAAGTCAGTATTTGTGCGCACTTTATTCCATTGTGGACCGCGCCCTCGTATTGCTATTAGAAAGAGCGCTGATTTCAAACGCCACCACAGGGCTGCTCAATCTAACCACAACCGTTTCCTCAGAAGCCCAGGCAGTAGAAACCGAAAGCATTGATCCCGCGCCATGGAGTACGTGGGCGGACGGGGACTGGAATTGGAGGCCGCACCTTGAAGCCAGCGAAACCGCATTCGATTCTGCATCCAGTACCTCCAGGGCAGATAGACTGGCCTCTGAACCCACTCCAGCGGCCCCAGCTGTCGAAACTATACTGGAGGGATTCTTCTCATCCATATTGCCAACCGTACATCTTGAGATCTCGGCCACTGGCTGGGAAACAGAGGTAGGAGCGGCACCCACTGCTCCGAGGCAACAGAATCTTGAGCCGCAGGAAACAGAAGCGTCGAGTGGGTATATCATAGACGTAGCTCTGCCGCCCCCAATTACCCATAATGGAGTCACCTTACGTCCTGTTCCTGTTACAAGTACCGCAACCGTGACTGTCGGCGGCGGCTTCTTGATGCCCTCCGTAGTCGTGGACGTCCAGTACGCAGCAGGATCCTCCGTGCTCCCCGTTGGCACCCCAGTGGTGATCGAAAACGCCGTAATCGAGTTGCAAACCGATTCATCTGGCTTCACGGTCCTTGTAGCAGACGACACAACCACCACCCTGTCCACGCAAACCGTACCAGATGTCCAGGCAGCTGGGTCTACTACGTCTATCGAGTTTGTCGAGTCCACTGAGTCTATCAAGTCTATCGAATCCACCAAATCTGCCGAGTCCATCACAACCACGGCTCCCATCCACATCTCAACCACAGTCATCGACGGCACGACGGAATACGTATTTGCCGGCCAAACGCTTGCTCCAGATCACCCGGTCACAGTGGGAGATATACCGATATCGATTGCTACCAAGGACGGGTCGACGGTCCTGTTCATGGGCAATCTCACGACTACTTTTGTTGGCGGGCGAGCTACGACGCCTGCTTCTGCTTCTGGGTCTGCAACAATCACTACGAGTACGTCTGGCAGAGTGACGAGCTTGGACCAGAGACCTGCGAGTACAACATCGAATGCGAGAGGATCGAATAGCTTCAATGGCGTTCTTGGTTATGTTGCTATGACCGCAGCAATTATCTTGTCGATTTACTGAAACTGTTCGCGAGAACGTTGTTTCCTAGCAAGTGGGGTGATGCATAAGAACAGCGATGGTTGGTACGACTCAGGCTTGAACGCCCTCGGAACTGCACGAGCGGTAGCCTATATGCCACAAGATTAGGAAAAGAATTGGTCTTCATGCCCAACCGACAAAGAATGTACTAGCAAAGCAACACGGTTCGACCATTTGAAGGAGATCTCATGTGTAGCTGGTCAGGCCCCTTTACTCTCCCTAGGCTTCCAGAGTGCCGCGCGTTTATGCGCAGGATCGGCGCGCCGGAGAAAGCCTACCGGAACGACACCTGCAGCACTCTCCCGGAGCATTTCAGCGATCTTTCGAAATGGACTGAGGACGGGATCAACCACTTGACAAGTGGAGATGTACCAAAAGAGGCATGACTAGTTTGAGCGACGACGATCTACGGTTAAGTGGGTAAATCAAAGAACGAGATGAGAGAAGTCGGATGATCTACTGTCGCTTGGCTCAATCTCACGGCGCATCGTGCTATTCTGATCGTCGTTGCGACCGCCGTCGATAGCGTTGTGCTCGTTCATTGCTGTTAGCTTCTGTGCGCACATCGTCTAGACGAACGATCTTTCATGCGACGACATTCGTACTGTGTATGGCCAAGGTCGGTCGAGTCAGGCACGGTGCAGTAACAGTTGTTTGGGATAGAAGAAGACAATCATAGACGAAGTCACAGCAAAACAAGCTTTGGTATATTGAGATTGGAATTCGTTATTGTCTATTCGTTACTCATGATCATGTCCAACGGGGTATAAGCGAATGTAAGAGCTGTCAAGAGAAGGTGGGTCCAGAAGCGACAGACAAGAAGGTGAGTGTAATATGTACACACGAAGACAAGAAGCCTAATGTCCCAGTAGGTAGCCGGCCTAGAGGAGAAGATAAAGAAGGAAGACGTCGAGGTGGTATCCAACCACCGGACATCGAGCAAGCATGGCAGAAGAAGGGGTTGCCATACTTGAGAGACACGTTGAGCCTTACTCGTCGACGAGAAGGCGTCCTGCAATGCTCCTCTTGAGCGATGCCTCATCGCTGCAGACTGTCATGTGGAGATCCATTCCCGTACCAGCGCCGGGGCAGGTGAAGACCGGATCTGCCATGCCCAACTTCTGCGTGGGGTAGTCGACATAGTACGACTGCGTGGGGCAGTAGCTTCCACCAGCGCAATCAGCCTTGCCGCACCTGGAGTCGGACGAATCCATTGAGAGTCCCATGTCGTGTCCTGGGCAGCTGTCTGCACTCTGGCCACTGGCGCAGTCGACAAAGGAGATGTCGTACCACATCTGGCCAGCTGAAATGCTGTATTCGAACTGAGTTTGCGCTCCGCCGAGGAGTTGGTCTGTCTTGCTGATCTTGATCGACGTGCCGCAGCCGTTGCAGGTGCTGCGCACGGGTTCGGAGTACTTTGAGCGCGCGGGGACGTAGATGGGGGCCGAGAATTGGGCTTGGTCGACGCTCCAGACCCAGACGTCGTAGGGGCAGCGGTTGGTAACGATTGCGTTACCGAAAGCTGCTGCGAGACCGGCTTGCAGGGTTATGGTGAGGAGGATGAGTTTGGAAAGCATGGTGGGGGTAGTGGGGGGTTGAAGGATTGACTTTGGTTGTATTGGAAGGAATGAATAGATGGATGTTGCGTCAAGCAAGGCTCAAAGGAATGAGAGCACGGTAAGCTTTGGGTAAAGGAAAGTAGGGTGAGAAGGTTGTTCTTGACTTGATGAGAGGCATCTTGGTGTTACTTATGTAGTCCATGGCCAACAAAAACAATGGCGGTCTGCAGCCTGCATGCTCGCACTTCGAAACATGTTGAGACGTAATTTTACACATTCTCGACGGACAGAAAAAGTTTCCTTGTCTGGCGGCAGATGCAGCACGTTATCGTGGTGCGCTGTTCTTAGGCACTTGAAAAAAATGCAAGCTTTGGACTTTGGTTGGTCAGCCTTTTCGTTTGGGGCGTTACCGCTCAGCCGTCGGAGATGAGGGAGGAGAGTACCCGGATCTAGACGCTGCAAGACTTTGAAACCCAAAGGACGTAAGGCTCTGTGGCAGGAGAGGATTCGCTGCCTTGGAATTATGACGACACATGGCTGAGTCAGACGAAGGAAAACCCTGTGGGCATGTGGAGGTGTTGAGGGGAGGAATTCGCAAAGCTAGATCAAAAGCGGGCGTAGTAGAAGGAAATAATACCACATCCGGCGTCTTGGTAAGGTACAGATGCTTTGTTAGAGGACACTCAGGAAAGAGAAAACATAGACTGTCTATTAGGCTAGCCACGCGGAAGTGAAGCGAAAGAGCCGTTGCGTTAGAGTCGCCGTGGCCTGGACAAAATGCAGCATGATGTGATGGGTATGTCGCTGGTCAATCAGAAGGTTCTGATGCTGCGCTCCTCACCGGGGATCAAAACTCTGTTCCCGGTTCGTACACGTGGGGATCATCCCTTCGTCACCTATGGTGTCTTCGCAAGTCGGTTTCGACTGCAGGTACCGTCTGCTCGTTGCAAGGGTCGGTTGAAAGGCATATTTCTAGAAGAATTCATAACTCAAGGGTGGCTGAAAACCGCCGCGACACTGCATTCTTGAGATGTAGCCGAGACTTTTGGGTGTTCTTGAGACTCGTTGATCGGAACGGCGTGGCCCTGGAGCAAATCCTTGATAGCGGCCCTAGACCCTATCAGCATCAGCCATTGAGTTTACCAAACGGCATGTTTCTGTCGATGCCCGCGTATAGGATCTCTGCCTGTGAACCCTTGCTCGGCAACTCTTTCATGTCATCATCTCAACGACACTATCGTGCTTGTCGCTGCCAGACCGACCGATCATCCCGCATGATGCTGGTTGATTTCACAGGGATGATGGATCTCGTTCGCTGTCGGATTTTCTCTGAACACGTTAAAACCGGTGAACGACCTGCTGTTCATCCATGGTGACGTGGCTTCGGTGTTGTTAAATGCCCCAGCTTGTTTGGCTGCCATATCCGGAATGCCGTCGACTTTCCATCTCTTTCCTGCCTTACCCAACGAGACTGCCCCGGGACCTGGTTGAGATTGGTGTAGAGGAACGCTGCGGATGTGGCTTCGGCTTGCGGAGCCTGTTTGCATGCAGATCGGAGCACCTCCACATACATCAACCCGCATGGTTAGCAGTGCCGAAATGCACCTAGAACAGCGGGAGCCTATCTAATCGATAAGAATCTTATCGGCAGTCATTCATCGTTACGTTCAACCAAATTCTGTGATGGCTGGGCTGAAAGATGTGTAATGTAGTGGCTCGGGATTTGGAAGAGTTGCCACAGCCTGTAGAATGGGAATGTTGGGACACTACAGATCCTCCACGAAATTTAGGCCAAGACACTTGTCTGCGCTGTGTCTGCTGTAGGAACGCGCGACGCTATGCTGCACGACGCGACGTCTGCTTGTCTTTGATTCCAGCTCGCATCTTGAGGCACGGCGGCACACCGGTGTTTCATCTCCACTGAGATGATGTTGAGAGAAACAAATTTGTGTGACAGCGAGTAGCCAGCTGGAATGACACTGACGGCCCTGGCTAATCCCCACGATATCACCGCTCATTAACACATCGAAGCCCATGCGTCGGGAAATGACGTATATTGGGGGTCTGTCAGTCCTCCCACACTTGTGGGCTGTTTGTTCGTACAAATTCGTATTCGGAAGAAAAGTCTGGTTGACGCTGTGCTACACGTGGCAGTCGCTCATACCCAAACTTCTGGCGACACGATGGCTCAATAGCCGCGCGCTGCAATGACTTTGGGTTTTGCGTCAACCTCTCGATCAGACACACTGACTTGGATATGTCACTCGCGGCAAAAACCCGTTGAATTTCCCGTCAAATGAAACAACCAAATCATCCGCTTCGCCGTTTTGGCAAGCCTCCCCCCAGATTCGAATTCCTTGCGGGTGCTCATCAAAGGCAGCCCTGTGAGTCTCGACCTTTCCCCGATATTTCCGCACAGACAGACAGACAACCCCATGTCCACTGCCGCTGTCCGCCATGAAACCGGAAGCAGCCATTTACCGCTCATTGCGAAAATCGGCCAAGTGCACAACTCAAAAACCTTGCCAAGGGAAATCCTCTCCGGTCGCGACCCGTATTCCAGCCCATCAATCGACCCAGGTGGTCAGGTCTCAAGGAGGATGGGCAGTAGGTTTGTCAGATGCGTAATGATCAGCTGGTCTATGATACGAGAGATCTGGCCTATCGATCTTGTTGGATCCAAACACTTTTCGTGATGATTGGCTTAATATAAAACACTCTGAACCAGAAAATTATGAAACATAGTTTAATCTGCACGCAGGGGAACGTGTTTCGAGCCAATGGTGGCAAGACTCAAAGCGGGGGCTCGAAGATGCTTACGACCTTGGGGCTAGATCGTACCGAATAGGGAGCTCAGCTGCAATTACCCCTGCGCGATGCGCAAGAGCAAGATCCTCGGCATCCATCCCCCGCCTTGACATTTGTCAATGGGACCAAATTGTCGCGTTCCGAAAATGCTTGCATGGCAGAGCAGAACAGAACCTTCATCTAAATACACACGTTTACATCAAACAAACAACATTGTCAGCGAGTTGCATTGTGTGCTGCATAACGGCCTGGACAAAGCACGGATGGACGTTAACCCGCATAAAAAGGAAATGAAAGGATTCGGTCAGGCTACCAAGGCTCTTGGTCCTGATGGAAAGTTCGCCCAAGCCGTGCTAAAGATGAGCACAGGGCCACAGGCACAGATCGGATAGTGGGACCGTGGCGGCAGCCATGCGCTCACTTTCATCTCGTTCCTGCATGGTAGGTGGTGCAGCTTCTAGTGTATAAAGGTAGACGACTCTCCTCTTGTCTGCTTTCCTTCGAACTTCAGGTCTGCGACTTCCAGGTTTACACGCTCTCTACAACAGTCACTCTTTGACAATTACACTCTCTACCGCCCTTCGGCTCAATCGTTCATTCCAACAATCTTCAGTCGCAAAAACTAGCCTCTCTCCACATTCTCTCCACAGACCAACTTGAACTCTACAAGAAATCTATCAAAATGCGTACCGCTTTCGCTCTCTCCGTTGCTGCCCTTGCGGCCAGCGTCTTCGCCGCCCCGGCTGAGGTCGTCCACGTCGTTGTCGAGACTCAGCTCCAGACCGTATATGTCACCGAGGGATACAGCGCACCAACTGCTGCCGCCGTCTACGAGGCCCCTGCTGCATACACCACTGTTGTCTACGAGCATCCAACATACACCCGCACACGCCGCACTCGCACTCGCAAGCCTGCGACGGCCACCCCAGTCTACACCCAGCCTGCCACGTCTGCCGCCCCAGTTTATACCCAGGCGCCTACTACCTCTGCTGCCCCCACCACTCTTGCTCCCGTCACCTCTGCTGCTCCCACTTCGTCAGCTGCTCCCGCCGCTACCGGCACCGGCTACATGGCCGTTGTCGACACCTGGCGCTCAAAGATGGGTCTGAGTGCCCTTGCCCAGGATTCCAAGCTCGAGGCCAACGCAAAGGACTGCGTTGTCTCCAGCGCCGGCACCATGGTGCACAAGCTCAACCCCGGATCTTACGGCCAGGTCCTCGCCCCCGGAAATGCTGACGACTTCGAGCATGTGTTCGTCGGCGGCTGGCTTTGCGAGATTCCTACCCTTGCTGGACTCGACGGTGTCTGCACCACCCAATCCGTTGGCTGGAGCTACGAGGGCCAGACTGGCCATGCTGAGATCCTCACCTCAGCCAGCTACAGCAAGATCGGATGTGCTCTGTTCGATGGTATCTGGGCTTGCGATCTTGCTTAGACGAACAAACATGGTTAGGAGATGGCGGTGTTAGGGATAGGGACTTCATTGAGACATTGGCTTGGAGAAACGCATTGCGTGCGCTGGATTTCTTCGCTTCTTCACTTCTTGGTACATTTTTGTACGCGCCTTCTTTACATACCCCTTGAATAGACGCATTCACGAAACGATCTGAATACTGCTTCCATCTTGCTTATGTGACAATTTGTGCATGCATGCATCTGTACCTCGTCTAATCCTACTGATACGTAAAGCAGATAAAGCGATTGGCAATTTCGAATTGTCAGATTCACAATTTCAAGTCTCCACCAAGAGATAGGATCCGCCTTCTGGAATTGCAATCGGTGTGTCTGGAGCATGTGACCCCTGGACGCAACCCCGGCGGTTGCGGAGATGAAGATGTCAGCTCGTGGCCCAAGCACAACCACCCGTTCGGAACCTCGTGTTGCTGAAAAGTCAAGGCGTTGCTGGAGTCATTAGCTTCGTGTCGAGGAATCCGCCGCCATTTATGCAACCATTGCGCAAGACAGGGCCGGCGATGTAACGTAAGGGAAGAATTCTGAATGGCGTTGATCGACCTCCAGCTTTCGGATCAGCGCCATACAGGGGACGGATGGTGAGATGAGACGGCGATGACCATCTTACATATCACCGCTAATCTCAATTTCAAATTCGATATAATCGCCTCATTAATTTTATCGATTCCACGGCTTCTGAGTACTGGGTTATTTCACAGCTTTGGTTGTTTCCCTGGCTATGCTTTCCACGACGTCAAGAAAATGGATGGGCAGGCGCGCGTTGCTCCCAGTCGCACATACCTTCTCAGAGACTACGCACGTTTTCATCGTCGTGTTTGGAAGACTAGGAACTATGCTCTCTGTTGAAGACCACCGGCAACAGCGAGAATCAGGACGATGTTCTTCACAGTTTTGTCTGTCCTTGTTGTGTGTCGCCATCGGCATTTGCTGTGCACCTCTTCCGAGTAATTGTACTACTTACCTTAACGACACAACTAAATTGATGGTTCACGTACGAGAATACCTGTCAGAGGGGTATTGTACCTTAGAGAGAGGCTCGACAAGTCCATATCACATAAACACTTCAAAGGACGCAGGGTATGTTGTGAACATGTTCGCACGCCGCCTAAGTCTCGTCATATGTCGCAGAATTTCTCATGGATTTAATGCAGCATCCGCAACTCATGGTTTTCTTTCTTTCGAAACGGCCCGAGACTATTGGTACCCCGCGACTCGTCTTGTCGTAGTCGACGGTCGGTTGGAAAGCCGCCTAGAACTACCCCACATTCTACACTGTATCACCCCAGGTTCGAACAGTTTGAATTGCCGCGGTCATGAGTTCTTTCTCTGTGGACTGAACCGGGTATATATTGGCCCTGAATACATCGGTTCTCTAATCAAACCATTTTACCTCAATCCATCATTATGGCCACCGCATCACCCATCCCGCCAGCTCCTGTAGCAGAAATCCTTATTCCAAACGCTCCAAAGGCACCAGTTGACATCAAGACTGAGGAAGTGGCCCAAGAGCAAGCCCTTCCGTTCGACCCTGCAAAACTCCAAGAAAAGTATATTGCGGAGCGTGACAAACGTCTAGCCCGGGACCAAGGCGTGGAGCAGTACATCCCTCTTGACGGACCCTTGTCTCACTTTCTCAAAGATCCATGGGTCAAGGAACCCATTCAGCGTGAACCTATCGTGGAGGAGGTCGAGGTTGTTATCATCGGTGGCGGGTATGGAGCCCAAGTGGTGGCTGTCAGGCTGATCGAGGCTGGAATCAACAACTTCAAGATCATAGAGAAGGCAGGGGACTTTGGTGGAACATGGTATGTTCAAGTCCACCAAGCTAATTCAAGAATATGCGCTAACCGGAATAATAGGTATTGGTGCAGATTTCCAGGAGCTGGTTGTGATATAGAGTCGTACATCTACATGCCTCTGTTGGAGGAAGTGGGTTACATGCCTACGGAAAAGTATGCTCACGCAAAAGAACTAATAAGTCATGCACGTAGGATTGGAGAGAAATTTGATCTTTACACTCGCGCGTTGTTCCAGACCGAATGCAAGGAGATGCGTTGGAATGAAGAAGAAGGTATGTGGACTACGCATACCGAACGAGGGGACAAGATCAAGTCTCGCTTCATCATTCCAGCCGCCGGGCCTCTTCATCGACCTCAGTTTCCAGGGTTGGAGGGCATTCAAGACTTCAAGGGCCATTCCTTTCATTCTTCGCGATGGGACTATGATTACACCGGTGGTGACCCAACTGGCAATCTGGAGAAGCTGAAGGACAAGCGTGTTGGCATCATCGGCACAGGTGCAACAGCGGTTCAGATTGTTCCTCACCTTGGCAAATGGGCCAAACAGCTCTACGTGTTCCAGCGCACACCATCCTCTATCGACGTCCGCGCGAATGGACCTACAGACTATGAGTGGGCTAAATCGCTGAAGAAAGGTTGGCAGCAGAAGCGTATGGATAACTTCGACAGCGTCCTCAATGGACGCAATGAAAAAGAAGACATGGTTGCTGATGGCTGGACTTCCATTTATCGCACACTCTTCAATGTCGACTCTAGCAATCCCGTCGATACCGCCGCCGAGCTTCAGCTAGCAGACTTCAAGAAGATGGAACAGGTTCGAGCACGGACAGATGAAATCGTCACAGACAAGGACACTGCCGATGCGCTTAAGCCCTGGTACCGACAGTTCTGCAAGCGACCATGCTTCCACGATCAATACCTGCAAACGTTCAATCGAGAGAATGTAAAGCTTGTCGATACACGAGGGCAGGGCGTGGATCGCATCACAGAGAAGGGCGTCGTCGCTAACGGCAAGGAGTACGAGATCGATTGTCTGGTCTACGCCACTGGATTCGAGGTCGCGAATGAGTGGTCGCACAAGTCTGGTATGGAAATCTACGGTCGCAACGGCCTCAGTGTTACCGAGAAGTGGAAGGAAGGCGCCTCGACGCTACACGGATGGTCAAGTCGGCAATTTCCTAACTGCTTCTGGGTACAACTCACCCAAGCTGTTCTGACGCCCAATGTCATGCACATTACTGGCGAACAGGCAAAACACTTTGCATACGTCATTTCGGAATGCAAGAAGCGGGATATAAGAACTATTGAGCCGACGCAAGAAGCCGAAGAAGACTGGACCAATATCATCGTTCAGGGCACTGCTACTCGTGGTGAGTTCTTGAAGGAATGTACCCCCGGGTACTATAACTACGAAGGAAAACCTACTCTTGCTGCGGCTCGCAATGCCCAATATGCTGCTGGCAGTATAGCCTTTATCAAGACTCTTACGGATTGGAGGAGTTCGGGTAATCTGGCTGGCCTGGATGTCAAGCATTTTCCGCAAAAGAGTGAAGGGCTCGCCCTTAATGGTGCCCAGGTCGCTGAAGTGGCCAAATAGGGTGAGCACCTCATTACCGACGATATATGCATCACTCAGCATATTGGAGAGAGCAAGGCAGGACTCCTTATTCAGCAGTACCCTGATCTTCAGGCTAAGTACCAGGTAGAGCTTGACTATCTTCTCAGATTGCAAAAAAAGGAGTTGGTCGATGGCAGAGCATTTGTTCGAGATAGGGTAGGTTAGAAAATTTGCTTGTTGTCTTTGAATTTACTGCTTCTCAAACGTATCGTGCAACTTCTCGTTTTTCTATAGTGGATGTAGTGGAGCTCATATCCCTACGTATCTTTCTATACTTCGTGGTATGACAACCCGGATCGCCATACACAGTCTTCCTCTTACACATAAATCCGGCCGTGGGCAACATGTATTGTATTGTCAAGTCAAGACATAAAGCTATTGTCCACAAAAGTGCAAGACAAAGCGCAAACGCTCTACGTACGCACGGACGCGAGTTGCGTTTACACCTTTGTCCTTGACTCTCTTTCACCTTGCCCATTGGACAGAAACTAGACCATTGAACGAGTACTTGCTCAATATCCTTCGTGCTATTGTTCAAAGTCGCATGTACTCCAGACAGGTATCACCTTTGTCCGCTAGCAACCAACACACTCACAACCTCGTCGACAACATAACAGTAACCACTCGAAAGGCTCCAAGCTGTCCACGGATCATTTCGACTGAACGCCATTTTACAAGGCGAGATGGATCTTGCGCAAGAGCTCGTCGCTCACGATCTCTTCGTAGCACTTGCTGCAGCGGGAGCGTTTGTCGGCCTTCCAGCGCTGGTAAACCCGTCGTCTACCTTCAAATACACGACCAAGACTGTGTCGCAGCATGTTCATACGCCTGTTGTAATCACTGTGACGGCAACCACTACCCACGCTCCGGTCACTTCGACATCAGTATCTACGACGACGACCACAGAGAGTCTTACCGATACGATCACAAGCTTCATCACAGAAACTTTAGAATGGCATCCTACTCTATCGGTGACATCTGACAGCTTTGTTTCACCAACACCCGTTTTTGTAGAGTCGGAAGATGTCATTGACGCACCAACTGTTCTCCTGACTTCGTTTTCTGGTCTGGATCGGATTCATCTCTCGTTTCTCGCCTCTATCGTGTCTCTCATCGGACTTCTGTGCACTCTATTGCACAGGCATGGTATTCATGCGAATCCACTGACTAGTGTGAACGAGGATTCACCCAAGTGGCGTGGTCATATCGAAGGACGACAAGATGCCGACAAAAGGGCAGCCACGGCAGAGCTGGAGAAGAAAGAAGTGGCACAAGCCTTGCAGAGAGAACGACTAGAGAAAACCGAACTACAGCGACAGCTCGGCTATGCGTGTACTGCGATCCAACGACTTGTTGGATGCGATCCTGATGCAATCACTGGAGTCAAGGACAACAAAACGTTGGCCACACTGCTCGACACTAAGGAGAAAACTCGAAAAGACCAAGAGCAGTGCGATTCTCTGAGGGAGCAGGAGAAGCGCGAACACCTCGAGAAACTAATTTCAGAGCACACGGAGAAGATTACGAAGCTCGAAAGTGACCTTGCGTTGGCGCGGGACGGCAGCGCATACTACATCGCGGCCATGGCCAAAGACAAAGAGATTGATGAGCTTGACAAGAAATCCAAGGAACGCGAGCTAAGGATAGAACATCTTGAGCTTCAGTCCAGATCTCGTGACGAGAACCATTTGCAGGATGTAGTCACCAGTCTTCGCGATCAGCTTGCGTCACTCAAGGCTGCGATTGCCGAACACGAATGTCCGATTGATACGTCAGCTGCTTTGTCCGAGGCCAACGCGCAGCTTACAACGCAGCTTGGGGAAGCCAGGGAACAGAAGAAGGAGCTAGAATGGCGACTACGAGAGCAGCAGAGCACCACTCTCAACGACTCGAACAGTACTTCTGACGAACACGAACGACTTCGCAACGAGTTGAAGCAAGCAAAACAGACAGTCTACGGACTACGAAGGACTATCGCGGAGAAAGACCAGGTTGCTGCAGAGAAGGAAGAACACTACAAGGACCTCATGGCAAAGGCTGAGAAGACGTTCGAGGACATGAATTCGGCACATGCGAAGATGGTGGACGGCAAGAACAAGGAGATCTTGGGCCTTGAGGCCAACAATACCACAATGGCTCAAGGTATTGTCGAGCTAAAGGCCACTGTAGCCTTCCAGACCCAAGAAGTCTCAAAACTCGAGTTGGAGAAAACACAGACCATCCAAGCATTCCAACAGAATGCTGATCGGGCATTCAACGACCACAAGCGTAATTGGGAAACCGAACGTGTCGCTCTGATGCAAGATCTCAGCAAATCGAAGCAAGAGCAAAGGGCTCGAGACGGAGATCTCGACTCAGACCTGCAGAAGGCCGCCGAGGAAGCAAGGCAATGGAGAGAGTACGGGGACCAGCAACGATTGGCCAAGAATGAGGCTTTGGACGCAAAAGACGGGGAGATCAACAAACTCAAATCTACCGTCAGAACCTCAGACACGCGAATCAAAGCCGCAATTGTCTATATGGATCGAGTGCTTTCGCAAACTGATGAAAGTACGCTTTTCGACGAGTATGGTTCGATCGTGGAGCAACTCACTGGCCAGTATTCCGAGCCTGATGACGCTCCGCAGCAAGTTCCGGACGCTGCGGCGGCTGCAGCCGCTGCAGCCGACAAGAAAGAGCTCGAGAAGTTGAGGGCAAAGCTTGCAGACTTGGAGCCGGCCATGAAGGAGATGAGCAAGAATGCTGACATTGATCTGGAGGATATCAAGAGACTGAACGAGGAGATTGCGAACCTTGCGGCGCTTCGCAACTTCAGCTCGGATATAAAAGGCTTTTTGACGAGCGTGGAGATGCTGCTTGAGCAGGTTGAGGAAATGTTGCAGAACAAGAGCGCGGGCGAGGTGAAATACAACGTCAACTTGTTGGTTGAAAATATTGGCACGGCGCTGAAGAAGATTAAGGGGTTCCAGGCGGCAGAGGTATAGATGGATAGGGGATGAGGAGGGCGGAGGCATTCGAGGGTGTAGGGGAGTGTTTGCCTACTACATATTTTGTTTTTGGTTCCTTGATACCCTTTTTCAATGCATTTGGATGACTTCGGTGTACTTTGTTCTTCTCTTTTGTTGCCTGGATTATGATCGAGTGTCTCCAGGCTGTGCCGTGGCTGTGGTAAAGTGGAGAAACGATAAGCATTTGAAGCTTGTAAGTCACACTATGAAACTTGAGACGAAGGTTACAGAAGTCACCGGGAATCTCCCAGCTCCCTTCTCGTCACCTAATCATGGTTCGTAAAAAGCGCGGTATACTTTGAATAATGACTACAGTAAAAGCCTTTAGAGACGAATGGAAGGCACCAAGTGTCAACTCGGTCATACCCATGGCCGTGCTCCCGGCTGAAACTTCCCTTCTTGTATCGCTTGCTCTACCGAAGGTTTTGTCTGTATTCCCCTCGTACTCATCGCTCTCAACTTCGGGCCATAGAACCAAAGCAACACAGGGCTCACAAGCGCCAGCCCCAGCGTCAAACACGCAAGTAGACTGTTGCCCCATCCCAAACCCAACTTCTCATACATCTGGGGAGCAAAGAGCGGGAAACCGAATCCACACATGGTGCGCATGAACGCTCCGACAGATGCAGCAGATGCAGCATATTGCGCTTCGTATGTGTCTGTTGTGTACGCTTGTGAGCACTGGAAGCCAATGATCATGCCAATGGCGACGATCACACAACCAATGTTGGGAACTATCCAATGTACGCCATAGTGTGCCGTCCAGCCGTAGATGAACAGACCGATGGGGCACAAGAGCCCAGCGATGAGCATGGGTGGAACGCGGAATTCGGGAAGGCCTTCTTCGAGGTTGTATTGCACTTTAAGGCGGGCGTAGAGCTGTGATGTATTAGAATAAGGATCGATAGATATTCGACATGATACTTACGCCGTCCATGAGAGGATGCGAGATCTGCAGACCAAGCATGAGACCTAGACATAAGGAGAGGTAGTTTAGCGACGCGGGACCGATGGCCATGCCGTACACCTCCTCAAATACGAGTGGGAAAGTCGACAGCATGAGATATAGTACGCCATACAGATACGCGCGGTAAATGGATGGCGCCTGCGTAGCCGGGTGAGTACACATCATGATAAACGGCATGATCAGTCTCTTCCGCAAGATCTTACTAAAGCGGTCCCCGGTCTCGTATTCTGTGCGTACAACCACACCTTCACGAACGCCTGTTAGTGCTTTTCGGATAGCTGATGCTTTCTTGGCCAGAATCGCCGGCGCAAATGTCTCGTTGAGGAGGAAGAAGGCGGTGACTTGAACAAAGACAGTGAAAATAGATGTCGACCAGAAGATCCAACGCCAGTGGGCGCCTTGAGAGATGTGAGCAGCGCAGATGGGAGCAACGCAAGGGCTGATCCAGGTCAGCATGCCGTAGATCGCTTGACCCTTGCCGCGCTCTTCTTTACGCCATGTGTCGGCTAGAACACCATTGCACAGCTAAACTTTGGTTAGCGAATCTTGTCCAACAACATCATAATAGCACGGGATTATAATGAAAAAGGAAAAAGGCCACGTACTGCTTGAGGTGCCGCGCCCCCAACCCCGGCCAAGAAGCGGAACGCGAGCATCTGCTGTTTTGATTGTGCAAAGCCACAGGCGGTGTTGAAGACAAGGTAGATGAGGTTGGCATACTGCAATACAGTCACCCGGCCATAGATCTCAGACAGCGGTCCCAGCACGAACGGACCCTGAGCATATCCTAGCAGGAAGATTGTCATAACAAGCTGTTGCTCAAAGCCCTCTGGAATACCAAAGTCATGTGAAATCACCGGCAGTACTGGCGCAATCATCGTCGATGAGAATGGGGAGATGAATGTAAACATCGACACGAGGATAGTAACGACCCATTTTCGCTTTGGAGACCAGTTCAATGGATTCGTAGGGTCGTGCGGGCCGTCCCATGTGATCTGCACAATGCGTCAGCAATTATGAAACAGATGCTCAATTAGCTACTAACAATGATTTCTTGTTCTGTAGTCGGGGCCTTCCACATCGCGTGGTAGCCGGATTCGTATACTGTGCCTTCGTTTATCCGTGTCTTAAAGACACGTTCGGGGCTCACAAGCGGCTTGTTCGTTTCGTCTTCGGAAGAAAGTTTTGGTAGCTCGAGGGAGCCAGTCGAGTGTGGCTCATCGTTGATGTGGCCGTTTCTAGATAACTTCTCCCGGAGATGCATAGCGAAAGTGATGGACAAACAAATATAAGCTAACGTCGACGGCTTGATGAAGTGAGTGCTCTACAGCAACAGTAGGTGCTGTAGTTCCAGATATGACTTACTCCAATGACCTTTCCTAGTACAGCTACTGTGCGGATATCGTGGCAGTGTCTTCCTAGGGCAATGCATCAACAGAGGCTATCCACACTGATCCCGGGGCTGTTCGTAGGAGGTTAAGATGCAAACACGCTTTCCAGCGTTTTGCGGTTAGGTAGTTATGATGTGGTGAACTAAAATAGTGTGGTTCGAATACAAGGATAGAAATAGGTGATGTTGGGTCATGCCAGTCATCATGTCTTGTCTACGTAGCCAAAAGTAGAAGAACTGGCGCTACTTGGAGAATGGTATTGTCGAGAAGAGATATGTAGCAGCCTCCAAGATAGATGTCACCGCCCGGGCTGAGTCCAATTCACAGCCGAGTCTGCGTGTTCACAAAATTGAACTGAGATTCGCTAGAAGGCTTGTGAAAACACTTAACTGTTTTGGTTGGCAGATCCTCAATGGGTCAAGAGACTTGGAATATGCAGGGACCGCCAACCATCAAAGTGAACCAAATCTTACCAGAATACGAAAGATAGCTTGTTTATAGACAAATCGGGAAGCTCAAGTTTTGGTTCAAGGCTGTTTTAGAGTAGTCGTAATCTCTGGCTATGCCAACGGGTGCTGCATGGTATGGTATCTATACTATTCCGAACTTGGTTGTTGGGGTTGTTTGAGATTCCAGGTACTTGAGAACAATGATGTACATGGCAGTATCCAACGACAGAAAGTAACGAGGTTACTGGGTAGTGAGAGCAACTTCGAGACAACTGATACTTGTAGTTGGCCGAGAGATCCGACAACCTCTGTGGAACGGGGTTGCTATTTTTCAATACATTACCGCTATTGCAAGGCTGTGTTGCAAACTATGCAACGTGCCTTGATGCTTGGATGATCTACGTTCAGCGCTCTGCCAATAGGTACAACTAAGTCGCGTGCTCGGGTTTTGGGAGCATCAAACACTTAGCAAACTATCTCGTCTTATTAGTCATTCGTCTTCAAGTCAATACACCCAGTTTGACCTTACCTATGCTTTAATTCCGCACGCTTCAACATGCTCTGGACCAACCGCCCCGACAATGCTCACAATACTTCCAACCGCCATGCCTGAGTTTTGTACACCCGTGTCTCTTCCGTCCGCTCCAGCCGTACGCCCTAGGCCTCAGAGACGCATTACACTGAAGACGTCCGGTCTCCCACAGGTGAAGGTGGACGAGCTTGTTCATTCGGCTTCACCAGCACGCCAAACACCGACCACCGAGCTCCAGAGTCTTCTTGACGAGAACCCACTCAGGATTTTGATCGCACCCTCAGGATTCAAAGAGAGCCTCGGACCAGAGCAGATTGCGAGTGCAATCGAAACTGGTGTACGAAAAGTTCTAGATCGCAAAGCCGTCATCGTGCAGAAGCTTCCTCTTCACGATGGTGGAGAAGGCTTTGCTCGAGCCCTAGTAGCAGTCCAGGGTGGGGAGGTTGCGGAGTGCACAGTTACCGGTCCTATCGGCTTACCAGTCGAGTCACATCTAGGCTTTGTCGGCGAGGACAGGAAAACAGCGGTTTTGGACATGGCTGCAGCTGCAGGCCTCCGTCTTGTTCCAAAGGACTGTCGGGATCCGACAGTGACCACCACGTATGGAGTGGGGCAACTCATGAGGAAAGCACTCGACGCGGGATGTACTAAGATCATAATCGGATGCGGGGACTCAGGGACCTCTGATGGAGGCGCAGGGATGCTCCAAGCACTTGGCGTTCGTCTCTTGGATGCGAATGGAAAGGAACTACCACGGGCAGCTGGCGGTCGATCCCTGACACATCTCGACCAGGTTTGTTGGGAGAGCATACATCCACGCCTTCGAAAAGATGGTGGTAAGTCACTCCAGCGCTCCTCTCAAGCTCAATCCTAACTATACAACAGGTGAACAAGTCCAAATTGAAGCGGTTTGCAACATTAAGAACGTCATTTGCGGTCCCAAAGGTGTAGCGCGTGTTTACGGTCCTCAGAAAGGTGCCACACCTGAACAAGTCGACCTGCTGGCATCTGCCTTGGAGCGACTGGCGCACATCGCAGAGATAACACTAGGAAAAGATATATCGCGTGCCCCAGGCAGCGGAGCGAGCGGAGGATTGGGCACGGGACTGATGATGCTTGGTACCACACTGCGCGCCCGCGCAGACGCCATCAATGAGTATTTCGGATTGGACCATGTTCTTAACCAGCGCTGGGATTTCGTCATTACTGCGGAAGGGAGTCTTGATTCCCAGTCAACCGAAGGGAAGATGACGACCGAAGTCGCTCGTCGAGCGAAGCAGTCCGGAGCAGCAGTAGTGGCTTTGGCAGGAAGTATCGGTGAGGGCGCGGAGCGTGTGCTTGGTTCAGGCATCCAAGCGTTTACAAGTATCCTCAAAGAGCCACTGACGCTCGATGAGGCGATCTTGCAGACAGAAACTCTGGTCATGGATGGCGCCGAAAATATGCTACGAATGATAATGGTTGGGCTGGCCCTTGGGAGGAGACACTTTTAGTGTGCATCGACTTGGTCTGGACTTTTGATATCTTGGGAAACTACGTACTTGACGTTCTTGCTATTATCTAGCGTCCCTGGGGTTCAGCAGTTAGTTTTAATCTTAATCATAATTTCGAAGACCAACACGTCGCAAGGAAATGTGAACAATTGCAAGTTGGTGTTGTTATTTTTACAGAAGGAAAGACACGAGATAATCGAAACAAGTACTAATCTAAACTTAAATCCATACCGAAAGCTCATTTATGCAATACTGACCGTACCACATTTGGTACTAATGTTCATGCTTTGTTGTACGATTAGGGATGTAATCTTCTTTATGCAAACCAACCGTTCAACCCTCCATCCCGACCAGTACGTCCTCTCTACCGTCTTTCCTGCCAACCTGCACCCCACACCTCCGCACCCTCTGGTCTCAACACAACCCTTTTGGTGTCAGTGCGTCGAGATTGGAGATGCGAGAGCCTGGAGGTCTTCCATCCATCCTCACCACCTATCAGTCTCGAGATCACATTGCTTGATATCAGCAACTGGCAGATGAGTTCCCAATTTCGCGGTCGTCTTCTCTAGCTATTCTTTCTCTTTCATCTCGCACACTCTCATTTCTTTGCACTTCCCAATACCTCTCCGCCCACTTTCTTTTGTTTGCTGTTACGTTGCTGAGCTTGTAAACATCAACCCGAAAGTGGACTCTGTCTCGTGGAATTCTTGAATGGCCTTGGCAATGTCTGGACTGGGGAGCATCGTGTTGAGCTATGCATGATGGGTAATGAGCGCGTCGACGCCGGCTCCTATACTTAGCCGAGAGGCTGGTGACTTGATGGACCATTTCTGGCAATTGCCGGGTGTGGATGCGAATATCTATGTTAATCTGGGACGAAGTTGCTTTGCAGACTTGAGCATCTTCGAGGTATGCTTCGAGATGCTTGATAGTTTGACAACAAAGTTTGTCTTGGACAAGTGGAATAGCTAATGAAAGACGCGTGAACTCATGGTGTCAATGTTTGTGACAATAGCTGGTATTCCAAGAAGACTGTGAGAGCACTGGTAGCTGGTTAAGGTAGGATTGGGAAGGAACAGGGCAAGACACTGGAAAAAGAGGCCTCTCACAAGCCCCAATGACAACTCACCCCAAAGTATCACCACGAGACGGACCGACTGGAAGTGAAGCGATCGAGGTCGATGAAACCTTATTGTGCTCGAGTGAGATTATCGCTGCACGACCATCATGTGTCTGGCTACAACCTTTATGTGTGATGACATTGTGGTCACGGCAGTTTGGTGGTGTTGGATGTGTCGCGCCGTGCCTTCTACAAACGGAGGACGTGCGCTCGCGCTAGAGTCGTGTTCAGGCTAGCGCACGCTCGCTTAGCTCGAGAAGCGAACTTTCAAAATTCGAGCTCGTTGGAATCTCAACGACAAGCCGACAACTCAGGACCCAGGACCGCCGACAAGCTCGACTCCAGCCGCCAACATGTCCAACTCGCTGAACAAGATCGCGCCCAACAGCCCCTCGAGGCAGAACCCCTCCGAGATCGAGACCAGCATCGCCAACGTAAGTCTCACCACGTCCAGCGAGCGATTCGAGCACAACTAACACTGCGCAGGCGTTGACTGACCTCGAGAACAATGTCCCCGACCTGAAGAGCTCTCTGCGCCCCCTGCAGTTCGTCTCTGCCCGCGAGGTAAGATAGGCACTCCTCGCCCGACACCCTCGACGATGCGCTCGGTTGCACGCGAACACACATACGTTGAAACGAAGAGGCGGTGGGCACTGGGCAGCTTCAGCATGCTGACACCAGGATTCTTAGATCGAGGTTGGCCACGGCCGCAAGGCGATTGTCATCTTCGTCCCTGTGCCCCTTCTCCAGGGCTGGCACAAGGCCCAGCAGCGGTATGCACAAGTTCCAATCAAGCACAAGCGGTATGCTAATCAATCCCAGTCTCACCCGTGAGCTCGAGAAGAAGTTCTCTGACCGCCACGTCTTGATCGTTGCTTCCCGCCGCATTCTGCCCCGCCCCAAGCGCTCCAACAGGTCCCGTACTTCGCAGACCCAGAAGCGTCCTCAGTCGCGAACCCTCACCGCTGTCCACGACGCCATCCTGTCCGACCTCGTCTACCCCGTCGAGATCGTCGGCAAGCGTCTCCGCACCCGCGAGGACGGCAGCAAGATCCTCAAGGTCGTCCTCGACGAGAAGGAGCGCGGTGGTGTTGACTACAGGCTCGACACCTACTCTGAGGTCTACAAGCGCCTCACTGGCAAGGGCGTCAACTTCGAATTCCCCCAGAGCGCTGCTGCCGAATACTAGACGGCTTTTGGTTGGGTTATATATGGTTCAGGAGTTCGGCTCAGGAAATGCATCATGTGTACTCGGCATCAAAAATGGAATGAGATGATATGAGCCCGCGTTGGGCACCCCAAGATACCCGCAATTGACATTTTTCTGTGATGGCCGTCCCTTTGTGCGTGCATTTGAATATGGCCTTCATTTCATGTTTATGGTTACTACTGCCGATCGAGCTCAGGATACAGTCTAAACACACCCATGCTGAATGGCTTCCGTCGCTCACTTGCGAGATACCCCTTGATCCCCTCTTGCTCCTTTACACTTTCGAAAAACGTTCCCAACAGCACTGGAAACTCACTCTTCCGCGCTTCCATCTCCTTAGGAAACGCATACAGCAACCCACTCACCACATGCCACACAGTCAAATCCGCATAGCTCAGCTGCCCTCCCACCAAGAACTTTCCTTTGCCCTCCCCATCATTCGACTTGAGCACGCGCTCGAAGAAGCCAAGAAACTTGGGTATACGGGCTTCGCGGAAATCTTTTGACTTTCTTAACGCCTCGGTTTTCTGGTCTTCATAGTATAACGCAGAGGCGATGGGGTGGTGCGTGTCGTGTGCTTCATTGTTCAGATCCAGCGCTGTGAGGGTGTGCGAAAGGACCCAGGACCTCTCTGCATCATCGGAGCCTGCGAGACCGAGCTTATCGCCTAGGTAGGACAAAATGGCGGGCGTTTGGTAGAGGAGGAGGTCTGTGCCGTTCTTTCCTGCCTCAGGGATGCGCAAGGCAGGGGGTGCGAAGACGGGTGGGTTGCCATCGCTGCCGGTAGACTCGGGGGATATGAGGGGGAGGATGACTTTGACACCTGATTTGGAAGTTAATCGGGGATTTGAAGTACGTGTAAGGATTGTGTACCATCTTCGGATTCGTTGGCAGTGTCTTTGTAAGGCACGCCTACAGCTTCGAAGGCGAGTCTGATAAATTCACCGCGTCCTGGGATGCTGGGCCAGTACAGAAGTTCATAGGCTGGATGTGTCTTGGTGGAAGCCATCGTTGTATATTGACGCTGTGAGAAGAACCTGGGGGGAGGTCTGTTTATGTTGTGGAGGAGGGGTCGAAAGCTATGCGGGGCGCGGAGGGGTCGGATGCACCGTTGGAACATTCATATGCAGCTGTTGCTTTGTAGCCACAATTCGCAAGGAATAGTAGGTTTGGACTGTCATGACTGCTACGGATCGGCGGCATTTGGCGTTCTTGTGGGGTAGACGGGAGCTCCAGGGTTCGGGGATAAGATTGGGGCGGAGGGGGAAGCCGTGTAGAGAGAAGGCTGAATTAAGCCTTCTAAACGCCCAACAAAACTCCTCCGCCCTAGCAGGCTATGCAATTCAAATTCTGCAGATGCTCGGCCTTGGTAAGATGCTCTGATGCTTTTTGCAATGAATCGCTTCGGCATTGGACAGCTTTCATCATACCTCGAACACGCTTGCATCGCACAGCCTGGAGGCATGCATGCGACGAACCTTATCTCATTCGAGGGTTGATTTGTAGTGAAACACCGGAATACAAGACGCGGTCTTACAAACCGGTCAAGCGAATGCATTGAAGTTTGTCATGTCAGGACATGAGATGCAAACATGACTTACTATCTAAATGGGAATACCTGCAGATAGTACGAGCCATCAGGAAGTGCGAACAGTTGCCAATTGATCGTTGGTAAGCATGGTCTTTCCCCACGTGAACCTGTCTCTGTTCTTACACCAGACTTGCGTTCCTAAGGTTCTATCACTCGCGGATTCTTTTTGCATTGAACAACGTTACTGTGAGTTCCGAGGTTTCCAAGTCCCTTGTCTCGTGTCTTGTGTTCTGCGTCCTGAAATCCATGCCCTGATCCTGAATACCGTTTACTGTCGAGCGTCTGGCGATACGCTCGCTTGTGCCACCTACAGCTCGCCGCAGCAGCTTTCATGCACGACCAAGCACTGCCCGCTGTTGTCTTGCGATCGTGTTCCTGTAGCCTGTTCAAATACATCGTCCTCCGTCGCTTTTCCTTGTCTTCTCATAACCCTTCGACAACGCGAAGTTCGCTGTGATCAAGCTCGCCTTTGCCCAGTTCGGTCTAGACAGCTCTACTAGCGCGCGCCTGCATCATCGCGAACCATTGCTGTTGCCTTTCAGCTTTCACGAGGCAAAGACAACCTTGATTCCATCCGATCTCCGCTCCATCAAGCACCCTTCTCTTCAACAATCACTGCGACTTATGGTCGGTATCTATCCCATGGCAGACCTCGACCATTACGCGAGGCACTTGCAAAACTTTCGCGCTTCAGACGAAGCAAGGGAAAGACTTGTCGGAGTACACATCTCTCGTTTCCTTCATCGGGTGTAAAACTAACGAGGAAATAGGAGCTAATTCAAAAGTACTCCAGTTTGCTGGAAGAGCATGCTAATTTGAAGAATGATTATTTGAGCGAGCGAGACATTAGGAGGAATTATCAGACGACGGTTGAAGAGAAGCGGATTATTGTCGGAGGGTATGAGCGTCAGCTGGTGAGATTAGCCTTGTGGGAGCTGTTGCTACCCCGTCACAACATGATCCTTGCTGACTGGCGTCGTACAGGAAGCCAGCTCGTTCGTTTTAGCCCTTATTGATGGAGATGGAGCTATTGTAAGTTATGATCGTAATCTCAAGCATCGCAACTTTCGGCTTGTTGAAGTCAAGTACTAACATTATACTAGTTCCAGGACGCGCTGCTCCACGCAGCTGGTGGTGACGGTGGCTCCGAGGCTGCCTCTCGCTTGTATCATACAATTCAAGACCACATCGCCTCTCTCTACAGCAATTCCGGTAGTTGGCCGATAATAGTACAAATCTATCTCAGCCTCGACAAACTAGCTCAGAAGCTGGCGCAAGTTGGACTTCTTCGTAGTCCTCAAGAGCTCAGACAATTCGCGCAGCGCTTCAGTGTCAATCAGCCATTATTTAGTATTATCGATGTTGGTCAAGGGAAGGAGCGCGCTGATCACAAGATCAAAGGTAAGCATCAACTAACTTTCCACTCAACACATGACTGATATACTACGAGAAATGTTACGCACATTCAGCGACAATCCCACTTGCCGCCATATCGTCTTTGGAGGCTGTCATGACGCTGGCTATCTTCTAAATCTCGATCAGTTCAAGCACAACGAACACAAAGCTGGTCAAATTACGCTATTGGAGACAACTCCCGCGTACAGGGGTTTTGTCGATTTGCCAAACTTCAAACGAGCTCGTTTTGACAGTGTCTTCAGGACTGGGCCTTTGCCAGAGCCTACACAAGCATCTACCTTTGCACCTCAAGCACCTAGCTCTGCACCGCAAGCACCGACACAACCTCCGCCTGTCCTTCGGTCGATGACGAATAAGAGCTCACCCACAGCGTCCCCAAAGCCTTCAACTTCTAGTCTTTCTCCTAGCACCGCCGCCTCGTCCATCACGGGACCACCTACCGAGGCAAGCGGCGATTCCTCATGGGCCACTATAGGCAAGACGGGAAGCATTCCAAATGAAAACATTTCCATCGCGCCAAACACAGCCGCTCCCACGACGAACTCAAAGAAGAAATATGCTTATTACAATAAAGCCGAACAAAGACTTGATGAGCCACTCCCGCCCAAAGACCAAGGAGCAACGTACTCGCTCGAAAATCGCATGCAGAAGAGTGGCAAGAAAATGTGTAACCATTGGCACCTCGGAAACAAGTGCGACAACGGCAAGTTTTGCAAGTTTCAGCATGAACCTAAACTCACACCGGCTGAGCTGAATGCGTTGCGCTACAAGACGCGTAGCCTGGCTTGCAAGAACAGGTATTGCGAGAAGATTGATTGCTGTAAGTGCAACCCCACTCGAACATCTGGAGCCTTCTCATTCGAAAGTCATGAAGCTCTGTAGAGGCCTTCAAGTCATTCAAAGCCGGGCGCTAATCATTTTGTCACTAGATTTGGGCCACCAATGTGCTGTGGAACGTGATCAGGGATATTGTCCCTTCGAAAACTGTCACCTCCGCGCCACCCATGGTATGGATAAGGTCAAATTTGTCAAGGTCGATAGAGAAGGCAACGAGGTTTACGAATGAGATGTATGGACGAGCGAGAGATACAAAGATATTTGACGTATGTTTTCTGAGTTAGTCTTTATAATGCTTAGTTTTGCGATTTTGCCATCCCCTTGCTTGACGTGATGGCCCTATTTGGTCAGGCATCCGTTTTTCTCTCTTTTGACGTTGCAGATGCCACGACTACGCATCCCGTCACTCTAGCTACCTCTCTATATTCCATGATTGACTAATTGTGGGTGCTTCAAACGAGGCGATTTCATTCAAGAACCTTGTAAGTACGGAAACATCACATGATATCAACACAGTTGGGAAACAACTTTGCATTTTGAACTCGGGTATCTACAATGAGTTTGGTCTTCATCAACCAGTTCACAGCTGACATAAGAAAGGGCAAACACCATCCTTGACTATCGGTACATATTGCACACTCACCTATTAGGCCCCTAAACTAGTCGCACGATGTCAGTGCGAAGCTTCAACCTCCCCATATACATCCTCAATATCCACCTGCCCCATTAGTTTCGGCAAGAACTTCTTCTCCATCCACGCCCAGCGCTCCTCCGCCAAATCGCGTCCAGTCTTGGTCTTCATCAGCGGCACATACTGCCTGAACCGTTCGTCGATGAGTGGGAGAGCCGTACGTATCGTGTCGTTGCGCCGGATTTCATCTACGCCCCCGTATACGAACAAGCGACTAACTCCGATAGCACCGAGACCATCCAGACGGTCGGGGTCTTGCACGATGCTGAGAGAAGGCTAGTTCTCGGACATAATCTTGATGTGCGCTTTGTCGCTCGCCTCGCGCGTGAAGGAGGCATATGATGCGACTTCCGAGTCCAGCGGAGATCAGGGGGGACATCGAGATCGTCGCGCTGCGCCGCCCGCTTGCTTTCGTTAGTCTCGGTGATCTCGTTGGCTTCGTCGGGGTTACCATCGTCCAACATGGTTCGGATGTATTTGCTATCCCCGATGTCATGGGTCAGAGCCACTACGTATACTTCGAGCGGGTTGATCGCCTTGGCCCAGGAGTGGTGCTTCTCACGCGTAAGAATGCGGTGGGTGAGAGCAAGAGCTAATGATGTCTGGTTGAAAAAGGAACAACTTTGGAGACTCTGATGCGTTAAAGGTGTCGAGATATGAACTTCCTACATCGTGCTAGTACATCCAGTAGGATATGGGTGAATGGTCGAAATCCCGAAGCATATTGGAACCATACACGGCTGTCTATAGAATCTTGTATTGCGGTGCTCCTCCTATCAGATTGTTAGTGCAGATGTATTTACACCTCATGATCTATGACCAGCTCGAGCCTATGTCGCCGGCCGGGCACTCTTAACGTAAATAGAGGCAGTATATATGCGCTCCTCAGTCAATCCAACCTCTTAGGTGGTCTTCGTAACTTCCGGCTCGGCAGTTGCTGCCGACTCCGCAGAAGCCATCTTTCTCTTCTTGCCTGTTGCGTTATTTAGAGCGAGACGCAAGTCAACTTCCGCTCGACTTACCAGTCACGTTTTGTATCCCCCGTGCCATACGCCAGCTGAATATATCGTATCCAACCTCAGGGATCTGCTCTTTGGCAATCTCAGCATTGACGCGATTGTAGATCTCGGTCAGAACGTCTGCTGGTATTGACGGCCAGAGAATGAGTGGCTGGGCTTCTAGAAGAATGTCGATCTCCGCCTTTGTGATGTGCTGATACTGTGAGTTGACAGTGCATACATAGAGCAGGCTGTGAGACCTACATAAAACCGAGCCCATTGTGGCTTCGTATGGTGAGCTGCTGCCTGAGCTTCACGCGTTGTTGCACTTCTTTTGAGATCAAACGGTAGCATCGTGGTGGAGGGGGCTGGCGGTTATTCAAGTTGTTCAGGGTATCCAGGCTCAGCGCAAATCGAACTTTTGGGCTATGCCTATCCTCACTGGACGCTCGTCAATGGCTTGTAGAAGTAACTGTTTTTTACTTATTGAACTGCCTTAGCTTTATATACACACTCCTACTCTGTAGAAACCTGCTTAAGTGCAGCAGTGTTTCAGCCTTGCCGCCACGCCGCCGTTTTATGCAGGTGCTAGGGTGACACCACTCGAGGGGTAAGGAAGTGATATCCTACTCACTTCTGCAAATTGCAGTATGTAATTTGACCCTTGAAATACTGAGCAAAGGGTGAGTTTTCCTTCGGGCAAACATAATGACAGGAATCCGAACCCGTCCACGACGCATAATCAGATCATGTCTTGAGTGCCTCTATTTCCGCGTTGTCATCTGTCGGCGTAGGGAGTAGATGGCAGACGATTACTTCTTCAATTGCTAACTAGAACAGGATGAACCCCTGTTGTCGAGAATGCTTTATTACCTATTACATGACGCATGAATGTCTGTTGAGGACCGAACATATTTTTGTAGTTGCTCAAGGCCGTAACGTCTGTCATCTCTGTCTATCAGCTTCATCAATATGGTATGAGGGTTACAAGACTGATGAAGCGAATCTGCCCGTTAGGAGAAATAACACCAACAAGACAACCTGGTTGGCGAACATCTTCTTTTGAACCTCATTCCAACGACTATAGATCGGCACACAACCAACACAGCATTCAATTGCGCAAGCAGCAAAATCATATTAATAGGCCAACCTACAAGAGACGTCCGCTACGAGTACTATTGCGATATGGGCGAATATTGAAGCCCTTAATACTCTCACCGTGACGTTAATGGCAGATCTTAGATAACACAGCAGAAAACTCACAACCATAGCTGGCTAGAGTGAGTGTTTTCCTGTGCAAGTTCGCTCGTGCCTAACAGTCCCACTTTGTGATATTTTTGGCTGCGTTGCGCACCGGTAGAACCCCGGCAAAACCCCGGCCGCCAGCCTCGCCGAGAGCGCTCGAACGCGTTAGCCCAGAATCACGTGCTGCCTAGCGTGCCAAGTCCTCAACAACTATATAATATCTCCCTCGCCCGTTCCCTCTTCTGTTCTTTAGCTCTGTCAGTCTCCTCCATCCTCGCCCTACACTCGCGCCCTTGCTAACAACCGCACAGCTTTGCCTTTTGGCTTAGATCAAGTGTAGTATCTGTTCTTTTCAGGTATGTTTTCTTTGTTCTTCATTCACCCTATCCTTGCTAATCACGTGACCAGTTTAATCTCTGAAACGACACTACGGTGTCCTTCAAGATTATCCTTATTTTTGTCACTCGCTGGCGTCTCCCTGGGCTTGCTCATAGTCGCCGGCACAGTGTCGCTCGTATTTCACTACCTCGAGCTGACGCGACCTTTTTTCGTTGACCTAGTCCGCCTTGCGCGGCTAGTTTGAAGAAGATTCGTACATTGTCTTGTTCACTTTGCTTGATGTCACTCTTGTCTTTGAGTTGTGGTACTGTCGATACCTGGTCTGAGATAGATGCTAGACCCACTTTGTTGCTGTGTTGCGAGACTGATTGTTTCAGTTCGTCTGTTGGCTTGCATCAGTGCATTGGTGTTTTTAAGTGCGGCAGAATCCTGCAACAGCTTGACAAATACATATGTAGTTAATGTAGAGATCTGATGCTTGAATTCAATGCGGTATACGCCCGGTATACACTTTGCAATAGAAGCAACGGATGTTGAGTTTCGAGGACAATGGATACCCAATCTCACCAAGCTCTCGGTCAAGTACAAAAAGCAGGAAGCTGTGTTCTTAGAAAGCCAAACCAATAAAATTTACAAAAGGAGAATGAAAGCCCTGCCAAATGAATAATGTGAGTGACTGTCTGCAGATGTTGACCAAAGTAAAAGCTTCCAACTCTCGATTAAATGTAAAAGCTTGAAGTAGCTTGCCGAGGAAGTTTAGAGTAGCTTGACAACTACAGACAAGGCTCTCGGAGAACTTGAGTACCTCTTTATCACATGTATACGCCTGATCTGCTTGACGTTGTGGTTTATTTCTGTGGTGCCTGTCGTTGTGATTCTCTTGTCAAATTTCGCTGATGATTGAGTGGAGAAAGATCGAGCCAAACTGCAAGCCAAAATCAGATACAACCCGTTATAGGGCTAGTATTCTCAGTTGAGAGCGAGCGAGCGATTGCGCGACGTCCGGGTTCATACTGGCTGGTCATGTAATTATTTGAAATTTATCGTACATTTACTTGAGTTGATGATATTATAATCTGAACATCCTGCTGCGTACATTGATATGATAGGCGTAGTGCGTTTTAATCCTGCATCACCCTGCGTCCTCCTCATTGACCTGTATCTGTATCCGCATAGCCTCCTGCTCCCAAAAGTCCGCCATCTGCTCTGCACCCCTGCGCCCCCCAAACTGCACATCCCCGTTCGCATCCCCCTCCGCGCCGTCCATAAGCCTCTGGTAGCAATGCTTGAACCTCCGGTCGTTGAAATGCTGATAGGGATGATCCGGACTCAGCCATGCGCTGCAAAGATAGCAGAAATGTGTCTTGCACTGCGCGCAAGTCATGTGGTTGCACCCGAAAGACTTCTGGCACGGCACAGAGCAGGTCGGACATGGAGAAGTATTTTTCAGGATGAAGTTTAGCGAGGCCTGGTCTTCTTCGGTGAGTTGTGTTGCGTCGCGTGGTTCGCAGCGCGCGAAGTCGCCGTGCCAGGACGCGAGGCATACGATGCAGAAGGCGAGGGTGCAGTCTTCGCAAACGGCCAGGCGATCCATGCCCCTGACGCCTATAGCGCGCTTCTCTGGGCCTGTGTCTGCGGTGGCGGTTTGTGTTTGGGATGTGTCGTCTTCCGTCTCGGAGTCTGAGTCGTCCATCTGGCTCACGTCGGTTATCTTGGGGTATTTGGATGTTCGCATGGCGCCTTGACACCAGGAGCGGGGGCAGAATATAATGGTCGGGTCGGATTCAATCTTCTTCTTCCGCTTGATTTTTGCATAGCGCTCGACTGTCTCGCGGGATAATGGGATTTGTAGTAGTTCTTTGGGGGACAGAAGACGCTCCTTCTTCCGCTTGCTACTGCCGCATTCGGTGGACATGCATTTGACCAAGTTCACACTACCCTCATCGATGCAACTGTTGTAGCAGTCTTGTAGACATGAAACGCAGAACACATGGCTACAGCGCTGCATACGATGGCACTTTGATCCCTTCTTCGGCTCGAGACAGACGACGCAATCAAAAGTTTCCTTATCGAACAACTCGCGCTTCGTGCGCCTGTTGTAATCCTCGAGCTCATTTCTCAGAGACGATGGTAGTGTGAGCTCCTCCAAGCCGAATGCTGTCTCGGCCTGCTCTTGCAAAGAGCTTATGTATGAGAACAAGACTGTACCGCCGCCGTATTCATCCCATATCGATTTCGCCTCGTCCGTGAGTTTGTGCGCGATGTCCTCAGGCAGCCACGGTATAGCCGCCAGCTTGATCAGCGGCGGGGCTTCGGCGGGGTAGTTTGTAGGGAGGACGATTTCGAGGTGCAATGGAGGCAGGTACTCTAGTCGCAGGGCGAGCTGCTCAGACCCAAAAGTGACGGGGAGTGGCTTCGCTGGCGCCACGAGAAGATCGAGCGTTGCGGTATACGGTGCGCTTGGATCAATAACCAGCTCTGGATATATGGACTGTAGCGTACTGAGCTCTTCGGCGCGCTCGTCGTCTAAGTCGAAGTCGGCCATGGCAAAGGTTCGATGCTCTCAGCGTGGATTGATTAGGGTGGCGCGGTGCCTATGTGAAGTTTGCTGATCGTACGAGGGCGGCAACAGGTGAGATATGGGCACAACGGGCGCAACGGACGAAGAAAAGGGCGTGGCGACTGTTGATAACGTGTCAAAGCGAAAGCAGCCATGGAAGAGGGCCATGATGAGTCAAGTGTGCAGTCGACCCTCAAAGAGTGGTATACGACCGCTACTCACATGTACTGTGGTCCTCCGCTTGAAGTACAAGTCTTGATCTATGAGACAAACGTTGTACATACATGTATCCGCCAAAGCTTGCCAATACAAGACTTCCAGCTAGTCTGAACGTCGCGAAACTATCACCTGGCTGGTATTTCTACACGTCGCCACCTTGCCAAGCGCCAGGGTCCAGCCGTCATCATGCATCTGGCCCAGCTCCATCTCGTCGTCGCTCACTCCCAATACCCTTGCAGCCATTCGTTATGGAGAATCCTCCGCTTGCGTCGTTGTCTCTGACCCATGTCCATTATGTGTGTACACATCTGCCTTTGTTTGTGTGTCTTGCTGACCAACACAGAATCCATTTGACCGTGTCTCGTACCTCTGCGCATGGCTCGCCCTTGTCCCGCAAGGACTATGTGTTGTCTACGCAACCCTGATATGGTCGAACCGCGAGATTGAGATCGGGTTGATGTTTGCAGGTCAGATGGCCTGCGAAGCACTCAATTGGGTTCTGAAACGATACATCAAAGAGGACCGGCCGCGGGGTGCATATCACTTCAAACAATTTAAGAAAGAGAGACTAATAACAGACAGAAATGCATGGAAAAGGCTATGGAATGCCCTCTTCGCACGCCCAATTCGTCTCCTTCTTCTCCGTTACCCTCGCGCTGTTTCTCCTCTTCCGCCACGTCCCGCATCCTACAGAAACCCACACACCCTTCACCTTTGGCGGGCGACTAGTCCTCTCGCTGCTCGCTTTGGCATCAGCAGGAGCTGTGGCTATGAGTCGCATATACCTAAACTATCACACTCCCAAACAAGTCGTGGTCGGTTGCATAGCAGGCTTTCTATTTGCATTGGCCTGGTTCGGTGCCACTACGTATCTGCGGAGAGCTGGGTGGATCGAATGGGCGCTTGACACTTGGATTGCGAAAGCATTCCGAGTTAGAGACTTAGTGGTCCAAGAGGACTTGGTGGATTCTGGTTGGGCGCGATGGGTAGAGAGAAGGCAGCGAGCTTTCCAGGACCAGAGCCAGAAGAGCCGATGAGCTTTGTCACACTGCCGTCCAGTAACTCAGTATTGGGTATATGCAGACCTCGCGTGGGCGTTCTGTTGTGGAACAAGTGGTGTCGCCTGGTTTCAACATCTCCGGTAGGTGGTGCTACGTCAGACCTGTCTTACTGTCCTAATAACACGACCAGGCATGTTCTTCTCGTCCACGAGAGACCATCAGCCACCGACATCATCATCAAGGATGTTTCGTTATTCGCGCTTGAGATGAAATTGGAAAGGGCCGTGTTTGACAGCTACAAATGCTTGTGCTTCAATGTGCAATCCCTGTACCCTTGCACTGGTCAACGAACAGACCATGATAATCGCCTACCTGCCCAAGCATCGACGTGTCGATTATGATCAAGTTCATATTCTATCATGTGGCAGCATGGCTATCACGATTATCGGGTATCGTGATTATGCGAATTGTCATACCGTTCAGCATGGGAATTAAATTCCCGCAACCAGAACGCTAATGGGATTAGCGGTAACAGCCACAGACAGCTCGCCTATTCTTCTACTAGTCTTATATGTGCAAGATCTACCGTTATTGGCACACACGACTTCAGGACGGCGACACTTCTCACTGTGTAACCACCCTGCCATGTCGCAGGCAGTGCAACCCTTGTATTTTGTTCTCGTCTCGACATCTCCATCAAAGCTTACCTCCGTCATAACGCCCCCACATTGCTCCTCTCGCTCCTCGGATCCAATCACCTGGTTTCAGCTCGACGTCATAGACCTTCAGGGAGGCCCTGTCTATCCGTTGTCCCGTCCCTTTCCATCAATCAGTCTCCTGGGAATTTAGGCATTGGAAACGTTATCGAAACGCGTCCGATAAATATAAAGGAGTTCGCTGGTACTAGGTTCCGGTACAAGCGCCACCAGCCACCCCGGACGCTTATGCAAGCCTAACAGATTTAGCATCGGTTCGCCCGAATTTGCTGGTAGACGTTTAGTGCATCAGATTGTACCTGTGCTAAGTTGGAGTCCTTTGTTTCCATCGTTACGCTATTGTGAGCGGTCGCTCAGCATGCGTCTTCTGGTCTGGGATGGTATTAGTAGAACTCAACTCCTTCATAATGAACCCTGCATAATCAACGGCAACCGGAGATCTAGCACGGCCGCTACCATGGACTCGGTCGTCGTCATCCATCTCATGCAAAGATTGTCGTACGTTACCAGGGTTACGAAAGCGTGCTAGCTTTGGATGTGCTGTGGGGAAAGGCATGAGGTTATCTTTCATCATAACCCCCAACCACTTAAACGAGGGTGAAAAACAAGCTTGACCCAGCCCGCGCCCGACCACCCCCTGCCATCGAAAAAAGCATTCAACATTTCGACTAGGGACGCGGCTGATCGGCTGATCATATTCACCACCCCAGACCATACTTTTGCATCTCATCCCAAATTCAATCTCATCCCAACTGCCCCTCAATCCTCTACTTTTTCAAAATGCCACGCCTCGACGTCTACCGTGAACCAAAATACCGCGAGCCAGAACCTGCACACACACATCGCTCCAGCCATGTCTCCAGCCGAACACACTCCCCCAACCCAACCCACAGCCAGCAATCCCACCGCCATCACCATAACAAACATCGTCGCAATGGCCCCAAGACCAAGCACACACTCTCCACCATGCAGGCCCATATGGTAGCCTTTTCCGGCGAATTTGTCGGCACATTTATGTTTCTGTATTTCTCGTTTGCGTGCCAGATCATGCTGGCTACGCAAAGGAGTGAGTCGAGTATGGCGAACGGGGGGAAGAGCAGTCAGGAGAACATCTTCACGGCGTTGGTGTATGGACTAAGTTTGTTGGTGAATGCTTGGGCGTTTTACCGAATCAGTGGAGGGCTGTTCAATCCAGCGGTATGTCGTCCATCTTCCCCTTTCCCCTTTCTTCGTCGTTTCTTTTTAATGATGAGTGATCGGGGCGAGGCTGTGTGGCAACGAAACTAATGGATACAGGTCACTCTCGGTCTGGTGCTTGGAGGCGCTTTGCCTGCAATCCGCGGCATCATCCTTCTCCCCGCACAACTCCTTGCTGCCATGTGTGCAGCTGGCCTTGCGTCCGTCATGTTCCCCGGCGACATTGCGTTCACGAACACGACGCTCTCCTCAGGGACGGGCATAGCCCAAGGAGTCTTCATCGAAGCCTTCATGACTGCTGAGCTAGTTTTCGTAGTACTTATGCTCGCCGTGGAGAAGAGCAAGGACACCTTCATCGCGCCGGTGGGCATTGGACTAAGTTTATTCGTTGCGATGATGGGCGGTACGTTTCCCCATGCTCCACTTCCTCGTTTGACATCACTTCTGCCGACGAAATTTACTTCACGGATCCTGGCTAACGCAACACAGGCGTCTACTACACCGGCGGTTCCCTAAACCCCGCCCGTAGCTTCGGCCCCGCAGTCGCCAGCACCCAGTTCCCTGGCTACCACTGGATCTACTGGATCGGCCCGTTTCTCGGCGCCTCCCTGGCCGCCGGGTACTACAGATTCGTCAAGGCTTTCAACTACGAAGAGGCGAATCCTGGCCAGGACTCTTCGAACGGCGATTTCGTCGAGGATTAGACTTGCCCGGAGATAAAATAACAATAGTGTATTTGGTGTTTGTATTCTGAGGGACGGTGGGGAGGCGTTTTGATTATGCATTTTGTAAGCGTGGGATATAACAAAGTCTTGGATGATGGGAAACATCGAGCTGGGTGTTTTTTTGGGATAGCGTTTTTAGCGACTTACATATACAAGGCAACTTTAGTACATAGGAAATCCGAATATCAACACATACATGATTATAGGGAGACTTGGATACTTAACGACGAATAAAAGAGCGACGCCTACTTTGGAAAGTAGGTACAGTGGTGCGTAGGACAATATGTGAAGTCAGATAGAAGTAGCAATGCAGAATCATCGATAGCATCTTACAACATGCTTGTTCGCACAGTATATTATGACCTACGCTTCAGTAAGATGTCCTTCCAAAGGCTATGCATGAATATCGAGTCTGATGCCTCAACATTGCATATACATCTTTCCCCAAGCCGCCGCACCAGGTCAACATGCCAGCTCCGCAAATTCAGAATCAGCATCTCGAACCCTCTCGCTTAAAAATGTTTGCAATATCCTGAAGGCCACGCTTTCGAAGGGGCAGTGTTATGCCAATATATTCTAGCCATCAAACACAGATACCGACTGTACTCGACATGATTATGACTTTCATAGGTGTATCCAAACATTTCGTCACCTTCAAATTCTCGTTGTTGATGGATACGAGGTTCTCAAAGCAGCATACACAGAGCCAAAAAGAGCCTCTGTAGGAGTCTGGCTGGTGCTAGACAGAAGTGAACCACGAGACCCATACAATGACACAATAATTGACACTGACGAGTATATTCTCCAAGAGGACACTCCCGTAATCAACACTGAACAATAATATGAATTTTCGTTGAAAGCTTGTGGTCGAAGGTTCCGTCAGCTTGTGAACCTCATCGAGCACGTGGATTGCTGAGGAGACTACTATAGATGCCATCGGGCACGATGCGAATCGGTGGTGTTGAAATCAGATGAAGCTGTATCGCGTCATCAGATAGAGGACGCACTGCACCACCCCTGCCGATGTCTGCTCGATCGCTGGCATCACAAGAGCGCTCAAGACCCCACCATAAAGAGCAGGCTCTGGCGTCATCTAGAACTTGTAGGTCGTCAGCACTCAAGCAAGCAGCCGACATGTCACTGACACGCATACTGTCCCACAGCCGAGAGAAGACCCTACCGTGCTTTCTATGCAATTGGGTCTTGGAAAAGTCCAACCTTTCCCAGTATCTCCACCATCGGCGAGTGCATGGCGCAGAAATGACGGCGAAGAGGACGGCAGGGTCGAGGCGGTCAGAAGCTGCGGCGGTAGCAGAAGCGAGACGGTTGAAGGCTCGGCAGAAGCAGCAGGGTTACAACACTCGCGATACGTTGGGCATGTGGGAGGGTGAGAAGTTCGCCGAGGCCAAGCTGGAGGCCCTGTCCGTCACAGGCCACCAAAATCCCACTGATGACGAACCACAGCTTTTAGAAGAGTGCGTAAATGACCGCAACACTGGAAAAGGATGTTATAGTTTCGGGCCTAGTTTTCTACCCAATGATCTTGGAGTAGGCATGAGAAGCATAGCAGTGCGGTGCATGGCATGAATCCAGATATGCTCATCACAGTGGACAGCGAGATGAGCTTGATGAATGCAACTTCCTTTGCACAAGGACATCCAGTCATCTGGACGTTCACCCATCGGGTAGAATGTCGAACCATAGATAAACACTTATACCCAGCAGTCCCCGTTTTTCGAACTACCCAAAAGTGCCTCCGCATCGCGGTTATCAGAAACCAAAACTAATATAGTCATGAGGTCGTAAGTCGTAGTGTCGTGAATCGTGAGTCGTAAGTCGCCTCATAAATCGTCCATCATTTTCCAAATCGTCCTTCACCTACCACCCCTTTCCTGCATCGCACCTTCCCCTCTCACAACCCCATACCCATCCCGAACAGCACTCCACCAACCACAACCATGAGCGCCATCTTCGCAACCGGCCTATCCACCGACCCCGCTTCTGAAGCCGCCTCCAAGCCCTGCAGCTCTGCCATGGCGGATGTAGGTGTGGCCTCCGGCTCTGTGGGTAGTGTGCTTGCGCGCATGGGCTGTTGGTCGTGATGAAGTGGCGTCTTGGTTCTCAATTAGCTGGCTGCGATTCGGAAAGGATGGTTGTGGATATGTTACATTTGGATGCATGGCAGAGGTATCTGGGGCGATGGCAGAGACAAGACTGGCGAAGCAGAAGGCGAGGACAAGGATAAGAATGGGTAGACGTATTTGGAAACGCATGGTTGCTTGCGGGTGAGGTAGTATCACAGGAGAATTGGGACGTTCAATGTACAAGTTTGATAATAGTTCAGACGGCCAGACCCTAGTATTTGACAGGTTGCATGTCACTGCAGGCACGGCAGAGTGCGGCGCCATGTTTGGCGTCAAAAAGAAATTCCATTTGAAATGACTGCAAGCGTTGATGTTGCAGGCTTAGAAAGACGACCGTATGACGTTCCAAAGTGCTGGTGTTGCCCAATCGCGATTCTAGCGCACGACGCCAGCGCGCGATGATGCTCGCCCAGATGGTCTTGTGTTGTCACACGACCAGGACTATGTCCTGGCTTTAATTTAACGGCAATCAAGTGTGTTGACTGAAACCGGAGCAAGGATTGCGATATCGAAACCTCGAGCAGAAGAACTCCGTTTGTAAATCCCAGCGTTGTATTTCTGGAGTTTCTTGTGAGATACGTTCAAGGTTTTGCAAAATGCCTTCCAAAAGTGTACCATGCTAGTGTGTACGTTCAAGTCAGCGTGTGCCTCCTTGTGTGCTGCTCGTTGAGCAATATCAAATGGCTTCTTGGGACGAGGTTAGTCTTGCAAGAATCGCTGTATGTTCTCTCATGCCGAAGTCGCTGTTCTCGTCTTGCCCAACCAATTCGTTCCCTCGCCGCGCCAGCAGAGAACTGACCGCGCATTGCCTTGGCCAAAGATCGAAAATCCGTTCTCGTCTGTAGAGTCAGATGAACAACTGGGTTCTTCTCTCCATATCTCAACGCCATCAAAGATATAAAGATCTCGCGCATATTGTGCAACACGAAGGGCTTGATTGAGGTCTGCAACTTCCAGCAAGACTATCTTTGCCTGGACATCGCGCGCGATCTCAAGCAAGCGCGGATAGAACAGATCGCCTTGTTGTGTGTCCGAGTAGCCCGTTGCCGATGGAGGTACGAGCGCGAGCTTTGGCTCGAAGCCACGAACCGAGCGTGTCGTTGTCTTCCAGTATTCCGATGGTGAGATATATGGCGGGTTCGAGATGAGTATGTCCCAGAACTGCGGCTGGGAACCATGGTCGAGAGCGGTTTTCAACGACAATAGCTCTGAGGATATATCGGAAGACGAATCAGCGAGAACGTCCGCCTTGAGGAAGCTGATTTTGTCATATTCTCCATGTTTTCTGCTCTTGTGCAATACGTTGAGATTATGACGAGCCAGCGCAAGACTCTTATCAGAGACATCAATCCCAAGTAGGCATATATGTCCATTTTTGCGTGACGAGTGGAACTCGCGATCGAACAACAGCGGTATGCAGCCGGTGCCTGTACACAGATCCAAGATGCGTAACTCGTTAGGAAGCTTTTGCGCACCGCATATCAACTGTACTAAGTGTGATACCGAGGTCGCAGTGTCCTGTCTTTTGCATTGTCAGCGATACTTCTTCCCAGACCACCGTAACTTCCATACCGTGGAATAAGCACGCCAGGTCTGCACTGGATCTCAAGGCCACCGAAGTATTCCGTGCCCAGTAGATATTGTAGCGGTTTGCCCTTTGCTCTTTCTTTGACCAATTGCCTTAGCAATGCACTTCTATCAATCGCACCTCCCCTCGCGCGACGCGTCTTCGAGACCTTCTCGACGTGTTCATAGAGCCATCGTAGCTCGTTTTGCGCAGTGTGTAAATCTCGACACGGCGCGAGAAGTGCGGAGAGAAAAGGATCTATTGTACGTGCTTTGCGGAGGAGTGACGTTGTAATTCGTGGCATGTTGGGAATGATGGTCAGTGAACCTCACTAGCGCGATATATTTTTGGACGTCAGTCATGTGAACAAGCGGGACATAGGCTACTCTTTGTGGCTCCTACAAGCCGCAAAACTATGCTAATAAATTTTGTAAAAATGTACAGCGGCGCATACAGCTAGGGCTTTAAGCCTAAGCTTGTTACATTAATCTTAGATGTAGTTGTCAAGCTGTTGCAAAAGTTCGTACCTTGTTTCCTGGTATTACAATTAACCGAGAAGCTACTTCTCTCCCTCAACTTTTTTGGTAGACATTATGTCTACCTGGGTATTTCTCATACGATTTGACGGATCGGAGCTTACACACCTTGCTACCAATTCCGAGAGAACACTTTCAAAGATCTGCAATTATATCAAACGGGTGGTTTATCGGGGTATCTAAGTGCATGTCTTCCATACATATACTCTTCTACCTGCCAAATATTGCATGAATGACAGCGAAACCATGCTAAATTATCAAGACTCCTCCTTCGAATCCAAAAGATGCTCGCAACTCAAGCCTCACCCAAGTATTTTCTCAACCAGCCAACCCTGTCCATTCCCCTCCTTCCTCTGCACCACTCTTCTAACACCCAATCCCCATCCTTGACTTCCCTTGTCGCCTACAAGACTCATTTCGACCTCACACTCCCTCCGCTCCATCGCGCCTTTCTCGCGGGGCAAGTCTGCAATCTTACCCTTTGGCTTTGAAGCTTGCAGCAGTGGCGTGCCAAGAGCGATGTTGATGATTTGCGGCCGTGTGATGGGAGTGAGTGGATGCATGCGCGTTTTCGGGACCCTTGTGCTGTCGATGGTAGACGAACTTGCACGTTGCAAATGTGAGTAGATGATGTAGCCCGGGAGCTTCGATGGAGGTGTGCGAGCAAGCAAGGTCGAAGGGTGAAGATATACGTATTTCTCGTTCGGGTCGTCTGACCTGAAATCCGTTTGAGATGAGAAAAGCGTCACATAGGGAACATCGATAGCTGTTTTTGGCTTCCGTGGAAGATCCGGTGGTGTGGGTGCTAGGTCTGCACGCATAGCAATCTGGTCGATGAAGCCTGCTGCGCAGATCTGGGTGAGGAGGTTGATGTTTCTTTCCGAGGGAGCCGGTAGCTTTGCTTGATAGCCGCCAATGGCAGTTGGCCTGTGTGCGCGTACGATGTTGGTCAACTGGTGACGGAGCTGGCTGGCTTCGTTCATTGCTTTCGCGTTTAAGAACATATCTTCGCAGAACCGCCGCGAGTCTGGTTCGTATGCATATGCGCATATCGCGCTGCTAAACTTGATGCAGTCACTCTGCTTCGCATTGGCACTCAACTTTGCTAGCGCACCATTGTAAGCTTTGCGAAGACGAGAGCGTTCCTCGGCTTCAATGTTGTCTTCCTCTGTGCGGACGGCCTCGGGATCCTTGGTTGGTTCTCGCAAGCCAAGCTTGCTTTCTGGGATGATGAGTTCCGGCACAGAGAGCGCAGCCACTAGAGCTATCGTCTCAGCTGTCAAGCCCTGCGCGACACCCATGGCCACCATCCGAGCGAACCTTGGGTTGAGAGGATAGAGTGAAAGCTCGTGGCCAAGCTTTGTCACTTTGCCATCAGGAGACAACGCTCCAAGATATGAGAGCAAGTTTTCAGCTCGCTGCAAGCTCTCGCGATCTGGCGATGTGGGGAATGGGAAGTTGACTACCGGCGCACCCATGCTCTTCAGTTGCAGCACTACACCCTCGAGTGGCGTTCGCGAGATCTCTGGCGCGGCATGTTCCTCAAAATCACGCTCAAATACGGCAGAGGAGTACAGGCGATAACAGTGACCAGGACCGGTACGACCAGCACGACCCGATCTCTGATTCGCACTGGCCTTGCTGATCCATCCGATCTCGAAGCTCTGTACGCCAGTGACTAGATCGTACTTCTTCTCTTTCGCCCTTCCGCAGTCAAACACATAGCGAATACCCGGGATGGTCAAACTTGTTTCCGCGACGTTTGTTGCGATTACGATAAGGCGAGAGCCATCGGGAGGCGGTTCGAAGACTCGCAATTGTTGATTCGTCGGCAATTGCGAATAAAGAGGTAAAACGTGCACCTTCATGACCGTGTCTTCTGGATTCTCTTCCTCAATCTCGAACTCTTTGTCGTCTTCATCGTCAAGTCCCATGATCACAGAGTCCTCGGAGTCCGATCCATCGTGATCTTGGGACTCTTCATCCTTCAAACCTAGCTCGATGTCTTCCGTTTCAAGAGGTGCCTCAGCTGGAGAAATCTGGACTTTTCCAGCTTGAACATCGTGACCTTGCGTCGAAGAGAAGGCTTGCTTTAATCTCTTCGCCAAGTGTGCGATCTCACCTTGGCCAGTGAGAAATATGAGCATGCCTCCTTTAGGTAGCTTGCGGTGACCTCTGACCACTTTGCGGTACACTTCTTCGGCATAGTCTCTTTGAGTGCGACGGGCAAAGTGATTCGTAACCGTATATTGTCGACCCTCCGCCTTGATCAGTGGAGGTGGTTCACTTCGGAATAACCGTTTGTTCTCTGTGAAGTCTGAGATCCTGAGAGTAGCAGACATGATGACCAGTTTCAGAGGCTTAATCTTCGGGTCTTCCTGTGCCATCTGAGCTCGTAGATCGACGATTCTGCTAAGCATACCAATCAAGATATCCGTGTTCACGCTGCGCTCGTGGGCTTCGTCAATGACAATTGCCGAGTACTTCGTGAGAACAAAATCTTGAGTAATCTCGCGTAATAGAACACCATCCGTCATGAACTTGATGGCTGTTTTGGCGTTTGTAGAGGTATCGAACCGGATCTGATAAGCCACTTTCGTACCCTGCTCGCCGAGTTCGTCTCCGACACGCTTCGACATACTCACGGCAGCCACACGTCGTGGTTGTGTAACGCCAATCATGCCTGGTGTTGGTCCATTGGGAGCTCCATATCCTGCTTCGTAGAGAAACTGCGGCACTTGCGTGGTCTTACCGCTACCGGTTGCACCCCAGACTACGACCACATCGTTGTTGTGTATCGCCTCCATAATCTTCTGTTCCTCTGCAACGATCGGAAGCTGTAACCTTGACTCTTGTATTTCAGGTGATCTTTCCACAACAACACTGAACGCCTTTCTCGTGGAATCGGTCGCAGTCTTCGTTTCCAGTTCGGGGGGCAGTGGATCTTGTTCGGGAGCGCGAGGTCTAAAGTCCGCGGGTGTAGGTGGCAGTGCATACTCTAGATTGTTGGTGGGAACGAATCCAATGGCTTCGTTCCTCTGTTGCGTTGCCCAGGCTTTGAAGGCCGACGTTCTTTCTTTCCTTGCAACCTTGGTGTTTTCATCATGACTGGTCTCGCTCTCACTGTCGCTTTCATCAGAACCCTCCTCTTCTGATTCGTCGAAATCGGAGCCTGATAGTTCTTCCTCTCCAGATGCGTCCTCGGATTCTTCTGATTCGGCGCTCGCAGACTCTTCTTCAGTGTCTTCTTCGAGTTCTTCGTCCTCGTCTGAATTGAACCCTTCCCATTCCACCTCTTGTTGGATCAAAATTGGCTTGTCTTGTCCTTTCCGTCGTTTCCGTACCTGTAGGATCGGCTTGCCCGACTCGTCCAACTCCAATGGTCGCTTCAGGCCGCTGCCAAATAGTCCAGCAGTTTGTGTTGGCGCTACCGACACCACAGGCGGCGCGACACCGTCTTCGTTCTCGGATTCCGAGGGCGATCGGTCGCGTCTGCGCGATGTGGATTTGGGAGTTGAGGAAAGCTGTGAGACTGGCTTTGGCGCGATTTCGACCTCGCTTTCGGATCCTGAGCTCTCGTCTTCCGGCTCTCTCAGAGTCCGTTTCTCAAACAACAGTCCTTCGTTCTTTTCCACGTCTATCCTAGCCCTTTGTTCTGCTAACGCACGCCGCAGCGTCTCCCTCTTAGTTCCTGCTCCGCTTCCCAATTTACTAGAGCTCTGGAATAGGCTGGTATCGATTTTTTGCGAGGCAAGTTTTTTGAGAATCGCAAGGTTCTCCTCTTTCTTGAGCTTAGTATCCTGCGCAATGTGTTAGCATGGTTGGTCGTAATTTTCGCATGGGTTCAGAAGTTTTCGCAACATGAAGCCCGTCACCAGGTATGATGAAGGTGTCACAACACTCTCTAGGTTCTTGTGTGACGTACAATATACTTGTCGAGGCGCTTCTTCTTTTTTCCGCTGATCTTGCCTTGCGCCTCGCGAGTGAGCTCCTCCTTCAGCGCCTGCTTCTTTTCCGCGCGCTCCTGCTCCTCTCTGGGGAGGATTTCTTCTGCATTTGCCTCTGGCGCATAATCATGCGATTGCTTTCGGCGGGCGAGCACCTTGTGCTTCCGCTGGCGAGGCACAAATTTAGGCATTGTAGGGTTGGTGCAGATGTGAAGCCTGAGTTCCAAGCTTGGTTGGATGCTCGAAATATTTTGGCGGGGATCGGCGAGTCGGAGGCGGCAATCCGTGGCAGAGTCCGCCGCATCTCCTCCGCGAGACCCTTGGAGGCCCAAGACGCGTTCGAAGTACACAAGAATCCCAGATTGCTACAACATGGCAGAGACAGGCGAATACACTGTCACCCCAGCTGCATATCCGGCGCGTACAAGGACAGCGTCGTCTATTATCAGTGGCATCGAGACGATTGCAACCACGGTCAACTTCACAGACAAGTTACTTGTCACGGTCACACAGCAAGGAAAACTGGCGCACTGGGTACGTATTACATTTCAAGACAAACATGACGTTGGTACTGATTGGTCTGCCACCAGGTTCATGTGCCTCTCGACATCGCCGGTACAGATGCCTCTATGCCCTCGAACCCTTACTTCGACCGGGACGACGAAGACCCCACATCCGACCTTCTTCCAATGCACCATCTCACAGCCACGACCATATTAGGCGGGACCATGGCGAATCTCGATGTTCTGGGCCAGACTCTTGCAACACAAATCGCTAGTATCATCAAGACCCGCGACGAGAGGGACACGAGGATGCTGGTGGTCGGCATGGGGCTGGAGAAGAGCATGAGCGGAAGAGAACAGTTCAGTGAGCTGATCGGGTTAGTCATGGAGGTTTTGTGATATCGCACACATATATGCCATGAAAGAGAAGAGCACACGACGTTCAATGGACTCTGTTGAGAGCAGTCTGGCACCGTGCAGCCCATATTCCTCTTTGCGGGAACTCTAGTACGTTCGTTTACAATCCTACTCATCCAAAATCCTACGAGACCCATGCGCCATAAGTGCTAACCCAATCTTTGTACCAGAACTCCGACCAAATGCAACCCGCAACCCTTATACGCTCTCTCGTAGTTTGTTGATTAGAACATCGACCGAGTCCATGTCGTTCGCGTCGAGCTTCTCTTGAGGCTTGAACTCAGCCGGCATGTGGGAGACGGCCTCGTCAAGACCTGCCTGGAAGTTCCTGACGGAGGACGAGAGGGCCAGTATCGCCTTCTTCCGCGCCTTCTTGTCCGTGTCTTCTATTGCCATGCGTACTAGAATAGGGATAGCGCCAACGATAAGAAGCTGTGTACCTCTGTGAGCTATGGTTTGCAGGTTTCAGGGACAAGGAGTGCTTACTCGTTCCTGGGTTCTGATGTTGTTTGATACGGCAGTTGCGCAACACCATGCAGCGAATGTCCTCAACTCGGCGTTCTTGTTCTCCAACTGCTCCACTAGTGGTGTCCAGAGCTTCAGCGACTCGATGTTGTTTGCGTTGTCGAGGTTCTCGATGAGCTGCTCGAAGTTGTCAAACGCGACGATCCTGTTCTCTAGCTTGGCCTCCTCGTCCTGCACAACCTCCATCATTTCCTTCATCATCTGCGCGTCAGACTTCTGGTTTCCTCCAAACAGGGCTGCCAGGGCTTCTTGGTTGAGCTGTGTTTTCGCGTCTGCGCCATTGGAGACCTTTGAGTTTTCGACACCCCACTTCAAGAGGCTGTTCATGTTTGAATCGTTCATCTTGCTTGACGTGCGGTGATTGGGATGTGATAATGGAGAAGGAGTAGGTGTGTGTTGTGTTTGAGAACAAGCGATTGTGTATGAGAATAAATTTTGGCGTGCGATCAAGGCGACACAGATTTGTTTGGCTTGGATCGTCAGCGCGCGCTGGAAGATGCCAGTAGGTTCGCAAGTATTCCATCCATCGTTACTAGCAGCTTCTCACTTTCACTTCCACTGCAAACAACGACCGAAACTAAACACTGCATGCAGCTATGTTTGAGACCCAACGCCCAAACGGTCTGACACGTCCGTGAATCAACAAAAGCAATTGCACAATGATGTCGCCAGATACGCAGGTGCTCGCCTCGCGGCCCGCTGCCCCTCATTACACGTGATTCGTCCGGCCAGCGAATCCTTGCATGTCCGGTTTGGGCGGGGAGGTTTGAGTTGGCGGTGAGCATTAGGGATGGCTGGAGATGGACTTGCTGCCGCCCGGCTGTGCCAGGACCTGTCTGCCACGAGCGCTTGTTGGCGAGAACACGACACGTCAAGATAGTGGAGTGTCTATGCTCTACTAAGACAGACCGCAGCTCCCACCGCCTGTAACGGAAGAGCTTGCGTACACAATGACAATGTGGCAGCCTGGAACAGCGACGTGAATGTGTATATAAAGTGCTGATTGTGATTCTTGATTCTTGATGCAGATTGACTGCAAACACGGCATCAACGTAAAATTCCCATCATCGGAGCTGCCGTTCGCCTCCTTCACCAGCCTCCCGGTGCTCCTTCTCCCCGCTAAATCTGGGCAAGGCCGGCGCACGGGTATTTCAGCAAGCACTTTGCCTCGCGCACAAGAACCTAACCTCAACAACACCCTCAACAACGACCTGTAAGCTTCCACCGCCGTCTCCACCCCTTCCGCCAGACCTGCGGCATCTCTGCTTTCCTGACACTGACGCCCATCTTCTGCAGCGAGTCTCAGATTGCAATCCTCTCGCTCTTCTACACCTACTCCTAATCTCACCACCTAATCAGTCAACATGGAGGGTAAGCAGCTTCCGTCTTCTGTTCCTGGCGCCCCCTATCCATCGTCAATCGATGCGCATCTATCTCAATGAGCTCTGCTAACGTTGGTGTTCCCATCTACAGAGGAAGTCGCCGCTCTCGTTATTGACAATGGGTGAGCTCATCCCCCGACACGAACGCCAGCCATCCCTGCTGTGGAGGGGCTACCTGCATTGGCTGCGACCACGACCGTATCGAGCTGCAACAGTCTCTCCATAGCAGCGCGCGAGGTAGAATCATCTAATGGACACGAGCTGACAATTGATAGTTCGGGTATGTGCAAGGCCGGTTTCGCCGGTGACGATGCGCCCCGAGCAGTTTTCCGTAAGTCATCACCCTCCCACTCCGCTGCGCAATGGCGAATCTGCGCTGTAGCCTTGAGGACTCTGCAGAACCACTGCTAACAACTCTACAGCTTCCATTGTCGGCCGACCCCGTCACCATGGGTATGAGAAGCCCTCTCCGACAGCGCCTTTATGACTCGCAAGCTGACAACAGTGCAGTATCATGATCGGTATGGGCCAGAAGGACTCATATGTCGGTGATGAGGCACAGTCGAAGCGTGGTATCCTGACGCTGCGATACCCCATTGAGCACGGTGTTGTCACGAACTGGGACGACATGGAGAAGATTTGGCATCACACCTTCTACAACGAGCTGCGTGTCGCCCCCGAGGAGCACCCCGTCCTGCTCACCGAGGCTCCCATCAACCCCAAGTCCAACCGTGAGAAGATGACCCAGATCGTTTTCGAGACCTTCAACGCCCCGGCGTTCTACGTTTCCATCCAGGCCGTTTTGTCTCTGTACGCCTCCGGTCGTACCACCGGTATCGTGCTCGACTCCGGTGATGGTGTCACCCACGTTGTCCCCATCTACGAGGGTTTCGCGCTTCCCCACGCCATCTCGCGTGTCGACATGGCTGGTCGTGACTTGACCGACTACCTGATGAAGATTCTCGCTGAGCGCGGTTACACCTTCTCCACCACTGCCGAGCGCGAAATCGTTCGTGACATCAAGGAGAAGCTCTGCTACGTCGCCCTCGACTTCGAGCAGGAGATCCAGACCGCCAGCCAGAGCTCCAGCTTGGAGAAGTCCTACGAGCTTCCCGATGGTCAGGTCATCACCATTGGCAACGAGCGTTTCCGTGCTCCTGAGGCTCTCTTCCAGCCTTCTGTCTTGGGTCTTGAGAGCGGTGGTATCCACGTCACCACCTTCAACTCCATCATGAAGTGCGATGTCGACGTCAGGAAAGACTTGTACGGCAACATTGTCATGGTATGTTTTGCTGCTGTAAACTAGACAGCGAACGCGGCTAACCAGAACTAGTCTGGTGGTACCACCATGTACCCCGGTATCTCCGACCGTATGCAGAAGGAGATCACTGCCCTTGCCCCATCCTCGATGAAGGTCAAGATCATCGCTCCCCCGGAGCGCAAGTACTCCGTCTGGATCGGTGGTTCCATTCTTGCTTCCCTGTCTACCTTCCAGCAGATGTGGATCTCAAAGCAGGAGTACGACGAGAGCGGTCCTTCCATTGTCCACCGCAAGTGCTTCTAAGGTAATGGACATCTCTCGACGAAGCTGTTCATCAACTAATGCGTTTCAGCGTGTTCTTGCGTACGGTTCTCGATATTACGACAAGCCTAGTAGCGGAGGCATCATTGTATTGGCGCTCTGTTACACTGGGGTTTTACGCATGACGGTTGTTCACAAAACGGCAAAGCGAGGCGGTTGGGCGATCATGTTATGGAGGAGTTTGAGTTGATGAGTGGAGGTGTGACCAAATCTTAAGATTGTAGCTTAGAATTTGGACGTTTTCACATGAACCAGGTTGGCCAAACGACTCTTTATTGTTAATGATCAGCTTTTTGTGACCTTGACTGTTCTTATACTAAGATCTCCATGACCCGGCTCAAGTGGAGACAACCCTGATGTTGTGTAGTCTTTACGCCGAGAAGGACATGCTGTAGTCTACCCTGAAGTTTAAGCCATTCGCCACGTCGGCCCACAGCGCAACTTTACACTAACGCCAGGTGGCGGATAGCTTTGGACTTTAGGTAGATCCACAGTATTTCAATACCGGAGTTTTCGACTAACCGAGAAGTGGCATAGTCGGGGTGCTCAAAATGTACAAAACCACATAAACGTCACGGGCCGAGCAGGCTAGTAGACGTATACTAGTAGTACTCAAGGCGCACAAGTTCAACACACTCTCTGAATGTAGGTAGTTGTCGCTACAGCTTGGTTCCGGGTATTTGGACTACCACTCCCAAACGATGAACCAGCACGCTACCTACCTACTCTAATGTGTGTAAGATGTTGTGAATATGGAGATCGCGGCTCTGATTATCATGATGCTAGAAATAGAGAAAATGTAGGAGATGGTAGAATGCCTTCGTCCTTGGGTTTACTCTTACATTGCCCTTGTCCCTATCGATCAACTAACTCTACCTTTTTGTCTCGTTTGTGGTTGTTCTACCAATCTACTAATTGACTGACTGATAGATCCACTGACTGGTTGATCTGTTGAGTCTTGTATGACGAATAGGGGTTTCTTTTATATCCTGGGGGTTGTTTCGTCTGAGTGTGGTGATGCAGGTTGATCTAGTACAAAGGGGGTGGGCGAGCGATAGACACGGGGGTGTGTTTGTGTGTAGAGCCCAGTTACGTGGAAGTAGGAGTAGGATAGTGAGTGATGGCGTTGTGTGAGCTGTACTTGGTTGGTTGATGATGCGCTGTTTGTCTGTAACACCAATACACGATAGTAAGAGTTCGGTCTGGTAGTATTCGACTGTGGATCGAGAAAGTGCATGTGCTTACTTATAAACAGTAGGAGACTACAGCATAGCAGCATGTTACTATTCACCGAGCGGGGTTATATTATAGTTGGCTGCCCTGCCGACACACGACCACCTTGAGCCATATTCTTATACCTAAAAGTGCCATCAACCTCACCCCCTCGCCCTAGCCCTCAACCTCAGTCCCTCCTCCCCCTCACCACCATCTTTCCTCATCCCATCCTCAACAACCCTCCCCAAGCTCCCCCCCTCCCCCGTAATCCCCCCCCTAAGCAGTTCCCCCACCACCCTCCCCCTTACAACCGTCTCCCCCACAACCCCCTCAACCTGCTCGGGCCCCACCCTCCCATACCAAACCCCCGCGCCGGCCAACGCCCCCCCCGCATTGGGCGGAACATACACGATAACATTCCCCGCATACTTGTGCCCCCCAATATGGCTAATCTGCGCCACCTCGCCCTCGATGCCGCGCCGCTGTAGCTCCGCTTTAAACGCCGCGTGAAGTATCGGGCCCAGGATGCCGCAGCGCGAGTCGCGCGAGCCGTGGCCGCAGATTAGGATCGTGGGTGTGGTTATGGGGGTTGTGGCGAAGAGGGGGGTGAGTGCGGGTTGGCGCGTGAGAGCTGCTTTTTGGGGGGGGGAGAGGGGTGCGTGCATAGGGTGGAGGGTTTGTGCTTTTAGGAAGGCGGATGAGAAGTTTGCGAGGGAGGAGGGGTCATGTGGGATGGCTTGTATGCGTTTGAAGGCTGGGAAGAGGAGGGCTGATGTTGTTGTTGTGTTTTGGGGTGTGTTGTTGGTCGGTAGCGAGGACGCGGTGATGAGGATGTTGTTGAATGGCTGTTTTTGCTCAGATGTTAGCTCTCAATCCTACAAAACCAACACAGCACAACCCAGCGATAGGAAAGGAAGAAAACAAACAAACATCAAAGCCCTCTCCTCCCCGCCCAACCACGCCCTTCAACCCGCGCACAAACTCCCCCGTCCCACCCTCCTCCTGCTCGATATTACTGCTCCAATCCTCCTTCCCCGTACACACCACCACGTGCTGCGCATACGCCGCCATGGTGTTTAGCAGCGGCGCCGCGCGGTCGATGTCGAGGTCGGCCGGCGTGGCGGCGCAGGCGCATGTCGGCGATGGGCAGGTCTGCGTGACGGGGATTGTGGATGTGGATTGGAGACGGGAGGGCGGGAAGCGCTGGAGTGTATTTGTGTATATGCGTGTGCGTGCTATGTGGAGGGGGGCGCGTGGGAACATCGTGGGTGGTTGTGTGTGTATTCGTGGTGAGGAGTTGTAGAAAGTTTCCCAGAGGGTTCGGAATGCGTTCCGCAATCGATGACGCGGCGTCGGAACGTCGGACATGGCGGGCTTGGGACTCGGACGTCGAAGCACGCGAGGATGCTGTGATACCTAGCTGGACGACTACATCTTGATCAGTGCAAAAGGGTTGTGCTAGAATTTACAGTTGTACACGCCCGCCACACTTCCTCGCTTCCCTATTAACCAAGAGGATAGGTACATCATGCACATCCCAGGAGAGTGCACCATCCATCCATCCAAATGTTTGTTTAGTAGCACAGCACATTCCAGCGCGTACCCCCATCCGTCTGGCCAGAAAAAGACAAAAACGGAGAAGAACAGCAGACAAGCAAGGGTTAAAAAAAGATCTCATCGTTCGTCACATTTTCAACTACGAATGATTTTCTTCCCATTCCACAAAGTAAAAGCCAGCGATGGATAGAAAACAGCAACAAGTGCGCTATATCATACATGAAAAGACGATAAAATACACAGTTGGCACTGGCCCTTGCTGCACAAATACATATACATATACAATCCTATACTATCCTACAAACCCCCTACTTCTTTTTATTTTTCCCCATCAACCCCAGCCACGCCAACGGCACAGACGGATGTCTCTTCTCCGCCTGTTTGCGGTCGACCTCCGCCCACGTATCATCAACCTCCACCTCCTCCTCCACCTTCTCCTTCTTCGAGACGAAATTGACCAACTTGCCTCCATTGACAATGACAAGTTTCCAGCCCCTGGGGATGGTATACTTTTGTTCCTCCATATCCTCCTCCTCAGCATCAGCACCAGCAGCATGAGCAGCAGCATCCTCCTTCGACGCGCCGGCCCTCCAAATCCGCCCCGTCTTCCTATCCAGCCACTCGTGCCCCTCCTCCGAGTCAAGCAGCTGCTGCAGCACCCACTGCTCGGCGACCGGGCGCTTGCTCGCCGCCTTGATGCTCTCGGGCATCTTGAGGATATCGGTATCGAACTTGCGCTTACCGTTGAGCTGGATGACGCATCGAACCGTAACGTTGATTTTAGCGAGGATATCGAGGTCCGGGGTGGGGAAGCCGGTAGCGAAGACGGAGAGGCGGGTTTGGAATTTGTGGCCGCGCGGGGTGGTGTTTGAGGCGAGGCGGTCCCAGGCTTCTTCTCCGACGCCGGGGGCGATGGGGGCCAGCATGCGGATCAGGTGCAGCATTGCGTACCATTTGAGGAGCGGGGTTGTGGCGGAGACGTGCGGCGCGTCCCAGATTGTGTTTGTGAGCGTCATGAGGTCGCTGATGACGGTGTTGAGGGAGTGGGTTTTCGAGTACGAGTCTGTTACGCTGGCGATTGTTTGCTGGGTTTTGGTCCAGAGGTGGGCCTCGATGGGGAGCAGGGCGTTGATGACGGCGTCTTCTGTTTTTGTGAATTCCCCCTTGACGTCGAGGGACTCGCGCTGTAGGATGGTGACGAGAGTCTCGTCTGGGTCTGTGGGGGTGCTGCACTTGAACCGGGCTAGCTCTTGGTCGGGCCACCAGAATGCGCTGGAGAGTCGGATGACGCGTTGCAGCCAGCGCTGGACACCGGTGATTTTCTTCTCGTCCCACTCCAGGACCTCACTGACGGGTGCCTGGAACAGCATGTGTGCTCGCGTGGCATCAGCGCCGTACTTTGCGATTGTGGCTCCGGGGTCGACGCCGTTGTACTTGCTCTTTGACATTTTCTCGAAACTGACGTTGGGAGGAAGGCCGCTCGCTTTGATGAGTGGTTTGGAGGGGTCGGCCCGGTTGACTTCATCAGGACGCAAGAATCGTCCATTCTCTGGGTCGGTAAAGGTTTTCCCGTGTACCATTCCTTGCGTGATTAGCTGCTTGAACGGCTCACCGTTGACCAGATTTCCCTCTGGCCAGGAAGGTGTTGTAGCGAGGAACTTTGAGATGAAGCGAGCATACAGCAGATGCAGGATGGCATGCTCCACTCCGCCGACGTAGACATCCACGGGCATGCCGTCGTTTGCTTTGGCGGGATCCATCAGCGCAGTCTTGTTCTTCGGATCTAGGAACCTGAAAAAGTACCAGGACGAGTCCATGAACGTGTCCATGGTGTCAGTCTCGCGCTCAGCAGCCGATCCACACTTGGGGCAGGTAGTTTTCTTCCACGTCTTGTTTTCAGCCAAGGGGTTGCCCTTGCTGCCTTGGAAGAAGGCGGCTGGCAGAATGGGTAGCTTGACTGGCAGGTCTTGTTCAGGCACAGGCACGGGACCGCAGTCGCCACAGTGGACGATGGGTATAGGCGTGCCCCAGTAGCGTTGGCGACTGATGAGCCAGTCCCGCAGTCGCCAATTCGTTGTTGTTTCGGCGCGTTTTCCAGCTTCCCGGAGTTTGTCGACGATACTGCGTGCGGCCTCGTCCGAGGGAAGGCCTCCGAATCCGTCTATCTCTGGTGCGACGAAGCCCTTTTCCAACATGGGATTGTCTTGGCTGTCTTGGAACTTTACAATCTCGTCTTTTTTGCGGGTGATGACAACCTCCATGGGTGAAGTGCCGGCGTTTGTCCGCCAAAAGGCGTGGTCGCGGGTGTCGTGGCCCGGCACGCCCATGACCGCACCGGAGCCGTAGTCGTCGAGGACATACGGGGCGACATAAACAGGTACAGGAGAAGAACATAGTTCGGTGATGTCGGAGACTGGGTTCTGGGCGGTGATGTTTGGCAGCAGATAGCCTTCCTTGGTATCAGGGGGCAGGGTCTTTGCGCGGTCGATGAATGCGCGGAGCGACTCGTCGTGTTCTGCAGCTGCCCGCGTGATGGGATGAGTGAGCGACAGGGCGATGTATTGCACGCCGAAGAGGGTGTCTGCTCTGGTGGTGAAGACGTCGACCGGCTCGAATTGGACGTCGTCTGTGGATTTGATATCGAAGCACAGCTTGGTGCCCTCGGACTTGCCGATCCAGTTCTTCTGCATGGCGAGCACCTTGTCGGGCCACCTGCCGTCCTCTGCCAGCTTTTCCAGGTCGTTGAGCAGAGGCTCCTGGAACTCCTTGATCTTCAGGAACCACTGCCTCAGCATGAGCTTCTCGACCTTTGCGCCCGAGCGCCACGAGCAGCCATTGGCGTCGACCTGTTCGTTGGCGAGGACCGTCTTGTCGACGGGGTCGTAGTTGACGAGCGAGTCTGCCTGGTAGGCCAGGCCGCGCTCATGCAGCATGAGGAAGATGCGCTGGGTGTGCTTGTAGAAGGCGGGGTCGCAGGTGCGAATCTCCTGCAGGGCGCGTCAGCTCTACGGGTGGGGCGGGCAGAGCAGGCGGCGTACAGCGTCCCAGTCCCAGCGGCCGCCCATGCCCGTCATCTGGGCCTTCATGGCGTCGATGTTCTGCAGCGTCCACTTCTCGGGGCTCACGCCGCGCTCGATGGCGGCGTTCTCGGCAGGCAGGCCAAAGGCGTCCCAGCCGATGGGGTGCAGCACGCGGTAGCCCTGCATGTGCTTGAAGCGGGCGAGGACGTCGGAGATGGTGTAGACGCGCAGGTGGCCCAGGTGGAGGGTGCCCGAGGGGTACGGGAACATGGGCAGGACGTAGGCGGGGCCCTTGTCCTGCGGGCGCATGGCGTGCCATTTGGGTGCCAGCTCGTCCCAGTGCGGCTGCCATTTCGCCGTGAGCTTCTCGACGCGCACCTCTTTGGCGGCGCGGTGGCGGGCTTCGGCGGAGACGGGGACGTGGAAAGCGGTTTTCAGGCCACGGCGGGGGGCATTGCGTGGGACGGGCAGTCGTACACGGTGCAGGCTGAAGCGCGACATTAGCTGGGCGCGTCACTCGGCCAGACGCGACATCAAGCAGAGCGACGACATGCGCGCGGGTGAGGGGCAATGGATGGGGCAGTGGATGGGGTCAAGCTCTGGTGATTTTTTGGAGACGGGCGCTAGCTGCATGGATAGCGGCATGCAAGAGCTTCACCGTCGGCCCCCCGTTGGCTCACCACCGCCCTCGTCCTGTCTCGTCTCGTCGCAAGGGGAAGACTATCGTTCCAGGGGCCAAGACTGCCGTCTGTGTGTTGTTTTTCTGCCTTTGCTCTACTGCATCCCCTCTCCTTCCCCCATGGCCTGACCAATTCCCCGCAACATGGCCGGCCGCTACTCGTCCCTCCCGCCGCCCACGCGCGACTCCCTCGAGCTCGCCTCGCTGGCCTCTTCTGAGCACCTCTCGCGCCGCACCTCGGAAGACTCGTCCGCCTCGGGCGCCCCGTCCTCGCGCCGCCTGTCCTTTGACGACGAGGACCCGCTGTCGGAGCTGAACCCAGCAGGCCATGGCGACGGCCGCCCGCGACACCACCGCTCCTACAGCGTCTCGTCGGCCTTTGACTTTGCCCCGGCCCTGTTCCCGCTCTCGTCCACCGCCCAGGGCTACACGGCCCTCGGCGCCCCCTCGACCGCCGCCCTCGACCCGTCCAATGCCCTGACCGGCGGCTCGCTCGAGAAGAACAAGACCCTGACGTACCTCAACGGCCTGTCGCTCGTCATCGGCCTCATCATAGGCAGCGGCATCTTCTCCTCGCCCTCGCAGGTCAACAAGAACGCCGGCTCGCCGGGCGCCTCGCTGCTGGTCTGGGTCGTGGCCGGCATTCTGGCCTGGACGGGCGCCGCGAGCTATGCCGAGCTGGGGGGCGCCATCCCGCTGAACGGAGGCGCCCAGGTCTACCTCTCCAAGATCTTCGGCGAGTGGGCCGGCTTCCTGTTCACCTGGTGTGCTGTCGTCGTCCTCAAGCCGGGCTCGGCAGCCATCATCGCCATCATCTTTGGAGAGTACCTCGTCCGCGCCGTCATTGGTGCAGAGGCAGTCGACGCCAGCGCCTGGCTGTACAAGGGCGTTGCGCTGGCCGGGCTGGTAGTCGTCACGGCCCTCAATTGCGTGTCGACCAAGCTGGGCACGAGGAGCGCCGACGTCTTCATGTTTTTGAAGTTTGTCGTCCTGCTGGGTGTGGCTGTCATTGGCATTGTCGTCGCAGTCACCGGCCTCTCCTACAAGGGCAATGCCAACGACGACTGGAAGAAGCAGGGCTGGTTCGATAACACAAAGACCGACGTCAGCAACTGGGCTGTAGCTCTCTATGCCGGCCTCTGGGCCTTTGACGGCTGGGATAATGTACGTCAACCATCCCCATCTACACCCACACACAGCTAATATACTACCAGGTCAACTACGTAACCGCCGAGTTCAAGAACCCCGCCCGCGACCTCCCCCGCGTAATCCACACATCCCTCCCCCTCGTCATCCTCTGCTACATCATGGCCAACATATCCTACTTCCTCGTCCTCCCCACCTCGGTCATAGAATCCTCAAACACCGTCGCCGTCGCCTTCGGCTCCCAAGTCTTCGGCCCAATCGGCTCCTGCATCCTCGCCCTCTTCGTCGCAGGCTCCTGCTTCGGCGCCCTCAACGCCACAACCTTCACCTCCAGCCGCCTCGTCCACGCCGCAGCAAAAGAAGGCTACCTACCCTCCCTCTTCGGCGACATCGGCATCGGAAAATCCCACCGCGCGCTTCGCATCCACAGTAACAACAACAATAACAATCAGCAAAGTAGCACACGCATACAGAGCAAACTCCTATCCGCCTTCGCCGACGCCGACGCAGGCTTCTTCTACACCCCCATCGCCGCCATGCTCCTCAACGCCCTCCTCACAGCATCCTACATCGCAATCGGCTCCTTCGACACCCTCGTCACCTTCTACGGCGTCGCAGGCTACGCCTTCTACTTCCAGACCGTCCTCGGCCTCATCGTGTTGCGTGTTAAAGAACCGGATCTGCCCCGGCCGTATAAAACTTGGATCACCACCCCGATTATTTTCTGCTGCGTTAGTTTGTTCTTGCTTAGTCGGGCGGTTTTTGCGGAGCCCGTGCAGACGCTGCTTGTTGTTGCTTTTATGGTTGGGGGATTGGTGGTGTGGTTTGCGTGGGTGGGGAGGCGGAGGGGGAAGGGGAAGGGGAGGGCGAGGTTGGGCGGGGAGGAGGGCGGGTGGAGGGTTTGGAGACGGTGGCGGTGAGTGTATGGAATGGAAGGGGGGTGAGGTGGTGGTGTATGATTAATGAAATAAATCAGTTGAATTCGATGTATTGTCCCTTGCACGTGTTCTTTCCAGGGGTGATAGGTGAGGGTCAAACGTTTATTTCTAACCTCGAGAAAAGTAATGGGAAGATGTTGTACATGTACTAACACACAGACAGACAAACAATTATAGACAACCATCTTATATCCACCCCCTCCTCCCCTCCTCCGCCCGCCCCGCAGCACTGCCCACAACAGGCGTAACAGGATTCATCCGCAACCCACTAACCACGCCCACCCCCGCCACAGGCGAAACAGCCCTCTCATCCGGCACAGCAGGGAGTTGTTTATCCCACCTATCCCCCTTCTCGCGATACACACCCCTCCCCAACGTGGGCGGCGGACGCACAACGCCTCCCTCCGCCTCTCCATGCACCGACGGCGTGTACCGCCCTGCTGTGAGAAGCGTAGCAGGGGCAAGCGAGAAGCGCAGGCCGATTTCTACCGTCAGGCTGCTGTCTGTGCTTTGGATGCGGCGGGGTGGGGCGAAGAGGGGGCGGGGTGGGGTTAAGGGGCTGAGCGTTAGGGTTGTTGTGGAAGACGAAGCAGACGTAGATGAGGAAGTAGACGGCGAGGAGGGCGTGCGGGGAGCGTTTGCACGGACAGCAGGACGCGGCGCCTCGTCCTTAGGAAAAAACGAGTACGTCGACGCAACCAGCCTACGCTCATCCGGCAGCGGCCAATTCCTCTCCTTATCCCCCCGCTCGTTGTCGAACTCCTCGACGTCGAAATCCGCACCGTTCTTCTCGGGCCCCACATCAATCAGCCCCTGTCTGCTGTCCGGGCGCCGGCCTCGCCGCAGGTCCATGGGGCTGCTGATATTGATCTCGAGGTCGCTGGGGCCGAAGAAGCGGATGCGGGGCCGTTTCTGCTGGCGCGGTGCGCTCAGCTCGCGGATAGCGGTGCGCTCGGCGTTTGTGCGCAGGAAGAGGTGGAAGAAAGTGATTATCATGCCTGAGGAGAAGAGGGAGACTTCTGCGATGTGGGAGCTGCGGAGGGCGGTGGCGAAGTCGCGGCGGAGGGATTGGATTTCTACGGGGATGAGGAGCGTCTTTGCGTTTGGTTAGTAGGGGTTGGGGGTTGGTGTTGGGTGGGGGGGATGGATGGAAAGGGGGACGTACGTAGATCAGCGCGGTGATGAGGAGGAAGTATGCCATGCGGGATGCGGCGATGCGCTCGTTGGGGTCGACGTTCTTGGTTCGCAGGAGTTGGATGCTGATTAGTGCTGCGAGGAGGAGGAGCGAGGCCACGAGGATGCATACGATGACCAGTGTGAGGAGGTCGTAGCGCATGGGGAACCAGATTAGGCTGCCGAAACAGCGTCGTGACATTGGCCAGACGATTGTCGGTATCCAGGTCAGCAGGAGCAGGAAGGATACTGTGCCGATGCATATCAGTGTGTTCCATTTGCCGCGTGGAGCAAAGCTTTCCGAGCGGACTGCCCGGATTGCTGTTTCGACGCCAAAGACTAGGGTGATGTATCCGACGAGGAAGAGAGCTAGAACTGTCAGTTTTTGCATGGTTTGGCTTGGTTGAGTGCACATACCGGGGTAGGTGATCATTGTCAGCCCTCGACACTTGTCGGAGAAGATCGTTTGAAGAGTCGTGCTTTGTACTGTCAATGTTCAGTAAAGACCCGCACCTCATTTTGACGGGAAAGCCTACCTGATACGAAGAAGATCTGTTGGAGTGCCGCGCCGCAAACGATTGCTAATGGGAAGATTTCGGCGGGGTGGACGTTCCGGAGAGACTTGAATCTTCTTGACGATGTTAGATGAAGTCCTCGCACCAAGTTTTGTCGACTTACTGCCTCCTGAGTGAAACTTGCAAAGCAGCTACTCTCCTCGCATCTGACAGGATCCGATGAATCGTCAACAGCGCCAAAGCCAGACTGAAAGCTCCCAATGTCAGATGCATTGTGCGTATAGCCTGAACCTTCTCCAACTGTAAGCTAGCAATCGTGGCTCTTGTCGTGTTCGACTCCATCCACGGAGTCTGGTGAATAGTCGACATATTGAGGGTGAGATTGAGATGCGAGCGCACGTCGAGTGTTGGAAAACGAGCGACCCAAGCGTCTGCCATCTTGTTTGCCCCTACACTAAAATAAACAAGAAGGAAAGTATCGCTGGTAACCAGCAGCGGCTGAAAGGAACGATGATGGCTATATATTCATGGAAATTAGACTAAATGAGGGGGAAAAAAGAGAACCTGCTCAGTAGTGATTACACAAGTGGCTGAGCCTGCCAGCAGAACGAAGGAAAGGGAGAAAAAGCAGACATCAAGCCCGACGACCTGCAGGTGTGGGTATGAGACATCAAACAGTATTTGAGAGAGAACCAAGGGGCTGTACTAGTGGCGGAGGGTTTCGAGATGGCGCTTTTTGACGCATCTGTCAGTTCATTCGCTCACTGGCCGGACAGGATAGCTTGATGTTGGAAGTTGACTCTTCACATGTTGGGGCGGAGGTGAGGTTTCAACACCATGTAAGTCGCGAATGTTCTGGGCAGTCGGAGCTGCGGATAGATGCAGGCATGCATGTCCGTATGGTCATCGGATCGGGCTTTACCAGAGGCTACAATTACCAATTTAGAACTACTCAAACAGGCATTAGTACTTACCGTTGTACTTTTGCTAAATGTTATTGCGATTTCAATCACGCTCAACACTGTCAGCAACGTAAGTATACCTTTTGTCAAAACTGAGCGCTTGTCTAGTCACCACAGTTTCACTCCCGTCATGCGGCTCACACTGTCCTTCAATCTGCCAATTCGATACCTGCAGGCGCTTCAGTAAGCTCGTGATGCACTTGATGGTCGTGAAAAGGTTGAGAGGTTAGACTAAGGTTCTGATGCTTGCTGGGTTTTAGACATCGCCGCAGACCTTCGCTTCAGCCACATCTGAGACATTGGGAACGCCGAATCCCTGTTCCCCCACCGATCATTACAAATAACCCCAAAGCAGTTTTCGCGCCGTGGAGTAATGAGAGAGCCAATGAAACCGGCATAGGAGATATTGGCGCTTTGAGTAGAACGTCGATTCAAACTGTTGACATCATATCGTTCAAGTTGTCTTCGCATACTCCTCAATGTACGAAACAAGCAGCTTCGTTCCGTCAAGTGAGACCGCGTTATCTATGACACACGGCAAGTTAGCATTCTCTACGACGACAAGACCAAGCCATTGCAACATGTGGTAGGGGGGTTTGTGGAGGTACTCACAGTTGCTGGCACGTATGCCGCCCACGCTACGATGACCCTTGAGGCCTACCAGGCCCTTCTTCTCCGCACCTGCAAGGAAAGCCTTCTCTTTTTCTGCGTCTCCACCATGGACCCTGAAGCAGATGTTCATTCTGCTGCGCACCGACTTGTCTGGAACAACCCGATATACGTCCGAGTGCTTCTCGAGTGCCTCATAGATCAGGCGAGCCTTCTCGTCGGAGATTTCTTCTTGACCGCCGATGCGCTTGGTGCCGTACAAATCTACGAGCCCGTTCATAACTTGTCCAGCTACCCAGACGTCGAAGATGGGCAATGTGTTGTATAGTGAGTTGTTCTTTGCGATGGTAGGGTAATCCAGCACTATAGGACCGACAGACAAGCCAAGCTCTCTCAGCAGGTCAGGTGAAGCAGGAGTCGAATGTGGCGGTAGCAAAGATTTGCGCATAATCACAATCGCAATACCAGTGTTTCCAATGTTCTTTTGTGCACCGCCGAATATGACGGCATACTTCCGAACATCCACTTTTCGAGAGATGAAATTGGATGACATGTCGGCGCACACTAATGGCGCATCATCGCCCTCGAGGCTGTGTGGGAAGGACGGGAACTCGATGCCATCGACGGTTTCGTTGTCGCAGAAGTACACAAAGGCTGGCCCACCAGCCGACGACCGAGGTGTGAGGCTCCATTGGTCCTCTGAGGGAATGACGCCGAATTTTCCGTCATTGGCTTTGCGCGCGTCTACTGCCACATTGATGTGTTTGGCGCCTATGAGACGTGCAGCCTCCTGCGATGCCTTCAGCGACCAAGAACCCGTGACGAGGTAGTCGAGCTTGAGTTCCTCATCCACCACCTTGCGAAGCCTCTTGAGCACCTCTTCCTTGTTGTCGCCGACCTCTTCAGCGATCTTGGCGCGCTTCTTCTCCACCCATATCGAGACGAGGTTGTATACGGTCGCACTGAACTCGCCGGTACCGCCACTCTGGAGGAAGAGGATCTCGTAGTCGTCCGGGATATCGAGAAGCGTGGTAAGCGCCTGCTTCGTGTCGGCGAGAATCGCGTTGGCTTCGGGCGAGCGATGGGAGATTTCGCAAAGACCAAGGCCTTTGTCTTGGTAGTTCAAGAGGGCCTGCGATGCTCTCTCGAGAACCGCGGTGGGGAGTGGCGCAGGGCCAGCACCGAAGTAGTTGATGTCCGAACGGTTCACCATTGTGAGGTCTGGAGTGGTCTGTAGTTCGGTAGAGTGACGTGAAGTAAGTAGTGGAGGCTACAAGAGAGAGTATGAGGGGTGACTGATGGAAATTTCTATAGCCGTCGCGTCATACGAGTGAGTCCAACGTCCCTCGTCACCGAACGCGTCCGATCTCGGGAAGCCTGCACCCACGCATCCGTAGCAGATGGGGTTGTCGCAGAAACAATGCATCCAAGAGCGTACCATGTTCATCTTTTCCCCGCCTCTCGGTCAATCGAAATACCAGGAACCGGGGTGCTGCGAAATCATGCAGCAACTTGACAACTACAACTAAGTTTAGTGTAGGGTTCCTGTGCCTGAATTCCTAGCAGTATACGCCTTGCGTGCACTTTAACAAATTCTAATTGTGTAGTTTCGCAGCTTGTAGGAGCCACAAAGAATGTAGCTTACTTCCCGTTTTTACAGTTGACCGAGAGCCCGCGTCTTCACGCGATTGCATTACCTAGGCGAAGTCGTGTTTCCGTCTGACCCAATCGCAGCCGCGGAAATGCGGATGACTTGACCGAAGTCGGCGGGGACAAATTCTTCTTGGCAAAGTCTAAAATTCTGGGGAACACGCGCATCCATCAGCAGTGAGTACCACCAAGTGTCTATCATACATAATGGCCATGTCATTACGGGCAGCGCGGCTGGTTGGTCGCAGACAATTTGCTGTACGTGTTTGTGTCTCGTTATTGGTTGTAATGAGTTGAATTCTAATGCAACCACAGCTTCGATCGAGCCTTCCACTTCGGGCTGCTACGCAACTGCCTCGTCTAAGCTTCACTCCTCGTACCCTCTCTACAACTGCACGACGACAGGACGCCCCGGATGTCTTCCAATCTCTCAAGGACGGGCCTGCGGCTGGCTTCCTATCGACCTTCCAGGAAACACCCAAGACTCCCCAGACACTCACTGAGAAAATTGTGCAGCGGTATGCCGTTGGCATCGCCGAAGGCAAGGTGCTCCGGTCGGGCGACTATGTCACTCTACAGCCTCACAAGTGTATGACGCACGACAACACATGGCCAGTGGCCCTCAAGTTCATGTCGATTGGAGCCACCAAGATCAGCGACCCCAACCAGATTGTTATGACACTCGACCACGATGTGCAGAACAAGACTGAGAAGAATCTGAAGAAGTACAGCCAGATCAAAGAGTTCGCCCAAAAGCAGGATGTCGTCTTCTACCCTGCAGGAAGAGGTATCGGGCATCAGATTATGGTTGAAGAGGGTTATGCTTGGCCAGGAACCTTGGCCGTCGCTTCTGACAGCCATTCGAACATGTACGGCGGTATCGGATGCTTGGGCACGCCTGTAGTGCGAACAGATGCCGCGAGCATTTGGGCAACGGGCAAGACCTGGTGGCAGATTCCGCCTGTCGCAAAAGTCACTCTGGCTGGCAGCATGCCGCAGGGTGTGACAGGAAAAGATGTCATTGTGGCACTGGCTGGTCTGTTCAATAAGGACGAGGTTCTCAACCACGCCATTGAATTCACTGGATCCGACGCGACTCTGGCTACCATTCCCGTGGATGATCGCCTCACGATTGCAAACATGACTACCGAATGGGGTGCGCTTACTGGACTTTTCCCCATCGATTCTATTCTGCACAGTTGGTTGCGCGCAAGGGCTACTCTTGCAGCGATGGGCGAAGGCGATGTCAAGGATCACCACCACAAGCAGTTTGTGCACGAGCGCATTGACAAGCTATTCACTGCTACCGGTATCGTTGGAAAACAGACAGGCCACATCTTCAAGCCTGCATTGGCTGCTGACAAGGGCGCCGTCTATGCCAAGGAACTCTTCCTCGACCTGTCGACACTATCACCGTACGTCTCTGGACCAAATTCTGTCAAAGTCGCTACTCCCTTGGTCGAACTCCAAAGCCAGAACATTCCAATCAACAAAGCATACCTGGTATCTTGTACAAACTCCCGGGCTTCTGATCTCGCAGCAGCTGCAAAGGTCTTCAAAGAAGCAGCAGCCGCCAACGACGGCAAGGCCCCCAAGATCCCCGACAACGTCAGCTTCTATATCGCTGCAGCTTCCATTCCGGAGCAAAAGGCCGCAGAAGAGTCCGGTGACTGGCAGACCCTATTGGACGCTGGTGCGCAACCCCTGCCTTCTGGATGTGGACCTTGCATTGGCCTCGGTACAGGTCTTCTCGAGCCTGGTGAGGTTGGTATCAGTGCCAGCAACCGCAACTTCAAGGGTCGCATGGGTTCTCCTGACGCGAAGGCATACCTCGCTAGCCCGGAAGTCGTTGCAGCAAGTGCTCTGTCGGGCAAAATCTCTGGTCCCGGGTGGTACGAGATGCCTGAAGGCTACGAGGGCGTCCGCCGAGGCGAGGGCGATGGTGTTCGTGAGGAGGATCGCATGATGACCATCGAAGATATGCTTGAGAAGGCGATCAACGACGCTGAGGCAGCCATTGGTAGTTTCGACTCTGCTCCTGCTGAGACGCAATCCGTGACGGCTCCAGGCTCGGAAGCTGAGACCCTGACTGAGATTCTTCCGGGGTTTCCGGAGAAGATCAGCGGTGAAATCGTCTTCTGCGATGCTGACAACATCAACACCGACGGTATTTACCCCGGCAAATACACTTACCAAGACGACGTCACCCGGGAGAAAATGTCCGAGGTGTGCATGGAGAACTATGATCCCAGCTTTGGTCAGAAGGCGAAGTCAGGCGACATCCTCGTGTCAGGCTTCAACTTCGGGTGTGGTAGCAGTCGTGAGCAAGCCGCTACTGCAATCCTCGCCAAGGGCATCCCGCTCGTTGTTGCTGGCAGCTTCGGCAACATCTTCAGCAGGAACAGTATCAACAACGCACTCATGGGAGTTGAGGTCCCCAAGCTAGCCAACCGCCTCCGCGAAGTCTTCTCGTCTACAGAAACACCCTCGTCCCAACAAGCGATCAAAGAGCCTTCAAACAACCGCGAATCGCTCGACTCGCCACCCCCGGCAGCCACTGCTCAGCCCGCTCAAGCCAAGCAATTGACACGCCGAACAGGCTGGACTCTGGAGTGGGATGTACGCAGGAGCACCGTCTCTGTCCAGGAAGGCCCCAGCGGCTCCAAGTGGAACGTCAAAGTGGGTGAGCTCCCTCCCAATGTCCAGGAGATTATTGCTCTCGGTGGTTTGGAGAACTGGGTCAGGAAGGAGATTGGTGGCACCGCATGAGGATGCTCTTCAGAGCAATGACGCGTTGTACGATCTGTGTATACCCTTTTAAAAGTATCGGCATGGGCGGCGTTTGGTTTGGCTGTTGCATACAGTATCTCACGTAGGACTCTTATACTTCCATGTTCTATTTTAGAGTCGCGTGCCTTAGACTCGAGATTGTAGATGTCCTAGATGAGTTTTGTAGCAATGCAAAAGTATACTATATTCATCTTACTTCCATGTATGGATTTATCTGGAGATCATGTACAAAAGCAACCTCGTTTATTACACCAGGATTCCTGACGCCATACTCAAACGCCGTCGTTGAAATCATAATTCTTGTCCCAGCGCTTGTCCCAGGGTTTGCTCGAATCGACAAAGCGCAAATCGGTGCCCAGACGAATAATCGAATCGAGGTTGATGGTCGAGGCATGAATCTGCATGAGCTGTTATTACTACGCGTATGCATCATGTTCGATCATACGTACTGTGAAGGGAGTATGCAGCACCACATCACCAGCCTCATACTCCGTGACTAACCATCGCTGTTTGTGTATATCGGAGTATTCTCTTGGACCGTCGGCCAAAAGGCCGTTTGACTGCATGTTCTGGTTGAAAGCGTTCCTTGTCTCTGCCTCGCTGAGACCACTCTCGCGTGCCTTCTGTGTGAATTCCGCCTCGATTTTTCGACCGAGGGTATGACATGAACGTTGTGTCAGTAGTATCCAGTTGTCTGGAGAAACTTTGTCTTACCATTTTCCAAGTAGATCAATCCTCCACCGGTGAGACTGATATCTCCCATTGGTACCCACGCTGTGTAACTTGTCGGCTCGCCGTATCGTAAGAAGATCTGGTCGTAATGAACGCCGATCGCTTTATTGCCTGGCGTGTTGTTACGCAACAGGGACCTCTTGATAGCTAACGTATGCTCGTCCCAACCTGAAATCTTCGCGATGAAGTCTTTCAGCACTGGATGCTTCGCAAACTTCTCCTTGTACCAGTCTGCATAATGCGCCTTGAGGGCCAGATCGACAAACATCTCGGCTGTGGATGGTCCTGGTCTTCCGTTGGATCCCGCTGCGCCAGCTCCAAAGCCCGGAAAGTCAGCAGCGTCTTTTTCCGGGTCAAAGATACCCTCGACAGGTTGGGTCCCTGGCTTCAGCACTCCGGTTGGAGCGAGCATTGCGAAGTACTGTTCACGTGCTTTGAGGACGTCTTCCCTGGGTAGCAGACCTTTGAGGAATACATATCCATCTTCGTTGTATCGACGTCTCAGCTCCTCAATGGGCATTTCGGGAGATGACTCTTTGAGCTGCCCAACCTGATCAGGTCGCAGAAGACCATCGTTTACATAGAGCTTCTGACCATTGAAGCTCGGTACATCTTCATCAAAATTTGACGTGTCTCGCTCTGGTGACTGTGCGTGAGGCATGGTGTGTGACAAGGCTACTGATGGATGAATTTATCAACTTATACAAACTACCTAGAACAGAGACAGAGGGAAAGCGGAGCGGCAGGCGGGTGACTAGCCAAATATTCGCCTGTTTTGCCAAGGATCTAGATCTGCATTGCGTCCCGTAGATGGAACAGAGACCCGAATCCGAGCACTTTCGCCCTGCGGAATCGCGAGGTGTTGCCTCTTGACAGCCGATCGGCGGTATATTCTGTGGGGTAGTTTTGCGGGGCTCTAACGCTACCACTCATAATCGCGTATTGTATCATTGGCCGAGCGTCTTTCATCAGCGGAAACTTTTCCACATTGGGATGAACGACGAACCCTCCGTAAACTTATCTGCACGTCGCAAAGCTCAGCCTTCTTCCGCGTTCGCGAGTGATCCAATCCGACGACCTTCATCCGCGACCTCACGGCTGTCCTGAGCACGACTTCAATGCCATGGTGAGACGCCCCCAGCGTTATACGATTGAGGCTGAACACACCTAACATACGCGACTAGCAATCGCTGCCGAACGCGTCATTATAGATGTAAGAGTCGAGTCTTGCCGACATAAAATTATGCAAAGCTAACAACACGCGACAGGTGATGGGAACCACCCTAGTTGTTCTCGATGTGAACAGGCCAACAAGGAATGTGTCTACGACACTGGCAGGCGTTTCCGACGGTCGTCATTTCAAGAAACTTTTAGCGAGAGCCAGCCATGGGTCTCGCTGCCGCCCCGAAGTGTGCTCTCCTGTACCGTTTGGTTGCGCAAGTGGTGTTACTGACCTTTTCAAACAGTACAATTCTTGGACGAGTCTAGCGATATTCGATCACAGTACGCGGATGATAGCTTCAATGCGTTTAGTAGTCCTGTTGCAGGACTTGACTTCTCTTCTTCAAGTCCGAGCACACCAATGATCGGGACAGAACAGACTAACACTCACTCGTCTGTTATAATGACTCCTACGGAAGGACTTACAGTACTATCACTGCTCAACTCGGAGTCGCCTATCCAAGTGCAGCTCCCCACTCCTACCCTGGCGCATCCTAATTCAGTCGAAGCTACTCCATCGCAGCATGATTCCAGTATGTTTCTGTACCAACAGCCACCTGACGCACCTATCCTTTGGCCGCTTGAGCACGAGCAAGAAGCAATGTTACTGCAGCACTACATCGAGAACGTTGCACTATTTGTGAGTAAGAGTCATTGGGGAAATATACGTTAATTGATTGAATTCAGTTTGACATGATGGATAATGAATGCCACTTCGGCGTTCATGTTGTGCAACGAGCAAAAACCAACTCTACATTGATGAACGCTATATTGGCTTTAGCTGCGCGCCAGCTCAGTCGTACCATGGACTTTGACCCATATATCGCTGATGCGTACTACCAGCGCTGTTTCGACACACTGATTCCAGCACTCAATGACAGCGTGGCTATCAAAGAGGAGTCGCTGCTTGCAGCAACGATCATCCTACGACTGCTCGAGGAAATGAATATCTCAGTCACTGGTTCGGATCCTCAAGGTCACCTCTTTGGCACTCAGGCCATAATTCGCGCAGCTGAACAGTCATACGCTGCGACAAGCGGGCCTAGTTTTCGACAAGCCATTTACTGGGCTGCTTTTCGTCAGGAGCTATGGATTTCTCTTATGACACAGCGCGCATTCCAGCTGCACATTTTCCCTGCTGACCGCTCACTTGAGCCTGCTAACGACACCGTCTGGGCTACACGGACAATTGCTCATTTAGGAGACGTGTCAAACTTTGCTTTTGGAGAGGAACGGCATAGCATTGCACGATATAGCCAGCTTATGGACGAAAACAAGGCTTGGAGGATGCGAAGACCTGATAGTTTTGACCCGTTCTTCTATCGTCAAGATCGCGATGGTAGCGGAAGGAATTTTCCAGACATTCGATTCCACGAAAAGTCGCATGGTAAGACTTGATTAGTTCATGGCAAAGAATGACACTAAGAGAAGCACAGTGATGGGAACGCAGTACAATACACTAGCTCATATGCTGTTAGTTGTCCATGATCCGACAATCCCACAGCTCGGTCCGGCGCATAAACAATCCCGCGCAGTTGTTGACGTAAGTATATACCTGAGCGCGCGAATCACTGACTCACATTATACAGAGGATGGTTCAAGAGGATGTACGTACACTTTGCGGTGTTGCGCAATCAAATCCTAGAGTGTTTCCATGTAAATTCGTTGCGTGCTATGCCATCGCATTGGGTAAGTCCTTCTTTTTTCCGCGTTAGATCTGTCGCTTTATAAACACGCAGTTGTTGATGGTTACAGTTGGCGACCGCTTCACTACAAGACAAGACCAAGAGCAGCTCCGCGAGCTCTGGTATGCCTGCGAAAGATCACACGGATTTCCTCCCACGTCCACTATCAATCAACTCGAAGACTCATGGGGTTGGCATGATCAATGAGTTGAGCAAGGCAACAACTGATTCAAAAATTCTTATAATTCTTCTTGTGTATTTCTAGGGACAGCTATCTATATTTCGGGTAGAAATGGTAAGGGTATCTAGGGTCCATCCGTGGGCTGGGGCGCATTCCTGCAGGATATTCTGGTCTCATACGTCTATCTCCATTGTCATCATCGTTTTCTTCCCAAGAGTGGCCTGGAGGCTGTGGGAACTCATTTGGAGAGAATGTGTGTGGCTGTGAAAAAGGATGACGAGATGTGTGAGGATGTCCGAATGGACGATAAGGTTGTTGAAGAGGATATCCATACAGAGATTGCGGGACTCGCTGGTCGCGCATTTGTTCCAGATATCGATTGCCCATGTCGCCTGTCTGTGGAACTACCGAATCCGAAAAAGCCTGCTCTCCAAGGCCTGGTCGATGCACAGGGTATCCCGATCCTGAGGACGGCGCTAATTGCGGGTTGGTTGAGCGTACCGTGCTTTTGAATTGCTCATAGCCTTGTTCTAACCGCTTCAACGCCACTTCCACCTGAGGTCGCTGCTCCATGTCCTCGACCAAGCAAAACTTGAGCACCTCATTCAGCTCTCGTGAGTACCGATGGCCTGCTGGCTGCTCTTTGCTCCACGGATACCCATCGGGAGCGCGTTCACTTCGCGGACGTTGTATGAGCGTACAAAGACAAACTATACACAACGCGAGCTGCCACAGATCGCTCCGCCCCGTAAACCTACCTGGGAACTCCGGCGGATCAAAACCTCGCGTTCCAGCAGACGCAGTCCACACTTCTTCGCCTCTCTTGAAAGCATCGTAGTTCCAGCTTTTGGAAGAGGCCAGACCAAAATCCGCGAGCTTCGCGATGATTGTGCCCTCATCCGCGGAATCGCGTGTAAGTAGGATGTTCGCGGGCTTGATATCGCGGTGCCACACGCGCTCCCACTTGCTCCTCGCGCTTGGATTTTCTGGATACGGACCATACTGGCAATAGTACAGTGCTTTCATGATATGTAGGAACCATTGCCACACTTGGTCCTCGGCGACGTAGTTCACACCCTTTGTTGCCTTAATATAGTAGTCCAGACTTCCCTGATCGCAGTACTCAAGGTATAGACTTGCTTTGTTTCGCCTGCTATCAAGGAAATAATCGTGAAGTGTTACAATGTACTTGTGTTCGCTGACCAGTAATAACAGGGCTATCTCCTTCTTGGCTACGCCCATATTGATGTGCTCCGCTTGGAACCGTTTTTCGATATAGATTTTGCGGTTAGAGTCGTCAGCACGGCGCACCTTTACAATCCCGCCGTTGAGGCCGCCGTTCATACTGCCGAGGTTCTCGACTTCTATCCACTCGCGTTCAGACTTGGTTTGGAAAGCGCCCTCAAACTCCATATTGTCGTTCGTATCGCTATTATTGCTAGGTTTTGAGAGGTTTTTGTAATGGGGATATCGCAATTGCGAGAGTGGTAGGCAAAGTGTACTTTTGATGATCGTATTCATGTAGTGATTCAACATGGACAACATTCACAACGACATCCACGGTGACGTTAAACATGTCCACTTTCTTTCATTTTGGCTACATTTGTAACCTTTTCAGTGAATTGTTGCAGCTCTTGAAGTTCTGACTTGACTCGTGAGTGTGTGTTTTTATCCAAATACTAGACGAGTGAGTAATGCTTTTGCCACTGGAACAGATGAGACAACTCTAGCTAGCTATCACCACTAAAGTTTGGGGTTTGCTTCCAGTCTCCGGCTGCGAAGGTGAATGTGCATATCCTCGCCATGCGATTTTCAACATCACGATAGAATTGAATAGCTCTCGATCTCAGCGTGGTCGTAAGTTTAATCCAAGGTTACAAAGAGTTAGTATGAAGAAAAGCAAGTCGTTACCATGGGAGGGCGACTGGAATGTTTGCTTTTCGAATGCGTTGTGCCCTCGGTATGGCCTTGTAGATGTGCTGGCGTGAAATCACGTACTAAGGGTTTTCACGCATATCACGTCTAGAGTTTACTCTTGCCGGCTTCAATTCATCGATCGCAAACACACATTCACTGGTTGAAAAGCCCGGAGGTCATGTCTTGCATTGCGCTACAGTTGTCAGCCTCAACTCACTAACCCTGCATGCGTATCAGTGCGGCTGAACGGGATCGCCGACGATCAGTCCAGACTTTGCTATCTAGAAATTGCGTCTTTCTCAACGCGATAAGAAACAGCGGGACTCTAGACCGTTTGAATGAAAGTTGCAATTTCCCCTTTCTACATTGTCGCAAGCGTGGAGCGCCACGCATGCGGAGAGCCCGCTGGAGAGTTGGTGCTGGTGTTAGTGTCTGCTCTGGCGGCTGATAGGGTGCCACAAGCGCGAGGCGTGCATAAGGCTGGCGCAAACATTCAAACATCGTGAGACTTGCATGGGGGCATTCAGCTCTGCAAGAGCAAGCCTTTGTTTACCAGATGTTGCGAAAGAGCGGTGCACCAGAACAGGCCTATCCGGCATTTTTTCAAACCCCGGCTGTGAAAGCAGATGCCACAAGCCGCATGCCAAATGCAGGCTGGTATCTCGTCAAGACGAGACCTGGTCAGGCTATCGACCTGCGGATGCTGTGTTCTTTGTTGTGTTTTAGTAGGGCTGAGAGGCTCAACGCGGGTGCCAAACGCGAGCGAGATCGAAATCTCCACTATACTCAAGAGCCCAGTCTTTTCCAGTTAGCACAAGGTATATAACGGCTGTATCGTGTCTAGACTCTTTCTCCTCTACCAATGATGTTAAAGTAGTCAAAACCCCCACAGTACGCTCAGCCAGCCTCCTGTTAGCCCGTACACCTGTTGCAGCCCGTATAATCTAGATCTCGCCTGTTTTGCGTGCCTCAGGGTCTATTGACCACAAGCTATGCCTATCCTATGTTCTGTACAAGTCTGCTGAACAAGCCTGATATGGTTGTTTCGGTACTGTCTGTGCAAGGTATTGCCATGTGAAAAGGTTGAGATTAGATGGTGGCTTGAGAGTACGGTAACAGCCAACCAACACATGAGTCGTACGGTACTGCAGTTTTGTATTTAGCCATTCCAGTCCCGTCGTCAAAAGGGTGTCTCTTCGCGGCTCTGCGGTACATTACTAGGCATTTGTCCTTCTCTCAAAACATCTCTCGATCGCTTTTTCCTCAATCTAACTCTACAAATTCGAGGACGACACTGCAACTCGCACCACTGCCGGACGCCTCACATTATCAAGATTTATTTCGACATGGAGCTTTTTAGCTTCGAAAAATGGGGTGTGTCCGCAAGTGGCTTCGACTCCTCCAGGTCATTCGTCCGCTCGCATTTCATCTCGCCGCTCCTTCTCGCCATAATCCGTGCTGTCCTGTCGATATACTGTTTCACCACGATCATCATCGGCTATAGTTGGCTCGCCAGTAACATCGCCACTCAGAAGCTGAAGGACGTTAACATCGGCTCATACACTATCCACCAAAACGAAACATCCATCGCACAGACCTTCAGTTTCTTCACGTTCCTCACATTTTGGTCGCTGGGCTTTTACTTCATGATCTCCAGTATACATACCTTCATGTACACCTTCAGGCAACGAACTTGGCTGCATAGTTGGCCGCGAGTATTACAGCTGCTGCACAGCATGTTCTTCTCGACCATGACAACGTATCCCTTTCTCGTCACAATTGTGTTCTGGGGCACGATGAATAGTGGATGGCCCGCGGGCCGCTTTGAGCAGTGGCTCAATATCTCTGTTCACGGTCTCAATTCTGTGTTCGCGATTACTGAGATTGTACTTTCTGCTACTCAACCGTTGCCATGGAACCACCTCAGCGTCATTCTTCTAGGACTATCTGCGTATCTTGGTCTGGCGTATTTGACGAGGGATACACAGGGGTTCTACGTGTACGAGTGGATGAACCCGGCGCATGGAAATGTCAGCATTATCCTACACATCTTGGGATACGCGGCGGGTGTGCTCACAATCTTTGTCTTGGTGCGCTACACTATTGTTGCACGGAATGTAATTGCGCTGAAGATGAGGGATGGGAGGAAAGATTCTCTGGAAAAAGATCTCGGACAGGAAAGCGATTCGGATGCTTGGTCGGCTGAGGTGGTGGTGGTCAGGCCGAAGGAGGTGCATAAGCATGCTGATTCACCTGTTTGATCGAGTTTATGTGGTATGCGAATTTACGTAGTCTTGGCTTATAACGAATTTCTTTCCTGTTCAATATCAGCATTTTTATACCATTGATTGTGTTGTCCCACGAAACACCTATATGATGACATGTGACTTAGCCTAGCTTTGCATATTTAGCATAAGATTTTCCTACATGTTGGCACTCGACCTTGCTCCTGCTTTGTGGGCCTCCTGACAGGCAGAGTATACTGGTCAAGGTGTGCCGACAGCTCTTTGTCAGTCTTGCAAAGCTTATTGTAAGCGCGCAACGTACTCGTATCATCTTCGGGTAGTCTACTAATGTGACGATGTGTCACGTTGTGAGCACCCTCCAGGAGTATTTCAAGTTCTGTGATGAACTAGATATCGTTCAAGACTTTTCACAGAAAAGGTTAGTCTTGATGACTACCCAATACGAAGTATTAAATAGCCCCCTAAGTTTTCAAGAAGAAGGATTCTGGCCGTGGCACTTTAGACATTGATAGTAATACGGTTTAGATGGAAACCCACTATTGACAAGAAACATGTTGTATATGTCGAGAGAATGATAACTATCACTAAGCGTTTGTAAAGAGATAAGAAGCTTGTGTTCTGAAACAAAGTTACAGGAAACAGTAGGCAAGGTTTGAGATCAACGATAGTGTCGAGAACTCGGTATAATGAGTTGTTATCATTCCCTTAGCGGCACGGACTGAATACTTTATAACAAAGAGAGAAAAGCGAATATATTAGAGGTCACTCAGCGTCAACCTTGATGCTGAGGGAAGGTTTGGTGCATGACGGGCGGTCAGGGATGGAGAGTGGTTTTCTCTCGGGGTAACAAGCCGCAAGCGAATTGTACCGAAGAAGCTTACGGGAAACAGGCCTTCTAAATATCTGAAAGATTCTGCGGCTGTGGCAAAGAGGTCGAGCCAGGGTGTGGTGAAGTTGAAAGGATGTCTCAAGGCGTCCAGGACAGGGGCCCTAACCTCGGTTACCTACACATCGCCCCGCTCTTTTCCTAAATTAGAACGGGGCTATGTCGTCTTGGAATGGAGGCCTCGCCGGGTTACAACGTCGATCCAGCATCTCAGAATACCTATGCTGCCAAACGCAGCTTGAACTCCACCGCTTGCCTTTTAAATTCAAGCCTCTATATGCAGGGCATCAGCAGTGGCGAACCTTCATACATGCAGGCTATAATACGGTTACTGCTGGAGCTATGTTTACATGACCGGGTCTGCAGCCGTTTCTCGTCTACCCTTGTGAGAGTGATGTCCAAAATGACTTCCTCTCAGCCTCGACCCTGTTGGTGGTGTTGTCACTGAGGTTTCTATGAGCTCTCCTGTAAGGACTCCCCTTTCACGTAGCTGGCCTTGAGGTCGTCTATCGAGCGACATTTGTTCATGTCACCGCCACTCCTCTCAGATGACTATTTTTTCGGGTTGACCTAAGCACACTACGTTCCTAGCACACCAGCCAGTCTTGGATACGCCCTGCTCCGCTAACATCCATGACCCCAAGGCGAAATATAGCACAGCCAGACTGGAAATCACCTCTATGCAGTTTCGCGAACCACACAGCTCATCTCCACACGACGCACCTCTGCTGTTAAACCTGCCTGATTTGATCGACCGTGCGCGGTCGTGAGATCGTTCCCGCATACGACCCCAGTATCTTCTAGGGGGCTGCCAGATAGCTATCAACCATAAGTTCGAGTGTCTGTTATCAAGTTCGCAATCGTTGGTCGCACCAATCTTTTGGTTTTTGTCCAATTCAGTTCATGTCGACGACCGAGACGAGTCAGATACCATGACGCATAATCCAACTAGACCCCGGAGTCTAAGACAAGATGATGCTGAATTATGGTTCAGCACGCCTACATCCGGAGTGCAGCAACAAGACCAAGTTCGTGTACATGAATCTTCGGCATACCGCACAACATCCAATCAGCTGAGCGCAAGCTCAACTGGCTCATGTTCGTCACTACGACACTCACTGCCGTCAACATTCACGCCATACAACATCGACAAACCATTGCCGCCACCTCCATCAGAATCCGAGAAGAAACAGCGCACGGCGGCAACATTGCGAGGTTTTTTCCGACGGCAACTTTCACATTCGCAAGACTTGTCACACCTCAAACCTGAAGCACATCCACAACATCAACGCAACTCGTTCGCTGAAGCTACTCTGAGTGTGGACGCGTATGACCATCACCACCATCATGTTCGTAGCATGTCGAGTTCGCCATTCGAGCACGACCGGAGGGTAGCCCCACCAGATGCACCTCTTACTCATTCAGCTGTTGCTACTCTCCCAAATTCAGATTACTACCAACCTTATTCTTTACAGCCTGAGTACCGCCCATCGCACACTGCATCTCAACAACGCTCCATCTCAGTACATACTTATTTCGATGCGCCGCCTCGTGCTCGAACCTTCCCGGAAACCATCAACTCCAGTCCAATAACACGGGGCCGATCACGACCACACACATGGCTTTCACCCACCGATCCATTTACCGACGCGTCACAATTCCATCTCTTCGCGGAAGCGACCACCGGCATCCCGGACAATTCGGGGACGTTTTCATCAAACAGTCCGCCTCGCCTTCAAGGTTCTCTCTTCGCACGAACAAATAGTGATGTACCTACGTCTCTTCGAAGTTCGTCAGCATCAAGGACGGAACAGTCTCACGATATCACGGACTGGCAGAACTTTGAGATACCAACATTTATACCGCGCTCTACACCTGCATCAAACCCAAGCCTACATCGTCCAGAATTATTCCATTCGCAATCGACTCAACATATGAATGTGGTCAACAGAGAGCTAGAAATGCTTGGACTGGACGATGATGATACACTACCCAATGACGAGTTGCCCGATTACGCGCAGAGCCAGGCTGAACATAACGCTGGGAAGAGGATAGAAGCTTTAGCAAGAGCGAGAGAGCTCGAAGCCAGGTGGCAAGGCTCTAGAGCCGGGACAGGTTGAGAGATGCGCCCAGAGTGTCCCTTCCACACCGTAGTATCAATATCGAAGGTTGTTGCGATTTACAAGAAGCACTAGTATATAACACCCGAAGTGGGAGCCTGAGTGCGTTCATCTGTTCAACTTATCATGCTGATATCTTCAATGTAAACACATTTTTTTCGATTGTTCGTCGCGACAATACAACACGATTAGTCGAATGGATGATATTGGATTTGTGTCATACGTACATTCACTCAAGCGCTCCTCTGTCGAAGTCCAGACAATGAAGATTCTTCTCCGATCCGATGGCTTGCAGCACCAATCATTAGAATACCCCACACAACTTGTGATCCTTTCTCTTCCCTGACAGGGCAATCTCCACACAGATGCAAGCGAGCTTACTAGGTAACATAGAAGCAATCCATCTGTTATCTATGATCAGTTCCTTCCGTAACTCTGATGCCCAGATCGAGCTAAAAGCTAGACAATCCTCAACCATGCGATCCAAACAAGCAGGTGGTATACTCTTCCACAGTCTAGTGATGTACCTCGCATGTAGAGTTTCGTGTAACCAAGACGAGTACGCCTTGCAGTCAACCTTGTGTAGAGTGAAACGTTTGACTTAGTGTGTTTTGGCGTTCCTGCATGATTCGGGTTTGATAGGCCTTGGAAGTGGCGAACAGCTCCTCGGAAGGTATGTTTCAGGATTGCCACTCTGGAGTGGAGACCCGCAGACTGTTTTTAGTCACCGGTACATTCGTGAGTCCAGCATGATTTATTTGAAGATAACTACCTTGGTGGCTCAAACACGGGCATTACAAGCATTGCATTCATGACTACGTCATTTCATACGGCACGAGAATCAACACGCAGTCGCCGGTGAATTCAATTGCCAACTGCTAAGAAGATCTAGAACTTGGAAGTTTACGTTTCTTCTCTGTTTTTCTTCCTTAGTGTCCGTTCCTTTATTTCAAAAGATCGACGCGAGCGATGCCATATCCAAACTACTCAAAGGAGCCACTTGTACGATCTCACCTATAAAGAGTAATTTAGGCGACGATGTCTCCACCGCCCAGCATATACGACATATATCTCCGGCGGGCAACGGACCGTATGAATCAACCAGTCGCTGTTGGTGGTGTGGTATTGAGATTTGCAGTGAGGCTGTGTATGCATGTCGCACACCAAGCGAGCTGGAAGGAGACGAAAATAGCAACAGCGGTACAAGCTTCCGATGAAAAATGTGTGTCGTGTGGCATAGAACTACCAATTGTTCGATTATGTCGCTTGAGAGTATGGATTGTTGACTTGTGATTCGCAGTGAGTTAGGATTCTTTCCCTTTGCCTTCCAGCAACAGTGCAAAGAGCTCACGAAAAATACCCGGTTGCCAGTTCTTTTTGCCGTGTGCCGAAAATAAATTGTTTGGATATTCTCAATAGCTAGAACAAATTGGCCTTTTAGTTGACAACGGGAAACAACGCATCTCGCTACAAACAAAGGGTTTGCAACACTTGCACGTGTTGCGAATAAGAATACGCTTATAAACTCTTAACTGCTTCACTACACGACTAGGCTTATTGAAACACAAATTTGTATGTATTTGTCTTGAAAGCGTCCGACGATACTATGTGGGCTACGAGATGCTCCGGCATGTCGCACTGACTGTAGTATGACTTTTAGCTGGCCATGGCTTCATCATTGCTTGATAACCTTACTTGGTCGATCAGACTCCTGACACGGGTCAGCTCCTCGCTTGCGAGAGTTGCGGGCTTTGTTTGGAGAAGACGACCGACAGACAGCGAGCGGCTCTTGTTGAGGCGCCCCTTGTATCTTCTTTGCGCCTTTCAAACATTTGTTTACTTTGGTTACTGGTGTATATAGACTATGATCCGAACAACTTCCTCTTCTCCTAGCTACACGCAATGGGATGGGAACATTCGACTCTTGCAGCTGCTCTTTTGTTCGAAGACGCCACGTAATCTTATGCGATGTCGCTTGAGGTCGGCCATTCGCTTCTTCCTCTCGAGCGCGCTGATTCCATTCTCGTTGGAGATCTCGTATACTTTGTCGCGTATCTTTACAGTCAGTAAGTACTATCCAACGATTAAGTTTCATAGAAGCCTGGATCTTGAAGTGGCTGACAGGCAATGGAATGGCGGTCGGATCGGATTTTTCAATAATCTCCCAAGTGCTTTTGCAAAACCATTGTGCAACATAAGACATTGGCACATCACAGTACTCCTTGCCACCCGCTGCATCTGCTATTTTCGAACCAGCCCATATCTTGCGCATCAAGAGATGGGTGCCGGGCCTCGTTCTATCTTGGGGATTGATTATGCCTCCGAACATGAAGTTCTCCCATGAGTATCCCCACTCTATGTCTGGATCCTGAAGTCGACAGCATGGCTCAACCAAGTGGCCGCGTCGCATGACACCGACAGCATGCACAATCTCGTGCAAAATCGTGACTGCAAAAAGAAAATCATGTCGAAGTTGACCACAGTGTGAACTGGCTGCATATCCACCGCCGTCATTATAGAAATCGTCAAACACGTCTGCGATCTCGATCCTGACGCCGACCTTTCGCTGGAATGCATCGCAGCACTCTCGTTCAAACCTAGGAGCTACTTCACTTATCAGTGTACGAGCCCAGACTCGCTTCTCAGGCTTCTCGAATCGGATCTCTACACAGTGCGCAAGACAACGCAAAGCTTTGTGTATGCCGGTGATGTAATTGTTTCGCTTCGCATCCGACACATTGGCTGAAGGATCAGATAGGTAAGTCTTTCCCGATCGGGAATCAGTTAGCTCGTGTCCGTAGAGCAGGGGTATGAAGAATGCGAGGACCGAATCGAAGGTCAGGAACTGCGAAGCAAGCTGGAATGTTCTCTTCCGAGGTCCATCACAATCGAGGGATCGAAATATAGGATGTATAGGGTTATCAAGGTCTCCTAATGTTATGCTCTCATCCTCGAGTAGCTTGAAACGGTCGTTCTTGTTTGTTGCTGCCACTAGACTGTTGATATTGTTGAATCTGGGACTTACGTCCGAAACTGTGCGGGTCGGATGGGGACGCTTGTCTGTCATCGTAGTTGTGTGTGCACGACGTCGAGGGCCTAAGTTCGGAGAAGTGGCTGCGCTTGTATACAAATAACAGATAATTGCATTGTGAAAGACCAAAGAGAGACACAAAATAAGAAATCTGAACCAAGTAGGGCTGTGCATGACGAATGGCTGGAGGATGGCAAAGGAAGAGACTGTGAACTATACACTGTGAACCAACAAGACAAAAGCATTGTACATCAAGTTTCAGATACTTTCGTCGCCGATAGTAAATCTGATTTGACGTGACCCATATAGTGATTATATCCAGGGCTTCCAAGATCGAATCGGAAAGAGGTTATTTGTGTGGTTTTGATGTTTACGCGATGGCGGCGGCTGTTTGCGAAGCGTAGTAGGTACTGATCGTGTCTAGTACAGGGTGACGAAGGTGACTCGTTCGGAACGAAATTTCTTCAACACCAACTGCTGCGATCTACTCGCTCATGATAGTGCATAAAAGGAAAGGACGAGGATGGGATGGAAGCGCGAAGTCCCAAGGCACGGGCCATAGTCATGTGATCGCGCACTAACAAGGATTCGCGTTTGCTAGCTAGCCCCGCGATTTACGCGTCTTTCCCTTCACATTGCTCCGCACCAATCGGCTAGCCAACCATATCTTATTCATCCTTCCTTCTTTCCTCCCGCATCCACCATCTGCATCCACCACCATCTTTTTGTTGGGCTGTTGCTACTCGCTCTCAATCGCAGCATATGGTATCTTGATAACGTTGTCTGGCACGCGATTGAACTCCATTGCATCCTTTCTGGAAGGCACTGTACATGACCGCGTCTTGCCCCCAAGTTTGTGAATGATGGACTGGAACGATTTTGAAGCGAGGGCGAGCAGGGTTAAGCCTGAGCGGGAAATGAAACCGAAACGCTGCTGGCTTGGTGTACTTTTCCATGAGAAAACTCCTGGGGATGATCTCGAGGAGGTGGATTTTATATGGATGATTGGGCATAACGTAGGTTCTTACTTCGCCGGCATCGAATTGACTGGGCAAGGCCCTAGTGATACGACAATCGGGTGACTAACACCTACTCAGAAGATACCTCTTCGAAAGATTCGCGATACTTACCAGGAGAAACGCGAGGTCACAAACATTCAGTTGAAGTACAAGGGCACAGTGGTGGATTTGGATGATTGTGTCAAATCGTTCTCTACGCCCAACTACGACCCCATCTTCTTCCATGTAGATCTAGTTGAGTCCACCCCGCCGCGCACTTCTCTTGCTGTCGGTATCGAGAGTGGCCGCGAAAATGTACCCCAGTCTGATCCGAAGACTCCATCCGTCAGACCACATATCGCACCACCTGTTACGCCCGTCTCAACACTTCCAGGATACTTAACGCCATTGCCTCGAAGCACGATACGCGAGTTGAAGGCATCTCCAACAGAACGTCTTGTCCAGGTACCGCAGAAGACGCCGTCAGGATGCTCACCCACAATGCGCGTTCCACCCCAGGGTTCGTACAGTAGAGCGTCTGAAGATCCAGTGATTCAGCAAGAAGGGAGTCAATGGGTAGCTCCGTTGACAGAGAGCTCCGCCAAAACACACGAGCCCATGGTCGTTCCTGGATCACGAAACTATGTGTCACCAGACCCTGTGCCCCACGTATTCCCTCGTGATGGGCTCTCTGATGCGGGCTATGGCCCTGCAATCGGTGGACGTCGCCTCGGTGTCAAAGAAGAGAGCCAGTCACTTCCCCGAGTCCAAAGCCCGGTGGCTGGTCGTTGTTCATCCGACGTCAAGAACGAGAGGCGTTCTGCCTCCCCTTTTCAAAGCCCTACTAGGGAGTCATCACATCCATTCGATCCTGCAGGTGTGTTCAATCGTGAACTTTCTCCCGAGATGGATAGCCAAGACGGGGCCATACCGACGGATCAGAATATTCGAGAGGTTATCGCACAATCGAGTCCAGGTATCCTTGAATCTGGAGTTGCACAGTCGATGAAAGTGCTCGAAGGGTTGAAGCACACGTTCTTACAATATGGGTCCAACAAAGAAGCACAAGCATGGATACAGGCAATCGAAAAGTTGATTCCTCAAGCCGCACGAAAGCGTACTGTCGTCGGTGTTGTTGGTAATACGGGCGCTGGAAAGTCAAGTGTCATTAATGCGATGCTAGACGAAGAACGCCTGGTCCCGACAAATTGGTTCGCAAATCCCCGCTGTCTCTCCATCAAGTTTTGATCTGACTCTATCTTCAGCATGCGGGCCTGCACGGCAGTTGTCACAGAGATGTCGTGGAACGACAGCAATGATCCATCCTCCAAGTACCGTGGCGAGATTGAGTTTATCAGCCGAGCCGATTGGGAGAAAGAACTCAGTGTTTTGATGAAAGAGTTCCTGTCAGAAAATGGAACCCTTTCTAGAGAAGCCTCAAATCAAGACTCGGACGCAGGCATAGCTTGGGCGAAGTTTCATGCTGTATATCCCAAAATTGCCAGGGATGCTCTGGAGGATTGTACGATTGACAGCCTCATGTCCGAAAAGGCTGTGTTGGACGTTCTTGGGACAAACAAGAATATTCATACAGCTCAGCCAGGCCGATTCTATCAAGAACTGCAACAATACGTCGACAGTAAAGAAAAGGTCACCAAGAAGGACAAGAACAATGACAAAGAGAAGAAAAAGAAGTCATTCCAGATGGAGTATTGGCCCTTGATCAAGGTGGTGAAAATCTACATCAAGAGTCCAGCGCTTGCCACCGGTGCTGTGATCGTCGACCTACCGGGTGTGCATGACTCCAACGCAGCGAGAGCTGCTGTTGCTCAGGGCTACATGAAGCAATGTACGGGCTTATGGATCGTGGCACCGATCAATCGTGCAGTAGATGATAAGGCCGCCAAAACCCTTCTTGGAGAATCTTTCAAGCGACAACTCAAGTACGATGGAGGCTTTTCTAGTGTGACGTTCATCTGCTCCAAGACAGATGACATATCTATTACGGAGGCCATCGACAGTTTGGAGCTCAATGACGAGGTCGCCGATCTCGAAGAGGAAGAGCGCATGCATAAGAAAAGCATCAAGGATATCGAGAACAAGATAGCAGACCTAAAAGAATCGCAGGACGTCTACAAGGTTGCTGGAGCGGAAGCAGACAAAGACATCGAGGCTTGGGAAGACCTGTCAACCGAGTTGGACGACGGAAAGACAGTATTCCCGCCACTTCCTAAGAGTAACAAGCGCAAGAAGAGCGGTTCAAGCAAAAAGAGTCGAAAGAAGCGTCAGGTGAGTGATGACGAGTCAGATAACGACTTTGTTGTATCTGATGACGACACATCCGACGAAAGCGACGATGACGAAGAGGATGACGACCAAGATATCCAGGCTCCCCGAGAACCACTGACCGAATCCGACATCAAAGAGAAACTGAAGAAATTGAGAGAGACCAAAAAGAACGCTAGACGCGAGAGTTTGCAAATCAGAAAAACCATCGATGATCTCAAGCCTCAGATTCGCGAGATTCAAGAGAAGATTGTCGACCTGAAAGCCAAGATCAGTCACAAATGTATTGCTGGTCGGAATGAATACTCCAAGACTGCTATTCAGCGGGACTTCGCGGCCGGAATCAAAGAGCTTGATCAAGAGAATGCTGCTGAAGAGGACGAGGACAATTTCAACCCTGACGAGGACAAGCGTGACTACGAGGAAGTTGGTAAATCTCTCCCTGTCTTCTGCGTCAGCAGTCGAGCGTATCAGCAGATGTGCGGGCGGCTTCGGAAAGATGACAGTGTTCCGGGCTTTCTTACACCAGAAGAGACGGAGATGCCACAGCTCCAAGCTCACTGCAAGAAGCTTACTGAAGCTGGTAGGGTCCAGACTTGTCGCACGTTCCTCCTCAACTTGTGTCAACTTTTGACAACGTTCAAATTATGGGCTTCAAACGATGGCTCTGGAGCCAATATGAGCGATGACGACAAGCGCAAGCAAGTCAAATATCTGGATCGAAAATTGAAGCAGTTGGACACAGGTCTGGAAGAAGCGATTGCTGCCTGTGTCGACGAGATGCGACGGGAGATGAAACACCAAATCTTTGACAAATATCCGGAGCTGATCGAAGAAGCTATGCAAGTTGCACCAGAGACGGCAGAACGTTGGGGTGCTCACAAAGATCTTGGTGGTTTGCACTACATGTCATACAAAGCCACTGTACGACGTGATGGTGTCTATCAATCTCGCAGCGCTGGTCATCGTGATTTCAATGCCGAACTGTAAGTCATTTCCATCTATGTAGTAGTTCTCGCCCGTCGCCGAGCCGTTTGGCAAAAAGATCTCGCTAGTATACGGGACTTCAGTGCGGCTTACTTCCTTGCAATTCACAATGCTAACTTCTTACAGTATTGATCCGATTATAAAGAGGCTTGCCACAGGTTGGGAGCGTGCCTTTCAACATCGCTTGCCAAAGGCATTCGCTACTTACATTACCAACTCTGGCAAGATCTTGCACAAGTTCCACGAAGCAGTAGAGGAACGCGCGCGCCAGAATGGGGTGGGCTTAGCCAACCTATCCATTCTCAAAACGCAAATATATACCTACGAGCAACTATTCAAGGATCTGGGCACGGTGCTCATCACACAGATGACTGAGCTCCAACGTGAGGCCAACCGCGACTTTACTCCAACCATTGGGAACAGCATGCACACCGCATACCAGCTGTGTACTGATGAACGCGGCGCCGGTAGTTACAAGCGCATGAAAGAACACATGTCAACCCATGTCGAGCAGGAGAGGCATCAGATGTTCCGTAAAGCAACGACAACGGTCGAGAAGCATCTCGATCAAATGTGCAAGACGCTGGAAGGATCAATGGAGGCTCGAGCCGACGAGATCTTCATGCAAATGCATGGTGATTACATGCAAGTACTTGGTGGTGTACAACGTAGCGAGGGAACGGGCATGACGAAGGATGAAAGGGAGCTCAGGTCAGCTGTCATGGCATTACTCCGCAATGTCGATGCGCAATTCGAGCCTATCGCCAAGGGAGAGATTGAAATGCAGGACGCTACGAATGTCGATGCAGAGACCCAGGTCGAGGAGCCTACTACAGAAGATGAAAATGATGGCGTCTTTGAGGATGCCCATGAGTCCGTTCGTGACGGCGCTGAGGATGCAGTTATGGACGTCAATGACGAAACTTCCATCGCTGGATCATCGCGAACGAGGCGTCCGGGAGTGGATGTTGATCCCGACAACACAGGCGATAAGGAAAATGGCGGGCTGCTCACACCGTCCAGCGACAACGGCATGGATGATGAACTTTAGGGCCATACGTACCGGAGACCATCCACAGCTACACATCACACCTTATCATTCTCAGCTGGTATTGCTGCAGCGGTATCGATAACGCTGGGTTTACGACTTGTCTGTTAGTATTCCTTTGCTCGTTGATCTACACTGACAGCCTGTTCGATTCGACGGAAAGTGCACCTGGTTTTCTTCTGCAGCCAAATTTTCTCATTCTTTTCTTATCCTGAGGCGTACACGGGCAGCTCTCCACATTGAATATTATACCCTTGCTTTCAGGCCATCCTCCATTTAAGGGTTCGACGCGGCTTTTTCAGTGGTGGCTGGTTCGTGGTTCTCTGCGAATGGTGCTGGTACTTTCATAGGATCTTGGCGGCAGACATTGATACCCTATTGTTTCTTTCTTATCATTCAGCTATTGCTCTTCTGGCGTGAGACAGACGGCTGCCAGTCTTGAAAATACATTACTTTGGCTTGTGTGAATGTTCGCAGTGAGTGAGGAGTCGTTGCAACGGATGCATGTGCATAGTCGTAACATCAAAAACGCTGACTTCCAACCTTTAGGCACGGCCAGATGTCTCAAGTTCTCGCACAAATACATAGACAACACAACAAATATTGCGTCGAGCAACCAGCCCATGGCGCCTCTCCTCTACGCCCAACACAGACGTCGCGTGGTTTTCATACAATCCATACCCAAACCCAAACGCCATCTGTGCAATGCAATGCAATTCCCAATCACAACCAGCCTTAGTCCTCCCACTCCTCATCCAGGTTGTCAATCAACCGGTTCTCATCCTCGTTTCCCCGCCCCCTGCGCCCGCTGTCGTGACCGAGCGAAACCCGACTGTAGCCCCTCCTCGCGGGCATAAATCTTGCACAACTCGACGTGAGAATGATGAATATATCCTGTTGCTGTTAGCATCATCCCATGGAACTTCTCACTTCAGTTGGCACTCACGGAGAAGAAGCTGTAGATGCCCGCCCACATGCTGTAATTCGGCAGCTGCCTCCACCCCCGCTGATGCATGACTGTGCGCTGGTACACGCAGCCACCTGCAAAGTATACTAGCACGGCAATCATTGCGATGACACCAAAGACGCCTCCCGGGCCCAGGGCTTGGGTTGCTTGGTGCACACCCCCGCATGCGTAAGGCGAGCGGCCCTCGAATATATAGGTGCAGTCGTCAACGGAAGCGACAAACGATATGCTTGTTTTGGCGAGAGGGTCCGAGTCGCAGAGCAGGGAGATGACTGTTGTCTTGCGACGCTCATCGTGGGAGGGTTTCTTCGAGTGCTTCTTGTCGTCATCGTCGTCGTCGTCGTCATCGATGATTGCGCGGGGCAGGGTGATCGGAGAGCGGCGGGATTTGGAGGTGGAGGGGCAAAGAGAGCCGCCGGTGTAGTTCAGGACGAGCTTCCTGCCACGGAACATGGGAGAGGAGTTCTCTAGCCTATGTCACAGGAACTAATTAGCATTCCATTCTCATCCACGCATAACTAAATCCACTTCGTGATGATTTGGACTCACCCAATAGCATACTGGCGATCGCCCTTTTCATAAAATGCGCTGACATTCCTCCACAGCGCCTTGTCCAGATCCTGCACCTTGTCCAGCTCCTCCACTACGGGCCCGCAGAAGTTGATTGTGAAGTTGGCGCCGTAGTCGTAGCCCCGCGCATGCCAGCTGCCTTCGTCGGCGCCTTCCTTCTTCTTCTTTCCGTCCTCGGGGGCCACGCGCCGAATGGGGTTCAGGTCGAAGAAGCGCTCCGTCGTGGGCGAGATGACGGTACATGCTTTGAGCGCCGTGTCGGATGCTGCTGTCGCCGACGAGACGAAGAACAGCAGGGCGTAGTAGAGCGACTTCATCTTGAAGGCCGGATGGACGAGTGTGTGGGTGTTTGTTGCGTCTACGTGTACCGACAGGCATCCGTCAGCATGGGATGGGATCGCCCTTCGCAATACGTTTGCCCGGAGCGGTTGACCGCGGGCCTTGTCCACTCAAACGTCGCCAACGTCGGTGGCAGCTGCAGGAACGCGCTGCATGCGGTTAGCTCCCGCTTGGCGCCATGTGCGCATCATCGGTCGACTTTCGCGGTCCGGTGTTCTTTCTTGTCGTTCCACTTCTTCGCCAGGAGAAGGTATATAAAACGCGTTGCCAGTTCGTGTTGTTCGTGGTTCGACGCGTCTTCGGTTTTCTGTGAAGAGATTGTGAGAGTGTGGCGCGACACAAGACAACTGCCCCTTTTTCTTTATTTTTCCCGATCGAGAAATTTTGTAAACGTTTTTAGAACTGGAAGAGAGACGTTTCTGCGTTTACAATTGGGGAAAATGACATTGAAAGAGAAGCCTGGTCAGGCAAAGGCAATTGCTGAGCAGCCTCATGGCTATGAGTTCCTTGGCCCGTAAGTACCATCTCAATGTCTCGAAAACAAACACTAATCATTCCAAAGACCTGGCGCCTTTGTCATCTCGTTCGGTCTTCCGCTGCTTGTCTACGTCTTCACTTTCTTGTGTAATGACATCTCAGGATGTCCTGCGCCCTCGCTTCTCCACCCTTCGAGCCTGACTCTTGATCAATTGAAGACCGAGGTGGGCTGGACTGGCTTCTCTGGTCTGCTCAATACTCAGGCTGTTCTTGGCACGCTGGGCTACTACCTGCTCAGCCTGACTCTGCATGCCTTCCTTCCAGCTGATGAGACCGAGGGCACCGAGCTCCGGACTGGAGGCAAACTGAAGTATCGCTTCAACTGTATGTCCAATTATCACGTGTATTACCTGCCACTATCTAACAAATCGCAGCCTTCAGCTCTGCCGTCCTCATCATGGTAGGTCTCGGTGCTGGAACAGTCATGTACGGCGCTGAGTGGCCAGTTTGGACCTTCATTACTGAAAACTACGTTGGCATCCTCACCACTAACATCTTGATCTCCTACTTCTTGGCCACGTATGTCTACCTCCGCTCTTTCAGCGTCAAGCACCCCAAGGACCCAAGCGCTCGTGAGCTTGCCGCCGGTGGGCACACCGGCAACATCCTGTACGACTGGTTCATCGGCCGGGAGCTTAACCCGCGCATCACGGTCCCTATGTTTGGTGAAGTCGACATCAAAGCCTGGTGCGAGCTGCGTCCGGGCATGTTGGGCTGGATCATCCTGGATCTCGCCTTCATCATGAAACAGTACCGCAACTTTGGCCGCGTAACAGACTCGATCCTGCTCATCACCGTTGCGCAGGCAGTGTACACCTTCGACGCACTCTTCATGGAACGCGCCATCCTCACCACCATCGACATCATCGCCGACGGTTTCGGCATGATGCTCTCCTTTGGCGACCTCGTCTGGGTACCCTTCACGTACAGCATCCAAGCGCGCTACCTTTCCGTTTACCCCGTCGACCTCGGGGTGCAGGGTATCCTCGCCGTCCTTGCCGTTCAAGGCACAGGCTACTACATCTTCCGCTCCGTCAACAACGAGAAGAACCGCTTCCGCACCGACCCAACCGACCCGCGTGTCTCGCACCTGGAATTTATCGAAACCGCCGCCGGCTCAAAGCTTCTCGTCTCCGGCTGGTGGGGCCGTGCACGCCATATCAACTACCTCGGCGACTGGTTCATGAGCTGGTCATACGTCCTGCCCACCGCCCTGTCCGGATATGTTATCCAAAACGCGGTCCAACACCCCGTGACCGCGACGCAGACCGATGCATTCTTCTTCCGTAATAGCTACGGAACGTATGTTGTGCCTGGAGAGGCCAAGGGCTGGGGCATGATCTTCACGTATTTCTTCATGGTGTATTTTGCCGTTCTGCTCATTCACCGCGAGAGGAGAGACGAAGAGAAGTGCAGGAGGAAGTATGGCAAGGATTGGGACAAGTACTGCGAGTTGGTGCCGTGGAGGATTGTGCCGTACGTTTACTAGTGGAATGGGGTTTTACGGCCCGGTTTGAAAAGACAGGGGGTGCGACGCTATCAGAGCAGGTGGTTCTGGTTAAAGACGTGCATCTCAAGGCAGCTGGAGATGAAATGCTACCGCCAGACGGTTGAAGACATGCATCTTTCCATTTCTTCGTGTATTAGTATCGGGGACTTGAGTTGTATCATCAAAAAGAAGGGGCGGTAATACGGACATAGATGCGACGCTACTGCCTCAGGGCGGTTGAAGACGTGCATCGAATTAGACATAGAAAGAGTATGTACAGTAATTAATGGACTAGACACAAGCAAGGCGCGTTGAAAGTGCTTCCAGCCCAATTTCCATGGCTGAATGTTTGGTAAGGTGGTTATTGCGCACCCACTTGATTAAATTCATCTCTTGCATGGGTTTCCTAGTGTCATGTACAATTACAGGCATTTGAACAATATAACTCATCACCCAGCATCAGATGCAAAATGAACATACTGCTTCAATGCACTTTGCTATGCCTTGCCGGTTACGCACTAGACATACTGCGTAGGCCGCTGGTGATAGCTTGTTCTCCTTGGTGCGGTGACCATGTCTCGGATAGTCTTGCTTGCCACCCCACCCATGCTCGAGTATTGTCATGCTCGAAACTAATCGGTTGTGTATAACGCACTTGGGTATTCGGATAAGGGAGTCGCATAGTAATGGGACTAAATCTTCGGAACGTAATCGCCTTTACGTCTCGACTGGATGGCTCTTTGTGTTAAGATGCTATATGAAAGTGGATATATTCGTGAACGTCCGGTGTTGCTTTATGGGGTATATGGTATGTATCGTTCAGAGGGAGGGTAAAAGCAGTGTAAGAAGATCCAGCAAACTATCCGCTAATCAACAGAATTTCTTCTGGTAGAAAGACGAGAAAGTCACTTTAAAATCTGGTACCTGCCCTACTTGGTTTGGGAGACGAGGACTACATTGTGGTATGGAATGATGGCGTTGGAGTATACCTTGCTAAGGCTGTAAAAACGTGGAGAAATACAGTGATGACTTCTACGCAAATGGCGTATATGCCTTAGAGAACCACAGTCGTCGTCAATATATGATGTGGAGAAAAGGAGAAAGAATGGAAATTATGAAAATGGAAGTGGATGTCTCTTCTCCTTTCGGTAGATCGAGTGACGAGTACTTTTTGCTTGCTGAAGAGAAACCCGAATCAATTGCGTGTCTATGGAAGAAGGCAGGCTCAAAGAGGGCTAATAATAACTTGATGCGAGCCCTATAGTTATTGTAGAACGTGAGGCTGGGTCTTCAATCTTGCTCTCGTCGTGGTCGGCTACAAAGAACTTCCTGTGGCTGGCTATAGCTTGTCCCCTGTAATCACTGTTATTGCGGTGGTAGATGACGTGGGTTGTAACATAGACTGCACGGTGGGTCAAGCGAAGGCAGTTGTGACTATTTCATATTCGCTTCTACAAATATATTTTCTGTGGCCTTGACGGGATTGTTTGTTGTTGCTTGTGTAACCCGGGTGATAGCTCTTGTCTGTGAGTTCGCCGGAGTCATGTGATGGTTCCTCTTAAATCTCCGTCATATCGAGAGGGTCCGTGTCCGTGTCCTCAGGATTGCCTTCTGTGTTGAACTAATATTGCGGCATTACATGTAGGTCGTAAAAGAAGAGTTGAAGCCGGACATCGTGGAAGCTGTGGCTTGGTTACGTTGTCCTGGCTCTGGAGGATTTTCCGGAGATGTCTAATTATATCTCGAATGCAAGATCCGAATCTCATCGCCTTCTCCTGCTGATGAGGAACGCTCCTGATAGCAACCACGCCGGGAGTCGCAATACCTCAATCATACAAAATATCTGGGTGGAAATGGTATTGGTTTCGTACAAAGATCCAGCCAGAGCCGATCTATGTGCGAACCATGGCTCTTTTCATCTTCAGTCGAACCTGGCCCCAGGGTTCGGAGCAAGGCTTTCTAATGAAGACTTGATTGGATGAGGTCGCTTCAGGAGCCGACATTACCCGACAACAAAAAAGGCTCACAACAGACCCTGCAAAATGGCCAAAGGCTACGATCTTGTGCTAGAAAAGGCATCTGGGCACTCGAGGAGGGGTCCATTTTATTTTTCAACTGACGTGGCCCTTGCCCAACTGCAGTGCGTGCACGGCGGCTACGCCATACCCAATGCTAGCTGCTACGGTAACACTCCAGGATTTCATTCTACAGTATGGGGAAACACGCTGTAGAGGCCAATTGTACCTAGAGAATGTGATTATGATCTTGGAGCAAGTTTCTTTCAAGAGGTCCCTTCTAGTGACAATGGACGACCAAGAGTTTGAGCGACAGCTTGTCGAAACTGCGATGTCAAGACGTCAAATCCGAGGCGCAAGGGACATATCGGATAGGCGGGCGCCAAGATTGATCTGAGAAAAGATTAGCGTTGCACGGGCCACAAAAGCGAATTCTTCTCGTCCTGTTTTAAGCAGCTGGCTCCCTCACTACGTCCAACCCTCAACCACCTCACCTCTCCACTCCTCTACGGAATCTCAGTTGATACCGTAACCGCCAAGATGACTTCCACAGACCCGAAGTCCCTGTTCGGCATGCCCGTACGTTGCACCAAAACTCTCAGCTACGATTTGTCCAGTCTGGGCGACATCGATTCAACAATGAGCGAAATTTCATCTCAATGGCATCGGAAGTGGCCTTTTTGGCCCCGCGTCGATGTCGGGAGATGAATTCGCTGTTGTTGGAAAGATGCGCTTAGACTGGTCATCCGGCTGTCAGCTCCAGCGTCAAGCATTACAGCATATGCTAACTAATTTCCAGGGCTTCATGGTCGACTTCTTGAGTACGTCTCATCGCCAACGACAGTCTGCATCATTTTTCAGGCCCATTGGCACAGAATTTTGATGCGGACGAGTTGAATCACTTTTGTTGAGTGATGCGGCTGCTAACGTCATAACAGTGGGTGGTGTCTCCGCCGCCGTCTCGAAGACCGCCGCTGCCCCCATCGAGCGTGTCAAGCTCCTCATCCAGAACCAGGTATGTCTACACTCAAAGTGATGCTGCCACGAGACGTTCGCTAATTCCTTCTGCAGGATGAGATGCTGAAGTCCGGCCGTCTCGACCGCAAGTACGATGGCATCGCCGAGTGCTTCAGGCGTACCTCCCAATCTGAGGGTGTCCTTGCCCTGTGGCGTGGTAACACTGCCAACGTCATCCGTTACTTCCCCACCCAGGCCTTGAACTTCGCTTTCCGCGACACCTACAAGGCGATGTTCGCTTTCAAGAAGGAGCGTGACGGTTACGCGAAGTGGATGGCCGGTAACTTGGCCTCCGGTGGTGTAAGTTACCCTCTGGTCAACTGCGACGATTGCATCAACTAACATGCTTAGGCCGCTGGTGCCACTTCCCTCCTCTTCGTCTACTCCCTCGACTACGCCCGTACCCGTCTTGCCAACGACGCCAAGTCCGCAAAGAAGGGTGGTGAGCGTCAGTTCAACGGCCTGGTAGATGTCTACAAGAAGACCCTCGCCACTGACGGTATTGGTGGTCTCTACCGTGGTTTCATGCCCTCCGTTGCTGGTATCGTCGTCTACCGTGGTCTGTACTTCGGTATGTACGACTCGATCAAGCCTGTCCTCCTCACCGGTTCCCTCGAGGGTAACTTCTTGGCTTCGTTCGCTCTCGGATGGGCTGTCACCACTGGTGCCGGTATCGCTTCCTACCCCCTTGACACCATCCGTCGCCGCATGATGATGACCTCCGGTGAGGCCGTCAAGTACAACGGTACCATGGATGCTGCCCGCCAGATCGTTGCCGCTGAGGGTGTTAAGTCGCTCTTCAAGGGTGCTGGTGCCAACATTCTCCGTGGTGTTGCCGGTGCCGGTGTCCTGTCCATCTACGACCAGGCCCAGCTCATCCTCTTCGGCAAGAAGTTCAAGGGTGGATCCGGTTAAGCGCCTTACTTCCTCTTCGATACCCAACCTGAGTTCATGTGGTGGAAGCAGCTAATCGCCATGAGGGCATGTGGAGTGTGAGGTGGACTGGATAGAGCAATACCAACCCCGCTGGGTGGAAGATTGTTCGTGGTAACGAAAAGCACGATCTGGTGGTAATACACCCTGTACTTTACTCTGCCAGCGACTTTTCTTCTTTTTCAGCGACGTGTACTACACAACATATCCGGCTTGCACTGCTTTGTCAATTTAGCCTTTCCTAGCTGTATCGTCTTGTTACATTGCTTGGTGCCTGGGAAATATAGTGGTCAAGAATGCCTTTGCAGTTCCTTCACAACATTGTTTTATGCTCTACATGTAATGTCTGTGATGTTCATTGGCTATCTATATATATCCATTTTGCAACAATAACCCGTCCTGGTCGGGTAATCTAACGGAGTCGGCCATCACTTGTTCCTGACAGCTTTCCAGGCAGCTTCCTCCCCCTTTTTCAGGGCCTCTCCCGCCTTGGCCAACATGTTCCAGGCCGTCGCACCTACCCCACCTTCCGCAGTGCTGTTCTCACTTTGGTGTGCCTGTTCCCCAATCCCCCCTCCACTTGTGAATGGTGCATTGTCGGGCGCTTGCGTATAACCCGACGGATGCTCCAGACTCGTCCTCGTTGGCGCAGGCCCACCCGTATCAGCACTCTGAAACGGCGACGCCACAGGCCCTAAGTTCAACGTCGTGGGTCCAGGCTTGCTCGCCGTCGTGCTTGTCACGGTCGATCGCCCTGATAGCTGCGAATCCGTCGGCGGAGGCTGTGTGAACTGCGGCGGTGGGCCGGTTTGTCGCGTCTCGGTCGTGATGTGATGTGCAGTGTAGCTTGGCTGGGGAGCCGGTGGAGACGTTGCTTGTGCAGTGGCGGTAGGTGGAAGTGGACGCGCGCCTGGCTGGGGTGCAGGAGGGTCTGAGGAAGACGCTGTTGTTGTTGCGGGGGCGTAGGCGGGTGTTGTTCGGGTTGGCGCTTGGTTATCTGTGGCCGTCTGCGGTGTCACGCCATCGGCTTTCGCGGCGACGACGGGAGCTATAGGAGCATCTCTGTGGATGGTAATAGGTGGCATTGTGGGAGAGTTGGTGGAAGCTATGATTATTAGCACTGATCACAGTATTTTGCTGCAGGGTGCATACTGACCGTGGTGTAGGAGTAACGAGAAGATTGAGTGCGAAATGAGGGCTTCGGTAGTGTTTAAAGCGTATCTTGTTGTTGCCTTGTGCGATGTGTTGCGTCCTCCTACTGTTTCCTTGTAGGTGATTGCCGGTTTGGGCGATGATGTCACTTAGCGCACACGAGACGCTTGTATTCAACCCGATCAACCAGCCACCACTATGGACAGACTTGTTAAATGTCCACTACTTTTGTTAATAGGGTTGTTAGATTCAACATACCATCAAATTCGATGAGAATACACCTCACAGAAGCTCACAGAGGATCACAGTACGACCACTGCAGCAAGATTCCGTATGTTAAGTGCATAGTGCTAGCAGCACATGTGTCATGGACATCTTGTCTTCATACCAAACCCTATTCGATTTCACGCTCATTTTTTCTTCTACTGAACAAGAGCTTGCTATATTATCTAATATCCACTCTGATCATCTCCATTCAAGCCATTCCTTTTACTCACTCATTACTACCAGTTGTAGACATGGGCATCCAACTCGAATGCAACGACCTCGACCATTTCAGTGCATGTTTATACTCCCGGCATATCTCCACATTCCGCACCCTTTGCCAAGCATCCCTAACCAATGGCTGTTTCGCACGACGGAAGGATGCGTAGGATGCGATACCCGAATACCATCTTGAGCACGGATGACAAGACACGCAATGCTCATTTACCAAGGTCAAGTGCGCGTCCGCACTAAGCTTACAGACTCCCTGAGGGCCTTAAAGCTTGGCATGTAAGGCATACGTATGCTCGGCTATTTCGGATGTGTCTCGATGTAAAGTGAAGAACAGCACAGAAGTGTTCTACTTCTTTCGTCAGATGATACTTTCTGCAGACATTGCAGTACGATCTCATGGTATTCAAGGTGTCACTCCAAATATGATTTCTTCTCTGTAGCGAACGGTACATCATTTCAATATCGTTGTTGCTGTTTCTGGCTGATTTCATCTTTCGAGGTTGAGGGCCTTGGCGTTTTGCTGGGCAACGGGAGGAGTTCCTCCCCTTATTCGGCTAAACGTTTCAAACATCTTTCTTCGTCATCCCAACCGAACGAGGTGACGAGGCCTGCCGTCCTCTGATTTTGCCTGACATACAGTCCCCAGTCGACGACAGGGGACTGGACATCTTCCTCTGGGTTTGGGTCTGGATTGAGTCTAGATGGCGCAGGAATGCTTGAAACACAGCAATAGCAGGGTTTACGTCTGTCAAGCTTCTCGGAACGTGTGGAGAAGAAGTAGGTATCGAGGAATGGTTCTATATAAGTATGCGAAGTCCTCAGACTGATTGAATTCCTCAGCTCAATTCTCCCACTCTCTTTTACCACTACATTCTTATTCTCATTCTCTTCTTCTTCATTTCTGCTTCTTCTAAACTCTTCAATTCGTTAGAAACGATGAAGTTCTCAACCATTGTCTCCGTTGGCCTTACTGCCATCACCGCTCTGGCAGCGCCAACCCCTAGCATTTCTATCCTCAAGCGCGCCAGCATTGCCAAACGTGCTGTCACGACTTCAGACATTGCTACCACCGGTTACGCAACCGAGAACGGCGGTACGACTGGTGGAAAGGGCGGATCGACCATAGAGGTTGCATCGCTTGACGAGTTGACCAGTGCCGTCGAGGGCGATGACGCTGCGATTGTACTCGTCACTGGCCCGATCTCTGGTGACGGTGACACTGTCAAGGTTGGCTCTAACAAGTCTGTCATTGGAAAGGACTCGACCGCTGGTATGTTGATTCTCCTTTCTCTACTTTGCGCAGCATTAACCTTTTCATGCTACAGTCCTCACCAACGTCGGCTTGATCGTCAAGTCCGTTTCCAACGTCATCATCCGCAACCTCGCGATCGAGAAGGTTGTCGGTGCTGACGCCATTGGCATCCAGGTATGCCTATCTTGAATGGTTCATAGTACTTCTTAGCTTGACTAACACTTTAAGCTTGCCACCAATGTCTGGGTTGATCACGTAGACCTCTCATCTGACCAGACCCACGACAAGGACTACTACGATGGTCTCCTCGATGTCACCCACGCCTCCGACTGGGTCACGGTTTCCAACTCATACATCCACGACCACTGGAAGGCTAGTCTTGTCGGCCACTCCGACTCCAACGGTGACGAGGATACCGGCCATCTTACTGTCACCTACCACAACAACTACTTCCAGAACCTCAACTCGCGCGGCCCGTCGTACCGTTTTGGCACTGGTCACATCTACAACAACTACTACGACACCGTCAGTGATGGTATCAACACGCGCGACGGCGCTCAGTTGCTTGTGCAGAACAACGTCTTTGTCAGCTCCAAGAAGGCACTCTACTCGACTGATTCCGGTTACGCCGTTGCTTCCGGTAACGACTTCGGTGACAGCGAGAACACGGCTGAGGAGGGCACATTCACTGCGGCTCCCTACACCGTTGATACTCTTCTTGATGCAGCAGATGTCGAGGCTGCGGTTGTTGGAACCGCTGGTGTCACTCTCTCTTTCTAAGAGAGTCCACTGTGTCTGGGAATGGGTTTGACGTGTAGGGGACGGGGACAGCTGGAGAGGCAGCAGGTTTCGACGGTGGATTCAATGGTCTGTGTAATTTTATGTGTGTACGCTGTGCGGAAAATTTATTCAACCAAAACACTTGCCCAGCAAACAATGTTCATGGGTATGGGTAGTCTGTGATGTTGGTCGTTTCATGTGGTGAGTGAACATGATAGGCTGCAATCTTCGCTGCTATCTACGATCAATCACTACCGATGTCGACGCGCTTAGAAACTGCATCCTGAATTAGACATCTGCCCCACACCTCTACAAATTGAACAGCAACAACCCACTATGACGTCGTCGGCATGATCTTTCCCGAGTGGCGGCTAAACACAAACATTGAAAGATGATAAGTCCGAAACCCAATGCCAGACTTCTCACATCTTGAACAATCAAAGGAGTAAATATATGCTAAAAGCCACTTCGCGCCTAGCAAACATCATGGCAACCGAGCAGCAGAAACGCAACATCGTCATCATCGGTACATACAGCAATCCCAAACCCTCACCACATCCCCAAAAGAAAAACACGCATGACTAATCTGCGTATACAGGTGGCGGTATCATCGGCTCAACAACGGCGTATTTCCTCTCTCGCCATGAAAACTTCAACAGGGAAAGAGACAGCATCACGCTCCTGGAAGCCACGCAAATCGCAGGCGGCGCATCGGGGAAAGCAGGCGGCCTTCTAGCTCTCTGGGCATATCCAAGCTGCATCGTCCCGCTGAGTTACCGTCTACACCAAGAGCTCGCCGCGAAGCACGGCGGCGCAGAGAGATGGGGGTATCGCGGCGTGGGGTGCGGGCAGGTTGACATGTACGGCGTGTTGGCGAAGACGGGGTCGAAAGCCAAGCAGGGGAAGGTGGAGGGAGAGGCAGATCACGTGTCGCTGCAGAAGCGGACGGAGAAAGCGAAGAGTCTACTACGAGCAGCGGGTGTACCGCGAGATCTGGACTGGGTTGCAGCCGAGGGGATGCAGAGCTACGAGGAGATGGGGACGCCCCTGACGACAGCCCAAGTGCACCCATACCTCTTCACGACGTCGATGGCACAGCTAGCCGAGGAGCAAGGCGTGAAGATCGTGTACGGCTCCGCGACAGAGATCCTGCGCGAAAACAACACTGTCAAGGGCGTAACGTACACGGCCAAGGACTCAAACGACTCCAACACTCTACACGCAGACACCGTCATCCTGACAGCCGGGCCGTGGACAAAAGCCGTCTACCCAGCTGCTCCCATCGAAGCCCTCCGCGCACACAGCGTGACCATCACGCCCTCGCGCCCCGTCTCCGCTTACTGCCTCTTCACCTCCATCACGCTCCCCACGCCGAACTCGAAGCGCACACAAACCGTCACGCCGGAGATCTACGCGCGCCCCAACAACGAAATATACGCCTGCGGCGACGGCGATCAGCTCGTTACGCTGCCGTCATCTACCGCCGCTGTGCAGGTCGACAATGCGCGCTGCCAGGACATTATCGACCAGGTGTCTGCGGTGTCGGAGGAGCTGCGTGACGGGGTGGTGACGGCGCGCCAGGCGTGTTATCTGCCGAATGTTCGGGGTGGAAAGGGGCCGTTGATTGGGTTGACGAGTGTTAAGGGGTTGCTGATGGGGGCGGGGCATACGTGCTGGGGAATCCAGAATGCGCCTGCGACGGGGAAGTGTCTTGAGGAGCTGGTTTGGGAGGGCAAGGTCAAGAGTGCTGAGGTGGCGAGTTTGGATCCTCGGAGGTTTGGAGTCTGATGGGGTTTGGGAGATGAGATGTTTGGATACATGTTGGGCTGTTGTTATTGTTGCTGAGTCTGGATTCTACGAAATCATGATAACTGACCATGGAGACTACCCCTGGAATTGCGTTCTTCATGGCTTCTGCAGGCAGGAAAACTATATTGATAAGATTTAAAAACGTATATGCTAAGCATATGCGGCTAGGAATTTATGTACGTAACTCCTACTAGTATGAGAAGTGGGTGTCAAGCTGTTGTATGATTTTGCTGCACCTTGGTTCCTTGTATTTCGATTAATCAAGGGGCCATATCATATTCTCTTTAACTGACAAGTTACACCTGCACATCTTCACCAAAGCCACAAATTCTGATACGCCAAGCCATAGGTAGTAGTCTTAGGATATACTGGTAGGTAGCAAATGGCCTGCACTCAGCCAAACGTTCGACTCGGATCAAAGTTTAATCACCGCCACCAAAGTCACCGCCACCGAAATCACCTCCACCATCACCTCCAAAGCCACCGCCGTCACCACCGAAGCCTCCACCGTCACCACCATCGCCGCCAAAGCCCCCTCCATCGCCACCATCGCCGCCGAATCCTCCACCATCTCCAGCATCGCCCAATGCATTGCCTAGCAAAGCTCCACCAAGCAGCCCACCACCCATGCCCAGAGCGAGGCCGCCAGCACCCATACCACCCATACCAGGTTTTCTCGCCGGCCGACCGTAAGCCGCCTGCTGACCACCGTAGTACCCCGCCGGAGCACCGTATGCAGCCTGACCACCGTAACCGTGCTGCTGCTGCATAGGCGCACCGGAGCTATGCTTCCCACCGAGCAACTTACCAATGAGCCCCTTCGCCTTACCCGCCGAGCCAGAATCCTGCTGCATAGTCTGAGCCTGGGGGTACGACTGCTGCACACCCTGCTGGGGGTAACTCTGCTGGGCGCCGTAACCCGACGCGGCCGGGGCGCCCGACTGGTTGTAGAAGTCGCTAGACGCTCCCTGGTGACCGCTTCCGCGCGACTGCTCTTCTTCTTGTAGTCGCCTGGCTAGCTTCTCGTCTTCGCTGACGTTTCCGTAGGGGTTGTTGCTTCCGTAGCTTCCCTTGTCGGTTGCTGATGTGGGATGGCCGCCTGGGGCGTACGAGGGCGGGGCGCCGTGGGGAGCTCCCTCGCCCGGCGGGAAGACGGCCTCTTCTGGTTTGTTCCATTGCGACTGCTTGGTGTAGATGTTGACGAAGAACCACTCGGAGTATTGAGGGTTCCAAATTGCTTTCCACCCTTCGGGCACTCTTGGTGGTGGGGGACCCTGCACATCATTATCAATACGTGGTTCGATGTTTCCATGATTCCGTGCGTAATCAACTTACTGGTGGTGGTGCGAAATCTGCCATATTTGCAGTGTATGTGTGAATAAGTGATTAAGTCTCGAGGGGTTGCGACAGGTACGCAATGGGTCATGCGATTTGGACTTTATGTAGGAGTGGGGTCATAGTAAGCTAAGAAGCTTGAATGGAGTGGTAAAGCTTGTGATGCGCGAACTAGGGTTCATGACGTACGCGTTATTGTGGCGACATCCCCGAAGTTGGCACATGTGGGCGTAGGCCGTTTGCATCAACGTCTACCATACAAACACTAGCAAGGATCGCGTATTAGGCAAGAACAAAACGATTAATTATTTGCAATGTAAGTGCAGACGCTGAATCGTGCCAATCCACCACCTACCACCAAACTGATTTCAAACAAATACAATACTACAAGGAAAAGTCAAAGGAACGAAGGGCGCTGCCGCCGTTGACGCAGCTGATAACGTTGCTCGAGATAACAGATCAACGCTCAAGGGTATGAAAATGGGCAAGCCATGCTGCAAAGTTGTACTCGTACAAGAAATCCATCCAAGATACTGTGTGTTGCGCTAGATTGACCTGGTTGATCCGGAGTTCGCAACTAGATCTTCTCGTAGCTGTCACATTCGCAAGATTCTGCAAGCTGGAGCAGAGATTGAGTTTAGAACGCATCATGCGTGGAGTGGTTTGCCGACAGATAATCCGTGGCCTGAATATATTCGTTAGACACAACACTAATGCATAACAATGGTTAGGTTACTCACCTTGTTGATATCGTAGTCGAACTGCTCGAGTGCGGACAGAGCATCGTTACGTGCGAACCCCATACCGGTCAACTTCTTCAAGATAGGGTCATCGTGCTCCGTTCCTGAGCTGATAGCGCGGCCGAGCTGGGGCATCTGAGGCGCCTTCAACGATGAAGAGGAAGCTTCCTCCTTGTCAAGGTCATCGAAGACGGACTTGCCAAAGTCGTTTGACGTTTGCTGAGAGTTCTTGTCGGTCTGGGAGGGCTCGAAGTTGGAGAAGATAGCATCCCAGTCTTGAGAAGCAGCAGGCTGTGGGCCTTGAGGTTGTCCGAAACTCTGCGACAGGTGCTCGAAGTCGCTAAAGCTATCGTCGCCGCGTTGCTTTCCGGTGGGGGTCTGTTGTGAAGCCATCGTGTTTGCCTTTGATGCTGCTGGTGAGTCAAACACGGGGTTGAATTCATCCAGTCCCTCGCTGCGCTGCGAGGAGAACATGAAGTCATCATCAGCCTTGTCGTCTTCTTTAGCCTCAGTCAGGTCGTCAAAGCCAGCGTCAAAGTCGTCGTTGAAAGCAGATCGGCCGAGCTGGGGAATGTTGGAGGATGGCGAAGGTCCCTTGTTTGTGTCATTGGATCCATAGGACATCGCGGAATGATAGTTATCGGAAGGCAGAGGAATGTCTGAAGGCGGCGGCGATGTTGTCATCGACTTCGAGGAAGAACCACCAAACAGAGCGGCACCGTGGCCACCTGAAGGACTGAACAATTTCTCTGGAGATTGCATAGCAGGTGGCGAGTTGGCAATCTCGCGTGACGGAAGAAGACCGCCGAACTCAGGTGGGAACTGGTTCGAGCTGGTTCGGTGCGGGCTGACGGCCGAGTCGTACGACGGCGGGGACTTTTGCGCGCTTGGAGAAGGCAGTCCACCCAGGTTCGAGTCCAGACGAGTAGTAGGAGGAGGCGCCCTGTAAAGCTCATCGGAAGAAGCGGTACCTGGTCGCTGTTGCTGAGACTGTCGCTTTTCACCGACACTGGAGCGTTTCTGATTGGGAGACGTGGAAGTGAAGTTGTCTGCAAAACCTTGACCATCGTTGCTATCACTGTCGTCGTCATGAGCGAGGTCTTCGATAGGAGGAAACTCCTTGTTGAACCTGGTCGAGCCATCCGCATTGAGGGCTGGTCCAGATGCAGAGGATGTGTTAGGACGACTGGCACCCAAGCCAGCAAAGGCAGCGTCGAAATCGACCTTGCCGCCTGATCGGGACTGTTCACTTGGGGTACCTCCGAAGAGATCGGTGCGGTTGGTGTTCTTGCTCTGGTTGCTCAGATGGCTCTCCCCTGTCTGCATCTGCTGGAGAGGTGTTGGGGTCTCTAGTGGGAAAGCTCCAGGAATATCCACTGGAACCGATGGAGCCCCAAAGCTGGCGTACGGGTCTTTGCGTTCCTCCGGCTTCGAAATTGAGCGTGTGTCACTGGTAACACTAGCTACTGGAGATGCCGAGAAGTTCCTGTCAAAGTTGAAACCGTTGAATCCATCCGCCTCTGTGCGCGCAGGCTCACTTCGCTCGAGAGAAGCCTTCTCAGGCACTGGAGTGCTAGCAGGAGAGGCTTGCGACATCGTAGGTGTCAGATTGCCTGGCCCGCCATATCTGTTAGAAGGTCCGGTAGCCCTGACAGAAGAGCTGAACGAGTCAGATCGCGGGGCATCCCTCAAAGGCAGGAACGAAGGCCCAAATTGGCGAGATTCGGATGGGGCTGACATTTCTCCAGCACGCGGAGACTCCTGGTAAGACGAGAGTGGAGGTGAAGTTGAGGGGGTTGGAACGTCAGGCCCCTCAGAGGAGCGAACAGACTGGCCAGAGGGAGCAGAAAAGGTGGGCACCTGACTATGGCTATCCGAACGGAATGAAACCGGAGGTGGGTGGCTCTGAGGAGCTGTGAAGGATCCAAAAACACTGTCAAAGTCCTTGTGAGGGCCGTCACGAGGAGCAAACCCTGAGGGCGACATTGTGTTCTCTGAAACTGGCTGAGGCGATTTGCGGAAGAAAGGATTGGTGCTCTGGCTTGTCGTGGAGGCGGCAGGGCTGGCAACTGTTGACATCTGGCCTTGTGGGCTACGGAATCCCTCCTCCGTAGGTTTGCTCAAGTCGCTCATCTCGTTCTTGATCTTCTCGCGTTCACCTTCATTTGTGACGAGCTGTTTCTTGTTGATTGCCACCATACCCTTCTGTTGTCTCGCATCCGATCTCATCTTGTCAAGCTGCGGACGTAGTTGCGCGATCTCGGCGTTGAGCTGTCGGATGCGCTCCTTCAAGTTGTTGTTCTCGCGCTGGTCAGCTTCGAGAGCGCCTCCAACTTCGCGGTGTTGGTTTTGCAGGTCTTGATAACTTCCCTCAATCATAGCAAGATCCTGCTGCAACTTCCGGGTCTCGTTGCGTGAGCTTGCGAGTCTATCCTCCAGTGTCTTCACAGCCTTCACTTCTTGTTCATACTGTGTCTTGAACTGCGACAAGCGGAGCTCAAGATCACGCTTCTGAGTAGTCACGCTGTTCACATCGCTCTCCGTCGCGCCTTTCTTGTTCTGCACTTCCTGCATCTGGTTTCGCAGTGTGGTCATCTGGTTTGACATGTTGGCCAGCTCAGTTGAATCCTGGGTCAACTTCTTGTTGATCTCAGGGTCACTTTCACCACCCAACAAGTCGTCCATGGCTGATGGTGGGTTTGCGCGTGACTGTACACCCGATGTTCCTGACTGGCCAGTCGAATGTGCCGTGAGTGTCTGCCCAAACGAAGAACTCGGCAAGAAAGGCTTGAAAGTGGCAGCGGGGTTTCGTGGTGCCGGCTGGAATGGGTGCGGAGAGGTTGGCGAAGCAGCCTTGCTGGAGAATGGATCGTTGTCGAATGGCTTGCCAAACACACCTGAGCCACCAGTAGAAAGTGGTGCTTGTTGAGGAGCAGGAGCAGGAGCGGAGAAGGCGTCTAGGCCAAACAGATCATCGGCAGCAGACTTGGGCTGTGGCGCACGGATGGTTGGAGGTGCTGGTTCGGGAGCAGAACTTGGCATTGGCACTGCTTGGTTGGCCGCCGTTCGTAGGCTCGGAGGGATGAGGCTAGGCGGCAATGTAGTAGGGAGCTGATCACCCTTCCTCTGTTGTCGAATCAGATACATGGCCACCGCGAATTCGTCCTTCGAAAGCTGCCCCTCGGAGTTGATGTCGGCGAGATCCCAGATACCGGCTAGGATATCTTCTGGCAACCCCGAGTCGCTAAAGAATCGTACTGCCTGTTCTCCAGTTATAAATCCACGACCCATTGTGTCAACCCCCTTGAAGAGGTTATCGTACGAAGCTTTCTCTTGCGAGCTGATTAGCCAATCGCTCCCAGTTACTGGTACTGGCTGGGGCGGAGCATATGGAGGCCGCGACAAAGGACTTTGGTTCCTTGGTACGTTTTGGCCGCTGAACTGGCGAGGAATGGCGGCTACCTGGTCTGGACGCCCTGGTGGTGGGGGAAGCGCGCCTCTTCGAGAAGCTGCCTCGTAGAGCCCGGGGGGTAGTGTTGTCGGGAGAGCCTTCATGTTCCCGGTTCGGTACGATGCCAACAGATGCATGGCGATGATGAATTCTGTAACATTGAGAGCTCCACGCTGTTCTGTGTCTGAGAGGTTCCAGATGCGGCCGAGGACCTCGTTTGGTAGCCTGGCCTTTTCAAAGATCTCCTTTGCGTTTTCACCTGAAGTATGGTCAGCCCAGCAAGCGGTAGGTGTGAGACGAGATAATTACCGGATAGTACGCCATTGACAGCCCCTGACTTCTCAAACAGGCCGGCATACTCGGAAGCTTTGGCGGGTACCAGTGGAGGCACGCGGATGGGGCCGCTGCCGCTCACCTGCGGTTGTATGGAGCTCGTCGGCTGAGCAGTGAAAACGGGGGCTGCAGGAGGCGCCGCAGGGATAGACAGGCCCTCGAACTTGGGGAGCGGCGCAGCTACACGAGGATGTCAGCATGCATCAAGGACATGGTCACGGGGGCATTACGTCTGAAGGCGAGCTCTGGCGACGGGTCTCTGCCGGCCTGGTAGTGCCCGATGAGACGCAGGACCTGGCAGAAGCCGGCCATGGTCAACAGACCGCGGTTCTCCGTGTCTGCAATCTGCCATATCTCGCCCAGGACAGCCGGGGCCAGCTTTGTGCGCTCGAAGAACTTGACGGCAATCTCGCCTGTGATGACGCCGAGCTTCTCTGTGTCGGCCTGCTGGAAGAGGTGCTGGAAGACGCGCTTCTCCTCCGGGGTGAGGTCTGTGTTCTGTTAGCTCGCGTTCGACTTCCGCGACATGCTGTACGGGGTACTACGCACTCAAGTCTCCGCTCGCTGAGGGGTCCGCCATGGTTGTGGGTTATCGGACGGTGCAGCTCGTAGAGGAGGCAGACGTTGTTGGCGACGAGGCTGAAGCTCTGGCCCTGTCGTATGCCCAATCCAATGGCGGGGAAGCTACTACGACGGGGTGGCTGGCGGCGGCTACACGGCACACAACGACTCGAGGAAAAACAAAAACAGCCGCAGCTCCAGGCAAAAGACGGCGATGACGGCGGGTTGGAGAGTTTGATAGAGACAGTAAGACAGCGAGACAGCGAGACCGTGAGACGAGAGTTCCGTCCCGTCGTCGTCGCCCGCAGCTAGTCGCCTACTATGCACCTTGGCAGCACCGAACTTCCCAGGTTACTTGATGTTCTGTCCATCTGTGATTGGCTTATCACAGCAGCTGTCAATCGTTTTGTGCGAATCAGCCACGCCGTCTGCCTGTCGCTCATGCAAGCCAGCGCATGACCGTCTCGCGTATTTGGGCATCCACCTTTGCGACTTCATCGGGCCATCATCGTCGGTGTAGGCTGAAGTGTTACCAGACGCATCGAACCCTGACTGCCAGCAAGAACATGTGTTTCAATTTGATGCTATTGTTATCCTACACGACATAAAATCATGACTTCGTGATTGCGTACAATACAAATAAAGTTTCAAAGCTCCAAACCTTGCGAGTCGCCAAGCCTGCTGTCATCTCACAATCGAATCGTACAGGGAATCCTCCAGAACAGGTTGATATAGGTAGGGTATAGGTGAATAAAGACACGACCGAGGGGAGTTTCGCGCGTAAATCAAATCCATCGCAAGTCTTTCTTCGCCTGCTGCAACCATCCACTCCAAACCCTCAATCCTTGCTGCGGTGGTTCTTTGCTCTCGCGCATCTGACAAACGCCAGACTAGGTCGGCCCTCATCGCGTCTGCCCCACGCTCGTCCCAGCAGCCAGTCCGTCACGCTGATGAACTTTGTTGTTTTATCCCAATGTTCACCTTCGTCCGTATGCTCAATAACATGGTTGATGATGCGACCTTCTTCGTCAAACTCAAAGACAAAAAGGCCGGAAAAGTCTTCGTCAGAGCGGCGCGATCCTGCCACAATGCTCGTGATCTTTTCTACCACATCGCTAACCTGCCCTTGCTCTTTCTTTTCTGTCTGCCACCGGACGATCAGCTTCTCGTGTCGCGTATGCGCTGGCGTCGATGCGCCGCCGTTTTTGACCATGCGCTCCGAGAGTATCTTGAGCTTCACGTTGCCGACTACGGGTACTCTGCCCCATGCGACTGGCGCTGTCCATAGCGCTGCTGTGTATGCAATCTTTCCTCTTACGGTCGGGAGATGAGGGTGTGTGGATGGGAATAGGTGGAGGCTAATGTGCGGCGAGAGAATGTCCTGTGGTAAGGGCGATACAAGTAGCGTTGGCAGGTGGTCGTGCATGATGCGGATGGCTATGGATGTCAGCATACCATCATGTCTCTAGAGTTATGCGCAGTACATACTATTTCCCAGCTTAAGGTTGCGCTCAGTCAAACGCTGCCGTTCGCGCTCATCGAGCTCTGGATAGAGCCATGGTGTTGAGCTTGTGAACCATTGCCTCGAAACTGACGCTTGTCGTGGCCGGACGTCTGTGATACTTCTACGATACTGCTTGAGTCCTAGGATCCGAGGCCCAGCGAGCGAAGTTGCTGTGGACCGGGAGAACTGTGTGCGGGTAGAGCTCGAGAATCGCCGCATCAGACCGCTGGTCATCTATACGGATATGAATACGCAACCATAGAGGCCTGGGAGGTTGTAGGTGAACGTCGCGTGAGAGTGGAGTGTTGCTAGCGTCCAGTAGTTGCGAGGATGACTCTCGGTTAAGTGTAAAAGCCCGAAGTAAACTATTCTTGTGGGCTTAAGAACTCATCATTATTACAAGATTATACACGAATTAGAGAAAGCAAGGCGTATACCAATGAGGATTAAGGCATGAAAGTTCTACCCTAGCTTCGTAGGTAGTTTTCAAGGTATTCCACTTCGGCACTTACATTTATCCATGAGGATGGAACGCGATGAACGATGACGTTCATCCCGTTCATCCAACCCCACCATGCGGAGGCGAACATCTGGGGTACTATATATGTAGCAGCATTTGCAGCAGTTGAGATAGATTCTCAATATTCAAAGCCTTCAAAGCCATCACTGCCATTCGATTTTCGTCCAATTGGCTGAATACAGTATACGAAACCAATCTCCAAAAATGCCATCAACAGGTAAACGCATCGTCTTCACTGGAGGTTCTGGGAAGGCCGGTTTGCATGTTTTGCCAGAACTAGTCAAACGCGGCCACCAAGTACTCAATCTCGATCTCGTGAATTTTCCCGACCCAGATGCCGGCATCTTCACCCTCAAAACCGACTTGACAGACAGTGGTCAAGTCTTCAATGCCTTGACAACCCACTTCAACTTTGAAGGCTACGAAGGCCCTAACGTCCCCGGTCCCCCTGATGCGGTCATCCATTTCGCCGCATATGCGAGGAACATGCTGGTCCCAGGTAAGCACTCTCTTAGTCAAGTGTTGAAGCACGAAGTAAGCTGTGTTCTTTGAGGCTCCTACAAGCTGCACAAACATACCAATAGAGTTTACAAAAGTACACCCTAGGCGTATACAGCTAGGAGCCTAGGCATACAAATCCTACAGTTATTCTAGATGTAGTTGTCAAGCTGTTGCAAGATTTTGCTGCAGTTAACCGAGAAATACTTTGGCTGTTGAGTAGCTAACATCAACCAACAGACAACGAATGCTTCAGGGGAAACGCCACGTCAACGTACAATGTCATCGAGGCAGCTTGTAAACTAGGCGTCAAGAAGATCATCATCGCCAGTAGCGAGACAACATACGAAGTCTGCTTCGGCCAGGGCGATCTCTCATACACGGCCTTCCCCCTCGACGAGGACGCAGACTTGAACCCCATGGATACGTACGCCATCTCAAAGCTCGTCGGCGAGCGTGTAGCCCGAGGGTTTGCCCGGAGGTTCAACGCCGACATCTATGCCCTGCGCATCGGGAATGTGATCGAACCTCATGAGTACGCGCGCGATTTCCCAAAGTACGTCAACGATCCCAAGTGCCGGAAGCGAAATGCATGGAGTTACATCGACGCGAGAGATCTAGGCCAGATTTGCCATCTTTGTGTGGAGAAGGACGGTTTGGGTTTCCAAGTTTTCAATGCTACGAATGACAGCATCACTACAACGGTTCCTACCAAGCAGTTTTTGAAGGAGTCGTGCCCGGATACGCCTATTACGAGGGAGATGGGTGAGTGGGAGGCGCCGTTGAGCAACAAGAAGATCCGCGACGTGTTAGGGTTCAAGGAGGAGCATGACTGGAAGAAGTACTACAACCCTGGTTCGTAGTGTGGGTGTTGTATGGGAGCACTTTAGATGGCATTTTGCGGGGTTGCTCAGTGAAATTCTTCGATAGTTTCCGATGTCGGAAAGCTGTTCTACTAAAGTTGTGTGCGTGCAGTGGGTTTGCTCGAATGGCGAACACGTTGTCGGCAGTTTATGCACTCTGTAGAAATGGGATCAATATAAATGTGCTCTCATTGAAGATTGTTGCAATGGAAGAGATCACATGAAAGATAGTTCCACGGAGTTGCTTGCACCCGCGTCGTTGGTAATGTCAGTAGCACAGAACTGCACTGGCGCGTCGGAGTGCGGGCGACAAGCCGCGAGTCGTCAAAGCTTACCGGTTTTCGGGTTTTTTTTGTCGCTGGTCGCGAAACTCGAGCTTCAATTTTCGTGTGTCGATACCCAATCCCGCTTGCGCTGTATACCCCAGGTGTTCACTCGTACTTCCTTTAATTTGAGTTTACCCCACACGTAGTCGCCATGTCGCCAACTGTAGGAGGGTACAAGCGGGAATCCAACACGGCCAGAGTGTTGGGCGCAGGTGAATTGCTCAGATGCAGTTGAGGGCCTGCGACTGATAGCGACAGGATGTGCGGGTATTGCAGAGCTTATGGTCTTCCACCCGGTTGACACGACGGCAAAGCGATTGATGAGCAACACTGGCAAGGTGCGCCTCCACTCCAAAACTCTACACGCCGCATTCGCATCTGACTCGACATCGTCGTAGATTCAATCCGTATCGCACTTGAACCAGGTCGTCTTCAGGAACAGCGCAAACGCCTCGGTCTCTGGTCGATTCTTCTCTCTCTTCCCCGGTCTCGGATACGCAGCGGCCTACAAAGTATGTCTGGTCATGGACAAGGTGGGGCAAAAGTTGACAGCGCTAGGTGCTCCAACGTATATACAAGTATGGTGGCCAGCCATTCGTACGTGACTACCTCACGCAGCACCACATTGATAGCTTCGACCGAACGTTTGGCAAGGGTCACGGCAAGACGATTATGAACGCGACAGCAGGTTCCATCATCGGAATCGGTGAGATCGTTCTTCTTCCCTTGGACGTCCTAAAGATCAAGCGCCAGACCAACCCAGAGGCGTTCAGAGGACGAGGATTGTTCAGAATCATTGCGGATGAAGGGTTTGGGCTGTACCGTGGCTGGGGCTGGACAGCGGCACGTAACGCGCCAGGTTCATTTGCAGTAAGTTATGACTATCCTTCAGGAACTGCTCACATGCTGACGTCTGCTAGCTGTTCGGTGGTTCCGCCGCCGCGAAGGAATACCTCTACAAGCTCTCCGACTACAACTCCGCCACATGGGGCCAAAACTTCGTCGCCTCGATCGCCGGTGCCAGCGCATCCCTCCTCGTCTCTGCCCCTCTCGATGTCATCAAGACGCGCATCCAGAACAGGAATTTCGAGAACCCCGAGGGCGGCTTCAAGATCATCTCCAACATGATGAAGAACGAGGGCCCTACTTCTTTCTTCAAGGGACTGACACCCAAGCTTCTCATGACTGGACCGAAGCTTGTCTTCTCCTTCTGGCTGGCTCAGACCCTTATCCCGGCGTTCGGCAAGATTATGTAAATACCCATGTGTGGTTGCGATGGCTTATGTATTTTATGATGTTTGGGGTTACGAGTGCTATGGAAACGATAGCCGGGTTATCGGTAGAGGAAACAATTCAAAAATCTCCATTCTGTCAACACGGAAGCATTCGTGCTGTCATCTGCACAAACGACGCTTGACCCAGAATCACGTGATAGTGGCAGTGTACCTTGCTCCTCTCAAAGGCGTTCGACGGGTATCTGTAGCGGTGAGAATGACGACGTGCAGAAATGCTAGATAAACAGTCACACGTCTGACAGTGTATCGGCTGCCTAGTGTCAGCGAGCGTGGACAGCAGACGGCGACGTGAATGTGATGTTTAGTGATGCGCGAACGGCACCAACGGCGACTCCCTGTTCCTGTGACAGACTACGCCAAGATCCTCAGCACCTCGCACCTCAACCCTACACCGTCCGTCTGCCTCGACGACACACGATACCCCACGTCTTTTTTCTCCACTATCAACTAGACCGAGCCTCACCCGTCCCTTCCCTATTCCGCCCACCACAACACCGCCAGAATGAATCCCGAGTGGTACGTATCCTCGCGCGACTCCCACCGCCACGGCCTGGAGGAGCGTCATGTTGGGCCTGCGCCGAGAGTTATGCTAACCTGAATGCCTACAGAGTACTTGCCCGCTGTCCCCGCAGTCTCCGCTCTCTTGACGCTGCTGCCCCCATCTGGACGGCCTCCGCTGACGACCCGCTCCCACAGATACGACTACCTCTTCAAGCTCCTCCTCATCGGTGATTCTGGTGTAGGAAAGTCGTGCCTGCTCCTCCGTTTTGCCGACGACACATACACAGAGAGCTACATCTCCACCATCGGCGTCGATTTCGTGCGTACACGCTCGTATCCGCAACCTGTCAGCTCGCAATAGGCTAACGTGTTTCAGAAAATCCGAACTATCGAGCTCGATGGCAAGACGGTCAAGCTGCAGATTGTACGTTGACTAGAGGACTCTGAGAGAAGCGACAGAGCTGACAACGACCACAGTGGGACACCGCCGGCCAAGAGCGCTTCCGTACCATCACATCCTCGTACTACCGCGGCGCCCACGGCATCTGCGTCGTCTACGATGTCACGGACATGGACTCGTTCAACAACGTGAAGCAGTGGCTGCAGGAGATTGACCGATACGCCACCGAGGGCGTCAACAAGCTGCTGGTCGGCAACAAGTCCGATATGGCGGATAAGAAGGTCGTCGAATACACCGTAGCAAAGGTACAGTTCTAGTCACAACGCTCACACGGATGCGCACATTCTTACACCATACACAGGAGTTCGCAGACAGCCTCGGCATCCCGTTCCTCGAGACGTCCGCAAAGAGCGCCACCAACGTCGAGCAAGCTTTCCTGACCATGGCCCGCCAGATCAAGGAGCGCATGGGAACCACAACCGCCAACACGAAGCCTACAGTTCCCATCGGGCAGGGCCAGGGCGTGCAAAGCGGATCCGGAGGGGGCTGCTGCTAGTGGGGTAGACGTTAGGGTCGTTTGATGTATTGGGGAAACGTACAAGGATGCAAGATGAGCGATATACAGGTTTCCAAGGCGTGGGTGTTTATGTTCTCCGGTCTCTGGTGTGTGAATTGCGAATTTGGTTCGGTAACTTAATGCTCAGATCATGGTTATGGCTTTCCTTTGATAACGCATCCACCTGCTGCGTTGACTCCCGTGCTCTGTTCTTATTTGCTTGGGGTCTAACACATAAATCGGAAGGATTCAGGTCTTAGATCGAGAAGCCGGCGTAGCAGCACGAGTCAGAGATGTGGTTTGATGTATTAGAGCTCTACTGCTTGTCTCTTGCTTGATATATGCACTAACCAGACCCAAACACAAGTTTGACACGACTTCTATTCACACGTTTAATCCAGCATGTTATCTTACTTTCTGCGAGTAGAGAAACATGCATGCATCGGTAGGCGCCGCATGCATGTGCTTCTTCATGCCGGAATTGGTAAGATGTGCTGCTGACGTAAAAACTAGGCATCCATATGCCCTCGTAATCTTCGTTGTCATCCTCGAACCACTTGACAAAAGACTCTCTCGATCCGAATCATAAGCTCCGAGGTCCAATGGGTGGATATATTTGAAAAGCGCCGCCCGAATAACAGAACTCGAGCATGTCCTTGAAGCATGGCACCATCAGAGCCGCACATTGGGTCGCAGTCGAACTTGGACTCAAGACTATGAGATCTGCACGCAAAGATGTATACATCATCATTCTGTCTCGTTATCTGCGCATGTTTGCGTACGGTGCTGTGGCTCTCATCCTCGCAGTATACTTCCAAGCGCTAGGCTTTTCGGACGAACAAATCGGCTTCTTCATGACTTTGACCCTGTTGGGCGACGTCGTCATCAGTCTGCTCCTCACGCTCATTGCCGACTCCCTGGGACGTAGGAAGACCCTTTTGCTAGGAGCATTGGCCATGGCGCTTTCTGGGACTGTGTTCGCAACAACGAGCAATTACGGCGCGCTGCTTGTGTCTGCGATTGTGGGCGTTATTAGTCCGACTGGGACAGAGATTGGGCCGTTTCGGGCGGTGGAAGAGTCGACGCTGGCGCATCTTGTAGATGAACAACAGCGCTCAGATGTTTATACGTGGTATGTTGTTTTAGCTGTGTTAGGAACATCGACGGGGTTGGTTGTTGGGGGTTTGGCTGTCGATAAGATGCAGGGACTGGATGGCTGGACAGAGTTGGATGCTTACCGAGCCGTGTTTTGGATTTACACAGGAGTTGGACTTCTCAAAGCGATTATGGCGTTGTGCTTGAGCCAGCAATGTGAGCATGTGCACGAGAAGACAAGCCAAAGCGAATCACCCGGAGAGACTGAGCCACTTCTGAGCAGCGACCCCGTCACGCAGGACACTGCTCCTTCGAAGCCGACTAAGAATCTCTGGAACCCTATCAACCGAATTTCCAAACCCAGTCGCGGCATGTTGATCAAGTTCTGCAGCCTGTTCTTCTTCGACGCGCTCGGCAGCGGCATGGTCCCTTTCTCCCTGATAAACTTCTACATGGAGCGGAAATTCTCCCTCCCCAAAGGCAAACTCGGCGGCATCATGTCGGCAACATGGGTCGTCTCTACCATCGGCAATGTCTTCGCCGCCTCGCTCGCCAAACGCCTCGGCCTCATCCAAGCCATGGTCGCCACGCATTTCCCCAGCAGCGTCTTCCTGGCAGCTCTCCCCATCGCAAACGGCCTACCACTCACGATCTGTCTGCTGGTGGGTAGATCTGTGCTGAGCTCCATGGACCAGGCGCCGCGCTCGGCGTTTCTTTCCATCGTTGTGCTGCCTGAGGAGAGGACGGCGGTCATGGGCGTGGTTAATATTGTGAGGACGTTGGCGCAGAGTGGGGGACCCTCGATTACGGGCGTGCTGGCTGGACGTGATCGGTTTTGGTTGGCGTTTTTGGTTGCGGGCGCGTTGAAGGTCGCGTATGATGTTATGCTTTTGGCGTTCTTTGGGGGGAATGTGCATCCGCGTGCTGTGTGTATGGGTGAGGAGTCAGATAGTCGTGATGATCGGGTGCAAGAGGTTGTGCCGGCGAGTGAGGAGTCTGACGCAGGGGATATCACCGCTATACGTTAGATGTGGATAGTTATTGTATAAATGTGTAGTACACGCTCGTCTCTGATAGTGCATGCCCTCTACAAGCCTGTGTATGTTCTTTTTGAGCCGATAAGTACTAGGTCACAACTCAACGGCTCATGGGATACTCCCTCTCGATTGATCGAAACTAAAGTGCAGCAAAGTTTAGCAACAGCTTGTGAACAACATCTAAGCTTAGTGTAGGAGTCTTCTGTCTAAATTCCGAGCAGTATACGCCTTGTATGCACAATCGTGAATTCTGTAAGTGTAGTTTTCCAGCTTGTAGGAGCCATAAGCAATGCAGCTTACTTTCCGCTGTTATAGTTGACCGAAAGACCCCCTCGAGTAGCACCCCTGTTTCAACCGAATTGGGACGTTGGTTGTTGTTGCCTTCCAAGACACGACATCGTCAGGTGTGGCTGCGCGACTCCCTTATCGGTCTAGAGCAGGACCCTGCATACCGGTAGAGACGGAGCCAGGGATTTTGGCCTTTGTCATGACTATTTTGCCTTCACTTCATTACCATTTCCAAGAACAACTCATCTTCTCTCCAACCGCGTTCGTTGCACACTCGTTTCTAAAACGTGGCGAGTGGATAACACGGTAAGCCTTCGGTACACCTAGTTGTTTGAGGATCATCTCGGTCCCGCAGAACTCAGCCCTACCAAGCCCGACACTGTGCTTTTGCCAGGATCGACAACACACACCGCTTTTAGACTCATATATCTCCCAAGGGAGATAAAACATCAAGCCGGTATACGCAGCTGTAATTCGACTACCTTCTGTGCCTCCAGGGGCAAAACACCCCTTTTACTCGAAGATCTTGGACCATGGCACCCGCGATAATGACTCAACGGCCGAAAATCTTATTCTTGGACGCATACGACTCCTTTTCAAACAACATCGTTGCTCTCGTTGAGCAAAATGTCGAAGCAGATGTCGTCAAAGTTTTCATCGACGAACCCAGTCTGGTGTGTGGCCAACGCCCGACTTCACCCACCGAGCGCAGTACTCGAGATACGATAAGTTTCCGCGACTACTTGAAAGACTTTGACGCGGTTATTGCGGGACCTGGGCCCGGTTGGGCGAAATGCGACACAGATGTTGGACTTATGAAAGAGCTGTGGAAACTTCAAGATGAGGATATGATGCCTGTACTCGGAGTGTGTCTTGGCTTCCAGTCGTTGTGTCTTGCTTTCGGTGCAGAGATTGAAAAGTTGGAGGAGCCAAAACACGGCATCATAACAGATGTTCTACACAATAGGCAATCGATATTCAGGGACGTGGAGAAGTTGCTGGCGACACAATATCACTCCTTACAAGTCATGCTCAACCATCCGATTCAGACGAAGCGAGCCGTGCGCTATCCTGCGCAGCTCTGGGAGTCTACTGCAACATGCCCGCAGCTGGAACCATTGGCGTGGGATTTTGACAGTGAACGCAATGGCGCGGTGCTCATGGGTGTAAAGCATATTCAGAAACCTTTCTGGGGTGTTCAATTCCATCCAGAGTCGATCTGTACGAACAGTGAAGGGAGCCGTATCATCCGAAATTGGTGGGAAGACGCTCAGTCGTGGAACCGAAAGCGCATGTTCAGCCACGTTGCACAGAAGAGTTCTCTGTCACCTTTCCGAGCAGCACCTATGACCTTTAGCGATTTTCGGCGCGAATTCAAAGGCTATGGTGCAGATAACCAAGCCACTTGTTCTCTCAAAGGGGTAGTTGGGAAGGCAAACTCTGGTATCTCAGAGAGTGAATATCCAAGGCCAAAAGAACTGGCTGTGTTAGTCGCTCACGGCGATGGAATCTCGATACCGGATCTGTCGCCTGAAGCCGTTCACTGCAGCACTACAGGGAGTGGAAGACTGACAGTCGCGGATGTTTGTGAGCTGCTGGAAATCCAAAGGAGAGAAGCCATAGTTTTGCAATCCGGACTTCAGTCGAATCTTGTTCCAATGGCGGTTGGTACAGGTCGTTACAGTATCATTGGCCTTGTCATTCCTGGAGAAACGCTCCGGTTACACTACTACACGCGTTCTCGGATCATGCAACTCAGGGATGGCAGGGATAGAGTGCACACGGAATGGAAGGTAGCCGATCCGTGGCCGTATATCAAGGAAGTCATGGAGTATCTCCGACCTGCGACACCGCCTCGAACTTCGACATGGGCACCGTTTTGGGGAGGCCTGATGGGCTATGCAAGTTACGAAGCTGGTCTCCAAACGATTGATGTCCCTGCTGATGGAGTCGCCGAACACCCCGATATCTGCTTTGCATACATCACCAGGAGTATCGTTTTTGATCATCAGGTCAAGAAGGTCTATGTACAGAGCATTCGTGGCGCACATGACAACCACTGGGTCGAGCAGACAGTACAGAGGATTTACGAAGCTGCTGGGAGCAAGTCAGCAGAAACAACGCCGAGTGGGACGCCAGTGCCCAAGCCCGATCCGTTTGAGAAGTTTGGCCCCATGAACCAGTACATTGATTCGTGTGTACAATCGTCTGCTAGCCGCGAGGAGTACTGCGATAAAGTGCGTTCATGCCAGGATGCTATAGCCGATGGTCAAAGCTACGAACTTTGTCTCACAACACGCAATGAGATCCGTGCTAAAAAGCCAAATTCGTGCAGGATCTCACGAGCAGAATGTAATGAGCATTCTTGGAATCTCTACAAGCGTTTGACAGGTCAAAACCCTGCTCCATTCAGCGCCTATATGAGGATGCATAACGTGCATATCCTCAGTTCGTCGCCAGAACGTTTCATTAGCTGGGACAGGTCGCAGACTGCGCAGTGCCGACCTATCAAAGGTACAGTGCAGAAGAAACTCGGTGTCACTGCGGAGGATGCGCATGCTATTCTCTCTTCTTCAAAGGAGCGCGCAGAGAACCTTATGATTGTTGATCTGACTAGACATCAACTGCATGGTGTATACGGATCCGCCAACGTTTGCGTGAGCCAGCTCATGGAAATGGAAGAATACGAGACCGTCTGGCAACTCACTACAGTCGTCGATGCAACCCCCAGTGGAGCCTCGAAGCCCAAAGCGCCCGGAGAATGGGAGGATCCAACAGACTACGTCTCCGCTTCCGGAGAACAGACAATACCCTACCTGGGCTTCCAAGCATTTGTCGAGAGTCTCCCACCGGGAAGTATGACTGGCGCGCCGAAAAAGCGGTCCTGCGAGCTTCTGCAAAATGAAGAAGCTGGGCAGCGACGTGGTATATACTCAGGTGTCTTGGGATATCTGGACGTCGGAGGTGGCGGTGATTTTAGCGTCGTGATTCGTACAGCCATCAAGATCGACTCCCCTGATAACGACAAAGAGGATGTGTGGAGGATTGGCGCTGGAGGAGCTGTCACAAGCCAAAGCACGCCTGATGGCGAATACGAGGAGATGCTGGTGAAATTCCAGAGCACGGCAAGGGCTTTCAAACACCAGCCGCCACCGCCACCGCCAACAAAGAAGAAGATCAAGATCGAGTTGCTGAATCCCATTGATCCCGATGAGTTTGAGGAGCTGTTGTTACGGACGAGAGACGGGGGACAGCCGAGCCTCGAGGATGCGCAGATAATGTTGAGGCTGGTGGAGCAAGAGCTGAGAAGGAGGAGAGATGCTGGTGAGGTTGGAGAAGATTTCGATGGGGACGAAGACGATGAAGATGATGATGATGAGGATATGGATGTGGATGTGGAGTAGGGATTGATCGAAACTGAAGAAGGAGATGGACTTGCGAGCTTAACCTTTGATACCATGATCATGCTTAGATAGACTTATTGGGTTTCAACACCAACGCCTAATTTCGACTCCCCATTTCATGTTGTGAGACGTACCATCGTTTGAACATCATCTGGAGCAAAGCTGACTAAGCAGTTTATGGATGCACCTATCGCCGTGTTAACGCCGTCCTCTTGTACACAGTCTCCCAACCACGTACTCTTATCGCTGAAGCCAACGATTGGCAATGGCAACAGACGCGCCAGACCCGCGGACTTTCCAAACCTGGGAAGATGCTTTCCAGTACCCAATTCCTGTCGTTCGCAAGCTCGAACAGCAGCTCCGCACCAATGCCGACGACAATCGCGAGAAGCTGCGGTCGCTCGTGGGGTACGAGGACAATCCCGCAACATAGCTCATGTCACAAATTGACAATGAGTTCCCAGTGCCAGCTACCGCAGCCTTCTCGACACGGCCGAAACAATCATCGACATGGAAGTCTGCATGCAGCAGGTCGAGTCCAAGCTGGCAAGAGTAGGACAGAGCTGCAACGCGCGAGGCCTGGATAAGATATCGAGCAACGCGGTGAAGATGGATACGCATACTCAGGCTTGCGGTTAGTCATCGACGCACGCAGGTATTCTGGAAACGGCTGTTGATATGGGACACAGACGTGGAGCGATATACATTCGCGTCTCAGCTTGCGATTCTTAGGAACGCGCCGACGGTTATGACAAGGTTGATCAAGAGAGACGGGTCGTATCTACTTGTTGCGAAGGTGCTTGTCGTGTCGCGACTCTTGCATAAGGCGCTTAGTCAGTCGAAGGACAAGCCACCGATTGTGGAGCAGTCGTGGGAAAGGCTACTTTCTGTGCGGAGAAAACTGCTGCGCAGGATCGATAAGCGACTTGCGAGCACGAGTGGTGAGACAGCGACCCTGGTGGAGAGCATGTCTGCGTATGCTCTCGTCACGAGCTCGACGCCCACCGATGTGCTGCAACACTTTCACAAAGTGCGTATGGAAAAGGTGACAAGTGCGTTGAAGCAAGGCGACGATGAGCTTGCGAAACATGGTGTTGGTGCGCTGCAGATCTGTATACAGACATGTCTTGATACGCAAACGATATTTCCCAGACGCTTAGCTGAGTCTTTGGTGAAGCTCAAGGCGCATCCGTTGATCCAAGACCCAGATGTTCGCGGCCTTTACGAGCTAAACCTGGAAGTGCACGATCGGTGGATAGGCGACGAGGCGCGTAATTACACGCCATGGCCACGGCATGACGAGTTGCAGCGAGCGGATGCTGAGAGGATACTGCACCGCTGGTCGAAGGACGCTATATCTGCTTTTCTACAGGAGATCAAGACGTCACTCGAGGGAGAGGATAGGTTGAAGGAAGTCGCCAGCTTGAGACAGGAGCTGATCGAGACGTGGATCCTGTCAGGCTCGCGCATGGCGGGTGTGAAGTCGGCCAACGTACTTGATGACCTGCGAGATACGATGAACGAAAAACTAGAAAGTATTGTACGATCGCGTACTCAGGGACTGCAGGATGTAGTTTCGAGCTTGAAGAGTCAACTCGATGTCGGCACCCCTTCCAGCGACAGCTCGTCACTCTCCTTGTGGAACACAACAGCTAAAAGCTCCGACCTCAGCAACGGCGCACAGGTTTTCAAGGCTACGATACTCAACACACATCAAGGGCGCGACCAGCCTGTGATGAACGTTCTATCTGCTTTTGACAAATGGATGGACTCTGTTCTTGAAGTCAAGGGCATAGTCAAAGGCATGAAGGAGGCGCGATGGGACGACACCTTCGCCGACGACGTTGACGATGCGTCGGATGACGAGCTGGGCGAGTCAAAACAGACACTTCTCAGCGCCGATGATCCACGGTTGCTCGAAGAAGTTACACAAGAAGCGCTGAGCGATGCACTGAACAGCCTAGGCCAGAGTTTCTCGCAAATCGCAGAAACATCTATAAAGGTTGACGACAAGAGCTCCGTTGAGAAAGCAGCCTTCATTCTACGCGTTGTGAGAGAAATCGGCGATCGGATACCACGTCTACGACTCCAAGATAAATCCTCGCCGCTCGCGTCGCCTTTCACAAGCAAGGTCTTGCAGCCGCTGTATACGACACTTGCTACATACATTGTCCCACCAACCGTAGCGTCGTACGAGAAAGCACTTCTCAACGCTACAAAAGCCAAACCTCAGAGCGTTATCCTCTGGGAAGGCAATCCACCGCTACCAAGCCAGCCTTCAGCCAGCGCATTCAGATTCCTGAGGGAGCTGAACAAGAGCATGGCGCGTGTTGGGAGCGATCTTTGGGCTCCTGGGTCTGCTTCGATCCTGAAAAGTGTGCTAGCTCAAGAGACGAGGAAAGCACTGCAAGACCATATTCAAACGATCAAGGTATCCAACAAGAAGGTGGAGAAGGAAGAGAGCGAGGAACCCACAGACACGCCAGCCTCGCCTCAAAACGCTGCTGCGCCTGAGAATGTAGAACACGCTGATGGCAGCGTAAAGGAACGACAAGGCCAGCAGCTGAAGCAGCTACTCTTCGACGCATTGTATATCCAACGCTTCACTGGCGAGAAGAAACAAAGTATCGATGATCTTGTTGAGAAAATCGAGCTAGAGGCACTTGATGAGGCGGCAGTGAACAGGCTGAGGAAGAACGCTGCGGATTACGCGAAGAAGACGTATCTACTCTTTGCGCTGCTGGCCTAAATACTTATATTCTCAATGTAATAAAACTTGGCGCTCACGACCTCACTCAAGTTGTGTGGAGGAATAGAATATGTGAGACTGCCCCGTCATTGACGTCAATAGTTCACACTACGGTTGTGGCGTCTGCTCGCTTGCGGACGGTATGCCGTAGACATGCAGGAATGGTGATACAGTAGGTTCTGCCTCATAACGATGCCTGCCTTATAACGATACCTTATGATGTCATGTATCGTTATACAGCAGAAATACAGACATTTGTTAGCAAAAAAACCGGCTTTTCTGTCTAATTAATGACGTGTCTTCTGTAACAAATCCTGTGCTGTAACGATAAATTGCTCCATAACGATATTTTGTGGCTTGCATGACCATCGTTATGAGGCAGAACCTACTGTAGTAGCAAGCCATCGAACGTGGAATTGTCGATCCTTGACTCCAAAACGTTGGACTTGTTGTGTGGATGCAGGGAGCCGGTTGCTAGCATCAAGCCACCAAAGGTGGAGTTGTCGATCTTCGGCCTTGAGGAGTGGGGAATGACAACGTCGTTGCAGAAGGTTGTGGATAGTGGGAGCATGTGGAGGAGACTATAGCATGGCAACAAACTAGCTTTCTGAATGTGCATATGCTACCAAAGGACAAACAAAAACGCCAGACATGATGGGATATCTCACAATGCACAACCGACACCTCCTCTCTCAGCATACCACCATACAGTCCTTCACTCCGTAATATCCATCCGATCCCGATCCCCCAGCCTCGAATCCTCCATCGCCTTCCTCAACATCTCAATCTCTTTTTCCTGAGCTCTCATCTTCTCCAGCGCCATCTCAATCAACCGTGCCTTATTCACCGTCTTCTTCTCTCCAGCCACATTTCCACTCCCCTCAGAGTGCAACGAGCTCCCCCTATCCTTACCCTTCTCTGCACTTCCGCGCATGACAACAAAACAAGTCGTCCCAGTGCCAAACGTGACTTCCCCATCAAGCAGAAACTCCGCCAAGTCAACCATGGCGGTTTTCATTCTATCACGCCGTGCTTGTTCGGCTGCGCGGTGTGTTGCGCGCTTCATCATCACGCCTGTGGCCATGGCAGTGCTGAAGTGGAGACCCATTTCCAGGTGCTGGCCCGAAGAGATTAGCTCGTAGTTTGACTTCGAGGCCAGGAGGTCGGCCTGTGGGGTCTTCACGCCGCCGGCGCCTATGGGGGTGTGAGTTTGCAGTTCGAAAGGGATGTGTCATAGGATTTGATACGAAAAGAACGAGTAGCGGTGAAGTCTTGCGTACCATTGGTCTCTGCTGGTGCAATTGCACTGCTCCGTCTTGAGATTGGGATTCTCTTTGGTGGCTGTGTCGATGTTTGACTGATGGATGATATCGTGCTTGCAGAGTCCGCAACTAACGACGGCGTTCTTATCGATCGAGGCCTTACTATGAGAGGCTTTACCGGACGGATTGGTTCTGTTGATTGCACTGGAAGAAACGTTTCTGCTGGCGCTTGTGGGTGTGCTTGTTGTTGTTGTTGTTGCTGCTGTTGTGCGCTTTCTCTCACGGGACTATATCTTCTCCTCTTTTTGAACAAATGTGGCCATGTCCTGCTCAGTGGCCCGCGATGTCCAGACTCATTTCTGCCGTTATCGGACTGGGGTTGGTTTGTGTATGGATGCATGGTTCATTGAGATATCGAAGGCTATCCTGGAAGCGTACTCACTCCCGAAAATACGGCCGTCCAGATGCGCTCCGCCCTGTATTGGCAACGCTGAACGAAGATGGTTCAAAATAAAGAGCAAATGTAAGAACTAGACACCAGTCAAAATATACTGTACTTTTGATGGAAGAAATAGATCTGGGCTGTCGCGCGCGCAGAGTGTTGCACAACGTCTGCAAGATTCGCGAGTTTTAAGATGCACTGTGACGGCGTAGGTAATCTGGAGCGTGTTCCATCCATTATTGCATCCCTTGTTCGTTAAAAGCAAAACGGGAACATGGGCAGAGCGTTGCCTGGTAGTTGTTGGATGATAACTTGGGTACGGTCGCCAGATAGCCAATCGAAAGGAAAGCTGGAACCACGTGTGACGCCAAGATCCCAAGATCAGCATCACTTGTTGGAGACGGGCCGGTGAGCTTGAGCACCCGCATGTTGGAGTGTGGAGTCTAAGTTTGCCACTAACAGGGAACTGACAATCCTCGGACTAGACACGGTAAGGCAGGAGCATTCGCTATGGAAACGCGAGGAAAGTCTCGCGAGTGTTGGCCACTTTCTCCGCGTATCTATACGGCGATCTTCAGTATCACGCAGCCCTAAATAGATAGTGAAGGGATAATCATGTGTGGTACCGTTCTGGCTACAATTTGTGTTTACCATGTAAACCACTCATATACTACTATTTCCCAGACTCACCGTGTCATGGCTTTGGTGACTAATCTTACTCTTGGTTTGTGACTTAGAAACAAACTCCAATTCCTCATCCTCGAGATCCGTGTCTAAGAACTCCTCACTGAGCAGTTTCGGGTTGAAGGCAAAGGCGCCCCCGGGAATAAACGTGCTTGTCATAACCAAAACGGCGATAATTGTGAACTGGATAGCGGCCACATTTCGGATCGCTGGCTGGATGTTCTCGTCGTGCTTGTCTGATACTCGATCGATGTATGTTCCAAGACTGACCGATGCAACGGCGTATGTAACGATATATGAGCTGTAGAGAAAGGCCATAACGGCGCCCAATGCAGACACGTTTTTCGATTTTGACTCAATACGTGCGAGAGAGGCTTGTATGTAGGCTGCAAGTGAAACATCACCAGCTGCCCAGCCAAAGCTGATGGGAAGGAAGGTCGCAGCCACGATCCAGGCTTGACCAACGTCACCCTTAGGTGGATACCAGAAGGGCAGATACCAGACGATAAGAAGCGCCAATGCGTCGATACGCAGCCAGGGCATCGGAGTGTGCACTAAGTTGGTGAACATGAACACGAATAGGGCTCCTAGAAGTTCACCGAAGTTGGAGCCGCCAACCATGATCTGTGACCAAGCCGAGTTCCCGAGGTATCGACGTGCTACTGCAGGCGCAATGCCGTTTTCAAGGTAACGGTGTCCGTAAAGTGCTAATGAGTATCCGGGGAGTAACCAGACGAATTTCCGATGGGTAAAGATGATCTTCATGCCGGTCCATACTGATTCGAAGAAGAGGTAGAAGCCGCCAACCACGGCTTTGACATAGGTTGACTCACTCTCTAACACAAACTCATAAGCTCTTGGAGCTTCTTCCTCATATATGAAGAACCATAAAATCGATGCCGCCGCGAAGAAGACGGGTGTGATGATGAAGGAGTAGTTATTGCCGAAGTAGGGTATGAGTGCCAGCGCCGTGCAAAAAGCACCCGCAGTGCCGGAAACTTCATAGAAGATGTGGACTAATGCATCCATTTGTCGTAGCTTCTGGACGTTGCCACCTACAATATCGCGGGGAATCACACGTCGAATGAGCTCGACCATGCCATAAACGACACCGCAAACGCAAACTGTGCTTTGGTAAGCGTCATTGTCAAATTCCAAAGCTGGATGACTCACATATGGGGATCATGCCGTCCGTGTTGTAGTCTCCGTAGTAACTGAAATCTCCTTTTGGTTGTCCATTTGGCACAAATTTGCCTCCGGTTGCCGCGTCAAGAATTAATAGCAGACTGCTCATGACTCCAAATATAAGCACCGAGCAAGACAGTACATTCTTTGTCGGATATCTTCTGATCAAAGGCGCGATGAGGATTGATCCCATACACTGAAATGCCTGGTTCAGTCCAGTCAAGATGCCCACGCGTTGAAAGGTAATCGATGCATGCGTCTTTTTTCCAAGTTCGTCGTAACGGTTGGTTGCAAGAGCGATGACGGATCCGTTGAAAGCTTCAAGGCCAAACTTGTACATCATGATACCGGCGATGTATATAACGATGTTGCGGCGTTCGAGAGGTGTGTAGATATTCCATGTTTCTCGAACAACGAGGATCGGACGAAACATCGTGACGTCCAAGACACAAGAACATATAGTGGTATGCTACAGGGAGCAACGCGATCCCGGGATTGCGGAGAGACCTGGTTTATACTACACGATGTCGGAACGTTGGTGTTGAGTTATTGGCCAATCAGGTTGAGAGAGTATCGCATGTGGGACCATATGTACGCTACGGTTCTCTCACGAAATTCAAAGGCTGTAATGCCCGCATCCGCGCTGTGGAGGCCCTTGAGTGGCCTTGTCGCTCGCGTCAATTGAACAGGCGATGCACTGGTCCCGACGGCCAAGAAGCATTGACAGCTTGGTGTAGACTGACCACTTATATGGTCGAACGCCCCACGTGCTTCAGGCAACGTGCTCAATGATCAGGATAAGCGATATGGACGAAAACAGATTTCCTAGAACGGTGAAGTGCAGCAAAATAATGTCCCCTTGCATGAACGTTCCTCTTTGGCTGGAGATCAGATGCAAAATGTATGAATATGAAAGTGAAATCACCCCAATTTGCGAACATGCAGAAAAGTTTGCTTGCAGAGCGGAGCGCACCTGAAATCGTCCAGAGATCCGCGGAGTTACTTTGTTGTATAAAGTACTTGATGCTACTGCGTGTCGAGACTAGAAAATGTGGCGAGCAGGTGTACATGACAGTACTTCCATTACTCGAGCCTGCAAACGATGTAGTTCACCACTCCATGTCAATAGATAGTGAGACGCTTGAGACCCTAGGCGGCGCATCAGCCCGCGTCGTGATAAGTTTACCAGTCCGGTGGATCAGGGTTCGTGCACAACCCATGGATACCCTCAAGAATCAGGAGTCAGGAGTAAGGGCGCCGAACGTGGGGGTCATTGGTGGGATCCCTTCATTGCTAACCCCTTATGAAGCCAATTCATGTACCATGCTGCCCGAAGGCAGAACTCCCAGGTCTCTGTACTGCGAGAAGTCTATTCGTAGGTTGACAAGGGTTCGTTTATGGTTTTGCTAGCCGCCGTTACTGATGACTTCCGAGCATCATGTGAAAATTTAAGTTCTCCAAACCCAGCAGAAGGAGATCTTTGTTGAAAGTGTTTATTTCAAGACAGCTGGGACGCATCAGTTATCTAGCTCAATTACAAAAAATTGCTCGCAGCTGACCTTTTGCCTTTGCCGGCCATATTTGGCGCCTGTACATGTGGATGACAGACCGTCTGAGCTACAACTCTATCGTCCGCCACGATGATGGGTCAATATTACGGTATCTGGCCAGAGTCCAGCATGTCGACCCATCTCTTCACGCGTTTCAAATGTGACTTTTGTGCTAAAGTTCACCGATTCACCAACGATGTGCCATGAAGCCGGAGAAGTTCAATCCGAGTCGTCCTGTTTGTACCGCCTCGCTTCCTTCGCACGTTCCACCTTCTCCTCGTCTTCGGCTCCCCTCTTAGCGAGGCTGTCTCTGAGTCTCTCCTCTTGTTTTCGCCAGTGGCTGCCTTCCTCGTAGTCCGCGCTGATGCCAAGCGCTTTTCTCAGTCTCTCACTCTCTTCGATCTTGGCCTTCGCAAGGTCATGGACTTGATGGGACTTCAAGCGCTTCGCGTTAGGACCTAAGTCTTTGCCCTGTTGCCGTTCCTCGACAAGCTTGCGGCGCAGAGCTTCGCATTGATCATCGATCTCATCTTCGTCAACGCTGGAGTGAGTTAGCACGACATTATTGGTGTGAACGTAGGGTTTCGGGCAAACACACCCCTCCTCTCCAAGCTTATCTCGCAGCTCAAAGACCTTGACTTCGATGTCGCGCTTTGCTTCGTGTTCGAGAATCTCTGCATCTGGCTGCCGCGGGCGATGCTTTGCCGACTCCCAGTCTTTTGGATAAGGCGCTACCTTGTCGCGTGGTCTGAGGAGTGAACGGTTCTTCTGGACATATCCAGAGGTACCGCTGCCTCTGGGTGTAGTGAGACCGACGTTGTCAGCCATGGTAGAGGTTGGAAGTGCTGGGGTGGTCTTTCGTGAACCTTGATGGTTGACGATGGAAGCCGCTGGTTTGAAGCGGAGGAAGTCGGAGGTGCCAAGCCTTGATGATCGCGCCTGCCCCGCGAATTCTTGAGGGAACCTAGGAAGTGAAGACTCACACACAAAATGGAGTCGACACTTTGCTCGGCAACTTTCGTGTATCTTCTTTCTTCGCATTCATATCAGCCACCATGAGCTCTGGAGAAGCGACCAGCGAGGTGCCAGCCCCTGCATTTGCAGATGGCGCACTCAAAGAGCTACCGTTCCCACCAGTGACCAAAAATCACATTCTAAACTGCTCATATCATAGTTGGCATCCAAAGTCAGTTTACGGAGATTAAACACCCCCGCGATTCTCAGACTGATATCCCTCAGATATCGTGCCGCAACTCCCAAAGCGCGCCTCGTTTCCCTGCCGCCTGCCTTCCTTGACTATCTGCGCTCAGATGGCATTATTTTGCCCCCAGAAGAGACGGACAACGCCACATGGTCCGATAACGATAGTGGTATCTTCTCTGGCGCTGATAACAACGAAGACGAGGACGAGGAGACGCTCGACCCCAGTGCCAACTGGCGCGAGACTCACGAAGCCATCGAGCGCACAATCGAAGAACTCGGCGGCAAAGTTGCGCCGAAGCTGAACTGGAGCGCGCCAAAAGACGCAACCTGGATCGCTGCGACAAATAGCATGGAGTGTCAGACACCCAACGACATCTACCTTCTATTGAAGAGCAGTGATTTTATCACGCACGACATAGCACATGCGTTCGATGACACGGTCGATCAGTTCACCACGCCAGATCCCGAGATACCATATCACTTGGTCCTACGAAAGTGGATCACCCTCAATCCCAGCGTTGAGTTCCGTTGCTTCGTGCGCAATCGGCAGCTCATCGCACTATGTCAGCGAGATCTGAACCACTTCGACTTCCTGTTCAATATGCAGGATAAGTTACGACGAACTATCCAAGACTTCTTCGACCTTCGGCTACGCGATACTTTTCCAGACCCTAATTTCGCCTTCGACGTGTATGTCCCGCCGCCGCACGACAAAGTCTGGCTCGTAGATGTCAATCCTTGGGCAATGCGGACAGATCCATTGCTATTCTCGTGGATGGAACTGCTCACCATGGAGGTTCCCGACACAGTGGAGCCCAAGGACGAGACAGCGGAAACAACCATTCGACTTCGATTAGCCCGTCCAGGAGAGACGGATGATCAAACGAACGACTCAGACGAGGACACATCAGACGAGGACGAGACCGACGACGAAGATGTTGAAGAAGTCTGGCAACCCGAGTTCCGGTTGATAAGGAGCGATGACCCGGAGGCCTATGGTTTCACAACTCCACAGTACAGTGCGCATAAGCTTCCAAAAGATGTGGTAGATGCGAGCAGTGGCGGAGAAGGCAATTTGAGGGAGTTTGCAATGCAGTGGCAGGAGGCTCAGAAATTGGCGGAACAACAGAGACAGGAGGATAGTGAAGACGACTAGAAAACGAACATCCACATAGTATTATTTTGACACGTGGCTCCTATATCAGTCAACTACACATGATATTCAAACTGTGACCATGCATGTGAAATGATTGGAAAATTTGATTGCTTGGTCTGCGAGCGGTGACGGATTCTGCGTAGAGTGATGCGTTGACAATGCGTGACTCGTGCGTGCACGGCTTCAATTGTTTCACCGATAGGCAGGTATGATGTATGATTCGACCACATTCGTGGTACCGTTATCACTCCACCCACAACAACATTTGCCTCAACATAAGCTGCCTGGGCTTTAAGCTCTCTGTGTTGAACAACTGCCCGACTCCCTTCATAATAAATATCCTGCGCCTATCACAAAGTTGCACAATTTGGATATACACCACGACACGTCAACATGAGCATAACAAGCGAATCAAGCTCGATAGATCGAGCATACAGCGCCTTTCTAGCCCTTCCTACAGAACTACGGTGCCATATTTATGATTTCCTCCTCGCAGACTCCCAAGCAGTCACGATCAGCGCAGGCTACGTCACCATCTTTGGAAACAGAATTCAAGACCGCGCACGCAAGACAGAGATCCCAGGATTACCTCTCGACTTCGCGCCAATAGTACGACGCCACTACGATGCTTCCCTTCTGTCAGTTGCAAACCCACCCGAGATCCCGATTGACAATGGCTGGATGAGTGAGGTTGGCGAAGGGAAACTTGGGTACCCAGCACCCTTGGCGCTGTTGCAGACATCTCGGCTAGTAAACGATGAATTGCAGGATTACATGAACAAGAAAAAAGCAATTGCGCAGGCCCAGACGTCAGATGAGAGCGAAGACGATGAAGAGGAAGAAGATGAGGAAGGATTGTCACTGTATGTGACGTACCCGTACGGGGTTCTGGTACTGAAGAGCATGTACCCGTTTTTGCTGAAGCAAGCAAAGCGGGTGTACATCACTGGATACTACAGCAGCCCTAAGGATGCTGAGCCTGAAATCGAGGAGCGACACGAGGCAAGCGACGAAGAGCTTTTGACGAACAGTGTCGAAGATTCGGAGTCGTTTGGTCCTAGACGCATACGATCATTTGTTCGTCTAGCCGCTGGCAGAACTCGCAGTTCAACTTCCCCGACATCTCGACCGCGACTCCGTCTCTGCGGCGCGCATCGGAGCCATCAGTCCTCAATCCCAGAGATAAAAACTCTCTTCCCGTCTTTCTCTTCCAAAACCATGGCCCACGCCCCCGACGCGCTCGCACACCTGGTGCGCACCCTCCTTCCACCCTCTCCAACCCAGCTCGTCAAACTTTCGGCCCGGATTGTCTACCCCGGCGAATACAAGTTCGTCTGGTCTGACGACAGTCCCGTGACGCACATCATGCGCAGTATCTGTGGCGGAAAGATTGATATGCAGGTCAAGAGGAGCAGCATTGGGACGGGGCTTTATTTGGTGGCGAGGCCAAAGACTGATGGTAGGATGATCAGTACGAGTTGGGTGAATTGGAGGGTGTCGCCGGAGAAAAGGGGAGGCGTGGATGTTGAGGATTTGGATGGGTTCCTGATAGAGGAGTAGATCTGAACGAGCGGCGAGGGAGGGCGTGGCGGAAGAAAACACTATTAATTATCTGATGTACGATGATTCGATGGGCATGTATAACATTATGCGTAGGACAGGTTATATTTGCGGTTGATTATGGTGTTGTTGTTATGGGTTGATGCAAGAAATCATTGACACCAGGTATATAATGTGTATTTTAAGTCCTCTTACAATATCCTTATGAAAAGCCACGGAATGAGGTACACTGAAGAACCACAAGCCATCCGCCCTTGGTACCTTTCACAGTCTTTGAAAGTTGGCTAGATATGTTGCATTGAAACACCTAGCGAATACATGAACGTCAGACATCTCAGATTATCAAGACACAGCATAGCTCATACAGAAAAGGAGAACCATAGCATATTGTGTCCTCCATATCCCCTTTTACCAAAACGATGAGCTCAACGATACTATTCTCTTATCAGAATCTGTTCATGATACCATCTAATTCGTGCCACTCACCTTAACGAATCCAATATCCGCAGCCTTCTCCCGGAACGCCTGGCGACTCATGTTGAGTCCATACTTGCGGATTAGACCCGCATGCTTTCGCTCGCCTGTAACAACGCTACTACATTGTCAGTACGAATACTAGGGACCAGACTGTGGTGGAGGAAAGACAGTAACTGACCAGCTTCGTGAGCCCTTGCCGTAGGTACGCGGACGGGAGTACCAAACGCTCTCGTGAGACATGGTAGTTGTAAAATTTGCCGATCTGAGTGTTTGACGAAGAACACTGTAAGGAAAATGGAGGGTAGAAAGTAAAGGTTCAAAACAACGCAAATGTTGATTGGGGTGTAGGAGTTTGATTCTGGAAGTCGTAGAAGATTGGTACTCTGCGGTAAGTACCCTGATGGCTACACTGCTTCCCTGCTCACGTGAGAGCACACCCTCGACTTCGAGGCTGAATATGCTGGAAAATCAGGGTTTTCCACGGCGTATCGTATGCATGACAGCTCTTGCCGGAGGCGTGTCGTCTCTTCCAGGAGGCGTGTCGTCTTCTCCACGCATTGCTTGAGTTCATTTTGAGACACACGTAGACCCGCAAAGCGATCCCAACGTTTGTTTAGCCACACCGTCAACATGATGGTCACAACGCCGAACACAAGACTAAGTACACACAGAATGCTGTCGAGCGACCAAACTATGCGTTCTGTTAGTAAATAACTTGTACTTGGGATGCTGGACTACTACTAACTCATGTTGGTAGCTGATGACATGATAGTCAGTTAGCGATGGAATAGTGTGTGAATGTGGTGCGGTAAAATGATAGAATAATAGAATAATGGAGGGAAATAGAAGAAGATGTAAGTTTTATATAAAGGCGGAGCGAAGTTGCGAACCATGGTACATTCTTGCTAGCACGAACCAACTGACCAACGAAAGTATTCTCAACCACCCGCTATTTTTTCGTGACGACGACTTGGTTCGGAAGGGCCAGCCATGGTTCGGCTGCTCGCACAATGGCTGTCTTGGTTCCGAGACGTGGCCACGGGCACCTGGCCTGTGATGGCTCTTCCTGTTGGACTTTGCGAGTGAGAGATCGTCTATCAAAGATTGTTGAAGTGAACTGAAGCAAATCTACTGATTAGATCGACTGAATGTCTCGATAACTCCAGCAGATCTTGTAGGGGATGTTGGATATAGTGATTTCGCTAACCATTGCAGGCTTGTGAAAACACTGTTGTCAACGTTTCTAGTTATGCCGGATACAACAATTCATTCCGTATGATTCTAGTGGGCTGAAAAAAAACGGCAGATGCCAGAGAAAATACCTTTGCGGGGAAAGTACCAGGGTTTGTCAGGATTCTTTTGGCTACTCCATTTGGAAAGCAAAGCTTATGGCCATATTCTTGACATGTAAGATGCGGCGGGGAGACGAGTGGATTTTGAAAAACAACATCTTCTCCTACGATAGACATCAAACTGTATGTAAGGCTAGACCTATCTTTAGAGGGTTTTTATGACTTTCATTACCATATAGCCCGAAAACCATCCCATGAGAGTTGCATAGGCAGCCTGAAGAAAAAAGCAGTAGCATCTCGAATATGCAATCCCAAGAACGGGAACATGTGTCGATGATGGCGAGGTGCTGGAGGGTTAAACGCTAACGAGACGATTCGGTGGGGAGCGGGAACGCACAGACTCCACTTTACGCGTTGTCGCGTCTACGCGTATCGGTGAACTCGAGATACCAACAACCACATTTATAACAATGGCTTTCCAGCAGCGACTACGTGGACGACAAGCTCGTATGTATTTTAGTATTTGGGTTTGGGTGCCGGAAAACTTACAAAACTTCTAGATGCCCCTGGCGCGACTTACCTGACTTACACACCAAACGGGAAGAAACTCATCACAGCTGGAGTCGACAATTACTGTCGTATTTTCACCACTGGGTCCGACGATGAGCCTGTGACTGTGGATGACTGCCAGGAGAGCAACACAGCCGTGGTTGCTGGCGTGCGTACAAATATTCTGCTAGCACGAGCGAAATGCTGACGGGAAGCACAGAATGGCTTCTTCATTACTGGTTCTGAGGATGGTACAGTGAGCAAGTACTCACTGGAGGGCAACAAGTTCGAAGAAATACTCGTCAGGACTACACTACCTGTCCGAGATGTAGCTCTCAGTCCAGATGGGAACTGGATTGCGGTTGCGAGCGAGCATGTTTCTTCACACCCCTATATGTACATGGCACTGACGGCAACAGTGAGCTCGTAGTCAATGTCGTAAGCACAAAAGACATGACGAAGATACGGACGCTACGCGACCAGCCTCGAGCCGTGAAGCATGTCTCTTTCGACAAATCTGGAGGCCAGCTTGCCGTATCCTGCACCGACGGCAACATCTATATGTACAACTTGGACGAGGGCGAGCCTGAGATGGTAAAACGAGTGGACGGCATGATAAAGAGCCTGGAAGCAGACGCAGAGTCCAGCTCGAGGGTGCTGTGGCATCCAGACGGCCGGGCGTTCGCTACGCCCACGGCACTTCGAGATGTGCAGGTCATGTCAACGAGCGACTGGGAACGCCAACGCGTCTTCAAGACTGGACATGCTTCTGACATTACGGCCGCGGCCTGGTCACCAAATGGAGCCCTTCTAGCGACTACATCTGGCGATCTGAACCTCTGCCTGTGGGATACCAAGACACAAAAAGTGCTGAAGAAGTACGACGACATCAAGGCGACTATTCTGGCCATGGCATGGCATCCCACAGAAAACATCCTCTCCTATACCAACAACGAGGGCGAGCTGTTCATCCACACAGACTTCGTACCCGAGGAACATATCCCGCTGCTAGAGAAATCTACCGTTTCAGCACCTTTCTTCCACGATCCTGCAGAAGGCCGGGCTGGTGCTCCTAATCTCGCAGGTGGAGCGACGACTGTCCTTCCAGAACGACGACCACGGCAAAGAGACGGAACGCCTGATTCTCTTGATGATTTGCTTGGCCCGGATTTCAGGGACGACGAAGCAGACGAAAATGGCGACGAGGATATGAACGATTTCGTGGTCGACGACGACGGTGCTGGCTATGCACCTGCTCTCAATGGCCACGGCAAGCGTCCAAACAACCATCCTACCAACGGCCTCGAACCTGCCTCCAAACGACGTGCTCCCTTCAGCTCTGCGCTCTTCCGCCCTCAAGTCCACGAGCCCTTCCAACCCGGTAGTACACCCTGGCGCGGAAACCGCCGTCTCTTGTGCTGCTCGTTGACAGGGCACATCGAGACCGTCTCCCAAGAAGGAAGACACCACACCGTGAGCGTAGCCTTCTACGACGAACAAACATTCCGCCCCTTCCACTTCACCGACGTCTTCCTCTACGACAAGGCTTGTCTTAACGAAAACGGCGCACTCTTCGCCTGCCAACCAAACAGCACTGGCGACGGAAACCAAGCAATGATATACTACCGGCCACACGAGACATGGACCTCTCGAACCGACTGGCGCACCAACCTGCCCACAGGCGAATCCGTAACCGCAGTCGCACTCTCAGACTCCTACATCTGCGTAACCACGTCAGCAAACTACGTGCGCATCTACTCCCTCTTCGGCCTCCCGATCCGCGTATACCGGCAAAAGTCCTCCCCAGCAGTAACATGCGCAGCATGGCGCGACTACATCCTCACCATCGGCAACGGGCCCATGCAAGCCGACGGCTCAACCCAACTGCTCTACACCATCGAAAACATCAAACACGACACCATCTACCAAGACGCTGACATCCTCGCCCTCCCCCCAAACACAACCCTCACCTCCGTCTTCTTCAGCGCAGAAGGTGACCCCTACATCTACGACACCGCCGGCGTCCTCACCACCCTCCTCGGCTGGCGCTCAGCAGGCCAGGCCCGCTGGACCCCCATGCTCGACACAACCCAGCTCTCGCGCCTCGCCACCGGCGGGAAGCAAGAATCCTACTGGCCCGTCGGCGTCGCCCGCGACTCCGACTCAGCCATGAAATTCCACTGCATGATCATCAAGGGCAGGGAAATGTACCCCTCCGCCCCCGTCCCGCACCTCAGCGACTTCGGCCTCGAGATCCCGCTATCCAGCGCAGTCGACAGGCGCAAGACATCCGCCGCAGAGCGAAACGCAGACGCCATGTCCGACGACGACGACGATGACGCGGACGCCACGACAAAGAAACCAGAATCCAAACAGCAGGAACACGAGCAGGCGTTTATTCTCTCGTCAACGCTACATTCGCAGTTGGCGTCTACGCTGGCGCATACGCGCCCGTCGCTGGCGCAGAAACAGGACCTCGCTACGCTGGAGGTCGCGGTTGATCGCGCGCTGCTGCAGCTTCTGGGGTTGGAGTGCTTGGCTGGCGAGGATCATGGGATGAAGGCGTTGGAGATTGTCGGGTTGATGAGGGATGCGAATGGGAAGATGCTGGATCTTGCGGGTAAGGTTGCGAATCGCTATGGGAGGGAGGTGTTGGCGGAGAAGATTGGGGAGTTGGCGGAGCGGAGAGCCGCTGGGCGGGATGCTGATGGGGATGAGGAGTATTAGGGGATGAGGAGTATTAGAGGTGTCATGTCATGTAGATGTTGGCGCTTGGATGTAATGCGTTGGATAGCTTATCAGCATAGCGGGTGTCACATTCAATGGTATCATCAAATCACCTTCAATACACAAAGTCATGTTAAAGCCGTGAACAATTTAAAGGCCATTACTAAAAGGAGTAAGAACAAAGAAAGTGGACAATTCATCCCAAAACGCTTTGATATTTCGCTGGCGGTCCGCTCAAACTCCATCGAACCGCATCTCATCGCCAAAAGGTACGCATTCTCATCAAAAGCGAAGCTTCGACAAGAATACGCCATTCAACAATGCGGACGGAACTAAACTGCTTTTCGTCGCGCTCCAGTGCACAGCACAAAAACGTCTAGTACTCGGCCTCAACATCCGCCTCACCCTCGAGGGAGTCGGCAGCAACCTCCTCGTAATCGCGCTCAAGAGCAGCCAAATCCTCACGAGCCTCGGAGAATTCACCCTCCTCCATACCCTCACCGACGTACCAGTGGACGAAGGCGCGCTTGGAGTACATGAGATCGAACTTGTGCGACAAGGCAGACCAGGCCTCGCTAATGGCGGTGGTGTTGGACAACATGCAGACGGCGCGGTTGACGGCGGCGAGGTCACCGTTGGGGACGTTCTGGGGTGGCTGGTAGCAGATACCAATCTTGAAACCAGTGGGGCACCAGTCGACGAACTGGACAGTGCGCTTCGTCTTGAGGTGGGCAATGGCCGCGTGGGTGTCCTTGGGGACGACGTCACCGCGGTAAAGCAGGCAGGTGGCCATGTACTTGCCGTTGCGAGGGTCGCACTTGACCATCTGGTTGTTGGGCTCGAAGCAGGCGTTGGTGATCTCCATGACCGAGTTGGCCTCGTGGGCAGCCTTGGCGGCGGAGATGACGGGAGCGTAGGCGACGAGAGGGAAGTGGATACGCGGGTATGGGACCAAATTGGTCTGGAACTCGTTCAAGTCGACGTTGAGGGAGCCGTCGAAGCGGAGGGAGGCGGTGATGGAAGAGACGACTATTGATGGTTAGTGAGGTGGATGGAGGCACGGTAGTTGGAAGACATACCCTGAGCGATGAGACGGTTCAGGTTCTCGTAGTTGGGGCGCTCGATGCCCAAGTTCCTTCGGCAGATGTCGTAGATGGCCTCGTTGTCGACCATGAAGGAGCAGTCGGAGTGCTCGAGGGTGGTGTGAGTGGTGAGGATCGAGTTGTATGGCTCAACGACCGACGTGGCGACCTGGGGGGCCGGGTAGACGCAGAACTCGAGCTTGCACTTCTTGCCGTAGTCGACAGACAGACGCTCCATCAACAGGGCACCGAATCCGGAACCAGTTCCACCACCGAAGGAGTGGAAGACGAGGAAACCCTGCAGACCCGAGCAGTTGTCGGCGACGCGGCGGACCTTGTCGAGGACCTGGTCAATGAGCTCCTTGCCGACTGTGTAGTGGCCACGGGCGTAGTTGTTCGAGGCATCCTCCTTGCCCGTGATCATCTGCTCGGGGTGGAAGAGCGAGCGGTAGGGGCCGGTGCGGACCTCGTCGACGACGTTGGGCTCCAAGTCGGCGTAGATGGTACGCGGGACGTACTTGCCCTGACCTGCCAAGGGGTTAGAGGCGCCGTGCGGGAGAGGGAGAAATGTCAGGCGACGGCGGAGTGCATACCAGTCTCGGAGAAGAAGGTGCTGAAGCCATGGTCGTCGTTCTTGGCCTTGCGCTCCTCAGTCAGGTAGCCATCAGGCTGGATGCCGTGCTCGAGGCAGTAGAGCTGGGGCGGCGTGTTAGCAGCGTGGCCCAGGGCGGTCAGGGAGCTCGGCGGTGCCCCCTCCTTTTCGCGGCGACGGCGATGCAGAGCAGGACACGGCCGGCTCGGGATGGTAGACTCACCTCCCAGCACGAGTTGGCAATCTGGCAACCGGCCTGGCCGACTACGCGTGCATGTCAGCTCGAGTCCAAATCACAGGGATGTGCCGTCCGAAGCGGTCAGGGCGGTCAGGGCAGGGCGGTTGGGGGCGTACCGTTCAAGCTGATGACTTCTCTCATGGCGGCGGTGGGCGCGGGTAGGAATTGGGTATGGAATGGAGGCGGATGGGAGAGGCTGCGGTGGTGGTGGACGGCAGATGGTGGAGCAGCGGGGAGAGTGCAGTGCAGTGCAGCTGTCAGTAGGTAGTCGTGTTGGACCGAAGATTTGATCCGGACGCGCTTGCCCAAAACATCGAGTCAACACGGCCCGTGCGCGTGTGCTAGCACCACATCGTCGCTGGGCGCTGGAACCTCACTCCATGGCCAGACCAGACGTCTGCCAGACAGGTGTGAGAGCGGCGAGTAGGGTCTTGTCATCCGCCCTTTAAGTAAAAGAAAGGCATAGCATCCCTCGCTCCATCCCATCGCCCTGCCCGCCAAAGATGCGCGTCCTGGCCGCCGTGCTCTGCATCGTCACACAGGCCTGGACGGTGAATGCCAACGTCGAGAAGACCATCTTCCTCGGCCCCCGCCCTGTGACTCTCCCCAATGTGCCTCCCAGCCTAGACGACCTGCGTCTGCACACTCTGTCTCCTCTGCAGCCCATCCTGGCCACGCAGCTCTCCGTGCACTTCCCCTCTGAACACGCACCCCGCGGCCTGGAGTCTTGGTACCTTCTCCGAGGCCTGGAAGACGGGCGCAGATACGAAGTCCGCATCTGCTGGCCTGCGACTGTGAGTGTGGTTGCTGTTTGGTTCATACATGTTTGCAGTCGTGGACTGACCATGTCTAGCAACCTACCGACTTCTGGCTGGACACTTACCCAATCACCCACGTCTTTGATACACCAGAGCTTCTGGTCTCTCTCGCCCAGTACAGTGAACAGCGCCAACACCTCAGTCTGGACGATCAACAGCTTGAAAAAGATAGCGTACCAGAAATCACCCAGTCTGTGTTGCTGTTGCGCGTCCAGGCAGCAGCATCGTACTACACGACAAACCGCACGTTGATGGACCATCCCCTTCCAGTCGATGCAGACATCAGTGCGTAGCCACACTTCAATCTCAACTCCCCAGTCACTAACAACCCCAGTCCTCGACCCATTCATGCTCAACATCCTCCCGCGCTCTCTAGGTCCAGTCGCTGCATACATCACCGCAGTAGCCATAGGATCCTGGTTCATCTCGGGCTACATCTACCGCTGGCTCCTTCTCACTATCAACGCACCACCCCAAAAGCCGCACACAGATTGAAGCTCGCGTCCGTCGACTACCCCTTGAACCAACTGCGCCATCTCCAACCCAACAACGCCATCTTAACCCTACGCAAATATGCCACCCCCACCCCCCACACCATCCCCCTTCGACCTCCTCCCCGCCGAACTCCTCCTAACAATCCACCAATACCTCTCCCTCTCCCACTCGCTGAACCTCGCCCTAGCCATCTACCCCACCCTCCGCCGCCACGGCCTAGCCCCCGCCCTCACCCCGCAAACCGTGCTGCGCATAACGCGCCAGCAGCGAAGCGTCCAGGGGAGCGTTCAGCAGAGTGCACCACAGCAGGCCGTCGCGCGCCTGCCCGTCGAGCTGTTTCTGCAGATTGCGGAGCACTTGGAGCCCGGGGATGGGATTGCCATGGTGTTTGCGCTTGATGCGCGGTTTTATCGGGGTGAGGGTGGGGGTGGGGTGAGTGCCGAGACGGGGGGGAGGTTGCGGGTTTGGGGGAGGAGGGAGTAAGGAGGTAGTGTGGTGCGGTGGGTAGGGGTCAGAAGTATAGGGGATATGCGGGTTTAGTGTGTTCGATCGGGATGTTTCATGAGCATGTCCTCGACTACAACATCGATGCAACACGCAAAATATATATCGAAAGTCTTGCAAAAAGGCACCAAAGATTCACATTCATTTCCCATCCCATCATATACTATCATATACACTTCCCCAACCCAACCCCCCTATAAACGCCTCGCTATGCACAAAATCCCAACCCGAATCCGACCACAGTGACCACCCTACTTTTCCATCCCATCCCTCACCCCTCACACCTCCCTAAGTATCCCTAGGAAACTCATCCTGCAACCCAATCGTAACCTTAACATTCATACTCCCCAGCTCCTGAATAAGCAATTTCGCCGCATACGGCATAGTAATCCTGCGCACCGCCTTCTCCGACTCGCACAACTTGCAGTACCCGCTATATCCCATTTGGCCACCTACGCGTAAAAAAGTCAGCAACTTCTCAGTTAAGAAAGGAACTCGGGGAAAACAAAACTCACACTTCTCACAAACATCCACATCATGCGCATCCGAACTAATCATCAACCGCTCAAGCAGCAACTGACTAGCCCCATACGCAATCAAGCAATCGCGTTCCATCTCCCCGAGCCTCAACCCGCCCATCCTTGCGCGCCCCTCGGTTGGCTGGCGCGTAAGAATCGCCCTCGGCCCGCGCGCACGACTATGCATTTTATCCTGCACCATATGCTTTAATTTCTGATAATAAATCGGGCCGAAGAAAGTGTAGAACTGGTGCGCCTCGCCCGTAATACCAGAGGTGAGGTAATCCTTCCCCGTGTAGGAGAAGCCCTTTCCGACGAGGATATCGGCCATATCTTCTACCCGTGAGCCGCCGAAGGCAGTGCCGTATTCGAGGGTGCCGTTCAGAACCCCGGCTTTGCCGCTGAGGAGCTCCATCATCTTGCCGACTGTCATGCGTGAGGGGAAGCCGTGCGGGTTCATGATGATGTCTGGGACGATGCCGCGGTCGTTGAAGGGCATGTCTTCTTGGTTTACGATGAGGCCTGTTGTGCCTTTTTGGCCGTGGCGGGAGCTGAATTTGTCGCCGAGTTCTGGGCGGCGCGTTTGCCGGGTTAGGAGCTTGATGAGGGTTGTGCCGGCTTCGTTTTCGGTGATGCAGACTTTGTCTACGTAGCCGCAGTCCGGGAGCTTGTACTTCTCGGGCTTGTCTTTGTAGATGTTGGATGCTGGGCCGGCTGTGTCTTGGGGCATGCTCTTGAGTAGGTAGGCGTCGTTCATTTCGAGTCGTGCGCCTACCTGGGCGATGCCGTCGAGGCCGATGGCTTGGTGCATGGGTAGTTCCGGATTCAGAGCGCCAGCGTTGATGCGGTCTGATGTTCCGTTCGCGTATGTCTTGAGGGGCATGACGACCTTCTTCATTACTTGGCAGCGACCAAAGCCACGATCGCAGGACGCTTTGTTGAGAATGAGCGCATCTTCGATATCGTACCCCGAGTAAGACATAACAGCCACAGTAGCATTCTGACCTGCAGGGAGCTTGTCGTATTTCGTGAGCTCGATAGTGCGGGTTTTGACCATGGGTTGTTGGGGGTAGACCATCAGATACAGAATCGTGTCTATCCTATTGAACTGGTTGTATGCGATAGCGCCAATAGCTTGCTTACCCATAGCACATTGGTAGGTGTTACGGGGCGATTGATTGTGGTGTGGGTAGGGAATAAGACCAGCAACAGCGCCGAGAATAGTGAAGGGTTCGATTTCGAGATGCGTCGTATGCTGGTTGATATCCGCCTCTTTCAAAGCAATATTCGTGTCGTTCTCCTCGTTGGTATCGAGATACTCCACGAGACCCCTAGTCAGGAAATCTTCAAACTCCAACGTCCCCTTCCTCAAAGCCTTGAGATATCTTCCAGTGACCTTTGAGCGCTGGTTCTCCACGATAATCATAGGCCGACAAATGCGACCTTCGTCCGTAGCAAGATGCACCTCGCAGAAGTCGTGGTTGATGTGAATGCTAGTAAACTCGGAGACTCGCCCCATCCGTCGCAGCTTCCGGAAGCTGTTCAAGAATAGTTTTGGTGTATCTGTGACAGCAATCGGTGTACCGTTCAAACACACACTGTACACACCCTCAGCATGTATCTCCTCTCCGGTCTGCGAACAGATATCTTCAGCACCGAGCATAAAGACAATCTTGCGCACCGGATCCTCATCATCCTCGGTTGTGATATGCGTCATCAAAGCCAAGTTCTTGACCAGCCCACACGCCTCACCTTCCGGCGTATCAGACGTGCAAAGCATACCAAACTGCGACGGCTGCAGCGCACGAGGGCCCGACACCTTTCTCGTCTTCTCAAACTGAGAAGATATCCTAGTCATCATACCCAACGCAGCAATGTAACTAAGTCTACTCAAGACGTGTGTAACACCAGCTCTGTCCATCTTGAAGCGCTTCAGACTCCAATTTCCCGTAGCGATGGCACGTTCAATGCCCATCGTGATGTGGTTTTTGTGCACGCTGAAATGCGAAAACGCGTCAAACTCCTGAGCCCGGTTCTGCTTCTTGAGCACTTTGTCGATGCTCAGTTTGAAGTCGTGGTTGAATCGCTTGAAGTGGTCCTCGAACAGCAGCGACAACATCTGACCCGACAACTCGAGACGCTTGTTACCAACGTAGTCACGGTCATCGACCAGCTTCGGGTTTTGCATGGCCATAACGACTCTGCGCGCCATGAGAGCAACGTAAAGTGCCTTTGGTCGATAATCTGTGCCGTCAACGGGTACGTGTGGCAGAACGACGTTGGACAAGCACTCGATGGCCTCGAGGTGGTAGTTGCGCATGCGCGAGGTCCCAAGCGGTTTCTTCGTCAATCGTACGCGGTGTCCAATATATTCAAGCGCCTTCTCCTGCGTGTGAACTCCTTCTCTTGCACACGCCTCGAAGTTGATGGCGAAGTTATCCTGGTATGCGCTGTCATCGCCAGCAACCATAAGCAGGATCTCCTTGTCCGAATGCACTCCCAGAGCCTTCAGGACGAACACAATCGGCACTTCTTCAGAGAGGGTGTTGTGCCTGAGAAACATGAGTCCCTTCTTCTGAATAACATATGTCTTCGTCCGTCTCTCATGCGTCGAACTTGTGACGCTGGCCTGCATAATCCCCTTTGCGCTCTCCACAATGACTCGATTCTTGTTCAACTGCTCCTGCACCAGGATAACCTTCTCTTGCCCCCTGGTGATGAAGTAGCCTCCCGGATCCAGCGGACACTCCTCCATGACGGCCATCTCGCGATCGTTCTTCGCCGCGAGCACACACTTATTACTCTTGAGCATAATGGGCATCCTCCCAATCTTAATCCCCGTCCTTTTGACTTTCGCATTCCCCCTCGTGTACACGATATCGACAACAATCGGCGCCGCATACGTCATGTCTCGGAGCCGGCACTCATTCGGCGTGATGGTACTCTTGTGGTGATCGAGGTCGTCTTCTTCCTGGCGATTGGGCGACAGGACGCGGATATCGGTGTACTCGAGCAGGAACTTGGGGTCAAAGTCGCTCCTCACAAAGCGATTCGCCTTGATAATCTTCCTCAGCTCGACGTCGACGAAGTGATTATACGAGTCGACATGCTGCTTGACCAGACCTTTGACCTTGAGGAAGGCAGGGAGTAGGTTCCACTTGTCGCGCGCAGTGTTGATGGGGTCGGAGAGGCCTTTGCCGTAGTAGAACGGCTCGAGTAGGGCGGCGAATTCGTCTTTGGCGTGAGTGAGAGGCGCGCGGCGTTTTCGAGTTTGCTCTGCGGATGTCGAGGCTTGTGGGTTGTGGTCTGTTGGTGCAGACGTCGAGGCCTGCGCATCGCCGTTCTTCTCCGTACTCCCACTTCCCTCCGCCGGTACACTCTTCTCCACACTCTCCCCGTTACCCGCCATCTGCACGGCGATGGGAGCGGCTTTCGCCCCGCGCGGGGGAGCTCGGGGCTTTGGCTTTGGCTTGGGAACTTCCTGCACACACGTTAGCTCTCCGTTCTTCACTCGCATACCTTCTACCTCGACAAGCTTACCTTGTTGCCCACCATGACTGCGACTGGAAGCTTAGAGTGTTGTGGTGCGCAGTGCGAGTTGGACGCCGAAATATTTTAGCGTCATGCGAACGCGGCGAGTCAGAGCTGGGGTGGGAGAACGCCGACCAATCGGTAATCCGCAGTAGAGTCGGTGATCTGCCAGGGTGGGTGACCATCTGCTTTCATCCAAATACAAGAGCTTCGCGCAATATCACAACAGAACAGAACGTAATTGAGGAACTCAAATGATCTGCATGATGTACAATTGCGCGCAACTACCCAGCCCAGCACCAGCCAGCCATATAAATTCGTCTACCAACCAACTGCAAGCCACCCAACCCACCCGCGCACCGCAAACGCCATCTCCCATGCCCATGTCAAAGTCATGTTTGCGCTGAATCCAACGTGCAGTAAAGATCCCCCAAGCCAGATATCATACAAATCGCCCCACCCACACACATATCAGTGCAGCCAAAAACCAACCAGAACAAATTTCAAGCCCATAAATTTTCCCAGAGAATGGTGAAAAAAGACTCTACTTCCTACTAGAAAGCAGGCCCCCCAATCTCTCCTTCAGCGCTCATCTTCCTCAGTGAATCCTCTGCAAGATCGGCTCTCATCTGCGCCGCTTCGGCATCCCTCTCTAGCACATCCCACTCCCTCAGCTTCTGCCTCTTAGCATCCTCTTTCTTGTCAATCATCTCGCGTAGCTTTCTTGCCTCTTCTTCTAGCTTGAGAATCTTGCTCTTGTCATACAGTTCCGGCGCTTTCTGCCCACCGGGAATTTCCTTGGGGAGATCGGATAGATGGTCGCGGAAGCGCATAGTGCGTGGGTATGTAGTGGCTGTCGAGTTGCTGGAACCACGGAATGGGGGCGCAAAGGGCGTTGGACCAGTACCGGAGCCACGGGGACCTGATGGCGCACCACCACCGTAGAAGCCTCCTCCTCGGGGTCCTGAACCCCATGAACCGCGGCGAGGCGCTGGACCGGAGAAGTCGCGAGGGGCGTCATAGGCAAAGCCACCGCGCCCGCCACCTCGGGGTCGTGTAGGCGCAGCGAGCACAGGGTTGCTTGCTCTAGGGAACGCTGGCGGTTGCGTGTTCGCGCTGGCAGGGCCTACAGGCGGCGAGATGACAGGCGAAGGATAGCTGCGGCTGGAAGGGCCTGTTGGCGGAGCCCTCGCAAAGTTGTTGTTGTTGTTGTCGCCATTGCGGTACGATGCTGACGGTCCCGTGGGAGGAGCAAAGTCTCGGTCTCCGCGCGGCCCAGTCGGGGGGCTTTCCCTTCGTCGCGGCGGGGATCTCTCTCGCTCGCGATTATGGTCTCGGCCTCGGTCGTAGTCTCGTTCACGGTAGGGCGACCGCGGCGCCGATGCAGCGTCTCTTGCTGGTCTGTCGTCTACGACTACCAGGGCGGCCCTGCTGGGATGGATCGGCGGCGGAGAGGAACGGCGCGAAGTTGCTGCAGACTCTCTACCCGATGCTTCATTGGGCGCATACGAGGGTCTAGCTGGGGAGGGAGACCGACGACTCCTCCAAGTATCTGCGGCGGGTGGCTCAGCACGGTCGCGCCGTGGCGAGGGAGAGCGGCGGCGGAAATCGCGAGTATCGCGGGCAGGCGAGAAACGGCGGGGAGGGCTTGAGCCAGTCAGCAGGCGTTCAGTCATTCTAGCTAGCAGCACATCACACACCTGTTCACCCTTGACCGCGGTTCCTCATAGCGACTCGAGCGCGCAGGCGAACGCGCCCGACTCCTAGCCGGCGAGACATCGCGCTCTCTCGGCGGCGGCGATCTGTCTCGGGGTCGCGGAGAGCGCGTGTACGAATCATAACCGCCACGTCGCGGCGACCTCGGTCTGTCGTTCCTAAAGCCATCCCGTCTGGGTGAGAGAGCGCGCCGGGGCGGTGATCGCGGTCGAGCTCTCCAGTTGTCATCGCGACGCGGGCTGCGCGACCTTCTCCGCACGATGGGCGAGCGACTGCGCGGACGAGACGAGCGCCCACCAGGAGTATACGTGTCGGCTGACGCAAGGCCACGACGGGGAGGAGGAGAACGGCCAGCACGGTAGCTGTCGCCGCGAGGCCCAGGGGAGCGAGCTCGGGGGCCTGGAGAGCGTGGACGCGGGCCTGGCGAGCGCGGCCGGTACGTGTTGGAGAACCTGTCGTCCCTGTCCATCACGTCAGCATCCCAAACAACACACACCATCTCACCACTGCAATGCAATGCAGCGCGGCCAGACAAACCTTCGCTCTCGATCCCGGTCTCTCTCGCGGTCCCTGTCCATGTCCGCGACCAAGCTACGTAATCTGCCGCCTGTATCTAGTTGCTGTTGCTGCTACTAACAATAGCGGGCGAGATTCCTATCCGCACGTGAGTCTGGAGGGTGGTGGTGGGTGGATGCAGGTGCTGCGTGACATGTCTCTGCTAAGCTTGCAGAAAAGTGAGTTTCATCTCGCAAGCCACACACGAGATGCGACGATCCTGGAGTTGGCTGCGTCACGTGGCGTCTGCAAACGTCACAACGTCCAACAATCCTGCAAATAGCTCTGGAATGTCAGCAAGAATGTCGAGCGCGGGAGTGCATGGCATCAGCGGTGAATTCGTGCATGTTCGAAACGTTTGTGTTTGAAGCGACGCGTCGTTCTTTGAGTGCCGTGTTTCCATCATCCTGTCCACCACATCTCCAGTCACTCTCCATCTTGTCCTGACAAATTCTGCTTTCTTTTAATTCCGTCTCCATAGATACAACTGCAATTAGTCTTATGGTTCTTGACTCGCCTCTGTCTGCTCTCAGGGCATACACTGGGCCTGTTCTCCGAAAATAGGGGGGGACTTCTTGTCATCGCGTCCTCGGAGCTCCCACCATACCATGTCTTGACTCGTCACTAACAAATGTCCTTTCTTGTCTTCAGCAAATGGCTGCAGCTATCTTGAGCTCGATTATATGCATCTGTTATCTCAATCCCTCCGCTGCTGCATCAAACGCCATCGCCCAATGCCCCAGATCTGAAGCCTCTTCTTTCTCAAGTCCCTAAAACGCCACCTCGTCGTGAGGTTCTGGAATCCATGACCCGCAAAAAACTTCTTTTGTACAAAAGTCCACCTCCTGAACTCGCCCATCGTCAATCAGCCTCACCGCTTCGTCTTCCGCTCGTCGTCCCTCTTGACCCTCTTCCTGCTCTCCGCGGCAATCATGTCTGCCAAGTCATCTTGATCAATACTCTGCCACTGTCCTGCCGCTTCCGCCCGTTGCCTTGACTCATACTCTTTCTTGAGCGCATCCTTGTCCAGCTTGTCGCTGTCTGCCAACTGATCCACGTCGACAGAAATGTCCACATCACCAGCCTTGCGCTTCTTCTGTGCCATCCCAATGGCGTCACGCTTGGCAGCATCAAGATCGTACGCATGCTCGCCGCCGAAGAAACCAGTCGCAGAAATGTTCTTCTCGGGGAGGACGGTGAACGCGCTGCGGGGCGCGCCCGGCTCTTCCGTCTCGATTCCTTTGCGTTGTTTCCGGAGTGTGAACTCTCCGCCGATAGTCTCGATGCCGCCCATCTGTGATGTCATGCCCGATGCCGCCGTCATAGATGTCTGGATGCCGCTTGCGTCTTCTTCACCGTCTTCCTCCTCATCTTCGTCCTCATCTTTGTCCTCCTCTTCCTCCTCGTCGCTCTCCTCGTCTTCGCTCTCGCCCTCAGCCCGTAGCGCTCCCCAAGTGCCACGCTCAACCGGTTCGCCATCATGTGTAGGTTTCTGTTGTTCTTCTAGTACACTCGTGCCGTAGAGATCGCCTCCAAAAAGTGGTCGTCCTCCGTCATCAGTTGGAGGCTTTCCCCACTGACCCGGTTGAAAGCCCCAGGAAGCGCCGGGTGGGATGGGCGCGTTCACACCAGGTATGCGCATGCTCGGGTAGGACGACGGGGGGCCAAAGCGCTGCATGTTGATAAGCCACGGAGGTGGGTGACCGGCCGCCATGCCAAGAGCTTCCCTCAGTTCCTCGCTCAATTCACCTGGCTTGAGGTTCACTAGATTTGTCTCAAATTCCTTGCCCTCGTAGTAAACCTCGCCATAACGTGTCAGCTCTGGCTTTGTTTGTCGCCGGAAGAAGGCGTCGTAGAGCTTCGAGTAGTCAATGTCGAGTTTGCCGAGCTTTCCCTGGACGCGCTCGCGCTGCTTCTGCCTCATTGTCATCTCTGCCTGCTTCTCGAGCACAGCATCTCTCATCTCTGCAATACCCGTCTCCTGGATGAATTTGGGCAGCGCAAAGGGCGGCTTCTCGATACCACGTTTCGACGACAGGTACTCGCGCTTCAGCGACCAGTGGGTTGGTACGGGGATGACGTTCTTTGCTCCCTTGATAGCAATCAGCAGCTCTGGATTAGATGATGACACATCTGTCCACTCGACCAGCTCAGGCTTCTGAACCAGCGACTTGAGCTGAGCGACCGACAGCTTATTCATAGCCTTCCTCTGCTTCTTCGAGATCTTCGGCTTGCCGTCCTCTTCCTCGCTTGGAATGTCGTCATCGTCGTAGTAGATCTCGGGCTTTTCCTCGTCTTTGGTTGCCGCCTCTTCTTCCGTCGGCTCCCTAAACTTCTCGAAAATGCTCTTGTACTGCTCGAAGAGAGGGTTGTCTAGGTCATATTGGTTCGCGAGGTCGTCAATGTCGAGCAGATCCGTCGGCTTCACCGCCTGTGCATCGTTATTGGTGATGTCGTCTGGTGCAGGAGATTCACTCTCACGCGCAGAGTCGTCGGCCTCGGATGGTGTCTCCTGAGTGCTTGTCAGTATGGCGCTACACGTGCATCATGTCGTCTGCCGGCTACTCACAGCGCGCTGTGCCCTCTTCTTTGCCCGGCGATAAGCGTTCTTGTTCGCCGGCTTCTTCGCCTTCACAGTCGCGCCTGGCATCGTGGCAGTGGCTGCGCGTCGCGATACAAGGCCGGGAAGCTGCTAGTCTGACCACTCAACTCGCGTACTCGGGAAATGGCAGATGCGCAGGAAAGGTGGAGTATGTGATGCGCTCGGAAGATGCGCGTACGTTGGATGGTGTGGTGAATGGCGGGCGTGAAGGAAGTGGTGTTGCTGAGTGGACTAGCTCTCGCATTCGAAAATCCTATCTTGGCGAGATCCGAGATCCGTGCTGACTGCATGTGCACTTCTCACTCGAAACATCACACGAACATCAACCATCATCATGATATGCTTATTTTCAGTCTACGCAGACTACAGTTTCCAGGTGTCGGCCTCCATATGCGGTACAACTACGTCCTGTCATTCTCGCCAATTATATGAGTCCAGAAGCCCCTGAAGTGCTTGGTCTGTCCCAACTCATTGATCTTCTTGACCTCCACAGGCGTCAGCTTGAACGTCGCACACCTCAAGTAATCACTCAGACGCTGTTCCTTGCTGCTGGTCGTAATCGGCACAACATCCTGATCAATGCACCATCTCAAGGAGATCTCAGCCTCGCTGACAGCATACTTCTTCGTCAGAGCAGCGAAGTAGTCGTCTAAGGGTCCGGGCTTCGCTTTCGTAACCGCGGATAGCGGTCCGTATGCAGTAGTCGCGATGCCGTGCTTCTTGTGCAATTCCAGGAGCTCGGGGTGTTGAAGGTAAGGATGGAACTCGATCTGGTTGCAGGCAGGAATGACCTTGGCCGTTTTAAGAATTGCGTTCAGATGTTGGGGCTGGAAGTTGGAAACACCGATTGACTTGGTCAGGCCGGCTTGCTGGACTGCTTCCATGTCTGCCCACACTTTTTGCAGCGCTCCCTCGGTTTCATACGGAAAAGGCTGATGGACCAGGTATCTTCGTTTGGTCAGTAAGGGGCAGCTCCACACATATGAGGATACCATACAAGTCAACTTGGTCTACTTGCAGCTTCTTCAAGCTTCCCCTCAAAGAGCCTTCGATGTCGGTGTTTCCCGGGTTCTTCGTAACAATGTACAGCTTCTCCCGTGGCACGCCGCCGTCCTTGATGGCGGTACCAAGCTCAGTTTCGGTCTTGTAAACTACACCAACAAATCAGCAGCTTCATTGACGCTAGTAGTAACAGACCATGACATACTTTCAGCTCCGTCCAAGTGCGTGTATCCGAGGCCTATCGCTGTCTTGACTGCATCAATGCACGCCTGATCAATCTTGCTCTCATCACCTGTTTTGTACCAGGCGGTACCCGTTCCATATCCAAGCATGGGCATTGACGTTCCGTCATTGAGCTTCAAAGACGGCATGAAGATGTCGAGTTTGGCCATGATTGCGAGATTGTATGTGAACGTTGATTTAGAGTCGATCAAACAAATGTGTGCTGTCGAAGGATTGTTGATTTGCAAACCGGGGTACTTGTTGCGCGTACCTTTAAAGGTGGGGTACGAAGACGTCGTGTAAATGACGGAGGAGGGGTGGGGCATAGCCAATCAGATCAGCTCCAAATTGGACATACGGATCGAACGGAAAGAACTATGGCTGATTATGTTGATATTTGAATATCTAAGAACAATGGTTTTCTGGTTATCGAACACCGTACAGAATTATGAACCTTTACGCCCTTTCAGACTCCTTCACGCCGATTGAGACTAACGTTGGAAATACATGATACTCAGAGGAACCCAAAATATATAACACCGACACGCTCGAACCAACCTTGTCAAAAGCACTTTTATCCTACCAGAAAATCAACATTATCAGAAAACCCATGTTAAAGCGAAGGTCATGACGACTTGACGTGCTGCGTCGACACCCGTTGGAGAGCGACAACAAAGTCATCAAGGAATCTCCCCTTCTTTTCCTTCTTAAGCGACTTGCCATTCATAACGTTGTCGAAACTCTTGCTGCCGTCGACAAGATAGTATACGCCGGCCATGACGCAGAAGACACCGAAGGAGAAGACCCAGACCCGCACGATCGTGACAATATCCGTCTTACCACCTACAAACCACCCAAAATAGGTAAAGAGGGTAGCGATGATGTCGACAGTCAAAATAGCGCTGACCAGCTGCCAAGATGGCCTCGTGGACCAAAAGGGGCCGTTGGCACGTGTGATGAAGATCAGCCAGTTCTCAGTAAGCGCTATCTCGAGGAAGAGGATTGGGTCTCGAACGCCGAAGTTCTGCACGATACCACCACCGACACCCTGGGAGTCGCCCGCCTTGTACATAAACGTGGTAGTCAGAGTAATCCAGGTACCGATGGCAAGGATCATGCCGAGCAGAATGGAGGTGCCCCAGAGCTTAGGTAGGTTCCATTTGACAGGAGTCTGAGAATATGGCGCATTGTCGTACGCAATGGCCAGCGTGGCGATGTCGGCAAAGATGGCGATGAAGACGATTAGCTGAAGGTTCAGCGACTCGTTCAGAACGGCAATCCAGAGGCCCAAGAAGATCTCCAGATGGAGAGATAAGGCGATGCGGTATACAACGTAGGCGTACATGCGATGGAAGATTTGACGAGAGGTTTTGATTGCGTCGATGATAGCAGAGAGTCCAGGAGCAAGAAACACAATGTCAGCAGCGGAGCGAGCAGCATCAGAAGAGCCCTCGACGGCAATACCGCAGTCCGACTTCTTTAGGGAAGGAGCATCGTTGACGCCGTCACCTGTCATGGCAACAAGGTATCCACGCTGTTGTAGGATGTCTACGACGTCATACTTGTGTTGAGGAAACACTTCAGCAAAACCATCAGCAGCCTGGACAAAATCGTACACCTCAGAGCCAGACATCTCACTATACCCCTCACCAAGGCCGAGACGCTCAGCATCGAAGATGTTGGTGCCGAGACCAAGTTGGCGGGACGTCTCGCGAGCAATACCAACGGCATCGCCAGTCAGCATCTTGATGGACAGGCCAAGAGCCTTTGCTTCGTTGATAGTGCGGTGAGTATCGTGGCGAGGAGGATCAGAGCAAGGCATGATGCCTAGGATTTCCCAAGAGTCATTACCTCGCTTGCGGGCGACGCCGAGTGCACGGTACCCCCGACCAGCGAAGTCCGCGACCTTAGCTTCATATGCCTCTTTGATAGCCTTGGGAAGGGGATGATCTTCTTCGACCGTTTTGAGGATGAAGAGAGGAGCTCCCTTGACACACACGATCTGCTCGCCGTTCGGAGATTGAACAATAGCCTGGACCTTCTTGGAAACTGGATCGAAAGGGGTGAACTTGAGAACTGTGAATTTACTGAGAGCTTCCTTAGCACGCGGGTAATCCTTCAACGCCTTGAGGAAAGCCTTGTCGATGGCGTCGATTCCTTTCTTCTTGCGATGGGCCGCGAGACAGGCAGTGAGCATGAGATCATCAGAATCAACGCCATCTACAGTGTAGGGTTCGGCTAGAGAGAGCTTGTTCTTGGTGAGTGTACCGGTCTTGTCGGAGCAGAGAATCTCAACGCCAGCGAGGGATTCGATAGCTGAGAGCTTCTGGACGATGGCTTTCTTCTTGGCGAGGAAGGCGGCACCAACAGCCATCGTCGTGGTGACAACGGCAGGAAGACCCACAGGAACGCCGACGATGGTGATGGCAAGCGTGAATTCCAGAATCTGGACGATCTTGTTGGAGCGGTAGTAGGAGCTGGTCCAGACAACGAGGAGCGTGGCCATGACCAGAACTAGGAGAACCGTACCAATGCCACGGAGGACCTGGGTAAAGTGGCCAGACCCAGCCGAGGCACCGGCGACGAGAGAGGCAGCGCGTCCAACAAAGGTCGAGTCCCCAGTAGCAGTGACGATGATAAAGGCTTCACCTCGCTTTACCGAGGATGAAGCATAACAAGTGTCGCCCCTGTGTTTGTCAACGGCAAGTGACTCACCAGTGATAGAAGACTGATCGACCTGAAGAAAGGTGCCTTCCGTTACGATGCGGCCATCAGCGGGGACAATGGTGCCCTCTTGTACCTGAAGAAGATCGCCAGGGACGACGTCGAAAGCTTCGATCTCGACAAGAGCGCCCTCGCGGAGGACAGTAGCTTTGAGAGCCAACGTCTTCTTGAGCTCTTCGACGATAGACCCTGCCTGGTACTCCTGGATGAAGCCAACACAAGCGTTGAGCAACAGTAGACCACAGATGACGCCAAGGTCAACCCAATCCCGGAGGCAGGCAGCTAGTATGGCAGCAGCCTCCATGACGAACTGGATAGGGCCGACGAAGAACATTAGAAACTTGATCCACAGGTTTTCCCTCACTTCTTTCATCTGGTTAAGACCGTACTTCTTACGGCGGACCGATACTTCACTGTTAGTAAGACCATGGCGTGAGTCCGTCTGGAGATGGTCTTCAGATATAATACGGGCACTACCTGGCTGCTCGTCTTGCTCTTCTTCTTCATCGACGTCGCCATTCTCAGACTGTAACTCTTCGATGAGATCGTCAATGTCCTGTTCGTCTTTTTGTACCTCATCAAGGCCGTTCTTGGCGATGATGTCTACTTCATACTCCTTGGTCTCTTGGATTTGACCACTGGGCACATTCGTGCTGGGGTAGCTTGGCGTTGAAACGCTGACGTTCTTCACACAGTTAGTAACTGCCGCATTACTTGTAATAGTTGACTTTGGGAGCGCAGAGCTTGTACGGGTACTTACATGGGACATGGCTGATAATACTAAACTTGTAAAGCTGCTTTTGGTAACTGGTGATGGTGATTTGCAAGTTGATCAGTATTTCTTATACTTGGTAAGTGCAAGGTATGAGAGAACATCTGGTAGGAGCGAGGGATGGGCTTATATGTAAAATCGAAAGGGCTCTTGGTCCCTTCTTTCCCATGGTTCGACGCAGGCAGCAGCCATCTCAGATTCTCACAGATAGAAAAGTTCGGTACGTATAGATTATTCTGTGGATGGACCAAGATACTGTCGGGACCGTTGTGGGTTGTCAATGTAATGGATATCAATCGATAGGACGGATGTCTGGATGCTTTTCTGGGTGGCCGTATCACGATGCTCTGATTTCGTGAGGTTCCAACGCAACCAAACTTCAACACAAGTCCGATTAGACGTCAAAATTTGTTTCGTACCGAACAATCTTCAAAACGTGGATCTCCCAAGTTCTCGCACCTCTTCGGCCATGTTTGAGCCGGCCGCCTTTAACCTGATCATGCCGATCAACCTCTTCAAATTCTCAGTAAGCTTGTGCCTTTTTGCGGCATATCTGGTGGATTGGTACTCTTGGCATTTGATGAGTTTCCCTTCAACTTCCTCGCCGGAAAGACCGAACGAACCACTGCTAAATTTCGACACGTGGGATACATACTAGACTGGGTGAAAGCTTATGCGACCTTTCCGTAAGTGATCAAAGGCATATCAAGTCAAGCGCCATCATGGTAGTATTGATGCGTCGTAGTCGGAGTTGGGTTCAGTTTTAGATGCTATCAGAATCGCTAGCTGTGAAGTTGACGAGGTCCGTGATAATAGGGCTAATTTGGCTCATACGCCCACTATGGATTGAATCACGCAGCTGAAATTTTGGAGTGCGAGGAGGAGGGGTGATTCATACGAGGACAAACAACGTCATAAGATATTGGGTTGAGAACTCGATTCGTCGCACATAATATATCGATGTTGATCAGGTTTCGTGACATGGCATAGAAGCCACGCACACGATCTGCACCCTTGTCTTCGTCTTCTATTGAAGGCGACGCATATGGTCTCAGGGCCATCCTCGTCTCCAATCACAGAGGTCACAAAAACCCCATCTCTACCTGTCTGTTGTATACGATAGAGTATGACTACCAGAATCGGCGACTTGGTATGAGCCACGAGTGCGCTCGATCGATTGCGCAGATCCGATGCGATCATTCTAACCCAAGTACGGTGAGTACGCCTCTTCACCCCCTATTGGGAAAGTAGTGCTGGACAGTCATGATCTCAGTACCATTGAAGGTACCCGGTGCTACGAAGTCAATCAGGTTGAGCCAATTGTACTTGAAAGACGCCGTTTCCACACGGCTACATCATCAAGTTAACGAGTGATCGAGGGCCTATCGAACAGTTCAGACTTACACGACGCCGTTCTGTGTCTGGCGGAGAATAGCGCCACCAGTATGCTTCACGTATGCCCAGAAACCGTCGTCAAGCTTGATAACGTAATAGATACCTAAAAGTACATGTCAGCTTAATCGTAGCTTTTGTCTTGCATCGGATTACGTACGAAGCTCGAGGTAATTGGTTCCATGAGGGATGATGCCGTCGTCTGTGGCACGAACGATCTCGCCGAACTGACGACCTTCCACATCGTACCAGTAGCCCCTGAAAAATTGTCAGATTAGGTCGATGATTACTCTATGTATACTGGGGACGTACTCGCGGCCCCAGATGCTAATGCGAAGACCAGACTGAGTCTCAACAGTGTGGTTCTATTGGGTTGATGGTAAGTTACAGATCTGGACCGAGTCGGCATAGCCTGCTCACATTGTTTAAGTCCCAATCAATCTTGGCCATGAAGGCGGGTGTCAGCAGCGGTATCGTTGAAGAAGATCTAGTCCACTCAAGACCAGGCTTCGAAGGAGTCGACAAAGTTGAGGAATTGGCAGTGAAAGTGGCCAAGGAAATCCCGCGACCGCAAATAAAGACAGCCGATACGACAGTTGAGAAGTGCATATTGGTGGAATAGAATCGAAAGAGTGGGACTGTGATGATGAAACAAATGTAATCTAATTGAGAGCAATACCGACGTCCATGTTTTGATATCATATACCTAATAGATGTGCTCCTGTAAATGGCCAAGTTCTTTTTTTGCCCCCTTTTTTTCCATATCGGCAGTAACTCACAATACTCCATCATATCTTCAGCTGACGATGATGACACCGGATTACCTTCCTGACCTTTTAGACTGAACCCGAACTTCGCGATACCTACCTATACGGTTGTCGTAGTGGTGCCACTCTGTCGAATAGCGTGTAGGCCAAGTGCACCATGTACGATAGACACGTGGCTCGCGATCTCTGCAAATGATACACAAAGTCTATGTGAATTAATATGCATGGCGTACCGATGCGGCTGAGCACTAGACATAATCCTGTGAAACCGACATGAAAATTCCACTTATCGGACGTTTCTCGCTAGCCCATGTCAGAGGAAGACTCGGTAAGAAAACTCTGGATTGTCGCTCTCGGTCAACTGTAAAAGCGGGAAGTAAGTTACATTCTATGTGGCTCCTACAAGCCGCAAAACTACACATACAAAATTTATTAAAGTGCTTGCAAGGCGTATACAGCTTAAAATTCAGGCATAAGATTCTTACACTAAACTTAGTTGTAGTTGTTAAGCTGTTGCATGATTTCGCTGTACCCTGGGTCCTGGTATTTCGATTGGTCGAGGGTGTCGGTTGTTCGATCGCTTACATCGGCAACACCTCTACCCTGCCTAGCGTTCGCTCAAAAGGCAAGAAAAAGTGGACCATCCTTGGCTGTCTATAGGTAACAATACGAAAGCCAAGTCTGCCTCCTTGCTTATGATGCAACCCATAGATAACTCACAACAATTTCCCATACAACTCAAAGATTTGAGGCTAAGTTACAGGCATCCAATCAGGCCTCTGACGACACATCGAATCCAGATCAACCTTTGTTACCACCAGAAGTCATCGTTATGACGGAAAAAAAGACGGAAAAAGACGACTGTGCAGTTCCGGTTCCCATGACTTCAAATCCCAAGGAGCAGCTTGATATATCACCAGCACCGCAAGCCAGTCCTGCACCTCAGCCAGATGGTGGCTACGGCTGGATCTGCACTTTGTGTGTCGCTCTTATCAATGCACATACTTGGGGCATCAACTCCTCCTACGGCGTGTTTCTTGCGCATTACCTCTCGACGGAAACGTTCCCCGGAGCAACGTACTTGCAATACGCTTTCGTGGGCGGGCTTTCTATCTCGTGTGCCATGCTTGTGTCGCCATTGGCTACGCTCTCGACTCGCTACTATGGGACTCATGTTACCTTGTCCTTTGGTATAGCATTTGAGACAGCAGGCTTAATTGGAGCATCCTTTGCGTCTAAAATATGGCACTTGTTCCTCAGTCAAGGAGTCGCCTTTGGTATCGGCATGGGCTTCCTCTTCGTTGGGTCAGTCGGCATTCCACCACAGTGGTTTACTACTAAGAGATCACTCGCAAACGGTCTTAGTGCTTCTGGTTCCGGGTTTGGCGGTCTGGTCTACTCTCTGGCGGCTGGAGCCATGATTAAATCTATTGGAATGGCTTGGTGTTTCCGCGCCCTAGGCCTTGTGGCCTTTGGAGTTAACGTGATCTGCACGACCTTGATTCGGGATCGTAACAAGATCATTGGATCGCGGCAGAAGGCCTTGGACTTGAAACTGTTTAAACGTCCAGAATATCTTCTACTTAATGGTTACGGTTTCTTCTCGATGCTCGGCTATATTGGACTGGTCTTCTCGCTGGCTGACTATGGGAAGAGTATCGGATTGAGTGCCTCGCAGGCATCTGTAATCTCCGCTATCTTGAACTTAGGCCAGGGACTTGGGAGGCCTCCCACTGGATACTTTTCCGACAACGTCGGGCGAATCAACATGGCTGGTTTGACAACCTTCTTTTGCGCTTTGTTGAGCTTCGTTGTCTGGATCTTCGCGAAAACCTATGCCGTACTGGTGTTCTACGCCCTGATCGGTGGAACTGTAGCAGGTGCGTTCTGGGCGACCATTGGTCCAGTCGCTGTTGAGGTTGTCGGCCTCCAGGATCTTCCATCCGCACTCAACCTTGAGTGGCTGATTATTGTGCTTCCTTGTACATTTAGCGAACCAATAGCTCTTGAGCTGGTTCGAGGTACAGGAGGCTATCTTGGTGCACAGATCTTCATTGGTTGCATGTATGCTGCTGCTGCTCTGTGTGTACTGCTCCTGCGAGGGTGGAAAGTGGGTGAGTTAAAGGAGATCTCAAGGCTGAAGAGCGAAAATTTGGATGACACGATCAATGTGGACATCAGTCTAGGATCCACCAACGAAGCGGCTAGAGTAGCGGGGAGACAAACGATTTGGAAATATGCTTGGGAATGGCGGAAGGTGTAGCGTCAGACTTCGACATATCGAGTTTCTCATGGTGACAGAAAGCTACGTCACGAGCATGATGAGGCAGTTGACATAGACGCGAATTGGTACTCATAGTCAAAGACGACATTTTCTGATTTCATAGGTATTATCACGTCTGGCCTCTGCATGCTATGGTTCGGGATCTTGCAGGTTTTATTCGATTACGCATCATTTGGCCCTGATAAAACTCGACACTGACACTCAAGTGTCCAAGGGCAGCTCAGAAGTTAGCCACCGCACATCTTTGGTTGATCAGGAGGTGATGTGAAAACCAAGATTGCGGCGTCGCTGGTGCATTGAGATTGAGTACGAATGCGGAATAAGAGTCAGTATACGAAGAAAATTATTTTCAAGATATATGTCGCTCTACACTGTCCAATCGAGGAGCACATTTTTCAAGGAGGCAAAGTGATGGGAACGCCTGTAGCGCATAGACCACAATATCAGAGCTAATCGGACAAAGAGCATCCGAATCTGCACCCAGGCTTTCGTACGATGGTGGATCCGAACGTGAATAGTCCATAAAGCCATCCAAAGTTTCACTGGCCTTAGCGAAGAGGTGGCGGGCCGCACACCGTTTCGAGTAGTGGCCGCAGTTATCACCTAACGTAGGGCCATGACTTGTGTTGTCGTGCAGTAGCGCATAGGCATGACTTCGGATGAAAAGTGACGATGTGGGGGTTCCAGATTCTGCGGAGAATTGACACCACTGACACGTCGACGTGCAGTACGGCATGAGTAGTACTGTGTTTCTAGCAAGTATCAAGACAGTATGACAATTGTGTGCATTAGGTCCAACCATGCTTGTTATGTAACAACTAAGAGAGTTGGGTTGGACCTGCAGGTTGCAAATTGAGCTTATGGAAGCTATCCAACTAGTGAGAACAAAGAGGCTGAATATGCGCTCACGAGATAGATTCGATCCTGCTAACCCAATCAGCCGGCGAGTTACCTTAAAGTACGACATGTCGAGGTGATCAGATATGCAACCGCGCTAGGAGTCATGTCATCCTTGAGAAGTGTCCGGGTATTCCTTTGTCCATCGAGATTCTTCGTGGAACTTACCCCACTGCTTGTAAGCGTAGCGTTGGGGCTAAGTTCAGGTGGGTGCCAAATACGTCTTCCCCCCAGTTTGTCGTGTAGTATAGTTGCCAAACCCCGTGATAGGTCTTTCACAAGGGCAATCCTTGCTAGGAGGGTGTGCTTTTTTTGATGTAGTGGAGAAGACCGTCATCTAGGTGATGGGAAGCCACAGGGGTTCATTGTGGAGGATTTTGGGCTAGGCTGTATCTCAAGATCATATTCATATAAGAATTGCCATAGCAAATGAGCCAATTGACGATCTGCTTATTACCCTTACAAGCTAGACATCGACCCTGCAGTATGACTTGTAGAATCCCGCAACGTGCCGGCGTGGGCGGGACTTAGCATACGCTTCGGGCCGCCGGATGTAGCTAGGGTAGGCGCACGTTTCGCATGCTTACCGAGCTTGAACCAGCAGAGGTTCCTACAACTAGATAACATAAAGTGTTGAATTGTTAGATGCGGATCCGAGATTCTGGCCGACCGTCGGTATATGCACAAATTGCCTTAGCTTGAATCTCGCACTAACCTTTGGTTTGTGCTATCCAACGCGGTTTCCATCAACTGTACAATGCATCATCACTGTAGGTCTCATCTTGAGTGCGGAGATGTAGCATTGATCGACAATGTCATTTGCCAACATATGGCGACATCGTAGTGAATTTTCTCCTCGTTTTTCATTCTCCGGTACTCCAAACTTCATACTCTTTCTTACGTAACAAATTTTGTTCACTGTGCCTCCTTTTACTCAGCACCAGCAACAGCTGATACCCAGGAAACCCTCTCCGCAACAAACAGTTCAACTGCTGGTTTCGCGTCTTCTATAGCACTTGTACCGTCTATCACGCCAACCTTGGTGATTTTCGTATCGCCAAAAGTCTCACTCTCACGCCAGAGCGTAGAGCCACAGTCGCCGCAAAAGTTTGACGTAATTGTCTTGCCGCTATCGGCCTTCTTCGAGAACCTTTTGGGAGTGCCCTTGGTCACAAAAAAGCCACTACCTGCAACAATGACGTTGGTGGAGTATGTTGAGCCAGTGGTTTTGCGACAGTCAAGGCAATGACAGACGGCCTGCATAACATCAGTCGTTGATGAGGACGTTTTGACTGTCACATTCCATACCTTAGCCTGGATCTCGCCAGTAGACTGGATGCGGACCGCACCACAGCAGCAACCTCCTTCGAGCATGATGGAGAGCATAGATAAATTCGTGATTCGTTGATTTGCGAAAGATATGCCGATGAAGCACCGTGATGGATGGATGAAATGTGGTGCAAGCTAGGGAGAAGCGATTTATATCACTGATAACACTCTATACGTCACAACACCATGTTGCATGCGTGCCCATGTCACTGCTTGTTCCTTCGCTTGCACCCCATGTCCCTGCTTCATTTTACACACATGTCCTACGGGATTGCTCCTTGCATACATATTCCGCCATACAGGATCTTGAATCAGCGATACTGTAGGATCCGGTAAAGTGGAGGAATGGGCAGAGGCTTGGTAACTTACGGATCAATGAACCAAAAACGGATAAACCGGTTTATTACACTTTACATACCGATACTCGAATATCGTGCACCTATTTAGAGTATCTACAACTGTCTGCTTGCTCAGCAATGATGAAATCGAATTTACGGGTGTTAAAATAGCTATTGTAGGAATTTCCTATTTCTTGGAGCAGATACAGAGGGATGATTCTTTTGATGCCAACATACCCAAAAACTCTATGTAATTCTGTTAACAGGGGGCCCTTCGGATACCGAAGCGGTGCCGGGTCTGCCTTGAATGTTTCTATGCAATACTATACAAGTTGGTTTACTTTGCATATTGGCCTTAATCATGCGCATCGACTTGGCATCAAGTGAATGAAGAGACGAATTCTTGGCAGTGATGCTCAAGCACATAAAAAGGGGCCTGTCTTTGAGCAAGAAAGAATCATAACTCACTTCTCATACTCATCAACATGAGCACCTTCTCCAATTTGACAGTGGCTGATGCTGATGCTGGAGTCATCATGGACTTTGTCAATGGCGCCCAAGATCTTAGCATTTTCTATGCGTTCGTTGCTGTTGCCCTCACTGCTGTTATCTTAAGTGGATTTCAGGCTGGACGGAAGGTCATACTGCGCATGGTCTGGTCTCTTGACCGCATGCTCGGTGGTGCTCCCCATACAGTTACGCTACCTGGTCCTCCAGGTCTTCCTATCACCGGAAACCTACTTGAAGTAAGCTTTTGGTTGAATGGTGGGTTTGGTCCTCCTAACAGTTGTCCTAGTTGAAAGATGGTCACACAGTCAAAATTGCCGAGTGGACAAAGAAGTACGGTGATGTTATCCGTGTCTCTCTTGGCGAACGTGAAGCGGTAAATCTCCATCGAGCTGGCTTGATAGAGCAAGCTCGCATCTGACATGTTTTTGAATAGGTCTTCATCAATAGCCACAAGGCACTCGCGAAAACGGTCGTCCAGCAGGGTCCCGCGTATCAGTCTCGCCCCACCTTCAAGCTCTTTCACAGTGATTTCGCATCATCTGGTATCTGGACTGTAGGTAGTAAGTCTTTGCGAAGAGGTCACGTTGTTTTGCCCTCGAGCTCACCTTTGTACAGCTTCACCCTATAGTGACCGCCTCGCACGCACTCGCAAGGCCCTGTCTTCCCAAATTGCTCCTCGTCTCCTGCCAATCTACACTCCAATCATTCACCCTAAGCTTAAGAAACTTTTCGGTAACATTCTCGAAATCAGCCAAGGTCCCGCTATTGATATGGCCGAGAAGCTCCACCGTTTCGGCACCGGTCAGGTTTCCGAGCAGCTGATGGGCCAACACCTCGACGATGACATGGTTGGAATGCTCGCGGAGAATGAGACTAACATCTGTAAGTCAGGCTTTGCTCCTAATACTTTTCTGAAACTCACGGTTTACGTCAGTCCGCCAGCGTACGATCGGCTCACCCCCTCGCGACTATGTCCCCATCTTGCGTGGCGTCGGCTGGCTTCGCTACGTAGCTGGAAAGACTCTTGGTATCAAGGATTGGACCTTCGACGAAAAGGAGGAAAAGGCTCGTGAATACCGTAAAAAGCAACAAGTCTATATCAACAAGATGCTTGTTGCTCTGAAGGATCGAGTGGCATCGGGCGACGAGACCCCCTCTATTCTGGGCAACATCATTCGTCAAGGTCTCCTGAAAGATGAAGAAATTCTCTTGGCTTCTTATACTGGCAGTATGTTACTTTCCTCTATCATCTAAACAAAACCCACCTAACCATCCCTCCCAATAGTCGCTGCTGGCGTCAATCTTGGCTACTCGCTCACTTGGATCATTGGCTACCTGGCCAACAGGCCCGACTTACAACACAACGGTTACGTCGCTATCCGTGAAGTGTACAACGGCGAGCCACCTAAGCCTCATGAATACGACCGTGTTGGATACATCAAGGCTCTGCACACGGAAGGCTCGCGTATCTACACACCAGTTCGTCTTGGATTTCCTCGCCAGACACTTGACGGCGCCTCCTACAATGGCCATAAAATACCCCGAGACATGCTTGTTATCATGAATCTGATGGCCGGTAACCGCGACCCCGTTGCATTCGATCATCCCGACGAGTTCTTGCCTGAGAGGTGGTTAGACGGCCACAAAGGTCGGACCGATCTGCTCGTCGAAGGCGGCGAGAAGCTTGGTGTCACACATTTGACCTACGGTGCCGGCCGTCGTGTCTGCCCTGGTATCGACATGGCCAACCGTGGTCTCTACTCCACACTTGTACTTCTATTGCACTTTTTCACCTGGGAGCGACAACCTCTCGGAGAGGAGCAGAAGAAGCTTGTCTTTCTGCCGTTCCGTGCCGAGCGTGAGTGCACCCTTGAAATGGATGCCATTGCCGATACCGCGACGCCCACTGAGGCTCAGGCTATTCCGTGGTCGGCTGGAATCAAGTTCCATTGCCGCGATACTGAGGGTCTTCACGCTTGGCTAGCGTCTGAAGAGCACTGAGCTTTTGTGTCTTCGCTGCGCGAACGGGTATCCGAGATCTTATGTCTGCTTCACTGTTTCCTTCTGTGCATCATGGTAGGACCTCAGAGTTACATATTTTTCGTACAACTCTTCTCTCTTTCTTGCTTTGCGATGCCGGAAATGTTAGGTGTTATGTTGGTAGAATTTGGTCCCTCAGTTATAAATTGTGACAAGAAGACTTCGGTGCATTGCTTTATATACTCTGGCGCCTTGTCACGGATTTATGCTTGCCTCAACGATACCAATCTGCTACATACTCCCTTATAACTGTACACGTATTCGCCCCTATCAGCGTGAGAGGGTTTTCTCCAGCCCAAGACCAAGGCACGCATATGACGTGACCGACTTCGAAGTCACATCGTTAGTCGGGTGAGGCGCTTCCAATTCCGCAAGGCTCACTCATGAAATCTATCGTAATGACTTTTCAAGTGTTCAACTTACCAAGCGATGACCACGATATATATATTTGACACAGAAGCGGAAAGTATACGACTCATCTTTGCATGGATATTAATAGTCAAAGTTCTCGAAAACAACTTCCTTCCCTTGCAGCCAAGTCAGAATCTCCTTCTTAAGCAGCGTACCAGCGCAAAGGTACCAAACTGATAGTTCTACAGCATCAACGTCTTCTTGCTTTATCCTTCTCATCGCTACTTCCGCCCCTAAGCCCTTCAAGCTTTCTACCTTGTCTTGAACGTCATTTTGCAAAGCCCTGCCAGTGAAGAAGAGTTTAGCACACCCAGCAAGTCCAGCATAGCGCTGCAGTATGTCTACAACGAGATTGATATCATCCAGCTTAATAGCCCACAGGAGCCTGAAACGCCGCGAATCGAGATTTAGACTCTATAGCTGCCCAAGAAGCGGTGTAATGCCCACACCACCCGCCAAGAACGGCGTGATCCCATCTCCAGTCTGAACTACCGTGAAATCGCCTCCCACACCAAGCATTGGCACTTCGAATCCAGAACGCTCGTTCTGCCGGAACAGATGGTCTGTCACGGGTCCGACTTTCCGGACTGTAATCTCAAATTCCCTTTCATTCCCTATGGGCGTGGAAGAAATGGTAAACGTCCGCACAAAATCGTCATTCAGACTCCTCGGATCATCATTACGCATGTGCGAGTACCCGATATCGAGTTCTGACTTGAAATCCAGTGCAACCCATTGGCCGGGCAGGTACGTGACGCCTCCGGAAACTGCGAAAGTAAAGCGTGCTATCGAAGGTGTGAGGGGAACCTTTTTGACCAGTCGTGCAGATTGTATGGTAGAGGGCGACAGAAAGGACTTCATGTTTCCTTCCGAAGCGAGTGTGCGTACGAGGGGATTGTAAGGGCTTCGTAATTTCCTTTCACCGCGAAACGGCAGCCCGCGTTTCACAAATATCGTCTCCTCGAGCCTTATCTGTACAGCAAGATTCGACCCTGGTAGTAGCCTAGCTGCATCTGTGCCGACAAGAATGGTAGCTGTGCCAGTCGTGTATAGGACTTCGCCAGTCTCATAGTTAGGGAAGGTGAGGCCAATCCTGTCATTCGCTAGTAGGTTGCCTAGGGACTGGTAGAATCGGTTGCCTGAATATTCAGGAAAGATGATCTGGTTAGACGATATGATACGAACAAATCCCGGGAGTCCCCCACGGTGATTAGTGTCCATGTCGATTTGGGTACTGGTGGTAAGGAAGAACATGTCGCACTGTTCTATCAAAGCTTTACCTGCATCTGACAGCTCAGGTCCTTGTGATACTAGCTCTGAACTTAGTAGCGCGGGTTCGATCTTGTATTGGTTGAGATATTTGGGACAGTTTCCTAGGCTCTGCTCGATTTTCATGATGAGTTGAATTTGGGCGTGTGTGTCAGGCACAGCACCTTTTTGCTCTTCGGTGCTTTCAGATTCGATCTCTTCTTTCTTGAGTGTGCCAGCAACCATTTTCCCCGCAATTTTGACTCTCTTTCTTGTTATTAAATCAATCGTCAACCCTGCGATCATCTTTCCGCCTTCTTGTTGCTGCAAGGTCATCCCCCAGTTCACATCTCCCACTAGTGCTTGTACCACTGGATCGTTCTTGCTGTTTACCAAGGTCTTTGTTCCGATATAACCACCCCCCAAGATCTCAGTGAAGCCTACAATACCGCCCCAAAGTGCAGTCCAGGGGCGAGATTTCGAGTCTAGGGTTCCGAGAGCGAGCAGGGGGGCGTTCTGGAGCATAAAAGACGCTTGCGGGGTGAGCATGCTGGATGTCGGATTATCTAGATCAGGTACATCGAGGAGTTCTTGCATCTTCTTTTCGCCCTCGCTCCAGGCCATGGCCAATGAAAAGGCCATTTTGGAGCTGTAGAACGCTGTGGTTAACGAACTAGTAGTCTGCACGCTACTTCGAGTGTTGTGCGTGCGAGTCTTTGAATTATAGCATTTTTCCACTGGCGGCACTGATACCTATGTCGCCATCAGCGCTGACTAGGTGACTCTTGGACACGCAAGGTGGAGTATCGACATGTTGAGAAGCACCCTGAGGAAGGGATCGTGACTTAGGTTGAGTCATGCCTTATTTTTCGCCCATCTGAGCTAGCTGCAGTTCAGCCCTGCCGGCTAGTCGATATTAGTGCTTATGATCTGTGCAGTGGCACCAAATTCACCCGATGCGCATAGCGCGGCAGAAAACATGAAAGATTGACGATGGTCTACTATCCACCTCCAGCTCGTAAGGCTCAGTCCAGATTGTTGTGTCAAAAACGCGTATAGCGTTTGAATATGAGGTTTCAAATTTGAACCGAGGAAGGCAATTCTGGCACCCTCTATCTTCTCCCTCCCAACAAATTTGGGTTCATCTCAGGCATCACATAGACCATCCCGGACAACCCCGCGAAACCATACCTCCGGCTTGGTGGCATTAAGATCACCGATCAGCGTCAGTCGCCTCCGCAGAGAAGGATATGCAAGTCGCTCACTCAACTTACATTGCATATTGCAAGCTTTCGCACCATCTGACTGGTCGGTACTTTTGTCTCCCGTACTGATAAAAAATACCACGAAACAACACCAAGAGAAGTTGCATTTTTCCTGGTTTTTTTGCTCACCTCTATCTGGCACATGAGCTACTGGAAATGCACCGAAAAAGATACAGAGTGTTTTTCTCTCTTCACTCATCACAAATATGCAGAGGGTTACGGTGATCGTTTTTGAACACAATGTGTTCACCGGGTGTGCCTGTCGTGTATGTCCAAATAGCATTCATCCTTGTGATATGCAATATGATAGCGAAATTTGATTTAGGGAGAGATACAGAAGATGGGTGAATTCAGATAGTTCTTTTGGTAAACATGTCACAAAGTCACAGTAACGTCTTGTCATGAGTCCAGCACTCGGAGGAGAATACGAAGGAGGTTCTTACTGCTTAACCATGAGAAACTACTCTCCTATTTATTCACTACTCTCTACACTCTTCATCTCCATCCACCTAGTACGGAACTTTATCTGCAACTCCCTTCCAAAACTCGCACCTCTTCCCCCTACCTCCCTCCCAAGCCGCCGCATCCGCAATGCTGATCAGATTGCTCATCCCCGGATCACTATAGACATTGTATTGCAAATACTGCGTGACATTGAGAAAAGTCGGCACACCACCCGTAGCATTCAAGTTCAACAATACAGGTTTCTTCGAATCCCATTGTGGCCACTGGAGCTTGCCGTCGTACCCAGCAGAGGGAACTGTCGAATTTGCTACACCACCTTTGGCATCCTGCACGGAGATGACCGGGGAGTTTGTAGTGATGAAATTGCCCCAGATCTTGCGGAACGCGTGTTTGAAAGAGGCGCCCGGTGTCGCGGTGCCGGACCACAAGGCTTGCAGGTCATAACCGTGGTAGGAGGGGCCGGCACTGAACTGGTAATGCCAAGCCTGCGGCCATGCGGATGCGGCCCAGTACGACGGGCAGTCGAAGGAAGATTCTGCGAAGACGTTGAAGACGCGCTGTTGTTGGCCGGTTCCGAACACACTTTGGTTTTTGGCGGTGGGAGGCGATGTACCTGTGGTGGCGAAGCGGGGAGCGGCAGGGTTCACGTCAGAGGTATCACCGGCATATGAGTACTGCTTTTCCAGCGCGGCTCTGTCGGTCGAGTTGAATTTGGGGAAGGTGGTGTTGACGTAGGCGCGGAAGTCTGCAAGATTTCTCGTGTATGGGGGACTGAGAGGAACGCCTTCATTCGCCATGTTTGTCGATAGGATACGCTTGCCCTTCAGGGACTTGGAAGAGAGTCCTTGGCTCGGACGCTGTTGGACAAAAGTACCATCAGTAACTGGCAGGAAAGCAAAAGTGCCGAAAGGACCAGCTTCGGAAACTTTGGCGCTGGCATTCTGCAGTACGGGCGAGTCGGCGCTACGGAGACAGTTCAGTTTGTCCTTTGCTGAAGCGCAACCGGCAGCGGAGACGAAGTCGTTGTAGGCTTTAGTCGGTTTCTTGTCGTTGTAATCGTACTGCTCGGTGAGATACGGGCTAGCAGCGATGATGTTTTGGAACAAATTCTCCTTCTGCTTGCCGCCATAAGCCATACCCTGGTACAGCACAGCACCAGCTCCTGCGCTCTCTCCAGCCATCGTGACCTTGTTTGCATCGCCACCAAACTTGCCGATGTTAGTCTGTACCCATTTGAGCGCGAAGTTCATGTCCAGCAACCCGGCGTTGAGCGTGCCATTTTTCTTAACATCTTCCGAGGAGAGGAAACCAAAGGCTCCTAGACGATACTGTATGATCACGCTGATGAAAGTGTTGTTGTTTGTGACCATGAATTCAGTGGGGTCAAGACCTGTTGCACTGAACAAGCCATAACCTCCTCCATCTGGGACTTGTTAGTTGGTGGCGTATTGTGTAATGGGAGGTACTGACGAATCCAGAACCAAACTGGCAGGTTCTTCGCGTTTGCAGGCGCATACACATTCAGAAAAAGACAATCCTCATTCCCGAGCGCAGAGGTGAATCCGTATTCGACAGGCGTCAAGATCGAGGCACCGGTTTGTGGACAGATTGGCGGATTGCTGATGGCCGGGAGCGCAGACGTTCGGTTCTTTGCTGGGGCTTGAGGAGCTGCGAATCGAAATTTTCCAAGGGGTGGAGCAGCATAACGAATTCTGTCTTAACATGAATCTCAAAGTTCACAAGCAGAAGCTTGCAAGTAGACATACCCTTTGAAGACATTGATGCTGTTGTTCACATCGTAGCTCCCTTCATAGATCGAGTAGCCCAGGTCAACAGAAGGCGCCTTCACCGCACGTGGAATAGGTTCTGCGACGGCAATCCCAGCAAGGAGCGCTGTCGCAATCACTTTCCCATGCATCTTCATCCTGACTATCTCAGGTCTTAATCTAATTTCGACACTTTGACGTGAGAATTAGGGTTCCAGGAAGTAGGAATGCCGTTGCGCATGTGGAAACCGAGGTGGAGACGGACCCAGGACATCAGCCGAGGGAACTTACAATTACACAGCCAGGTTCGCGTGTAATTTCCGGTTGTATCGCCGTTATAACATGGTTGCACAGGCGTGATGTCGCTCGCCTTCGCTTGCACCCACGGACGTCTGTCTGCGACGCCGGCCCTGGAGGCGTTCTTGTGGACCAACGCAAAGCAGCATAGACAGCGAAGCTGAAGCTCCAGACGCGGTCCCGCACGCCTCTAGCGGATGAACATGCTCGTTCCGGTAGGAAGCCCCTCTACGGACGGGACGGTGAAAACAGCCAGTGCTCCCAATTGGGTGGTCGTGGTTCTCCGTCCGTAGCCAGAAGGGCCAAGCTTGTGAGTCGCACAATCTCAACCACCGCACACTATCGAAAGCTTACATGAATGCGCCACCGCATCTGCGAACATCTGAGTGATCCGTCCGCGAACAAAGTGTGACCGAGGATGCGAAGAACTAGGAACTCACATAGAAATGGATATTGCTCAACGCCAAACAAGCAGGGATACACGGGCACGCGCGTTACATGCGTCTAAGAATCCGGCATGCTGGAATAATATCCTAGGAAGCTCAACAAGCTCAGTCGCAAGGCTAAACGCTAGATACAGATGATTGTCTCGACATCATGCGTTGATTAAGCCACAATCGCGTATCTGAAGTTGTCACTGCGGGTAACGTGGGCGATGCATTGGCTCTCGGTTCAGTGTACAAACGGGAAGTGAGCTGTGGCTCTTACAAACTGCCAAAACAGACTAATAAAATTTGTGGAAGTGCATGCTAGGTGTATACTGCTAGAAATTGCTAGGAGCTTAGACACAAGATTCTTTACTTGTAGTTGTCCAGGTGTTGCAAGATTTCGCTACACCTTTGTTCCCGGCATTGCCATGTGATTGTTGCGTCATTTTAGGGTTCTGGATTTTATTCTACCTCGCCAGCACATCTGCGTGTTGTCAGACAATCAGTACAAACAACCTCTTCGCGATAGTACCTCTCTGACACATGCGTCCCACCATGCGTACGACGCGCCAAAAATGGTGTACAGTTGAAGTCAAGTTGGCGCTGTTTTGGATACGAACTTGCAGTCACGGAGGATTGCTGTGCCGCAGCCACAGCCGGTACCGGTCACTAGGGCAATCCACACACAAGCTTGATACCATCTTGCAAGATCAGAGACGAGATTGATGATTGATCGATGGAAAAGCACTCTGTCAGCACATGCCAAAAGCTGCGCTACATGCGCATGCGAATATCTTCAGAGTACCGCCAAAATCCAACTCGTTCTGTGCAAAACGCTCGTCAATCATGTCAGACTCAGATTGCAGTCCTCAATGATGGCTGATTAATTGATGATTACATTATCTTTTGTCTGACTAGTTTGACTAGCTTCTGATCGCATCAAGAACTCCAAGTGCGCCGTTCGTGTCATTCGTGTCATTCGTGTCGTTCGTGCCGTTCGTGCCATTCGTGAAGTTGTGATTAAGGCTTATATATAGTGGAATGAGTTCATCTCCTTACATTCCATACTGTCTTCTTCATCCCTGGTTGCAGTGGCGCTTCTGTTATGTCCGGCTCGTCTGTCCGGCTCGTGTGCACTCGCTCAACTGTTGTCCAAATATCTGGGTTTGGCTTCATTTCTTGAACATCCGGAGTCTTCACTCTAGGGCAATATATTCCCACCTGTCTACTTTCATCCACATATGGCAGCATCCTGTCATTCTGCGTGTAGTCGACGCTAGCAAGGCTCGATGGTTGCACACCTTGACTTGGCCGTGAACCAGCCGGAGGCGTGGAGTTACTCAAGTGTGTTTTCGTTACATGGTCAGGGAGAATGGCCTTGCGTTTGCGTAGCATGTGCCAGATGATAGGTATGTTGGTGCAGAGGATGCCGCCGAGGGGCTCGAAGACGGAGTACGCGCCAAGTGGAACGTATGACCATGTAAAGTCGGGGTAACCGTGACCAAGGACCACCGTAAGGCGGATTGAGGATGTGATGCAGGTTCTGTTGGAGGATTGTGTCAGCAGTGGCTTTATCGACTAGAAGCACTGGTATGGGGCTCGTACGCAAGACCAACACAGAAGATGAGGCTCAGAAGTAGCTTCTTCTTCATCTGCAACTGTAGGTGCCATATCATAGGCACTGGCATTAAGAATATCCAGATGTCTGTTATAAGGTTCGAGATGTTGGTGAAGTACGTGAAAGTAACCAATCGCAAACATGAACCCTTCACATTGACGTCCCAATATGTCTCAAGTGGACGGCAGGCGAAAAGGAGCGCGACTGTAATACCAACGCCCCAGGCGACGATGAAGGCTGCGGTTGCAAGAACAAATTTGCGAAAAAGAGGGACAACGAAGACGCGGTAGTAGAAAGCGAGGATTCCGAGTTTAACTGTGACGAGTGCAATGTCGTAGAAATGAGAGAAGATGTAGTCGCCCTTGCGAACCATCATCTGATCATATGCGGAAACAAACACAACATGTCGTCCCATTCCATGGGGAGGACCTGGCCGAGTTAGTGTTGGCGAAGGGAATAGAGTTTCGGGCATTTTTCCGTACCAAGAATCAAACCAGTCGCACATTGTCCAACGACACAGATCTATCATAGTGAGATTTGGGATGCGATCGTGTTAGGTTTGCGTACAGTAGCGAGCAGAATCAGGTAATCGTCCAGAGTGATACCATTCCTGCCAACCTGTTTTGCCCAGAATCGCAACGCTGTGGTGATGGTTCCTGCAGCGATGGGTACACTGTACAACCAGTGGATCTCTGTGACTCTGGAGTCGCTTTCATGCATGTTCTCCAGCTGCGCTGCGGTGAAAGAAGACGCCATGGTGCATGCCGCGAGTGGTGTCGGTGGCGCGGTGGAAAGGCCGAATCACTTCCACATCGCCGGCAGCGGGAGAGCGGTTAAGCAGGAGGAGCAGACGGTTTAGCGAGTTATGACCGCGGCTTCATTAACCGTAATTAACGCCAACGGGCCGCAGGCTTGGTCTTCAAGTTGACTAGACAACGGAAGAGAAGAGAATAGGGAAGCCCTCAAACCAAAAGCGCACAACTCCGATGCGAATAAGTGGATGACCACATGTAAGCTGACATAGTGATATGATTAACAGGGATTCGGCCGGAATATGTCACTCGCGACCCCAGACGCTCCGGGGATATGTATTGGCGGGGTGACATACGTCCCACAGCGCTTGAGCCTCTTTATGAGAAATGGAACGAATGGGACATGGGAAACCAATGTGCTGAATATGTCGATCACGCGGTGGATGATGACGCTTGTTGGATCCCGCTGTCACAAGCTGGTACCCCGGCCTGAAACAGTCAGCAATTCCTTACGAATTTACGTCGCGGTTCGGCCCGGGGTCCAAGGCAGCTAGTCGCAGGATCAGTAGAATCTTGTTGCGCTTTGCTAACTGAAACATTGTCTGGTATTTCGTTTTTGTTTGTCGCGGGTTTCGATAGGACTGCTCTGACGTTCTCTCATGTTCAGGTGTTGATGGCTTGCTACATGTTCTGCTCGCTTCCGTTTCCCGAGAAGACAAGAGTTTACCCTTCGCTTGTCAGTATTTTGTCAGTCGCCATATCTAACACCTGCGTTCTCTAGTAGACGCTGCGAAACCATGAGAAAGACGAGCCCAACAATCTTGGAAGATTGTGTTCACAAATGGAGAAAGTACAGAAATGGCTGGTGCCGCTTGGGCCACCTTCGCGTCTCAAGTCTTCTGTAAAATGTTCGCAGCATTTAACACGCTACACGACGTCATCACTTCCAGGACGAAATGTCGTGGCTCAGACGAAGAAGTGGCCCATTGATCATCCTCGGCACCTCTGCGTTGGGTGGTACCGTGTACCGCATCCTCAAACCCTCCAACTCGGGCAACGAATCGCTGAATCCGTACACATTCACGCCGTACACGCTCGTCGACAAACAGCCAGTCTCTTCCACGAGCGCTATATTCACACTGCGCCACCGTCATGGCGCGCCGGAACCGGAGAGCGTTAGGGAGGCGTGGAAGCGTAGCACATGGAGCGTACAAATAAAGCAGCCCCAACTGCAGATCGCGCGCGCATACACCCCGCTCCCTCCTACATCAGATGGAGAGGGAAAGGACGAGGATATGCGATTGTTGATACGGCAAGAGACAGGTGGTGAGCTATCGACCTATCTACATCGATTACCAGAGCAATCCACAATCGAGCTGCGGGGCCCGAACACGGAATTTGAGCTGCCAGATGGTATCAATGAGGTCTTGTTTCTGGCAGGCGGTACAGGCATTGCCCCTGCGATGCAGGTTGCGTATATTCTTGAAGGGAGGCCTGAGAGCACCATGCGCATACTCTGGGCGAACAGACGGCGCGAAGAATGTGTGGGCGGCGTTAGCGACGGGGCAGGGAGCATAACAAGTAAATCGGGATGGAAAGGCTTCTTTGGCTCTAGCGACTCTACAGCGCAACAACCCCTTTCAGACACCAACAATGGTCAGGAAAAAGGCATCATGGTCAAGGAACTCGATACGCTGAAGGCGCGGAGCAAGGCCGCGACCAGGGACCTGAGCGTGCAGTATTTTGTCGATGAAGAGAAGAGTGTCATACGATCAGGTGATGTTGCGAAGATGATACACGAGTCGCCAGGGGAGAAAGGTTCGAGGGTCATCATGGTATCTGGACCAGATGGCTTTGTTGAGTACTGGGCCGGCAGGAAGCTTTGGGTCGATGGGAGAGAAGCGCAAGGTCCACTCCGCGGAGTACTAGGGAAGATGAATCTGAAGGATTGGAAGGTGATTAAACTTTGAAGACAACACATTCACGCAACACGATTCATATCTTTCGTTTGTAATCTGAAGCTCGTATCTGCCATAACCACTTTTGACGCGTGGCCTGCATATCTGATAAAGTAAACTTAACACCCATGCACAAAGACCAATTAAAACAGCAGCGAACGTATGCTTTCCTCGGTTGGTTTCGATGTTGATATTGGGTTTCCAGCTGGGGAGGCTCACAATCACGGAAAACGATAACCCAGGTTGAAGTGTGCAAAGTGCTGTACCTGAGTCTTACCTAAACAAGGATCGGGCTTTGCCTGAACAAGTTCACAACAACAACTCGATGCTTATCCCATCCCCTACCAAACTCGGTAGGGACGTAATTTTAATGGTTATCAAGGGGTGATTCTTGGATTGAGACGATGCTTATGAGTTAACTGTAGCGTCAGGCCACATACCGGTACTTTTGCCGTTGCCTTGCCGACGGGCAACTCCCGGTCGCTGCAGATCTCGGTAAGCGACAGGGTTCATTTGTGGAATATTTCCGTGCTGAACAATCCCCCCAAGAAGACCTTCCCTTTATCAGATCGAACCCCCAGAACTGGCCGTGGCGCCAAACATCCTAGAGCGTAGCACACTTTCGCCATTACATAAGCACGCTTTCAATATGTCAGCTGATCCTGAGCTTGGTGACTCGGTGTCACTCAACGAAAAAGACCCAAATGCGCGACCAGAATGCTTTCGATCAACTTTCCAAGAATGTTTATTCATCCTGTCGGTCACCATGGCCGTAGCTATGACAAGTATTCTGACAGGTGCGGTCACGGTAATGAGCTCCTTCGCGGCGAGCGATTTGGGAATGTCTAATGCAGAGACTACATGGATGGCTGCATCAACTTCGTAAGTATTGCATGGATGCATTTGGCGAAGACAATACTAATTGAACTCAGGTTAACGGCTGGCGCCTTCCTCCTCTTCTTCGGTAGCATAGCGGACCTGTTCGGTCGAAAATACATGTTTATAGGCTCCATGCTTTTGTTCGCCGCCTTCAGTCTTGGTGCCGGATTCTCGCAGTCTGGAATGACACTCGACATTCTTTGCGGTGTCTTGGGAGTCTTCTCAGCGGCCGCTGTCCCTCCGGCTCAAGGCATGCTTGGCATCATCTATGCGAAACCTGGTCCTCGCAAGAATAGAGCGTTTGGCTGCTTCTCATCTGGTAACCCGCTCGGCTTCGTCATTGGAGCGATTCTAGGAGGTGTGTTCACGCAGGTCTTCAATTGGAGAGCTCCGTTGTATATGCTGGCCATTGTGTATCTTGTTATCAGCATTGTAGCCTTCTTCACCTTACCCGAGGATACCACTGTCAAGCGGAAGCTGGATCAGGAGACTGTCAAGAGACTGGATATACCTGGGACGCTGCTGACAATTGTGGGCATTGGAATGTTTTGTGCGGCTTTGAGGTTTGTGAACGCTCAATATTGCAAAGCATTTGCTGACGATCGCAGTCTTGGAGGCGACGCTACTAATGGATTCAAGACGCCCTACGTGCTTGTCATGTTGATCCTAGGCGCTCTACTGATAGCTGCCTTTATCGTCTGGGAGATCAAATATCCGTATGCTCTCATTGACATGAGTATCTGGAAGGATAGGGACTTCTCTTTAGTAAGCCTGGGTTGCTCAACCACAGTACATGTCCACGATTATGCTAACACTAGGGATAGCTGATTACAATTCTCTGCTTTGGGTTTCTCGGATTTCCGATTTTTACATTCTATTTGGCGCTCTACTTCCAGACTGTGCTCAAGTACTCTTCGCTCATGGTCGGTGTACACTTACTACCCATGGTCATATTCGGTATTCTGGCAAATATTGTCGCGGCCCTTCTTCAACACAAAGTCTCGAACAAACTACTTATGGGCATTGGTGCTGTTGCCTATGTAATCTCTTTCACGCTGGGCGCGGTACAAAGAGAGGGCGACTCGTACTGGGCGTTCTCGTTTCCTGCGCTGTGCTTGTGTGTTATTGGAGCGGATTTCCAGTTTGTCGTCGGGAACGTGAGTTGATTTGCTCTTGTATGCTGTTCTCTTGCTGACAGTACCAGATGTATGTGCTGTCCGCGATGCCCGCCGATAAGCAGTCCATTGCAGGTTCACTCTTCCAAACTCTTACGCGTCTCTGCTCTGCAGTTGGCTTTGGCGTTGCGACCGCTATCTTCGATGCTGTGGAGAAGAAGCCCTCCGCCTCTGGTTACTATGCAAACAATGCCATTGAGCCTTTTGCAGGAGTCATGTGGTTCGCGGCAGGCGTTGCGTTTATAGGCACTCTGTTCGTCCCTTTTCTGAGAATTGGTACTCAAGGGCACAAGGGAGATGCCAAACAATCGGAAGGTGACGAGCGTGGGCTGGACATGGATCATGAACCCGTTGCAATTGCCGCTGTGGGCGAGAACAATAAACCAAAGGCCGATGAGGGGGAAGCGTTTAGCGTTAAAGGTTCATAGCACGCTTGTGCTCCAAGGCATAGGCCAAGCTCAGCCCATCGCCCTGCTGAAGAAATTCCCGCATGCTAGAACTTGCCAAGCATAAATAGACGTCATATGTATACTGTACAAGAATGGAAGTGTGGTAATAGTGGCTGGAACACTCTCAATTAGTTAAAATACCTAGAATCAAGGTCCGTTCTTTGCAGCAACACAACAACCCTAAATTACAAGATCGAAAGTTCTACATAGACAGACATGCTGCTAGACGTATACAAACAACACGTAATATATAGAGATCTTAAAGTTTTTATACATGTAGTTGTCAAGCTGTTGCAAGACCTCGCTGCAGCCTACTTAATTCCAGGTATTCCGACTATCCAAGAGATACTGTAGTATGCAGGGAATTGTGCCGGCCAAGGGCTATATTACTATTTCTGTAAGTAAAGTAGTAAGATTGCCCCTCTCACTAGTAACGAGATTGCCTGCTAATTAGCGGGGGATCTAACTACTTTACTTACAGAAATAGTAATATAGCCCTTGGCCGGCACAATTCCCTGCATACTACAGTGATTCCCCAGGAAAGCAAGCATGCATCTTGCGGTTAACTTTCTCCACGGGGATTTACCCCGCGATGCAACGACCATCGGATGGCACTGGCTAAGGCCCGATATCCGAGTTCGCGGTGCCATCCACGAGATCCACGAGCCTCCCGAGCTGTTCAACCAATCAGATCAATCTGGAACCGAAAGAGATGAGAGTCAGCATCTGCACGCGACCTCAATCCTGCGCTAACACCCCGCAAATTTTTTGTGCTTAAAGACGGCCTCAGCTCCTGTCAACCTCTCTCCCGACACGGCGATCTTGCCCCAGTTTTCCGCTTTCTTTTCGCTGCGCTCTGTGTGGTGCCCCCCCAGACTCCGAGTCAGCAAACCCAACAACAAGAGCAACAACCAGAGCACTGGTCGAACGCGACAATGGCACACGAGAAGGAGATCCATCCTACCACCACGGTGCCTCACGACCAGCACGATGTTGATCACAAGCGCGCTGCCAACAGAGTCATTGACGATGCGCGACATGCAACAGAAAAGGAGCACAACATGACGCTGTGGCAGGGTATCAAGTTGTATCCCAAGGCTATTGGATGGAGTATCCTTATCAGCACATGTATTGTCATGGAAGGCTACGATGTGTGCCTTCTAAACAACTTCTTCGGATTCCCGCAGTTCAAGCGAAAGTACGGCGAGATGATGCCAGACGGTTCCTACGAGATCTCTGCACAATGGCAGGCGGGGTTGTCCAACGGTGTCATTGTTGGTGAGATCATTGGATTGTTTTTGAACGGTTGGATCAGTGAGAGATTCGGATATCGGTATACGATTATCGGGTGCCTGACCCTTATCGTTGGGTTCACCGCCATTTTCTTCACCGCACAGTCCGTGGTCCACCTGCTGGTTGCTGAAATCCTCTGTGGTATTCCATGGGGAGTATTCCAGACGCTCACTATCACTTACGCGAGTGAAGTTGTTCCCGTTGCTCTTCGTGGATATTGTAAGTCATCGCCAATCTCTTGAGACCGAAGGCATCGACGCTAACCTTATTTAGTGACTACATATGTCAACTTCTGCTGGGGTTTGGGTCAAGTCATCGGTATCGGTGTGATCCGCGCTATGCTTCCCCGAGACGACGAATGGTCCTACCGTATCCCCTACGCTCTGCAATGGATGTGGCCCGTCCCCATCATAATCGGTGTGGCTCTTGCCCCCGAGTCTCCATGGTGGCTCGTCCGTAAAGGCCGTCTTGGAGATGCGAAGAAATCTCTCCTCCGTCTCACCAGTCTCGACCGCGAAACTGATTTCGACGCCGACGAGACTGTAGCTATGATGGTGCATACGACCGCCCTCGAAGAGAAGATCACTGCAGGCGCATCGTACCTCGATTGCTTCAGGGGTGTTGACCGCCGCCGAACAGAAATTGTCTGCATGGCTTGGGCAATCCAGAACCTGAGTGGAAACGCCTTCTCGGGTTACTCCTCCTACTTCCTCCAACAAGCCGGTCTACCTGCTTCAACATCCTACGATTTTGCCCTTGGTCAATACGGCATCAACATGGCTGGTGTTCTCGGTGCCTGGTTCCTCATGAAGGTTGGTTTCGGACGTCGAACACTCTACCTCGGTGGTCTTTGCGGTCTCTGCACTATGCTATTCGTCATGGGCTTCCTGGGTCTCGTTCCCGAGTCTTCCCGTGAAAAGGGTGCTTTGGCTACTGGTTCCATGATGATTGTCTGGGCCATGTTCTACCAACTCACCGTGGGCACAGTGTGCTACTCCCTCGTCGCTGAACTGTCCACCCGTCGCCTTCAGATCAAGACCGTGGTTCTTGGCCGTAACCTGTACAACATCATCGGTATAATCACCGGTGTGCTCACGCCCTACATGTTGAACCCTACCGCGTGGAACTGGGGCAACTATGCTGGATTTTTCTGGGGAGGATCTTGCTTCCTCAGCATCGTGTACACCTATTTCCGCCTACCCGAGCCGAAGGGCCGCAGTTTCGCAGAGCTGGATATGCTGTTCGAGAAGAGGATCTCTGCACGCAAGTTTGCAACCACACAGGTTGATGTTTTTGGCGAGGCGAATGTGCAAGGAACGCATGCGTTTGAGAAGTACGAGGAGAAGGTCGAAGCTGCGCATATGACCGAGTCGATCTCAGACGCGAGGCATTGAGCATTGATGAGGTTGATTTCGAAGTGCTTTGCCTGGCGGGAAGGGGTTGGAGAAGACAATATGGATGGCGGCCAGAAATGTTACGTGTATATAGTGAATGTAACGAGACGCAAATTCCAATATGTAAATGCAGATTCTATGCTGCGTTCATCTGATATGTATGAATAAGTTAAACCGATTGAATCGTGATTGTTCAACTTGTTAAACTGATCGACTATTGCATTGTTATCGGCAGTATATCCACTCTGTAAGTGAAGAGTCCAAGTTGACCTATAATGCTGAGTCAATCGACTGTTTCTCTCCAAAATCTGCGTGAGGATGTATCTAGTTGCTCGAGACCGTCGAAAGTAAGATGTTGAAATCAAAGATAAGAAATTTGCCCAAGCCAGCTCAAGAGGTGGCTGAAGTTTTCAAAGGAAATGATGCTGAGAGCAGTTGTGTCATGGCCCCAAAGAATTCGAGAAGAGAAACTAATCACTCTCGACGGCACAACTTTTGTATGAACTCCCACCCCATACAGGATAATGGTATTACGCTTTAAACACATCAGCAATTTCTCTAGGTGCCTCTTGTCGCAACTCGGCATGATTTGGAGGTGGAGTTTGCGACGAATATTCCTGGCTCCACGATAGTCAAAACTTGCTCGTCCTGATGGAAGTCTACAAAGCAGCGCAACACAACCACATCCTGCGCGGATTATCGCCAGGTGGTAGATTGGCACACGACATAGCTTGAGAAACGAACGCCTTTCCCCTGGAGATGTCATGGGTCATCACAGAGGTGCGAAAACGGTGCATGCTGCGGAACCCTGTTTGTCAGCATCCAGTCTGCTACAGCATCTGCGTAACCGTCTTCATCAGGTTAGACATCCATGGTGTATCCTCTTCCGACTCTTGATGCATCCTGAAGGGGTGGCAACGAGCGCCGTCAGACCTGGCACGGCCACGAGTCCAACGTCGTGTTAGGTAACAGACCCTGCAGGTGATGAAATGACCATGATTTGGTTGTGGTTCGACAAGAACGTGTGGAGTATGCGTTATAGTGTACAGCATTCAGTGTAGGTACAATGCATGCACGGTTCTGTGCTTTCTAGCAAAAAGCTGTGGTGAGATTGTTAGCACAGTCAGACAACGGTTCTCGTCATTCCATATAACGGTGCGCGAAGGTACCAGAGGTAATCAGACAGTAGAACAATATGTTCCTGTAATGGGTGTTCGTCTTGTAAGTGAACACAACAACGTTTCGGCTCCCCTCAAAATCTCCGTAAGTGATACCCTGAGGGCGATCGGATGACTCAGCGTCGCGTGATCTCATTGGTCGACAAGCGCGTTCGAAACGTGCGAGATGTCACTAGGCCAAACATCTCCTGAAGACAAGAACACCAGATCCACCCAGTTTCGCGCTTAAACTATCGTTGGGACGTGTAAATCTTCGAGAGAATGATACTGACGCTGCGGCATCACTTCTCTTGTCTATCATACTCTTGACAGGCAATCCTCACGAAGGAGCAGCAAAACAACAAACTTCGTCCCATCTCACGAGAGATTTCAATGTTGCTCGACTAGTCTATGCCGATTCCAGCTAATGTTAATGATCAAAAAGCTTAATTCGAGGCTCAAACGCTCGACTGCCAATATTAGACCCGCGGGCCATGGTCAACGTTTAGTTGTTTGGGAAGTCCCCTCAGACTCGCTAATATGACAACAGTCCAAAACATGATCTCGAATTCTTTCTTTAGCAACAATTGTTTCAATCGCCAAAGATGTGGAGGCGTCAAACAATCTACCCTTGAACCAGAAGAGACGGTGGCAATCACAACAGGACATACATCACATTGCTGTGTTGAGACTATGCAGTCAGCGATCCCGCTGCGACGACAGGAGTTGTCTGTGTCACCAGTTCAACGACCTAGATTACACAGAGGATATTCCACTTGCATGTAACAGCTGGGCATGCAGATCTACTGCCATGCACCGAGTACGACTTTCTCCGTGCGACAAGCGTAACATTACCGACATGGTGGCTGCCTGTCATATGGCTGGCATGCACATATTTGTGGGCTATCCTTGGCAAATCTCTACTCACCGTTCTCCCCACTATCTCTACACCATCCTAGCGTCCTATCCAGTTTGTTTCTCCCATCTGTAACCGATTCTCCCTTGATCGACACGCAGGGGCCTACCGTCCGGACCACGAGTTGGGACTGCTTTAGATGGATAGTCTCGTCGAGTATGGAACTCGTCTCCATGTATAAAGAGCTGCATACAAGGCGTTTCTAAAATAGGTCATCAAGTCACTCTCATTCAGCCACCACTCTCACTTCGCATCCCGTCTACCTTCTCTTCACTCACTAAATTTCCATCCCATCACCACCACAAACATAATGTATATTTCACACATCCTCATCACCGCCCTCGCCACGACGAGCACAGCACAAGCCCTCCATCCCGCCAACGAAGCTCAACCCTCCCCCCAACCCACCAAACGCCTCCTCGCAAGCGCCCTCAACTGGCTCACAAGCACCCTAAACAACCCCCCAAAATCCGCATCAGCAACCTGCCCCCCAGTCTGGACCGAAATCGCCACAACCCTCACAGCCCAGTTCCTCGCAGACGGCCAATGCACAGACGCCGCGCGCGCCGCAATCCGCACCTCCTTCCACGACTGCTTTAACGGCGCGTGCGACGGCTCACTCATCCTCGCCGGCGAATGCTCAAACTCAGAGAACAGGGGCCTGGAGCGCGTATGCGGTAACCTAGGCAATCTCGCGCAGCAGAAGCAAGTCGGCACCGCAGACTTGATCCAGTTCGCCGCCGCCCATGCGATCAAGACATGTCCTGGTGGGCCGACGGTGCCGGTGAAAGTCGGGCGCAAGGACTCCGACGTCGCGAACGCACAGGGTATACTGCCCGGCGGGCACGCCAGCGGTGTGGATATGGTGAAACTCTTCGGTATGTCCTTATCCTGTCTATACTATATAATATCATGCAATTACTAACACCCCCAAGCGTCAAAAGGCTTCACACCAAAGGACCTCGCCGCCCTCCTCGGCGCACACACAACAGCCCGCCAGCGCACCACGGATCCCTCCCGCGCAAACGCCACCCTCGACTCTACCCCGGGCACCTGGGATAACAAGTACTACCAGGAGACGCGCAGCGGGCAGGCGCCCTTCACGCTGCCCGTCGACAAGAGCATTTCCACAACGCCCGCAACTGCAGTCCCGTTTACGGCCTTTGCGCTGAGCAAATCTGCGTGGGATGTTGCGTTCGTGTCGGCGATGCAGAAGATGAGCTTGTTGGGCGTGGATAAGGAGGGGCTTGTTGATTGTACGAGTGCGCTTCCCGGGGGCAGTGAGAAGAGGGAGGTTAGGCGCGGGAGTGTGTTTGAGAGGTTGGGGTGGTAAGGGGTTTGTTTTGTTGGAGTTTTGTCGTTGGGGGGTTGTGGGTGAGGTGTTTTACGGTGTTCTATTTTTCTGTTTTCTGTGCACGGCGGGATGTATGCTGTGTATGACGGGGGCAATACGATATAATGGCGCGCAAGCATGATCGCTACAGCACACTGGGTGCCTAGCTATAATGAAACATTTACTTTACCCACTCGATTTCCAACTCTGCCTTGATTCCACACTGTCTCAACCGGTCTTGGAATCAAGTAGTATACATCAGTGGACTTCAGAGCATAAGCGGAACAAACTAGCACATAGTAGCCTAGGATTTGATATTGAAAACAACAGAGGCTTGAACTCCTTGCATAGAAGATGTTAAATTAGACTGGTCTGGACAAGCCAGGACAGGACAAGATAAGACAAGACGATGTATAACGCCTCTTCTCCCCTCATCCCATCTCGTCTCGTCTCGTTCAGTCTCGTCCACACATAAACCAGACCAGACTAAATTACACACCAACCCGCAGCCTATGCTAAAACTCCAAGTCACACTCAGCTTAAATGCAGTCTTACATCCAAGCACACAGGAAAAGCATCAATGCAGTATTAAAAACGTCCATTTCATCCCTCACAGCCACATATCTACATCTACATCGCATATCCACATACATATCAACACCCCCCCTATGCCATCCCCTTCCACCCTACTAGAAATTCTGAGCCCAGCAAGTAAAAAACAGCAATACAAAACCCCTCCCCCGACCCAACCATCTCCCAGCCCAACCATCCATGCAAAAACCCCCCATCCCGCCATGCAATAAAGAAAGATATATACTCGAAGCCCAACGAAAACGAAGCGAAGGAAAAAAAAGTCTCCCCCCAAGAAAGGGAGAAACGGGTATTTCGAACGTCTTGTCTACCGACAGCAAACCCTCCCAAAAAAGAACAAAACAACAAGCCGCACCTCCCCTTCCCCCCCCACCCTCCCACCCCTAAAATCAAGCCATCTCCTCCGGCGGCGGCGTAAGCAATTCCCTCCCCTTCCCCTCGGGACTCGGCGGACTAACCATCGTCGTCGGCATCGGCATCGGCATCCCGCCCTCAAGCATATCCTCCTCCCTACCCCCACCCTCAGACATAACGCTATCCCCCTCCTCAGCAATCCTCGGCGTCAACGACCCATCCTCCGTCTTTGCACTACTAGCCAGCTGCCGCCGTCTACGCCTACGCTCACGCTCTGTATCCGCGCTTTCACGACGGCGCCGCACGTTCAGTCCGCCGTCGGGGTTGGCGGATAGACCTTGCAGCATAGCGGCTGCGCGGTCCGCGACGTCGGCGTCTGGGTTCGGAGGTGCGGCGCCTGCGGGGTGGGGTGCTGGACCGCTTGTTCCCGCCGTGGCGGCCTCTGGATCCGCGGCGTCGAGCGCCGCCGTTGGTGCGATACTTCTCTTCGCATCGTCGACATCAGCATCTGGCGCGTCGGCGTCTTCGCCCGCGGAGTGTGCTGCGTCGGGGGCCTGCTGGCCGGACGTGATGCGGACTTGGTGGCGGTCCTTGAGGCGGGCGCGGCGGCGGCGGTCGCGCTGGTCTCGCGCTTCGGGCTTCGCGGCGCGGAGTTTCTGCAGCAGGTCGTCCATTGCGCCTGTTGAGGCGGGGGATTTGGGCGCGTCGGGGTCGGTGGGGGTGTTTGCTGAGAGGGGGTTTGTGGGGCCTGCGCTGGCTGCTTTGCGGCGCATCGAGACTTCGTTGCGGCGGTGTTGGTCTTCTAGGGCGGTGTTTTTGTCCTTTGATTTCTGCGGTGCGTTGCGTCAGTATTTACTTTCTTGATATCCGCAAGATACAAAAGCAAGATGGATAGGAATCTGAAAGAAAAAACTCACTCTCCACTCCTGCACAAAGTTGGCCAGCTTTGCGAAAAAGTCCCTCCTCGCACTATCATCCTGCGGATCCTCACCATAAAACGCCATGATATCCTCATACGACTTCTGCATATCCTCCAGAAACACGGCCATCTGCTCCGCCTTGCGTCTCGCCTCCTTCATGCAGCGCTGCACGATAATCGACACCTTATCCTCAGGATGAAACCTACTGGGGTCCGACAAATTCCCAGAATCAAGACTAGCCTGCACATTCTTAATATTATCGATATACTTCTTAGCATCCTGCTGCAGCTGCTCGACATTAATCTTCTGCGCGGTAACAACCCCGCTAATCTCATCCGTGAAGTTCTCCCACCCGGAGTACTGGTTGCGCACGATGCGCTCGACGAGATCCGCAAACGTGGATTCGTTCTTGTCGTCTTTCAGCATGCCTAGACGGGACAGCGTGGATAGCTTGAACCCGTTTGCCTGCTTGTTCGCGTCGTTCATGAAGTTGCCAATGTCGAGGATGAGGCCCAACACGCTGATCAGGCTCGACGAACTCCTCAGGCTCTCCGACACGCGCGAGATCTCTAGCAGCTTGTTGGATATCTCGTCATACTCGGCTTCGTACGTGCGGGTAAGGGACAGCGCCCTCATCCTGCTCTTCCAGTAAAAGTGCAGCTCGTACGCAGTGTACAGGTAGATCTGGTCCTCCCTAGTAAGCTCCGTGGGGTCGAGTTCACGTTTACTTTCCATAGCGTTTGGGCCATTCCAGTCCTTCGAGTAAGGCGCCATAAGCTTGGCCGTATTATCAGGGATCTCGCAGAAGTCCTGTTTTTGCAGAAACTCCATGACGACGCTATCATCCAGAACCCTATTCTCACACACAACAATCATCTGCACAATATCATCAACCGAGATGGCCGAGTACTTGGCCATGCTGATCTGGAAGTTGTGCATGAGATCGCGCGAGATGATCTGCTTCTTCTCGTCCTTCTTGGACGACTTCTTGCCGAGGGCTTTGATCTCCTTGGCCAGGAAGAGCTTCTCGACTTCTTCGAGCACACCCTTCTTGGACAGCTCCTGGTACTTCTCCTCCTTCTCTTCCGACGTCATGCCACGGCTAGCCCACACAGTCGAAGTGGGCGAGTCGACCTTGTCCCAATGGAGGGCCTTGAGCTTCTTCTTCGGCCGCGGCCCTGACAGCCCGAGCTTAACTGGACCATTGAAGCCAGGCGCCTTTGGCATGAAGCCAGGACGCTTACCCCCCGGCATCGGTGGAGGCGGAGGCGGGGGCATACCACCCCCAGGCATCGGGGGCGGGGGCGGGATACCCATGCCAGGCATAGGCGGAGGTGGAGGAATCCCCGGCGGTCCATTAAACCCGAGTTTGCCAGGCGGCGGCGGAGGAGGCGGAGGAGGGATATTACCATTAGTGCCGGGCATAGGCGGCGGGGGCGGAATAACATTAGAAAAGCCAAGAGCACCCGGGGGTGGTGGCGGTGGAGGAGGAATAAAAGGTCGTGACACACCATCGGCAGGCGTGTGGGGAGAATCAGATGAGAGACTTGGATGCGAAGGCCCTGTCGTAACGCCATCGCCCTCTCCATCCGAGTCGTCGTAGCGCTTGATATTCGACGCAATCTCTCCCAGGAGAGCGTTCGCCGTCGACGCACTGAGCTTCGGCTTGTGCATCTGGATAAGCCGGGGCTTCTCGATAACCATATCATCGTCGTCATACTCGAGCATGGAATCGTCGTCCGGAAACCCGCCAGGGACAGGCTTGCGACGAGGCACGCCACCCTTCCCGCGTACAGAGCCAAAGGAGTTCGGTTCGAGGCCGCTGAAGCTCTCTTCCATGTCGCCCGAGCCGTCCATCTTCTCCCTCAATTCCCTCAGCTTCTCGCTGGGCTGCATTTGCAGCGTCTTGCCCTCGAGCGTCGCGTGCGTCTTGGCTCGCTGGAGCTGAATCTCCAGCCTGTTCATCAGCCGCTCGCGATCCATGATGCCCTGCATCTGCGCAGGATCCGTCGCACCCAGACCATCCTTGCCCGACTTCTTGGCCGCAGACGCCGCAACGTCCTGCGCGTCTCGCAGCATGAGGTAGAGCTCACGTGTCTCGAGCTCGTTCCGCTGCAGCTCTTGCGCGCGTATCCTTTGGATCTCGGCAAGCTCGGCTTTCATCGTCTCGACCTGTCTGCCGCGCAGCTCAATGATGCGCTCCTGCTCTGCGAGTTGCTTTTGGAGCTTCTGCACCAGTCCATCCGCACCGAGCTCGAGCTGGGCTTTGAGTTCGTCGCGCTCAGCAATGGCCGAATCAGCGACTTGTCGTGCCTCGAGAGCTTCGTCTCGCACTTGGCGGGCTTCAGAGTCCGTGTACAGCTTGTCGAGCAAGGACTGGACGGTAAAGTTCAGGCTCTGCTTCAGATCCATATCCGGCAGTCGGCGGTCCATAGCCACGTAGCTCAGCATGGAGTCGACGAGCTGGAACATCTTGAGCCGGTCCTCGCCATCGGTATCCCGAATGAGCAGCAAGTGCTGCATAGCAGACAAGAAGTAGTCCTGCGCTCTACTACCACTAATCTTGGTCATGATAGCGTCGGCAATCTGGCTAGGGTCGTTGAGATCCTTCATATCGCCCTCGACGCTATCAACCATGGAGTCGTTCTCGCGCTCGAGGTACTCTTCATAGTCAATAGCCTCATTATTGACATAGCGTTCAATCTGCTTGTCGATGACCTCGTACTGGAAGCCCTCCATCTTCTTAAAAATGCGCTTCAGCCCGCATCCTGTGAACTGGGCGCGGATGTGCATTCTGAGCTGGAGATCGCGCTCCGGGGCATCGACGACCATGTTGATCAGGAAGAGCGTGGCAATGGCGTATTCCATCAGCAGGTTCTCGACGCCAATGCCGCCGCTGCGCACTTCGTCTGAGGCGCCGACCATGGAGCCCATCTTGCCGCGGCCATCGACAGTGACTTCAACAACCCGCATCCAAGCGTCGAAGCGGCCGTTCTCGCCATACTGGGCCTTGAGGTTGTCGAGGGCCTGCAGGACCTTCTCATGCCCACTGCCTTCCCCCCAGTGGCAGAGAAAGGTCAGGACATCGGAGACGAGCTTGCGCGTGTTGAGGCGCGTGGAGATGAGGGAGCTGGCGAGGGCCTGGATGATGGAGGGGTGGTTCAGGGCATTGTCGGCGCCGTACTTGTTGTTCATCAGCGCCTTGAGGCACTTGATAATCTCGTACTCGCGCTCGACGTCGTTCTCGGCCTTCTGCACCATGCCCGTGGGCGGGGGCGCGGGGCCCTGGCCTTTGCGGCGGTTGATCTTGGCGAGGACGTTGGTGAGGGCGATCTGGCCCTGGGCCTCGATGAAGCCGCGGACCCAGGCGATGGGCTGGGTGCGCAGGCTGATCTCGAGACTCGACATCTGCTTGATGGAGATTGTGTTGTCCATGACCTTCTTGACGTACCACTCGGGGGCGCCCTCCTCCTCGGCGCGGGCCAGAATGTCCGGGTTCTGGACGCCGTTGTACGTGTTGCGCTGCGTGTTGCGCTTCTTCTCGTCGTGCTTGAACTCGGCCAGCTTGTCCTGGTAGACGAGTGTCCACTTCTTGTCGATCTTGTAGGCCTCCATCTGGCGGCGGGCCTGCTCGGGCAGGCTCTTCCACCCGCGCTTGACCATCAGGTTCATGAACTCCTTCTCGACGACCTGGTCGGGCGGGCGCTGGATGCTGAACGTGTTGGCGCCGAACGAGGCTGTCGACGAGGCGGCCGAGGCGGCCTGGTTCAGGTGCAGCAGGTCGCGCGGGTCGCGGTGGCGGTGCGAGTCGCGGGGCGTGGCAGCGGCCATGGGCAGCAGCGACGAGGCGTCGAGGCCCAGGCTGGCAAAGGTCGTCTGCGAGGGGTTCTGCGAGGGGTTCTGCGAGATGTAGGGCGTCGACGAGCCGCGGGTGCGCGAGTCGTTGGAGTAGAGGCTGGCCTGGTCGAACGAGGCGCGCGGGTTGGCGGCGGCCGCGTCCTGGGGCGCATAGTAGGCGGGCGTGGTGCTGCCATTCCGGCTCGATGTCTCGCGCGAGCCCCACTGCTGCAGGCCGGCGCTCGAGGCCATGGTGGTGGTCGACGAGTGGGGCGGGGGACGTGGAGGCCCCGCAGCACCATGGCCGCTGGACGACGAGGCCGACGAGGAGAAGACAGGGTACTGGTGGAAATCGCCGCCGGCCTTGTTCAGCTCGTGCGGCGGTGGCTCGTCGTCGGTGGGGTATGATGATACGGGCCCGGCTCGCGCGAAGATGCCCTCCGCGCTCATGGACACGGGGCGGTCGATCGAGGCCGTCGACGTCGAATGCCGGTGGTGTCGCGACGAATGTGAGCCGTGAGCACTGCCGGGCGGGCTCTCAGCGACGGTGTCTCTCTCTCTATCCCTTTCCTTGTCCTTGTCGCGGTCGCGGTGCAGGCGGCGGTTGAAGAACTTGCTCGCTGACGTGTGCGAGCGCCCCTTGCTATCCATGCTGCGGGCGTGTGGGCGTGGGCGTGGGTCGAGGTCAGCGTCGACTTCACAGTCACGGTGCCGGGACAGAGGATCTGGTGTGGCTGCAGCTGCAGGTAAGAGCGGGAAGCGTCCGAATCCGAGTTGTGCTAGCGCCGACGAGTGCGGTCCTCATGTTCGCGTTGCTCTGCGGGTGCTGGGCAGCCGTGTCCTGGTGCTGCTGCTGCTGCTGCTATTGCTCTGCTAATCCGTCTGCCAATCTCGCGGCAGCGAACTGCAGTCGTCGATTCGCTGCGACTCCTGACACACACCTACCCCTTCGCGTGCCTGCCAAAAATGGGCCAGCCTCGCCCGCCGTGCTCTGTGCGCCCGGCTAGCTTGAACCCTGAATGCAGCCAACGCGTCGTCGTCCTCCATCACCATTACCACCACCACCGCGTGCCTGCCTCGCGTGTCCCATCCCCAGCCATGGCCGCCTTTGCCCATTTCCTCAAGGTGTGCCCTCCCGCACCACGACCCACACGTGCACGCTGTACTTACTAACTCCCCCCCGCCCAGTCCATCTTCATCCCCCTGTTCCTCGCCGCCGTGCTGTACCTGCTGCTCGCGCTCCTAATCGTGCCCTTTGTGCGCCGCCACCGCACCCGCTACAGCCAATACCTGCCCATGCCGTCGTCCGCCCACGCCGAGTCGCTCTCCACCTGGCGCACAAACGTGTCCGACGCCCTGTACATTCTGTTTGTGCCCTCGCGCTGGCGCAGGACTGCCGTTGTTGCGCACCACGACGACGACTTGTTTGATGATGAGGAGGGCGAGGATATGGTTGGGTTTAGTCCTATTGATGAGCGGAGGAGGGCTGTCTTGGAGCACCGGGGCGCTGCGGATGAGCAGCGCAGGGTCGGCAGGCACCTCGAGGCTGTGTTCAAGGATGAGAGTGAGGACGAGATGGAGGATGAGAGGCGTCCGTCGCTGGCAACAGGGCGGTCGTGATGCTGGGTGTTGGCTAGTTTTGTTCATTTCATGTAATTGCATTGTTCTCCAGAAAATACCCGTCTCACTTCACTTCACACCATCCCACGGTTGACACAACAGGTAAGAGCTTAATCGTGTATGTTCATTGATATTCATTCGCCTTCATACAACAGCCCAGGAGCAACCATGCGACTCCGCAGAACTAAAAAAGGAAAAACACTCCATCAACCGCTTACAACCCGACCTTGTCCTTTGTAGGAGCACGCATACCATACGCCTTGGTAGCGTAGTCACCCTTGTGCACGATAAGATCCTCTGGCTTGTAGTCCTCGCGGCCCGAGAAGTACGAGTCGAGAATGGCCTTGGTGCCGGCGGCGTAGCGCTGCGAAACTCGTTAGCAACAGCATATCATCTTCATCATTGTGCGAAACATACCTTCTGCGCGTCGATCGAGGTACCAGACATGTGGGGGACCATGGCGTTGCCTCCGCCCCAGGGGTTGGTTGCGTAGCGGAGAGGGTGGTCCTTGGGCGCGGGCTGGGGGAACCACACATCACCGCCGTATCCGCGGAGGTGGCCGGACTTGAGTGCGTCGGCGACGTCCTCCTTGACGATGATGGCGCCACGGGCGGTGTTGACGAGCCACGAGCCTGATACTTGTCAGTAACTGTCCGTATCTCCCTCGTCTGGACAAGCTTACCCTTCTTCATCTTGGAGATGAGCTCCTTGTTGAACATGCCGCGGGTCTTCTCGTGCAGCGGGCAGTTGATAGTGACAACGTCGCACTGAGCGAGCATCTCCTCGAGGCTGTCGACACGGCGGCAGCCAATCTCCTTCTCGACCTCGGGCTTCAGGGGCTGGTAGTCAAAGTACAGCAGCTCCTTGCACTCGAAGGCCTTGAGACGGCGGAGCACGCGCTCACCGATACGCCCAACGGCAACGGTACCGACGACCTTGTTCTCCAGGTCGTACTCGTTCTTAGCCACCTCGGCGACGTTCCACTCGCCGCGGGTGATCTGCTCGTGTGCGGGGACAAAGTTGCGGACGAGTGTGAGGATGGTCATGACGACGTGCTCGGCGACCGACACGACGTTGGAGCCAGTCACCTCGGCAACGGTGATACCGCCATTGGTCTTGTTCGCGGCGTCGAGGTCGACGTGGTCGGATCCGATACCAGCCGTGACAGCAATCTTGAGGTTCTTCGCCTTGGCGAGACGCTCAGCCGTCAGGTAACCGGGGTGGAAACTGTTACGCCGTTAATCAGCATTGCGAGCTCGAGTCTGGATTTGGATTGGATTTGTGGGGTAATTGCGGGGTAGCTTGACGTACGGTGTGGTGATGATGACCTCCGCGTCAACAAGGTGCTGGTCGAACACCGAGTTCTCTCCCTCCTTGTCCGAGGTGGTCACCAGCTCGTGGCCTTGCTCCTCGAGCCACTTCCTGATGCCCAGCTCGTTTTCTGTCGTTCCGAGGAGGTTTGGCTCCTGCTCGGCGTGCACACCACCCTGGTCATGCTGTCAGTCCTGTTCACCGCGCACAGCAGAAGACAATCCAACTTACATCGTAGAGGACGAGAAGAACTTTGCCCTGTTGAGAAGCACTTGCTGTTAGCCTTCTAATGCCATTTGGCTGTCGTATGAAGGGAGCTCCCAATCGGGGACCAGCGCGTGTTGCGCTGAGGAAGGACGAGGCAGGCCGTGCAAGACGGGAAGTTGAGCGGAGAAATACCATTGTGAATTATTGAAGTGTTTTGTTGGATTCAATGTAATCGATACTTCGACGAGCTTTATATCAATCAAGAACAGCCCAAGTGTGTCTAGCTGACATGAGGTGCGTCAGCCTACTACGGTTCCTTATGCCGGACGGAAGAGGGGTTCAGGGTTTCCACATACCTGATGTAACTAAAACGGGAATGATCCTTCGAAGCCTCTGCCGGGATATGTGTATCGAAGGAAGAGTTATGGTTTGATAGAATTGAGGGGTAGTGAGCCCATCTTTATACACACATAGAAGCCCCTCTTGACACGGCTTCCCAGCCCATTAACCCGCTTCATTCTGGCTCATTCCATGCAACGACGTGTCCAGACCTCCCCACTTGGTGGTACAAAAGGGCCCCAGAAAAGAATTGCCTCTCGTGGATACGACGGTCATGTTTGGAGATACTACGCATCGCAGGTGGGTGCGGGGTCGCAACTGGCGCATGCTGGAAAGGGTGGACCATCAGGATACCTAGATCCAATGGAATTGCCGAACCCATGCAAACCTACGTAAAGTGAGGTACGCGACGCGCCAGGGTTGTGGATATGCTATGGACTTTGGGCACAATAGGCCTTGGCTCTGGCTCTGGCCCGAGTCGCTCCCGAGGAATTAATGGCTAGTTTAGCCCAGCGTCAGTATTACATAGTACCTTGTTAATCTCGGACTGCCAGCTATCAGCTTTGCCGGCCGGAGATCGTGCCTCAAGGCGGAAAGCGCGTGTTCATGCAACAAGAAAAGCCTCAATTGAGCCCTGTGGAATGTGGGGTCGATCTAGCGTGGTCCGCCATGTGCGAACGAGTGCGACATGGCACCGAGCAGCCCCGAAGCTCCGAATTTCGCTGATCCGTCGGACATGGAGATAGCTCGCTGATGGAGGAAAGATAAGCCTGGACATGTATCTTATCAACCCAGCCGCCGCTTTCTTACTTCAACCCGCCTCCTCATGCCCTCCCAGCATTCATGGCAATGGTGGTGTGCAATGCCTTTGGCTGAGGCAACGCCACTACCGATTCATCGCCTGCATCGCTTGCATCGCCTGCATCGCTTGCATCGCACTGGATTTCTGATATGGTGACCACCTAGGAACGCAAGACGTGTGGAAGTCTGTTGCTTTGATAACAACAAGACTTCAAGTCGAACATAAGAGTAGTTGTCGAGGAACGCGTGTTCGAGCCGCGAAGCAGTTGAGTACCTCGCTGCGTCAGGCGATCTAACAAGAGCCGTAAACGGGTATGTTCTAACCGGAGTGCGCCGACCTAAAGTCTTACTCTGCAGAGCGCGCACGAAATAAAGTGTGCAATATATTTGCCGCGTGCGCTTGACAGCCGTCAGCCCAAAGCGAAACTTTAACCATCCGTAAGCGGGCCAACGACCAACGGTTTCCCAAACAACAACCATCGGGCGTAAATTCTCAGAAGGTCTGCACTCTACATTTGGAGAAGACACTATATTTCCCGTGCTCTGAGTTTCTCGCATGGTTAACAGCAAAAGACAAAAGCAACCCACCAGTAGAACTTCGTTCTTTTGCAAAAGAATGTTTCTGCAGGCTGGGTGAGGTTGAACAGTGACATCCAGCCACCACCAGCCTTCAGCCTTTAGTTGTTTCCGACACGCGTCCAACCTCAACACTCATACTAAACAGGCACATCTGCAGACAGGTACAACTGCAAACTACCTCTCCGGTATCACCTTCCTCATCTCGGCTGTCTCCCAATCCAGTACTTGTGGCGCACTTTTCGTACGACACTTACGACAACTTTCGGTATGCCGCATCCCAATTCGCTCCATCGCATATTAAAACTAGCGTCGCATTGGCTGCTAGAACATGCGCGTTCTCCAAGTTTCAGCTACTGACCGTTTTGTCAGGAACATACCTCCAACGCGGTGTCAGAAAGCGGTATTCGTGAAGTCCTGCTCATCTCACGCCGGTTATCTGCATTCCCCGCTTCGACGAGAGTAGTATAAAGAGCTCGGAAACCACCATCTAGTGCTTCATTACCCACTGCCGACCACTACCACCGCAAACACTACCACCGCAAACACTACCACCGCAAACACTACCACCGCAAACACTACCACCGCAAACACTACCACCGCAAACACTACCACCATGCACAACCTACTCACCATTTTAACCGCATCGTCCCTTGCGCTCGTGGCGCATGCGGCTATCACACAAGCCGATTTCACCGGCATCGGCCACATCCAAGTGCTCGCCTCCGACGACTGGTCAACCGCAACTCCAAACGACACAGTCGGCTGCCTAGACACATACGGCAAGTTCATCGCGAGCAACAACACAGACGACTGCGGTGTTTTCTCGCGCCTGGACACGTACCCGTACACGCTCTCCACCGCAGCGGGGAACTGCACCTTCAACGACGAGTCGCAGGAGACGAACGACGACAGCTACTACGGCAAGACAGACCACGCTTGGAACTGCAACGAGACATACGAGTCTGTCATCTACGACGAACTGTATACTATCGTAAGTCCCAAACGCTCCCTAAACATATTCACTTGCTTACTCCCCATCCCAGGACGGCTTTTCCTACGTCTTCCTCTGCTTCGGCGACATCGCGTGCTACTACGACGCCAAGCGCCTGCCGGAAGCTAACGAGGAGTTGTCACTGTGGCAGTTCCGCTGGGGATCCCAACAGATGGACATCACGCCCGGGTAAGCAGACCATTCCCCCATGAATCGCGTGCTCAGCGTGTGCTAATCTGTGTTCTTGGTAGACACACCCAAATGCTGCTGATGTGGAATAAGATCGGCGAGCTGCCGAAGAGGAAGAGCGCGTCATCTGTTCCGGGGCCGCGTATGCGGATTGAGTCTGGGATGCAGGTTCCACTGCAGGGACAGGGGGCGAGGTCGTGATGTGTGGGAGTGTGTTGACGGTGTGGTGTTTTTATATGATGGCTTGGACTGCGGGTTGGTTCGAGATACGAATTTAATGATCTTATTCCTGTTACGTTTCGATATTGGGTGGTGTTGTTATAGGAGAGTGGGCCTCACAGACATGCTACAACTATATCCAGATCGACTTATCAAGTGTGTCTCGTTCAGGCAAAGTGTCGATATATGGTATGGACTAAACTCAAAACTTTTGACATGTAACAATAATATGGTTACTCACCACACATCGCATCCCCCTCCTTCCACCACAAAACATCAGAACACAATCCCCATACCCAAAAACCCCCTCCCATCTACTCCCCTCTACCCCAATCCTCTCGCACAAGAAGTCCAAATCACCAAATCACCAAATGACGCCAAACACCCAATCCCTCCATCTCCCACCCATGACTAAAAAACTTTTCAACCCCCATCTACCCCCATCCTATAAGCAAACCCGACCACCAAGCAAAACCCCCTTACACTCCCCCCTCCTCGCCCCTGGACCTATCATGCGGCGTAGTCTCCAGCTGAAACCCCGCCCCGCTAGCTCCTCCACCAGTCTGCGCCGGTCCACATACATAGCTCCTGAAGTGATTACCAACTGGAGTCTCAACGACGAGGACATCTCCTGGGCCGGTGATGGTGATGCTGATATTGTGGTTCGAGGGCTTGTTGTAGCAGCCGTATTCCTGCGGTGCGTACTGTCAGCCAGTGTCGTGAAGCCTAGGAGGGTGTATACAAGCGAGCAGGTAAGCCAAGTCCACTCACAACAAAGAACGTGCACGAGACAGGCTTGCAGACCGTTATCGAAAGGACGTCGTCGCCGCTGTTTTCGTGGTGTTAGCATGGTACATATTTCACCTCCGAGTGGCGGTTTTTTGGAAGGAGAAGGGGGTGATGGGGGTAGAGTACGTACTTCCGCAGGGGCATGCAGCTTTTTCCATGCTTCGTCTGCAGGAGGTACTCTGCGCTGCCGGTGAGGTTGGGCAGGGAGTAGGCGATGCCGATGTCGCGGGCGAAGGCGGTGTTGAGCATGGTTTTGTGGGGGTGGGGGAGGGCGAGGGAGCTGCTGATGGTGCTTAGGATTGAGAGCACTAGGGATGTCAGTGGGATCATGGTTGGCGTGTTGTGAAAGATGGATGGATGGATGGATGGATGGATGGATGAAGAGTGTAGTGATGTTGAGGGGGTGGGGACTGTATGGGAGGTTAGTGTTATATAGGAGATGTGGATTATATAGAAGAAGCTGATGATATGTTTTGCTTGGAGGCTTGTGTTGCGTTATCGGCGCGGTAAACGGGCGTGGCTATCGAGGCGGAGGTGAGTGACCGTTTGGATCTTCGAGGACCAAAGGAGTACTATTCAAATTGGCGGTGAACTATCCAGCAGCACCGATCGGATGCCGTTTGGACCTTATGTAATTGGTCGTCGAGAAAATCGAGACACTTGGACAGCGTTGGTTAGTAGATATCTGTGTGTCAGTTGACTGCTTGAGGTTCATGATGAGTAAAATATATACCGAATCTCGGAATGACGAAAGTGCGCTTAGCATTCAAGGAGTAGTAAGAATGATGTGAGTAGTTTAGGCTCGAGGGGGAAAAATGACAGAAGAGATCTGACATCGGTTGTTATGGATGATCTTAACAAAGACTGGATTATCACCCCCGACAGAGAAATCGACAGCAAGTCACCCTTCTCCTAGCAGAAATCACTACCTCAGTGTCATGAGAACATCTAATAACTATCGACACGAGACTAATAGATAAAACTGTTATCGTTGTCTAAAAGACCGAGGTTCTCATCACGGGTTGTGTGTATCTACATCGTTTGTCGTAGTCTGTTCTGCTGACACAACGCATTTTATAAAGATACAAGATAAAAAAGCTCGTCGTTTGACTGGAGGTGGTGCAGACGAATTAACCTACATGAGAATTGTCCCACTTTCCAGCTCCTTACAAATGCGAGCTGCTCACTACACGAGAGAGGGGATGAATCTCGCTGGTCCCAGGTAAGTACGACCTTCAAGAGATCTGTTCACTTTTAAAGTTAGCTCTGACATACAGTGACATGCAGTGAAAGCACTGGCTAGTTCTGCGCTGCTTACACCACGTTATCCCTATTGGTTGACACCTGATTACCACTCAATTCTGTGCTCTGCGATCTGCACGCGTCTTTACGCCCCCAAACGCGGATTCTACAGATGAGCAGTAGCGGCGGGCAATATTGAGTTTGGCGCTTCACAGATCATTGGCCATCTTGCTCGACAACCTATGAGAAGTTTGTTCAGGCCGCGCTAGGAGTTTACAACCAGGGCGTACCCAGTATGATCGACAAAGGCTTTTGGTACTATAACATCGACCGCATGCACAAGGCGAGGTAAGCTTTGCCGCTGACTATGCAGCTAATACGCCCGACTTGCTGGTCGGACAGATGTATGATAAGCCTGCTGTATCCCAGCCTATATTCAACATTGTCTATACTATTTTCACGTTTGTTATCTGAGGTGGGCTGCACCTTGCACTTGTTCTCCATAATGTCTTCGATACTTGTCATATACGTTCTCGCTTTCGTTGTGATATCATACTGCTACGTCCACTCTATCCTCGTTCCTAGACCCTTTCCGAATATTCCCTACAACAAAATTTCGCGCTTCTTACCCGTTGGCGATCTCATACTCCTAGGTCTCTATAACTTGTCCACTGGCGAAGTGTTCAGCTGGTTCTCGCTCCAATGCGTCAAACACAAGTCTCCAATGACACAGATCTTCATGCCCTCGATCTCGACCACACATCCGGTTATCATCATGGCGGATGTTCGGGAGATCGAGGACGTGGCGACAAAGAGAGTGCAGGAGATCGATCGCGCGGATATTATGCATGCTTGGTTTGGCTTGTTGACGCCGAAAGCAACAGTTGGTTTGAAGACTAGAGACATAGAGTTTATGACGCAAAGACGCTTATGGAATACCATGTTAAGTCCCCAATTCTTGAACGAAGTCATGGGTGTGACTTTTCACAAGGCTGCGGTCAAGCTTGCAGATTTGTGGGAGGAACAAGCACAACTGGCGGGCAATGATTGTGCGTTCCAAATGATGGAAGATATAAAGATGGTGACTCTTGAGGGAATTTGGAAGGCGATTCTTGGATCAGAATTCAGTCTACTCGATGCCAGAGTGAAGAGTGTGAAAAGCTTTGGAGTGATTCGAAAGAGTAAAGCGGTAGCCACATTCAACAAAGGAGAAATGCCAGACTTTTACACGACGTTGGAGACACTTCAAATGTGCTTGGGCTGGACCATGCAGGGGATAAGCCCAAGATTCTATACTTGGGTCTTCAGAAGTACTGGTGTGCTGCCACGCGCAGAGAAGAAGAAAGACCAAGTACTCGATCACTGCATAACCACAGCACGAGAAAGACTTCGAAAACATACCCAAAGCGACAAGTTAGACTTTACGTGTGGTCTCGATCAGGTCCTGCAGAAAGAAGCCTCGTTGAACAAAAGAGTAGAGCTGAACGGCATATCAATAAGCAACTCAGCCCTCAAAGACGAGATTCTCGAGCTACTCATCGCGGGACACGAAACAACCGCATCCTCCATCTGCTGGGCCCTCAAGTACTTGACCGACCATCCTCTTGCACAAACACAACTTCGAAACTCATTGTACTCTGCGATACCAGACGCTAGTCCTTCAAACCTACCATCTGCAAAACGTCTACTCGCAGCTTCTTTGCCTTATCTTGATGCAGTAATAGCAGAAAATCTGCGCCTCTCAGCAACAGGGCCTGTATCATTCCGGCAAACACTGACGGAATGTGAATTACTCGGACACGCGATTCCTGCTGGAACACCCTTGATTCTCATCACTGCTGGACCGTCGTACAACGACCCAAATATGGCGTTGGTCCCGGAAGAACTGCGATCGAGGACCTCACAGGCCGCGCATTTGCGGGCCAAGAAAGCACAGTCGAGTTCAGGACATGCATCTAGCCCACCTTCTCAATTAAGCTCAGATTCTGTACCCTGCTCAGACTTTTACCCGTACCCATCCATCCCATCAAATCCAAATCATCATCCAACTCCTAGCCTCCACCATACCGAATTCAATCCCTCACGCTGGCTTATCAAGGGCGTGTTTGATCCAAACGCGGTATCCATGTTTCCCTTCTCCGCGGGTCCGAGGGGGTGTTTCGGGAAGAAGATTGCTATGTTGGAACTGCGGATCGTGCTTGCGGTGCTCATCATGCGGTTCCAGTTCCCACGGTTGAGTCCAGAACTGAGTAGGTACGGGGCAAAGGATGGACTTACCAGACGACCTACCTGCTGTCATGTCAGACCAATGCTTGTTGAGACAAGGTGAAGCGAGGTCGCAAGTCCTAGGGGAGGGAAGAAACTGTAAATGCATACCATGTCAATGTTGGGATGATCACGAGTGGGATATCGTAGAATGCAGTACCAACAACTGAGTGTTCGCTCGAACTAGACAATTGGAAGTTGGAATGTGAATTCTAGCGACTCACTCTTACACTGATATGACTCGCATGGTTCGATTCATGGTCGCATTCGCGTGCAGCCAGCGAATATCCGCCCGGCTGCAGCCTTCTTACAGGGAATGCGTGAAGAGGCTCGTCGACTGTGGAAGCGTATGTACGTATCGATATGCGCGGCTTTTTTCGTGTCTTGATCGTTCTCCTGTGACCATGACTAAACCATGACACAGAATCGACCTCTTGTGGAAGGCCAGAGATGGAAGATGACGTTGAGCTGAACTGACTAGCGGCTCACGTCGGAGACGCGACGCGACGAAACCCCTCAACCACATGCATCTAACGACAGCAACGACGACGGCAAGATGCGCTTCAAGGCATCTATCCAAAACATTAATACCTTTACAAGTATGTTAATGCCGCGATATGCTTCCATGATGATTGATCGTGTCCAGAACTCACCGCATCGCTCAACTCGCTCGGCCCGCTTGCATGGGTGAAGCTCAGCGAAGAGCAAGTATGCTTTACCATCATACCAGAGCAGGGCACACAAGTGTGGGCGTGAGTGAACGCTTCACAGGCCACTACTATGCCATTGTCTAACCTGCAGTAGTGTTCTATCAATTGTAAGCGCGCCTTCCCAATTTCAATACGCAGGACCTCTATGTTCCCATGCAGAATCTAATGCACGACGCAGGACTCCATTTTCGAAAGTATCAGCGTTCAGTCGGCGGCGAACAATGTCATCAACCTCGAGGTTCCTCTTACGTCGTTGAATCGCGCACTCAAGTCAGCTTTGAATGCGACGTCTGCCCAGATTCGCCTTACCAAGAAGGATAACATGCCCATGCTCGCTCTCACCATCGTTACAACCACCTCCTCGAACACATATAGCGCCTTCCCAACAGCCAGCGCCAACAACGACGATAGTTTCGATGCGCCCTTTGACAGTGCATATGGCGGCGGCAATCGTGAGACGATTGTCACGCAGGAGATACCTGTGCGAGTGCTGGCACCAGACACGGTTGCGGGCCTGCACGAGCCTCAGTGTCGAGAGCCGGACGTGCACATTATATTGCCACCATTGATGCAGTTGAAGAGCATCAGCGATCGCTTCACCAAGCTTGCGTTAGGGGATACCAAATCTTCTTCAGCATCGACAGCAACGAGGACACGGCTGGAGGTGGCGGCGAATATGCACGGCTGTCTCAAGATGAGCATCAAAACGGACGCCATGAGTATTGCTTCTGTCTGGACTGATCTGAGTAATCCAGAGCTCGACCCAAGTCAAGTAGCAGGAGGTCAAAATGGCATCGCTGATCACCCTAGCACACGTATGAAACAGCTGGGGACCGCAGATGGCCGCAGCGATCAAGGATGGGCGTCGGTGAGGATAGATGGCCGTGACTGGGGAAAGGTCATGAGCGTGGGCAGGCTTGGTGGCCGGGTTATTGCATGTATGGAAACGACGCGGTCGACTTGGGTTATTCTAACATTTACAGGTTTCTGCCACGAGCATGCTCTCATTCTCTACGTCTATTTACCAACAGATAACGGCGAGGATGAATCTGTGTTGACTGTACGTCCATAGCAGGTACTCTCGATTTGCGAACGCTGACACATTCGCAGTATTATGTCAGTTCTTATAGTGCATAGTTGGCAATACAACATGCCTTTATGAACCACAATCTAGATGCCATAGTCACGAGATCATGTAAACAATGTCAAAAAGCAATGCAAACAACTTGCCCAACTGACAGAGGACTCAGTACGGTGGTACTGACAAATGATTCGTCGGATATAAGAATGTTGAAGCGAGTCTCTAGCCTAGGCACCAATGGGAAGCCTAATTTGCCAAGCCTCGGTATAAAGCCAGCCCCTGTTGACGTCTTTGCAGCAACACAAAGCAACTCATCTGTTTGATCTAGTCTTTCCATACAACCACAGCCATGGCCTCTTTTAGTTCTGCGCCACCCTCCGATCACCTCGCCTGCCATCTTGCGAAGCTTTCAACAGAACTGATTCTTCAGATAATCGATTTTGTTTCGCCAGCATCGCATCTCGACTTTGCCTGTACCTGCAAACAGATTGCAACATGCTGCTCAGGCGCCCTGCAGCGCCACAAAGACGCTTACGAGAAATACAATACAGCTTCAGATCTTGATCCCGCCACAGTCCCAACACTGCTTCGTAGTGCTTTGTCACTAGACGATCCAATTCCAGCATGGCATGTGCGTTCATTCGAGCTCTGGCACGATCGAAGGAGCTGGAATGAGTGGAAGACACTCAAATTTGAGGTACCACTCCATGAAGACACAGAGAGTGAGCCCTTGTCTTGGAAGTTTCGAGTTGGAGAAATCGGAGAATATCTGGAGTGCCTTGACGGCCGTTTGGGTGAAGATGAGCTCGAGGCTGCTCATGATCAGATCGAAAGTGGCTGTGATGGCATCTTGAAGATGCTGTTGTTTGAAAATTGCCCAAGACTTCGCGATTTGAAGACCGTGGATCGACTCCGCGATGAGTTCTCGTTCCTCGAATGGTTCAAGAAGCTCACTTCACGGCGGATCGGTGAAGAAGATCTGCCGCTAAAACTTACCGGGTTACAGAATGCGGCAATTGCAATTCCCTCTGGAACATGGATGGACACTTACATTGACGTGCCCTCGACTCATGTATTTGTGTGCCTCCTCCGTCTTCCCAACATCGAAACAATCTACTTCAAAGATCTGCGCCATACCCTCAGCTGGGGAGGCGGAGATGTCGATTACACATTCTACCTACCCGCTGGCTGTTCCTCCGCCAAGCACATCTTTCTAGACAATTGTGATGGCGATCACTTCCCGTATACCTTGAAAGATTCCTTACCTAAAGCATTCCGTGGGCTAATTACTATGGCTTTTCGCTCTGGCGACGCACACCTTGAGTACGCACAACTCAAAGACTCTGTTGATGTACGAACTTTCCATTAACGTACATCTAGACACGCTGACGACCTTGTTCGCTGCTTCGCTCATAACCAGTCCTCAACCCTCCAAAGTCTCATGTTTTATGACTATGGCTGCGATAATCGTGACACTATCCACGGCTACCGTTGTAGCGCCTTCAGACCCGAAGAACTTGAGCGCTTTAGAGGCCTACGCCAAGTCTCCATAGATGTCCAGGATATGGAGCTCGACGCGCTCTACAACGCAAAAAATTTACTCGAAAAACGTGAAATCGAGTACGACCCCGGGGAATATGATTATGCTCCTGGGAAAGACATGTATGTCAAGTTCTTCGCCCAGACGTTCCCGGTGAGCATGCAGGTTCTGGTTCTCTGGGAAAGGCCGGGTACTGGGCACGTCCATCTTGGAGACGACGTTCTGGCTGCAACAGAGGATGCTGTCATTCATCTGATCGAGTGTGGACGGTATCCCAATCTCAAAGCTATATTTCTGGAAGAAATCGAACACAATGCGGACCAAGGACCGAGAACGAAGACAGTTTACTTCCGTAGAGCTATCGAGGTGGGGAAAGATCATGGTGTGGATGTGCATACGCTGACTAACAGGAACGAGATGAGGCATAAGACCCGTTTCCCGGAGGCACCAGCGGACAAGTACAGCCTTATTTCTGGACCGCATAAAGGAGTTAGACCGGATGTTGATTGGAGGTTTGATCCGTATATTGGGCGAAGGGTGCCGCTGGGTTGTGGCAAGTGTGGAGAATGTGAGGGATGTCTCGCGCAGTACAGCAAAGAATTGTGGAAGAGTATTGAGGGACTGTAGGGACGGGTAGATCTGCCAAACCGTGGCAAACATGAAACATATATCTCTACGGTGTCCTCAGAAGAGAACAATTTGCGACACCACTGACCTTTCTTCTTCCTTGCTTCTCAAAAACGGCTCTAGCATGACAGATCGCTCAAACTGTCTGCACAGTCGCATAAGCAAAGCGAACACGTGAGTCGACTACGGGCATACAAGAGATATTCGAGGCTCATTCCGATTAGTTGACTCGATATATTAACTGTGCAACACTGCACAATACCCAAGATGCCACGGGCGAAGTCCAAGTTTCGGGGTCCAAGTGCCGTCATGTGCGACGCGATCGCGAGGCCACCAAAGTAGCACGAACGCCTGTTCGATCCATGCGACAAATCAGCCTCGCCCGGAAGTCTCGTCCGGGGGGCACTGGATGTGGCTGGCGAAACACAGGATCATGGAATTGTGGATCGAAAAAACCCACCAGAATGGGAAACCCTAAGATTATCAATCCACAACCAGAGGACTGGGATTGATAATAAAAGCCCCTAACTTTCCCTTTTCAGCTGCTGACAACACAGGATTCTGACTGAAATTACCCTGTTCAGCTGTTATGGGCGCTTAATTAACTGCATTGGGTGGGCTGGCGTTGCGGCGCAGTCGCATCAGCCCTACGATGTACACCGCGGGAGAGGCGCATTTAGTGTAGATGGAATGATTGGTGATCTATTTTTGGGTCTGTGGTACTTCATAGGATTTTGCAGATGGTATCTTTTTGCTAGTGGTTGAGTGCGAGTAATGAATGAGGTATTGTTGTGTTTGGCAATCCAAGGAGAAGCGATCCTGTTCGACGAGCATGTCTCCCAGTCTACCGCCGACGATAACGCGCTGTGCAATCGGCTCATCAGTTTCCAGATAACGCAAGTAGTACTCAGGGGTATGATTGATGTTGTGCTCGCGTTGATGTCCTGTTTTCCAGACAGTCGGCTTGCTGGGACACAATGATGTACAACGGAACTCGTGGGCCCGGAAGGTCGAGCCGTTGCACATGTGTGGCTTAAGTTCGAGGCTAGGGATCCAAGGACGGGAGCAAAACGACGTGAGCAAGCATGGTGTACGTGCTGATGGGTAACCGAACGCCTCTTCCGCTACCAAAGGTACTGAGCTGTGGCGTCCTCAATCCTAGGTGTGTAGAGGTGGTTGGATGCACCGTCTTGATTAACTGCATAGTAGAGTAGTTTTACCGAGCTAGTTTGTTTTACTAGATGTATGACTGTCTGAGAGTAATCTCAGCTCGCACATCGTCGGTAGTGATTTCTGCTTTCTTAGCCGATATTCACTATACTCATTTTCAGCAGTCCCATTACAGCGGAAGACGGTGTACAAGAAAATATTTTGGTAACAACCAGTCTAGCTCGACGCTTGTGTTGGTGGCTGCAGTCACACCCATCCATGTGGGTACACTAGAAGTAGCTGCAGGAACCAGCTGAACATTATGGGCTGAAAACTTGGAAGTACTCAGCACTCAGCAGCACAAGCCGCTGAACATCATGAAAAAGCAACTTTGAGGGACCGTTTCATGTACTGTGAAGTAATCGATATTGATAGTGTGGCGTCGAAAGACTGTAGTAAGATTGATGAGTGGAGCTGTTTGGTAAGCAGGCTCAACGCTCCGCCATACACTGTATTCACTCACCCCAAAACAATAACGAGGATGACGGCAAGTTGTGACTCGGCCGCTATAGCAAATTGAACTTTGACGGCCCGCAAAACCGGCACGCGGTGCTGTAACGTCGTCCAGCATAGCACATGATCTCATGCTTTGCAATAGTATCCCTATCATCGGGCTCAACCACGAGTCTACCCCATCAGGAAGTAGTTGCACAGAATCGCTAAGATGGGTGAGTGTGCGACTTCCCGACGAGCGAGAGTGCAACTCGCGATAATTGACCAGTAAACTATTGGCATTAGTCGATGAACGATGCGCCCAACACCGCCACGTGGGATGTAACGGGCGGTCGTAGGTTCCGACTTTGCGGAGCAAGGAGCTGTATGACTGTGTTATGGTTTCCAATAAAGAGGGTCTGCTTGCAGAGCTGCACGCCCTCTTGCATCCAGGAGTCATGTGGGGGCGCAAGTTGGCAAAAAAGGAAAATGGTCGCTAAATAGCCAACAGGCAGCACTTCTGGGAATAAACGTACCCTTGATCTCTTGCTCACCTGTAACGACTCATTGCTCATCATCGATCGGACGAGTGGTGCGGTGGTCTTTGGACGCCACGCGAATTCAGGGTCCATCAGCCGTCCGTGCACGCCTTGCGGCTCCGTTCACTGCCACAACTTAAATCAGCACCGACCATGCCGGATTATTCCTGTCTGCATCTGCAACGGCGCAGCTTCCGGCGAGTAACGCGATGCGTACACGCCTGAGCTTCGGGTTAAGCTTGACTACTCGCCTTGTAAGACGTTGAGGGAGCGTGCGTATAAAGATGCCTGGCGAGCAGATGCTAGGCAGTCAGACACTCACCTATTCCGGAATCAACTTTTCTAGTCTGTTTTCTTTCCTGACTGTAGATTTCATATAAGTCGTCGCGTTTCCTTGGAGTCAAACTTTCAGTCATCAAACATCTACTTCTTCGATCTTCTTCAGTTGTCGTCGTTACGAATCGTCTTACGAATCATCTCTCCAAACCATCTACTTTTCCACCTTCAAAACGTCGACTCTCACTCCATTCATCTCTAACCCCCCAACGTACTTCCGAATGGGTCGAGACGGTTACAACTAAACGAGCCATCAAGGCATCGTACTTTTCACACGTTTGCAAGCCATTCTCTATCTGAGCCAGGAGGCATTCCTCTCAACTACCACCACAAACAACACCACCATCAGGATGGGTCGAGGGGGCTACAATTGAACAGCTATGCGCCACTCCACAACCCACCACCTGATCATCATGATTCCAAAGCTGTCTCAGATGGTGGTCCGCACCGCCAACCACAGGCCCTGGCCAACACCCAAAGCACTTCGCAAGCAACGTCCCGAGCGATGGCGACCATGGTTTCTAAACCAGTTCCCCTACTCGACATCCATTGACCCTGGGAATCTCCTTCTCCGGTCTGAATCTTGTACTTCGATGTCCTGCATCCGTATTTCAGCATTTACACTTGTACATCAGCGCCTTTCCACTTGATGCGTTTTTGTCTCCATCATCTCAATCTTATTTTGCAGCACTTGGGCAAGCGCGGAGTTCTGGCATGGGTATACATATTGCACGTGGTAATGGTACCTGCTGGCTGGGACGTTTAGAGAATGGGTGTTTTGTTTTTTTGACACAATGGTGTGATTGGGCCAGAATTGGGTATGGTGTTTGGCATTCTTCTTTGATTTGGAGTTTCAATTGGGTTTGGGCGTCTCTCGGAGTTGTACTTGTACTTGTTGACGGGGTTGGTTGGCGAGACCAGCAACCGCTTTGTGTAAATCCGTAACCCCGGAGGTTGCTTTCAAAATATCAAACGATCGATATATCTGTATTTTCCAGATCGTGTGCTTTCCACGTTTACGCACTAGAACTGTGATGAATTGCTTATTTTCCGACGCAAAATCTAGAAGTGGCTTCGTCAGCATTGTTCTCATGATTCTGCGTTAACAACGTGACAGGCGGGGAATGTGAGGCAGCAACAATGAAACGATGTAACAGTCTTCGCCACTTGCAACGGTCGGCATCATACGCTGCTATAAGAATAGAGGCTGTTGCTGGCTGTGTACTTCTGGGTGGCGATTCATGGAGATTGGGGGCCGTGAGGCGTCCAGGAACACGTGAGCGACGAAAAGAACACTTACTTCTCGAACACAACACCCAGAACCTCTTCAACGTCACCACTATCGCCCCGTCCCGTAATTCTGGCTAGTGCTTCTGCCGCCGAGCGCAATGATTCCGCAGCCACGACGATGTCTATATCTTCCGCATCCTCATCACCACTGGGTGTGTCTGATAGGCCGTCATTCGAGAGCGATTGACCCTGATTCGCATCGATAGGATGTGAACCGGCGACTGCTAGAAACGACTCAAGATGGTCGAGACACTCCGAGAGTAGCACACGTTGTCGCTCGGTTGCGCCAAGTGATTCCTGCCAGATGGATGGATCTGGTTCTGAGTCGGGAACCAAAGCAGCAGTCATGCCTTTGAAAGTCTCAAGAAGATTGTCGAGGAACGACTGTATGTGCCCAGGGTCCTTCATCTGGATGTCTGCGGCGGAAGTCGCGGCGTCTCTGCAAGATATGAAAGAGACCCGATCCATCGCTATGCCGAGGGTAGACTGCATTTTCTCTTTCCACGCGTCTCGTGAACCGTCGCTCGATTCGAGCCGGTCAATTTTGTTTATAGCGACAACTACGTTGATACCGAGATCAACGCACTGCTTCGCCGTATCCATGACTTCGGGGTCCATGTCGCTTGTGGCGTCTTGAACTATGATCAAGACATCTGACTCTAGCGCTCGCTGCTTAGCTCGCCTTATGCCCTCTTGTTCGACTGCGCCGACAACTTCTGCTCCTACGAGACCTGCCTTCCGCAGACCAGCCATGTCTCCGATTTTGACCAACCATCCTGCCAGATCAACACCGACCTCGACAACGTCTCTGGTGGTGCCAGCTTCCTGCGACACAATCGCCGCATCTCTTCCAACAATGCGATTGAGCAAACTGCTCTTGCCTGCATTAGGCGCCCCGAGCAGAGCAACACTGATGCCATTTCGCAGTAATTCCCCACGAACTGCGTTTGCAACGTGAGCTTCTATTTGGACGCGTAGGTTGCGGATTTGCTCTGCAACAGAGGCGCAAAGGACAGCCGGCGACTCGTCGAAATGTTGGTCTTCAGAAAAGTCGATCAAAGCTTCTAGCTCGCCTCTTGCCTGCAGTAACAGCATGCGCCAAAGTTCGTACCGTGTTGCCAGCGACGAAGTGGTACCGCGAACAGAAAGCTTGCGTTGTTGCTCTGTAGAAGCAGACAAGGTTTCTCCTAGTGACTCGATCTGGGGTAGATCCATACGGTTGTTGGCGAATGCGCGGCGCGTGAATTCACCAGGCTCGGCGTAGCGAATTTGATGGGTAGTATTTGAGCCTTCTGATCCAGTCGGTGCAGTACATTGAGATACGGCAGCCAGCACTGCACGAACGATAGCAGGACCACCATGGACGTGTAATTCGAGGACATCCTCGCCGGTCACTGTGTTTGGGGCGGGGAAATGCAGGACAAGTGCGCCGGAATCGAGCAATGTTGCTGGGGAAGGCGGAATGTGAGGACTATAAAGCCTACGAAGAGTGGCATAGCGTGGCTTTGGAAAAGCAGTGGAAGGACATAGTCCATCGTATATCTATTACATACTCAGCATGAGATTGCGATGCAGATGGCAGAGAGCTGTACCTGTCTACATGCTGGGCCTGAGATACGAATGACGGCTATCGCTGCCTTCCCAGACGCGGTGGAGAGGGCATAGATGGTTGGTTCTTCATAGCTGAGAGAGCTGGAGTGGTATAGGCGATACTGGGGAGATTTCAAGGGTTGCTGGACGCGACAGTGGATGCCACGAGGGAAAGAGCTATGCGCGAGCCTAGTGGAGAACCCGGCATAACGACTGTGAACAGATACAAAACGACCTTGAACCAATCGACAACTTTTGCTGGTTGGCGCGAGGAAAGCTCTCATACCGGGGGCGCTGACTTATCGCACCTGCATGGTTGTGAGATGAGAGACCTGGTGGTTCCTTCTCTTCTCCGCAAATGTGGTCCATGCGTGTGGACCCACTCGAAATTATTCTGCCGCAAGAAAATCATTGCCGCTGCAACAACATCACGACCGCCGCGCAAGCTCACTCACACGCAAAACATGGCTTCAGGTTTGTCTATGACTTAACCCTAGGGTTTTCTGTATGTATAAATGTTGACCATCTCAGACGATCTTGTGTGGTCCATCATTGGGAGCGACTTCTGCAGCTTCAAACTCAAGACGACCAAGGACCAGACCTTCTGTCGCAACGAACACAATGTGTCTGGCTTCTGCAGCAAACAGTCCTGCCCTCTCGCCAACTCTCGCTACGCCACCATCCGCTCAGACCCCGCGACCGGCAGCCTCTACCTCTACATCAAGGCAATCGAGCGCGCGCATCTTCCCTCGAAATGGTGGGAGCGCATAAAATTGCCTAGCAACTACACCAAGGCTCTCGAACTAGTCGACCAGCACCTAGCATACTACCCGAAGTTTCTCGTCCACAAGAACAAGCAGCGATTGACCAGGTTGACCCAGGTCAACATTCGCATCCGTAAACTGGCCAAGGAAGAGGAGCGCTTGGGCGAGAGGCTCGTGCCTCGATTGGCCCCCAAGGTGCGCAGGCGAGAAGACACCCGAGAAAGGAAGGCGCTCGCCGCGGCCAAGGTCGAGCGAGCTATTGAGAGGGTGTTGATCGATCGCCTCCGTTCTGGCGCTTACGGAGATCGCCCCCTCAATGTCGAGCCAAACGTATGGAAGAAAGTCATGCGAGGCTTGGAGAAGGAGGGTCAGGTTGAGCGCGATGAAGATCTTGACGATGGCGTTGAGGATGATGACGAGTTCGAATATGAGAACGAGCTCGAGCATGGTGTGGGTGAAGTCGAGTATGTCAGCGACATTGAGGGCGAGACAGATGACGAGATGGAGGATTTCGAGGATTGGGTTGGCGGTCAAAGCCCCGATGAGGGTTCTGGCGATGATGATGAGGATGAGAGTGCCAGTGGCAGCGAGGAGGACGAAGAAGAGTCTGATGACGAAGAGACCGCGGCTTTGAAGAAAAAACTCGCAAGCCTCAAGAGGAAGCGACCTGCCGGACCTCCGCCCAAGTCCAAGAAGAAGCCATCGAAAGACTCAAAGGGACCCAGGCGCAACATCGAATACGAAATCGAGAGGGAGCCTGCCGTCAGAGAGGTCATGCGTACATGATATACCCTACATGCTCTTTAGTGTCACGGCGTTGGTGTCCACTTTGTACAGGGGTTTCTAGCAACTCGGAGAGGTCAGGCATGGAAAAGTTCATGGACTTGTGGTTTTGTTGGCCGTTAAGCCGCTTTCCGACAGGGTGTACAATGCTTTGTGACTTGATTTGCTATAATTGTCCTATCTCGTTCTTCCTCAGCAATTCCTATACATCACCGCATCATGCACAATGCCGAATCAGCAGTCTGATACAACCATGCCCTCAGTTGGATGCGATGTCGAAGCCGCAGATAAAGCAAAAGTCGTACAGAATATGAAGAAATGGATGACACGAGCTTCACAACCCACCTTATCACGCGCTCTACCACACACCTTGTCTTCAGACTTTTCCCCTTCCCCAAGAGATTGGTCTGCTAACCCGGGTGCCACCAAGGACAATGTCAAATATTCAACCGGACCAGCAGCCATACCAAACTTCAACAAGAATTCGACGGTACGCGCTCTACCATTCGTTTGTCCAAATATGCCTACAGATCAGTATTCTTGTTCAAGCGACGTATCCAAGACTTCATCGCTCCTAGAGACCATTCTTACGGTGCCAGACGAACGCGGAATGGGTGTTGAAGAAAATGATACTGATCTTGTTCCCGGACACTTCAACGGAGTCGGGCTCGTGGAACGACTTGATCTTCGCGCTGATACTTCTACCCGTAAAGTTCGCCGTGCTGGTATGCAGAGGATACAGACCTTGCAGCTCCAGCGCAAGCAAGAAGCTGCCAAGCGCAAGAACAAACACGGCCATGAAACTTTAATGGGCTTGGAAAGAGCTATACGATGAAGAGCGGAAGAGGGAGATCTTGCAAACATGAAGGGGTTTCGTATGGAGCGGTTGGCTGTCATCGAGGCAGGCGACAGGGAACTTTTGGATCAGGCCATGGACGGGAAGAAATCGGAGATGCCGGGTAATGTTGTGGAAGTGGACGCGGCAATGTGGGGTATCGTGCGTCTGGTGTGCTTTGTGCAACAACCTCTATCCTTTGAGGCGCCTAGTATGATCACTGTGTAAGAGGAGGATAGACAAGGAAAGGACAAAGTTGGGTGAGGGAAGTGAGGATCATGATAGTGTAAGTTATTGATCAATTTAGGTATGGACTGTTCTAGCAGATCCTATATCGACGTCATCGTGGATGTTGAGCAATGATTTCCTCATGTAGCCCGTCATTTGATTGGTACGTCGTTAGTCAGCTGGCTTAGTCAGTTTAGACTGAGCCTCATTATCAATAGCGTTTCCGACAGCTCACAAGAGTAGTTCGCAATCGATCTGTCAACTCAACTTTCTCAGACCACCAAATGCTCCTTTAGTCTACTTTTTGTAGAATCTGTCCAAAGATCATTCTTGTGCAGCGAGTCGATCTTCCTGATCATCGTTGTTTTCACGACTCAGGTAACAAATTGTCGCACTTCGGTACGATCCGATCAAGCGTTTTGCAGGACAACCAAGCACACGCTTAACTAACAGAAACATTTATGTCTCCACTTCGCAAATGCATGCAACGCGGTGTCACATTTTTATATATCCTTGTAATATCAATGTCGCTCTTGAGGTCGTTGTTCAGGCCATCCGTCGAATCCTTCGGTTGATCACCGCGGCACTTCGAAGTGCCATGTTACGACTTCCATACCGCAAATCTTGACGAGCATAGGGTTTCTTCAATTCCATATGCCTTTTCCAGTCACTCCACACTCCAGTTGGATTTTGCACGGAGCCATTATCCTTCCCTCCGAGTCATCGTCGGTCTACGGCACCGGACAACACCTAATAGAGTAAGCCGTAAAAACACAAGAACCGACATGTAGCCGCACCCAATCAGATACTGGTTACCCCAGGTTTCATGGTCCTCATTCCCGCACGCGATACCCCACGGGGTGGGGATGTGCATATCCCCACTCGTGTCTCTGCTTCTTGCACACGTCATTGCTCCGCTTGACTTTGCATTGTAACGATGTGTGCGGCAACGAAGTGCTAATTCGACACTAGAAAGGTTTGGCGTGGTGATGGTCAGGGCAGGGTTACATTCGGCATCCTGCCCGTGGTATTGGTTTCAATGGGGTTTATAAGGATGCGCAGCGCTGTGCAAGAACCGCTTTGCTCAGGCCTCATCTTTCGCGACTGTTTGTGAACAAGAACGCTTGCATTAGGTACGATCGTTCTCTACATCGACTTGGTATATGCATTCAGCTGCAGTCTGCTCTCGTCCCTCGATATGAAGAACTCAAAGTTTTATGGCCTTAGAGGCACAAAACTCAACATCGCGATCGCAGTTGTGGCAGGCACTGATTTTGCCCTGTTCGGCTACGGTAAACATATCACTCCTTGTGTCTTGCACCAACAAAAGCTAATAGGCTCATAGATCAAGGGGTAATGGGGGGCTTACTCACGCTGCCATCGTTCCTCAGGTACTTCCCACAGATTGACACTGTTAATCCGCCTCCTGGAAGCTCTTCAAGTTATGTGGCTACTATACAAGCAATCACCGTGGGCGCATATACCCTAGGCTGCTTCTTCGGTGCTGTGGTGACTATCTGGCTTGGAAATATGCTCGGGCGCAAACGCACAATATTCTGGGGTTCCGTAATCATGATCATTGGCGCCGTTTTGCAAACCTCATCATATGGACTACCTCAACTCATCGTTGGACGATGGGTTACTGGTTTCGGCAATGGTGGGATTTTCCGAGTACTCTCGTCCGACAATGCAGTAGCTGATCCGTGGGTCTAGGCATGAACACGAGCACCGTACCTACCTGGCAGTCTGAAACATCAAAACCTCACCGAAGAGGGCAAATGGTGATGATCGAGGTATGCCGCTACCTTCCCATGAGAAGCATAAACTGACGGATTCAAGGGTTCACTTATCGTCTTTGGTGTCATGTTGAGTTACTGGCTCGATCTCGGCTTCTCGTTCCTGGAGCCTAGCAGTATCGCCTGGCGCTTTCCGATCGGTTTCCAGATCATCCTCGCCGTCTTCATTCTCATCGCCATTCCCGGCCTGCCAGAGTCTCCGCGTTGGTTAATCCTGAAGGGAAGAGAAGACGAGGCACTTGATGTATTGGCTGCCCTAAGCAACCTTCCTCCGGAGGATAAGAAGATTCAACAGGAGTTCTTGGCAGTCAAGGACGTTGTATTTGAGATGTCGAAGGGCGGTTTCAGAGAATGCTTCAAGATGAATCGGAATCGCAACTTTCACCGCACGGTCCTGGGTTATGTGAATCAGGTGTTCCAGCAGGTATGTATCTCGATGGCCCTACCATTCAATGTTGCCTAACACTTTGTGAAGATTTCGGGTATCAACTTGGTCACTTACTACGCCGCAACTATATTCGAGAACTCGCTCGGCATGTCGCCTTTCATGAGCCGCTTGTTGTCTGCTTGTAACGGCACGGAATATTTCATGGCCTCCTGGATTGCCATCTTCACCATCGAGAAGTTTGGCCGACGTTCTCTGATGATATTTGGAGCTGCGGGCATGTCAGTATCTATGGCTATACTGGCTGGCGCCACTAGCAAGATCGGCGACACGAGTTTGGGTCTCCTCGCGGTACGTGACGAACGACTCAACGAAGACGACTATCGCTGATTTTTAGCAGACTGTCATGCTCTTCGTCTTCAACTCCTTCTTCGCTGTCGGATGGCTCGGGATGACGTGGCTTTACCCGGCAGAAGTAACCCCGCTTTCTATTCGTGCTCCTGCTAATGCTATCTCTACAACTGCGAATTGGATCTTCAATTTCCTGGTTGTCATGATCACACCACCGGCTTTTGCAACTATCGGCTACAAGACATACATCATCTTTGCGGTCATCAACGCAGCGATAGTACCCAGCGTGTACTTCTTCTTCCCGGAAACCGCGTATCGCTCGTTGGAGGAAATGGTAGGTTTACCCCCATCATCAATTCTGTACACGTACTTCAACAGACCAAGTAAGCTAACGTGGATCCCAACAGGACGAGATTTTCCATCAAACAACAAACGCCTTCGATGTCATCAAGGTTGCCCAAAACATGCCTCATCGCTATGATAAGCGCGGTAATCTACTCATTGAATACGGTGACACTGAGGAAGCGCGTGAAGTTGAAAGACGGAGGAGCTCCGTAACGGGTGCAGATGTTACGCATCGCGGTGGCATTCTGGGTGGTGAACGAGAAAAAAGGAATGAAGTTGAACATCGTGAGCAGGGTGGTTTGTAAGAAGTCATGATCAGATGAGTGATGAAACTCAAGGCATGGCAATTGCTGTTTCGCTAGAGGAGACCAGGCAAAATTGAGAAATCCAACTATCAACATAATACCCTTGTTTCAGAATCTGTGAGAATGGGGTTTGAATGTTCTCCGGTCTCCGGCTCATGAAAAGAGTCTCAAATGCTGATTGGTCTGCTAAGATGACGACAAACGTCTACCAGTCTACGTCAATGGAATAGAGTGCACGATGTGCGCGATGAGGTGTCACTCTGATCTTATTCGTCAACCACACGATAAGCTATGAGAACATGACATAAGAACCCTGGAAGCCTTGAGTATGATGTATCGGAAGATATGACTTGGCCGAATCGCGTAGTTCGATCTGCTTGTTGTCGAATCTCATAACACTACCAATAAATCGACAACTATCCTAGGGAGCCTGAACCTGCGACGCCGGAGAATTCTTGGATCTCACATGGTACTTCTTGAATTTAAGGGCATCGTACCCGGCTTCCCATGTTTGCCAGTTATCAAGTACCGCAGGATCCGTCCGGATCCTCATCTTGTGCTCATACTCAGACACAATCTTACCCAGTTGGCATCCGTAGACTCCATCCTTACATGCTTTGATGATCGCTTTACCCAGAGATGCCGCGTCCGCGATGCTGTGATTCAGTCCCTCTGACGTGTGTGGCATCATTGGATGCGCGGCACTTCCGATCAACGTGACATTCTCATGGGCGTAATCCTATTTGCGTGGCTCCCAGATATCGAGGTTGACTTTTCTCGCATAGACTTCATCCTTCCAGTAGTTGTCCCCGACTCCCTCGATCATGTCTCCGAGGCGTTTGCAAAAATGCTCTGCAAAAGTTTCCAATTGCTGAGCAATATCTGCTTTTGGCCAGTTTCCGGTAAGTATGGAGAAATCAAAATCAGGGAAGGTCTGGTGTTTCCAACTCAATCTGATACACACATTGAAGAAAGACTCATCGTTTCTCCAATATAGTCCAGTAGTCGAAAAGGAGCCGCAGATTCCACTAGCCGGTTGTGAGTTTTGGATCAAGTAAAGGTTCTTTTTGAAGACCCATTGAGCCAGCTCTGAAGGTAGGTCGGTGATCATCTCTAGCATGCGATACTGTGATGGCTGTGCTCGGCCTTCGTCCTTACTATTGAATAGTATATCTCTTACACTCGAAAATGTTCCATCCGCGCCAACCACGAGTGATCCCAGCTGCGAATTCACATTTTCGAAGTGTGCAATGACGATAGGCTTTGCGGTGTTGTCCTCAGGGGGTACATGAGAAATACCGGTTAATTTGTGCCCCCATCGAATATCCAAACTGTTATTCGATGTTTTCGGATTCAGGATACCGGTCAACAACATCCAAATCCTCCCTTTTTGTATTCTGAGCATTTTCTGAGAGTTTTCAAAATGTGCTCCGGTAGCAGAAGGAAGGCTAAAGAAAGGATAGGTATCCTCTTGTCGTGGGGTAACCTTCGAAGCCCTCAGATTTTGAAAGACGTATGGTAGCAAGCAAGATTTGAAATCCTTCAAAGCCCAATCAACCGTGACAGCTCGTTGGCGCAGCATCGAAGAATGCAGCTCGGTGGGATCGGATTCGAAGACAATGCAGGATATGTTGGCCTTCTTCAGAGCATGTGCCAGCGTCAGTCCGGCTATCGAGGCGCCGATGATGATGATCGGGCAAGTAGACAATTGCACCTCATCTGGTACGTCCAAGGCTATCCTCATCGTGCGAGTTGATCAGGCCGATCGATTAGGTTGAACTGGTCTGAGGCTGTCCAGCTTGTATGGACAGGATAGTGCTGAGCCGTAGTCGGCGATGACGATCTGATTTGTAAGATAGCAATGATCGGGAGCGCAGATACGAGATGTGTGGAACAAGTAATAACCAAACGAAATGATAACAGAGAATCGTGTAACAAGGATGAAAGTGATAGCCCTGCCCAGATGGATGTCGCAGATTCTTTGAAGTGGCGTCATTTCCTGGTGCATTGAACGGCTGGAAGTTACACATAAACTTGCCTTCCCTCTTGGCATGACATCGAAGGTGGGAAGGAGACAACCTGTACGTACATATCATCGAAGCTAGCACCACCCCAACATTGTCGGAAGAAAGGTCTAAAAAAGTCTTATAGATTGTGTACAGTCTAGCTAAACCTACCAAAGATATCCATATACACGAAAGAAACTTACACTAATACTTCTAGATCTTACCAAGAACACAGTCTACTTTACACACTCACCTCTCTCTCCTTCATGCTATGCCATAGCAACAATCCGCTTACCCAAGTCCAGAATCTACTCTCTCACTACGTATAAACACCTTTATAAGCTGCTTTTCTTACCAAGGTTTAACGCGTTTTAGGCGTCTTAGCATGTGTGCGTGATTTGATGGGTGTTGTTGGCGCTGGAAGAATTGGCTGCTTATGCTCACCTTGTTGTTGAGGTGGAGATGCACTTGGTGAATCCTGTTTTGGTGAGTTGTTTGCTGGACTGGTTACTGAAGGACAGTATTCGGAAGAAGAAGAACAGTCGTCGGTAGAAGAGGGATAGTCGTCGTCGTCGTCGTCGTCGGAAGAAGGTTCTTCGTGACAGGACAGCTGATTTTCGAAAGGAGATGTACCCACGACTGGTACAAAGACATCAGCCTGACAGGGTATACAAGTCTCGATAGCAGACGAGATTTCAGCAATGGCCTTGCCTTTGTCTCCATCTATGCTGAAGTTGTCTTCCACGGCTACCAGAGTTAGATGATCCAATACCGTAGTCGTTCCATACTTACTCTTCTAGTACGTACCTGGAGAAAGCGACGGAGCCGAGACAGGGGATGCTGGAGGTGGGCTTGAGATGCTTCCCAGTGGAGAGACCATAGTGCTAGACGCTGGTGAAGCGTAACGCTCATCTTCGGTTTCCGAGACCTCGAACACTGGACACGAAAAGACGCCCTTCGCAGGTGAGGTAGGAGGGCGCTCTTCCTCCACGTTCTTGACAACTAGCTTGAGAGAGGTTGCCGACATGTTAGTTATGCGCAGCAGCGGTCTCCTATGCTTGAGGTCAATCTCAATCCCAAGCTTGATCGACTTGGAGGAATCCGGAATGGAGCGCCGCTTTTTTCTTGATTTTGCTGCGTTGCCATGACGTTTCAGGCTCTTAGCAACGCCGTACTCTTCAGTGTCCGCCGCAGGATCAGGTTGGGGTGTGTAGTCCTTGCGAACGGGTGACAGCGAAGTACTACCCTCGTCGACGCTGGGAGGACCAAGCAGAGACGGTGATGCCGGCTTGACAACTTTGGGTCCCGGAGCTGGCGTCGACGTAGCGGCCTTCTCACCCAAGTCTGAAGACACAGGTGAAGAGTAGAGATTGGGGTCGTCATACGAGACACCATAGCTGATTGAAGGAGCCCAGGTTGGGTGAAGAATAGGAGTCGGTGTGACAATCGCGTCATCAGAGTCTGAGTCAAACGGGGCGCTGTAGCTGCTGCGACCTCCGCAAGATGGAATGGGGCAGGTGGGGTGGCCGACGGGGAGGTGTTGAACCTGAGGTTGTATGGAGCTGTCGTCGACGTCCATCGTGTCCTCGCCCGGCTCTTGGCTTCCATGCTGCGACTGTTCCTGGGTGGGTTGAGCGAGATCTGGACCCTCCAAAGGATGCTGAACCTCGTCCTCCATTTCATCGTGATCATCATCGTGGATATCTTCCTCAACCACCTCATCCACCTTCTTCGTCCACACCCACCTTCTCTTCCTCTCGCCCCCCACCTTCCCCTCTCCATCCTCCTCCCCGTCCCCACCGACCCTCTTCCTACACTCCGCAACCACAATCCCCGCCTCTCTACGCGACAAATGCCTCTCCAACATCCCCCGAACCAACCCCTCAATCTCCCCCACCAACGTCCCCGGATTCATCAACCGCTCCTCCGACATGCCCTCCACGCACTTCAGCACATGGAACACCGCGAGCTGGATCTTCTCCTTGTTGCTACGGTAGCGCTGGAAGAAGAAAGCAAGCGCCGCGCCGCTCGTGAAAGCGAGCAGGAGCTGTGCATGGTGTGTGAGGGAGAGCGGGAGGGGAGCTTCGTTGAAGAGGTAGCGGGTGATGAGTTTGGCTTTGGTGGAGAGGGAGAGAAGGGGTTGGAGGGTTGTGGAAGGGGGTATCATATCTGTTGAGGGGAGAATCATCGATGAGTGTTTGCCGCCGGGGCTGGGTGTGTGATCTTTTCGTTCGAATGAGTTGGTTGAGTTGAAAAGCGAGAGACGAAGAGTTGTGCTGGTAGAGTTTACAGATCGTGGCCGCGGACGAATGATATAATGAGTGAGCGTGGTATCGTGTGAGTGTATCCGTGCGCCGGTGTTGGGTGGGGTGAAGGGTGACGGGGGAGGGTTTATATGTTTGTACCGGTAGGTTTAGCATGGGGAAAGTAAAACTTGTAGTGAGACAGGAGATAAGCCAAGTTACAGATGAAAGACTACCAGTGAAAAACATGTGTGTGATCTGGTCACTGCTGTCCAACCACGCTTTAGCACATTTGTGTCGCCATACCTTCAAGAGAGCCTGTGTTTAAGCCATAACACACTATATTTATTGAGTGACAAGAGTGATTTAGTGGACTTGATCGATTATAAAACTTACTTTGCCTATTGAGCCCTCACACTACGCCTCTGGGTATATGCACCATCGTATCTACGTCTACATCAATAATACTCCCACTAATCAAGACTCTTCCGCGCTCTCCCTACTCTCCTGCTCAGCTTCTCTCGTCCTCTTAGCCCTCTCCTCAGCCGCCTTCGCAAGCACTTCCCTCCTACTAAGTCCCATCTGTACACTCCCCCCAGCATTACTCGCCACTACGCCCGACCCTCCTCTTCCACCCAGTACAAACTCGCCCCCAGTCCACCCTCCATGATCACACACTTCATCTTCCCCAGGCCCAGGTTCATAAAACTCCTCGCTGCCCACGCTATTCCCGCCACTCCTCCAGTCATCTCGATCAACCTCGCGTTCAATCTTCTTACACAGGTCCCAGAAATTTCTGTCATGAGGACCCCACACGTTATGCGCGAGCTCATGACACAGCGTCTTGCGAATAGTTTTATAATCCCTGTACCCATCATACGAATCTGTGCGTAACCGCAACTCAATAACTTCGCCCTGATTTCTATTCAGTCCTAATGTGCGTGACTCCTGGGTAGTGTGCATGGCAGGATCCATCTCCGTGAGCAGCGGAACGCTGAACTTATGCGCCCGCATCGCCGCCTTTATCCCTGCATCGTCGCGCAAGCGCTCGAGAAAACGTAGCGATCGGTCGGGGTTGGGGAGATAGGGTAACGGACGCAAAGTTTGAAACGTGTATTGCGCGTCGTCTCTATTGGGGCGGGTTCGCGCGGGAAGGGCGGCTTTGACGGGGCCTTGGCGGCGGGGCGTCGAGGCAGCGGTGATGGTGGCGTTGAGGGAGGAGACTTCAGCTGTGGTGCTGCCCATGAGGGTTACTTTCTTGGAGGCGAGTTGCGTGAGAGGTAGGGTGGCGTCCTTGAAGGGCGGCTTTTGTAGGCCGAGTTTCGAGCTGACGAGAAACTTTTGGTTTGAGGGAGGAATGGAGAGAGAAGACGCGACGGTTTCGGAGAGATCGGATAACGTGGCATCTTGCGCGAAGAACAGCGTGACGGGCTTGCCGTGGTGGGTGAGAGTGATCTGTAACTCGCCTGCGGGCGCGACGGGAGGGTTGGAGTCTGCCATTTGGACGTCGCAGTGTTCGTGTACGGTGCGATTTACTATTGATGTGTAGTTGTCAGTGGCAGCGAGGATTAGTAGGTGATCAAGAGACTGCACGTTGCAGCGCGTGGCTGGTATATAGCTTTGGTTATGATAGTGACGTTCGCGAGGCTTCCATGGCGTCGACACTCGGACATTTGTCATCACCCATCGTGCACTTGGCTGTCATCATCCACTGCCTTTTGACTTCTAGGAACAATGCTCCATCTACATTCTATGCAATGGACTATCTTTACTCAAAACAGCGTCATATGGGTATCGTTATGTAGCACTGGAATCCGATCCAACATCCAGAACTCCAAGAGAAATCACGCCAGCCATGCCAAAACTCCACACCAATGCAAGACACCACGAAACACAATAGGCTAAGGCCAGCTAGCCCACTAAGTCAGCTGCGCCTGTTCGACTTCTTTCTTCCTCTCTTCTCGCTCCTTGTCTTTCTCTTCCTGTTCATCTCTCGCGTAGTTCCTGACGATCTTTACCCACTCTCTCTTCTCTGCGCTCCACAAATGTCTATCACACCGTAGTCAGTTTCCATCGATTTGAATTTAAACATGGTGTGGCAACATACCCGTTGAAGTTTGTATTTACGAGCGCCGACTCCCTATACTCCGCTACAAGGATCGAATCATAAGCGTATGGTACCTTTGCCGGTACACCCTCAAACATCGTCTCCCGCATGGGATATATCTCATCTGTCTTGTAGTGGTGGTAGTTCTTGCAGCTCCAGATTCCAGGGTTTATATCTGGATGTGTTTCGCTGAGGCCGGTGATGTCGATGAAGAGGCCGTTGCGAACGTCGATCCATCTCGCGTCGATGATGTTCATGCCGTTTCCGCGATCACGTTGCCATATCCATGGGTTCACGTCGAGGAGAAATTCCCGATGCGTATCGCCGTCGGCGGAGACATAAGAGTAGTGCGTTTGGTTGTGAGCTTCGCCTAGATGCTTGAGGGTTGACTCGGAAACTTGGGTGTCGAGATCGAAGTCCCATGGTAGTCGCTGAAGGGTATATTAGTGCCTGTGCATGTGTCTAATGCCGACGAGAATCTACCTTTCCATTCCACCACCATCCGAGCAGTGTGCCGTGCGCGATCCAGGTGTCGAGTTCTTGCTCACGGAAGAAGGTCAGGTATGCGCGGACCATGTGCTTTTGGGTATCAGTTCGTTCTTCGTCAGAGACAACGCCGTGGAAATAGCGTTTATCATAATGGCCGAGCGTTTCGTCACCTCTGAGAACAGTCAGTTCAGTGCTCACGAGGGCTTGACAGATCGGGCCGGTAACTTACCCAGGCTCATGGAAGTACTTCAAGGAATCCGCGTCGCGAGCTGATAATGGCGCCCTCCGTTCTACAGTCCCTTGATCTGGCCAGTTGGACCCCGCAGTCGGTGCCGCCGCCGAGCTCGCCACAAGTGCAATCGCAGCCGTCCATATCGATAGTCTCATTGTGAAGTTCTGGATCTCGTACTCTTGTCGTTTCTTTCCAGTATGGATATCAGTCCGTGGTTGAGAGAAGTGCGTGTCCGTTGCAACCCGTTCGATCTTGCAAGGACCCCAGAACCCCACACAAGTGTACGCGTAACTCTTCCGGCAAGTACCCTTGTGCTGCTCTTTCACGGTAAAAACGGCAATGACGATGTGACGGATGACGCGCACTCCACAGCAGTGATAGCAACGACAAAAACAGAAAAGTCCCACAGTTGAAAGAACAAAAAGAATGGATTAATGGAGACATCAGGCTGCGCAGCAACGGGGTTATCTAAACTCACCGCGCACACGCGGCCTCCCTCATCCTCGTATGCCACCACGATTAAACCCGCCGAGACATCCCTGCTCGTTGCAACGGCGCGCCAAACGGTGAGCGGCCGACAACCGAACACGAAAGGCTTGATCGATCTCCATACGCGCGGCGATTGCGTATCAAGCTTTGGTATGGCCGATGCCGGCTTGGGGTTGGAGTACTACGTGTCGCGTGCTCAGACCGGGTAGGTGTCGCGTGCTCAGGCCGGGTCGGAGGTTAGTTGCTCACATAAAGCCGGGGACTGTTTTATTTCCAGATAATAGTGGAACAGGACGATGTGAATTTGAGTTGAAGTCTTATTCTAATTGGCTATGGCTCACGGAACTTGAAATCGGGCGTGTTTGCAGCTCAAAAAGGGAAAGCACTGGTGGTTGAAAACGAGGGTTTAAGTGACACACGTCATCACAGACAAATCCACGTAAGCTTAACAATGTGACATCTGTCATGAACCATACGTCTCTCAAGACGTACAAAGAGCTAAGCCTTCCGCTCTCTTTAAACGCGGCCATGTTTCATGAACTCCGTCGAGCGATTAGAAGAGTAAGCAGTGTTTAAAATAGAATTGCGGTGCAAGCATCTGGTCAATAACTTATGGTATTACATCTGTCGGCCTTTACTGCGCCCACTCGAAGGTACACGCTCTATCAATTCCTATGCCTTTTGTACGCCAATGAGCCCAATAACGTACACATCGCCTATGAGACATCCATGGCCTCGGTGCCGTTGGGGACAACGAACGATACATGCCCTGCATCGCCAATGAGGCGTTTCTCGGAATCGCTAACGAACTAAGCGAAGTGTCAGCCTTTTTCAAGATCAGGAACATACAAGAATAACTCACCTTTACGCTTCTCGCAGGGTCGTAGAACAGTGCAAAGCTACGTTGCACGTCTGCGATAGAGACGTCCGTCCCTTGCCTCTTCTTGCGTATCAGGTCTGACGTCGTGATAAGATTGCTGGCGTATCTCAGGCCGGTCTCCTGGCCAATCTTGGTAAGCAATGCCAAAGCATCCGGCGAGACATCAACTTCCTCCTCCTGCGCTCTTATTGACAGAATCTGCTGCATCTCTTCTGACGAGTAGGAGTGTGTGCTGACAATGACGACCCGATCTAAAAAGTCCAATGGCAGTCCGTGTGGTGACCTGTAATCTGTCCCCCTTATCTGTGTGTTGCCTCGGTTGCTTGCCATGATGACAATGGGCGCCAACTCGTCTTCGAGGGCGCGGTTGACAAACGAGAAGCACTCAATATCAAGCATGTGAACCTCGTCGATGAATAGCACACCCGGCACGATCTCAGCCTTGCCCTCCTCTTTCCATTCTGCTACCTTGGTATTGATTTGGTCGCGCACCTCGCTTCGGATCTCGCCTGTGTCGCCTGAGAAGAGGGCCAGAAAGCCTTGGGTCCGGGAGTTTATGACATCAATCTCGTGCAGGCTGACTGTGTGTACCACTTCGCGCCGCTGCTGGAGCTCGCCTTCCGGGCACTGCACGAACTTGGTGTCGATGCCCATGGCGTCGTAGTCCCTCGAACGCGTGTACGAACGGCCGAGTTTTGAGATCTTGCCCGAAGCCTTGTCAATGGAAATGATGTCGCCTGCCATAATTTTCTCCTTGGTCATGGCGTCAATCATCTTGGTGCCCATGTCGTAGATGGTCTCCATATCAGTTGTCTTGACGGTAAGCTTGCCCTGCTTGTTGCTCTGCACGCCTGTCAGCACTTGTATACGGCAGGGTGTTTACTTCAACCTACCCCTGTCACGCTGCGGTCGATCTGGATCTCGACGACCTCGCCCTCAATGACCTCGCTCTCCTCCGTGATCCGTACGCCAATGGACTTGCGGAAAGCTTGTGTGAGCGCTTCGGTCTTTGACATCTCCAGCGAAAAGATCTCGGATGAGGCAAGCATGGTGAACGGGACATCTGGACCCAGCGACTGCGCCATGCCCATTGCGATGGCCGTCTTTCCTGTGCTGGGCGGACCAGCGATGAGAACCGCACGCCCCGCAATTTTGCCCTCCTGCGCCATTCTCAGTATGACTGCCGCCGCTTTACGCGCCTTCTCCTGTCCAACAAGACCCTGCGACGACGGCTTGGGCTCGAGCGTGTCCGGTTCGACGCCGAGGCCGCGAATGTGCGAATGCGCCGCGATGAGGTTGAGCCCGCGCAGCTCTTTGCCTTCGGCGATGGTCGTGATAGGCTACATAGTGTAAGCAGGGCTTTCTGGGGCGACTATTTCCACTTACGACAGCCATGGTGATATATGCGCAGAATGTGAAGAATGTTTGCTCTCACTACTGACCGCGATTTGTCGCGTTTGGAAGCGCTCGGACCCCATGACGCTCTAAACCTATCTTGTCCGACCATGTCTCTCACCGCGAAGTTTAGAGCCTGGGTGCATGTCTTATCTATAAAAGCAGGCAGATTTTCTTTCACACGCTTTATCTGTTTTGCAACTTGCAAATCCCATGCTCAGATTCCTTTACTAGCGTGACTGGCAGACGCCTTCCTCACACAAGCAGGTACGTCATGATCTGCTCACAGGCAATCGAATGTCCTCGGTCTGCCAAGCTTGGCTTACCACCATTTTCCCGAATATCTTGTGAAGGAAGAGCAAGTAGTCGCTCCTCTGTGGCTATGACTGAAGCACATGCGTCGAATTACTCGGCACCTGCAGAGTTTACCTAACAAAGCAAACGTGGATTCGTTTGCGCTAATTTCACTAGCGTGCTGAGCCCTGCATCACCTCACGTGAAGTACTTCTATTTACTAACGCGCTCGTGTCAGTCTCATTGCTCAACCTGACCTTCACCTACGCGAGTTCAACCAATGAATTCGCGCAAGAGGCCTGCGGACCCTCACTCGAGGGGCCACAGTCCCCCAGAGAAGCGGTATCGTGCGCCTGACCGATCGTCAAGACTTCCAGATAGGGTATGGAGCTAATCCTACAGTTTGCATTAACGCAACAACTAAAAGTGGCGCTGACTATGTGAAACAGTATGTGATGTTAGAGGATTCCATCAATTCATTGGCTCCTCTGTTTGCGAAGAGTTCCGTCGCTGGTTGATCCAGCAATATCACGAGGGGCCTTGCGTGAATTTCAAGATGGATCGTTCGTTGACTCGTATAGGCCGCGCAATGATCGAGATGCTACGGACAAGAGACCGCAAAATGGTCTATTGCGAGCAGAGGGTAATCTAGCAGCCCAGAGGACTGCAAGTGCGGAACAAAGTCCTCTACACATCATGTCTCCCAATAACATTGGGAGTCCAGCACACGTTGCACCTCCAGCTCCATCGATGCTTCCTGCCATTGCTGGGGCTTCCGTTTCTGGTGGAGGTCTCATGTCTTCCTCTTCGCACACGAACCATCTGCAGCAGCACGAAGGAGCTATTGATAGAGCACCTATCAGCGTAGCCTCACTACGAAACATGAGGGACAAGAAAAGAAGGCAGGCCATCGAAACTGAAGCGAAAGCTCCCTCTACCACAACGTCAAATCTAGATCTGGAAACACAACTAAAATCCGTCCAGACTGAATTGAAGCAGTCCAATAAGGAACGAGAGAAAGAACACAGAGAAATGTTAAGGAAGATTAAACGGCTTGAAAGCCTGTCTCCTCAAACATCTAGTCTCCAGGACGAAGTTGGTCACCAACAGAAAAGTTTATCAAGCAATCACGCTTCACAAGAGGACGTGCTCGCGCGGCTGAATAGGCTAGAGGATTTGAAGCCGTCTTTCGAAAAGCTGCCTGCCGAGATAGCAGGGCTCGACAAGAAGTTCGAGCAACTCAAGGCTTTGTCGGATATCGTTGAAAGCCTGAAAGACGACATAGCAAAGCACGCTCAGAGACTCGACCAAGCATCAGCCAAATCTGAAGCTATCGATTCAACTTTAGGAAAGCTTCCAGGTTTGAGGAGCGATATTGAGTCTATCAAGAATTCCAGGAAAAGCCAACCAAGTCCTCCTACAGGGGAGGATATCAACAAAGTAATGCGTCAGACGGTACAGTCCGAACTAGACAAACCCGAGGGTGTCACCAAACGTGCCATGAAGAGAATGGAAGAGAAGCTCAACAAGCAAGTGATGGAGGCATCGAATCAAACGAAAAGGGACCACGATACGCTTGAGGAGAAACTCTCGTCGGAACTAGCCACGCTCTCAGACTCTGGACAAAAGACGGATACCAGCATTTCAACCCTCGTCGAAAGAATTCACGAAACCGAGAGCAACGAAACCAAGAACTATAGTAGACTATCGACGTTGCAAAAAGACTTTGAAAAGTTTCGAGGAGACACTGTGAAGGATGTTGATCAACTCTTTGACGAGACCCGCGATTTTGTCCAGAAAGACAAAAATGGCAAAACCTTCCTTGAGAAACTCAATCAGATCGAATCTAAACAAGAGGGAAATTCCAGCAAACTGAAGCATGTTACCAATGAGCAAGAAAGTCTTTCCAAAGAACAGCTGAAACTGGTCGCCCGTCTGGTTGTAGTAGAAAAGACGTTGAAAGGCAACAACACTGTCCTCTCAGACTTTGAGACGGTCGCAACGACAATGTCTCGATTGAGCGATGCATCCGAGAAGGCTGCCACACGAACGGAAAAGCTAGAAAATGATATTGGAGAGGTACAGAAGGTTGCCAAGAGTGTCAAGGATCTACCGGAACGCATCAAGGTCTTTGAAGATCGAGCCTCCAGCCTGTATCAACTTCCTACTCAAATTTCCGACATTCAGACTCAAGTCACGGCACTTGCGAATTTAGAAACAAGGCTCGCAAGCATAGAAGCCCGAAAGCCTGTTATGCTAGACCAAGGTGGCACACAATCGGGGCAGGTCCAAGTCGAGACTGGCGCCACTCAGAAGACGATGGATGAACAGAATGTGCGATTAGAACTGTTGCAAGATAACTTCGCCGCCATTGACAGTGTTCTCTACAAAACAGAAGAGGTTATCCACAACCATGGCGTTGCTATTGAAACCCTTCAAACAGGAATTCCTGAGCTCTTCGCAGAGTATTTTGATCCGTTAAAGCGTGATTATGAGCAACGGTTCACTACCCACAGCGAGCAGCTGGAGGTTTGCCAAGACGAAGTCTCAAAGCTGAAATTAGCAGTAGCCAGAGTGGATCCAACAGAAGTAATGTCCGTCATCGAGGACACAAAAAACCTCACGCAAGAAGTGTCCGATCTCAGAGTCTCCCTGCACAATGAAATTGCCCAGCGAGGTCAGGACATACAGGACGTCAACGGACAACTCGCGACCAAGGAAGATACACTCGCCGTCGTTCGTCAGTTTGACTCAGTGCGTCAAGGTTTGAATAACCTCGAAAGTCGATATCAAAACATTTCGACCGATGAACTACATCAGCAGATGGTTCACTGGTTTGTCCAGATGTACCCCTCAAATGCCGTTATCCTGCAGCAATTCTCGGTCGTCCAACAGGATGTCGCTCGACTGATGACTTTCACGCCCCAGATGAACTGGATCAAGTCTCACGAAAAAGATCTGTTTGCACTTGCGACAATGGTATCGCAGCTGCAAACGCTTGTACAGCCATCCAACACACCCCACCAGCTTCCAGATAATCAAACCAAGATCGATAAAGTTTCCACCGACGTAAAAACAGCGATGACGACTTCCGAAGATAACAAGTCAAAGATGAACCAGCTGACAGAACACGTCAATAAGATTGGCTCCGCATTGACGACTTTGCAGACACAAGTCAACAGCCTCGACCTGGAAAATTCGCCGTTCGCCAGAACTCAAGAGGTGCACGCCTTGGAAACAACCGTGCAAAAGCTGCAGGAGGACGTCACTACCGGTTTTACCGATGCACACGACGCACGTGTAGAGTTGCGAACGGCTGCTGGCACCGCAAACGACCAACGCGTGAAGGCGGAAGCGAAGATCAAGAGCTCGGTAGAGGAGTTGAGAACGTCGTTGTCAAATCGTGTCGAGGCTGTGGAGGAGTTGAGAACGTCGTTGTCAAATCGTGTCGAGGCTGTTGAGATTGACGGGACTAAGCTCCGTCGTGAGTTTGACGACCTGATGAACGACTGCATCGAGCCGAACAAGGAGTTATTCGCCGACAACTTCCCCTTGGTTGTCATCACCAGAATCAGCGAGGTCCAGAGAGCTGTCGAATATGTTAATCAGCAGCTGCCGAGCGGCTCGCTACTGCCGATTAAGTGGAGTCGCCCTGTTGCCGACAATGATGATGATAAGGGCAACGGCAAGGGGAAGGGAAAGGCAAAAGTTAAGCCGTAAGATCGCCTTACATTTCTTCGGGTCGACAACAACCACACTTCTTTCCTTCCCTTCCGGACGCACACACAGGTGTACTCTTCTATCCACAAACCAAACTTTTCCTAGCGTTTCTATCTGACGGGGCATATACCTACGACACACGATACCCCAAATGCGTATTTCCTACTTATTCTTGTTTGTACACTACTGTGCGGCATCCTCTTCTTCTGCAGCTTGTCACGGGGAGGTATTAGTAGCTACTTGCATATTTCCGGGCATACCACATATTACCTATCGCTGGCCACGAAGGCAGGGAGTATATGAATGAGGGAGGGGTTCTGTGGATGAGATACATTGTAGCTAGTAATGCAGGGTTTGATGATGATGTTGGTTAGGAGATGTTGGTATGCGTGATATATATCGATACAACTATATCTACACGTAGCCCCGCTCATCGTAACATACATTATTCAACTTCCTCACACCATGAAAACCACCCCTTGACAATCGATATCCCCCCTCCCGCCCTGCACAAACGTGCAATACACGCTCGTCTGCCAATGCGGCTTTGGCCGTGGTGTTTCGCCGGGTGCGCGCGGCTTGCTGGATGATAAGCCATGTGGAGGAGCGAGATGGAGAGGAGAGAAATGGAGAGGATGGAGAGGATGGAGAGGATGGAGAGGATGGAGAGGATGGAGAGGATGGAGAGGATGGAGAGGATGGAGAGGATGGAGAGGATGGAGAGGATGGAGAGGAGGAGAAGGGTAAGTGCATTTTTTACTAGGAAGGGAGGGCGGGGAGAGGGGTATGCTGTATGTGTGTGTGAGTGGGGGGCGTTGTGAGTGTTGTCTTGAGTGGCATTGTGAGGAGGGTAGGACTGTGATGTCGAGTATCCTGTCGATTACGGCCGTAAAGTCACATCACGCAGAAGACACCTATTTGCAAGAATACTCGGAAAAAGAAGGAAGGATCCCATCTCCCGATATTGGCCACATACACACGCGCACATCATGGTATCGTTTCGAACGCCAGGTGACACAACTCTCCGCAGTCGCTATGACGCCCCATCCATGCATGCCCCTCGAACGCCCAGAACCCGCTTCTCGCCTCACAAAAAAAAGCTACTTCTAACCCACCCCCCATTACAACATGGAAACGCTTTTACCAAGCACCAAAAAACCCCGCATACACCCCACCCCACCACCCCCCTACATAATCCCCTCCATCCCCATCGGCGCCTGAAACCCACTCAACCCCTCCCCCGCACTCGTCAGCCTCGCACACAAGCTCAAGAAAACAACCGTCTCCGTAGCAGCGAGGTAGTTCAAAGTATCGAGCAGAATCTTAAGATGTCGGGTGAAGTTCTCCTCGTATTTAGCCAACATGTCGTACATTTTGTCGACGCGCTGGGGGTCGTATACGAGCTGAGTGGTGTGGCGGGAGGCGGGGAGGGCGGCGGAAGAGGCCCCCAGCGAGGTGTTAACTTGGGCGACGAGGTCCGGGTCTCCTGTTATGAGGTAGCGGGAGAGGGAGTAGGTGAAGGAGGCGAACATGCTGCATGTGGACATTATTTTGTTGTTAATCTGGTGCGGAGGGGGGTTAGTATGTGTGTGTGTGTGTGTGTGTGTGTGTGTGTGTGTTGTGGATATAAAAGTGAGTGTGTACGTACGCGTAGTAGTTTGCTGTTGGTGAGCATGCACTCTTTCAAGCAAGTGGCGAGGAAATCAACATGGTCCTGCATTAGTTCGTCTACGGTTCTCTCCACTGGGGGAGCACCGCTGCTGCCGTCTCCGGTCGCTTTTCCCTTGCCCTTTGCTTCTTCCTTGCTCTCCTCGTTCAGGCGTGACATGAGCGATGTCCAGTTTGGCTCGATGACTTCGGCGGTGCAGTAGTAGGTGAGTTGTTGTACGAAAACGAGCATGCGCGCACGAAGTGTCCACGCCCTCCGTTTCCACAACTCGATGCGCGGGTTTCTAGACCGATGCTTCCAAGCTGCGTTCTTGCCCTGCTCGCCCCAACACTTTGCAAGGTCTGTCTCGAGGTGCTTCAAGCTGAGTAGGTAGCGGAAGAGTAGTTGGTATCGTGTAAGGGTGACTCTGCTGACTACCAACGATAGCGGGAACGGCATGGCGTAGTCAAACACCAGGGCCTGGTAGCCTGTAATGTTGGTGTCGTCGGTGATCGGTGCTGTACTTGCAGGGGTATAGTTTGATAGTGTTGCGCTGGCATCCTGGTCCAAACCCGTGACATTGACAATCTTCATCAACCAGTTTGTGAGTCCAGTATCGTTAATCTGCACTTTGATGTCTTCCTTGTATGGGTCTTCCACAGCCACGGATCCAGCATGTCGTGTGGCGAGATCAAGCAGGGATTGAAGTTTGCCAACATTGACGTGCTTGGCGGGCTTCTTAAGCTCGAGCTCGCCCATTTCGAGAAAGTAGGAGAAAAAGTCGGATCGATCGAGGAAGAAGTAATGTTTGAGTGAGCGTAACCGTGCAGGCAGTTGGTGGGTTGTGAGGAGGAGATTGAGAAGCGATGAGTTTGCGTATGCGTATGAGGAGTTGACGTTGTCCAGGAACCGCGGGTCGTCGAAACTCGATGGCGCATCTTGGACTGTTTTGCTGACATCAACACCTCCACACTCGCGGACAACATTGAGGTATTTTCCAGCTAGGAGCACTTTGTCCTTGACGGCTTCGAGCTGCGGGGGAACGAGGGCATCCCGAGCAGTATACCGCTTTTCCCAGTACTCGTCGGTGTAGTCTTGGTCTAACCTCTCCCTCTTGATACTCTTCTGTTCCTTTATCAAGAACTCGGAATGCGGGTCCTTGATCCCTCCGTGATGTAGCCACTCGTTTAACATGGCCATGTACGGTCTGCTGGCCTCGCGAAGCAGTGTTGTTAGTAGTGTGCGGGCTGCAGGGTCTCCGGACATGGACGACAGCCGCTTGGTGATGAGTCCGAGCACGCTGCCACCTTTGCAGAGCTTCTTGCTCGTGTTGCCGCCTTCGCGCAGTGACTCCAGAATGTTCTCGAAGTCGTTGGTGTCATCCCCAGAATCGTCCTCTTCCTTGTCGTCTTCCAGGATGCCATTCGCTTTCAGCAGTTCGATGCCAGTTGTGTAGAGCTGGTACAGCATGTGGCTCGTTTCTTTGGTGTGCAGGCTCAGCACGTGGAGGGTGAAGGAGGGGTTAGTCAGCAGCTGGTGCTCCAGCTGGGCGATCAGTGTGAGGTAGTCTTTCAGCAGGCGCCGTATGGCTGCGCACAGGGCGTGGTTGACTGCGCCGTACTCCTCCCTGCTGAGCACTTCGACACAGGCGTCGACGGCGATGTAGTGCGTCGCCATCTTCAACATGGACTTGGAGAGGTCTCGCAGGCTCTGGTCCACGCCGTGGAGTATGCGAAACTGCGGGCCCAGCAGGCGCTCCTTCTCTTCGTGGGGATTGTACACATCGCTGAAGCGGATGTACTGCCCCTCAAAGCCCATAAACACAAACAACAGGTCCTCGAGTATGGCCTTTTCCTGTGCGTCTAGCGACAGCTGGGCGAGCGGCGTGGGCTGGAGCGTGGCAGGCGCCGTCGAAGCCAGCGGCGGTCTGGAGACGCGGGTCGCCAACGGAGCCGTTGTGTGGGCGATGAGCGAGGCTTGGGGCTCCCATGGAGCGGGAGCGGGCTCGGGTGACGCCTTCCTCGACGACGTAGTGCGTGACGGTCTCTCGACGTCGCGCACCTGTCTCTCACCGCGGCTGCGAGCATTGGCGCGGCTCTCGGTCGAATGTTTCAGCGGGCTCCTCGTGCGCCGCGTCTCCGTCTCTCGCTCGCGCACGTCGCGCTTCTCGGTGCGGCGCTCGCTGAGCATGGTGGAGGCGGCCATGGCGACGGGCTGTTTCCTGCTGTGCGAAGTCGAGGCAGGCCCGCGTCGTTCGTGGTCCTCGCCCATGGTCGTGGGTGCGACGCGGGGCCGCGAGGTGGATGCGTAGTTGGCATTGGCCGCCCGCCGCTCAGGCTTGGTGCTGGGGAGGTTGCGGGAAGACATTTGGGCCGGCGAGGCTCTTCATGGAGCTCGAGGGGAGCGCGGCTTGCTGTTCAACTGCGGCTAGCTACACGACATTGCACTGCACTTACTGTTTGGTCCCGCGCTTTCCCTGTCCGCTACGCGTCGGGCACCTACGCTAAGCGAGTCTACCCATGCAGGGACAGCCTCGCCGAATGACTTCACTCCTCACCATCTCTGACCCCACACTCCTGACTCGTCACAGTCAGACGCCTTGGTTTCCTCATCCTACAATCCACATTTACTATGCGCCATACAGTCCATCACTATTCGAGACAAGCAACTGCTCCATGTGCGCCCAGTTTGCCTTCCTCATGTATCACGACAGCCAGTAGTTTCCAGCATCGTCCTCACCAACTATTGGAAGCTTCTGAATATATCTCGCTCGGCTGTTGCTGCTGAAAGGTCGACATTGAAAAGGTTCGCCTGAGTCCAGTTCGAAAACGTTATCATATGCATGCCACTGTTGCCAAAGAACGGCGGCAGTTTCGCCTAGTTCTCGCGTGTCATGGTGAATAATGCCTCCACCATGCGCAGAGAATATTGCCCTCATCCATAAAAGGCTTTTCTTATTCTTCGGTCTGACTAGCAGCAAGTTTCTCAATCGCCGACTCGTGCAGTCTACTCAAAAACGTAATGATGAAAGTCGCCGTGAGTGGCATTTCATTAGTAAACATTACTTCTTACATCATATATAGATTCCGGACTACAAATCCCATAGCTTTCCCTCATCGACGTTGCAATCTTCCAAGGTAGCAAGTTCAGAACAGCGAAACTAAATCATTACAGTACATTAACCATCTATCCATATTCCCTCTCGAAACCCTCACAATTCTTCCAAATACTTGCGCAACCAAATTCATCCATACACAACCCAACAAGGGACATTCACAACTCTCCCGTTCCCCACAAACTTCCCCTTCTAAATCCTGACTACCCTCAGACCAAAGTCTCAACCCACAACCCCCTCTCGCTCCCTCTTCCGCAGCGGCATACACCGCCTAACCTGTCTTGCAAGCCGTCCCAACGAAGGCCAACCCTTACGCCCTTCCTCCTGCTTCTCCACGTCCCCTGGATTCGAAGGCAAAATTGGCGCGCTCGAAACCCGCCGTCTGGAAATCTGAACTGGAGGTGTAGTCACATGCTCGTCGTTTGCAATGCCCCGGCGCGCCGCGAACACGTTCCGGATCTTGTGGGGTGCCCCGCGGATGAGGGGGAAGGAGGGTTTGTGTTGGGTGTCTTGGGGTGGTGTTCCCGATGTTTCAGCGAGTTCTGGAGGAGGAGTAGGAAAATTGGGAGGTTGAGCATCTTGGCCTGCGTCCCAACTTCCACGGCCGCTGTCGACATCTTTGGCGGGAAGAGGAGGTTTGGAGATAGTGGTTGGGTGAATGGCCCGTATCGTGTTCTTCCCCAAACTATTTCCCCTCCCCTCTTGGCTCACGCTGGGTACGGTGGGGTGCAGTCTATACACCGTCGCCGGCAGCACGGGCAACGTTCGTCCGTTCTCATTCGTTTCATTCGTTTCCGGACCCCTTCTCATCACCGCAGCAGTATTGGGCGAGTACACCGTCTGTCGTAGCCAAGACGCCACTTTACCATCCACCCCACCCCCTCTCATCTCTTCAGCCGCACGTCGCTCCTCCATCTTCGCCTCCACTGCGTCAAAATCGCCAAAATCAATCGGTGACCCGGTTAAATCCGCAGACAGCCAGCGGTAGCGCATCGACGGTGTGTGCTGTGACCTGGACGCAAAGTGGACGTGCTTCTCCTGATCAGCTGCCAGACTCTCCGACTCAGGTTCAGGTTCTTCTTCTTCCTCTTCCGGCGGCGAGTCCGTCCCCGCGATCCCTGGCGGAAATGCAAAGTCCCGCACGACGACATTGTATTCGCGTCCAGCTTGCACAAATCTGCCCAGGGGGTAGAAATGGCGCGCTTCGATTGGGGTTAGCGCGAATACCTGGGAGTTTTGGAGCATCACCTCGTGGGTTTCTACCGGGAAGCTTTCATAGTTGTGTAAGATGGGCTCAGGGTCTGGTTGTGGCGACGGGTTGGGATCTGGTTCAACATCTACAAACCCAGGGTGCAGACTGTGCTGCGTTTCTGCGGGCGGTGAAGTCGTGGCGTAGGGGTTATTCGCGGTATGGTGTGTCACTGCAGTGGATATCGAGGTTGTCTCGAGACCTCTGGGCGCCATGATCAAAAGATCCTCTTTACTCGATGACGCCGACGTCTGGTCGTCGTACACATTCTGCCCCGAAATAATACGCCCCTGTCCCTGCTTACACGACGACTCCGACACGACGCGCTCGCGGCTCCGACACGGCACAACAGGTGGTACCGAACACAAAGACTCAGTGCGTCTATGTGGCACATACGTCCTATCGACCGACGAAGTCCCCGAACAAGTACGTTTGTGCTCGTAAACCGACGGCTCGCAGACCCTCGGATTCCCCGTGAGCGTGAACTTCCGCATCGGAACGGACTCATTGCCCAGTGTGTTCGACGCATACGGTGCGCCGGCGCTGGCAAGGCGTGGTGGGGACTCGAAGATGCCCCGCTTGTGAGACGTGTTTCCGACTACGATCTCGGAGATGGGCGTGGTGTGCGTCTTGGTGCGGGGGTGGTAGCGTTGGGGTGCGCCGTGGGGTCGGAGGGAAGTCGTGTTTGCAACCGGACTGGGCGTGGGGACTCTTTCACCCGCAGGAGTAGGCGCGTAGCATTTAGTGAGCGGGGAGGGCGGTTTCGTCAGGCCGGCGATGAGCTTCGAGTGCACCCCCTGCGGCATAACATGGATCGTTTTCGTCTCAGGGCCGTAGTGTGAGGAGACGAATTCACAGTCGAGATAGCTGACTGGCGAGCATCGCGAGGAGGACGTAGTGTCACTAACACGTGCACCAAAGCCACGAAGATAGTATGAACTCGCTGGCCGGGCTCCTGGGGGTAACTGGGATAGTGAGGATGAACGCTCGCCCACTCCGCGCTCGAACCCCTCCTCCTCCTCCTCAGCTACAAGACTGGTCCGCGCAGCGATCTGGAGAGCAACCGCCGCGTCTCGAGCAGATCCGTGTTTCGCCCAGCCACATGACTTCAAAGATTCAACGGCGAGAGCGTTCCTCGGGGGCATGGCAGGCGTGGTGCTAGATGAGGCGTTTCGATGCTGCTGCTGTTGCTGCTGGACGTAAATCACCGCCCGTTTGTTGATATCGAGGCCCTGCACGCTATCCATTGCAGAGACGTCTGGTCGCGGGGTAGGACACGGTTCGGTTGGTTCCAGGTATGCTAGCGCACGGCGGAGACGGTATCGTACTCCTGGCGATGTGTTTCGCGGTGAGTCTCGCCGCTGTCGGACGCGGTAGCGCGGTGTGGATTGAGGCGGGGGACTGCCTGGAGCGGTTGGAATGGTCATGTCGAAGAGGGTAATGGGTTGAGATGGAAGTGGAACAGGCTGGATATATAAGATAGTAGCTCCGGTACGTCGTGTAGCAAACTATTCAGCAGTCAGCGAGTGAACTGTACAGGTAGTCGGATGATGTGGAAAGCCTGGATCCCACGATATCGACGTCAAACACACTGCTTGATGAGTGAGTGAGCGCGAGTAGTGAGCAAGAACCCGCGATTTTAGGCAAGGTCTGCACACAATGTGCACCTACGCATCTACGCGTTGTAAACTCCCAGCACAGGCGCGTATCCTCAGCCGAAGCCTTACGATTCCCACCCCACGTGACCAATGCGTTCACCACCGTCGTACCTCACACACACCCAACCCCCCTTGTGGCGACACACAACCCCCAACAACAAAACCACTCACCTCTTCAAATAACCCCAGCGTCAAGTACGTACGGTTCGAACCTAATCACTCCAGATCCGCGTTTACTCGAGAGAAAAACCCCGTCTGCAAGCAGCCAGCAAGAATCCGCTGATCATGTTGGTGGATTGCGGTGGAACTTGACCGCGACATCAGACTGCGCTGCGGTTTCTTCTTGTCGTGTTGGGTGGTTGGTATGTCGTGTTGCTTTTGCACGGATGGACGGCCGCACGGTTCGCGGGTTGTGGGTTGCTCGCATCGCATTGCATCGCATCGGCGCTGGGAGGGGAAGGGGATGTGGGTATTAGTCGTTCGGGGAGATCAAGTCGCTGCTTTGGTGGTGTGGCGTGGTGGTGTTGTGTAGGTCTGGGTTGGTGCGTATTTAGTGTTGGATGGCGATGTTGGGAGGGAGGGAGATGGGAAGATAAGATGGTCGGGATTCTCAGGTACTCTCTTGGGACTGGAGGGATACTAGCAATGCTGCGTGATGTAGTAAATGCGGAGGCGATATTTGGATGTCGGGAACATTATGTGCAGGGCGTGGGAAGATCAGATCAGATCAGAGCAGATCACAGGACTTTTGCTGGCGAGTTGTTCAAGGGTATAGGTAAAGATACAGTTAGAATATTTTTGACTTTCCTACTGATTATTCGTATTTCAACATACAAGACTAGTACGTCTTAAACGGACATCCCTTATCCACACTACTCGCCTTGGTCTTCTCCTTGATAATCTTAACCGTCAAATCCATCAGCTGCTCGCCCAGCAGCGCATCATTCGCCTTGTCGCTGCCCTGCTCCACAATCGCGGGCGGGGTAATGTACCGGCCGCTCTTCTCCGTCTTAGTCGCTGCGAACATCGTGCTCACGCAGCCCTGGAACTGGTTCTTCTTGAACGGGTTCATCAGCACGCTCATGCCGTACCCGAGTAGCGGGTACGCCTCGTGGATATGCTCGGTTGACTGTCTCGTCTCCACGATGCCGGGGTGCGTCGCGTTGACGAGGAGGTTGGGGTGTTGCGGTGTGACGTGGCGGGCGAGGTATTTTGCGTGGAGGATGACGGCGAGCTTTGAGCGGCCGTAGAGGGGCTGGGGGCCGATGTCTGTGTTGAGTTCGTCGAGCGATTCGAACTTTGTGTCCTTAGGCGAGTTCTCGTGGATGTTGGAGCCGAGGTTTACAATGCGGACTGTGTTGCCGTTGTCTGCTGTCTTCTTCAGGATGGGCAGGAGGTGCGAGGTCAGCACAACGTGGCCGAAGTGGTTGATGGCCATGTGCAGGTCGACGCCGCTCTTGGAGAGCTGGTACGTCATTATGCCGCGAGCCGCGTCGTTGATGAGGATGTCGATTCTGTCGGTTTTCTGGGCAATCTTCAGCGCAGTCTGGCCTGTTGCTTCCCAGTCCGAGAGGTCGCAGTTTATCCATTCGACTTTGTTTGCGGCCTCGTCGCCCATCTCTTCGCGGATGGCTTTGATGGCATCGGCGGCAACATCTTCGCCTATCGAGATGATGAAGAGCTTGGAGATGTTGTGCTTGAGCAGCGTGTGTGTGCAGCCGTATCCAATGCCCTCTGAACCACCCGTCACGACGGCAACCTTGCCAGTCAGATCCGGCACCTCTTCGAGCGAGAAACGGGAGCCCTCCGGTGCGAGCTCATGAGCACCAGGAACAATCTTCCCCAGATTCTCCGCAATGGTGTTCTTGATAGCCTGCATCTTGGAGTCGGCGGGCACTGGTCCTTTAAGACGATCGGTATTCTCAGCAGCGTAGTATCTGGATGTAGTTTTGGACAAGAAGGCTCTTGAGATCGAGGACGAAGCAGGACGGGTGCAACGCAAGGATAGAGCCGGTCTAAATAATTTGATGGATTGCATGGCTTGTGATATCAACCTGCGAATCTACACCATCCTGCCCTCTTACAGTAGATCTGGGGTGCGCTAAAAGGCACTGTGACGTCCTCGAGCTGATCAATACGATACATGCTATTTGTCGTGATGTATACATGACAGCGTGTGGACTCGTACAGCTGGCGGACGCGTCTGGATGACGGCGTCTTTGCTTAGAATTGTCTAGCGTCGTGCTATCGATAAGCGCGTCACGCGACCTGGCGTCTTCTTCGTGTCCGCGATATATCGCTGTCGCGTGCTATGCCTTGAACAAACATGATTGGCAGGCATATCGCATAACGCGTTCGCCCAGGACTTCCCAACATCCACACCCAACGCCTAAACACTTCAAGTACCAACCCTAGCACCCCCACACCACTCCACCATGCACAACCCCACCACCCTCCCCCCCGACGTAGCAGAAGCGCGCAAAACCCGCATAAATGAAGACCTAATCCTCTGTTTCGCGCGCGTCAAAGGCCCCACCCCCTCCTCCGCCCAGGGCATCGGACTATACACGCACATCGCCGGCCCGCACAGGAAAGCCCAACCCACGGCTGCAGATCCCGAATTCCTGCCCATCGGCGGGCCGAGGCGCATCGGGAGGGAATGCGGCTTGGAAGCGGAGACTAGCGCGGAAATTAAAAATCTTTGGGATGAAGTGCAGCGTGTGGTTGGGGAAGAGGAGGGTGGGGTGAAGGCGGGGATGGGTGTGCGGGAGTTGGGGAGGAGGTATGGGGCGTTGGAGGTTCCGGCTGGGGAGGGGGAGGTGAGGAGGAGTGATATGGAAGGTGGGCCTACGCACTCGACGATGAGGGGAGATGTAGCGATGGGTGATCTTGCGGAGAAAGCAACGCCGACGACGACGACAACGACCAAGACAGGCAACATGTACGAGGCGAGTCGAGATCCACGCCGCCGGCGTCTCTAACCAGGCAAACACGATTTTGAGAAGACATGAGTACATTTGTGAAGGCGCAGGAGTATTCGAGGATCGCACATATACCCATACATTAAGATTCTTCTTGCTGGTTCGAATTTATTGCAATATCTGTGCACTTCCATCGCTGATACATACGTTCTATCAGACAACACCACAAGACTAAACAAACAGACGAACAGGATACGTTCAAGTTCCTCCCTCTCCTCTCCTCTCCTCTCATCTCATCTCATCTCATCTCCCCTCCTCTCCACCACCACCAACAAACCACTAGTTTCCCACCCCCCTACGACCCAAAGCTCATCTTCAGCGCAATCCTCGGCTCACCCCCCTCCTCACTCCTAACCTCCCGTCTCGCAGCCCCCTGCCCACTCTTGAGCACAGTCTCCGTAAACGACCTCTGCTCCGCACTCAACCCCGCGACCACACCCCTAAACGCCTCCTGATCCGCGCCCGCGAGTTCCATAAGCCTCGCGGCCGTCTCCTGCGCAGCAAGCGGCTCCTTCTGCGCGCGGGCCAGCAGCGCAGGGATGATAATCTTACAGGCAACTTGCCGCTGCCTAGCCTCCGGCAGCGTAGGCACAAAAGCGACGAGCGTCTGAGCGAGCGTTGAGCGCGACTCATCCAGGCCCTCGACATCCGAGGGGTTGGCGAGGAAAGTGAGGATGTGGGGCAGCATTTGCGCGGCGAGGTTAGCTTCAAAGGCGCCCTTTTTGGGGAGGAGGAGCAGCGAGCGGCAGCATCCTGCGGCGACTTTGCTTGTCATCCTGTTGCCGAGGCAGTCGAAGAGGTCTGTGACGAAGCGCTGGACGAGCGGGTCGTTGGGGGAGAAGGCGGATGCGGCGGAGCTGAGGAGGATGGTGGTTGCGAGGATGGTGTTCTTTTCGCAGGCGAGGGCGGCGTCGAATTCGCGGTGTTGGGCGTGGCGCAGGACGGTGAGGAAGCGCGTTAGTGTTGCGCGGAGCTGTTGGCTTGTGTCTTCTGTGGCTTCGGCGTGGGGGGCCAGGCTGGTGACGAAGCGCTTGAAGATGGGTAGGGACTGGGGGACGACTGTGGCTTGACATGCTCCGGTTCCTAGGATGGTGGCGAAGATGTGGAGGATGCAGGCGTGGAGATCGGCCTTGATGATTGATGGGAATACCTGTGCGGCATCTACGAGAGCTGCGAGTGCGGTTGTGAGGAGTGCGACGGCTTCTTCGTTCAACTCATGACGGGCTAGGCGATGGTCAGTGACTACTACGATGATGATAGAATCGGCACATGTACCTTTAGTGTTGCTGTCCTCGAGACCAGGCACCAGGCCTGACAAGACCAGCACCATGATCTTGGTCAATTCGAACAGCTGATCAATATCCTCCGAGAGCTTTTCGTCTCCATGAGCAGCGCTAGAGATCATTAGCAACCAATCTCTCCCAGCCCGTGAATCAATCTTACCCTTGTTCTCTCCGCGCAGAGGGATGGCCAAGGCACAAATTCCTCGCGATCTGAACGATAGTCGTCTGCACAGTCAAGCCCTCAGTAAGAACCAAACGGTCCAACATATCCATAGTTTCCGAGAAGACGACTTCCTGATAAATGGCATGTCCGGAGACCGATGGTCGGAGGATCTTCTTTAGAGCTTGCAAAATTTCCAGTATCTGCTCTTTCGATGCTTGCAGATCGCCTGGCCGGCCCGCCAACGCCTCGAATGCAAGACCGAACAGGACAAAGAAGAAGGCCACCGGCTCATCACGGTAGTTGATGTGGTCCGCCTTGCCGTTTGGAGCCGATTCAGAGAACTCAGTCTTGCCGTCTAGAGCATCGAAGACGAACTCGCTGTCTTCGTCGATCAAACTGGCGATTGCGTCGACCAAGTTCAGCCACGATTCTTGGTAGAACTAGAGATGGGTAAGCCAGCATAGCGAAAGTAGTACTCGGATTTTAATACCTTCAGGAGAGTTTCTCGGTTGAGCGCTGCATATATGGTGTCGAGACTTCCAGACAAAGACGCCGATCCCATAGACGACGAGATATCAGGCTCAAACCTCAGACGAGCATATTCGCGGAGTGATGCAAGCCATAGTGGTGTTAACTTGGCGATGTGTGGTTTCAACACATCGACGAGGTATGTTTGCTCAGCACTCGCAATCTGAAGCTCCGCCCACGCGGAGAAAACCGACATCTTCACCATGACCTGCGCGTTCGAGCTGAGGCCTCTCAGATCACCAATAGACGCAGCCTCTGTTTCGCCTGTATGATATTAGCGTAGTGTCATGATTGCAATATACAGGCAAACATACTTGAGAAGTTCTCGAGCGCCGATACGAGGAGTTTGAGGATACGGCCCATTCGATCCACGTCTGTGACAATTCCAGTAGCTATGAACGTAGCACAGACATTGACCGCTTCAGCTGCAAGTTCCGGCGAGGAGTCTGCTGCAAAAGCCGGAGTAAGCGCCGACCCGATTTGTGCCTGATATTGCTCGAGCAGCGTCACTTCAGCGAAGTCAGGGTCAGGAGTCTTGCCAAACAACTAAACCCAAGAAGTTAGAAAAGACAGCCAATCTTCAAGTTGCAGTCCAGCTCACCTTCAGTACTTGGTCGATAATCTTCAACCCACGTATCCGCAGCTGAACCACACCAGCCGTAGAGGCAGAAAATGCAATGCGCACGACGTCGGCAACTCTTTGCTGCAAAGCCAGTACGCAAGGCGACTCTTCTCGGAAGGCGGCCTCTTTACTGACCATCGCGACGAGTTCGCTCAACAAGTCCATGCCAAAGGTTCGTACCTGCCACTTGAGCAACTCCTGGCTGACTTGAGCAGCATCTCCGGGCTGAGTCCCAGGCGCATTAGAAGCAGCGGCAAAGCCAGCAACCTCTTCGTCCTGCAGATCAGTAGCGCCAGCCTTGGGTTTCGACTCGATAGTTTCTTGTGTGTCGACCTTCTTTGTCTTTGTGAGGACAGAGTGGCACCGCTGGACCCAGGTTGCTGTATCAGTCAGGCCAGTTTGATGTAGCCAGTTACGTAAGATGTTCCGCACAACTTCGTGATCAGGATTACTGTCAAGTACATGCCAAAGCTGGTCTTCCAAGCCTGGGTCGCCTGTCCGGATGATCTCTTCGGTGTTACGCCTCATGAGGTTGTGTAGTCCATCGATAGCCATGTCTCGGATCTGTGTTGAACCACCCTCTACCAGTTGCTGAAGGTGCTTCACGTACCCGGAGAACTCCATGTGACCCGGAGCATACAAGGAGAGATGTTCCTGGCAGCGGAGACTCTCGATCCCAATCAGCTCATCATCCTCCACTTTGAACAATCCAATGAGCGTCATGATCATGTCGCGCGCCTTGGCCATGTCCTGAAGATCTGGGCCGAGAACGTTGATAGTGCTGTCTATGCAACGTGCGATAACAGCTGGAGAAGGCAGATCGATTTCGATATTCGAAGAAGCCAAAGAGGAGGATTCGTCGTTGTGTGTATCTGCAGCATACAGCTGCGCAAGCATGCCGAGTGTGCTGGTAACATAGCTGGAGAAAGACAAACCAGCGGAGTCAGCCACACGCGATAGACTGTCCAATGCCCAAAAGTGCACCACGGGGTGGGGGTCGTTGCCGAGGGACATCAGTATTCCAAGAATGCTCTTGAGATGGTAGCTGGCGGCCATCCCGCCAAGCTGGGAAAGAATACAGCCCAGTGCAACAGCATAGCCTGACCGAGCGTTGGGTTCGCGATTCGCAACAATCTGATCAACCAAGTAGCTGACTTCGCTCGTGGTGAGTGCGTTTCCAGAGCTACTGCAGAGACGGCCTAGAGCCTCCCCAGCAATGTTACGAACATAAGCATCGGGAAGGATGACGAATAGCTATATCTGTTAGCATTGGAAAACAAGGGTACAAAGTCACTTACATGTAACAGCTCTTGCATCACCTTTTCCACCGCCGGCCCTTTCAGACTGCCAGGTGCAGAGCGCGTTTCCTTGACGGCGACCTTCAACGCGGCAAGAAGGGCGTACGAAATATTCACCATCATTGCAGTCTTCCTGTTAACGTCGCGCTGCAGACTGCTGGCTGATAGGAAAGACGTAATCTGCTCTAATATGCTCTCCTGCACTTTAGGTGTCTGCAGGGGCAGGCAAATAGCGAACAACTGTAAAGCGGCATTTACGACTTCAGTAGCTGGAGGATCGGGTAGCTCAGTTGCATCAGTAAACGGGCCGATGTACAGCAATAGAGAATCATGTTCGCGAGCACTGCATATGGGTGAGAGGAGCTGGAGCATATCAGCAGTTGGTTTCGAGACGATGAGGGTTTACGTACAGTACGGTCGACGATTGCTTCCGAACCATGTTTAGTGATCCAGTGGTGCTGGGCTTCAGTCTCGTGCTCTCCGGGCAATGGCTTGATATCGTAACCCCTGACAAGTCCAGTAACACCAAAGCCATGATTGTCTGCGACTTCCCATATGCTCTCAAATGTCCCCGCGGCACTGGCGATAGCAGTGCTGAACGAGCTGGTGGTATAATTATCAGGATCAGCAAACGACGCGACCGCAAAAGAAAGGAGATTCGTCTGAAGCAAGACCTCACTGCTACTAGCCGGGCTCAGTTCCAGAAGCTTGGTATAGCATTGCAGCACTCGTCTTCGCACCATCAGGTCAAAGTCATGCAGCTGCAGTGCAGGCGACAAGCGCTGGGATATGTCGTCGGTCGTCTTCTTGGCTGGCAGGGTATTGAGGAACAACGTCGTATTTTGAAGCATCGCAGCCAACCGCTTCGTCACATCCAGTGTTAACAGCCTGCTGTTGAATTCCAAAAATGTCAAGATACCGCCTAGAGCGCACTCTCGTACATGTGCAAGGAAGCTGAGCTCCAAAACATTCCGCTGCACCATGTTGTCCTTGTTGAGTGGCTTTGGGAGTGCGTTTTTCCACAACAGAAGGAGTTGCGAAAGGTGAATCTTGACAAAATTAGGGCCAAGCGTCATCAAGCCTCCAATCAGTATCCACGCGACCTGGATTTGTGTGGATGATATCCTCAGGTCGGAGTTACTACTCGACTTGAGTAGCGAGGTCGCCTGTGAGAGTACCCTTGAATTAACATCCACAGATCCATGGAGTGGTTGGGATGTGGATGTACTGAGGACAGCAGAAAGGCCGTTCGCAAGACCAACACACTTCCTAGGCGACTTTCGCGGACCAGAAAGAAGACCTAGTTCTCGATTGACGCTGTTCATGCATATCGTCACCGAGGGTAGCAGTTGGAGTGGACAGGCCAAGACGAAAGAGCGCAGACAGGCCGAAGCATACACCTGAACACTGTAGCTAGGGTGTTGCAGCACTTGGAGTAACGCATCTCGAGTGGAGTCGGAAATAACATTAGTAGCCGACCCCAGGCTGTTAAACAGCGAACCCAATGCGCTCAGTGCTCCAATCAACGTCTGTTTCGATGGCTCTGGCCGTTCCTTCAGCACCTGAGGGTAGTCCTTCAGTATCTCATTGACCAGGAATTTCGCGGCATTCAATTGTCCAGACTCTCCGAGCATGTCGCGGCCGATAACCGTTTCGAGGATGACTGCGACGAACTTCCTCGCGCTGAGGGTGCGATAGCGGTTTTGCACTGTAACGGGGCTGCTGAGAAGGTCGACGAAAAGATTCTGCGCAATCTCAGCATACTTGGCCTCGACGACCTGCTCGCCCAAGCCCCTCAGTGTCTTCATGTAGCAGATGGTGATTCCAGCTCTTGCGCGGTTGCCAGTTGCGGTTCGAACATACTGCGTGGAAAGGAGTTTCAAGAGGCTCGATATAGTGAAGGAGAGCTGTGTCGCCGACTTTCTAGGCGCAGGTGATTCAGATCGGCCATGGATATCGTCATCGCCATCCATGTCGGTTCCCTTCTTGCCCTTCTTCTTGAACGTGTTCGATCGGACAAGGATCGGGAGATCCATTGGCGCATTCTCAGAGTAGTTCTTGACTAACGCAGCGCTGATGCATGAGGCAGCCGCATGTCTGACAGCAGCAGAACTACTGTCGATAGCCTTCCAGATAGCGGTCTGCAGTTTGTCGAAGTCGTTGGAGTTGTCGAAGAAGGACGTGTGTCGGATAAGCTGCTCGAGACAGTAGCATGCGCTTGTCTGTACCAACAGAGACTTGTCGCCAGCACATGCGTTGCGTGCCTGCTTCCACGCATCTCTTGCGACGAGCTCATCAGCCGAAGGCGCAACCCCCTTGAACACTTTCCCCACCGCCTTGAAGAGAGTTGCTCTAAGCCCCGTATGGTTTTGCGCAGACTTGATCAGGCGTAGCAAGGAGTTTGCCGCGTGGGGAGAGAATCCTATAGCGCTGTCTCCCGCCGCTTCAAACACGGCACCGAGACAGTGCGCGGCTGCATGCTTCACCCGGACGTCCTTGTCGCTCTTTCCCGTGCCATTGAGTATACCGATTAGCTCAGTGATGGATTCAAAGAGCAGTTTGCGATCCCCCTTGCCGAATATGCCGGCAAATGCTCGTCCCAGGTTGGTTCGGATCACTCGCGTGGGCGCGGGCGAGGCCAGATTGATGACCTGGAAGAGCTCCTTCTTGATGTATATTTGGTGCGCCGAGGCTCCATCGGCATCGAGGGAGGCAACATGGCGCGCGAGGTCCGAGGTGAATGTCAGCAGGTAGAGATCCTGTTGTTCTGAAGGGAGGGCGTGGAGCTTCTTGACGTCGAGCTCTGGGTTCGAGGGGTCGGCGCTTGTTGGCGGTTCGTCTGGCGCGGTCATGTTCGCTATGGGAGGCTCGCGGGCCTGGAATGTGTGGGTGTATGTCGATAGGAGGGCCAAGTCACATCGCGGGGAGGACTAGCATGCTGGACGTCGAGGGGTGGAGATGGGGGTAGAGTTGCGGACTCCCGCGCTTGGCGAGGCCGATCATCTCCAACTTTTTGTCGGATGCCCGCGCCTACGATGATACAAGACGACTCTCGTTGAAGTCCAGTCCAATCCAGTCCAATCCAATCCAATGACCTCACCCTTCCGCAGCGCAACCCGCGCCTTGCTCTCCGTCGAGCGTCTCGCCGGCCGTCAAGCAGCGCGCCCCCGAAAAGTCCAACCCCACGAGCAAATACGGTGTCTGAACAGCACCGCAACCCTACAATCAGGCCACTCGTACGTCCGTCCCTCCCAGCCATAACACGCACACGATACCAACCACCCCCGCAGAAAATGGGCGTCCATCAAGCACGACAAAGCCAAAAACGACGCGGGCAAGAGCAAGCAGCGCTCCATACTCCTCCGCGACATCTCGCAAGCCGTCAAGCGGGCAGGCGCAAATCCAGACATGAACCCACATCTCGCCCTCGCCCTCGTCACGGCCAAGAAGAACGCTGTCCCTAAGGCGTCTATCGAAGCCGCTATAGCGCGGGGTCAGGGCCTGTCTGCCACGGGCGCCGCGCTGGAGACACTCGTCCTTGAAGCTATTCTGCCGCCCTCGGTCGCTGCCATTATAGAGTGCCAGACGGACAATAAGCTGCGCGCGCTCGCCGACTTGCGCCTGCTTGTCAAGGAAGCGGGCGGCACCGTGTCGTCGGTGGGGTACATGTTCGAGAAGAAAGGGCGGATAATACTGGGGAAGAAGGAGGGCATGGGCGTGGACGAGGTGCTGGAACCCGCGCTGGAAGAAGGTGTGCTGGATGTGGTGGAGGACGAGCAAGGTCGCGTCGTGCTGTACACCGAGCCCGCGCAGATGAAGACAACAGCAGAGACGCTGGCAAAGGCGCTGGACATGGAGGTCGAGGAGAGCGAAATCATATACGATCCGAACGAGGACACCAAAGTCTCGCTGGACGATGATGCGGCGGCCAAGGACCTGAGCAGCTTCTTGGACGAGCTGCAGGAGGTGCCGGGCGTGCAGGGTGTGTACATGAATTGGTCCAAGGGCGGAATAGCAGACGAGCTGTGGGAAGATCTGAGCGGGAAAGTAGCAGTTTAACTGCGTCCCCAGAATATATAATACACCTCCACAATCCACAATCCAAAATAGTGTACACTATCAATCTCCCAACACCTCATTATAACGCCATCCATGCACATTCCCCACCCCTCCCTCCCAATCCATTTCCATCCTCCGCTCTACCCCTCTCTCCCCCCAAACGCCTCCCGCCCCCTCCTCTCCTCCTCCTCCCTCCTCACCCTATTCGCCCTATTCCTCGCCTTCAACCTCTCCAACTCCTTCGCGATCTCCTCGCGCTCATACGGAATGCGATGCGTCTGCTCTGGTTTGGGCCAGAAGTCCGGGACCGAGAACTTGCCGTCGAGGTTCGTGCCGAAGTAGTACATGATGCTGATGGGGAAGAGGATGTACATTCCGAACTGGGTGGGGTGGGGTGAGCTTGGATGTGTGGTGAAATGGAGGGGGGGGGGGACGCACTTTGAAGACTTCGAGGTTTGGGCCGCCCATTTTGGGGGATATTTTTTTAGGAGAGAGGGTGGGTGTGGTGCGAGGGAGATGTTGGATGTTGGATGTTGGATTTGGTGGAGTGATGCAGTGCAATGCCATGGAAGGGAGCGGAGGTGGGAATCTTTTGGATGGTCTGTGCTCGCGAGTGTCGTCGTCGGTCCCGGCGCGAACATGTGGGTCTTGGACTTGGACATACAGAAGAACTTCTTCTATATTTCTACGTTACACACATACCTGGTCTGTCAGTATTTTGAGATGCAGATGTGATTGTTTCGCAGTCTGGAGTGTGGTTCTTTCCGTGAGTGCGCAGGGTGTAATGTATTATGCTTATGTACATATGCGATAGATACACAGGGCTGGCTATGTATTGTAGAGAAATAGCTATACAGCAGGGAATATCTACACTTCATATACTCTCCTACGCGTTCTAACCACACTGTAATCTCCTCCGCAATGCAATGCATCCCAGATGTTGGGACAAGGAGGTGTCGGCACTCCGCACACCTCTCTAGCATCAAAACCTCTGGACCTCGGCCCAACACTAAAACCATCATCACCATCATCACCGAGTCGTCAACCCACCGCCGCAATCAATCCAGCACCCACCCCCACACTCTCCGCCCCAACTTTCTTTCCCGAATATTGCCCACCATGGCCGAAGACGGGATCCTCGTGGAATACCGCGGCAGAATCGCCATCATCACCCTCAACGTGCCGAAGAAGTTGAACGCGCTGGGCGGAGAATTATACTACAAGCTCGCCGTCGCAATGCTCGAAGTAGCGCAACACGACGAAGTCTACATCACCGTATTGACAGGAAACGGGCGCTTCTTCTCCGCGTACGTCCACCCATGCAACATGCGCACAGCACTCCCACAAGTAGAACAAGCACTAACCCTCCCCCCAGCGGCGCAGACGTATCCTTCGGCAGCCAAGTATCCAGCGACGCCATCGACGAGCGACACCTATGGCTGCGCTCCTTCGCAGCCAACAACCTCCAGATCACACACGCCTTCTACACGCATCCGAAGATCCTAGTCACGGCGCTCAACGGGCCAGCCGTCGGGCTATCCGCCGCGCTGATCGCGCACAGCGATTTCATTTACGCGGCGCCGCACGCCTACATCCTCACGCCCTTCGCCTCGCTCGGCCTCGTCACAGAAGGAAACGCGAGCATATCCTTCGTCAAGCGTCTGGGCATCAGCAAGGCGAACGAGGCGCTGATTATGAGTCGGAAGATTGGCATTGAGGACCTGGTGGCGACGGGGTTTGTGAATAAGGTTGTGGATGTGGGGGAGAAAGGGTCGCCTAAGTTTCTGGCAGCGGTGCTGGGTGAGGTTGAGGATAAGCTGGGGGATCATCTGAATGGTGAGAGTTTGCTGAAGATCAAGGCGCTGATTCGGAAGCCGGATTTGCCGTTGTTGGAGCGCCAGGGCGTGGAGGAGGTGTTTGGCGGGATGGAGAGGTTTCTTAAGGGTGTGCCGCAGAAGGAGTTTGCGCGGTTGGCGAGCGGGGAGAAGAAGCATAAACTGTAGAGGAAGTGTAATAGTATAGAAGTGAAGTAGAAGATGTGAGATCGCCCGAATAATAGATTGGTTTGGCTTGGTTGAGTAGTGACATGATATGACTGACGGTTTACCCAAGGGACACACCTTCAGAAGCCAGCAGTTCGCCTCCCAACTCCACTGTGCTCGGTGTGTTGTTCGACGGAGGCGCTGCAGGGTGCGGGTCATCGGGAGGAGGTGGTGGTGGAGGCTGCTTTCTCCCCTGCCGCCTCTCTTCTTGGAGTTGATGCTGCAAGTAACTCGAGTATCGCAGCCCGACGAACAGGAAGAAGGCAGAAGCTCCTATCGCAATCGCCGCGCGCCGGGTGAGCACCCATCGCAGGCCCTCGACCTCGCTGCGGGCATCCGAGTTAAGCGCAACCGTGATCTTGTAGTTGAGTTCCTGCAGCTGCACACACAGCATCAGCACCAGCACTAAGAAACGAGCAAAAGTGCTGTCGAGATGAAGAAGGAAAGGGAGAAGAAAAAAACATACCTTCGTCTCCATACTCCTCTGCTCCTGCCGAACAATCATCTTCCTATCATCAAACAACCCCTTAAGTTCATCCTTCAAGTTCCCCGTAACCTGCCCAAGCCGTTGCCCCACAATATCAACCTCATGCTTCAACGCATCCCGCTCCGTGCGCATCCTCTCACGCGAACCCGCGCGCGAGTTCCCAATCTCCGTCTTCAGCTCGCTGCACGCCGCGCGGAACAAATACGTCTCATTTTCGACGTTCGACTTGGACACAAGGCCCTCGCGCGCAAGCTCCATGTTTGTGATCAGCAAGCTGCGCACAGCTTTCATCGTGGTGACGCTCTGGTCGGGCGTGAAGGACGACTTGGTTAGCTGCTGCACGAGGCCGTAGGTGTCGAAGTGGTGGACGTAGGGCGGCGTTTTGAGGTGCGGGGGTTTGTGCTGCTCGGGGTCTGTGGGCGTGGGCATGTGCAGGATGCTGTCGAGGGGTTTGGGGTCGCCTGTTTTGGGGGGTTCGGGGGCGGGGATTTGCGGCGCTGGGTCGATGATGCTCGGGGGTGAGGGCGTGGAGGGACTGGTTGTGGGGGTGCGTGGTGGTGCGTGGTCTTCTTCCTCATCTTCTTCTGCCTCTTTTACGGGCGGTTTTGCGCTTGATAGTAGGGCTTGTTTGTTGGCGTTCTCTTCGCGTGCTTGGGGAGATGGCTCGAAGGCTGTTCCGTAGCGTTGGGGGATTGCGTCCTGCGCGTGGTGCGCTGTTGTTGCGAGACATCGCCTTCGTGGAGTCGTTTGGAGTGGCGCGCGAGCGCGGGCAGGTATCCTCGAGGGCTTCGAGGGCTTGAATAGCGTAGGCCATAGAAATGGCAATCTTGGGGCAGTCATCTAGTCGCGTGCCAGGGGCGATGGAAGAGTCAATTGCAGATGAGAGCTCGAAAGTCAAACTACTGCCGAGTCGAGCAGGTCTTGGCAACCTGCGATCATCGCTGTCACATGCCAACGTCATCAGAACAATCCATATAAATCTACTCACAAGTGACATTTTTTACTTGAGTAACAAGTCCAGATTATGATTTCCATTATCTTATCTTCTACTCTCCATCTGATTTACAAATTCCAGCAAAGACTTTTTCTGGGTACCAGTTCCCCAGCAAACACCACGCAATGCAAACATGTCCAATTCTTGAGAAAATGACAAACTTTTATGTGTAGAAATAGAAAAGCAACATGGGTATTTGGCGTGAATGCAAGAACACCGGAGAAGCGCTCCGAGAGCGCAACATCAAACATCATGTGAGGCGCTACTGACAGAACTTCGATTCGTCCCCTCGGTGATAAACGCCGTAGCGCTCATGCGTTGAAACGGCGATACTGCGCTCTGTTCCCGGGGTGGCGGACTCGATATTCCATGGTTTGATGCGGGGGACGATGGCGAGGAAGTTGGTTGAGAGTCGCTCCCACCGTATCGCTCACGAAGACGCTTGATCTCGCGGAGACGATTGCGCCACGAGGAGATGGACTCGCCTCCCTCACGGATGTACCAAACATTGGAAAAGACACATGAGTTGATGGCGATTAGGCGACAGTAAGCGGCGAGATGTTTGCCGCAGAGGATTTTGGGCTCGGCGGCAGGAGATATGTTGGGGAAGTCTGATCTGGAGATGACCTGGACTTTGTAGTATCGGTTTTTACCGTCGGGATCTTCGTCCAGTCGACGATCGACAAAGCTCGCCTTCGACTCTGGCGAAATGACAATGTGCACGTAGTTGAAGGCGGAAGGGAAGGTTTCAAAGTTGTAGGGTAGGCCTGAGTCGTTGAAGATGATGTTGACAAGATCGTTGCCAATGTGCCGCTTCTTGTTCGGATACGTCATCTCGTCGTTGCGGTCCGTTGGCATCATTGTCGTGATGTGGAAGACCATCTCCATGCAGCGGTCGCGCCAACAGTATGTGAATTCACCGTCCATATTTGCACGTGTGTCGAGACCGCCAGTGTTGAACTTTGCGTCTTTCAGGCGCCGAAGTGTGCCTAGGTCGCTGATGAAGGAAGTGTAAGCTGGCGATCCGATGTCGTTCATAAATATTTCCCTTTCGTCCGTCTGGCCTTCACCGATGTATATGACGCCTACTTTGTAGCTATCAATCGTAGCTATCCGGTCGAACGAAGCCATGGCACGTCGCGTCATATCATCATCTGGCAAGGGTATGGGAGGATTCGTCAAATCTAGAGGCGCATAAAAGGTTTGGAAGATATCATCGGGCAGGATGCCAACATATGATGACGAGTAGAAAGCTTCAGATGCAAGCCCGACGGTGAGCGGTACTTGGTGACGTGGAGGTGGTGCGAGTAGAGGCTGGATCGTAAGGTATCGGGTGCTACACTAATAGAAGTCAGTATTAGGTCAGCACGCGAGGCCTTCAACACTCACGGGTCGACGTGTTGTGACAAGAGACACGCCCGTCCGTGCTGCTGTCTCTATTGTCATCAAGCCATGTGGTAGGATCCACGTCTTTTTCCAAATCTCGCCGTCACCAGGCTTAGCAAAGTTTTCATCGCGCACAGTCTGGTCGCGATCTGTATACGCAACCAAAGCCATAATGTCCACAATGACCTGACCCTGTTCCTCCATGAACTGTCTTCCGGAGCTATCTGTACAAAGAAGGTTCTTCGTGATCCATTGGATCTGTTTTGGACGGTCCTCCATTTTCAGAGCCATAAACCAGAAGGTTATAACGTGAAAAGCGAGTGAGTACAGGTAGTGAGGCAAATCATCCTCAATGACTCTCGCCTTCTTCGAGTTCGAATCGGAAGATGCTGAGAAGTCTCTAGAAGGTCCGCTAGGCCTCAAAGTCCGATGGCCGTTTTGTAGCAAATGAGGATTTGAGGCTCGCTCTCGTTGGTCGCGTATGTGTTGCATGTAACGGAAACACACCCCGAAGACTAGCTTGAACTCTTCTTCACGGAAGTTTTTGAACAGCTCGGGCAGGCGTGCCAGGGATGTGAGGAACTCCAAAATATGGATTGCAGTGGCCGGCTTCGTAACAATCTGAGACATCTTCTGAACGATGCTATCAAGCGACTTGCTAACGGAAAGGGGGATCTCAAAGCAACAAACCGATAACGCGTGAATGCACCATTTGGATGTTCTGTCCCATTGCACGATTCCCTGGAGAAAAGCTTTGACCAGATCGTCCTCCTCGCTCTTTGTGAAATGATCGTGATAACTGATAATGACGGTGAGGATGTGGAACAAACAAACCGCAACGTCTGCTTTTTTGAGAAGTGTATGCGGTGGAGGCTCATGGAAGCTCGAGTTCCGGACTTGCTCGCAAAGAACGTTCCTCAACATCCTTAGCTGCACCACGCAACTGCGCACCAAAGCTTGATTCGACAACTGCGGTCCAAGATGAACAAGCACGTAGCTATAAATTTCCCAGTCGGTAGGCCTTTGGAGCAAGGATATGATGAGCTCTAGCCATAGAGTCAACTCCATATCTAAGATACTGTCGCTAAGAGGGTACTCTCCCTCGTCGATGTGGGCAAAGACGACATGGCTGGACTCAGGTGAAGGCTCCTCTGGCAGACCCTTGGGTCCAGGATACATCCAGAGCGGAGGTACTGGCTTATGCACACGGCTAGCTGTAGCAGTAATACGGCCTGTATGTCGATTCAAAGACGCGTGAGGACTAGAACCGGACACCTTCCGCTGTTCACGCCAGGATGATGCGTCTTCAGGCTTGCCTCGATCGCCTGATGTGCTTTCATCTGTCTTCTCTGTTGCAACGGCGGTCTCTTTCGTGCGACATAGCTCTGCAGCTATTCTCTCACCTTCTGAAGAAGCACTCACAGTGAGCGCAAAACGGGAGTCAGCGCGTAGACGAAACAACAACTTCATAGATGCTAGGCGGGCATCGTTTTCGTATTTGTCGCTTCCGGCAATGCCACGTAGGGTTTCGTATAAAACCCGTGTTTTTTGCGCAGAGTTTGTCACACTCCGTGTGAAAAGTCGTACGTAAGCAGTGGCAATAACATTGCTGGGCGATCCAAAACGCATGTCTGATCTGCCAGGTAAGGAATGAGACAACCAAGGAGGAGAAGAGGTCGTGGAAGAAGTCCGTGGATGATCTAATCGTTTTTGCAAAAGCTGTATGATATCGAAAAAGCTGTCAAACGACGCTTGATCAGCGACTTTCACTGCAAAATCAACAAGTTCACTGAGAACCTCGACATCCTCTTCACCCTCTATGCTATTCAGCAGAAGCGCCCCACACTGAAGGACTGTGTCGCTGGCACATAGCTTTTCCACTGTCTCGTAAGTTTCCCGCATAGACTGAATTGCCAAAATCCGCAGGAAGCGTGGTCTTGTTACGTCTTTGAGAATACGAGCGACTAGATTTCGGCAGGACTCCATCCAATCGCCGTTTGAAGGACTCAGATAACGTTCTTCTGCAAAGTAGTGGATCATTTTTTCTGCAGCCACATCGCTGAGACGGTGAGCAAGACGCAGGAAGAGCTTCATAACAGCTTCTCTGTGAACAAAGTCCATAATGTCGCTTGTACGGTCCAACTTTAACAAGACTTGAGATGTGCGATCCTCCGAGTTGCGGTGAATGAGTTCAGGGCTAATCGGTCGGTCTGCATCTGGTTTGCTATCGCCATCAGTGTCTCCAGTTGTCAAGGGTGCTGAAGCTGGCAATCCCATTGCACCTGGAGATGTAAGCCCGAAAACATCAGAGGCTCGAGTAAAGCGCCCATCCATGTTCAATGACCCAGTTTCATGAATTGCAAGCGACTTCTCCGAAGATACATCCTTCTTCGCAGCATTTGAACTTTCGTTTGTGCCTGCGGCTTTGGCCCGAGACCGGTCATCGTCACGCTCAGCACAGATGTGTATAATCTCTAGCAAATCACTCAAATCAGTCTCGCGAAGCAGGAGCTTCCTTGTGCTTTCGTCTGCGAGGACCGCATTTATCAGATCGAGGACGAACTCTTCCTGTGTATGATGAGGCTCTTTGATGGACGCCTTGAGAGCCTGGAAGAGCAGGGACATGGGAACTCTAGGCAATCCATTGCGTCCATCTTCGAGTAGAAGCAGCTGTAGGATCAGTATAGTACCCTTGTACACATTAAACTGTCGATTGTCCCATGTGGGGCCGTCTAGAAGAGTATGCAAGAGCGAGGAAACGGCGGCCCTCCCAACATGGGACCTGAAAAGGTTGTTCAGTGTATTCCACGTCTGTTCCTTGAGGTGAGCAATCTGTCTGTGAATCGCGCACAGGACTCCGAGACAGGGCCCGAGTGCCTTGGTAGGGACGTGAACATAGGTGATGATGGTATCAAACAGCCTGATGCACATTTCCATATCATTTTCTTTGCTTGTTGCGTGACAGATGTTCGTCGTCTTTGTGAGGAGAAGCTCTAAATCGTCGTCGGTGAAGACCTTGGCGTTGAACTTGCAGAGGTCGATAGCGTACTGGAACACGCGACTCAGGTTCAGGATATCCTGAGAGGGGTCATCAATGCTGCGCTTGCCATTGGCCTTGCGAGTGACGGCAGAGGCTTTGAAACAAGTGTCCAAAGAGTTCAACAGGAACGGAACAATGGAAGACTCGCAGGCCTCGATGTCCCGTCCATGTTTGGTGAGAGTGGCGACGATGTCGAGTCGTTTATCGAAGCAGCTGTCGGTCTTGCGCAGAGAGGCGGCGTCGAAGAAGACGGTACGCTCAACTGTGGTGAGCTTGGGCAGAGCTACGCAGCTCTTGAGGAACCTGTACCCTGTCTCTGCAACCTCGTCTGTCTGTTCCGGAAGGAGCAGGTCGCTTGCGATAGACCACAGACTCAAGATGTTCTGCACAGGATAAAGCTCGACGATTTTGCCAATCTGCTCCGCCGCCGATGCCCTCTCCGCGAACGGACGACTGCTGTCCAGCTGTAGGCACAACTCCTCCAGTTCCGGGGGCCCGCCGACTATGGGTTGCCCGCTCCTGAGCCCTGAGACGTAACTTGTGCGCTGGCGGGTAGCGTCGGTTGAGTGAGGACTTGCGATGGAGCCTGTGCGGGTGGAGGTGATGGACGAATTGCGCGCAGAGGTGCCTGTCACAGACGACGTGGACGGAGGCGGGGTTGTGCTCTTCACGCGGCCGCCCGTGAGCGAGCGGAAGGCATTGAAGAGAGCCTGGGTGGAGGCGCGGCGGTCGGGCGTGCGTGGGACATCTCCGGACGGCGGAGACATGCGTCTCGGTGTCGCAAAGCGCGTGCTTGGGTACGGCAGTGGTGGGTGTCGCCCGGGCTACGGTGTGCGAGGCAGGGCAGGGGCAGAATCTTCTAAGGGTGGCGTAGGCGCATAGGTTCGGTCATGGATGCTCGGGAGTGGGAGGCAAACGGCGGGGCGGCGCGGGCTCATTTGGCGTGCAGCGAGGGTCAGGCGGACGCGAGAAGGCTGGTGCGCGCAGAGCAGCGAGGCTCAGGTGCAGGGAAAAGGCATTATGGTCGCGCGTATTTCTGGTGTGGGTGAAGGCTAAGTTCTGTCTCGGTCATCTGATAGCGGTTCTCTGCGCGTCGGGATGGATTCTAGTGCCATCCTTAGCTCGGCCCTAACCCTGCACCGCTGCTGTGGGGACCTTTTTGTGTCCAAACAGCGGCCAAATACTTCACTCGCCCCCAAACCCACCCTTCTCTTGCTCTCACTGATCAGGTGTGCTGTCGTCACCATGGCCGCCGATATTCCCACCCTTTCGAAGCTGCTCGAGGCTAGTCTGGATCCGCGTCAGAACAAGCAAGGTATGTAGCTTTCCTATTCACCGGTGACAGTGCTAGCTGAGATGCTGTCCCTGCTGTCTCTGTTGTCTCACCCAGACTTCCTTCTCCTCCACAATAGGTGGGAGTCTGTTACGTGTGCCCAGACAATCCTTGAAACAACGCGTTTCTGGAGCTACTGAGGGGTCGCGCATCTTCAAACATGTCCATTGCCCCTCTGACCACACTGCACGCCATCTCATGTCGACTCAGATACTGACTCTTCCCAGCCGAGAAAGCAATCACCGAAGAGCAGACCAAGCCCAACTTTTCCCTCTCCCTCCTCCACATCGTCGCCAGCGACTCCTTCCCCGCCACGATTCGCCTGTCGAGCGCCCTGTACTTCAAGAACTTTGTGAAACGCAACTGGGTCGACGAGGATGGCAACTACAAGCTGCCCCAAGACGAGGTCGTCGCCATCAAGCGCGAGCTGATCGGCTTGATGGTCTCTGTCCCTGCGAATCTTCAGGCACAACTCGGCGAAGCAATCAGCGCCATCGCCGACAGCGACTTCTGGGAACGCTGGGACACGCTGGTCGACGATTTGATCTCCCGTCTGACTCCTGATAATTCCACAGTGAACAACGGTGTCCTGCGGGTAGCACATTCCATCTTCAAAAGATGGCGGCCGCTGTTCCGATCCGACGAGCTCTTCACTGAGATCAATCACGTCTTGACCAAGTTCAGCGCGCCGTTCCTGACACTACTCCAGAACACGGATGCTCTCATCACCAGTTCTCAAGGCAATCCTCAGGTGCTGAAAGAGGCCTTCACCACGCTCGATCTGCTGATAAAGCTCTTCTACGATTTGTCATGTCAAGATCTGCCTCCCGACTTCGAGGATCACATTGGCGCCATCTCAGGCCTGCTCCACAAATACCTTGTCTACGACAATCCCTCGCTACACACCGACGACGAAACCGAGTCAGGGCCCCTAGAGTACGTCAGGGCTGGCATCTTCGAAGGGCTGATGCTGTATATTCAAAAGTATGAGGACGTCTTTGGGGCACAACTTCCACAGTTCATCGAGAGCACCTGGGGTTTCCTCATGTCAGTTGGCCTGGAGACAAAGTATGACATTTTGGTCAGCAAAGCGCTCCAGTTCCTCACCGCTGTCGCGTCCACATCGCATGCCGAGTCCTTCAACAATCAAGACGTACTGGTTCAGATCATCGAGAAGGTCATTCTGCCGAACCTGACATTGCGCGAGTCTGATGTGGAGTTGTTCGAGGACGAGCCGATCGAATTCATCCGGAGAGATTTGGAGGGATCTGACAACGATACACGCCGACGAGCCGCCACCAACTTCCTCCGCCAGCTGATGTCTCGCTTCGAATCGTTAGTGACACGTACTTCGCAGAACTACATTGAAATCTACCTTCAAGACTATGCCAAGGACACCAAGAAGAACTGGAAATCAAAAGACACCGCTGTATACCTCTTCACTGCGATTGCTGCAAAAGGAACCGCGACTGCTGCGCAGGGTGTTTTGAGTGTAAACGAGAACGTCGATATTCTGGACTTCTTTCAAAAGCACATCGCTGCCGATCTCCAGGCGCATGATGCGGAATTGATCTTGAAGGTTGACGCCATCAAGTATCTCTACGTTTTCCGCAGCCAACTATCGCCCGATCTCTGGCGGGCCGCGTTCCCACTCCTCGTGAACCACCTGGGCAACGATAACTATGTCATTCACACCTACGCTGCGATTGCCGTTGAGCGTGTCTTGTTCATGACAGACAGCAACCGCCAACCCATCATTCCCAAATCGGATGTTGTAGGCGCGTCGAGAGATCTTCTGACGCATCTGTTCAAACTCATCACCAAGGACTCTGCCCCTGAGAAGATCCAAGAGAACGAATTTTTGATGAAATGCATCATGCGTGTGCTTATCTTCATTCGAGATGGTTCTCTCCCCATCGCCGAGACCGTGCTGAACAACTTCGTCGCGATTATCAAAGTCATTAGGCACAATCCCAGCAACCCTCGGTTCCAGTACTATCTCTTCGAGGGACTAGGAGCGCTCATCCGCTTCGGTGCTCCAAACTACCCCCAAGTCTTCGAGACGAAGCTCTATGAACCCTTCGCGACATGTTTGTCAGAAGGAATAGATGAATTTTCTCCATACATCTTCCAGCTCTTCTCAGCGCTCTTGGAGGCCAACCCGTCTGGTGACTTGACGCAATACAGGGATCTGTTGGGAGTCATTATTCAAGGCTCAGTGTGGGAGCAGCGAGGCAACGTACCAGCATTGTCTCGTCTGCTCAGCGCGATGATTGCTCGCGACGCTTCGCACATCGTTGCTAGTAAACAACTCGAGCCTGTCCTGGGTATTTTCCAGAAGCTGGTTGCGACTAAGGCGCATGAAGGATACGCATTTGAGCTCATCGAAGCGGTCGTTACCTACACTCCGATCGAAGCGTTGCAACCATACTTTGTCACAATCCTTCAATTGATGCTGCAAAGGCTGTCAAGCATGAAGACTGAAAACTTCCAGCAGCGTTTTATCGCATTCTACCACTTCGTATCTGCGCGACAAGACAAGGGGCTAGGTGCAGATTTCTTCATCAACGTTACTGACCAGATCCAGCGCGAGTGAGTATATTTCTCCAACGCAATTCGAACCACGTGCTAACGTCTAACTAGCGTCTTCAAGCCCATCTACCTCACAGTCATTCTCCCCGAAACCCAGAAACTCGCGCGACCCACCGATCGCAAGACTGCCGTCGTTTCGTTCACAAAGACGCTCGCTGATTCACAAGCCTTTGTTGATCGATATCCTAAGGGTTGGGCACTCACTGCGCAGCGTCTACTTGAGCTCATGATCAACCCACCTGTGCCTGCCGCCGCCGACGACATCATTCCGGATGCCGACGTCGACGAGCTTGGCTTTGGTGTTGGATTCACCCAGCTCAACACATGCAAGAAGGCACCTCGTGATCCGTTCCCTGAGATCACGGACGTGAAGGAATGGATCAAGCACTACCTGCGAGACGCAAACAGCCGTCACAACGGAAGAATTGTGCAAATCGTGCAACAGAGGCTGGATCAGCAACTGCAGCACGCATTGGCCGAGTATCTATGAGGTGGGGGTAGATGGACGTTGGCAACGAGTTCAGGATGAAACTTTGGGTTCCTAGATGGATATGATACCACGGCGGGCAGCGGTGGAGTTCTTGTAAAACGGCAGGTTTATCTCCTAAGGGGAAAATTACTTTGGAACGAGCGCGTATGGTCATGACAGCACATTTGAGCAAGCATAGTCTGATTCCTCACATCTGGTTGAACTTTTTCGAAAACGTACTGAGAGTATGATGCGCCTTCCTAATCCGGTAAGGCGTCCTTCCGGAGGGCGCGTTCCTGCATCATGTCAAGTTTACAAGAATGTCTCGAATCTTCCAAACAAGCCCTTTTTCTAACTCAACCACGGCGCCCCTCTACATAACCTCGCAGCTTGACGTCCTTGCATGCAATATTCTCTATCAGCCCAGCTGTCTCTCCAAACGCTCCGCGGCACTAAATCCAGGACTACTTCATTCCCGAAATATTATACTACCTTACGTTCTCAACCACATAGACTCAACAACACCATGGCGACCAATCCCACCACCAAAACAGAAGCCCTCTACCAGAAAAACGCACAATTACACACCCACACCAGCCCAATCTCCTCTCTCGACACACTCGACTCCCTCCCTGCGGAAACTCAAAGCCTATTCAAAGCCCCAGAAGGCGCACCCTTCATCCTCACCACGCCCTCGACAATCTTCCACGCCCAAGGCGGCGGCCAGCCATCCGACACCGGAACCATAAAATCCAGCTCATCCAACACAACCTTCCGAGTGCACCAGGTGCGAAAAGTCGACCCCGCGATCCTGCATATGGGCGTCTTCGAACCCGTAGACGCACGCTTCGCCATCGGCACCCCCGCAGAGCAAAACATCGACGTAGCAAGCCGGCTGCTGAACTCGCGCCTCCACACCGCCGGCCACGTGATCGGCCTCGCAGCCAGCCAGCTCGTCACGGAAGGCAAACTGCCCGCCGACCTCGTGGACGGCAAGGCAAGTCACTACCCCGGCGCGGCGTTTGTCGAGTTCCATGGCCTGATTGCGGGGGATAAGAAGGCGGAGATTCAGGACAAGGTTGATGAGCTCGTGGCGCGGGATTTGGGCGTCGCGATACATTTTTGGAGCGAGGAGAGGGCGAGGGAGGAGTGTTTGGGTGCTATGGAGAGCTTTAAGGGGGGGGAGGAGGGTGTGAGGGTTGTGAGTATTGGGGAGGGGGGGCAGTGTAGTTATCCTTGTGGGGGTACACATGTGCAGTCTTTGAGGGAGTGTGGGAGGGTTGTGCTGAGGAATGTTAAGAGGCAGAAGGGCGTTAGTAAGGTTTCTTATGAGGTTAGGGATGCTTAGGTGGATTGTGGGAGGGGGGGTCGGTTGTGAGATCTCGCGGGGTTGGGAAGATGGATGGAATGATGAAGGCGCAGTTGTGATTGCTTGGAAATGAGTAGCATCAGGATTGACTCTGTATACACAATGTCAGCCCAGGCTTCAGATACACGACGCAACGGGTACGACAATCATAATGTCTTCTTGACAAGTCAAACTGAGGAGTCCTTGTGACTTGCTCCCCACTTCGGCTACATGACCTCAAAAACGGCATAAATATCCTCATCACATCTCCTCCTCCGGCAAACACCCTCGTCGTCAACTCTTATCCAACAGTACACTCCCCTGCACATTTCGCCGTCCTCCTCAAACCCACACTCCCATATCAACGCAACTCAGCGCCTTGCACGACCCAATCTCTTCTCACGAGCGCGGACTACGATTGCCTGGCTATCCTGCGCATGCAGCACTTTGACCTCATATCCCTGCGCAGAAGAGAGAGGGTCGTTCTGGAGCGGTATCGGGGACACCATCTGTTAGCGTTTGAAGTGTCGCGTTCGCTGTTCTTCGTGGGTTTCTCCGGTCCTGCTTTTGGTGCGTATGTTGGCGTATACTCCCTCTAGGAGGACGTATGGGTGCTTATATCGGGGAATGTTGGCGTGGGTCTGGGCGCCATTTTCAACGGCCGGTCGATTCGGGGTAGGTATTGAACTCCACGGGTTGGTGGAAGAGGGTGTGGTTCGTTGTGGCATGACAGGAGAAGTAGGGCCAGCGGTGGCTTGGAAAGGGGGAACGGATATGGCGAGTAGGACTGCTTGACTTGGATTAGATCGGGATGACTGGTGGTCGCTTGTGTATTCCGTGCCGTATCGTTTGCTTGGATAGACGTAGGGCGTGGTTAGGCGTTGTCGAGTGGAACTCATCTATGCGTCTGGATGAGCCGTAGACGAGGACCCTAGTCATAGCGGTCGGCGAATGGGAAGAGACGTTTTTCTCTATTCCAGGTTTCAGGAGCCCATAATCATGGTGATGTGTGGACCATCCGCAGGAGGGTGGTCTGGATCCGTGACCCTCGAGAAGCATTTAGCACAGCAACCTCAACTGCCCACGAACATCGTGCTCAAGTGAGTGTAATGAGCGACCATATAACATCCGCCTACCCCACAAGTACCGTGCTTCAAGCTATCGACTGCCGAACCGTAACAATCTTCATGATCCCCTGTTCCGCGCGCAACGAGGGATCATGTTGAGAGTGAGACGACTCATCATCATCATAACGTGTCAGTTCCACCTCGTCGGTTTCTTGGTTCGGCTTGTAGCCCATGCCGCCGTATTTCGCGCCGAAGCTCATACGCTTCGACCCCGTGAGCCCCGATCCGGATGCAGTGTAATCAATGGTGGATTTATCGCGGGGGTAGAAATGGAACCATATGGGCCGTAGTGTTGGTAGGCAAGCGCACACTATGGCTAGGGAGAGCTCGATGTTTGTCCAGAAGAAGACGGGCGCGGTGTAGTATATCACGTCGTTGGGGTATTTGACGTATTCCTGGGCGATGGCGTAGGTGGCTATCACGCGGGTGATGCTGACGGCACATACGCTGGTTTGTTAGTAAAGGTATATGTTGTGAGAGTTGGGTTTGAACTTACGCAGCACCTAGTGTGAATATACCTATTACAGCCAGCTTCTTCTCTGTCCTGAGCTGCAAGTTCATGATGATGGGTATGGGGAGAATGAGAATGACGAGATCTACTAGAGCATCGGTACACTTGCGAGGGTCAGCATGGTATGGGAGATATCGAGGACTTCAAGATTGAACTTACCAGTAATGCTATGAACATGGGTATGGTGTCAACACACTCGTTGCCAAACCACGGCTCGATGAATACTGTGATTGGATAACATGTGAAGAGATGGCTCACAGTGAAGCTGATCGTCCAGCCCACTACGAATGCGAGTACGCCATAGATAATTAGGCGATACTTTCCGACACTGAAGATGTTCTTGTACATGACCAGGATGGAGGACTTGATGAGCCCAAGTCCTACTATGGAGATCATGTTGAGGGCAAACTTTGTCTGAGCATTGACCGTCAGTTCGATCATCACTGTTCAAGACCACTCCACTTACCTGCTCGAAGAATATGAGCCCTGGATCATCCAGGATTGGATGACCATCTGCATCGAGAGGCTGATGCGCTCCTAGGTGGCCATGTATCGCTGCTGTACAATGTCAATGTCTAGGTTTGACAAGCAGTCAAAGAAACTCACCAGCTAGCTGCAGTGAACAACATGTTACAGAGACTGCCTGTTGAGTGTTGGTTTGAGTAGCTACACGGCCGCAGGATCGAGTGCTAGTTCACTTACAAGCGCAGCAATTGCCAAGTAGTCATCCAAAGCAATTCGTTTAGCCAATATCTTCGCCCACAAACGTAAGCAAATGAAGACGACCGAAATGAGTAGAAAATTCAGAGCGATGGCTATCATCGCGCCTTTTGAGTAAGAATGTCCCATTATGACTGTTATGGCCGTAGCTCCGGTGACACGATGAAGAAGAGGGAGGGGCAAACAAAGATACCTGGTGGTTTGCCTGTATTATGTTACCCTCGATTGTGTGCGGATCGCAAGAGATCAATATATAACGAGAACGGCCAGCCCTGCATATCTGGGCGACAAGCTCATCAGGATTCATGTCAATCGTACAACATGGGTATCCCCAGGATACGTAAGACATGTTCGACGTGTATCGGCCTCGAAAAGGGGAGCATATCTGTGACGGAAATCATAGCAAACAACACCACTCTTCATCCCTGTTATCCGCAGCATGTAAACCACATTCAGTGGATAACTGGCCATAATTCATTTAATCTGTCGTAGTCGACGGAGATGATTACTGTGAAATAGAAAAAGTCCAGACCAGTTGAACACTGAAAATCTCCCACAATCTCACTCGGTCAGTCGTCGGGGAGATCAACGGAAAAGTCCGAAAAGGTAGTCGTAATCATGGTCATTTGTGGGTGGTGTGGCATCTTGCATAAGAGGAAACTGAATGTAGAAGGTTTCCTGCGAGGGTATGAGGGGTCCCCTGCATGTCAATATCGACTTCCAATCGACTTACACGTCCAATGAAGACACGCCGCAGTTTCCAAGACATAAACTGCGGCAACTCTCTATGACCTCGCCTGCGCTTTGCATGGCAGAAAAAATCGCTTCATTGTTAGATCCCTACACCGAGTCCCAAAAACATGTGTTTGGTAATTTCCTTTCCACAACGGTAGGCTGCTATAGGTGTCATATCCGGGGACCATAGTAAAGTCACCCCGAAGGAACGCCGTTTCACATTTCCCCATCTTTCTTCATGACTCGTACACCGATCATCCTACGGATAACTGCCGCTTTCAGATTGCGGCAATTGCGAGAACCATAAGTCTGCTGTGAGGGAACGCGTCTTAAACCAAGCATCGCCCGAAGAAGTGCAATATACTTCCATTCACTGCACGTCATGCGTATCCTATTATCCGTGCAGTTATTGATCGCCGCGATCTCTGCCATTGCCTTAAAGGCACCCGTGGTTGCAGAGGATTTGAAAGCGCTGGTATCGACGTCGACGTCGGTCTCGGTCGAACTACGAGCAAGATGGAGTGACTACGAGGCACCCGAGCTAGGAGTTGTCGTAAACGTGACGACAGAGAGAGATGTCGCCACTGTGGTGTGTTTGCATAATATTGAAGAATCAACAGAGACATCCATTGATCATACAATATAGGTCAAATACTGCAAAAAGCTTGGCCTTCCGTTCTTCGCACAGAACGGCGGTATTGCATGGAAAACTTTCAACCCAAGCAAAGACGGCGTCCTGATTAATCTGGCTGGTCTCAATCGAGTCACTTTCAGCAAAGATAGGAAACAAGCAACTATCGGTGGTGGAGCGCTCGTTAGCGACACTATCAAAGCGGCGAATGCGGCAGGTGCACTGGTTTTAACTGGCAACTGTGATTGCGTTGGTGCTCTTGGAGCTATGTTGGGTGGTGGGTACGGTACGTCGTATATCGGTGTTTGAGATTGAGCACACAACTTATGTCGAAGCAGGAAACCTCATAGGCGAAGTTGGATTCGGAGTCGACAACATCATTTCCATGCGTGTGGTAATTGCTTCTGGAGAGGTGATAACAGTGTCAAAAGAGTCCCACCCCGATCTTTTCTGGGCACTTCGTGGCGCTGGACCTAATTTTGGCATTGTGATTTCCGCGACAGTCCACGCCTTACCCGCCTCCCCTTCGGATCGTACCGCCTGGATCAATAACTTGTTCTTCTCACCGGACAAGCTGCCTCAGGTTGCGCAAGCAATCCAGGATCTCCCACTGACGCCCGAACAGAGGGTTTACTTGGTCTTGACTAGTTCTGGAGCACCAGCAAACACGCCTTCCGTTCTTGTCACAGGTTTGCTGCGCAAGGGAACCGAAGAGACCGGTCGCGCTGCTTTTGCTTCTCTATATGCACTTGGTCCTGAGTCAAATACAAGTAGCGTGGACAGTTATGAGACATGGAACGCGGCCAATACTGGCTTTTGTGTCCGCGGAGACCGCAAGCCAGCCTACAGTACGACTATCAATCATATGCAACCCGACACATGGCCTGAGATCTGGAAGTTGTATACCGAGTTTCAGAGCAAAGGGCCGAACTCCGCCGTACTGATTGAACGCTACAACTTGACGAAAGCAGCATCGGTACCATCGGGATCGGCGGCTTTCAATCAGGCTCTACGTCATGAAGCCTTTGCACAGGCCATTGTGATACCTTGGTACACGGACGCGGCGTTGGATAGTGAAGCTTTAGCTTTTGGCCAGAAGGTTAGGGATATTTGGAGCTTTTCCGAGACTGCGAAGATGAACCCCACGTAAGTTTCTCCACCCTTGGTCCTGCTCTTATTAAGCGGCTAATTTGTATCCTTGCAAGATATGCCAACTTTGCCCACGGCGATGAATCCCTGGAGGCTATATATGGATCGAGTCTTGCGCGATTGAGAACGCTTAAGAAGAAGTGGGATCCTTCTGGAGCGTTCAACCAATGGTTTGAGATCAAACCCTGAAAATATAGCACGTTAGTGTCATGAGGCTCCTGGGTATTGAGGTACCGAAAACAATCTTAGACATAACTTCTATCCCTCCGTCTCCCGGTCGACCCCCGTTCTTCTAAGGTGCATGTTCAGTCCGACATTTGTTCAAGTATGTTCACTAACGCTGGGGTTCGTTGCTACACTGAAAGATGTATGACACAGTGATGTCTCCTCAGTAGTCCATGCTGATTATATAGGTCAATGATGTCGTGACACAGGAATATGTACACTTACTGCATGTGGATCGGGCTTGGAGCAGACGGTTTGTTTTTGTCATGTTCCTCGCCGTCGTCCCCAGCATCGTCGAACACATCCAATCATTGCATCGCGGCCGTGGCACGTGTACCCTGATAGGGGTTTGGTGCTGCTTACCTGCCAGAAAATCACATTGACTGTCAACTGTAGGCTTCGATGGCCAAGTCTGGGGCAACGTAGATGGTGCTGCGCATGTCTGGCTAACGATGAGGGTACACAAGACATGCGATAACTGGCTTGCACTGCTGTTTGTATGCTCGGTCTGTTGGCGTCCCTCATTTCGCAGTCATGAGCATGCGGTGTGGAAAGTTTGTCAGTCCTGAGTGTTGCTGCACCAGAATGCAGCACATGGGAGAGGAATACTGCACAATACCTGGTATTTTTCTGGTAGTACCGGATCTTGTGAGTCAAATGTGTCAGTTGGACTGGAGCGTACGAAGCATGATGATGATTCGGAGGTGGTGGCTTAGAAGAGGAAGGTGTGACGTTCAGTGTATTCTGCAATTGGAAGTCACGTCGAGCGATCAACAAACGCGATTGGAACAACTCTACTGCTAGTACGAGCCACCTAGATGACCAAGGGTGGTTGTAGCAACACACTTATCTTTTCAGTCGCGCTGTTTCCCCGTCTCTTTGTCAGGAGAGTTCTCTATGCGTCATTGTTCTCCTTGGCGAGATTGTGCAGTCGAGAAGATGCCAACACTCAAGAGATGCATAACTCATATAAAGTCTGGTAATTTCATAAGACTCCTTATACAAGAGCGTCTGAAGTCTTTGTCCAAGAGGATTGGAATGAGTGACTTGGGGAGGCACAGTTGATCCCAGTTCTCACTCGCGACGAACACAGCCAGCGGACCAATTAACGAGATCCCCTGCAGCTTTTCGAAAATCTAACCGTCTCAATATGAGAGACATAGTTGATAGAAGCAGACATTGATTATATGCGGCATCGCTGTGTAGAGGGGTTTAGAGGGTTGGAGATTAGAAGCTCAGAACATCAGACCGCGGCTTTACCCGAGCTGCTGGGAAGTCGCGTCTCTCAAGCATCCCAACTTTTGCGCCTACGCAACTCGGAAGCCAGGCAGGCCATTTCAGTTATTGACTGAGGGAAACGCATCAACTATACCGCCCTCTGGTTCACCCTGACCCTGCTAGGGACGCCCCCCCAGAACTTCTGCCTTCGCCGATCCCCTCGCATCGCGTTCCCACTGTCTTGATGTCCCACGACAACCTATTCGACCAACGACCATAAGCGCTACCTTGCCGGCTGTATGGCCATCCTGCGCAATTGCATGCAATCTCAACGTGCATAGCAAACCCCTCCGCCAAGCGTCGAACGCGTGTTGCGAAGAAGAGCGAAGATTTGCCCCAAGACATCGCCGACGGTCACGCGCATACCGCAACCGTCGTTCCTTCACTGCGAAACGAAGCAGACTGGTGGGAGTGTGCTAGGGACTATGAGGTGAACTGGGTCAACACGCGTTAATGTGCAGTTGAAAGAAAAACGCTTGGCGTCATTTGCTCTCGTTGCTCTCGCAGGAATATCACTTTCCCACGTCCACCGCCATCCCCGCCACAACTACCACACTTCCTCACGCACACGGCAGCCCTTCATCATGTCCGACAGCGAATCGGAAACAAAGGCGGCTCAACTCGAGCCGGAGCTGCGCGACATGAAGCTCGAGGCAGGTGCGGCCCCTGGGCAACCAGGCGAGGGCGGCAACCCAGTACAAGTAAAGGCGGAAGACCTAGACAACCATGACCTCGACCGCGCCTCTACACCCTCAGTATTACACCAGCTCAAGGCTCGCTCAAAGTCGCAATCACCCTTCGTAAAGGGACAAAAGTCGGAGGCTGCGTCGCCAGCCAGCGCTGAAGAGGAGGTTGTTGGAGGAGAAGTCGTACTCAAAATGTCGCCTGGAGGCAAGGCGGCCAAGCTCTCGCGAATCGCGTCTCATACCCTAGTAAAACGCTCGACGCCACTCTTCCTCGATTATCCAGATGCCATCGAATCGGCAAAAGAGACATTTGAGATTCTCCCGGAATGTACATACTCTAGCAAGAATATCGGGTCCACCGACCCTGCTCTAGAGTGTGATTGTTCTGAGGAATGGGGTAGGTTACAACATGCGCGCCAGCTACAACGGACATCACAGTCGCTAACCGCAACTCACAGATCCCTCTACCAAGACCAACGCTGCTTGCGGTGAAGATTCCGACTGCATCAACAGACATACAAAGATGGAATGCATCAACAACTGCAGTTGCGGCAGGAAGTGCCAGAACCAACGCTTCCAGCGCAAACAGTATGCCGACGTTACCGTCATCAAGACCGAGAAGAAAGGATTTGGTCTCCGTGCTAATAGGAATATGATGCCTGGGGAGTTCATTTTCGAGTACATTGGAGAAGTTATCAATGAATCGCAATTTAGAAAACGAATGCTGGCTTACGACAAGGTATGTCACCGCCATACTACTACGAGAATAGTTTTCCAGAATTCTGCTTTTCAGCTTCAGCTTTGATCTGAGTGTCGATAGACTTGTGTCTTGGCACTACATCACCGTCTCAATTCGAACGAGTTCTGACTTTGATCTTAGGAAGGCATCAAGCATTTCTATTTTATGTCGCTCAGTAAGGTAAGAGACATTTGCAACCACGTCCTCTCAGCAGCATTGTTCTAATATCGGCTAGGGAGAGTTTGTAGATGCCACCAAAAGAGGTAACCTTGGAAGATTCTGCAATCACTCTTGCAATCCAAATTGTTTTGTAGACAAATGGGTTATTGGAGACAAGCTTCGAATGGGAATATTTGCAGAGCAGCAGATCAAAGCGGGTGAAGAGCTCGTTTTCAACTACAACGTCGATCGGTATGGGGCAGACCCCCAACCCTGCTACTGTGGAGAGCCAAATTGCTCTGGGTTTATCGGCGGAAAGACGCAGTCTGACAACGCCACAAATCTTTCACATGCCACAATCGAGGCGCTCGGCATTGACGATGGCGACGGCTGGGATACAACTGTGGCGAAGAAGCCTCGCAAGAAGAAAGCGAGTGAGGACGACGAAGAATACGTCAGCAACTTGCAACCCCGCTCGCTCGAGGATGACGGAGTACCGAAGGTCATGGCAGCTCTACGGCAGTGTACGGAGAAATGGATTGCAGTGAAGCTACTTGGGCGTATACAGCAGACTGAGAACGAGAAGGTCGGGCATCGTATGATCCGTATGCACGGTTACGAGACTTTCAAGAAAACCATAACAACCTGGATAGACGACTTCAATGTCGTTCTGCAGGTTCTCGACATTCTTCACAGGCTCCCGCGAATTACTCGGAACAAGATTCAGGACTCGAAGATCGAAGAAGCGGTAGAGAAACTCAAGAGTTGTGGAGATGAACGAGTAGAAGAGTCTGCTGCGAGTCTCCTGGGTGCTTGGAGTAAGCTCGAAGTTGCCTACAGGATACCTCGCATGAAACGAGACCCTAACGCCAGCACACCTCTCCGCACCGAGAACCATTTTGAACGGCGTGAGCGAGGTCGCGAGCGATCAAGATCTCGTTCGAAGTCGCCTTCGATTAGTGCGCCGAAAGGTCCGTCTGTATCGAACGTGCCATCAGGTCCTCGCGGTCTGAATGCACCCAGAGGACCAGGGGGCTTCTTCAACCCTCCACGTCCACCGCCCCGGCCTCGAACGTTTAATGCTCTTCCTCCTGGATGGTTTCAGGCCACTTCGGACAACGGTTCAACCTACTATTATAACGCGACAGGTACAACGCAATGGCAACGACCTAGTCAGGCTGCAAATCAACCGCCACCACCACCACCCAAGGCGAAAACAGATACTCAACTGCTCCAGGACATCATTTCCAGCATTACATCTAATGTGACGCCCACTGCACCCTCTGCATCTACCACTCCGCAACCTACTGCCGATGAAGAGAAAGGAAAGAAATCGAAGAGTGAAAAGTGGCGAAGTCTGCCCCAAGAGAAACAGGAGAAGCTTTATGAAGCTACTGTGAGTACATGCTACTACTGTGCCGGACATTTCTGACTGTAGCAGCTCTCCCCACACATCATGGCAGTGACGTCTCACTATCGCAAGAAGTTTGAAAAGGATGACCTCAAGAAACTGTCCAAAGAGGTATGTACACTTGTTTTGATATTCATACCATATCTGACAGCCTATCCAGGTAGCCAAAAAGCTCGTTCGCGGCGACTATAAATCCGGGCGCGTCAAGGACCCCACAGCCAAGCTCTCCTCTAAACACGAAAAAACCATCAAAGCCTTCGTCAAGGATTTCATGTCCAAAGCCGCCAAGAAGAAAGACGAACGCCAGGACCAAAAGGCCGCGCGCGCAGACGCACGCCTACTCGCAGCAGACGATCGAACAAAGTCACCTGACACACCACAACTCAACGCCTCGACTATTGAAGAAACAGACTGGGCCGATGCCGACGCTGACGACGACATGCTGGACGTCAAGCACGAGGTCGCGCTGTCGGCCTCCCCCGCAGACTCGACTGAACTCAAGCGCAAGCGAGAACACGACGACGTCCGCGACGAGCAGAAACGCACCCGCACAGACGAGATGCAGACTCCACCTGCACCGCCTCCTCCGCCGCCCCCACCGCCCCCGCCGGCGGCTGACATGCCCGTCGAGGATACCGAGGAGCGCGGCTTCACGCCCATGGACGACGACGCGGATAGCACGCCAAGCGTCAACGGCAAGGCGGCGCTACATGCTGTTGCCCATACCAACGGTCATGGGTATGCGAGTCCTATGCAGCTCGCTACCCCGCCGACGAATGTATCGGGAGGTATGGGTGTGAATGGTAACGGTCATGTCAATGGTGGTGCGTCGTGAGAAATGCTTCCTGTTTTGCTTCTTCTTTTCTTGCCCCAAAATTTCTACAACTTGTCGAGCGTCCCGCCTAATTTAATGCATCTTTACCTCCTCTTTTGTAATTATGAGCCTCATCACTTCTTCATGGCCTTTTGGGATGGGTGAGAGGGCTTTGTGTTTTAGTAATCATGTCTATTTCCCTTTCCATAGTTCGGGTTGTGATGCATGTTGCATGTGCATGGATAGTATTTGTGTTTGTGTTTGTGCTTTGTATCATGTATCATCTTTCTTGTCGGTTAACAGGGTGGGTGCATCTAGAATTTCAGGAACGGGGCATGAAAACATAAATGTAGTGATGGGCGGAAGAGGGACGATTATGTAATATATATTTGATTTATGGAAAGTTGAATAAACCGAACCAGATGATTGTAATTCTTTCCACATAAACACACTTGTGATGAACTTGTGGTTGTCACGCACGTGGCTTCTTCTCTCTACGCATATGCTTTACGTGTGAATGAATGGGAAGGTTGGCTGGCTTTGGGAATACAGCAACAGCAACAACAACCTCATCGCCGTAGATATGCGGTATTGGCACACAAACAAACCCGCGAGAACAACAACGAAACACAACCCAAGACTGACGATCATCTATCCGCATCTGAACATCTGAACCCCAGATCCCCGCCCGAAAACACCCCCCATGACCATCGTGAAGATCGTTGCTCGTCATACTACGGACTCGGCGTCTGGGGCGTATAGAGGTGCGATTGCCACGGCGCTAGCGATGTGGGCAGATGCAGGGTCGAGGTGGGTGATTCGCATAGACGGGCTGGTTTGGGGGATAGCATCGGTGTAACGGGTGCGCTCACGTTTGGATATGCGGATGCATTGTGGGTATAAAGCTGGAGAGGGAGGTGCATATCTCGTCCAGTTTATCTACTCGTCTATTTGTTTACTCTCGTCTTCGACCGTTCAGAAAAGATTACACGATTGAGTAATTGAATTGGAGCTGTGACCACACCCCCACACCCCGCCTTTGAGCTGTATAGCTTCACAAACCTCACATTCCCCGCGAGAAAATCAATAAACGGCACAGCTACCATGACGTCTCTCCTCCGCACGGCGCGCTGCGTTCGACCGGCTTTTGCTGCTCGGCCAGCGTCGAGAATCACACCAATTGCGCTCCGTAGACGGTATGCGTCTGCTGCTACTGCTGCTGTGGCCGACAGCGGAGAGCAGCCATACTTCCCTGATGAGCCCCGCGAGCCCATCATCCAGACGTCGATTCCAGGGCCGGAGAGCAAGAAGGCAATTGAGCGTCTGGGCAAGGTGTTTGACACGAGGAGCTTGAACATGATGGCCGACTACCAGCGGAGCTATGGCAACTAGTATGTCTTGGGTAGTGGTGTTTTGGGAGAGTATCGTAGTTAACGACTTCACAGCATCGCTGACCTGGACGGAAATGTGCTCCTCGATGTCTATGCCCAGATCGCCTCGATCCCTGTGGGATACAACAACGCTTCGCTGCAGCTTGCGGCTACGTCGCCTGAGATGGCGTCGGCACTCATCAACCGCCCTGCGCTCGGCAACTTCCCCCAGCACGACTGGGCTGAGATTCTCGAGACGGGCATCCTGTCGGTGGCTCCCAAGGGCTTAGACCAGGTATTCACGGGCCAGTCGGGCTCCGACGCCAACGAGCTCGCATACAAGGCCGCCTTTATGTGGAAGCGCCAGCAGCAGCGAGGCGGCGCAGACGTCGATTTCTCGGCAGAAGACATCAGCTCAGCCATGAACAACCAATCCCCCGGCGCCCCCGACCTCTCCATCCTGTCCTTCACCTCGGCCTTCCACGGCCGTCTCTTCGGCAGCCTGTCCACGACGCGCTCCAAGCCCATCCACAAGCTCGACATCCCCGCCTTCGACTGGCCGCAAGCCCCCTTCCCCGCCCTCAAGTACCCACTCGACCAATTCGCCGCCGAGAACGCCGCCGAAGAGCAGCGCTGCCTCGACGAAACAGAGCGCCTAATAAAAGAATGGCACGCCCCACCCGCCGCCATAATCGTCGAGCCCGTCCAATCCGAAGGCGGCGACAACCACGCCTCCCCCTCCTTCTTCCGCGGCCTACGCGCCCTCACAAAGAAACACGACATCCTCTTCATCGTCGACGAAGTCCAAACCGGCGTCGGCGCGACAGGAAAATTCTGGGCCCACGAGCACTGGAACCTCACCTCGCCCCCGGACATGGTCACTTTCTCCAAGAAAGCCCAAACAGCAGGCTACTACTTCGGGAATAACGAGCTGCGCCCTAATAAACCATATCGCCAGTTCAACACCTGGATGGGCGACCCCGCGCGCGCTATCCTCTTCCGCGCTATTATTCAGGAAATCGAGCGCCTTAATCTTGTTGAGAGTACTGCCCAAACAGGCGATTATCTGTACAACGGTCTGGCGCGCCTCGCGGAGCAGTACCCACAGGACATCCAGAACTTGCGTGGTAGGGGCCAGGGCACGTTTATCGCCTGGGACAGCCATAGGCGCGACGACGTGCTGAGGAAGGGCAAGGGCGTTGGGATTAATATTGGGGGTTCGGGGGAGAGGGCTGTTAGACTTAGGCCTATGCTTATCTTTCAGAGGTTTCATGCTGATTTGCTGTTGGAGCGGTTGGAGAGGGTTTTTAAGTCGTAGGTGGTGGGGTACGGCTGTGATGGATGAACGGAGTTGGGTAGGGCGTTCTTCTTCTTCTTCTTCTTCTTCTTGTTTTTACCCTTGCGTGGGAGGTTTCTATCTGCTTTACTGCACTTTGCTTTCGGAATCAGATGGGATGGGAAGGGATGGGATGGGATGATGGAAATTCCCTACGGCTTGTACATTGTCAAGCATAGCTAGCTAGCTAGCGTAACGAAGGATGAAGCACTCAGGCGTGGACATGGAATGGATAAATGAACGAATAAATGAACACCAAATAAGCGAATGAATAAACGAATATACGAAGAAAGAAAAGCCAGTATGCAAAATCTTCACAAAAGCGATCGATGTATATTTAAAATCTCATTCAATGCGCATATTGCCCCTTCTCTCCTGTCCTAGCCAAGTCACCTCCCCTCCCCTCCCCTCCCCTCCTCTCACCTCACCTACGTACCCAACCTACTCATTAAGTCTATACTATTCTATACCACACCACACCACATCAGTTCAAACCAAAGCAAGCAAGAAAGGCAAGAAACACACCCCAAACAAAAACACACGAAACGAGGAAGACCAAGCCGACAGTCGACCCCGCGGGGTATCATCCTAGCATGCTAAAGAGGAAGAGGAAGAGAAGCAGATGCACAGAGCCGCACCCCCCAATCAATCAATCAATCAATTCACCCAACTCATCCGAAACCAAGCCCTTTGTCGACCAAGCAAAGACTCTAGGAGGGAGAGAGGAAGATAGAGGGGGGAAAAGAAAAAGATGATGAGGAAGAAAAGACACGAAGAAACGCCAGGCCAGGTATACAACGTATAATATGTGCATGCATGTAGAAAAAAAGTGGGGAAGCGCATTCAGACAAAGACGAAGATGAGGATGAGAATCGAGCAAGAACAGTGAGAAGGGGAGACATGAGCGTCGTAAATGCAGGTTGAAGAGGTAAGTAACGATAGAACTTCTGAATATAGACCAAATCCTATGGCATAGCACGGTCCACCACACCGTATCTCACAGCACGCGAAGGCGCCAGACCTGCAAAAGTCTACTCCGGCCTATCGAGATTAACGCGCAGCGAATACGCCAGCTTCTCCTTCTCGCAGTACTCGGCCAAAAACTTGAGGCCGAAGCGCACGGCCTGGATGGGCGTCGTGTCCATGGAGAGGGGCAGGAAGTAGGGTCCTGAGAGCCTCACGCCGCTGACTTTCTCTGGTTCTTTTACGAGCTTGAAGTTCGACTCTTGGCCGGCCCATGTCTTCTTGTACAGGGATTGGACGTTCTCCATGGGCAATGCGATGCGGGCGTCCTGGTAGTGGCGGTTCATTTTTATGGTGTGGTCGGAGAGGAGGGCAAAGTTCTCGGCGAGCGACGTGTGTTGTTTTGCGAGTTCGGCGTGGGCTACATCGTGGGGCGAGTCGTGGGGTCGGGCACTGAGAGCGCGCTGGGAGACGTGGGTGCAGATTGCGGCTGCGATGACGGAGCTGAGGTAGGAACGGAGGCCGTCGAGGTGTTTGAAGTCCTTTGTGCAGTGGGCGTAGGAGAAACAGAGAGGCAGCAGCGTTTTCCAGGTTTGTTCTACTTCGCCGGGGCGGCCGCGAAGATTGAGTGAGAGGTCTTGGGCGTAGTATGCAGCCATGTATGACCTGAACCTTGTTAGTAACTACATTATGGAGGCTAGAGACAAGACTTACAGTATGCACTCTAGGTTAGTGACGGCGACTCGCTTTTCGTCTTCAACGGTCGCCTTATTGCCCTTCTCGGTCAGGATCTTCGGAGCTTCGTGCTTGAGCTTCCGGCCCATATGATTTAGCTTCATCGAGTTTTGCGCCAGCAGCGAGATATCAGCTTGTTTTTTGCCGTTCAACGGTGCAGACGTAGAAGAAGCTTTGACGTCTAGTCTGGAACTTGTTGGGGTATTGCCTGATCGACCTGGTGTAGCCTCCAAGCTATCTGCTGATGTAGTTCGCAACATGCTGACAGCTTTGGGATCCCTCTTTGGAGTCGTGAATTGGGTGAGGGGCTTCTGTGTGCTGGACTTGTTCGACAACGCCGGAGAAGAGGTGGGCTGCTGTGTTGGAGTTATCGGGCGATCCTGCGTCGAATGTGCTCGCGGGCGTTTGGATGGTACCGCTAGTGATGTATCATCGTCGGTCCGTGGGCGCTTTTCTAAAACTTTGGGCGCTACTGAGGCCGGCTTGACACTAGGCGTGGACGAGGACGTATCTGGTCGCCGTGCTGCAACCTTTGGGACCGGCTTGATCCTATGCGCAACCCCATCCACAGTCCTCATCTGCACTTTGGGCGGACTGGCGTGCATCTTGGTCGGAGTGGCTTTTGGTGTTTCCTGGCGCTCCTTCTTCTCTGTGACCCCTGTCCTCTTGGGTGGTAAACGAAGGATCTGCTTAACAGTCGGGGCCTTTGTTTTCGAGAATTTCAGCTTGACCACAAGACTGCTGTCGAGCTCTTCTGCGGCCTTTGATGGCTGGCCACTCGGAGACTTGCCGTTAAGTGAGACCGATCGCGCACGTGACCCGCTCTTGGACGCTTCGTTGGCCTTTTCATATCGTGCTGTCGGGATCTGCAGGGTCTGACCCTTACGATCTGAGGATGAGGTGGATACGTCTGATACTGCTCTGCTCCGCTGTGTTTCTAGCCTATCCAATTCAGCCTGAATACTTGCGGGTAGTGTGGGTGATAGGATGTTTGGAAGCCCAAAGGGGATATTCAAAGGTTGGTGTACTGGCGAAAGCAAGGTTGGCAGGCCATGTGGAGTTGCATTCGAAGGCTCAGACCTGTCAATGTTGATCTTCGCCTCGACCGACTCCGACTTCTGTGATGATGACGGAGGAGGCCGAGGCCGTGTTTCAGATCGTTGGCTGTCTTGGCTGGAAGAGATTGGCTTCTGTTCGTCGCGCGATTCGGTTGGGAGTCTGATACACATTAGCAACGGACTGAATCCGGTCATCTATAGTCTCACCTTTTCTGTGACCTCGACTCCTCTGGCTTGCGCGTAGTGGTGGACGGCTTCTCTGGCCCCTTTACTCCGTTGGCCTGAGTGGGTGGAGGCTTTGCCGGAGGGAGGTTAGGCGAGGCCTTCTTGGAGCCAGGCGTAGGCGTGATGGTGCCATTGGCCTGCTTCGCCTTGAATGCTGAGAGAGAAATCTTCTTCTTGGCAGTTGAATTGGCCGTGCTCGAGGGTTGCGACTTCGGTTGTTCTGGCTCAGGCTCGTCGTCCTCTCCAGCCTGCAGCTCGAAGCAGTCCTGACATGGCTCACGGTAGAGGTACGTCCTATACTGCACATTCTCCTCGTCGTAGCGCCACAAGTTTCCCACCATCCAGGCATTGGCCTCTTGTTGTGAGTGGTATCGGTAGGGGTTCATCGAGGGTGTTGAGAGGATGTAGGGCGTGCGCGGAACCACTGTCTTGACGCGCTTGAATATCCTGTCCAGCTCGTCGAGATCATCTTGGTCGCCCTGTGAGAACTGTTTGCGCTTCAATGATTGCGCCGTGGGGACCGTCGCGGGGAGGCCTTCTAGTCGCGACATAGTGGTGTCCTCCAGGCGATCTCGGCCTTTGGATTAGGTGGGCGGTCGCGGTCGCGCAAGTTGGGCTGTTGGGTAGCGATAGTTGAGGCAGTGATTGTGGAGAGAGTGAAAGGTCCTAGGCTTGCGGGGAGAGCGGAGGTGGGGGTCAGGTCAGACGGTGTCGACGGTGGATAGTCGCAAGCGTGTTCGCGGGCGCGGGCGGACAATGTGAGGGACACGAGTGAATCCTGTACTGTGACGATGAGCATGGCATTTACGCGTACTTGGTCTCACTGTCCAGCACTCACGAGAACAATACTACGGCTGCCGACTACCTCAGCCTCCGATGCGCGGTGTAGCTGATGCCAGAGTCGACCATTGCCCAAGCCTTAGACCGCAGGACCAGCGATGCGATCTCCGAGGCGGCGCGGTGCAGGAACGACAGTCTGCCTTTGCCTGGCGTGTGGAACGGTGAGTGGAGATGCCGTGCCCGCGACGGAACAACAGCAGCGGACCTAGGCGTGTGAAGGTCGGGATCAGCGCTTGGGTCGGGTTTGGGGCATGGGGCATGGGCCCTTTACTCGCCATTGGCTGGCTTCACTACCCACATTATTCTTAGTTTCGAGCGTCACATCGAGGTCAAGATGCAGTCGCGACATTTGGTTGCTGGAGTTGTCATGGTAGGATATCGTCATGCGCTCTGTACTTTCGAAAGCTTTCAACTGTCCTTGCATGCATGTCACCTCGTATTGCCGGCTTTAATTTTAATCTGCAGGGCCTCCAAGAACCTCCAGCCTTACAAGGGGTGCGGCCCATAGCAACGAGAGTACGGGAAAACGGCTGATCTGTTGAGGCTGCACTTTTAGTGGAGACATAACACGCGTATATTGGCAACGCCATGAGCCACGCTCTCCATCACTCTGCTCCTGACACTTATCGAAGTCGACTTCAAAACCCCTGTGGACATGTCAGATGTAAAACACCGACTTGTACCTAATATATGCAATGGCTAGGTCACTTCTCGCGTGATACAACACTAATGTTTGGGGTCGAACCAACGTCGTCTGCGCATGACATGGTTCCATTTCCCAATGTTGCACACTACCAACGGGTGAACAAGAGACTGTTCAAGTGGCCTTGATCATACGTCCACTGAACTAGCAGGCTACCAAACTATATCATGTCGGGAACTACAGCTCCTCGTCATCCGTCTCTTCGTCGTCGTCACCCGCAGGCGAGGATGGCGTCTTCTCAGGAACTTTACCTCGCGTCGGCAGCTTGTTCTTACTAAAGGGAAGTGCGCGTGGGGGTGGTGGTCCTGACGACTCCTTTTCCTTGGAGGGCTGTGCAGAACTGGACGCGAGAGGCTCAGATGACCTGTCTTCAACTTGCGGCACTGGGTCGACCTCATCTTCGGCGTCCGTTTCATTGTCAGAGTTTCGATCTGGAGTCCCAGGCCTAGCAACGTCGTCGTCGTCTTGCTCCTCGCCGTTAGCCTCGTCAACCTCCATACGGTCACTGTCGGAGTCTGGTTCCGGCTTTGGAGCCCTTGCGGGAGCTTTGCGCTTAGATGTACGTGATGCAACGGCCTTTCGCTTCGGTGGCTTCGTTGCTGTTCTAGCCGATTGAACGGCGGACGCTGTAAAGTCACATGTTAAACATGGTTCACAATCCTCATGACATCAGCTCACCTGTGACTTTGTCGACCTTGGCCCCAGCTAGTAGGCGGCTCTGGTCTCGGATCTTTCTTTTCTTTTCATTGAGCAACTCCATAAACTGTTGAAGCATTGCTGTTTCTGACTCATTCTTGGTTTTGAGGAAATCTTCCAGCTGGGCGTTGAGCTTGGCGATGGTGTCTTGCTCACTGCTGGCGCGTGCTTTCATGTCAGCTATTTCTTGAAGTGCGTTGTAATGAGCTCGAGTTGCTGTTTTGGCCCATTCGAAAGGATCAAACTCGAAGTCGTCATCTCGTGGGAGAACGATCTCACCCAGTGTCACCTGTCCGTTGTTAGGACAAGTCCAGTATCCTGAACATGCAGGTCATCTGACCTTGATGGCTTGGACATCTTGCCGTATAGAGAGCTCGAGGTTGCCATTCCTCGCAGTGTAGACCATGCGGACGCCAACTAATATTGCAGAGTTTGGTTCAAGTTCTTTTTGTAGTAGGAAATGGGATAAAATTGATATCCATTCATCGCTGCTGCCCTTGAACTTGTGTTTTAGTTTTGCGAGATTGTCGTGCTGAACTATGTTACGTCAAAAAGGAAGCAGTGGCATGATGTATAAAAAGCAAGCTTACGTGTTGTTTTGTACACATCTGGACTGTCGTCTTCGCAATGGCAACCTACGATTCGGATATCCAATGGAGGGGCGTCGTCATGTTGCACCTCGAGCAGGACGAGCACACCATGCCCGCTAGCTGGCTCGACGGGAACGATGCAGGTACGCTGCATAACCATGTCTGTACCCAATCTGAGGCAGAGTGGGGATCGGGAGCGCGCAGATCAGTGAAAGTCGGACGCGTCAGTGGCGCGTCGATGGTGTCAGCGAACTTTGTTTGTTTAGCGTGTGTCTGTCAGTGTTTATTCGGGCCAAGTTGATGGGCATGCAGGAACACGAAGACGGTGTTTCATGTGGTGGACTAAGATTGAGTGTGGAAACCATGCTTGTGTTTGGGGAGGGGTTATTTAAGTGCAGTGTGAGGGCGAAGGCAGCAGCAGCAGGCACCGACGCGACCCACAGACACGACGTGTGCATTGTTTGGGGTGAAGCATACACGACCACTGTCGCAACACGCGTAGGCATAGCTGTAGATGCGCAAGAACAGCTGCAGATGCATGAGTACACCCGCCTGCCGGCCACGTTGCAGTCATCTGAGGGAACGAGGGTTCTCTCGTACCTAGTTCCATCTGGATCGCCGACGTGCAGCGCGTGTCTCGGGTGCGTCAGCTCACAGGGTGCTCCCTGCGCAAACAAACGAGACGCTGTCGCTTGCCTTGGGACCCTGAGGCCCCGTTGCCAGCCACCTCCCGTCTGCAAGAAACACGCAACCATCAACACCGATCTCCACCGCGACCCAGAGCTGCCGCCATGGCCGCGCCCAACCGCAGCTTTGCAGGGCGCATGGCCTCTCGCGGCTCCATCACGTCGGGCATCGAGGCCTGGGACGACGGCGACTTCGAGGACGGCGACGGCTTCCTGCTCAAGCACTCGACGACGCACTCGCTGTCGTCGCGCCTGTCGGTGCGCTCCGAGTCCAACACGGGCGACGACGACTGGACGGTGCTGCTGACCCCCAACGACGACCTGTCGACCAACAATGCCATCAACTCGGCGAAGAAGGCCGGCATCCCCATTCCCGCGAGCGTGCCCTCGTCCGCCCTGCTCGGCGGCTCCATCAAGCGCCTGGGCAACAAGAAGTCGAGCCGCCGCATCGACGTCGACGACGACTGGGGCAGCGACCTGGTCCTGCCGAGCAACACCACCGGGGGGCTGAAGCTGAAGGCCCCCGTGCCGCGCACCCCGGCCGAGGAGGAGCACGACGACTTCGACGACTGGGGCGAGGGCAGTCTGGGCATCCGCTTTGCAGGCACGCGGCGGGAGACGCGTGGGGGCCGCGGTTCGTCCGTGTCGGCCATGAGCCCGAGTCTGGGCAGCTGCATGACGCTCGAGAGCGAGGACGACGACATGCTGGGCCTGGTGCTGCCAAACGAGCCGCTCGACTTCATTGCCCGCCTCGACAAGCTCAAGAGGAACGAGGTACCGGCTCCAGCACCAGCGCCAGCGCCAGTTCCATCAGCAGACTCCTTCTCGCTGCGTCTCCAGAAGCTGCGCGACCAGCCTCCCACCTCGGCGCCCTTTGACGATGCAGCCTTCGATGCAGCCTTCGATGAGCCCTTGTCGCCTACCACCGCGGCACCACCCCTTGGTATCGAGCCTTTCACGTCGCCGCCCCTCGAGAACGAGTCCTTTGAGTCCTTCCTCTCTCCTCCCCTCGAGAGCAGCCCCTTCTCACCACCCAAGCCCTCGCCCAAACCCTCGCCGAAGCCCTCGCCAAAGAATACTGAGGACGACTTTTTGGATGGCCTGGACTTTGGTGCCGGCGAGATTTTCGACAGTCGCAAGCTTACGTTGAACCGCAACGTCGTTGTCAAGAAGCCGTCCTTCAGATCGATCGCGCCTTCTGCAGCCCGTCCTGCGGCTACCTTGACATTCACCGATAAGGCGCCCTCTAGAATCCCTCGACCACCCCCAACAACAACCCGCACTCGACTGACCCCTGTCTACGAAAGCGGTGCCACGACACGAACTCAGAGCCGGCCGATGCCCACCACCACCAGCGCACAGCTTTTGCGTGCGAAGCGTTCAGCCCCTGTCCTGCGCAACAACAACAACAACCTCCCGCAGCCGCCTCGCTCTCACGTCCCTTTCCTGTCCGCGGGCAGCTCAACTACTCAGTCGCATCATGTCAAGTCCAAGGGCTCACAGACCCACCTTCGCCGCGATTCTGATCCTCGCCGGCCACTCTCGCCATCCGTGCGACCCTACTCACGCATGTCTGGTTCTCATCCAACTGAGACTCCGAGTCGTGCTGGGGTGAGACAGGAGCTGGCTCCCTCCGCTCTAGCACGTCACCCGCCGCCACCTAAGAAGCTAACAAAGCCTCAGCGCAAGAGAAACTACGGCGATGGCCATGAACTTGATCTCTTCGATGACCTGCCGACCTCGGCGGTCAAGGAGAAACAGTATGAGAAGACACCTCGAAATGTGGCGAGCAACAAGTCTCTGCGCCAACAACCGAGCAACTCCCGCTTGCCCATGCCCGACCGTATGGTCACTCCTCAGCCCCAGACACCACGCAGTCCCCCGAAGACCGATCATACACCACGTTTTGCTCGGGACACTGCTGCAAGCAGAAACGCGCGTGAGCAGCGGTTGGCAGGTACGAGGTCACGTGGCGAAGGCCAAATTGCACAGAGACCCACCAGTTGGCAAGCACAAGTGGCTGCACGTAGCCCTCATTCAAGTCCAAATGCTCACCGCAAGAAAGGATCAGGTCAAAAACCGCAATTGATCAGGCAGATGACTCAGCCTTACACCTCCAGTACGAAAATTCGCCATTGCTGTCATGTACTTTGCTAACTTGCTGCGCAGATGAAAAAGGCATGATATACAACCCTACACTACAACGTTGGGAAGGAAATGAGGATGCTCTTGCGCCCTTTTCCCAACAAAACACTTCAACCACCACTCTTGCCTTGACTACTGCAAGCACGCCAACCTTTGCGCAACCAGCTCCTCCGTTCAACCGCCAACACGACCGTTCCCAGTCAATGTCACACACGGCTCTGTCTTCCATCTACGCGGCGCAGAGAATTACGCCTACACGCGCCACGAAGATTGCTCCACTTCCAACTCCAGTGGCGTTACCTTCTCCACCTCGCCCGGCCTTGATCTCACAGATTTCAGTACCGCGCGGTGTGCAGTACGATGGTCGCATGGTGTTTGACCCTGTCAAGATGACATGGCTCAAAGCTGCTCGCCCCTCGAATGATCCGCGATCGCCTTTGACCGACGCGGATGACGACGAAGATCCATTCGCTGGCCTCGAGGACCTAAAAGACAACGAGAGCATCGCTGGCGGCAACAACGCCATTGGCGGTGGTGGTGTTTCGAATCCCGACGATCCCACCTTCGTTGGTGAAGAGTTTGACGTTGGACCAAGTTTCATTCGCCGACAGAAAGAAGAAGAAGCCGCCTGGAGACGTCGAGTGGATGGCTGGGTCGGCGGCATCCGCGACAACGGCGAGCAGAGAGGCGGTTGGAGATGGGCGATCCGTGAGTTCGCCGCGAGTGCCTCTGCTGGGGCCTCGGCGATCTAAAACTCACCTGTACAACTCCTACTTACGACCTTATGATTTGCATCGCAGATTTGGTAATCGGGCGCATCGTTGGCATTTGTTCCAAAAGTATTGCGGCACCTCAACTGCCTTGCTATATATCCCGAGTGTTACGAAAGGGCGACTTTGGATAGTTACGCCTCACTCTTACGACCATTTTATGACTCACGATAATCTCTTTCGACAATATTGCTCCCAATAATACTTCTGGTCTTTTTTCTGGCGTCTCGGGACTTTGCTGTAATTTAGTTCACTCATGATGACCAATACATTATTACGACTTGAATGAATTCTTACTGGAACATGAACGTGCCATTGACGATCTTCTGTCTGCATTGCTCAAGATCGCTATCAAGGATACATCTACCTTTATTGGTTGAGCTGCTTGTGGGGTTCAGCCGCTGTCGGTAGACTCGGCGCTTCTACTCGCGCCACGTGCCAGTCCCCCCCACCACTCGTGCACTCGACCTGTCACCAGACCTATGCACACCGCTGTGAATCACCATGTCGCGCTCTGATGACCCAGGCCACTACTTCCAGACAACGTAGCATAAATACTCTGCTTCTGCCTCTGCAACTAAGAACTGACCGGCAACAGCTCCGCCTTGAATGAAACAGCTCGGAAGGCCACCAAGGCGAAGAACACAAAGGGCAACCCATTCAAGCTCCCCTCCAAGATCCTCGCCATTACTGCAGACCCACGAGATGACGGCCATGTCTACATTGCCGAAGCCGCGGGCAACGTGAAGCGGATACATCTTGAAGTCGGTCAGACATCTGTTCCTCCCACTCAACTTGATTCCTCGTTGTCGTCTCGTAGTCCTGGACATGACTGACTCTATGCTCCCAACAGACTGGTGATGTTGCTGCCACCTTCTCCGGCCCGGCTGCACCCCTCACCTCTGTGGCCGTTTCATCCACGTCGAACACCATATTCGCAGGCTGCTGGGACAAATCCATTTGGTCATGGACGCCCTCTTCACGAAAGCCTGTCAAGAGGTTCCAAGGACACAGTGACTTCGTCAAGGCTGTCATAGCGTTCAAGTTGCAGAGCAAAGAGATCCTGGTATCAGCTTCTGCAGATGCGAGTATCATCGTCTGGGACGTGGCTACAGGAGAGAAGCTGCACATTCTGAAGGGACACACACGAGGCATACTGGCACTTGCGCTCGATCTGGTCGACTACGACGTCAACAAGGACTCTGTGACGGTCTTCAGTGCGGGAAGCGATCGGGAAATCAGACGCTGGAATGTTACCTTGTCTACAGCCTCCGAGGTTCAGCCCTCGCCGATTATCGCACACGAGACAAGCATTGATGCTATACACTTTGACTCAGACGGCGATCTCTGGTCTGCCTCTGCAGACAAGTCGGCGAAGTGCCTATCGAGAGGTCGAGAATGGGAGGAAGACTCCACGTTCGAACACCCCGACTTCGTGCGCGACGTCGTCGTTGACGAAGAAGGCGGTTGGGTAATTACGGCATGCAGGGACGAAGAGATTCGCGTCTGGGAAAAGGGCAGCGGGAAACTGCATCATACCTTTACCGGACACTATGAAGAGGTCACTGGACTTCTCCTCTTGTCAGGTCAGAGGCTGGTTAGTATCAGTATTGACGCAACTGTCAGACAGTGGAGCTTGAAGTTGCAAGAGCTAGCGAAAGCAGTCAAGGAAGCCGAGGACGAGAGGCTTGGTGCAACAAAGGAGGATGACCCAGAGAAGAAGAAGGGTATGATGACTGCTGAAGAGGAGGCTGAGCTGGCCGAGCTCTTAGAGGATAGTGAGTAGACAATTGGCGAACGGAAGGCGATCGAATCGTACGTTGCCAGCGACCCGCTGGCGCCCCTCGATCGATGACTTCTCCGATCGCTCCGATTTAGGTAAAAACGAAATGAGACGGCGGGACAAGGCACTTTTGTGCTCTACTCTACGAGACGTGTGGTATCCTGCCGGACGTGGTAGAGTTGGTTTCCCCGACTCCTCTGCATAGAGACTTTTGGTATCTCCCCGTTCCCCATTCGCTTGATACGTGGTGCTGTTTAATTCGGCATCTAGCGCTTGTACCGTGTCCGAAACGCTGCACCGCCAGACATGAGAGGTTGGGGATCTTCGGTGACTCTTGCAAGAGCTTTTGGCCTGCGCAACATTCACTCTGGAGGTCTCTAGGCTACGATTTTCTGTGGGGCACGTAGTGGTCGCTCACGGGCGCCAAGATCGCAACTGCCTTGCCAGACAATAGAGGCAGCCTACCTTCACCTTCACCAACCCTACTTCTCGGCTGCCTTCACTTTAGAAGTCGACGGCCTCGCCCCATCACGACCTTCTTGTCTCTTCTGCTCCCTTCTTATTTGCATCCATTGTCCCGCGTCGCGCGACGCTTCTTTTTCGCTCCATTCGCGTTCTTATATTCTCTTTTGCAAATCCGACTTTCTGTTCTCTTTTCCACACGCCTCCGCTCTCCCGCCACACCGACAGTCAGCCGCAAGGCCGTCTGTTTGCATTTTGGCTTGTGTGGTTGCTTCAAAGCAATCCCGGCATGCCCAGGGGCGAACAAGATCCTCCACGACAGGGAGCACAATGTGCAACCCCGCCATCAGTGGCGGCCTTCTTAGGACGTCGGGTATGGAAGAAGCCAGCAGATATTGAGCTTTATGCTCTGTTAGACCGTCAGGTCCTTGGCACGTATGCGTGGAGAGGTGTCTTGTTCACCGCTGGGTAACATAAATGTAGGGACTTCAAGGGATTTCCTTTGATTCTGGCTCTGGGTGTATACCATGGAGCCAGGCCGTCCGCTATATCCTGTTGCTGAGCTTGGAACAAGGCCAGCGCCCGCTGCGACAGGCACCACATCGCGGATTCCGCGCTCTGTGACAGTCCCGCTACCCAGTACCCTTCTTAGGCGAACAGTGGAAGATGCCAGCAGACATTGAGCTCTCGCTCTACCTTCGGGTGAGATGACCTCTGACAGACCGATTGGTCCATGGCGATTTTATCTTGCGCAGCGGGTGGCTGGCCGAAATAGCTCAGCTCTAAGGATGTAGCAGACGGTATTTGGGCGTTTTGAATCGCAATCATGGATTGCAAACGGGTGCTTGGTATGTGTCGCTCACCGGATAGGTTATCCACTTTGGACTATCTGCAACGGTCGGACGACACGCCCGTGAGTTGCGGTACGCTGGATCGGTGGGCCTTGGGACCCCTTCGGAATTGGCTTCCCAGTCAACCTACGGCAACCTCGGCTTTCGCAGACCGCGTCCGCTTCTCGAGATGCTCCCAATCGATAGTAAGGAATCTAAAGGTCCTTTGCACCTTAGACTCACTCGCCTGCGGGTAGCCGGGGCCCGTCTGACAGGGACATTGTATCCCCGCCACCAGTGCTGCTCTTCTTAGAGCGTGCGCGTGGGCGACGCCTACGATATCGAGCCTCCTCTGTGAGGTTCCGACAGACCGAATGGTCCATGGCATGCTTTTGCAGTCAGGTACTCCGGCTCCCGAGGCTGGCCTGCTTGTGGGGTCCTGTTGGTTCGACGCTTCCAAAGCGTTCAGTGTCTTTGGACAATTTACTCGCTGAGACTGTATCCAGTTCTTATGTCCCCTTCTGGCTCAAGACAAGACGTTCTCGCTCGCTCGATTGTATCGGTTTGGGGTAACGTATCTCTCTCTCGCCCCTTGATGGATCGCATGAGGAGCCTGTTTGACAGGGCGCGGTTCGCCGTAGCCCCGCCACCAGTGTCTCCCTTTTCAGGGAGATGCGTGTGGAAGAAGCCTGCGACATTGAGCACCTCCGGGAGTCTCTGACAGACCATCTTGGTCCATGGCATTCTGTCTCCAGGCACCCTCGGATGCACATCCCCCATATACTTTGGCCGTTGTGCCCCTTCCTTCCAAGCCGTTGTGGCCGCTATCAACATCTCCGCCCGGGTCCGCCCATTCTTGCAGGTTCGCCTGTTCCTTGTGCGTGTATCCACGTGCTCGGTCGTCGTCGATCGCGAAAGAGGAGCTAGTATGACAGGGAGCGTTCATTCGCAACCCCCCACCACCAGTGTCGCCCTTCTCAGGGAGTCGCGCGTGGGAGATGCCAACAGACATGGAGCTCACGACCTCTGCTCTCGGGCACATGGCGTGAGACTCTGACAGACCAACAGGTCCATGGCAAATACTGCATACAAGCACCCTCCGGCAATCCCCGAAGGATTGGTTATCCGTTTTGGAGGCCGACCTTCGCGCCGCCCCCCTTCAGGGACTCGTTTCCCTCCCGTCCTCCTGTATCCCGTCCTTCTCGTCGTCTCTCGTCTAACCGCTTAGACTTGTCCCTTGTCGTCATCGTCGTCGTCGTTATCGTCGTCGCCGCGCGTCCCTCTGTCCGTTAACATGTCCGTTACGATTGTGCATGCGTTCTCTCGTCGTCTTTTTTTCGTCAGACGCTTTACTCGGAAGGAAAGGATAGGAAAGCGGGACAGGTGCTGCGAAAGCTTGTCTGGAGAATACTGGATCGGGCGTTTCGGCGCTGGGAGATCGCAAGAGGTGGATGGGCGGTAGAAGTCGGACCCTTGCGCCTCCCCGTGGTGCCGCCTGGATAGTCGACCGTTTTCCTGAACGTGGGGAACGGGAGATGAACCAAATGCAAGGGACGCATATACGGGTAAGTCTTCTTCTCCTGGGTTGTTGCGCTTGGGCTTGGTAGCTGTTGGATTGGTATGGCGTCGAGCACGTACAATTGGGTAGACCAGTTTGGAGCATAGGAATGGAGTGTTGTAGTACTCGACGTATGGTACCCTCATAGATTTGGATTTAAACATCAACAATTACTCTACCTTGCTACTCTTACCTTCACATACACTTCCATGCATACCCTCTCTCCCACCCAAACTCACCTATCGACAAGAAACGTCTAATTTCATAACGGACATGTCAGCCGCACCCATCTCGGACTATTCCTCACGATTGTACCATGAAAAGGTGCCTCATATAAAAAACCTATCTCTTCCTTCTCTGACTACATAGATGGTAGTGCATACGTAGACAACGACAGCCTCTTCACAAGCTGCCTCCCCATTTTACACGAAAGCAAAGCTAAATCCCTTGTATTCGAGTTGAATCCAACGGATCTATGCCTGTTGGAGAAGATCGTTGATATTTTAATAGACATGGACCGTATGTGAGAGTGTGTGAGAGTGTAAGATAAGCGCATCACTTCATCTCGAAAGATCTTTAGCTCGAAGACAAAAGACGCTCTGTGCATGGAAAGTCGATGCACAAACAAACGTAAACGCGCCCTTACCCCATTTCGCCTCACTTCGATACCAATGCTTTGTCTGGTTTAGAGGGGTTAGCGTATACATCCCCTTCTCCTGTTACTGCTGTTGTACTAAATCGAATTGCAGTGTTCTCACTTCGAAGCTAGCAAGCAGACAAGATATCCCCTGTCTATATACTTCACCCATTTAACATCCCTCCTGCCATTTTCACACAATTCCATTGTTCCCAACACACCCGGCGGTAACGCATACAAGCCACGCTCTACCAGTAGCGCATAGTCGCATCGAAAGGGAGGGGAGAGTGTGAATATTTGTGTGTAGATGGGAGATGTGAGGCGGACATAGTGAGGGATGATTATTTTGTGTGCATACCAACACGCTATTCTCTCTGAGAGTTTTCAGTCCGGTAGAAAGTAGGATGGTGCGGAGAATGTATGTTGTTGAACTGCGTGGATGCGTGGTAGGAAAGCGGTAGAGTATGTATACGCATAGCTTGGTAGTCAATCATTTATCGGTGGCTTCTCTCTACTGCCGGTATATAAGAAGAGATATGTGCATGTCGTTCTCAAGCTGCGTGATGGGGGGGGAGATCGGGGGCGCATGTATGAAGGCAAAAGACACGATTGTGTAGAGCTGCATGCCTGGAGTGAGATGTACGCTTACTGATATTGTGTTGTCGTTTGTGGGTCATGATTGTAGCTAGGAAAGAAAAGCCATACATGGCGCGCGATTACCGGCAAAGACTATCGTCACCATCGAGTCCAATGCTTCCAACTTGATGGCGTATCGTCGCTTACCGTGGTCAGGACTTGCTCTCTGATGGGCAGCTAGCCATTTGGGAGCGAGGCGAGTATAGAATCCAAGTTTTCGAGTATCGCAGGATCCCAGGAGACCCGTGATATCGACAGATTCAACATTAAGTTTTCCGTTAACAGGAGCTCATGTGAGTGAACCACTCTCGTTTGTAACGACATTACCACAGCGACAGTGTCAAGGATTCCAGCGACATCAACTCCTTTCACTCATCTGCACGCTGAAACAGCAAGCCTGAGGTGCAACGTACACTACCTTGCTTGAAATCCTATTCAAGAGCTAGACACATGCGAGTGGGAAGTGGAAGCCCTGTTCCCCAGTAGGTTGTATTTCCGGCGCCGGGAATAGCGGTGTAACCAACTGCAAAACAGTATTGGATTGACGCACGCTTGTGAACGTACATGAAAGTGTGAAGGACGTGTTATATGCACTGATACCAGGCCCCCTGATCGTATGTCCGTTTCTCGGCGGAAGGTTGGCGCATCGTACCCTGGTCTGGGAGTGAGTTCGTTAACCTAAGCGATCAGACGAGTAGTCGCATCTTCAGTGCTGAGGATCGTCAGGGAATGACGACACTGGAACAGCCGTTGGAAGACAACGTGCCTGCTACCCGCTCTTCCCTCCGCGTATATCTGACGTCGCTGGAAACCGAGTTACATCAAGACCGTTGGCTTTGAGCAAGGGGATAGTGTGTATGCATATGCAAGGGGGTGTAGCCCAATCCAACACCAAGTATGACGCTCTACCAATCGTCCTTGGAAATCTCACACCGTCTGACGCTCGCGCAGAGCACTTGGTGAGGCGTCAGAGTTTGGCAAGGGACACTTTCACTAAGCCGATCATCTTTTCTGCGGCAAGATCTTCGATTGCCGTCCTTCGGCCTTACTTCTACCCAATCTCCACCAGGGGTATGACGTGGTATACCTACGTTAGCCAGCACATCAGTAGCTAAGCAGATACATCACACTCCTAAGTGTGCTTTCTACATACATGGCATCTGTGGTCTGAGGAATCAGGTCATAGCCAAGTGTTGGGGCGTTTCTCCAACACGGGTTTCCATGTGCCTGCTGCGCCGCAACGGCTTTTGCCTGATGCTTGGGTTGGCACCAAGAACGTGGCGTCCAATAGAAACTGTACTGTGTTAGCGGCTGTGGATAAAGTTTCAGTGTGAAATGTCTTTTGCATTGGATGCTACCTCGACGTGTGTGCGTAAAGGCTGGGCAGATGCACTGCTGTTTGAAGGATGCGAAATTGCTGATACAGATGCAGCATTGCCCAGACCATGCTAGTACACTATTAGAAGCAAACCATGTTGCGGGCCGGTGGTTTGATGTAGAAGAGTTATTGGAATAAGGTATCCCGGAGTATTTACATTCCAACGACCCAAGAACAGGACTTCGGGACATTTGGATTTCAGGACTATCTGGTCAACAATCCTGGACATTTCGCATTGCATGTGTAGGTTTGGCTGCTTTTGGCTTTTGTTCCAGACGTGGGGTCACAGTATCTGCGGAACGACTCGAATGGATGAGCTGCATTGTATAGAACCACATGTCAAAGGATGGACACGTCGATTGAACCCTTTAGGCCTCCTTCGTGTTCGGCTTGCCAATCGTTCATCATGAAAAACAACTGTGAGGTGGCTGCGGGTGATGCACGTGGCAGACCGCTGTTTCCTCCGAGTTTCCCATGAAACATGGTGGAAAAGGCAGATTTGGCACCAGCGCAGACTGCAAAGCAGAAGCCCCAACAATCAAACATGGTTTCTGTTGTCGAGATTATGAAACAGACGAAATCTGATGGCTTGGCAACACTCCAGACAAGATTGACTTCTTGACGTGTTACAAGGCGTTTCTTGGGATCGAGGCGTAATAAATTAGCCTAAACATGACAAAAAGAAATGCGCATTTCGCCATGGCTGTACCGGTGGCTAGGTACATGTTCTTTTTCTTTCCGCCGCGGGAGGCTGCATTGTCGTTGAGGCCCTGTACCACGTACCGGTTTACTTTGAGGAAAAGAGAACGAGTAAGAAATTGACGGATCAAAGGTAGCGACCGTTGAGCGATCTTCCTAACACAGCAATCTTTTAGCCAGGTGCTCGTACGATGGGCTCCGCGACTATCGTTCCGAGGCGGGTCGGACAGATTTGCGGGCGATCAACCTTGGACCCTTTGCATGCAGTCCGTCAGTGTTTATTTTTCGACAGCCACGATCGGGTTAGTAGTACTGCTGCCAAAAGAGCGAGCCCTCATGATAGCTCCCAATGCAGATGCAGCGAGATCCCAAAGCAGCGACAACAGTGTCCGAGCGTCAACGAGCGTCCAGCCCTTGGTGCGACAGATGAGTTGTTGTGGAAGAGTGACGGCGTGTGGGTCTGATCGCCAGCGTATGCGATGGCGGGAAATGGCGGCACCCTGGACGTTTTAGGTGGATCTCCCGAACGGAGAAGGGTGAATGCTTCCGACTCATAGATGGGCGAATTAGCATGACTAGTGGCGTGTCCAGATGGGCCGGCGGGCGGGAAAGCTGGTAATCCGCCTCGGCGGTCATTGGCTTCCAAGAAACATTGTCAGCTGTTCCCGCTAATGAAAGACCCGTGTGTGGGGATCTGCATTGCAAACCGGTTATTGCAACAAGAATAGGCTAGGAGGAGGCAAGCGATATCTGCGAACCTTGACAGGACATCAGACCACCCTGTGCTGTGTGTGTCGTGCTATCCGCCTTTGGTGGTACTGCAGACGAGCAGGCATCACCTGAAGGGCCGCCCCTGGCTTTGATCTGCTTTTGGGGCTGCACTCATCAAGCAGAGACGCAGACGGCAGAGGGCCGCGTGAGGGGGGCATGCGCCGCATAAGACATACCAAGACACACCCTCCAGGGTAGCAAGACACGCTCCAGGGTAGCAAGACACGCTCCAGGGTAGCAAGACACGCTCCAGGGTAACAAGACACGCTCCAAGGTTTGGTGACAGGCCTGCTGCTGAAGGTTTGCGGGAGCTCGGGGGGCACATGCAGCAGCCTGTTGCGACGCGACAGCCGTTGGTGAGAGACGGCGCAAGTGTCCAAGGTTGTGACAGAGGAGCAGTAGCCGTGTGCTGAGCGGAGGCATGATGCCAGTTGGTTGGGCTGGGCAGAGCTCGGAAGCTTCCGTGGGGCGTGATTGATTGATTGCATAGCCCACCGCGGTTCCCGCACAAAGGGTGTGCTAGTCAGACAGGATCTCGCGTGCCCGCTGGGGACATGGCAGGCTGTCATGATGCTGGCTGGCTGCAGAGGATGGCTGACGGGGAGTGTCATCCACAGCAGCGCCCACGCCAGCGCCCATTCCCAACGAGATGCACCGCAGGATCATCCTGCTCGGGTAGCGCAATGCATGCCGCCGGTCTTGCAGCCTGGGCGCTGCTCAAGCACCTTGAGCCGTGGGCACGGAGCACTCGACCCAATCAGCCCGCTCGAACTATTCCCCAACAGTGACCCACTCCTTGGTCGGCTAAAGCTCTGGTGGTTGGACTGCGTGCGAGTGCAGCTCGTCCGGTTCCAGTTCGCCCACCCGATCCCTCTTTCTTTTCTCCCGCCAGCTTCAACACCACGACGCGACATCGACGGCAGAGCGACTGCAGCCACTCTCTGCCACGACTTAGCACGCCGAATCGCTGCCAGCCCTCGCCGCGTCTCCTCCCGTGCCAGCTAGTCAGACGAGTCCGTCACCACGTCGCAGCAATTGCCTGCGCCGCACTCACTTGGCCATCTCATCATCTTCGACACCATCGCTTTGGGCCATCAATAACGCCGCCGACTCGCAACCCGCAAGTGCGCCGCCAATCTCTTCGTTGTGTTGTTTGCTTTTGCAGCCGTGAGTGCTTTCCTCGGCCCTTTTGATCGTGGATGAACAGCCGGCTGTGTGGATCCGTCATGTGCGCGCCGTCACTGCGGTATTCACGAGCCTGCACCCGCACGGGGGGCGAATCGCGAATTGTTTATTGACAGCGCCAGGTCGTGTTTGCTTCGTAGTCGATATACGACGTCTCGTGCATTTGTTTGCTGGGTACCCAATCGCGTGGTCAAAGACGTAAGTTCAGGACCCTAATCCTCCGTCGAACCTTCCCCGTGGGCTCGTCGCGAGGCTGTCTCGGCCCACGCAGAGTGCTGATTCGTCGCAGACATCGTACCTAATCCACCATGGCTACTATTGCTGTTGCGAATGAGACTAAGAGCACCTCTGTCCGCACTACAAAAGATGGCCGGCAGGTCCGCTACAACTTACAGGTGATCCAGCAGCCGGAGCGTGCCCGTGCTTGTGGCAGTGGTGCAAAGTCCAGTGCTGATCGACGTCCTGTCGACCCACCGCCAATTGTCGAGCTGCGTGTCTTTGAGAACGACCAGGAGATCACCTTTGCCTACAATGCAAACTTCTTCCTGCACGCCAGTATCGAGAATGCCCGCGCCATTGCCCCAGGACGTGCCCCACCGGCCACGCCCAGCTTCCCCGTCCTCACCGGCACTCCCGTCGCCGGCATGGCTTACCTGGACCGCCCAACTCCAGCAGGCTACTTCATCTTCCCGGATCTGTCTGTCCGCCATGAGGGCAAGTACCGACTGAGCTTTTCTCTGTTCGAAAACCTCAGTGAGGTCAAGGACTTGGATCCCGAGGACCCCGACGTCATCTGCGACGGCAACAACTTCGTGAGCCACCGCGCTGAAGTCAAGTCGGCGCCCTTCACTGTGTTCTCGGCCAAGAAGTTTCCCGGACTGTCTGAGAGCACGGCTCTGAGCCGCATGGTCGCCGAGCAGGGTTGCCGTGTTCGCATCCGACGCGATGTCCGTATGAGGCGCCGGGAGACCAAGTCTACCAAGGAATGGAACGAGTTCGACGACGAGGCTGGCGGTTACGACGAAGTTCAGCGCGCTGCGTCCCCGGACAACTACACTCAACAGCAGGCTGTTCCTCTAGACTCTGACCGTCCCCGCTCCGTGTCCAACGCCAGTAACCCCTCCTTGGCTCCTCCACGTCGCCCAAGTATGGATGAGCTGGCGCAGTCTTACCAGACCAATAACGGTTATCAACATATGCCTCCACCGCAGAACTCAGCATATCCTCAGATGCAATCGTATGGCTCAAATCAGAACCAATACCACACACAGTACGCACAACAACACGGTGGCATGGTGCAGCCACCGCATGCCCAATATTCTCACCCATCTCAGCCGCTTCACAACAGCTACCAGAACCAAAACGCCGTGCAAATGAACCAGGCCTACGACTACCAAAACTACCAGCAATCTCACTACGGGCAATCACACCAGACTACTCGCCAGGATTCGGCCACAGACTACACTCATCCTGCCGATTATCGCAGAACGTCTATTGCCCAGCAACAGCCTGCGCAGCAATATCCTGGTCCAAGCCAAATGATCCCGCCATACAGCCCGATGGATCAGTACAACCGCCCTCAACAGATGCACCAACCTATCCAGCCTATGCACAACCCTGCGCACATACCTTCCCTATCTGGCCCAAGCAATGTGCACATCTCTAACGGCCATCCTTTGCCTGCGCTGAAGACACTGCAACCCCCACCGAAGATGGAAAAGTCGGAGCCAGTCTCACCCATGTACCAGTCGCCGCCTGGCATGATATCGTCCGCACCCATGTCGGCCAACTCAGACGCGCAAAGTAACTACCCCATGTCGCACGCCGCCTCTCACCTCCCGCCAATGTCCACAGCCAGCAACAAACGATCCTTCGCAAGCACCTTCGACACCAGGCACATGAACGAGCGCCTGACGCAAGGCGCACGGCCCAACCTCTCGGTCTCATCCTCCACCCACGACGAGCCCGACATGGAACCCCCAATGGACCGCGCGGCCATGAACTACCGCCGAGCAGATGGCACACGGATCCAGCGCCGCGTACCCGACATTGGCGTCTAAGTCCAACGCCATTATCACTTTTGCGATGTGCTTCCCAGCCATCATGTTTCTGACCCCCAACTTGTTCCGAGGCTTTCTCCCTAGGCGTTGTCATGTCTGATGTCTCTTTACTGTTTTGTATTCTTATACCCCCCGTGATCTATGCATGCGCGTCACTCGCGCACTCTTTCCTTTCGTATACATGTCGAGTCTTGTTTTGTTCTGTTCTGTTTTTGAATCACTGGTTTGGTTTGGTTTGGTCTAGTCTGGTCTGGTTTTTGTTTGGTTTGTCAGTAGGCATGGTCTCTGCCTTTTTCTTTTGCTATGGTTACCTATTCATACGCTCTCTACTACCCGGGCAGATATGCTTGCTTGCTTGCTGGCTGGCTTCTGAATCCCCTTGACCATATCCTTCCTAGCTTTTTGCTCTGCTCCTTGCTTGCTATGCTTGCTGCTATAGGGCGGGAACTGTGTCTGCTACTTGCTCATGTCTGCAACTTTGCATTTTTGCTCTGCGTAGACCGGCGGCTATCTGAAGTACGTAGGGCGGCCTTTTTGGCTTCTGGGTGTAGGAATTTGCTAGCTTTTGCGCAGATAAATGTGAGGAATAGTGAGAAGTTTTGAATTCGCTTTTTTGTGTATATATGTCTTGTGTATCTGATGACTTGAAAGATCAACATTTTTCCCGCCACTTGGTGTAAAGCATAGTCTTCTTCTTACTTCGTCTTCGACGATAGAGTAAGGTCTTTGCTATCGTATTGTTCGAAAGGAGCCAATTAGCATCACCTACTCCGTCCAGTGGTACCGTCCTCCCCGTCATCATCACCATCGTCGTTCTGATCCAAATCATAGTCGTAATTGGCAGCAGCAGCAGCAACAGCGGCAGCGGCAGCGGCAGCGGCAGCGGCAGCGGACCTGCTACAAAACGCCCCAAACCCCCCATCCTTCTCCCCGCCCTCATCTGCCACAACAATACCGCCATTGACACTTCCCTGCGCCCCGTGTTGCTGCCATGGCGGCTTCTCACACGCACTCCCCACGCTCTCCATATATTCCGCGCAGGTATAGAAATACGTCTTCGGATGATGTTCGACAAGGTAAGGACTAGCCAAGGCATACGAGCTATCCTCACGTGAGACAACGCCGTTCTCGACAGCTTCTTGCAGCATGTCGACGAACCACAGATCGGTCTCGCCCCTGTGCTGGGTGTTAGTTGTGCGTATCATAGAGACTGAGGGATAATACCTAGCCAGCCGTTTTACAAATCGTGGGTGCAATTTGTTCAGGAGGATTGGTGTTATGAATCGTGAGTGTGGGGTGTTGAGTAGGCGAGCTTGTTTGTTGGTGTTGGTGGTGGGGTGGCGGTGGGTTTGCTTGGATATTTTTGCTCGCTTGGGGGCTGGCGGGTATGGGTTGTATCTCCGTTTGGGAGCCATTTTGCTTGTTTTCGAGGCGGCGTTGTCGAGATAAGGTGAGGTGGGGATGATGCGTGTTTGGTCGAGATGAGCAAAAACGACAGTTCGCCTGCTTCAAACGGCAAGGGCAAGTGACCAAATGGCGAAAGTGCAGAACTCGAGGAAGTACTCAGACGCAGTTATTGTGAGTACGGAAGTATGTATTCAAAGTGGTCAACAAGAGTGAGGATATTGTCTTGCCATCGTGCACCTTTTTGTGTTTGTCTTTGGATACGCTCGGTCCTCTAGGGCTTCTGATTCAACTCATCTGATTCAATGTATGTACATGTAATTCGCTTGTGACGAACATACTCTTGCTAATCCCTCTCCAATTCACGTCCTCGATCCCTGTCCAAACACTGACAGAATGCAAGCCAGGTAAGGCTAAGCACTTTTCTCTACTTTCGTGTCTGCAAGTCACCATTCATACGAGTAACAAGACAGAGTAAGGGAGGTAGCCCTGGCCAGATGTTACTCGGTGGTTACATGTCCAAGTCTGATGAAGAGAACCGCACGCAAGAGGATAGAGAAAAAGAAGAATATACATGAGCCTAAAGTGGTGATATGCCACAAGGAGAAGGTGATGAAAACGGCGAGATCGAAGTCGAGAAGAGCGAGTAGGTCGTTCAATGCCTAGAATTCGACAACGAAGAAGAGAAAGAAAAAGAAGATAATGAGCAGGAAGTGGAGTAATGTGACAGTAACGAATACGTTGTCACTGAAGCTGTAGTTGTGAAACTCAATGAAACCCAGCAGTTTGTACTTCAAATCACACCTGTCGAACGAGATGAAACTGAGCAGCCCACTACTAATACTACAATGGTTGTTACTGCTTTGTCTGTTGACATTCATGAAAGTAGAGACATTACGCACTTGGTCATTCCTTTATCTAGACCTCGATTTTCTCTAGGCAATCATAGATTCCTATGCAGGAGAGGTCTTATCCTCGCTGCTTCCCGAGTCGCCACATTAATATTCTCCGGCGCCCTGCATCCCCTCTGATAACGTGGGCGGGACGTACTGGTTGTCATCCTCACACCCACTCCCCAAAAACCTGGTAAGTTCACTAACCCAGACGCGTCGGCCTGCCCCTGACATTCCCCTCCTAGCTGGTAGATATCCCATATCTTTCCAGACTACCCGCTCCGATACTAACCACCTGCGTCTTCGCACTTGCAGTCAGATATCAGCTGTATGTGATCCGGACACAGGTCCTCGGTAAGTCGACATCCCAGGATCTAAAGTGCAGCAACATTTTGCAACAGCGTGACACCCACAACCAAGATTAGTGGAAGAGTCTTGTATCTGAATTCCTAGCAGCAATCGTCTCGTTCGCACATTTGCAGTTTTCATTAGTGTGGTTTTGCAGCTTGCATGAGCCGCAGTTTACTTCCCGCTGTGACACTTGACCGAGAGCGAGACATACGAGAGACGCTAGGGCCTGTGGTAAGGATGGGAGATTACTTGTTAGCTCTTACAAGCGTAAGTTGACGGCACATACTCGCGTTCTTATTGGCGGATACGCAGCTTGTTACCTTTTCCTCGACTGCTGACGCCATCGAGAAGACTGTTCTTGGCGCGGGGTACGACCTACCCCTCTACGCGAGACGCCTGCACGCCATTGCAAACAATCGACTTCCCGCTCCTTGGACCGAAACTGGACGCTGTGACATGTACTTTTTGATCAGCAGAGTTCATCGAGAGGCTGTGAGACGTCGGTTCATCAGCAGGGGGGCACCGATGAACCGTAGATTGAAGTGGAGAGTGGGGTATGAGATCGGTAATCCCCGAGGCGATGAGGAGGGGCGACTAAATAGTTTTGGGAGCTTAGTCTACGGTACAGCAACTGAGACGCGTGCGACTGGTATTGCCTTGTATGACGTGACGGAAGCGAGGTCTTGCACAATTGTCTTCGGGGACTGGACTTCCTCTTCTGTATTTCCCTTTCTCTCACTCAGGTACCCAGCTTTTTTATACAAAATACTTCGCCAGGTTGATCAAAGGAGAAGATTCAATACATTCTCATCATGGCTGAGGAAATCTCCAAGAACTTCGAGACGCTGCAATTGCATGCCGGCAAGCTTCAACCACGCGTCCAGACATGAGTACAACTAACAGCAAATTTCCAGGCCACACTCCAGATTCCGAGACAAATTCTCGCGCCGTACCAATCTATGCGACTACCGTACGTTCTGGCCCGACACGACGCTATCAACATCAGAACTAAAACTGACACGGATAGTCATTCGTCTTCAATGACTCGGCACACGGCGCGAGGCTATTCGGCCTCAAGGAGATGGGAAACATCTATTCCAGAATAGTCTGCGCCTCCATCCTGACACGCTGCGGTGCACACGTTGATCTGAACAGGGAAACCCCACAGTTGCCGTCTTCGAGAAGCGTATTGCAGCCCTCGAAGGCGGTGTTGCTGCTCTTGCGACATCCTCTGGTCAAGCAGCCCAGTTCGTCGCCATCGCCACGCTTGCGCAGGCTGGTGACAATATCATCTCGACCTCGAACTTGTATGGAGGCACATACAACCAGCTCAAGGTCATGTTCCCGCGTTTTGGTATCCAGACAAAGTTCGTCAATGGGGATAAGCCTGAGGATTTTAAAGCGGCCATTGATGATAAGACGAAGGCTATCTATGTGAGTGTATACGTGTCAATGGCGAGCATTAGCTGACTTTATAAACAGTTGGAAAGCATAGTACGAACCAATCCAGTCTCGGGATTGGGGCAGACTGACAAGACTTTCTAGGGAAACCCCAAGTACAACGTCCCCGACTTCGAGAAGATTGCGGCAATCGCACATGAAGCTGGTGTTCCGGTCATCGTCGACAACACTTTCGGTGCTGGAGGATACTTCGTTCAGCCCATTGCCCACGGTGCAGACATCGTCGTACATTCTGCCACGAAATGGATCGGAGGTACGTATTTCCCCCCCCCTGAATAAAGGTGATAGCCTGACTTGCATAGGCCACGGCACAACAATCGGCGGAGTCATTGTCGATTCCGGAAAGTTCGACTGGGGCAAGCACGCAAAGCGTTTCCCCCAATTCAACGAGCCATCGGAGGGATACCACGGCCTGAAGTTCTGGGACACATTCGGCGCCATCACCTACATCATCCGCGCACGAGTCGAAATCCTACGCGACCTAGGCGCGGCCCTGAACCCCTTCGCAGCGCAGCAACTCCTCCTCGGCATCGAAACCCTGAGCCTGAGAGCCGAGCGCCACGCTCAAAACGCGCTGAAACTGGCACAGTGGCTGGACGGCAACGAGAACGTGAGCTGGGTCTCGTATCTGGGCCTCGAGAACCACCCGTCACACGAACTTGCGAAGAAGTACCTGCCGCGGGGGTTTGGGGGCGTGCTCTCGTTCGGCGTCAAGGGAGGCGGCGCTGCGGGGAGCCAGGTCGTTGATAACTTCAAGCTTATTTCTAATTTGGCGAATGTTGGGGATTCGAAAACTCTTGCTATCCATCCCTGGAATACGACTCACGAGCAGCTGAGCGATGAGGAGAAGGCTAGTTCGGGCGTGACTGAGGTATGTTGTGTTTGTTTTTGGTAGTTAATATGAGGTGTTGTCTAACTCTTTGCCACGCAGGATCTCATTCGTATCTCTGTCGGCACGGAGCACATCGACGACATCATCGCCGACTTCGAGCAGTCATTCAAGCAGAGCGCGACTAAGCCAGAGGAGAAGGGCAAGCCTGCCAACGCCGAGAAGACGGGCGGAGATGAAGGCGAGTCTGCAGGCTCTCTGTCTGGAGCTGTGTAAGAGAGTACTTCAGATGCGCCGCGCAAACAATGTCAGAGGAGAGGAATCCCTGGAAGACAGAGTTTCAAAACAGTTTAGATACCATGCACCTTGCTTCTTACAAAACATGAAGATACTCGGAGTCGGCGCGTTCTTTACCACCGACACGCGTCGGGGGAGACTTGCTTTGTCCAATGCCATTCATGTGTCGTCTCGACGATCCGAACGTTTCTCCAGACTAAACCCGCAGCCGAGGTATCTTCCCAAACGGCCAACGCTCATCCATAACCCCAGCAGCCAATCACGCACCGCCCATTCGCTGACATGCAGGAGGCTTTGTCACGCATCCAACATGTGAAGACATGCACTTCGCATGTGCTTACAAGTCTCCCACAAGAGCTGCAAGCCGTAGTAATCTAACCCAGAAAACAACCCCCATTTCCCCACTCGCAGCCTGCATATTTCACGTTCGCGGAGCAGCAGACGGGGGCAAATCGGCCAATTCCCAAAGCAGACAGACGCGCTCGGACCCCAGAACTTGGCGTGCCGGTGCGCGCGTGCCACAGCGTGTGGAGAAGGGCTGCCTCGGCATGTTCCTGGAGAAATTGTGGGTTGCGGTAGGTATGAATGGGGCTTATGGGGGAAACGTCATGTGGTTTCCTCCTCTCTCTCTCTCTCTCCGTCCTCCTCTCCCCCAGTATTTCTCTCCAGTTCTTGGATACAAGCAAGTTGAAGATAGATTCTGATACCATTGATTTTATTATTTTCCCCGCAGATTGAAGGATTGCGCGCTAGACGTTAGGTGTGTTGCAAGGCCCAGGGATGATGGGGATGCCGAGCATGTGGACTTGGTGTCGTGTCGTCGGGGAACGCGAATGCTGACATGTGGGTTAGAGATTCGTTTTTCAGCCGCGCCCCAGTTTGTGCTACCGCGTTTATCTGTCTACATCACGCAACTCCCTGCGACGCGCTCTATCGAACACATAATAGCCAGCATCCACCATGTTCGGCTCAACGGACCCCCAGATCACACTCGCTCAGGAGATCAGCGCTCCTCCGGCAAAGGGCCAGCCGTACAGCGTTCCGATCCTGGGCACACAGTCAGAGGGCAAGAGCGCCATCTACCGGCACTGGAGATTTGCGGACAAGCCTTTGTTGGAGCGCTTGGTGCCTGAGGTACGGCCCCCGACGTCGCATGAGCAGGGCGTCTGACTGACGAGACGTTGTAGATTGGCACGCCGCACGAAGCCTTTGAGAACTCGGGTATGTCACGGCGCAACGTCGCGCATCGAGCTCACCGCTGACTGAGGCTGCGTAGTCGCTAGATACCCGCGGAACAACTGCCTCGGCCACCGGCCCTACGACCCCGTCGCGAAGAAGTTCGGCGCATATGTGTGGGAAGACTACGAGACTGTTGCTCGGCGCCGGAAGAACTTTGGCGCGGGACTTGTGCATCTGCATAGGCAGGCTGGCGTCACGGCGACTAAGTATGGCGTCGGGCTGTGGTGTCAGAACAGGCCCGAGTGGCAGATCACTGGTGCGTAGAGTCGAGGAGTAGACGTGATTGAGTATCGATTGCTGACCGGTATAGATCTGGCTTGCATGTCCCAGAGCCTTTTCACGGTTTCCATCTACGACACCCTCGGCCCCGATACTACCGAGTACATCATCAACCACTCCGAACTGGCGTGTGTTGTCACAGGAATGAACCATGTCACATCACTGTTGAAGTTAAAACCGCGACTCCCGACTCTGAAGATTATCATCGTCCTGGACCCGCTGTCTGCTGGCGAACTTCCCGGAGAATCAAAGGGAGAGCTTCTCAACTCATTGGCAGCGGACTTGGGAATGACAATCCACTACATCCGCGACGTCGAGGCCTTGGGCGAGAAGCTACCGCTTCCTATGAGCCCACCGTCACCAGACGACAATGCTACCATCAACTACACGTCAGGTACCACGGGAAATCCCAAGGGCGTCGTGCTGAGCCACAGGAACGCACATTCCGCGACGTGCTCCAGTTTGGTTCTCATGGGCTCCGACAGTGACCAGATTATATGCTCGTTCCTGCCTCTTGCACACATCTACCAGCGACTTGGTGAACACAGTGCGCTTGCGGCTGGTTCGGCGATTGGGTATTTCCACGGGAATGTCGTTGAATTGATCGACGACTTGAAAATGCTCAGACCAACTGCTTTCTCAGGTGTTCCCAGGCTGTACAACAGGTTCGGGTCCAAGATCAAGGAGGCTACCATTGAGGCGACGGGTGCTAAGGGCGCGCTATCTCGACATGTGGTCTCGACGAAGTTGACTGCTGTAAACGACCCGCAGAACGCTTCCAACACGCACATGCTGTGGGACCGCGTCTGGGCCAAGAAGGTAGCCGCAGGCCTCGGTCTGGATCGATGCAAAACCATGGTCAGCGGCTCCGCGCCCATCGATCCCAGTCTGCACCAGTTTCTGCGCATTGTCTTCGCCAACAACTTCGTCCAGGGCTACGGCTTGACAGAAACCTACGCCATCGCGCTCTGCCAAGCGAATGGCGACTTTACATCTGCAAACTGCGGCGGTGTTACGGCGAATGCGGAGGTATGTCTTGGTGATGTGCCTGACATGGAATACCTTTCGACCGATCTGCCACACCCTCGAGGAGAGCTTCTTATCCGTTCCGCGACGCTGTTCAAGGAGTACTTCCGCAACCCCGAGGAGACGGCAAAGGCCATCGATGCAGATGGCTGGTTCCACTCAGGTGATATCTGCTCCGTCGACGAACTCGGCCGTTTCAAGATCATCGACCGTAAGAAGAACGTCCTCAAGCTCGCGCAGGGCGAGTACATCTCCCCCGAGCGTATTGAGAACGTGTATCTAGCAAACTGCGGGTGGATCGCGTCTGCCTACGTCCATGGCGACTCGCATCAGGCGTTCCTGGTCGCCATCTTCGGTGTGGCGCCGGATATGTTCCCCGCATTTGCTTCCAAGGTGCTGGGTGAGAAGATGCAGGATGGTGATATCGCAGCGCTGCAGGCTGCGCTCACAAACAAGAAGGTCGAGAAGGCGGTGCTGAAGGAGCTGGACCGTGTGGGCAAGCAGAATAAGTTCAACAGCTACGAGCGTGTCAAGGCCGTGCGGTTGTTCCTGGATCCGTTCACCATTGAAAACGAGCTCTTGACGCCAACGTAAGTTACATTGCTCTATTTGGTAGTAAGACAAACGACGCTAACCATGTGCAGGCTCAAGTTGAAGCGTCCGCAGACGGTGAAGAAGTTCAGGCAGCATCTCGACGACTGCTATGATGAGGCTCTTGCAGTGGAGAGCAAGACCAAGGCGAAGTTGTAGATACAGGTAATCACGTTTTGTGTTGTTGTGTTCCCGAGGCTGTTGAATGCCGGTGCCGAGGGTGATGCCGAGTTGAACTGTTGAAGCAGAGAGATAAGCAGTGATGGTTGGGTGTAAATGTACGGTATATTAGCCAATTGCAGTCGGTGATTTCTAAATACTCCGGCCAATGCGACGATCGCGTAGACTAGACTGTGCTATGGCTGCATGTTTGGGACGAGTTGACGCCAAGGGAAACCAACGCAGGGTTCGGGTGGGTGGGTACCTGCCTGCATGGTTACGGGCCTACTCCCGCCTGCACCTTCCCCAGCTCCCAAAACAAACACCGAGACAGGCCCATTCACCAACCTTTGTTCCCACCACCGCAGCGCCGTCCACTTCTCATGCTAGTGCTTCAAGGCTCTCCCACTCCCACCCTCACTCTCATCTTTACCTCGCCCGCGTTCACAGTCCACGGACGGAAATCACACCCTCCACCGTCGCCAAGTCGCTCCTGCCAATGAGTGACGATACGTCTGCCCCGCGCGCCTCACGCTTCAGAGAGCACACCAACACGACAAACTCGATACATCCGCCGCCCGTCGAGCTATGGAAGGACATTGGCATCGAGAATCTGATTGAGAAGTTCAATGAGGAGAACGAGGCGCCGCCCAAGGCTGCTCGTCCCACTGCGCGGAGGAGCCACAGCGCCATCTCTACGCCTGTGCGGAAGAACCATGTTGCGCCGACTCATACGCCTGCTGGCACGGGTGTTGCTTCGCGCGCCACTGCTGCGCCTGCGCCACCCGTCACGCCTGCTCAAACCGAAGGCACGCTGGGCCGATTCTCGCGCGCATTTGCATCTGTGTTCGGTGGCTTGACGGGGAAGCGTAAGGCTGCGAATGCGATGGTGGTAGATGCGGAGGCGAAGGAGAAGGAGAGAATGGACGAGCGCAAGAGGGCTGCCGAGGCGGCGTACTACGAAGCTAAGGAACTGGGTCTCCTCCCCGCTGCCAAAGTATTCGTGAGGCCGAGTATGGCTGCAAGAATGCGCAAGGATGGTATGCCAGTCCCGTGTCCTGACAGTGTGGCGAGGACCCCCAGGCTGATAGATGGCGTAGCAGATCCCATGACGCCGCAACCCGAGCATACCCCCCGAACCCCAGCTCTCTACCACTCGCAAAGCAAAAAAGACCTCTATAAGCAGAAGAAGCTATCAAAGCGCGTTTCAAACCTAGAGAGTAAGCTCGCCCTGGCGAAAAGGGAGCTTGAATCCGTCCTCGCCGTAGCCTCTCCCGTTTCCGCCTCGACGCCAACGGGGCCCCATCTCTGGAGCGAAAACGACGTCTCCCCACACTGCCACACCCTCCCCTCCTCAATCACCAAGAAGCGAAAAGCAACCACCATCGACGAGGCCGAAACGCCCCAGCCCCTCAACCTCCAACAGACAGAAACACGCTCCCCCAAGCGAGCTAAATCCGTCCGCAAGGTGAAACGCCAGTCCTCGCGCCTCAGCAAGAAAAATAGCGCCGTCTTCAAGGAAGAAGTCATCATCGTCGTGCCGGACGGCGTGTCCGTGCCGCCCATCCCCTCCCTACCCAAGGACGTCGAAGGCAAGAAAACAGTCATAAAGAGCACTGATGAGGGCAACAAAACTGCCATAAAGAGTATTGATGAGGTCGAGAACACCGTCATAAAGAGCACTGACGATGGCTACGGCGGCCTGGAGCACGAGATGTTCTAAACGAGGTTTGCTATCAACCCTTTTCCTGCTTTTCTCTTCCTCTCCTCCACAGCAATGCATTTGAGCGCTTTTTTGTGCGGTTTTTACGACATGACGCCGTGTTTGAAGGAGGCACCACTTTTTTTGTGAATCTGGTTTCTCGCGTTTCGGATCTGGTCTGGCGTGTTTTGGGGCGTATTATTGGGGTTTTGTCCTTCTTCCTCTCGCTAGGTGGGTTTTGCGTTTTGTTCGACCATGTTGGATGACGGGATATTATGACTAGGTCCTTTTTTGATTTTTCTGTTCTCACATGACGGTTTTCTCTCTGCACCGGCTCGGCTCAGTTCGACTAATGCGACGATGGATGACTTGAGTAAAGCAAAGTATAGTGTGTGTGTGTGCAAGCTTCATAATGTCACTCATGTTTGACGAATGTCATTACTTTATCAGACGAAACCCGTACACAAAGAACAACAGTGAAGTAAAAAGCCTCATGTAAACGGCGACGAATCACAGATATTCATTCGACTTTGAATACGTAGATAATCTACTCATCTTCTACATGCAAATATATATCAATTTTCTTATGCATTTTGGCCCCCGAGAGACTAACAAGTCTAAAAAACGCCGCAACCCAATGGAAACATATTGTGAGGCTAGGGATATCATTCATCGAGCAGGGGACAAGACAGCACAGGACAGGTAGGAAACGCTTCGTCGGCTATTTATAACCCGTTGAAGCCCATCAGCAGACCCGCGCCCGCGAGCGCAGCCCCGCCTATCCATGGGTTCGCAGTCATGGCTGCGGCGGCGGCTCCGCGCGATGTGGCGGCTGTTGCTCCAGCGCTGGTGGAGGCCGTATCGGCGACACCCGAGGCGTTGGGCACACCGGATGTACCTGCCTGGATCTCCTGGATGTTGGAGGTGGTGGCGTTGAAGTTTGTCTGGGCGAGGGAGATCTGGTTGTTGTCGAGGTCGTAGACGACGTATGCGGAGCGCAGGAAGGTGTCGCCGAGGATGGCGACCGAGTTGCCCGAGGGGGCGATGCCGAGGATGCAGACGGGTTGGCCGCGGGACACGGCGCCGACGACGACGAGCTCGTTCATGGGGACGGTGATGTTTGCTCCTGCGAAAGTGAAGACGAGGTGGTCGTTTAGGTTGGCGACGTCGCAGTCGACGAACGCGGTGCCTTGGCTGGAGTCGTATTGCGCGCTGTATTTGGTGTAGAGAGTGGATACGATGCTGCTCGGGAGGTAGGTGAGAGAGGTACCGGAGTCGAGGAGGACAGGCAGGTTCTGGTTTGAGATGAGGGAAAGGTTGTGCGAGGCGTTGTTCATGCTCAGGCTGTTCAGGTTGACAAGGAACTCGGCGTAGACGCCTTGCTCCTGGATGATTGGCAGTGTGTGGAGCGAGCCATGATACTTGTCGGTATCGACGCCACCAAACAATATGTTTCCAGTTGAAGCGTCCAGGTCGTTTAGCCACAGGGAATATGCGACAGAATTGATGGTACTATCGTTGGCCAGTTTTTGTGGTAGATTGGGGTATGGGTCGAGTCCTCCTCGGTTGACGGCCACCTCATTGATTGCGTATCCAATTCCCAGAACGGCCTCCGACGAAGACGACGTGTACCCAACGCCGAACTGGAAGTCTTTGATGGCCTGGCCACCAAAGTGAAATGTGTCGGTAACATAATCTCCACTGGCGCCTGAGCCATCGACGTAAGAAATGTTGAACTCGCCGTTCACGTATGAATATGTTGACGAGTCATTCGCGTTGTATGTCCCCGAATCGCTGCATTGATCGCCGCGCTGCGAGCATAATGTGGAGGTCGGTGTGTTGACCCACAGATCGCTGCTGCCGGTATCGATATGTAGGCGCAGGCTTTGTTGTGGTGTGCCTAAACTTGCGTTTGCAAAGTAGAGCGTGTCGAGGTTGTCGAGCGTCTGTTGAACCGGTGCTCGCTTGCGCATCCGGTCGTGTGCGATGGGATCGACATTGCTTTTGCGCTGGATATCGAGACCAATCACTCTAGGATTCTGCCAGAGTCAGCCTTGGCCCCAGGGACATAGTCGGGAGATGAGGCTAAACGCCCAAGCGGGAGGCTGGCTTGCCGTGTGGAAGCCAAGGCGGTACTTACTTCTCGCGGAGACAATCTAATCGCAACTGCCGACGACACCAAGTGCGCGGCGAAAAATGTCGAGTATTTCATGGCCGTCCTTTGATGAACAGTGTTGTGTAGGTGTTGTTTCTATATACCCAAGACGCACTGAGACGGGGTTGGAAAAGCTGGCGCGCGGTAGGTTAGAGATGGTCTGGAACCGACGTCTACCGTGTTTGACAGTCGGAAAGCGGAGGTGAAGTACGGCGGCTAGTGGTGAAAATGGGTGGGCAAAGGTGAGAGTGAGTGATAATAATACAGAGGTGACAGGTGGGTATGCTTTCAAGGTCTTAATGGTGCAGGGGGCGACGTTCGCACGGCGATGACGACGCGTATTGGAGTGAGACGCTACGGATCTAGCGGACTCTCCACGTAACTTCCATAGCCGCCGACGGATTTGATTTGAGAATGGTCACAAGTCAGCGGGAGATCTCCCTGGCGCGTTGCAAGATTGCGTATGGCAGTCGTGGCGGTGCAGCACGACATGGAATCTTGCCTTCTAGACTTTGGGACTCGACACAAATCATTGGCACACGGGAGGCGCCTGCCGGTCTATGCAGGAACTCCCAGGATCGGCAAACCGTGATGTCGAGCATCAGGCCAGCTGTGAAGACTGTCTACACAGTAATCCACCACGGCGAGCAACAGTCTCACGCTGTCATACGGGTGCGTCGACGCCGGCGACTTCATCAGTAACATTGCCTGTCTAAAGCCTAGCTGGTGTCTGTGCGATGGTGATTTCCGGCGGATGCTCGCCCGTCGCAAGGCAGTTGATCGAAGCTACGTTCTGCACGCCTCTCCAGCACACGCTCAGCGTGATCGGGACGAAAGGCTCTTTGCTCGTCGCAGGCCTTGGCTGTTAGGATGGTGTGTGTGGGGCTCAAGACACATGTTCGACTGTGTGAAGACCCGAGAGATCCGGAGTGTCGGTCAGATTCGCCGCTTGGGAACGGTGCGGTGCTCACTGCCCATGTCTCGGGGGAATTTCCTTTCGACGTCACCCAAGGACACCGCCGATTCCTTTCGGGAATACGGTGTCGTCGAGTCAAGCTCGTCGATCGCATGCTGGTGCACGTGATTGCCACTTTGACACTAAGCCCAACTAAGCGCTTAGTGCGACGCGTCCAGAAGGGAACTGACGGCACGCGTGAGAGCCGTGAGAGCGCGTCAGCCCCTCCATCACAACCAACAACCAATAAATACAGCACACCATGGCGAAAGCAGAGTCTTCGAAAGCAGCCGCCGGCAATGGTGTCAGGGCCAATCCCAATGCAGTCGGAGGAGCAAACTACGAACTCCCATGGTAAGCCACGTTTAGATCTCGCAGTGCGTCTTAACTGACCCTGGCTTCAAGGGTAGAGAAATACCGCCCAGTATACCTTGACGATGTCGTCGGCAACACTGAGACGATTGAGCGCCTCAAGATCATCGCCAAGGACGGAAACATGCCACACATGATCATCTCAGGCATGCCTGGCATTGGCAAGACAACCTCGATCCTGTGCCTCGCGCGACAAATGCTCGGAGACGCGTACAAGGAAGCAGTGCTCGAACTCAATGCATCAGACGAACGAGGTATCGACGTTGTACGGAACAGAATAAAGGGCTTTGCACAGAAAAAGGTCACGCTACCACCCGGCAGGCAGAAGTTGGTCATCTTGGATGAGGCAGACAGCATGACAAGTGGTGCACAGCAGGCGCTGAGGAGAACCATGGAAATATACAGCGCAACAACAAGATTCGCCTTTGCATGCAACCAGTCGAACAAGATCATCGAGCCGCTGCAATCGCGATGCGCCATCCTTCGCTACGCCCGCCTCACCGACGCCCAAGTCGTGCGCCGAGTAATGCAAATCTGCGAAGCGGAGAAGGTCGAATACTCGGACGACGGCATCGCGGCTCTCGTATTCTCGGCAGAGGGAGACATGCGACAGGCCATTAACAACCTACAGTCGACACATGCTGGTTTTGGCTTTCTGAACGGGGACAACGTCTTCAGGGTTGTGGATAGCCCACATCCAATCAAGGTGCAGGCCATGATTAAGGCATGCCACGAGCAGAAGATAGACGATGCCTTGACAACGCTGAAAGAGCTGTGGGACCTCGGATACTCGTGTCACGACATCATCAGCACAATGTTCAAGGTCACAAAGACGATCGATACCTTGAGTGAGCACGCAAAGCTGGAATTCATAAAGGTATGCATTCAGGGTTGCTCTTACTTTAGTATACTGACATAGTATCCAGGAAATTGGTTTCACACACATGCGCATCCTCGAAGGCGTGCAGACGCTCCTCCAGCTCTCCGGCTGTGTTGCTCGCCTTTGCAAGATCAACATGCAGCCTCAGCTTTTCATTATGCCGTCAAAACAAAAGTGATACACCCCGACAACGCACGTATAGGATTTAGCAGGGCGTTTGGTGTTTCTGATTTGTTTACAACGCCTCCGTTTCTGGAAAAATATTTCAGCATATGCTAGAATCGAAGAATCAGAGATATTCCATATCTGATAGTGTTCTCACGCTGCGTGGTCATTTCTTCTTTGGCAAACAGCAATTGCCACGACGTCTACCCGTTCGTCGACATCCATCACTTCTTGCTCTCTCGACATCTCGACTCCCTGTCTTACAATCAAACCACCATTCAACATCTGCTCGCCGCTGCTGTCTGATCCCCATTCAAGATGACCATCTCATAGTCCTCTTGATGCTCTACCGCATCAAAGAACTCCACTTCTGCTTCAGACTCGGTATCTAGCATCTGTACACTCCCCTCATCGTCTTGGTTTGGAACGTCAAATTCCTCATCCCTACCCCCATTGACTAAAGTTATGTCGTCTACACCTGTGAACAGCGAGCCAGCACCCCCATCATGTTGAATCGCCGTTGTGCTCTGCTCAGCGGTCGGTCGCATCACGTCACGTATGACCCGCGATACCATCATGTCATACTGTTTCTCGTCGTCGGTTTGTGGCGGCAGACCGGTTTGCAGGGGTATGGAGTTCAGCATTCGTCCGCGATCACGTTCAGCGAATACAAGACAAACGATGAGGCCAACGAATGGGAGGGTGTAGGGGATCCAGGATATGAAAGACATGTTGTGCCAGGGTGGGTGTGGAGGAGGGAGCGAGTTTTATGTGATGGATGATCGTGATTGCCTGTGAAAAGTACGCGTGATGATGTGAAAGGGGGGCAAACTTGGAAATGGAAGAAGATGCTTGTGCCTGTTTTCTGGAGAGAGTAATACGCATTTCAAGTTTGTCATGTCGATGATGATTTTGTCCGCACACCTAATCCAGTCAACATACTAGAACATTGAAAATCATCACACATTCTCCCTCGCATGCTGTGTCCCACTCGTTCCTCTTACAGCCTGCATCTCCTTCAATGGCCCTTGGCTACTTGTCGAACCAGTCTCTTCCTTCCTCGCGACATACTTCGAGACATACCCCTTCTGACCAAACAGATGGAACGGATCCAAAAGCCCAGCCAGCACACTTCTCTTACTCTCTATCTTTTCAAGCCTCTTCTTCTCCAACTCCTCATCACTCATATCCCAGAACTGCGTCTTTTTATCCTTGCCGTTAACCAAGCCCCACAAATCAAGAGGATCGAACATAGTCACGATCCACGGCCTATCGTCATCCCATCCAGGCCCTCTCCGTTCCGTCACGCCATCGCGGGCCAAGAAGACAGAATTCGACCGCGGGAGCCGCTTGCCAGGATGCCAGATGTTAAGCAGCGCCGTATTGACAAACATGATGACCGCCTCGAAAATCCAGAAGTATATCTCATTCCGATAGATGCCTGACGACCACCCCTCGATATATTCGACAATGCGGTAGATACACCTTACCGTTATAATAGCCGCAGACACATACATAACACATAGAACAGTCTGCATATCTTTCTTCATCACGCCCGCCTTCCTTGCTCGCCAGTGGAACCACGCGGCTAGCACCCCGAACAAGCTGAAGAGCGTTGCTTGGATACACAGACTCGCCGTCACCATATCCGCACCTACCTGCCGCTTTTTGTCGCTCAAGTTGCTGTTCGCCATGCGCCACGCCCCGTTGCCAATCAGGATTTCGCACAAGCCATCGAGCCCGACGAAGGTTGTGGCTACGCGGCCCGGGTGCAGAGGCGCGAGGTAGGGTATGTAATACAGAATGCGGGCGAGGATGAAGTAGTTTATCAGCGCGTAGACAGGGGGGCCGGATATGATGAGGACTGTGGAGGCGACGACGTAGGTAAGGTTGGAGGGATCGTAGGCGCCGGCTAGGCGGGTGGCGAAGCCGGAGATCATGAGGAGGGCTGCCCAGGGAAGGAGCAGGGTCATTCGGTAGGATTTGTATTTGCTGGGGGGTGTTAGATGGTGGTGTTCTTGTTGGTGGAACGGTGGAAGGATGGAAGGATGGAAAGACTTACAAGGTTTGCCAGGCGTGGAGGGCTCCTGAGACGGAGAATAGGATGATGAAGATTATGGGAGCGATCTTGTTTGGCGCGTAGTACCATTTGCTGCCGGGAGAGTAGTCTCCCATTCCCATCTTTGTTTGAGAGATGAAGCTGCTTTGAGGAGGGAAGAGAAGAGTTCAGAAACTTAATGTGATGAGAAAGGAAGAAGAGGTTGTTTCCCCATAGTCGAACATATAAAAGCGGACCGAATTCTTATAATACAAAGCGCAGGCTTTCACATGAGATGCGAGATATACGAGAAGGACTTGAGGATTCGACTGAAGTTGTGCTTGTGAGACGCCTCATTGAGGCAGTGCTTGTGTGACTGAGAAGATCATGCACGATGGGCTAGGATGAAGCCACCTCGAGTGGCTTAGAGGAAGATCACTGTCGGTTTATCGGGAAGGATGTAAACCAACCATCCATCACATCATCTTTGTTGATCGAAATGATTGATCGCGCAAGCAAGGGGCTTGTGGCTGAGTATGTGTCCCAAGAGAACTGGATAGACAAGACATCAACTATCCTTCAACTCCGCTCACCACCTTTGTGGTGCATCGTTTGATGACGTTCTGATAGAACTTCTTCACAATTTGCTATAATATTTACAGTGTAAGGCAGCTTGGGTTGATTCTTCGGATCTTCGACTAAACGAGAGGAGCATAGAAATGAGAGGAGCATTGAAACGAATACGAAGAATGCGATATCACCCCATGCGAGGCATCATCTTGGTCCCGCAAGGCATTGCGGCGGAGCATGACCAAAACTTGGGACTCATTGGATCCATGATATCACCCAGGCTGTCAGAAACGACATGTACTCTGTAAGCCGTGCCCGATCAACCTTGCCGTGAGGGGCTTGCACGTGACGATCTGCAAGCGACGACTAGCTCCGCGCTAACGTCTCTGGCCTGTTCATCTCGTCGTGGCATTTGTACCACAAGGTCAAACGAACGTCACCCACCACTCCCTTTGCAGATTTAGTTGCGTACTTTCCCGACGTACGTGTTTGATGACTGTGGCTGGAAATGGTGCGCCAGCCTTGGGTGACGCAGAGGATGCTTTTATGCCGAGACCGGCCAACTCTATGGTGATGGATGGGCTATCCAGCTCCAAAGTCACGGGTATGCATGGACCCGAGACGTCCAAAGGATACGACGCTTACACACTGCAGTCGAGTATCATGACCCATCGGGAGTGTTTTCTTTGATCAAAGACGACTTGGCTTCTCGATTACCACTCCGGAATCTGCATTGGAAATCGCCTACACGGCCTTTACGATCGATTGATTCACTCCATGTCGATCTTGTACCCAGCAAAGAGACAGTTTCCATCGCTGAGGTAAACTCAACAACATCAGCTCTTCCTCAAGGAGATCAGGAACCACCAAATCGAACGACCGAAGAAGCGTCCAAGGCCCCTGTCAAGGAGAAAGAGAGACGACATCAGATCCCAGGCCTTCGGCAAACCCCCTACCTAAAGATTTTTCTGTTGCGTTGCGATGATTCGGATACTTACAAGGGAACCGCGCGCAAGCAGTTGCGAGAATGGATGAAAGACCATACACCGCCATCCCAAAGTAGCTCGTCGATCACACAGGATCACCACGATGCCTACGAATGGATGATCATTCATGTTGTGATACCTAATACACCGGCCGCAAGTCAACCTCGAGGGTCTGCTAGTAGTACAACAGGTGAGAAGGAGAAGGGTACCTCTGCCTCACGATGGACTCGCGGAACGACGACAATTCTCGAAAAGATCCGTGCGGACTTCAACATTGTGTCAAAGACTGCGCCAGATCGCGTTGCACAAGTGCGCCTGCCTGTAGAAAAAGTACCGCCACAAATGCTACCACCAGCGGCGCCTGTCACTTCACCACCTATTGCAGAAAGCCCTCAGGAACAGGAACGAGCGTGGGTAGATGTTTTGATCAAGTTCAAGCTTCTGATACTTCTCACGTTTGACCTACGTGTAACTCAGTACGAGGAAGACATTCGGAAGAACGATGCGCAACGCTCGTTTCCTGGCTGGAACTTCAACACGTTTTTCATTCTCAAAGAGGGACTCGCAAGAGGTTTCGAGAGTGTAGGCTTGGTCGAGGATGCATTACTTGGGTATGACGAGCTCTCAGTCGGCTTGGATACGGTAATCCGCGATCAGGCAAACGGTGGCAGCGACACTCAAGGAGGCGTTATGCTCAAACACTCCGAGGATCTATACGAGAAAGCGATAGAGATAATGCAGCAGTCACAAAAGGACGAGGAGAGTCGCAACGAGTCTCAGCCACAGTTTCATGACGAGACACCAGTCAACGCGCAAAAGAAGGATTATCGAGGGTTGATACTCGCCAACAACATCTCTATTTTGGACTTCAAGGTGTACATCTTCGCGCGTCAGATGTCGCTGCTGCTTAGGTTGGGTAACTCGCATTTGACTAGATCGGACATTGCGGCCAGTCTGCAACAACGACAAAATGCCGGTGTGCTACAGCGATCTGTGGAGGACAGTTCTGTCGGAACGAAGTCTGATCTTCATCTCTATGGCGCTGAGGATCTTATCTCGCTCGCCGAACTTTGTTCGCGTGCACTCAATTTCATCACTTTTGCCGGGCGGCTTTTGCGAGACGACTTGATACATGGGTAAGCGAACCTACACGGCGGTTATTGAACTTGTTATTGATTTCACTTGTAGTGCAAAAGCCCACGAAACAACATTTCCTGAGTCGCTCGTGGACAATATGGTGCGATCTTGGACTTTCGCCGCGCTTGAGCAAGTGCTACAAGAAACATCTACTTCTTCTTTGCCAAATTCGGGATCTCGCAAGAATACGTCTAGCAGCTCGTCGGGTAAAATGAAGTCATACGGAAGCCGTGGTAAAGAGCAGAAAAGCCGTGCTGGTGATCCGAAGTCTATGGTTCATCCGTCTCGCTCGACGTCTTTGAACCACGGGCGCTCAGGTGCCTTGGATCCTCCATATGCTCAGCCGATAGCGAGTGCTCAAGTTGTATTTGAAAATGGCCAGTATCAGGATCGCCCGGCTCCAAGTCAAGAGAACTTCTCACCTCAGGCTAAGAATGGTTTACACGACTTGGCTGGTACAAGAGCGCAATTGCTTGCTATCCAGCGACGGCTTCTCGAACATGTCGGTAGATCTTTGGGTTGGAGCATCGGTTGGGCAGCTATTCTTCCCTCTTCGACTCAGACGAAAGAGTTGAGTGACGTGGATTTAGACGATGAAGAGGGCAAAGTCTCCGAGGATGGGAGTGAGGACACAGAGAAAGACGAAGTCCTTATGGGGCCTGTTGCTGGAGTTTCGGCAGTTGCTCTGGTTGGCGCAATCTCCTCAATCGAGCAGTTCCGACGGGCCTACGAGGTAAGGAAATCCAGTGTTTTGCCTTGCGGAGCAGTAATAACCTTAATATAGTCACTGAGCGACCTCATCTATCAGCACTACAAGGTAGCAGGTCACATTAAATCGGAAGAAAGCGTACTTGGCGATCTGGCTGCGCTACGATTGTAAGAACCTGTATGGCTAGTAAAGTCACGAATGCTAACAACGTCTCAGTGAGCTTGGCGACTTTGCTGCAGCGGCAGCCTACTTCGGGCGCATGGCTTCGATATTCGCAGAAACCAGATGGAACACTGTTGAGACCACCATGTTGAGGATGTACGCCCATTGTCTTAAAAAGCTCAACCGCAAGGACGAATACGTTCGGACATTGCTAGACTTGCTGGCCAAGTCTGCTGCAAGCAGGATGTCTTTCAGAACTTCTTCCAAACGAGCCAGCGCCAGCGAGATAACTGACATGCCCCATGACTGGTTGAATGACGATAAAGTCGACACGACTGGCGTGTTGAAGGAAATCGTTGACTACTCACAACAGCTCCCTTACGATGTAACGATTCAAATGGCGAAATACTTTAGTGACATCACAGTGGAACCATACGTGCGCCACTACGACGATAAAGATGGGTTTCAATTGCGCCTTCAGTTCCGGCATATTCTTGATGATGAGATAGAAATCCGAGCGGCCAAAGTTCGACTAGTCAGTGCAAACCCTATACAGGGAAAAGATATTTGGCTCGAGAGTATGGGTCCCGTACAGTTGAAGAAGGGATTATATCGCATATGGCTAGGTTGCAACGTATGTCTCACTTCCATGGATGCTACACAGGATTAACGGTTGACAGATCAACACCATCGGTCCATATACGATTGACAAAATCGTTCTCGAAACCAATCGGATCGTGTTTGCGCATGAGCCCTTTGCCAAAATTGAAGTGACGACGCCTCTAGGTATCGTTACTCCGGTATCCGCACAGTCGCTTAAAGCAGCAAAGAAATCCAGGATATTGTGTTTCCCACGCACCGAAGCGTTCCAAGCTCGAGCCTACCTATCGCACTTTATCCAAATCGATAAGCTACGGCATATAGAGGTCAAGTGTTCTAGCGGATGGAACAATATCAACCGTGCAGAGATCCGTTTGAAATCCGCATCGGCTGGGTTGCGATTGCGAACAGCCAACGCAAGCACAGCCTCGGGAGATGTTGTAATTGACGACGACAAGCCTAGTCCTGGCGTTATTGTCGTAGGAACTATGGCTGCCGACTCAACTGCTGTTTTCAAAGTTCCATACGATATGGAAACTGACCTGCAAGATCTTGCTATCAAAGTCGAGGTAGACTACCACACTGACAACGGTCAGTTTCAGTATTACTCGTCTTTCACAATCCCGGTTGAGCTTCCCCTGGATGTGAACGTACACGATCATTTCAAGGACGAGTCTCTCTTCTCGAAGTTCAACATCAAGACTGCGAACCAGATTCCATTAGAGCTTCTCGATGTAACACTTCAAGGTTCAGAAGATTTTGAAGTTCACGCACCGAGAAGATCGAAGGAACCAATCTACGTGTTTCCTAAGCAGCCAGCGGCAGTCACTTACAAAATTACAAAGACGGCTACCGACGCGTCTGAGCAGACACCAGCTCAACAATCCAAGGCCGGCAGCTTGTCTTTATCTGTGGAATATCGACGTCTGGACGAAGACGTACTGGATCGACTGCGAGAGCTATTCACGAATGCCGTCGAGGACAGCCCGGTTCGACGTCTATCCCGTTTACTTATTGATACGTTCGTCAACGGACTGATACACCAAGTTTTGCCATATCAGTTCGAACAAATTGCTCTTCTTGATAGAGTTGATCTGGGTGCATTTGAGAATTTGGGCTGGTCAGAGTGCCTTGAGAGTCTACCGCACATCATACGCGATGACACACAAACCTGGTTACAGAAATGGCAGGAGGTGAGCTATTTGGCAGTAATAGAATGTATGTGACCACCATACTGACATTCCACTTAGACCCACAAAACCATTCTCCTCCCCAAAGCGCCCTTCCCCGAGACCCCTCTACCAGCCTCTGCGCCCCTATCGCCGTATCCACCTCGTCGCATGATAATAACAGTAGCCATTCCACAAACACACATCTTGCACACCGCATCACTATCCCTCGCTTCTCCCTCTCCAGCGAGTAGTATCGCGATTGTCGGTCAGCCCCTTATGACGACCATCCGAATCTCCCACACCCGCCGCTGGGCCTTAGCCCAAAGTCTTGTCTCAGTAGCAAACCTCTCCTCCGCGGACGACGCAATGGATTTCGTCTACACCATTGACGCCAACCCCGAAACCTGGCTCATCGCCGGCCAACGTAAATCCCACTTCTCCGCCAAGGAGGATGAGCAGCTCGAGTACCCCATCGTTCTCATTCCTCTCAAGCCTGGTATTGCGCTGTTGCCACACGTTGAGATTCGTGCGAAGGTGAAGCCGAAGGAGGCGGGCCAGGAGAAGACAGGCGGCGATGCCGGGGAGTTAGAGGTGCTTAATTGCGAGATGGATTACTTGAGTTATGGGGAAAGTGTCATGGTCGTTCCAGATGTAAGAAGTAGTACAGTGGGGATAGGAGACATGGGATTGGGCGGCACAAAAAGTGTAGTCTGGTTAGAGAGTACAGAGGTGTGATCGTGTGGAAGATATTTCAAATTGATACTTGTATATCGCATTTGAAAAAGAAGGTTTCAATATTTACTGAATGGAAGGTGACACCATTCTATGGATTCTCAGCTGCAATGATGAAAGTCGGCGCCACTTACATGGTTTTCATGGTGGCGCCGTGGCTGTGCATATGCACGCGCCTCGTGACTCCGTCCACCCGCGGCCGACCTGATTTTCAATCAACATCAGCCTCGTGTGATTATCCCCAAATGATTTAGAGTCTTCATGATGTCCAAACGCTTCCTGCTTGACCCGTTGAAGGTCTTCCTACGCTCACCTTCTGAAAAGAAGTATCGGTGTCATTGGTGTCATGAACGATTCAGGAACCAAGTGAAGTTGTCAGAACACTTACAGAGCACGGAAGAGAAAATTTCAGGCAATAGGCAGGAATGTGTACCAATTTCCTACTGCGATTGGTGCAACGCACGATTTAGGACACATTTCCATCTGCTATGGCATATTCGAGGCACAACCAGGTCCACTTCTCCTATGGGGCAACAATGTCTTCTGGATCCACCGGACCATGAACCCAGGTTATTGCAAGCCGACGATGGTTCGGCATCGAAAGAGGTATATGGTACTGAGGTGGCGGAGCGGATTTTACACCACGACAAGACGAGTCTGAATGAGCCTGTTGAAGGAAACGGCTACACAAATACATGGATGGCTTCTACTTTCGAACCGATTGTCGAGGAAGACGAAAGTCAAGACGTGACGTCTTCGGAAATGCTAGTGGTTCAAGTTGAGAAGGAGCAAGAAGTTGAAGTTGGAAGCGCATCTGTGGGGCTGGAAAGCGGTGATGCAAAAGCTGGAGAGGACAAGGGGATTGTTACCAGGGCGTTGCCGTCTTCAATCGGCTTGGATATCTTACAGAGCCGGGCAGCTGAAGATCCGAATGATCTTGACACAGACTCGTCGACTGTCCCAGACAAGATGTCAGATCGATCTTACTATCCTGATAGGAGCTTTCTGTTGTCGACAACCGACCTACCTTCCCTCGACTATTCGCGAAATGCTCGGGCGAGTCGCATACCCTCTGCTGACATCAACTTGTTGAATGGGCTCAGTCCCAATAATTCGACGGCGTCCAATCATAACATACCTCGAGTACACACCAATGGAAGTACACGAACTTTCGTTACAGCCCGCACAAGTAGTGTTACAAGTTACCGCACAGCGCCAAGTTTTAATCGCCGCTTAGCATCCAATTGAGCAAGAGATTCGATCCCAATCAACCTCTTATATGGTTCTTCTGGTCCCCAAGTCCAAATTGGTTTACCTGCTTTGCCTTCAGCCAGGATCCAGCACATTGTATCTGAAATTCTGGAACTACAACCCGAAAATCGCGCCAATCTCACTAGTATATTCTCCCGACATGCAAAGAATTTGCTACTTTCAACCAACGTCTCGGTAGCATCTATCGCCTATGCCGTTGAGGAGATTACTCATGAAGTATGCGATCTTATTATCTGGATTGCGGATGGGTCCGCAGAGCGAAGTGTACTCACAGATGCTATTGCCCGACGTGTACTGTGCTTTGTAGTCGATGTGTATGATGTAAGATATCTCTTCAATCAGGTGGAATCCTATGTCTGCAAAATCAGCAGCGGGCCTTTGGATACAAGAGCAGCCACAGTGTTCAGCAGTCGATGGCTGGATCATCTGAAATCTCGTGGCTTACTGCTAGATCCTCAGTATGAGCTAAACTGGTCGGGTCGAGGCCAGCACGTCGAGTACGATCCAAAGGATGAGGGAAGCATTCCGTTGACCACTGAAAAGATCCTCGGACATAGTGCGACAGCGATCGTGGATAGCGTTAAGTGTCGACGCATCAGGCTCGCGCGCAAGAAAATCAGATGTACCCGACGCCTAACTAAGGAGGCGGTCATCGTGGAAGTTGAGCATCTACATCGACTGCAACATTTTCATGTATTGCGTGTTGTTGGTACATACACGTTACGGAAGGATCTAGCAATTATGCTGTACCCGGCAACTCCATGGAACCTTGATGAATTTATGGATGAGTTACTGGACACTCGAAGCGTTTTGAACACAGATGTTCTACTGACTGGAACCTGGCGCAAGCGTACGTGTGTCGAAGCGTTGAAAACTTTCTTCGGCTGCCTGGCACACTCCTTGATGTTCATACACAGCAAGAACGTGAAGCACATGGACATTGAGCCGAAAAACTTACTCGTTTGCAAACATGGTGATACATATAAGATCTACGTCGCCAATTTTGGAATCGCACGCGCGTACAAATGTGCCACGGACTCCGAGACCGACTCGCCAACAGCCTTCACCCGCAGGTATGCAGCGCCTGAGGTTGTGACCCAGGACACACGAGGCTTCAGTGCAGACGTCTTCTCCCTAGGTTGCGTATTTCTTGAGATGTTAGCCACGGTGATTTCTGACCCGTCACGCAACGAGCGTCAGAGGCTTGCAGACACCCGCACATCGGACTCTGGAGATTCGTCATTCAACGCGAATCTTACTGCTGTTCGAACTTGGTTTCAGACAATGTTTGAGACAAAGAAACTTGAAGATGATCGTCTTCCCACAGATGTACTTGCCGTGGTCCCCGAGATGATTCAATATTCGCCCCAGCAAAGGCCTTCGGCGGCTGAACTCAACACTAAGCTTTCCACACTTGGCTGTGGAGCGTGTGATACAGGACCGGAACCGTTTGAAGCAGCAGATACAACGCGGGCATAACGAACGAATTGGCTTAGAAAACAAACAGGGGAAAAAATATGTAGGAAGCAGCACAATAGAGATCGGAATCAAAGATTTAGCAGCGTAGAAAGTATTCTCCAGAAAAAGGGTGCAGAGATAAAAGCATGAGAAGAGAACAACCGAGTAGGTCTATATCTTGAACCAATGATGAACAACTATCTTGACTAAGCTTAGAGGTATAGATATTGCGTTATTACCAGGGGTTGTCGATACTTTGGTGTAAGAGAACCCCTCCTTTTTTGCCGTATATCAGGCCTGGTAGCAAACGCTCATCCTAAGTCAATTCTGCTATTTCAAGAAACAAATTTATTTATGTTGTGACGTATCGATGTTATATCGATATTCGTTGGAACGTGCATTTCTCAAGTCTACATATGTATAACGTACAGTCGTTGGATCTTTTTGATACAGTTCTCGATAGGCTTTTCCGAGAACTTAAATTCACATGCGAAATCAAGATCAACTTCAGCAAACACCCGTAAGACGGGAAGCTCTTGATTTAGTTCGGCACGTGCTTGAATATGTGGCGTTCCCACCCATCAATGTCATCAACAACGACCTCTCTCTCCAACCTGTATCCACCAAGTTTTGGCAGGATGATCGCCCAAACTAGCCAGTACACACCACCTGCGGCAATGATCCCAAAACCAACCACGCAGTGCGACCAGTACGGTAAGCTCTCATAAACGTTATTGCCATCGGAAGGTGGCACAAAGGGTGCAATGACGAGGTAGATGTTACTGAGCAGGAAGAAGATGGCGACAGGTAGAGTAGCATTTAGTGGCGGGTGCCAGTTCCACTTGTCGCGGTTAAGATAGAGATGGATGAGTGCCCCTGCTACAAAAACATTGACGATAGCGAGTGGGTATGAAATGACGCTGCGAGGGATTAGGACATCTTCAAACATAATGTTGCAGGATAACTTACTTGAGAATGAAACTGAACGCGTCGCCCGGTGGTGGACACAGCATGATAATTACTGACACTAACCAATGCTCGAACAGACCAGCGAGTGGGGCGTTGAAAGGACGATTGCTGGCCCAGAGCCTGGAGAAAGGAAGAATACCCTCACGACCAAGTTCCTGCATGAGACGGCCTTGAGAGAAGATAACACTAAGGACGTTGCCAAAGGCGGAGAGCGCCACAAAGACCGACAGTGCGCGCTCAGCCCCGGAACCGAAGACGTTACGGAAGAACGAAGCAGCGACAAGACGCTTCGAGGCAATTATCTCCTCAGCTGGAACGGCAGCGAAGTATGCAATGTTGACAAACATATACAAGACCGCAACTGAGATTAGGGCCGCTGGGGCGGCAATCTTCAGGGTGCGAACTGGATTTTTGGTCTCGCTGAGCGCGTAGTTGGCGTTGCTGTAACCAATGTAACTCCAGATGACGTTGTACAGAGCGGTAACAACACCGTATGCGCTACCCGTGGTGCCCTTAAAGGCATTGTCAAAGTTGTGTGGCTTGTCGATCTTGAGTGCGCCTCCAAGCGCAGCCCATCCAGTGACGACGATGAGGAGAACAATCAGCAGCTTGATCAGGCCTAGTAAGTTCTGAAGTCTCAAGCCCCACTTCAAGGCCAGACCATGAATGAGAAACGCTGTGGTGATACAGGCAAGACCAATGCCACGTTGGTTCCAGCGGTTCACTTCAACATTGGCAGCATGGAGGATGTATTCTCCGAAAACGACCGAGTTGGATCCAGCCCAGCCGAGCAAGACAACATAGCCTGTGTACAGACCGGTAACGAGGAACCGGGGTTTGCGGTAGACGTACTCCAGATAGTTCTTCTCCCCACCGTTACGAGGGATAGCGGTTCCAAATTCCAGATACACCGCCATACCCGCAGCAGCGATCAGCATGCCAACGACCCATATGATTAACGAGAGGCCCACACTGCCAGAGAGAGAGAATATAGCGCTGGGTGTCGCGAAGATTCCAGTTCCGATCATGCGGTTGAAAATGAGAAAGATGGCTGAGGTAACGCCAATCTGACGCTTGGCCTGGCGGGCATTGAACAAAGAACCTTCATCAAGGTCTGAGGGGGGAGTATCGGAGTCTTTGTTGTCATTGGGCGTCGCCTGAGCCGTAGCTCCGTGTTTGAAGAGCTCCGACATTACAGGAGATGCTCGGAGAGGAGATGTTTCGCTGGTCATCTTCACCCAAGAGAGAGCACACCCTTATACTATTCTCAGACAGTCAGCAAGCCTTGAAGATGTCACCCAAGAGCGTCGAGACATGGTGTGTGCTCTCGCAGCCACGCCGTAATGGCAAAGTTTTCGGTGGCTTTCGGTGTATACCGATGGATACCGATGACGTGCTCGGCACAAGTACTACATCCATGAACGTATTACCCAACGGTTTCCATCTCCAGATGCCGTGGCTGTTCAAAATCCGCAAACGTCGATGTCGTGATAGTAAGTGTTGGAAAATTCGATGGTAAGTTCACCGAGCTTGGCCGGACTAGGCAAAGCGTACCTATTAGCGCTAGAGTCGCGATATCAGGAGAGAAAAACGCAAACCTCCCGGACAGTAAGAAGAATGTTCTGAAATACTTGGCAATTTAAGAGCATGGTATTTGAACAAAACCATAGGACACCTAGGCCAACATTCTCCTGATCATTCCACTGTGAATATGTCCACCTGCCTAAGTACGGATAAAGTGCAAACCAAGCATCGAGTAACTGAGCCTCGCGTATCTTTCTTAAGCAAAGGTTGGATAGCCCCGGCATACTATAAGTCATATGCTGATGTACTCAATATCCAGCGTCGTTGAGAGGAAACATCCAAAAGACGACACCTCCAACACACAGTGTTTGCGAGCAACCAAAAAGACAGTCCTGACAAACATTCCTCGCGGGGCAGTGACGTGTCGGTGGCTAGTTCAAAGTCGCACATGTGATGTTCTCCACGCACCGAGAGCACGGGCTGCCCACGCTCATACATACAGAGGAATAGCTGATTTATAGTGAGACGTCCAAAAAATGATATAGTTAAAAGGTTGCAACAGCGGGGATTCGCTTATTCAAACGTTTATAAAGTTGTTCTGTTGCTGCTTTAGCTTTGAAGATTACTAGTCACAAGGTCCAGACCAACGTGGCTATAGCAAACTTGATTGAGGAGCAATGGTAAAACTTCAAAAGAGGCTGGCTGCTGCAGGATGGTTAGATGTGTACGCAGTCACTTCGAATATTTCGAAGATCTCTAGGCTACGCTATGCTTAAGATATATGCACCAATGTGCGTCATCTTGTTATCATCGCCTATTACTCGCCGGAAATAGTGTGGCCTTCACCTTTACATACTCTTCATGTAAAAGGTCTTCCTTGCATGCTCTTGTCGCTGAATTCTTCGACCTCCTATTGACCAGCACTGAATCTCCAACATAGAAACGCGTTACCTGACTCACGTTGACGAGCGCACGCTTCATGTCGAGGGTTTGGCCTTGCTTGCTCCAGAATGCTGCTAGCCAAGTTTGAGTTCTGCCAGACTTGTTTATCATGCCCAAGCCTTAATCTCATAAGACGAAGAACTCTTCCAACAATCTCGGTTTTCCGTTCTGGTCAAGTCGGCCAACCCACCGTGCTGGCAAGAAGCTAGTCCAGAATCCCCCATTCCGATCCATATCTGCGTTGATAACACACCCCCATAGCCTCGTCTCTTGAACGGGCCAGCCTGTTACTGAGTCAACTTGGCTCTCTTCCATCTCAATTAGCCGACGTGACACTACTACGTGTTGCTGTGAGTCCCATAGTCCCTCACGGGGTGGATTTCGTGCTAAGAGAGCTACAGCCTCGCGGCGAGTAGAAGGGCAGCGACAGCGTGTCGCGACAAAGTGCAACTGAGGAATGATGGAGATGTCGAAGGTATAATGTGCAGCATAGGCCGTGGTGGGAGCCATGGAGTCGATGACTAATCTGGCATGGTGTATGATCTCTTTGAACTGATCATTGTGGGCGTCGTACTGAGTTTCGGAAGCTTCATCTGAGCAAGAAAGGTATATGAATGTAGAGTAATACGATGCCTTAAGCGCACTCGACGCAACCCGTTCTTCTTTTGAGAGCTTATTGTTTTGTTCGAAGAGATCAAAGTTCTGTAACCAAGAATGGTGACATGCCAGGAGGTTACTTTGATTTTGGAGGTCTTGGACGCTTAACTGGGTATTTTCCAATAATTTGCGACCCACAATTCGCAGGTGGAGTACGCTTGCATTTCTGAGCTCGTAACAGGTCTCCTGCGCCTCGAAAAGGCTGGTAAACGGTTGTGGCAAGAGAAATGATGGCGTCGGTAATGGTATATCCAAGTCTTCCTCAGCTTCGACCCCATATAGTAAGGCGGACGTTACTCCGCGTATGAAAATTGGGACAAGCTTGTCTTCGATCAAAGTCGTCGTGCGAAGTGGCGAATCGTGTTGTGGCTTTTGCCGCCGTTCTGAGATGAGCTTGAGACCATTCCTCATGTGCGTAAAGCCGGTATGATAGTTGCCTTGCAAAAATTCGATACAAATGAAGAGCAGACACGTCACAAGACCAATCTCCGAGGAGTAGCTTGCCTCAGCCATGCGCTCAACTAGACATCCGATGGACTTGTTATAGTGAAGCAATAGTACTTTCCGTTCATTGTCAGCTATCAACCTCGAGCGAGCGTGCTTCAAGCTCCCGGGCTCGGTTTGACAGAGGTAACCGAGAGCCGTCAGCGCATGACGTACTGCGGGCTCAGCGTGAGCCATCTGAAATGCTATTCGAGACCAGAATTCCCTGTCAAAACTGGTGGACAATGCGGGGCGGGCGCAATGATGATAGAACTCCAGATAACGCACGCTGTCGCCAAAGACAGTAAAGACCGACATGGCCTTTTGGGGACTGGAATCTTGGCTGTCGCTCCAATCTCGAAATTGGAAGCATCCACTAGTTGGTACATATCCGTCGCATTTGCGGCCGGTGCTTGTGCATCTAGCTAGGTTAACACAGTTATGCGACTAATGTGATCACAAGCAGCGTGCTTACTTGAGGCAATTAGGCTTGGCTTCGTCACACTTTACGTGTCGTATTCTGCAAGGCAGTTAGATAGTGGCCCCTTGAGCAATATATAATCTGACGGCCATTGCGCTTATATCAATTTCAACGTACTTGCACGTTTTGCAGCCGGTCTTCACTTTAGGGTTACGTCTGCGAGTTCGTTTGGGCACTTTAACCATCGAGGACATATTGTGCGGGAACTATCAACTTTGGTTGGAGTAAGAAGCATGTTCATGACGAGACACCTTGGGGACAGATATTCTGATATGGCATCCAGGAGTTGAGAGTACGGGAAGCCACTAAACATTCAAGGTGTAGTTGCCTTCGAGCTATCACGTGGTTTTACGAGCCGGCCAATCGTATGTCGATTTCTTCCGGTGACTGTTGTGTTGGTAAGGGCGATTCCCCGGTCTGCATCACTAGTTTAGGACTAGCGCGCGAGCTATAGAGCTCGCGCCTCCTCCATAGTAAATCCACAACTCTTACACCACACATACTACGTTCAATATGTTGTAGCGTCGGAGTTTGTACATTCCAAGCCCATGCAGCCACATGCGAAGAAAAAAAGGAAGTGAACCGTAAAAGTTTGTACAATTCGTTATTAGCTAGACGGGGGATGAGCCGGAGCGAGTCCTCTGGCGATCAGGCATTTGGAGTGGCTGAGTGACTGTGCTTGTTCCACCACTTGCAGGTCGACTAGCTTCGCTACAACCCCTGTCTAGCTTATAACGGATTGTACAAACTTCTACGGAAGTACAAAAGCAAAGACAAAATAAACAACAGAACAGGTTAATTAGCACTTACACGTACAGAAGAATTGCAGGATTCCTTCAAACGAATGGTTGACGATTCATGGCGATATTCATATTCTCACGTGAAGGTATCCCACGTGATAAAACACATTGCCTTGTGGTGTGTCGCGTCGCTGCTTGTCGCGTTCACCGCCAAGCTTATAATTGAGATGAAAAACAAGAGGCAAAAACATGCAACAGTATGGATTTGCTATCGTTCCTAGTTTAAAGGAGCTCGCATTTTTGCTGCACCGCATGGCCCTGCGCACGAACACACACTTTACGTACCTTGCCTACCATACTTAAACCACAATGCTCTTGAACTCCGATGGTAACATCGGCTGAGTCAGTGTTAGCATGTAACACTGGTGCTACTGTCCAAGAAGATCGTGGTCGCGTGACCAGAGAAGCGGAGTCTAACACCTCCGGTCTTGGCAAGTTGTATCTAGCTCAAAGCCTGGAAGCAAAGATTACACAATCCCCGTTTTACACCTTCTTCGTCGCCGACCAGAACTGAGTAACTACCCGTGCCATCAGCGACCGTTCTCACTCTTCACAAGAAAACGCCAGTCACTCACCATAAGTGAACTTCAGCAACGTCTCCAGCTGCTCAACATACAGGCTGTCGATGCTCTTCCTTGACGTATGGTCCACATCGAACCCGAGCAGATCTGCCAGCTGGAGCACTTCCTCCGCGGAGAGCTGGAGAGCGGTGTGGGTGCCCCATTTCAGCGCTGCATACACGTCAACCCAAGTTTGGCGGTGAACGGATCACAAGAAAAGTACAAAGGTCAGGATTCGAGGAAGGGAGGACAGTAACGTACGTCCAAGGTTGATCCACACTCCACCAGGCTTCAGCAGCCGATGTATGTTGCTCAGGAAGTCAACCACGTTGTTGGAAATGTCGATGAAGAACAGCGTGACAACGGCGTCGAACTCACCGTCCCGGGGAAACATCTCCAAGAAGTCGCCCTCGACGAGCTTGACGGCATTATTTGGCCAGTGGTCCGGCACTGTTAAGGCGGAGTAGCGCGAGGAGGGGTTGGCCTGATGCGTCCATTTGGTCACGAAGGGCTGCAGGGTGTGCTGGTGCAGCGACCTCGTGTGGTTCATTAGCAGGTGGTAGGCCAGGATGGAGCCGTAGTCCAGCTCGTTGGCCGTGACGTCGTACCCTGCGCCGATGTGAGGCCGCGCCCTCAATTCAACGAAGTAAGATAGACGCACCGAGATCAGCGATATCGCTTGCCAGCCTGCCCATACCGCTTCCGGGTACAAGCACCTTCTTCCCTATTCCGTTCCCGCCAAAATGTTGCTCGAGCCCATGCAGAACAGGCGGAAACACGGCCTGCCTCTCCTTTGCGCCCTGCGTGCTCCAGTCTCGCGAAAGATGTCCAAACGCTAGATCCACAACTCCGAACTCCGCGTCTTCCTCGTCCTCCAGTGCTCGTGGGCCGGTATGGTAATCCTCCCTTGCAATCTGTGCGATCTGTTCTGAAAACCGGGCGTTCACCTCAATCCCCTTCCTGGCTTTCTCGAAGTGCGCAGGATAGCCGAGCTTATTGCTTATCGCCCTTTGCGCGGGCGTCTGCTTGGCATACCGTGCATGCTTCCGCTGGAGCACTTGCTCGGCGAGGAACGGATACTGCTCGAAAGAGTTGATGCAGTGCGCCAATCCATCGGTAAGGGAGGGATATCTCTTCCTTCTCCCGCCTTCGGGTGTGCGCACGGATTTGGCGGGCTCGGCGGAAGCTTCGAAGGCTTCTTTAGAGATTGGCGCAAGAGGAGCGGCAAGCGGGGAGTTGAGCGCAACGTGAAAAGCTTCGGCGCGCTCGGAGAGGGAGGAGAGGAGAAGTGCGATGTCGGACAACGAGGCGGAGCCACGAAGAGCGAGGTAGAGGGGGAAGACGACGCAGAGGAGGAGAGTGAGGAAGTGGGTGAGGTAGATCGAGGTGCGCATCGTTGTGCTTGTGGCTTCAGATAGATGTGGGTGAGGAGGATGGGTTCTTGCTGTTAGTAGCACACGAGGATGGTGGGAGGGCGGGAAAGACACTACGAGTGGATGATACAGTAAGACACTCTCTCGGAGATAAGGTACTGTGACATCAGAAGCATGCTGTGCGTCAATGGTAGTATCTGATCACAGCGTACTGACCAGGCGCCTTCTTCCATCATACACAGGAAGCTGACTATTTAGGCTTTCGGTTATACTGCAACGATCACGACCTCGTCATCTCTCCGTGCCTACTCTCTGTTTCCTTCCTGGCTGGATGATGGCCATGGCCCGTTCAATTCTATTCCTCTGCGTACTCGCCGTCCTCCCCAGCGCCCACCTCTCATATGCGCACGAATGGAGCGAGACACAATCACAAAAGTGCAGCAAGCTGCTGACACGCAAAGAATGGCGGACGTTGACGCATAGCGAGAAATCCGAGTGGGTGGGAGCTGTCAAGGTGCGCCCTCCTTCATCACCCTAGGTAGCGCGTATGTTGCTGATGCCGAGTAGTGCTTAGCAAGCATACGTCACGAACGGCTATCCTTGACGAAAGATCAGACGGTGCTTGAGGGAAAGAGGAGCCTGTACGACGACTTCTCTTACTCGCACGCATCAGTGGAGCATAGCGCGCATAGGAATGCTTACTTTTTGCCGTGGCGTGCGTTCCATCCCTCCCTCTCTCCCTCCCTCCCTCCCTCCCTCCCGCTCCTTCCCGAGCACATGCTGACGTGGGCGCAGACCGCTGGTTCACCTACCTATTCGACACCTCCCTCCGCCACACTTGCGGGTACAGCGGGCCAACACCATACTGGGACTGGTCGCGCGATCATGCAGACCTGTTCGACTCGCCAGTGTTCGAGGACTCGCCGGAGTATGGGTTGGGCGGGACGGGGGACTGCGATTCCTCCCCAGAGGCAGACTGTACCGTCACTACCGGCGCTTTTGCCCCGTCCACCGGGAACTTCGAGCTTGCCTGGCCCATTCCCCACCCGCTGCGAAGGAACCTGACGCTCATAACCGGTTGGTTCCCCCATGAGCTGCCTCAAAACCGCACCCTCGGCCCGGAGTTTGTGCGCAATTCGACCGAGCAAACCACAGGCGACTTCTTCAAGTTCCAGTACGCAATGACGCTACTGCACAACCACGTACACAATTTCGTTGGGGGCGATTTGGCGGGAGACTGCTCGAAGGCCCTGCCGAAGGAGGATTGCCAGGGCATGGCAATAAGCTTCACGCCTAATGACCCGCTTTTTTGGCTGCATCATGCGCAGCTTGACCGGTTGTGGAGTGAGGTGCGCCCCCGAACCCCATGCTAGTTTCCCGCTCCACATGTCTGCTGCAGTATATTCTTACTGACATGAGTTGTACAGTGGCAACGCCACCACCCATCGAACTTCGCCGCCTTCTCCGGCATACCCCTAAACCCGCACAACATGACCGACCCACGCTACGACCTCGACGCGCACGCAGATCATCAGATGTCTTTCGACGTTCAGAGTGTGCCTGTGGCGCCAAGGAGGGTGTTTGATACGGAGGGTTGGCCGTTGTGTTATCGGTATACAGACGAGGAGTGAGGGGTACCAGATCAGACTGATACTGCATAAACTGTCGAGATTCCATTCCGCTAGGCCTAATGGGGCAGGAGCTCAGTACCAAAATGTGCTGCTTAGCGATATTTTCCAATCTCTTCTGCGGGGCCCAGCAAACCAAAGGATGTTATGGGAAAATTGAGATTATCGGTCAGAATCTTCTTGTCTCTAATTGGCTTAATCGAACTTTTGTCTCATTAGACCTAGCAGAACGGAATGTCGACAGTTCATGCGGTACTATATCTTGGAGTACTTGCTTGTACAGGGTCTTCAGAGTTGATCAGCGTACTACACATCTACCGCAATCTTCGCTGTGGCGTACTGCCCTCCCGATGCTTTTCGACTACGGGCAACGAAAGGGTTGGCACTCATACAATATGGCCGGTCCAGTCACATCAGGGTCACGTTCGCTATAGTCATATTTCCTATCCTGCCCATCTCATGCCCACTATGTCAACTAGCCTCTTGAAATCTCTCATACATCTCCGATGTCCACTCGTCATGCTGGCTCTCCATCCAATCATGCACTTGTCTCCAGTCCCGGCAGGTATGCACAGTTCCTCCGCCCGTAGCGACTTTGTCCCCATTAGCCACTCTCATGCCCGTGCCGCCCGACTCCAGGGTTGTGTCGGCGGCGCAGAGAATGCCCTGCCGTAGGTAATGGAAGCAGTGCGCCGTATGGTCCGACCCGTCGTCCCCGTTGACAAGTGCCGCGCGTATGTGGTTAAGGCAGTGCATCTGATGCCACATCGACACCCCAAATGCGAAGTGCTCCTCCCCTAGAAAAACGAAGCCCTTGCCGGGAGGGCGAATCGCGTTCCATTCAGCCCAGGCGGGGATGCCTTCCATCCCGTAGTGGAAGGGGTCGTCGTGAAAGGCGGCTTGGATGGTGCGGACCTTTAGGGGGAGCTCACGAGGTCGGTCGCCAGTGAGGTAGGCTTACTGTGAGTCAGTCATGAGTGTGAAGAGAGGCTGGGATATGGCGCACTGTATTCCCGCGTTCCGCGCGTTAAGATACGGAAGGAGAAGAAGAGGGCGCCTAAATTCAGGACGAGACAGACGCTCAGCACTGCGAGCAAGCCGTGGGAAGGGCCGCGTAGTTGGGGTGTCAGAGATTTAGGGAACATCTTGGTATGCTGGTAGGGTGGTGCGTTGAGGGTAACAGAGGAAGGCGAGAAGATTGTTCAGCGCCAGGAGCGGGCGAACATTGTTAACACATCTATGGCCGTATCTGCTCTCACTTGGGTGGGCAAATCGCGCGTTGTTCAGAAGAGTGGGGCAGGAGGAGACGCACTGCTGAGATGTTCTGCTCACCAGAGCCCTTAGCCGTCTCCAAATTCGAAGAATCTCGTCGATGACGTAGAGAACGCCAGTAAGCAGAGAAGCATACGCATGGCAGTTTATAGCTCCACAAAAACTGACCTACTCATAGGGAAAGCAGATAAACTAATGCGGAGGATGCACTAATGCACGGACGGTCTCGGGACAGTACGATTGAAAAGTACGGTTTCAGATAGTCTTCTATTTTGAGTACTAGCGCAGCATCCACGTAATCTTAAAAATCCACGTAATAGGAATTATTTGTATAGACTATTACTACTAAATCTTCCTTTACTCCTCTAAAAATTAACTTAACGCTATATTTTTTACGCTGACTTACAAGAATTAATAAAAATTAATAAATTGCTCCTACCTGTGTTTAAACTTCTAACCTACAAAAAGAATAAGAATCTTTTACTAACAACTATAGTATAGAAGTTTTAATGTAAGGTTGCGTAGTATTTTAGAATATATAGAGACGTAAAAGAGATAGTAATATAATAAATTATTTAGTCTACGCACTTTCTAAAACAAAATTAAACAAGCTGTATAGGGCGCGCGTAGGCAGCTTATTAAGCTTAAGATTGGCTGGATTAACAGGACTACTAGGGATAATAATAGGCAACGATTTTAATATTCTAGTAAGAGAACAATAACAACAACACGAATTTGCAATAATTAGGATAACTTAAACAGTTAAGTAGTAAACGATTTGTATAGGTTAAGTAGTACTAAATGTTCTAATTAAAACTGTTGTTAATAGAAAAAACGGCTAATCTATATCTAGTATTCTATCCAATCTCTAACCGTACTTTTCAATTGTACTGTCCGGAGACTATCCGACTAATGCACGTCAGCATCCAGGCGCCCAATCATGCTTGGCACCGGGATCACCCGCCCGTGTTGTCGATCTAGGTCCTTGGCGCCGACCTTACCTCTACACCACCAGCCATCATCGCACTATATGCACTACAATTAAAGCATGCGCTACTCCTACTGTCCCTTTCTAGTAGTGATCGTCGACCAGAAGAGGGGATGATTTCCTCGGCTTGACTCAGGAATGCAGGAATGGGGAATTATTGCGCAATATGATGTCAAGCCTCATTACCTTCCACATCGAGCCATAGTGCTACCGTCTTCAGGTTAAAAGTTCACTTACCTCAACACGCGAAGGATGCTTGCCATTATACCCCGTCTGTGTTCTAGAGGTTTATGGACTGGGGGCTGTCGGCCTATACAACGTGGTACATTGATGAAATACCTATTATGGCGGCAACGCTGCGCCGGTTGGCACAAGACCATTGACCAAACATAGGAAGCTCTGATTATCCCACGTTGTTGTTTACTACTGGCTGAATAAAGTCATCTCCTAAACCGTCGACCAATGACTCGGGTCCCTCTACAACACCTCAACACAAACTAAACATTTCATACAGACGGTACTCACTGCTCATCGACACGTATCCTGGCAACGTTAGGCGTGCAGGCACGGGTCGTTATCAGCACGGCATCGTAACTCAACAGCGATCGCTTCTCTGTGCAGGTCTACGGGTGTGCGGACAAGGAACCGGACCTACATGTAACCTGGAGAAGTTAGCAGAACTACTCTAGCTGTTACTCAAATCTGACCGGTTAATTTGTTGATCGTAATGACCCTAGACAAAGTACATTTGAAGATACACAAGACTTATCTGTCTCGGAGTATAACAACCTAAACAGGAAAACAGTTCAGAGTTGAACCACACAATTGGGCATTATCTTGAAGATACAGGGTCAATTGAAGTCTGTTTGCATCCTTATCAGATTCCAAATCAATAGCAGAACCTCACTCGCATCAACTTCCGCTTTTGGTTCGTTGGGCATTATCAGGGATGCGAACCGACGTGAATTGATCCTGTAACTCACATATGATTGATAGTCTACACCGTGTCGCAAACCGTATGTTACTCTGCCAATCAGCTAATTATGGGTATTAAATGTTTCTTAGTAATAGGTCAGACCCCTTGTTTTGTGGGCTCGTTGTTCACTATCTTATCACTCTTACCCGCCTCCAGTCACATCGGTACAAGGCGATTGAATTCAAATCCTACTAGTCCGGGATTCCTAACGGCAGAGCAATATACAGTTTCCAACATGGAGTAGATTTCAAGTGTCGTACTAACAAGGAACAAGCTTTCAAGTGTCGTACTAGCATGGAACAAGCCCACAGTGCATTGGGTCCAAAGTCTTACTTGCTTTCATACCACTTGTGTCCCACTTCACCACAATGCTTACGGACTCCATAGTACGGACGCAGATCTCTACTCTAACGCTATTCCGACTGTTTCTGTACCAATATCACGCAACCACGTCAAACGCTACACGAGAGAGCGCTAACCTATCATGCAGCTATAGCAGACATTGATCGTACGACGGATATTCCCTCTGTAAGGACTTGTTCTCCTTCGGATAGCGAAACGCATAAATACCCAAGAGCATGATGAGCACTAACAGCATCTCATCAGCGAGCCACTTCTTCGCCTCGCCCAACGAAAGCATCCACTCACCGCCAAACTCCAAAAATGCAATTCACTGTCACCCTGCTCAGCCTCGCCAGCCTCGGCCTGAACATCCTCCCTGCTCTGTCCGCAGCGGTTCCCGCCGCTGACTTGGCTCGCCGCGCCGAGGAGTCAACCACCCATGTCTATCTCTCTGACAACAACGAGAAGCGGCACACCTACGGCGTAGGTGATGATGAGATCGCAAAACGGCACAGCTACGGCTTAGATGAAGACGAGATCACCAAGCGCGACAACAACGAGAAGCGACACACCTACGGCGTAGGGGATGATGAGATTGCAAAGCGACACAGATACGGTTTTGATGAAGACGACATTGCAAATGAAGATAAGCGCAAGAATAACGAAAAGCGACACACCTACGGCGTAGGTGATGACGAGATCGCATGAGTACAGGAGCGATACCGACGAGAACCTGCATGTCTACCGCTCGGCTGCGGATAACTGAAGTCTCGCATGAACGAGTTTCATAAGTGTCTATAGCGTGTTCCATGGGCGAGCGCCGCAACCCACCAACTTTGCGCCCCTCTTTAAGCGTATGATTTTGCCACGTTCGTTACATAGCAGTATACATATATGAATAGAGTGGATCAAGTAGTATCTCGCGTATTCTTTTTGCACGTACGTGTATCATGTCTAGTTTCCCTACTGCATAAACTAGTGAAAAGCTGCACGACTAGTGATAAGGCAGGCAGCCAAGCCCTAAAAGCTGCAATTGATTGACTAAATTGGGACGACTTCTCGTTAATTTAACCGTGTTTAAATCCTGTCATTCGAGCTTGGCTGCCTGCCTAATCAGGGTCGGTTGCGCAGCTTTTGACAAGTTAATGCGGTAGAGTGGATAGCAAGCTGGATACCTGCTTCATTTAAAGCCAATAGAGTGCCGTTGCGTTGAGCTGTTGTACGTTAAGATAAGAGAGGGGTGCGGCGCTCGCCCGTGTATGGCGATTCTAAGTGTCTACTTCCAATCATGCTCTCCTTTTGAATTGCTGTATCTGGACCGAAGAAGTTGTAGCAGCAGATAAAGCTGCGCACAAAAGTTACTAAGATGAAAATAAGGCTTTCTATCGTACACACATGTCTTCGGGTGTTTTGGCAGTAGGAAGTAGTTACGTGTCAGAGCAATACGCGTTTAGAAGCAAACCACACATGATTATTGCAAGACATGACAGTTCTCCAGCCTGTATCTACAGGTACTCATCCGGCATCGGGATAAGCGTCTCGTTGTTAGCCGCACACATAGCCGGATGTTCCTCAGGCAGAGCCTCTATGTTAGCCATCTTGACGTCCGAGCACTATCTTCGGATCAGCACAAGCTCTACTATTTGCAAGCCGAAGCAACTAACATAGTGTTCCACATTCCCCGTCCTCGGATCCCTCGCCTCGAAGTACATGACTCCCATCTCGTCGACCTCAGTCTGAAATGGTATCGTGACGTTCACACATAGCTGACCTGAAGGCTGGATGGGCACATCCTGCAGGATGATGTGAGGGAAGTCGTCTCTCTTCCTTGGCACTCTTTGCCGGGTATAGAGGGCCGTCACAAGGTCCCCAGGATGACCGGAAAAGGAGAGGAAACCGCGGGAGCGGCGGGAGTATCGTTGGGGGTTGTGCACTATCTCCCCTTCTCTGTCTCAACCTACGCTACTGCTGGACCGGAGACGGAGGGGAACGTACCGCAGAAAGGGTTGTACCGATCTATCTCTGGCCGAGTCCTGGGGTTTGGAGCGCGTGACGACCATGGAAACTGGACGTGGAAGCCAGCGTGCGCGGCAGATATAAGGTTGATGCTGAGGGCAAGCAGGCAGGTGATTGCGGTGAGGAGGGAGGGCATGGTTGACAGAGGTCAAGTGCAGCACGGTGCAGAGAGCGAGTGCAAGATAAAGTATGCTCAGACGGTCTAACGCCAGAGTTGGGTGGCCGTCGAAGCCCGGCGAATCGCCCCATCTCCCTTCAGACCCTTCATACCTGCCAGTCACGGTCACACTCCCGAAATGGCGGGTCGCCGAGTTGGGTGACGTCTGAACTATGTGGACCCTGTGATGCGCGCTAATTATGCGAGCTGGCAGGTGGGGTTCGGGCCGCCTGCCACACGGACGCAGGGTACAGAGTCAGCATCTAGCGCCATCTCTAGCTTCCTCCACTGCTGATAAGGGCCGGGGTTTCGATTGACTATACTCCTACTCTCTCTGGCGTGGTGAGCAGTAAGGCGTACCAGGCGTCATGCAGTCCCGCGTTCTGGGCTGTTACCTGGCACTTGCGCCCCCGCCTGCTTTAACCTTGGCTTCGCTCACGGCGTTCCCTCTCTCTCCTCTCGCTCTGCTCTTTGGCCGCCCCTCGCCATGTTCTCCTCCAAAGCAGAGTCCAATTCACCCGAGTATGCGCCCTTGGCGCTACACGACGATGGCGAGGACTCCGTCGCAACTCTTGAAAAGCCCTCCCAGCTGCCCAAGCTTATCCTCTATTTCTCATTCGCCCTAGCACTGCTATCAGCAGTGAACGTCGCCCTCCTCCCCATCACACTATCAAGATATCAAGCCTACCCCTTCTCCGACTCCGAGCTCAAGGCACTCCCCTATGGCGACGCTAGGCTGGGATTGGATAGGGCAGCGAGGATGATCCCCCCTCCCCAGGTCTATCACCACGCTTGGCCGGATAGGATTGCACGGGTGAGCCGGAAGTTGAAGAACGCCGTGTGGGGTCAGGGGGTGCAGGTGTATGTTACTGTCGAGGTCCGTATTCCGTACTTCCTCGTTCTCCATTCCCTTCGATAAGCCCTCCGCCTATTTTCAGTGTCTACCGGTATGTGTGCAGCTGCTAACGCCGGAGAAGGATTCGGCAATTATGCGCTTCCCCATCCCCTCCACAAGAGTCAACGCCTGCGCGATCTCCTGGCGGCCGCCTCCCGAGTTCTCTGCGCGTGCCAAGGACATCACAACCAAGGGGGATATAACGGAAATCGAAGTCTGGCAGCTTATCGCGCCCTCGGCCACCTCCGCCACTGTCTCTTCCAGTATAGACGAACTCGACTATGACACCTTATCGTACTCGACCCTTCCCGTGCGTGGAGAGCTGCTCGGCGTGCTAGACCTCACAGCTAAGCCGAATAGCACAACACTGGAGTTCGGATGTCCCAGTGAGGCGGAGAGTCTGATAGTGGAGATGAGGTGCCAGCGCGTGGCGTGTCATGTGAGCTTTAAGCAGATTGATATGGCGCCGAACTTTGGGTTTGAGTTGGTGAGAAGGAGGAAATGAGCGGGGCAGGGTGGCTATGTAGCTTTCAATCAGTGTCATTGCTCACGTAGAATGAATCCCGTCTCTATGTCTGGTGACTCTTCGAATCACTGGGCACCTGTAGCCCCAATAAACTCACCTAACCCGGCGGCCTACTGCGCTGAGGGCTCTCCCGCACATGGAATTGGACCTACAAGATTTCTCCATCCACAGCTCTTCAGTAGCTACAAAGGCTATAGTTCCAAGTTCCAAGTTGACGCTATTACAAAAGAGGATGTAGATCGTTGTCAAACAGGGTAACGAAGCGGCTAAAATCGTCTATTGACTCACAATCACTCCACTCCATCCCCTCCTCAACCATCACCTAGCTACGCAAAACCCACCCAGCCGTCATGTGCCCAACACACATCGAGCACAATATGACCACTCAACTCGACGCCGCCTCGATCGCCCGTGTCTCCCTACACGATCCCGCCCACTTCAGCATCCAGTACTCCCAAACCCTTCATCGCCTGGTGCTCCTGCAACACTGGAACATCCCCACTGGCTCGAAGGTGCTGGAACTAGGATGCGGGCAGGGAGACTGTACGACTGTCCTTGCCTCTGCTGTGGGCGAGCAGGGGAGGGTGGTGGCGGTCGATCCGGCGGAACTGGATTATGGTGCGTCCTTTCGCTTTTCTACCTTGTCTGTCCTGGCGGTGCGAGCGGAAAGCAGCGGACTGATGCTCCTGTAGGTGCCCCGTATACTCTCGGCCAAGCACAGGATCATATCTCGCACGGCCCGCTGGGTAGCCGGGTTACTTGGGTCCAACAATCCCCCCTGGACTACCTCTCCTCCCTCCTCTCCCCCTCTGCCACCTCCTCGCCGCCCGCCAGCGAAAGCAAGGCATTTGACGCAACAGTGCTCGCCCACTGCCTATGGTACTTCCCCTCCCCCTCGCTCATCCTTTCCACCTTCCGCGCCCTCAAGCAGCACAGCAAGCGTCTCCTCCTTGCTGAGTGGTCGTTGGTAGCGACGCACCCCTCTGCCCAGCCTCACGTATTAGCTGCGCTCACCCAGGCAGCGCTGGAGTGCCGTAAACCCAACAGCGTCTCCAACGTCCGCACGGTGCTGGGGCCAAAGCGGATCACCGAGCTGGCCCTGGCTGCCGGGTGGCAGCTGGAGAGTGAGACCCGCGTGCAAGGTGGGGAGGGGTTGTTGGACGGACAATGGGAAGTCTCTGCTTGTCTTTCTTCCTCTTTAGAAAGGGAAGTAGAGGAGCTAGTGAGTGATGAGAGAGAACGGGGGGTGATCCTTGCGTCACGGGACGCGTGTGAGGCGAGCTTGGAGGGTGTGCAGGGGGGTCGGAAAGGCGTTAGGGCGATGGATGTTTGGGCTGCTAGTTTCATCTGATCTCTGACTCTGCTCTACTATAACCTCGTGCTGTACTCTACTATCTCTGCGTATCCTTGGTGATCATGGGTTGGCTTGCCACATGTTGATCAGTACTTGGTTCGTACCATTCACCGTTAAGACGCCGACAGCGACAACGGCATTTATCTAGCAATACATTCCATTTGTGTCGGCCTCAGACTTTCCCCAGAGCAGTATCAGCTTCAGAAACCACTACAAGAGCTAGAGTTCGGTTTGATATGTCAAAACCTAGTTGAAAGTAAACCGAATTTCTCCTTTACAGTAAATCGATTTCTGTTTTAGAGTAGACTGACGATTTTGGTTTACTTTAGACCGGCTCTGGTTTCTAGGAAACATCCTTTCTTCCGATACCTCGACCCTCAGCAGTTCTGTTCTTGCCAAAGTCGTGTCATGCATTTGATATTTGTATTCAAGTTTGTTGTATCCTCCTTGGGGTGGTTTGTGTATAGTACCATTGTTGCGGTCAAACAAGTGTACACAATTCCTTTGGGGTGTGCGGCCATGATGTGATTTTTCTTGTGGTGTCCAGCGTGCGAAGAGATACTGTGCGGTTATTAACAACGCAAGCAGCCGTTCGAAATTCTAAGAGATCGCTTTGTGTACCAACTTTAGTTTTTCATTCAACGACAACCGCAATGCGGAAATGCTCCATGCATATCTCCAACGGCCGCACTACGTTCCTGACAATTTCGCCTCTCCAGTTTTTCCCTCCATCAGTTGCACCCGTGAAGCACCACTTGACAGCTGCTGCATAATCATCTCCGCCTTCGCCGCTCACATTGCCGGACCACTTCAACGCAGCTACTACGTCGAAGGCGTGTTTGGATTCGACATCTGTGGTTGGGGGGTGCTTCTTGCGAAGAGGATGGTCTTCCAACCGGCAACTAAAGCAGAGTTCGAGAAGGATTATGCCGAGAGAATAAAAGTTGCAGTCGTTGGTGGAGAATTCAGTGAAGGAGAGATGAGTGTGGTCGTCTGGGAGGAAGCCCTGTCGGATGAAAGGCTCGCCATACGGAATGATGAGGTTGTTGTCGTCTGAGGGGAAGAAAATGATATCCTCCTTGCAGAGACTAGTTCGTAACCAAGGCGTGAATTGGAGTTGTCCAACCGATGAAGCAACAAGAAGCGCAATTGAGTAGCGTTGACGCCGCGACAAGTAACCTTCGAAATCTTGTGAGAGGATATGGTCAAGCGTGATAGGGACGCTTTTGACATTCTGCCTTCTTCGAATGATCGGGTGGAGATGGTAGATCTCATCGTCATGACTGATAATACCCATGCAATTTCCGCAATCTTCATTACCCAATAGCTGACACAATTGGATGTTATGGTCGGTGAACATATCTACCTCGATCCTCGGTAAGGTGGGTGCATATGGTGCGAAATCCATTGCCTTTGGTCTCGAAATTGCGGTTGATTGAATAGAAGCCGGTGTGGGCAGGGTCGCTGATTGGCAATGAGTGGCTAGCGGCGAGGATGTGATGGCTTTCACCGTGTTCTGAGGAAAGGAGCAACCCAGCATATGGCCGCAACGAAACTCTTTCCAGGACCATGGCCTCTTGACATGCGCTGGGAGAGCAGAAAACACAAGGATGATCTCAAAACACACTTCGGTGAGTGTTCGATGCTCTAGTCGTAAGTTCGCGAAGTGGTACTGCTGACACGAGCACTGCCAGGCGTTCTGCAACGCCTTAAACAGCAAATTCGATCTCTTCGAAGCTTTTTTGAATATTGATACTAGCGTATCAGTCTGCTTAGTATGCCCAGGTGTGGCACTCTCAAGAGCTGAGACTCTGTCGCTAGAGCTCAAGAGCTTTTCCAGGCGCTCATTGCATTCTTTGAGTTGGCCGAGTAGCTCATGCCTGACCCTTTCCCCGATGCTAAACTTTGTTCGAAACATCTCATAATCCAATCTGCCCTTGGCAACAGACAGCTTTGAAGGCCTCGCAAGTGGCTGAAGACTTGGCGATCGACTGGAGTTTTGCCGTTTCGTTCCAGGTGGCAAGAGTTTGTCTTGCACATTGTCTTTATCGAAACACAACTCTTTTTTCAGCTCTTGTGCGATCTCGTTCATCTCAGTAATAGTGTCCTGGTATAGTTGATACGACTCGTGCAATCTGCCCTCTAGTCGTTCCTGCAACGCCAGGTCACCCCATCTTTGGCCACCCGGATCTGCAATGAGCTGCGCAACTTCGTCTGCATCCGGGATAAGTGGCAACAAAAGCTCCCTCAGGTTCTTCTTGTATAGAATTTCGTGAAACTGAATGTTATGCTGGCATTTGGTGTATTCCTTCCGGATCCGCCAGAAGAAGCCGCCAACTTTGGCAACATCACGCCAATGTTCAATACCGCTCACGAGCAGTGGAAAGGCGCCAAGAACGACACCTGCTATTTCTAGACCGCTCATAGGAACATGGGAGATGATTTCAACAAAATAGGGTGGTTTAAGATAAGGAAGAGCAAGAGTTGAGAATGCGAAGGCTGAGACGTGAGTAAGGCGTCGGTTCCCCGCAATTATCGCCCCCAAATGCAACTCCCGCTGCTTTATATGGTAAGACCTCCACCCCACTAACAACCGTCAGACTTTCAAGGCCATTCGCATTTGGATCCTACCCACCGTTTCTGTTGTCAGTTTTTCGATCATTCTTGAATGTGATTTCCTGAAGTTTTAGCGCCGGGTCGCCTTCTGTTGTGAATCCATTCTTGGATCACCGGATGACGACAAATGACGCTGTCAGTGTCGGAGCAATGCCGCTCCTGTCTCATCAACCTGCAGGAAATCATCTCCATTCTGTCCCAGCCGGATCGCAATGATGGGCATATCAAAGATACCCAAGTTGTTGAGGAGCTGGAAAGATTCAGTCTCTTTGTTGGGAACATCGGAGCTCTTCATCGACCCGAGTCGTCCATGTCCATCGAGTCACGATTACACGAAGCTAACGGTGTGCTCACTCACGTGTCGGGCCTCTTAGGCGACTTGGACGAAGTCGTTGCAGAGCTGCTGGACATCGTTTCTGGGAAGAGAGAAGGCATGGTCTCTGTTACTGATAAGGCTGAAAAAGAACATGATGGGGAGATCAGCGAAGTGGGAGAGCTTCGAGAGGAGATTAGTGGGACCATCACTCAACTCTTTAGAATGTCGATCCTCATCCGGCAGGCAGCACCTACCGACCTTTTCGCGAAAGCTCTCAGCCGCAACCGATATCGCTTCAACGATCAGTTCGACATTGCTCACGTTGGTGAGAAGTATCCTAAGCTTGCCACAGATGATTACTCGTGGCTTCGTCAACGTCTTGGACGAGCTATCACGCAAAGACGGCATTACCTCAACTACATGCAGGATCACCGTGAGAGACTAGAAGGAATACTCCACGAGAAGGCGGATAACTCGGCCGTCAACTCTCAAGCTCTTGTCATCAAGCAGCCACTCGATTCAAAGCCAACGCTTGGTCCAGCGAGCCGCCCTTCCTTGTTCACCAAAGCAACTACTGTTACCCCCGAACAAATCACACCTCAAATGCTTGTTGCCGAAGATTCAAACCCAGAGGAAGATGCCCTTTCGTACACGACAATCTCTCACTCGGTCGATAGCGATCATGAGCTATTTACTACCATTCGCATACCGAAACTTGACGACTTGCGCATCGGTAACAAAAGGGAGATAGAATGCCCCTTTTGCTTTCGGATTAAAAGGTTCAAGAGCGAACGTACCTGGAGAAAGCATGTCTTTTCTGATCTTCGTTCTTATGTATGCACGTTTCCAGACTGCGATGCACCATATTTTGGGGATATCAACAAGTGGTTTCAACACGAGATGACATTCCACCGCGTAGTTTACAAATGCTTCCTCTGCCTGAACAGAGTCTTCTATCGCAAGGAGGAATACCTTTCTCATCTGAGGCGGAAACATACGGACGTTCTGGATAACAACGAGCAGCAGCTAGGAATAGATCTCGCTCGAAAGCCGCTTGCTCAAATCCTAGCAAATGATTGCCCTTGCTGCTCAGACTGGGCTGATTCTTTAAGAGAGCGAACAACCCACACGAGAGAATCAGTACCCAATGATATTCTGGCCGTTGTTCCGACGGTCTTCAAACGTCACCTCGCTAATCATCTCGAGCAGCTCGCACTCTTCGCTGTGCCTATTGGTGCTGCAACTGATGACGATAACAACTCGGATCCTGCCATTGAGGAAAGGAGCAAGCACACAAATGCATCACAGCTGTCGACTTTGACTTTTGTCAGTTCCCGAGGTGATTCAACCCTAAACGTAGGATGGCGAGCATCAACAGGACGTAAGAGAGTTCTTACTGTTGAGCAGCGATCATATGCAGCATGGATGCGGGTTGCTGGAACTTGCTCGAACTGCGAGAGACGAGAAGTAAGATGCGATCCTGGCATTCCATGCAAGAGCTGTATAGAACACTACAGAGAGGATCTGGTCAATCACCCTTGCCGGGACAGTACGCTCAGTGACCTATACGCGACCTTCCTTTCCAACCGCTTAAGGTCGCATCCATCTTTCCAATCTTTGGAGTCGTTCGTTCTAGCTGATGGTCTCGAAATTTCAACGGGGATTACCTACACTATTCCACTGAACATTGGCTTTGGCCCAGCGCTTGATGTCTCGGTACACGCTGTACAGCTCAAAGATGATCATCCTTTAATACACGAACACATCATCTATTCATGGCCACCCATGCCTTTGACCAGCCCTCCTTCCCGTCACAGGAATGTTGTGATCCCGGCTGTACTAACAGCTGATGCCCATTCCTCTCTCGCGCAGACTTTGGACTCACACTTATCGCTACTCGTAACGCGTAACTTCCGCGCTTTCCCGCTATATTGTTCACAACTACAGATTTTACGCGAGATCTACATTTTCTTTTGCAGCCTTCCAGCAAGCTCCCATCAATACCGCACACTTCACCAGGCGCTCAAGCTTCTCGTACTGGTTCATACCGGCGACAACATCACGTCGCCTTTACCTTCACAGAGTCGGGCATTGGACCATCTCATGCACAGTACGAAGGCAATATCCGGGGACCTCGCTCCTACACCTTGCTTCATCCGCTCCCAGTTCAGCGCAATCATACCTCAACTTGCCCTCACCTTGATAAAGGATGTGGTCATGTCATTGACGCAATTTCTCCTAAGCAGGCAACATAGCGAATGGCCCATCGCTCTGGCTGTTCTCATCACCGTCCTCATGACGGTTGAATCTATACACTACCACGCCGCGAAGCTGCCATACCACGACCATTACGACACAACACGCTCATCCAGTACTGAAAAAGACTTAGAACTTGAGGATCACAGTGTGAAGGCACTACTCGATTTCTACAGCGCATGCTTCTCTGGTTGCCACGCTAGACTCAGACCCGACTGGGAGGGCGAGCCTATGCAGTCCCACCACAACACAGCCGAAGACGTATTTATTCAAGGTCTACGGAACGCGATTAAGAAGGCCAGCGTTTCCGGCTATCTAGTCGAGAAAGCCAAAGAGAAGAGACCAGAGGACGATATGAGGTACTTCTTCGATCGACTTGTTGCACGCCTCCTCATCTTAAGGCTTTGATAACTGGGTCTTCGTTTTCTTCTTACTCCAACGTTTGTAATTTTATCCCTCGAACTCGTGCTGGGAAGGCGACCAAATTGTACTTGGCATTCAAAAGGTTGCCATATCCTTCTCTCGACTTGTTATATAGATTGATTATACATGCTATGTTGTCGCGTTCTAACGCTATTTTATTCTCCTTTTACGGCTGGACACGCTACGATCATTTCGTTACGATGAAATAGCCTCTTGACGACCCACATTGGGGTTCGATGCTTTCCTAGTCAAAAGGTCATGCTAGGTATTGATGATAAGCCTGTGTTGCAAGTTGGTGTAACAAGGTTGATCCAGTGTTTGATAGTTAATAACATCAAATAATACTGTATTTCGCTGATCCCAGCATTGTACGGATCATGACTCGTAAAGCGAAGAGTAGGACATCCCAAACCCCTTGAGATCAGGTCTGATATTATACAGCTCTGCTCGTGCTCGTCTCACTCCCACACGTTATGCTTTTGCGCCATACATCATATCCGACATTGTGACGACGAGTCACTTCACTCCCATTCACAACGCTCTACAAGCTACCCCCATTACCACAAGCATGCCCACAACTATGCGCCCGCGCATCTCAAGCGCATCTTCTATCTCCAGCTTCGCCATCTTCCTTATCTTCATATCCAGACGCCACGACTTCCTCTTCCTCCTCTGTTTAGGTCTTCCCCCCCCCCCCCTCCCCCCGCTTTGTCCATTGCTGGGGGCCTATAACATTGTGTGGCTCTACATGTCTGATTGTTCCTCTACCACCCCAGGTCGCAGTATCAGAATCCTGGAAGGGCTCTGGATTGAGCTGACTGGATGGAGCAAGGTAGGTGAGGATGGAGAAGCCTTGTGAGTGCGCTTTGGTGAGACGAGCGCGGTTTCGGTAGTTGATGAGAAAGAGGGAGAAAAGGAAGAATATGAATAACACAGGTGCAAGCACAATCCTAACATCTGTTAGAATACTTGAACTAGCATAGTAAAGTGCTATCGCTTATTCTTGGAGAGCTGAAAGGTATTAGTGTAGTTGCAAGTTCTGCAAAAGGATCAAATATGTTTTTTGTCTCCGTTGTGTACATGAGGGTGATAGTGATAGGCTTGATAGAAGATGCTGGACATGATAGTAGTCGTTTGCTACAAACATCTGTATAGCAGATACGGCAGGAGCTTTTAGTTACAGTTTCCTGTTGCCCCGTCACGTGTTGCGTCGATGCTTGTTGCATTTACCGCTAAGTTTATAGTTAAACAGGAGGTCAAGAGATAGAAATATATAACAGTGTAGATTTACTATTATCCTTAGTCTAAAGGAGCTTATACTTTTGCTACACTACATAGCTCTGTGTAAAAACATACACTTTACGTACCTTGCTTACTTTGCTTAAACTGCAACGTTCTTGAACTGTTCAAGATACTTTATACTGTCAGAAGAGATATATAGAACGACTTTATTTATATTTACTTTTACAAGCCCATGTTTTTGATAACTATATGCAACGATTAGTAGGGAAGGACCTGTGCGGTGTACTAATTGAGTCTCCTCGTACATTACTCAAATAGGTTAGCTCGCCCGGTAGAGCATGAAGGAGAGCCTCATGTAAGGCGAGCATCAGCTTGCCCAGTTTTCTCCAAAGATTTTAAGTGATAAACAGGGTCTGTGGATCGAGACAGGCCTTATGACAGAGGAATACCACCACAACCCACACCTAGTAGTGCTTTTGTATCCTACTACCTTCCCTTTACAGCAAATAGAAGGATTGTCCGCCCTTTTAGCTAACTCGTAGTAACGACGTGAAGGTCTGAGGTCGGAAAGAGTCCGCGAGAAACACGTGAGTTATGATTATGATGAGTGCACTAACCTCCGTTGAACTATATATTGACCACTTTCCTCCCCTTGAGTTATATTCTAACCATTACAAGTTGAATTCATTTCTCTACCAACTTACAACTTGGACTCCCCAAAACTAGCAACAGTTACGCAATCTCATCATGAAGACATCTTTTATCCTTGCTGCCCTTCCCTTCTTGGGCCTCACTTCCGCTGCTCTTCTCGCCGCAGAGGCTGTTGGAGAAGCGTCTGACAAGAGTTTGGTGGCTCGCTACAGTAAGACAAACTCCCTAGATATGCATGGATGGCATCTTCAACTTTCCTTTCCTTCGCTTAGAAACAAACACTGACACCCTTTCGTCTAGGTTACAACTGGTGTGATTATGCTGAACACACGACTGAAACTGATTTCACCATGGGCTTGAATGGCTGGGGAAACAACGATGCAACAGAAGACTAATCCACAATATTGGCTCCACCGCGGGTTGTGGAAGAGAATTGCTCGATCGACTCAGGGCTCACTGCGGTTCTGATATTCAGAACTGGGGATGCACCCTTATTCACGAAAACCCGCACGATACGAAAGTCACATTCACTATCAAAGCGTTCGAAAGGGTCGCTGCACCAGCTTGCATCTATGCCGCTGTCAGAGACGTTGCTCCCGCTAGCGATAAAGAGATAAAATGCCTCAGAACCAACTAAAGCGATAGGAAAGCACAAGTGCATGGATATTGATCTGGGTCTGTCTCTGGGCGAACGAAGTTTCGATGAAGGTGGGAGGCTAGTGTCCGATAACTGAGAACCTGTTGGTCTTTGAAATGACCACAGGCAAATTACTTGTACTTGATAGTGGCTCATTACTCTTGAGAAGGTGATTTGGTCTGAGCACCGTGAGATTGCAAAAAGACCCCAATAGCCAACGAATTCGTTGATATTGAACTTGTGACTCTATGTACCTGAATACCCCTGTAAATTTGTTCTTGAGAAGCTTCCCAGAACTGATCAGGCCTGAGTGCGTTAGCACGATTGCGTCGAGTACAGGTCCTACCTAATCACTATTCCAAGATAAGAATAGACGCATTGTTGATACTTATACCACGAGAACTGTTAGATTCTGTTGAGTGGATGACCGAGACTTCAAGACAGTATCTCCAAACTCACGTAACTTATACATCACGTGATCGATGTTGCAAATCCTTAGTAAAAAGAAACCCCTGTCGAGCCTGCCGTTCTGTCGGCCAGGTCCCCTCACGATTGCCATACGGGCTGACCACGCGACAGTGTGGCAAAGGCCAGTCACCTGGCGTGTTCGCGTGTCGTCGGGCCGGCTGACCGACCTTCGCGTTGCCGTCGCGTTCCCCGCGGTGATCGATATCGAGAAGTAGGCATCAGTGCGGCCAACATGCCTTTGGACCGTCACACTAACTTCCCACAATGATATAGTGTCTCTACACCATGCTGAGATTTGGTCAACGCGCATGTACTCGCTTCAAATTTCCCTCTCACATCTCCCGAATTTCGCGCTTCCAGAGTACGAAAATGAATGCCAGCGAGCCTTTCGAGGAGGAGCGTCTTCCGTGGTATAGCCATGATCAGTTTTATCCAGCACGACCTGGTGAGATTCTCGATTCTAGCTTTAAGGTTATAGGAAAACTCGGATACGGTGCATACTCCACGGTATGGCTGTGTCGGGATATCCGGTATGTTTGGCGTTCTTCACCCCCACCCACCCTTCAAAGTCTGATCATCCATGCACAGAGAACGAGACGCTGGCTTCGTCGCTGGCTTCGTCGCTGTCAAGATTTGTACCCGAGATGCCGAAAAGACACCACAGCTCAATCGAGAGCTAGATTTTTACGAGCATGTCAGTTCTATGCAATCACAGCATCGCGGCCAAGCATACATCCGCGGACTGTATGGCGAATTTGAGCTCGACGGTCCGACTGGCAAACATTTGTGCTTTGTTCATCCACCCATGCACATGACTATTCGACAGCTCCAGTATTACAACCCAGCACACAAGCTCGACGTTCCGCTTCTGAAGTGCACGCTAGCCAATGTGCTAAAGGCGCTGTCGTTCTTACACGACGAGGCTAAGGTCGTACATACAGGTACGGCAAGATGATGCAACACGATTGAATCAACTGACAAGTTAGACATTAATCCTGAAAATATCATGCTGACTGTGGATGATGACACTATTCTGGAAAACTTCGAGAAAGCTGAAGCAGAGAACCCGTCACCATCCAAAGTGATTGACGACACACGCACCATTTACAGTTCCCGTGAGCTTCCCCATCCTACGGGTGATCTTTGGGGCCAACCAGTTCTCTGTGACTTTGGAGAAGCGCGGATAGGAGATTCCCACTCCGGCTTAATTCAGCCTGAGCTATACCGTGCACCAGAGATAGTTTTCGAGATGGAGTGGGGCTCTAAGGTGGACATTTGGAGTGTCGCCACGTTGGTAGGTATTCAATACTATTATAACGAAGTCTCAATGACTTACTCTTCATTAGGTGTGGGACTTGTTTGAAGATGAGCATCTATTCGACGCCCGTGACAACGAGGGCAACCCATCAGAGACACATCATGTTTCCGAAATGGTTGCATACCTTGGAATGCCTCCGCTTGAATACACGCAAAGCAACCATATGACAAAGAAGGTCTTCGACAAGCAAGGTTAGTCATTGAGATCGTCCCGACATAGACTCTGCTAAGTTCAATAGGACACTGGACGGGTGGCTCCAAGAGTGTAACTATTCCTAAGATCTCACTCGAGGAAAGAGTCTCGGTGCTTGAAGGGGAGGAAAAGGAATTGTTTCTCGATTTCATACGCTCGATGCTCAGATGGCGGCCGGAAGACAGGAAATCGGCGACTGAACTCCTGAAGCACCCATGGATGGCCGACACTATGTAGTTGCGACGACGATCAAGCAACCATTGCACTGCAAAGTCATTCTCGCGGAGTCTTTGTATCAGTTACATGTTTAGGATTGATTTACAAAAACATATGCTTCTTCACTTCACTTCCGGGCATTTCATGTCATCATCGCCGACCTAGCAGTTGTTCTGGCCGACTTTAGCATCCGCACATGATATTGACGGCTTGGACCTCACTCGTTTTGCTCCCGACTGTCGGCCAATTCAATCTGCGCGAAAACTCCTTTTGTCGTTAAGTAGTACGTGTCCGGAGCTTAGATATCGTCGTCCTTGAGCAATAGCATGAGTGGGGGCAGCGCCATTGACAAGAACACCTCCGCGCCACAAGTCAAAGAGCTCGAACATATGAAACACTGAGGTACCGCGTTAGGGTAATTTACACCGGCACCAGGTAATATACACTAGAGAATTAGGCAAATTTACCTATTTACACAACAACAAAAAAAGACTGTAATAAAAGTTTTTTAAGGTATAAGAGAAGATTTCTTACTTTCCTTTATATATCTTTATAAAGAGATAAGATTATTTCTTAAGATAGAATTTTTTTTTTTTTTTTATTTTAGTGTTTACTGCTAAGCCTTTTTCTTGCTACTCTCCTCCTGCTATAAAACTTTAATATATCTTTATTATTATTAGCTAGAACCTGCTAAATATGCAAAGTTCAGGTAAGAAAAGTATTTCTTGTACTAGGCGTATATGTATAAGTATGTAGGTAGGTACGTAGGTAGTAGAGAATGTAGACTTAAAGGTTTATCTACTTTAGAAATAAAAAGCTTATGTAAGCTTATTCTATAATATACTATATCTTCTCTATACGCTAAAGGGCAGTGTAAAGTGGTAGGGTAAATTACCTAATTTTGTACCTCAGTAATTGTCAATCTCGCCGCTATTTTAACTACTTCCTCATGCTTAACTCTATCGCTGCAGTATTAAAAGACCATCACTAAGTCGCATCCGTCAATCTCTATCGCCTTGACGAAAACATCGGAATAAAACGGATCGTGTACAGCCACAGCCTGTTACGCTGACATCTCTTTCACACTCGTACTTCCTTTCTCTCCTTCGTTCTCCCTGGTGGTGATCGCTTACTTCCTAATGTTCATCATCCATGAGAACTCCAAGACATGCTTAGTATTCAACAATCCCTTGATTCACGGTGCCGCCGGACTTGCCGTTGTGCTTGCGAACGCGTCAGCCTGCGCGTCCGCTCATAAGTTCTCCAATGTCTTCTTCTTGCCTCCTCAGATGTCTAGCACACAGACCGACGAGCTGAAAAATGATTTGATTACCCCAGTCATGGTATCGTTATGTTCTGCTTCTGTACCTCCGGCTATAAGGTACGCGAGGGCTGGACGATGAAACGAACGCCCTTGCGTAACGACAGCGCGAAGCCTCATGCGGCACGTAGCACATCCAATGCAGTGATGCCATGAGAGCCGCATCAGGCGCGCAGAGCGACGGGTGAAGGCATGAGATATTGCGGAGGAGGCCGTGAAGAGAAGATCAAGTACCGACGATATTATTCTTCTCATCATCATTGGTGGTTGTCAGACTATAGTACCACGTGGGCTGACCGTGCAAGTTAAGGGCACCGGACGTGGGAGACCCTATAGGAAGCAGTAGCAGTAGACATAACCAATGCTGTACTCATACATATGACTAGGATGGTCATCTGGATGTTACCCAGATGATCAACGGCGATAGAATCGATATGGTTCTGTTAGTGCTTCTGCGCCTCTCTTTTTTCATCTTTCTCAGGCGTTAACAGACCTGCTACGTGCTTCGAAAACTGTTGTGCAAAGTGAAGCCATGGGTTGCTTTGCTATTGGTGTTGATATGCAGTTGCGAGCTCACGCACAAAAGTTTGAAGGCCGGTGCCATCGATCAGCGCGTGCGACATCTCCGCACGCAAAATCACGCGCATCACGTCGGTTATGATACATGTGGTGGGCCTGTGAGAGCATACGGTTGACTCTTCATTGTTGTCGTTGTAATCCGGATTGTCTGGTAGTAGCGGGCACGCGGCAGCCAGTTCGGCAGCGTCAGCAATGAGCGCGTGACTGACGTGCGAGACATATGCAGCTTGAAATCCTGCGGGATAGGCAATTTGCAAGCGATAGGAGGAGTAAGTCGATGATGGCGGTGGGAAGATGGTGCGTTTGCTGGGATAACGGTCGATGCCGACATGTAAGGCGCGGTGTAGGCGCGGAAGCCTAATGTACGTGCTGCTCGTAAATATGGCAGGAAGGCTCTGTTTCCAAGTAAGCAATTGCCTGCTGCATATATATGAGTTTTGGTGTCGCGCTTTCCAGACTCAACTGTGATTTGGTTACATGCAGCGACAAGGCCTTGATTTGCTATGATTTCGTGTACATGTTTTAGGCACGCGCAGACGTGAAGAGCAACACTCGAGGTCCAATGTGTTTCCTTCAACAATTTGCTAGCAGGGCGTTAAAGGTCATGAGCAGAAGGCAGAACCAGGCTCACAGTGACATACATGTGGTTGTGTCTCGCGAATATCAGGATTGTAGGAGTTTGGAACGAAACTTTGTGTACTTCGCGATGCGCTCCAGTTCCTACGGCCCTTAGAAACTGTGCACAGCGACGGATTTAGAACGCTCAATACCAGCCAATACAGTGCTGAGCCACTCTGAGTGATGCCGTCCCCAATGCACATGACCCTGAATTTTCGTCATTGCCATTATCATAGATGCTGGACCCTGCGAATTCTGTCCATCGTGCGGGACTTCTATCTATCCGGGTCTCGGCGATATAGGCCAGTCAAGGAACCAACTGACCTTGTCTGACTCCATGTCATATACACGTGTGATCTTGAACTTGGGGTCGATAGTTCTTACACGGCTTCGTTGAGATTGGCTCTCGACCAATCGAAATACCAGGAACCAGGGTGCAGCGAAATCATACAACAGCTTAACAACTACAACTAAGTTTAGCGTAGGAATCTTGTGCCTGATTTTTGAGCTGTATACGCCTTGCGTGTAGTTTAATAAATTGCAATTGTGTAGTTTTGCGGCTTGTAGGAGTCACAAAGAATGTAACTTACTTCCCGATTTTGCGGTTGACCGAGAGATTGGATAGGCACTTGATGAGGGCAGTTGACCAAAGAGGCTCGTGAGAAACACCAAAATGATGTTTAGGGAGAACCTGTGTACGCACTGGGAGGAGACAGAGCCCGACCAAGCCTTTGACGCTAGATATTGAGATTTCTCGAGTTTGGATCGACAAACCACGGGTCGCCCCAATTGACTGGGAATCGCGGATAGCACTGCCACCCACGTTGCCTTTATGGAATCCCATTCAGGGTACGAGCGTTCAACACAAGGACACGCCTCATCACCTGACGTTGTGGACACGTGCATGGAAACGAGTACTATATCTTAGCAGAGCAAGCAATGTCGCTGATATGCTTCACTTACTTGTTGCGCTGCTGATGCGACTGGTAGTCACAAGCAATACAACCATACTACAATTTTACTTCACTTGTGGTGGAGAAATTGCGTTCAAAGAAGAAAAGTTGATTCTTGATCTGGTATATCCCGTACGACTAGCATGTAGCCTATGTCCCTTTATCCGAAACTCCGTTGCTGAATATGCCAGATGATTATTTTGTAGAGTGATAACATCTATACCGGCGTGAGGCTAAAAATGCATCACCAACCCCGTTTTTTCTGTTCCTAATCCTTGGGTAGCATCTCAGCCTCACTTCCGTCACGCGGTACGTAGTTGATGCCTGCGCTCTCCACAGCGCCAATGACCTCCTCCGGCAGGATGCCCTCGACCTGGCATGCGTACACACCCGGTACATAGCCCTCGAGGCGTTGGAACCTGGCGACCCAGCTCCGTGTTGTGTCTGCGACGCTGATGAGGCCGTCGAAGACCTGGGAGGTGCAGTCGTTGATTTGCTCGGTGTTACCGGCAAGTTCTAGGACGTCCTCGCAGTTGGGGCAGCCTTGTGTGCTGAACTGGTGGAAGGTGCGCACGATGGCGCAGACCATGCAGGCGCGCATGTTCTTTTGCTGGTTAGGCGGGATGAAGGCGCCGCTGGAAGCCATGGTGGGTGGTGCTTCGTGGGGTTGGGAGTGCTGGAAGCGCGAAGTTCGGCGTCGGTGTGAGGAGTGTATGGGAGTGGGATCGTGGTGCTCGGTACGGTTGGCGAGGCGCGCTTCCCCTGTTGGGCTGCGTGAGGCTGAGGCGCGGACGCGAGGTGCTGAAGAGGTCTGGAAGCGTATGCGAGACTCCTTGACGCGCTGCTGATGTTGGTGCTGAAGCTGAGAAGCCGAGGAGAGAGCAGCCTGTTCTGGAGCTTCGATGCTGGGGAGGGCGTCGGTGACAGTGTGGGTTGGGAAGAGAGCGTTGGCGAGAGCGTTGCTTTGTTCGACGTCCTTCGAGTCTTGGCGAAAGTCGCGCTTTGGCGTCGGCGAATTAGAGAGGTTTGGTTGGTCGCGTGCGGCTCCCGGATCAACGTTCTCTTCGCCTGGGGTGGACAAAGTGTGCAGCTTCCTGAACAGACCGCTTTTCGCGACTGGGCTGCTCTTCTTGGTGGATGCCTTCTTCCCGCTCGAATTATGAGAAGAATTGGTCTCGTCGCTGTCCGAGTCGACGCAGATGTACTTTCCTGGCCTGGCCTTAACCGTCGCGATGCCTTTTCGGCTCTGCGGCGCCATGTTAGCGGGAACTCGGTAGTTGAATGCCTGGATCGCCCGTTGGTTGATGCGTTGTGCGTGAGCGGAGGCGAGGCGAGAATGACGGGCTTGATGTGCTCCAGCCTTTAGGCATGGCGTTGTAGCTTTCACCAAGTTTTTATTGTGCGTCACAGCCTTGCATTGGAAAGTGCAATCCAGACGTTGCAGCTTCTTCATCCATCCGTCGCGCCTTCTCGGATCGTACAGTTGTGCCTCATAGATCCCCCGCCAGTCCCGCAGACTGCAAACACAGACATGGGCAGCCCGCAGGAACAAGCTACCGAGTTCAAGAACAAGGGCAACGATGCATTCAAGAAACATGACTACCCCGCTGCTCTGGAGTCGTACTCCAAGGCGATAGAACTCTACGACAAAGAGCCCTCGTTCTTCACCAATCGCGCCCAGGTACGTCACTCTGCTGATGCACACAACCAAGTACTCACAATGCGTCCTTGATTAGGCACACATCAAAGTCGAATCCTACGGTTACGCGGTTCAAGATGCGGACAAAGCCATCGAGCTGGACGCGAACAACATCAAGGTACGAGCCATACAAAGTACCCGGCGACGCAGACAGCTTACACCCAGTCCAGGCATACTACCGCCGCGCCTCAGCCAACACCGCCATATTGAAACACCGCGAAGCCCTGCGCGACTGGAAGATTGTAGTCAAGAAAGCGCCCAACGATACGACTGCCAAGCTGCGCATGCTCGATTGCGAAAAGGTGGTAAAGCGAGACGCCTTCCTCAAGGCTATTGAGGTCGACGATGCCCCATCAGCGGCCGAAGGACTGGACGTGGAGCACATGGCGGTGGATTCTTCATATGATGGCGCCAAGTTGGGAGACAAGATGACCCTTGAGTTCGTCGAGGACATGATCGAAAGATTCAAGACCGGAAAGAAGCTAGCGAGGAAATATGTCTTCCAGATCATCATGGCCGTCATGGATCTTGTTAAGAAAGAGCCCACCATGGTCGAGCATGAGGTTGCTGAAGGGCACGAGATCACCGTCTGCGGAGATACACATGGTAGGCCACACACATAAAGCTCCCATGCTGGAGCCATTGCTAACATCTGACTAGGTCAGTTCTTCGACCTCATGAACATCTTCAACCTTGCCGGCAAGCCGTCTGAGAAGAATGCTTTCCTGTTCAATGGCGACTTTGTCGATCGAGGATCCTGGTCTACCGAGATTGCACTTTTGTTGTACGCCTACAAGTGGCTGTACCCTAATAGCTTCTTCTTGAACCGCGGCAACCACGAAACGGACGACATGAACCGCATGTACGGATTCGAGGGCGAATGCAGGGCGAAATACAACGAACGTGTGTTCAAGCTATTCTCGGAATCTTTCTCCGCGCTTCCTCTGGCTACACTTATCGGCAAGAAGTTCTTCGTTCTGCACGGCGGTCTGTTCTCAGACGACAAGATTACTCTCGACGATGTCAGGAAACTAGATCGTTTCAAGCAAAGGCAACCAGGGCAAGCTGGCCTCATGATGGAAATGCTCTGGACCGACCCACAAACAGCACCTGGACGAGGACCTAGCAAGCGCGGGGTCGGTCTCCAGTTTGGTCCCGACATCACAAAACGATTCTGCGAAAACAATGGTCTCGAGGCCATTATTCGATCCCACGAAGTGCGCATGGAAGGTTACGAAGTCGAGCATGACGGACGCTGCATCACTGTCTTCTCTGCGCCCAACTACTGCGACAGCACCAGCAACAAAGGTGCCTTCATCAAACTCAAGTCTGACCTCAAACTCAACTTCACCAAATTCGATGCCGTTCCGCATCCAAATATCAAGCCTATGGCCTACGCTTCGAACGGTATGCAGGGCTTGATATAAGAAGCCAGACAAAAGAATTGGACTTGGATTGTTCGCTTGGTTGTAGCGATGCATACTTCGGTGTTTTTGGCGCAAGAGCATGCGGTTGGGTGGGAGGGAACTTGATTGCTTTGCCCGGAGTGCTTGGAGAGAAGCTGGCTCAGTTAGCGAATATAATTGTAACATAGACTCCTGGAGGTTAAAAATTGGTTAGTTCATCCAGCCTTGTATGTCAGTTTGTCTGAATACTCATCTTTCCACAATACAGATAACGATGACGTTGACGATGAATTTGAAGCTGGAGCGATCCCCCTCTTTCTTACGCGCTGACCCCACATGTTCTGCGCTCCTTTCGGCTAACGACGGTATATATACAAGGATCAGGATCCGCTCAGCTATGTATATCACCAACAGCAGCTTGATAGTATCGCGTTGCGTTGTGTCGATGTCGATTCCTCTGCGACATTTCAATGACATGTCGCGAATCCACCATGTCGTCAATGTAGCATCTCTTCTTCGCTCACGCCATGCTGAGCGTATGGCGCAATTTACACAGTCTCCACATTCCCATACCAACCAGACGACGCGCATAGCTCAGATGCAAGTTGATGTGGGACGGGGGGAGAAAAGCAATATGGACTACAGGCATACCACTTGTTGCATCCTGACTCTGAGGTGTTTGCGATTCCCTCTCCACTCTTCTCTTGGAAGTGAAACGGAATTACTGGGTCGATGTGGTAGATATGCTCACGCCGCAGACTTGCGTCATGTTTAACTTTTCTTCCTTCAGGCATCTTCCCATTGCGTTTCAAACATGGGTTATTCGTCGCTCTAGCAATCATGTCATCGGTATGATTCTCATTGGCATTTATCATGTTGCTAGTCGATGACGAAACGGAAGACTGCGATGATGGTATTGATGGAGACGGCGAGAGTAAATAACACGATCGATGCGTTTGCCTGCTTTCTCTGTGGTTTTGATGTTGGTACGGTGCATCATCACCTTCTGGGGTGATATCGAGCTGTCGAAAAGAGAAGGGCTTTCTCGTCTGTTATTACTACTGCTTGGACTCTCGTTCTCATTCCCATCATCATTTTCGCAATCATCGGAATACCTGGAATGGCAGAGAAAAGCCTTCATGGCGTTCTAGTTGAACGATATATTGATTTGACTACCGGTTCTCCATAGGTTTGTCGAAAGCTCGACATTTGAGATTCCCAAGATATTATGGGATATGTATTGTATAAAAAGGTCATGCAAGTGGGCATACGCGTATGTTTTATACCAAGTCCTAATCTGACTTTGGAGTCTTTCCCGGCCGAAGTTCGAGAACGTGCAGGTCTGGACGCATTGGCAGAGACAATTTGCTCGAAAACACTCGTCTCTGCTAACCATCACCTTTCGATCGAGATGTTGGTTCCTTTGCGAAAGCAGTGAGATTACTTCAGCCGTCTGGACTGTGCCAGATAAAGCTAACATCGAAACCTTCTGTTGCCGGTCTTCCGAACGGCTGTTAGTACACGCGGTCACTGCAAGGGTAGAGAAATCGTGCCGTGACCATAGCCTCGCTGACATGTGACATTTGAGTTCGAACTTAGCGGCTGAGGATCTACGTTTGCTGGAACTACAGCAGAATTGCAGCAATCATCTAGTTTCTATAGAAGATACACTAGGTAGAAGCCTCACCGGACAAGTGATTGACATCATGGGATAATTTTAGAAACAGGGATAACGTCGTCGCAACGAAATTATGGGCAACAAAACACCGTTGATGAATGTTGAGTCATTGTGCTACAGATGTACGCGATATCTTGGTACGGACCCACATTCGACACTATCCACTTCCAGCATGGCCTGTCCACTACGCTACCAATGTGCTACTGACTTGATCGCACGGTAGCCGTTTCATCGTACCACGGACTTGTAAAAACGATGAGGCATTTTGTGGAATTCTTGAGATATCCGACCAATTGCGGGCTGTGGACAGAAGCTCCTTATGAGATATCTTTTTGCCAAGTGTCCTCTCGGTCGTTTCTCATAGTAGGAAGACGGCTGGCATGTCAGCTTCTCGCGTACGACGTCAAATCCCCCAACGGCACATGGGGAAAGCTCTTGGTCGAGCACGGAGCGCGGCACCTTCTCTCAAGCCTTGCCGTTGGAGCGGTGAAGTAGTCCATAGAAGATGCAGTGCCCATTGGTGCTACGTGGCGATGCAGACGCGACCTTATACTTATAAGGATGCTGCTCTCATGCTACACAGCTACAGAATTTGCGACTCTTTTCGTTATGCCATTATAATCATCGTACGGAGAGTGCTGTTGCTCGGGGCCACTTTGCGCACAGAACATAACATGCCTTCACCCGCTACTTAATGAGGCTAGGGCCGACGCGCTCGTAAGACGGATCCGCCGTCCTGAAACAAGAATTTTGTTGCCCCAAATATGGCAGTGGAAGGCGTTACGCTCGATGCGAAGCAGCATACCCCAACCAGGCAGGAAACAAAAGAAAAAAACGGCAGCATTCAACTGGTGTAGGAGAAATGGTTGTACGACGCTGATCCTTGGTATACAAACGACTGGGGTTCCACTCTTACGATTGGCTGGAACGCCTACGCCGTCGTTAGGAATCGTTCTACTGATCCGACGTCCGCTCAGCTTTGACGTCTACACTACCCAGCAAAGCGCCTCCAGATCTCGGTTATGCGTCGATCCACTGGTAATGTAGCGGTGGCTCATGTCTGTAGATACCTTCCATGTCGCTGTCCTTGGAAAGCGCGGAAGTGGGGACATAGGTGGTGGACGCTAGGTATGCAAGCTGCACAGCATCCACCTGCATCCCAGTTAATTTCGAGCGAGAGCGTCCTCTCCCTAAACCAGCCTTCACCCCAATGCTCTGACATCTTCTTCTTCTGGGATGGAACAGAGCCCGTTGTAGGTTTGTGTTGCCATCTTTTCTTTACGCTCGTTATCTTTCGTTCACTTTCCATTTCTTCTGTTTTTTCACGACAAGCCTTTGTTTCGCGTTTCTCCACGTACTTCACGGCAGGACCCAAGGGCAGAGGTGGTTTGGATTGAGATTACCAGACCATGGACCCTCGAGACCTGCCATGGGCTGAGCATGAAAAGGCAACTTCCCTCCTATCTCGTTGCGGTTGACCATATACTAATCTTCATCAAGGTGTGCCTTCTTGCCGAAATACTGAAAGTCGCTCCCATATCGTCCCAAGTTCTCTTAAATCTCATTCGCGACCACAACCTCCAGGCCCGATGGAGCGAAGTCCTCCTGCCTCAAGGTACGCACCACGCCATCCTCGCGTTTGCGATCTGAGAGACATCAATCTCGCAGTTTGTGGATCGTGTTGTCGCAACGCGTTTGAGTACTGACACGCTTTTCACTGCAGGTCGTTGCCTACGCGCATGTCAGACAGCATATCATGACATGGGCGCGACTCACTCAGCGACAGACTATCGACGTCCGCAGTTGCCTACACCCTTGATCTATCCCGGTCCCGAGATCTCCAGGAAGCGTCCCCACCACCCAGAGCCAGGTCCACCAACCGGACGACTGCTCCAGCCACGCCCACCACACGCGTACCCTGGCGAGTTCATCCAAGCTGGCGGACCTGCCTATAATAATCCAGCGATCGCGCAATCCGGCGAGCCAGCGAACAAAAAGAAGCGAGGGAGGCCAACAAAAGCGGAGGCACAGCAAAGAGCGCAAGAGGCAGCGGCGCGTGGCGAGGTCTACCCACCACCGAGAAGAGGAAGAGGATCCATCACAGCACCCCCGGAGCCATCGCCCTCTAGTGCAGACGCACCACCGCTAGCGCGTACTCCTCCACAATCCGTACACACTCAATCAGGCACTACAATGACACCACAGCACCAGATTTGGACTGAATCTGGACCCGAAACATCGTCAGGGAAGGGAAGACGCACAAGACCTCAGCCATTGGAGCTGGAAAAGCCTCAGCGAGCACTGAGCGAGATGCAATCGCCTCTGGGCTTTGGATCAGGAGATCCCAACCGCAACCAGACATACTCGTCATTTACACCTGTTTCTGCGCCTCTGCTTTCCTCATCAGATTCGAGAGACCGCGACTCACGCATAGAAGGAGTCGAAGAGGTCCAGCCCCGAACAACAACACCCCACTCGTTCAAAGACACAGTCGGCATATGAAAACGTTTCCTTCGTCACGACAGCACTCACAGCGGCAATCTGTTTTCAAGCGTTCTGAAGACTTTCCTTATGCGGTCCTGATGACCCCTCACGCCACGAACTCTTTACGGCAATCACGGAGGTATGCTCTGCAATTTTTGCTACACAATTCAGAAGCTTTGTTAAAGCGCATCATCATTTTCATGTTGCCTCTCTACAGGCGACACTTGTTTCCTAAATACGCTCTCGTTTACTATTTCGGTTTCAGACATTTCTTTGGCCAAAAATGATTTCTTCGCTTGCTTTGCCTGTCAACGCTGTCCACGAAGCTTGAGAAATGAACAAGCGTATTATTTAATGTCCTAATATCGCTGCTCTAACGACCTTCAAGAGTCTCATTCAAATTGGAACGATTGGGCCCAAGGCTTCCAGGCCAGTCACCTCGCTGTAGCATTTTCTGCAATTGCAAACCTTTTCTGCAACCTGTATGATAGACAATGGCTTTCGCCCCACCTTCTTCCTCTGTACAAAAGCATCTATCAGCCACAATATCAATATCTTTAGTATCAATCCAGGCACGGCCCCATGGCGCTTCTCCGCAGCACGTTCTCACTTTGTCATGATTTTCCTTCGTTTTGAGCGCGCATCATTGTAACAAGTACCCTTGTACCTTGTCGCACGTCGCCGCTGCACGCTAACGTAGGTTGGCTGCCGTCCACTCAAACAGTGCCGAACGGCATCCAAATCCTGCAGGCCGACGAGGGCGACGACGTTGGAACGGGGTTCGGCGACACAAACAACGGGCTTTGTTTCACCTATGAATACCTCACATCTTCGGTACTACTGTCGCTCGTACCACAAGACGCAGGGGTTGTAAGGGAATCTGCGGGGCTAAGCGCCTCTCCATCAGCGGCGCTACTTTATGTTTTTCCAAACATTTCCAAAATGTATATGTTGTTTTGCCGAGGAAAGGGGGTTTGCCAAATCTTGAGAACAACACATGCCCCGGATTGGTCGCTCGAACCTGCTAAAAGGGAGAGCAAAGGAAATGACCCGAGGCGCATGTTCGCGTGTTACGTACGGTTGGGGCTGCATGGCTGCCTGCAGCGAGAAAAGGAGAAAGGAGATGTCGGTCGGTCGAATTGCATCTGCATACATGCATGCACGCATCGGCCATGCTCTCCTTAGCGCGATGCAGGCACAAATTATGGGATGAACGATAGTTGTCGCCAAACGAACTTTTTGACTTTCGAGCGTTCGAGGCTAATATCATGCGATTCTTTGCTGTGATATCCGGGTTTTGATGCAGCAACTTCTGTGGCGCATTTTCGTAGAGGATGCTCGGTTCGCTGTCGTCGTCGTCGGAGGCGCTTTCGGCTAAAACGCCGGCTATCTAACCGAGAAAATACGGCCCGCGCGATGTTCAAGGATCGGTTTGCGGGTTTTGGTTACGCTGGTCGATCGCTGTGCGGCTCTGAATGTATGAAGAACCTTTGAGACGAGACGTGGTTTTGAGAATCATCGCGACTCACGGACCAGTCGTTCTGATTGTCGTTTCCTCGTCGGTTTCAATGTCTGGTAATCCGAGCACCTACCGTGTTCTCAGGCATGCGTTGACACTTTATGTATAATTAGTTTTCTCGAGGGTCTGATTCGCCAGTGTGAGATTAGATCCGGCAGGGTTGTAGAATACGAAGAGCCAATCGATTGGTATGACAACAACACCTGGGCTGAGGGGTCTTTTGTATGTCGCGAAAGCAAGCCTCGATTGTAAATTGATCAACCTAAGAGTAATGTTTTGGGTAATTGATAGAATCAAGAGACTGTCGCGTCTCTAATATACATCCTAATGCCCTTTGAAGACGTCAAAGCCATAACCATCGCCGAATACCCATGTACTATCAGCATCCTCGCATCCGCCGTGAATACGGATGATGTCTGACGCTCAATACTATGCAGTCAAGCCCCAAACGCCTTGCTTTGTATAATCAAAAAAATGATGTCGAATCGCAAGCGTGCAAAATCAGTCGTTCCTGGACTGGCAGTCGCCGCATGTCCAGTCTCGTGTATTGGGGTCAAATGAATCGGGCACTTTCCAGCGCTTTCTCACACAATCTAGATGAAAGTAGAAACGGATACAGTCCTGTCGGGTATTAGTGTTTGTTGTTTCCTTTTGAAGATCTGCGGTAGACTTACAACATCATTACAAACCATGATTGGACATTTCCGAGGGTAAGGTAAAGCGTCTTGTCCACAAAGACATCGCCCTGGAATCGGCTCCATGTATATGTCTGCTTCATTCTCTTCCTGGCGGGCTATTGACCAGTCTCCTGCAATGTCTGGGCTTGCATCTGGCATGTCCACATCGCCATCTGCTGTGACCGGAGTAAGAAAGCCAGTGTCGGTGATTTGGACCCTGGCTTTCCCTTTGTTCAGTATCCTCGGCTCTGACATATCGTCAGATCTGCTACCTTCGGGGGATGGTGGCCCATGCGAACTTTCGACATGTAGCTCAGCAAGGCGCTGAGAGAGCCGACTTGACTCGAAAGCCTTTGGTTTCTGAGCCTCGACTATATCGAGACTCCCCGCATGAATCTTTTTGGAAATGATGTTCTCCTCCAGCAAATCGCCGACTTTGGCTTTGAACTCGTCGAATAACCGCTCTTGCCACAGCCAGACGCCCATCTCTCGCGCAAAACGGATGAGGGCATCTCCAGCATGGTTATCAGACTGCAAGTGCTCGTTTCGCATATATCTGTCATAAGTCTTCAGGAACCGTTCTGCGGATGCCGAGATTTGTTCGTCTTTGCGATTCTCCGCAGCTTTCCGCAGATCCAGCCACTCAGTATCAGGATCGTCGTCGCTTTCGCTTATGTATTCTCCCTCTTTCAGCGGTCTTTTGCTGATTTGCCTGAAAAAGGTGGTGCGAGGAGGAGGTTTTGGAACAGGGTACCTTCTTCTATCCTTTCTCGGCCTGGCTTGAACCTCCTCAGGAAGTTTCCGTTTTGGTGGTTCTGCCGCGGTTGCTTTGGCTGCTGCTACCTTTGCCGTCTTTCTCTGGTTGACTGTCCGACCTTTCCTGGCCGCTTGCTGGAATGAGTCGTCGCCGTCGTCTAGAAACCTCTGGCGATCGAATGGGTCCTCGGGAGCCATGACACGAACATCGAAAGGCTCGTCTGCACGATGACTAGCCCTTTGCTCTGCTTTGTGGTCCGCAACATCGCATTCAAACCGCCAGCGACTTACACCTGCCTCGGTCTCGTTTTCTTCTATGGCCGTGTAGTCGAAGTGATCATGTACGCCCTGCAGGTGCATACGGAGATCATATACATTAGCTGGCTTTCGTGTACAATGCGGACAGGCCACGCTTGACCGCGTGATCGTTTCGTTTGCGTAAACGAATGTGAGTTCATATCTTGGTGAATTGGGGTATTCCTCCACTGGTGGAGAGGGACACCTAGTAGCCTGTACCAATGACTTGAGATGCCGGTTGTGAGCGGTCAATATGGACTCTTCTCTGCTTGACCAGCACATGGACACTTCGAGACCAAGATCTAGCTGGCTATTTCCTTTGAGTGGCAGCACTACCGTCCCTTCGGGACATTCCAAGATGTTGCTCCAGAGCGCCGTCAATCTTCGCCCTGGTGCATTCTGGGCTTGAGTTTTTGATCCGAAGTACGCGTGGAACTCCTGCGCATCTTCCCCGTTTTTGAAATTGATAGTCGCAATCATCGTATAGTCTTTGGCAAGACCACTAGAGCCAGTTGATAACTCCTCAAGCCTGATTGGATTGATAGGCTCGGTTTGTACTTCCAAGTCTCTTCCGTGGCTACCATCTTTTCCGCTCAAAATGATATTGAGGTCTTGTTTTGCGCACTCAGGTCCTGACAAGGCTGCCCAAACTTTGACTTCTACAACACATTTGAGGTGAAGAGTTCGAGCTTTCTTCGGGAGTCTGGTGTTGTTGTTGGTGGTCCGGGAAGTTCCATCTGGATTTAGGAGCTTGATGCCGTGTATGTCTAGGACGAATTGAGCTTCAGAATCCTCCATCATGTCGTCGAGGTTCTCATGCGAGGGCAGATCCCAATATGCACGAAAGTCGTGGTCCGGTCCAGGAAAATGATCTGTAGTGCCGTACTCCAGGAGATGTTGGTTTATGTGGAGAACGCGCTCCAAATTTCTTCTCAGAAAGACAGGAGCCCGCCTGGATGAGAGATATTCGTAAAGTAAGATATTACCAGCATACCTACCCTTCTGTCCGACCATGCTCTTAAACCTGCTAGTAAAGCTGTCGACAATGCACTTCCGTGCCAATCGAGTTGAACCACCTTGCTAAATCATTCGGCCCTGAGCAATGAGTGGAAGACACAATGTGCGCCTATTGCGCAACATTCAGGTTCCTGAGCCGATGGAGAGATGCTGTGCGGATTGCTGGTCGGGCGAGAGCTCCGGAGAAGTGGGACGCGATCCTCGAATAAGAAGGAACGGAACGGCTTTGATGATGGATAACTGTTCGCTGGTCAAAAGAGCGACTGGTTAGGCGATGTGAGTGGCCGGAACGTGTCCATTGTTGTTGTTTGTTGTTGTTCTTCAAATGTTTGCTGCGCAAGGGTTGGCGCTAGGAGGACGGCGGTAAGACAAGTTACAAGAGCGAGTATCAACTCTCACTCGTCCCTCTATCTCTCACTCTTGCACTCGTCGTAAATCGATGCTGAGTGAATCATTAGAAGGTGGTATCACAGTCATGTGATCCAGCCGCCAAGCCAGCTCGACGCTAATTGTGTTAGTTATGCAGGGGCCTCTCGGAGGGCGTCATGTCCGCCTCGCCTCTTGCGATCATCATGCGTATCATCGCCTCTGGCTTGTTCACTCGCCGGCGCCCACTTCCTGCATTTGACCCCCTGTTCCTCTTGCAGCCTGCCCTATGCACCTCCACGACTACGGTTTCTTAGTCTGATAGCCTTCGCGAACACTCAGCCTTGACCGAATCCAGTTGGGGTTGTGCCATCATGGCTGTCACTCTGAAGCGGAAGCGAGGTGCTGTATCTTACAAAGAACCGAGCACCGACGAGGACTCCTCAGATGACCTTGCCCACGCGCCAAATCCGGAATGGGCTACCAAAAGGACTCGCGCTGCGCCTTCCCAACGCTCCACGAGACATCGGCAGGTGCGGGACTCGAACGCTCGACCTCAACCAGATGCTATCCCCACACGCAGCCGCGCGAAGACCGAGCCACGAGGCTCACAGCGCCAGCGAGGGCGCAACATTTCCTACAAAGACGTCAGCTCGGACGAAGAAGAAGACCCCGATGCGGATTTCGAAGAACCACAACAAGCCCGTGAGGCTTCGAGAAGACCCTCAAGGTCGCGAACGCTGGCAGTGCGGCCGCTACCATCGCAGAAGCGGCGAACATCCAAAGCCAGATCACAACGTGGACTGGTTCTTGGTGCGCCCCGAAAACCTCAAGTTCTAGTTGACACGGTGAAAAATGTTGTATCTATCCCTACTGATGGCCACAAACCGGACTGGGCGTCGTTGCCCTATCATGTTCTCCTTCAAGTTTTCGTATATGCGTCGTATCCTCTACACGACGAAAATTTGAAGCCTGCACCTTCAATATCATGGCTCGTGCAAATGGCCCGAATGTGCTCTGCATTCACGAAGCCAGCTCTCACTGCTCTCTATCGCAACCCACCCATTTTCGCTATCAAGCAGACTCGAAAGGGTTTGGTGCATCACCTTATTACAACTCCATCTGAAGCACATGAGAATTATCAAGTTATGGTCAAGCGGCTTGACTTGGACGTTACGCAGATGACTGCACTCACAGACGCAACCCATAGTGTTGCTGACTTGGCAGCATTGATAAAATCCTTGACGACTTTACGCGAGATTGACATCTTCGACCCAATAGACAGGCCGCCTTTCAGAGAACGATTGCGGCGCATGCGTCGGTGGTTTTATCCCGATGAATTGTTTGCGGCTCTCCGCCAAAGTGATTTGCGTCTCAGGAGCTGGCGGTGGAACAGCACCCTCTGTCAACAGACTCAAGACTCTTTGTGGATGAAGACAGTCCATGGCGATCGAGCTTTCACAAATCTTCGCGAACTCACACTCACAAAGTTTCATCCTTCACCATCCCGCGATGACGGCGACGACGAGAACAGCGACGATGGTCAGCCAACAGCCGAAGAGCTGCTCGCTTCCGCTCTTGCTGTCCTTCCCGACCTCAAGTCGCTGTCTTTTGAAACATGTGGAGTCGTCAGCGGACGTCTTCTCCCTCTTTTGCCACAAAGTCTTGTCTGTTTAAACATCACTAACTGTGGTGAACTACTTTCTGATGCGTTACAATCCTTCCTGACAACGCATGGTGCACAATTGGAGGAACTTGTTCTGAACCACAACCAGTCACTCGACCTCTCCTTCTTAGTTGACTTGAAGCGCTCTTGTCCGAAATTGGAAGTTCTGCAGATGGACACGACTTATTACAGTTCTCTAGAAATGTCATCTGACAACGAGCCGTTGTACGATCAACTTCTTGGCGAGGACGAAATACCTACCTGGCCTTCTACATTGCGAATTATCGATCTGGAGTATCTTCGCAACTGGAACTCGATAGCAGCCAACAATTTCTTTCAGTCTCTGATTGACTCTGCGGAAGATCTGCCCTGGCTTCGAGAAATCACCATACTGGCGATGGTGGATACCGACTGGCGACAGCGTGCTGAGTTTAGGAGAAAGTGGAGTGCTACTTTCAAGAGGGTCTTTGCAAGAAACTGGGTGCCACCTAGCCACAACCTTGTATCTTTGAAAGCCTTTAGGGAATGGAAGGCCGAGGAGGTAGACGCTGAGAAGGTTGACTCCTTCATCGAAGGTGTATCGGAAGAGATGGACAAGGCGAACGACACGGCGAAGACATATGTGGAGAATGACAGCGATACACCGCTTCTCTCTTTGCGTGAGCAGGATGAGAGATGGAACCAAAAACGCCTACGATCACGATCGAAAGCGCCAACGAGCCATGATGAAGCTTCAGACGACGAGTCCGCTTCTGAGGCGGAGTCGGATGACGAGGACAGGGTGCTATGCGTGCAGGGTTTGTGTCATACGGTAATATTCCGCATTGACAACTTTCGCCCGCGTGAGGAGATATACAACGAAGCCGACTTTCTCGACGCAGAGCCGAGCGGCGACGAGGAATGGAACGGTAATGACGATAACGAGGATGAGGAAGGCTATGCTTGGTAACGGCTTCGTGGAGTTATGACGCCGACTTGGGGGACGCGGGATATGTTGCATGGGCTGGCGTTGAGTGAATGTTTGTACAAGTAGCGTTGTATCAGTAATGGGCATGCATCAGGCGCTGATGTTGGGCCGCGACGATGGCCTGGAAAATGAAGACATGCACAGGGCACTGAGATACGGTAGCCATGTGCAGGGTAGAGGTCGGCTCCCATTGGGCCACACCGATAGAACTGCTATATACCATACTATCCCTATGAAGTGCAAGCTATGCCGTTCTTTTGGTATCATGAGAGGTTTTACTTCCAGATAGGCGCCAAAGCTAAGACACAATGCAGTGGCGAATGGCGTTTGCTTCAGCTGGATAGCACAGCAGGCTACCGAGGGTTTCTCCCTTTCGATACTAGGTGGTGTGAATGATGATGTTCAAACGAAGCTGAAGCAAAGCATGAGCCACAGGCATACGTCAATGTCCAGGTGCAAAGCTCGCTAACTACGCATTCACATGCAGTCTGGCTCAGCCACTCTGCGCCCACTAGCCAGGACTTCGCATCGCCCAGGGCTCTTGGTGCGGTCATATAAACGCCCAGGGCAATATCTCGGACTCTCTCCCTCACTCTGCACTCGAGCTTGAGCTTCACTCTGACTTGCTCCTACCCCGCGCTTGCACTTCACCATGGCCGCGCCCACTCCTCCTCAGCACCCAGGCTCGCCGGACTCTGGCCCGACGGATCCCACACTGCCAAAGCTGCCCGCCGGCTGGATAGCGCAGTGGGACAACTCGTAAGCTCTCTCTCGGATGGTTCTGTGTGTTGCTGTAGCCGCCTCGCTAGCGCAGCCTGCACCCCGCGACACGGCTCTAACACGCTCGCAGGTCTCGCAAGTACTACTGTACGTACCACTACAATGGCGCTTCTCGACGTGGAGCAGGGCGTGGCATGGCCGTTGCGAGGGCGCGCTAACCACTGCCACAGACGTTCAGATCAGCACCGGCGTGTCGCAATGGGACCTCCCCACTACCGAGGCGCCTATCGGCGGCGGCTCTCACGCGAGCACCCCCGCGCACAACACGAACCCATACGACAAGCCTGATGGCACCCAGGGCCCGGGAGCTGGCGATGGGACAAGAGGCATCGACGGACCGACGGGCGACCGCGCGGGAGGGCTTGGGGTACGACATGCTCGGCTATCAACGAGGCCAGCACAGGCTAACCGCGTCTTCAGGGCTTCGCGCTCAACCAGCTCATGGGCGGCAACAAGCAGGGCCACGGCGGCGGAGGCTCCGGCAACCTCGTTGGCCAACTGGCAGGCTCGCTGCTGGGCGGCGGCAAGCAGTCGCATGGTAGCGGAGGCTCGAGTGGTGGCTCCAGCAACCTCGTTGGCCAGCTTGGATCGTTGCTAGGCGGCGGTGGAAAGCAAAACCACGCGGCTCCATCGGGAAGCCATGGCTCCAGTTCTGCCGGCGGAGGCCTTGGTGGCCTGCTAGGAAGCGTCATGGGCGGTGGATCTGTAAGCCATGTCTTTGCGACTGCTTTCTTCTTTGCTGACTCGAAATAGCACAGCAACCCTCCCAGCGGCAACAACAACTACGGTTACAGCCACAACGCCCAAACTACGCAAGGTGGCACCTACAACGGAAGCGCACCGCCAACTTCTTACAACCCCTCCGGCGGCCAGCACGGCGCGCCTTCCTCTCAACACAGCTACTCCTCCCCGCAACCTGGGCAGTACGGTCAGCAGCAGCACCAAGGCCAACAAGGAGGCTATGGGCAGCATGGCTCGGCCTACCCACCACAACAGCAGCAGCAAAGCGGGTACGGACAATCCGCCGGTTATGGTGGCAGCTCAGGTCCAGGATACGGTGGTTCTCAAGAGAGGCCGTATGGGCAGCAAGGTAAGCCTTGAACATTGGATTTGGGAGTTCACACCTAACGCCTTTTAGCTGGATATGGCGGACCGGCTGGTTCCTACGGCGGGCATCAAGGTGGTCATGACCCATACGGGGGTTATCAGGGTGGCCAGGGAGGTCAATCCAACTATGGACCGCCTTCGGGCTACCAGGGTGGCCAACAGGGAGGCGGACACCAGCAATACCCTCCTCCTCCGCAGGGCAATTACGGCCCGCCTTCTGGCCACACACCGCAGCCCGGATGGCAGTAAACCAAATCCCATGATATGAGGGACTTTGCAGCTTCGGGACAAGAACGAATGCTGCGGTAGACGAAGCAGACATGCATCGCGTTGACGATCGATATGCTGGTGGAAAAGCTCTGGTTCTCTCTTCTGCTCGCTGCATGATGGGGAATCCGTGCAGAAACGGTTCATGATATTTGTATTTCTCAATTCTCTCTTCCCGCCATTGCGTGGAATCAATGAACTTTTTCCTCCCATTACGCAAACCTCCAACATTTATGATCTTGTGTTGAGCTGTGCTCTGGTTCGCTGGCATTGTAATCGTGGGGTGGGCTTGGAGTCTTCTTTTACACCAAGCCTTGGTTCCTGCCTACATACGGCGATGTGGCTATTGATGAATGTTCCCTGGGCCAAGTCCTCTCTTCCCAACCACAAGTGACGACTTTGAAAGCGCATGTCGTAGTGCAACAAACGCCCATCCTTCCTCAACACCCCCACACAGCCTCCTCAGCAACTCAACACACAACACCACTTCTCCCCTCCTCCTCTTCATGCATCCAGCGCCCAGCTCCCACACCTCCTCACCCCCCAAAAACATCCCCTCCCCCCCCTCCCATCCCCACGCCCAACACGCCCCCCTCCCCCAAAACCCGCCACGCAACCCTCTCCCCCTCCCACCCCCCAACCCACCCACTAACCCCCGCCCGCACCGCCCTCGCATCCCCCCTCGGCACACGAACCCACACCTCGCGCCCCCTCGTCTTCACAATATCGATCGGTATGGCGGACCCTGTGGTGCCGAGATATGCGGACAGCGGGTGTGTGAGGAGCGTGGAGACGGCGATGGGGTCGATGTCTGTTGTTGGCGTTTTGGGTGTTGTGCTAGACGGCGTGACGAGCAGGAGGTGGAGGTATGTCCATTGTGGGTGTCGGAATGTTGCGCTGTGGAGGATGTGGGGGTGGGAGGGGGATGCGGGTTTGCGCTTGCGCTTTTGGGAAGGTTGTGGGTTCGTGGGACTTGGGGGGTTTGGAAGGTTTGCGGAGGGTGCGCAGGGTGGGGTGGGCGTCATCGTTGTTGTGTGTGTGAATAGAGCGCGTGTTGGGGAGAGGGATTCTGACGCGAAGTTTTTGCGGGGTTAAGGGCGCGTTTGGAGCTTATTGCCGAGACGTCGAATTCACTGTCAAAGGATGCTTTGTCTTGGCAGCGTAGAACGAAACTTCTGTATACGGTCTCGCTAAGTTTGTCATCCCTCACTCCAAGTCCCCACTCGCTGCACAATGGTTCGTCAACTCAACTCCCATGTCATCGGAGATCTGACAGTCTGACAGTACACACTACACCAAAGGCAGTTACGGAAACCATCAGACACGGTACTTGTTCTTGTGCGGAAGGAATCTCGGTCGGTACCCCGGGGTGATGTCAACTTCGCTGCAACTCCATGTCATCACGAACAGCGGACCGGGAACGGTTGCAGACGCCTCCCCCATAGTTTACCGTCTACTCCCCCGCAACTAGTCTGCTTTCGGACATGTCTCGCTACCAGTGGCTGAGTAGTACCTCGCGATCTTGCATGCTTCCCCATGTGGTTTACGGGGTGTGTTCCGATGCAGCTGCAAGCGTGAAAATTGATGCTGTTGAACACAATGGAGCTTCAGAAAAAAACTTGGCTGGCTCTGCGCTATTGACATTCTGAAATGCTTAAATAGGAGACGGGCGCTGTGCAGAAGCTTTCACAAGCATCGAGCTTGACGAGCTTCAGTTTCTTGGATTCCAGAAGTCAAGATGAGAGCCGTCACTTTTGCTCCGGCTGTGCTCGCCTTGGCTGGTTTTGTGTGGGGTAAGTGCCTTGTCTGGGCCAGTGCTATATCAGTATTGACAACACACAGCACAAACACCTACCGAGCGAGTCATTCCCACTCTCCCGCCTCAGATCAATGCACTGCCCAGCTTGACCCCAACAATCTACGATGACAGTGCGCCAGACTCTCAGGAATGTCCTGGCTACAAAGCTTCCAATGTAGCTCAAACGGGACACGGCTTCACCGCAGACTTGGCCATCGCCGGGGCGAACTGTCAAGCTTTCGGCAACGACGTTGCAGACTTGGTGCTCGAGGTTCAGTACCAGGCTAAGGAACGCTTGAATGTCAGGATCTACCCCAAATACATCGCTTCAGCGAACAGTTCGTGGTTCATCCTTCCTCCCAGCCTTGTTGATCAGCCAGAATGGGACGGCAAGACGACGGCCAACTCGAGCGACCTGAGTTTCGATTGGAGCAATGATCCTACCTTCCAGTTCCGCGTCTCGCGAACCAGCACGGGAGAAGAACTGTTTTCTACGTACGGACATGTCATTGTTTATGAGGACCAGTTCATTGAGCTCGTCACGAACATGGTTGAGGTATGTTGATTGAGAACACGTGTAGGTCATTCAGCGACTGACATGCTCTGTGACAGGATTACAATGTATACGGTCTGGCAGAAAACATCCATGACTTCCGCCTGGGAAACAACCATACTCAGACTTTCTACGCTGTAGATGCAGGCAATCCAATCGATGGAAACGTGTATGGTGTTATCCCGTTCTACCAGGAAACCAAATACCATAATGGCACTGACTCTACTGCTCATGGCATGTATGCTCGCAATGGTAAGTGCTCCAATTTTTAGTGTTGATGTTGGTAAATAATTGACATCCTTCCAGCCCATGGCCAAGAGTGGTTGCTGCGCGAAAACACTATCACCTATCGAACTCTGGGTGGAAGCTTCGACCTCTACTTCCTGAGTGGACAGAAGGATGATGGTAGCTCTAGCGCGCTCACGACTATTGCTCAATTTCAAGTTGGATGCATCGGCACGCCCGCTATGCAAATGTATGGGAGCTCTTGTACTAAATTTAAAGGAGACGTTTACTGACTTCACCCTCTCATAGGTACTGGACTTTCGGCTTCCACCAAGCCCGCTGGGGCTACGAGAACATCAGTGTCGTTCAAGAAGTCGTAGATCGTTACCGTGAAGCTAACATCCCGCTTGAATGCCTATGGAACGATCTCGACATCTACGATTTGTACCGTGATTTCACAAACAACCAGGTCACCTACCCGCTTCCGGCATTCACCAACTTCATTGAGAGTCTGCATGCCAATGGCCAGCACTACGTCCCTATTATCGACAGCAACATCTACGTCTCCAACCCAGAGAATGCCAGTGATTACTACGAGCCTTTTGCAAACGGTGCTCAACTACAAACGTTCATCCGCGATCCCACCACTGGCGATTTCTACTATGGTGACAACTGGCCCGGCTTCAGTGTCTGGGCTGATTGGCTCCTCCCATCCAGCCAGGCATGGTGGACGAGTGAGATTGTGAAGTGGCACAAGGGCACGCCTTTCGATGGTATCTGGATCGATCTTAGCGAAGCATCGTCCTTTTGTGCCGGCTCATGTGGTAACGGCCGTCTCAACGAGAATCCTGTCCACCCGCCCTTCCTCCTTCCCGGCGACCCATTGACATTCGATTTCAACTATCCCGAGGGCTTCAACGTCACTAACGCAACCGAAGCTTCGAGCGCAGCGGCCGCCGCGTCTTCGCAAGCCGCAGCCTACTCCGCATCGCCTGTCCTACCCGCTGCTACGACTACCACACAAGGAAGAACGGAGCCTACGCCCGGAGTGCGAAATTTGAACTTCCCCCCATACGTCATCAATCACGTCCAGTCCGGACATGCATTGGGCAAGAGCGCCATCGCGCCGAACGCAACGCACAACGATGCTTATAATACAACGGAATATGAGATGCACAACCTGTTTGGTCTCCAAATCTCCAACGCCACCTATCATGCTCTGCTTGAAGTGTTCCCAGGACGCAGGCCCTTCACCGTCGGCCGCAGTGTGTTTGCCGGCAGTGGCAAGACAACCAGCCACTGGGGCGGAGACAATACCGCTACATTTGGGAGCATGTATTTGAGCATCTCCCAGGCTTTTACAATGGTATGAGGTTTGCCACTGAAGTTTGCTAGTTATGTTGATGAATCGTCCTAACATATATCAGATGATGTCCGGTATCCCGATGTTCGGCGCCGATACATGCGGTTTCGCACGCAACACTGATAATCAGCTGTGCTCTCGCTGGATGGAACTCAGCGCCTTCTTGTAAGTTGGTTTTCTTCTTCAAAAGAAGCTTTTGCTCCCCTCAAGCTTTGATTATCTCTATCATGTATGTCCGTACACGCTGTGCAAAAGACTAACCATCATAACAGCCCATTCTACCGTAACCACAACGTCAAAGCTGCCATCGGCCAAGAAGCCTACCACTGGTCCTCAGTCGCAGAATCTGCTCGCCGAGCAATGGCCGTCCGCTACTCCCTACTAAACTACATGTACACGCTCTTCTACCACGCCCACACCGAAGGCGCAACCGTCATGCGCGCCCTAGCCTGGGAGTTCCCCAACGACGCCTCCCTCGCCGGCACAGATTCGCAATTCCTCCTCGGCCCCTCCATCCTCGTCACGCCCGTCCTGGTGCCAAACGTCGAAACGGTGCAGGGCGTGTTCCCCGGCATCGGCGACGGCGAGCGCTGGTACGACTGGTACACGCTCGAGGAAGTCCACGCCGCGGCACAGGAAAACGTCACTATGAGCGCGCCGCTAGAGCATATTAACGTTCATGTACGCGGTGGGAGTATCCTCCCCCTTCAGCAGCCTAAGTATACGACTAACGAGACGCGCCACACGCCGTTTGGCCTGCTTGTTGCGCTGAATAGCACTGGAGGAGCGATGGGCAGTTTGTACCTGGATGATGGCGAGAGCTTGGTGCAGGATGCTACGAGGCTTGTTACTGTATGTGCTTATATCCCTTTCCCCATGCGACGATAACTAACCCACTCGCCTAGTTCGCTTACGCGGAAAACTGCCTCTCCTTCACTTCTGAGGGGTCCTACCACGCTGCACAGCCGTTGGCTAATATCACTATCGCTGGCGTTGCGTCGGCGCCTCAGAGCATGTCTCTTACGTGCGGGGGTGCTGAGTCTGATGCTAATGTGACGATGGCGTATGAGAGTGGTGTGTTGAAGGTAGCGGGCATGGAGGATGTGACTGCTAGTGGTGCGTTTGAGAAGGATATGAAGGTTTGTTTTGGGTGGTAGGTGGGAGGTGAAGAATGGGAAAGATGGGATGGCGAGAAAGAAGATGACATGAAAAGGGGAAAGAGGGGGAGATGGTGTGTTGTGGTATATCAAGATGCAAATGAATCGACGAGTCTATGATCTTAACCATTTGCCCAATATGTTGCAATGAGGTTTCTGTGATGCGTATTGACCTTGCGTGTATGTCTGAAGTCGATTTGACAGAAACATGTGCAGGGACGTACAATACCAACAAAGCAATCCTTCCGCAATCAAATACAATCTCACTAAAAGTATATGTATGACTACCTCTTATCACACTCTACATCTCCATCCTATCCGTCGTTCTTGTCCTCAATCCAGACAGCAAAGTCGCATCACCAACGTCACTCCTCTCCCACCAAAGAAAAACTCCATGCATCTCCAACATATGAGTAAACCCACAAAGCCACTTAGATTACAACTCTCACTCTGATATCCTAGAGTCTGAAAGTTGCTCAGAAGAATAACAAATCTCCCCTCTTTCCGTATGCGAAACTTCTACGTCTCGCGTATGCGCTGTTGTTATTGTACTCATGTGTCTGTGTCCATGTAGACATAGTATACTTATCTGTGAGAAAAAGAGACTAGACAAGACCAGACTAGTCGACACATCAGACAATTGTGCTATATTTTCCTTTGGGTGTGGGCCCTGTTGAACATGGTACTTTTCATTTCCTCAACACAACAGCACCAAGGGGATGAAACAACGTATTATCCGTAAAAATTCTCCAGAGAAAGAGGAGAACGAAAAACAGTATTCATTACTTATTCCCAAACGCCTCGCAATGCCAAATTCGCCCGGGAAAAAAGGAGCGATTTACATAAATTACCCGTCGTATTTGATAGTTCAGCAACATCCGCCGCCCCAGCCCTGCTGTTTCCCCCTCTTAGCCGCATCATTCATGCCCAGATTAATACCCGCTCTGTTTCCGCCTCCAGCCCCCGGCCCCTTGACGCCACTCCTCCGGTCATTCAAGTCATATCTCCCCGCCTCGATATTCTGATATATGCGTTCTGCGACCTCCAGAAACGCCGTTTCGACGCCCTCTCCGCTCTTAGCCGACGTCTCGACATACTGCATAACGCCGTTTGCCTGACACCACTCCTCTGCTTCTTCGCGCGTGACCTGGCGCTTATTCTGGGCCTCTGATTCAGACACGGTGGACGAGGCGGCGAGGTCACTCTTATTCCCCACCAACACTACGATGATGCCTTCCTCTGCTATTTGGCGCAGGTCGTGCAGCCAGGAAGTTGCGCTGAGGAAGGTGTTTTTGCGCGATATGTCGAAGACGAGGAGGGCGCCTGATGCGCCGCGGAAGTAGCTCCGTGTGATGCTTTTGTATGTTTCCTGGCCTGCGGTGTCCCAGAGGGAGAGTTTCATGTGTTTTTGCGGGGGGTCGTTTTTGGAGGGCTGAGGGGGGGTGGTGGTGGCTGGTTTGGTGGGGTTGTTGATGTTGAGGGCGTAGGAGGAGGGGGGGCCGACGGGGACGATGCGCGACCCGAATTCTACGCCAATCGTCACGTCGTGGTGCGGGGAGAAGCGGCCTTCGCAGAGGCGGACGGTTAGCTGCGAGGTGTTAGTTGGGTGGTGGTGTGGCGGGTGGGAGGGAAGTGTGTACGCTAGATTTCCCACAACCGGAGTCGCCTAGCGATACGATCTTCGCGATGTAGTCCCATGGTTGAGACATGTTGTAGGCTGGCGCCTACCGGCAAAGGCGTCCGAGGTGTGCGACGAGGCGCAAGCTGGTGAGATGCTGACAAGGACGTCAACTTTTCGCGAGGTGTTGTGTTGCGGCTGGAATAGTGTAAAGGTTGGATGGCGTAGGAAGGGTGAGGCGCAGAGGTGTCGAAGTTTGTGTTTGTGAGTGGAGAAGACGTTGAATGAAGGTGGTTGATTAATGCAGGGTCGAGTGAGGTCTAGCTTCCTGCGTCATAGTTCGTGGGTGGGCTCCAGACCAAAAACGGAAAACAGCCTTCCCGTTGCACAAGCATGAACACAGGCCTTCTTGATGGATTGGAGAAGAGACTTGTTTTAATCAGTCAGCTATATATTTTGTTTGGGTTGCTGTCGCGTTGAAAGACATGACAATCAATACACTATGGACTTCAGATACGGCTCCTCCATTGTCATGCAGGCGAACAGTGGTAACGGCATGACTCGCCCCAGAGAAACGCGCATTTGCATATGTCTGGGAGACTAGAAATGATCAGTGGGTCAAGTGGTGATGATCAAGGCGAGGCGTGCATGTGACTGTATGGATAGCAGCTAACGGCGGGAGCTAAGGCACGAGCGGTCCACTCAGCTCGGCGGCGATGATGGAGAGCAGTCGTGCTGCTTGCTCCGGCCTCAAGCCTCAACGCCTGCACGCCTGCTCGCACCTGGCAAACACTCTGCTTTATTCTTAACTCTCAAACTTGCCCTTTGTGCTTTTCTCTGGATGCTCGACGCGCCGCCCTAGCCACCTAACTGCATGCCTACTCCGCTGCGTCACCCGTCGCCGCCTGCTGTGCCTTGTGCCGACCTGACCGACCGCTGACGCGACGACCGAACGCAAGCTCCCAGCCAGCCAGCCCGCCCTCGCGATAAACACGCCTGCGGAAGCTGCACACGCACACGGAGAGGCTTTCCCCCCAGCACCTGCCATGTTTTCCGAATGTAAGCCTCCCAGCGCCTTATCAGGCACATGTGACTGTCCCGGTTGTCTTGGATGACCTCCCAACTCGCGTGACTAACCAGCGTGCCCGCAGATGCCTCCAAGTTCCTGTCGCAGTCGCAGTCGCGGCTGTCGCTCGGCGGCCAGTCCGAGTCTCCATACAACCGCAACCCGTCCGACCGACAGCGCCCATCGTCGCGCGCAGCCCAAGCCTACCTCCAGCGCCGCAACATGCCCAACCCATACAACTCGCAGGCCATGTCCCGCTTTGCTTTTGCCTCACGCACCTCCAACGCGCCCGCGCCGCTCTTCTACTCGGCCACCGACGACTTCCGCGAAGAGGACCACCATGTCGAGCACGACCGCGAAATGGCCGACCACTACGCTCTGCAGCGGTCACGGCGGCAGTTTGGCGCAAGCAACCTCTCAGAGTCGTCCGAGGTAGACGACGACGACCTGGCACACCGATCAGACCACACAATAGAAGCCAACCCAACCGAGAATGACGCGCCCGGGTACGGCCTGGGGCGCGGGATTAAGAGCTCCTGGCGGGGAGATAAGCCCGCGCGCGGGAGATCGACTACCCTGACACGGCCAGAAGACGACCAGCGCGACCAGAGCGTGCCCCTGTCCGAGTCGACGGATGCAGGCAGCAGGGGCAGGGGCAGACTGGTCGATGTCGAGCTGGAGTCGACGGCCCGGAGTAGTCTGGAAGAAGTGGACAGGGACGAGCTATTACAACACAAAGACAGCGAGCCACCATCATATCAGCAGTTCCGCAACATGACAAGACCAAAACGCGGCCGTAGTCCCCTCCGAACCACCCTGCCAATCCCTCAGGAAACTGATGAAGACGTGCTGCTCGAAAACCCGCGCCCGATAAGCCCTGATCGCCAGACGGTGCCTGACGTGGTGCCTGAGAACTCCATCGTGCCCCCACGCCATAACTTCTTCTGGGCAGAGCTCTTCGTCATTGTCCAGTGCGCCATCATCGGAGTCTACATCATCTCCCTGCTGCAGGAGTCACCGCCAAACAAGAAGAACCCGCTGGGTGACACAATCTACACCGTTCTGCGTTCTTCCTTCCACCTCATCGGTGTTTACTCGCTCGTTTCCATCGTCGTTGGGTTACTATGGCTATCTCTGCTACGGTCGTTTGCCCGGCCGTTGGTCATGCTGATCTTGGTGGCAGTACCCGTCATCTCCTTCTCGTTCTTCGTATACCCGTTCGTGTCAAGCTTCAAAGGCTCCTGGCATGGTGACAGCATGCAAGACCGAGCAATGCGCTGGCTCTCCATCGGGCCACTGTGTTTCGTCGTCTTCTGGATCTACACCACCTTCAAATCGCGCCACTCGCTGAAGAAAGCCACCGACATGCTTGAGTTCTCGGGCGAGATCCTCAGAGCACAGTCGCCTCTACTCCTGGTCGGCATCGCCACACTAGCCTGCGTGATCCTCTGGTCCTGGATCTGGATACTCATGTTCACGCGCCTCTTCCTCGGCGGCCACTTCACCAGCAACAAATCCCGCTGGGTCGTCGACGTCAGCACATGGTGGCTCGGCGCAGCCTTCTTCCTCGACTACTTCTGGGCGCTCGGCGTCATCGCCGGCGTCCAGCGCGCCACCACCGCAGCCACAGTCTCACAATGGTACTTCCACCGCAACACGACCCCCGCGCCACCAGCCTGGACCGTCGTCCACGCCTCCCTCAACCACGCAACCTACACAATGGCAGGCACAATCTGCATGTCGACCCTCATCTCGCTCGCCGTCCGCCTCCCCCTCATCATCCTCCCCCGCCGCATCGCAGGCCTAGTCAGCATGTGCGCTTACTCCCTCGTCCCCACCCCAATCGCCGCTCTCACAAACCCCCTCACCCTAACTTTCGCCTCCATCCACGGCGTGCCCCTCAACCAAGCTGCCCGCGGCCTCGCTCAAATGAACTTCATCTCCGCCGCCTCCCCCACTACTACCCTCGGCCCCAACGCCTTCGCAAACAACGCAAAACCCTCCATCGTCTCGTACCGCCTGGCCAAACTCCTCCTCCACGCTATCCGCTGGGTCATCACGCTGTCGCTTGGCTTCGGCGGCTGGGTCAGCACCGCGCGCATGCTGCAGCTTGGGGGGGAGACGGTGCCGTATAAGGGGAGTTTGTACGCGTATGTTGTTGGGCTGATCAGTGCGGCGATTGGGTGGGGTGCGCTGGGCGCTATGGAGGGTGTACTGGGGGGCATTCTTGATGCTGTGTTGGTTTGCTGGGGGAGTGAGGCGGGGAGGGATGGCGAGGGTGAGGCCAGGTATTGTGTTGATGCTGGGAGGCTGTTTGGGAATGAGGTCCCTGGGCTGGGGAGGGGGAGGTTCGAGGTCTGAGGTTTGGTGGCGGGGGTGTTTGGGGGTGTTTATGTAGGGCGTTTGGGATTTGGGTTGGGGTTGGGATTGGGATATAGGTATGGGTATGGGTTTAGTATAGGCTAGTTTACATCGGGTTGATATGATACGATATGATACGATACAATAGGGATCTTTGTTCTTTAGGTAATAGACACTTGTTTCCTTCTCTCTTAGGACACAAGAGCTCGAAACATTCCTTCCTTCCTTCTCTTCATCTCGATGCCTCCTTGCGTGTCATCGTCTCCTATTCACTCCATGTACACAATCATACAACCACCTTTACTTAACTTGAGCCTCAGCCCTTATGCCATGCCATGCCATCCCATCCCATCCCACTACTTCATTCAAACTCTTCCCCAATACGTAACTGGTAGTGTTGCACTACTGAATTATCTCGCAGTATCTTATATAAGATTGCATTACAGGGTAGGGTAGGTGGGCTGGGTAGCTTGTTTTTGGCTGGGCGTGGGGGTGGGTTTAGTGGGTTTAGTGGGTTTAGTAGGGGGGTAGGGGGTGGAGATGGTGGTTCTCGATCAGTTGAGTGGGTGGGTGGGTGGGTATGTGGAGGATGGCAGGAGGAGGTGTTGTGGGGGCTTGTTTGGGGAGTGGTAAGCGGGGTTGAGAGGGGTGGACGTGGTGGAAGTAATTGTGGGGTTAATGGTGGGCAAGGGGCTGGAGAAGGGGTCGAAGGTGGGAAAAGCTTGATGGCGATTGTAGTTGTGTAGAGAGAAGTGTCTTTCTGGAGAGGATGTAAGGTAGAGAAGAGTAACGGTATATATACAACGGAGGGGTGTGGAGATGGAGGGCATGACAGGAGAATATGGAGGCTAGAAAGTAGGGGGTAGAATGGAGACGATGATAGCGAAGTGCTATCGCTCTTCTGGTAGAGTGAGGTGTATTGAAGGTGACTTAATTAACTTTTCGCGACTTGTCTCTGTGAAGAACATATAAATTCTATATTTGTTTAGATGATAGAGAGGTTTGTGGAGGAATTTCTTGCATTAGAGAGATGATGTTTGGCGTGTATATGTGTAGGTGCATGTCATTGAGGGTTTTAGAGTATCTGAGTGCACGAAGTACACGCAAAGCTTGGAAGACATGGAAACAGATGAACGAGGAAAGTCGGACTTGGCTTCGTTATATGGTACAATAAGAAAAGGTGACGTGTTTGGTTATGTTCGACTCTCCCGGAAGTCCGCCATTATGAAACAACCCTGCATATGTTCAATGTATGTTGTATTCAACATACAGTGGTTCCGTCTGCTTCCTGGTGATTCTGCTCCAAACACTCTTGGATCGTGTTTGCAGCACTACCGGACTCACAATCTTGACTGAATTTCCCGCTCCAGTACATGGACGAACGACTAGAAGCTGCGGTACTCCTTCGACACGCACGATTTGGTCACCGACTTGAGCATTCTGCGAGCATAAACCCAGTACAGTCGGTGTACCAGGTTCACTGTGCAATTGCACACGCGACAGTATTCTTTTGCTTTGAGCAAAGAAATTGCATATGGCAATATGCGTTGAGAGAATGTCCCGAGATTGCACATGCCCTCTAGTAAGTTTAAACCAATTGCCGTATGTTAGGTGTTGTTGGCTTTCCAAGTGATCGAGTATTTCCGAAGGATCTCTCCCCTGTTGATACATGAGGAAACCTGGCCACTTGCATATCGCACGCCATTCCGGATACTTCTTATCGGTCAGTCGTACATACTTCTCAAATACCCCCATGGATCGAGCACCGAGACCACATAGTATGAGTATGTCCTCATAGGCGCGACGACATGGATAACCGTCTGTGGTCCATAATGCAAGTATCGAGCGAAAGTTGTTAATGTGAGCATCCCTCTGTGAGAGTGTTGACTCCGGATCCGTCTCCTGGAAATGTGCACATGTACTGATGTCGCCAACGTAGTAGGCGCGGACATGGATGATTGTTTGTGTCTCGTCGAAACGAAAATATTTTGTCGGTTCTGATACAGTTGTTGTCTGATACTCCGACGAATGCCTTTGCGCGATGATATTCTTCCCATGTTTATCGGTACTCTGAAGTCCCCAAAGGCTACGGCTCCATCCGTGTTGAGTGTTAGCGGACCAGTCCGGTACCCAAGAGGGCTTGTTGGGACAAGCTCGCGCTGCAGCAATGAGAAGTGTGGCGAGCGAATTGGTCGTTTGGATTAGATGGATAGCCAAGGTCCAGTACACACTGCCAATATCGTGCAAGTCGCTCGGTAACGGGAGATTGATGGCGCCTCCTCTTTGAAGTACAGCCCACATACCAAAAGCCATATCCCGTGGTTTTTTCGCCCGGCGAGAATAAAGTCCATGTGCAAATTCCTGAGTCATAGCCTTTGGAACATACATCAACGTAAGGCGATGATGGATATCCATGGCCTGCAACAAGAATATCATCCACACAACCAAAAACAAAAAGTAAGGAACGATCAAAAGACTGATTTTCGTCAGGACGCGTAGATACAGCATAACAGCGGCGCCAAGTATTGAGCACAAAGCCATGAACGACTCAATTGTGAAAGCAGCTTGGTAGGTCTCTGTAACGAAAAGGCTGAACTCTCTTAAAGCGGATGTAGTTGGCATCAGAGAGTTGATCTTTGGTGTTTGAAGTTGCTCCCTACTATAAACAAGGCTTGCCCATGGTTCTGTTGCTTCTTGCATGTCTAGCGTGGATATGATCTTGAGAAACAGGATGCTCCGTTCGAACCTGGCCCATATCACATGCTTATCTCCGCATACCACAATCGGATTTGAGGCAAGTAGTATCTCTTGATATGTCCACAGGCGACAGATCCATTCCTTTGATAGAAGGTCGTGGACATCTTGTAATGTTGTGTATTTTCCAGTGTTGTCAATTTCGGGGAAGGATCCACGCATAACAGATCTCAACATCTTGGCAGTTAAACCATCATGTGGTGCTTGCGTGAATGGAAACGGGTGTCTAGTGCGGCTCCATCTCGCGCTCCAAAGGGACCAGGCCGCAGCAAAAGGACGCGATCTTCGTTTACCGCTTGCTGCGATCGTGTGGTATTTGTCGAAAGAAGAAGTCGCCATAAACCACATCGCTCGGTCTGTTCCTGATGTTCCATCTCCTAGCCAGACATAGACAGATGCAGCATTCGAGTAGATATCACCCATGAGAGGGATTTGGTGCAGCTTTTCGTCTTCGTCATGTTGATTTATTGCAACCGCATCAACCCAGATAGTGACTTTGCCGAACTTTTTTCGCAGATGTCTCAAAGCGGAATGACAGTTGCTAGTGATATTGACTGTAGTCTCATCGCAGATGATGGAGTGTGGTTTCGGTACTGGGGCGCCCCAAACGTATGACAATGCCGTGAAGTCCGGACGGTCGTCCAAGTCGATGACACGCAAATTGCATTTGATCGGCTCGTCATCGGGGTGTGGGACAGATGAAGGTACAGGCAGAATGTCTAGGACACGAGTGGATTTGGAGTTTAGTGGAAGTGGGTGCACCTGGTATAGCGTCGACATCTGTTGAAGTCAGTCTTTTGCCAATCTTACCAACTGGCCAAGTGGAGTCTTTACCATGAACGCGTCTAGAATCCAACCCTGGACAGGAAGCGAAATACTCAGTCTAAGCCGTGATTCCTGTTCAACCAGACATGTTTTTAAGAAGTCGGAAAGGGAGGGTAGAAGGGTAGAATGGTTCTGAGCGGTGTGCGTTTCAGCCTCGTCAGTGGAAGGCTGAGAGGATCTGGCTGACGGTACTACCAATAGGCCAATCGATCTTCGCATAGCCGTATCAGGCTGCATCAGATATCCTTCGGCTCGCACTGCCACTGTCGTTAGCACACATCGAGTTGTTGAGGTGTGCCTTAGGTGCAAATATCTCCATCTTGAATTCCGATCGATTGAAGTATAACAAGCAATCGAAAAACGAAACCTGTGGACTGAGGCGAGCATCTACTATTGCAGGTCAATGCTGACATAGTTTCTCATAGGTGAAAAGCGAGACAGAAATCGAGAGGGCCATACCCTGCAACTTGATCTACCAATCATGACCGCGTGGCTGCTCATGTGACCAATGACTTCTCAAGGTGTGGTGGCTTAGCGACTGCGTCTCACTTGTCCACCTCCCGCCTTAAGCCAAATGTGTACACAGAGAGTATGCGGTGATCGTTTCTCAATCGGGACTCAAGTGGCAACATTGCTGGAGAGAACGAGTGCACAACGATATAAGTGGAACGGCGAAAATGAATATTGTGATGACTGAACATGTTGTGGTGATTGTTGCTGCTGGAGAAGGTCATGAAACGGGAGTGCTGAGAGAGAAAGAAAAGGTAGATGCAGAAAAAGAGTTACACACATCTAGCCAGTTAACGTTGAAAAACTCACTTTCACTGAAAGATTCGTTCGGGTCTATGGTTGCGTTGCACCTCAATCTACGCACGATCAGGCAGGATCCTGAAATCGACAAATCTCTCCGTCGCGTTGTAGTAGCGATCGTAAAAAACGAGCTTCACCGTGTCGCCGCCCGACCTCTTAGCATAAAACTTGAAACGATACGTAGTCTTCATCTCCGGCTCGTTATCATCCTTGCTAATGCCTTGATTCCAGGGAGTCAAGTCATCATCACGCGCGAATTCCTTTGGATCGCCTTTCTCGTAATCATACATGAAGATGGACTACGTCGGTGGTTTTAGCGCGCTGTCAACTTATCTCAGTATGTATAAGACTTACCCCACTCGTGTAGCACCAGTCGATGTCGAGGCACTCCTCAGCCTATGGTCATGTCAGCTTTGCTCCTCCATCCACTTACATCCCGGCGGATGCCTGGATATCACGGAACTGGGTCTGCTTACCTGGATAAGGTACGAACACTTTTCCCAGATACGTGTGCGGACGACATGATGTCTTGTTGGATCTAGCTCCTTGCTTTTAGGTTTGATACCGTCCGCCGACTTGTTGCCTACTGTCATCTGAGTTCGAGACTTGTCGGTCGAAAATTCCAATATCTTAGACATAAGTTCAGACACTCCTTCCACCTTAAGACCGCGTGAGTAGCAGTCAATAAGGTTTCGGCCAACCAGCGCAGTTGCATGTGCATCTCCATTCACTATCCCTTCCACGGTCACTTTCTTCGCAAGGTTCCAACTAGATGGTCCTCCAGTGAGTGTCCCTTTCGAATACATGCCATTGCGCTCTGCGGCGGCGATTTCGAATGACGAAAAGATGCGGAAATGTATCATGGCACTAACATCATCTTTCAGATGAGCCACCCACGTGAACTCGCCCTGTCGACTGGGATCTTTAGTTATTTCGTCTGCGCCTGTATCCAAAGCCGGGCCTTTGACAGATCCCACGTCTTGATGATTGTCCACGAGCCAAGGTCCAAGTGCCATCGTATCAAGGCTGAACTCCTTGTCATCGAGTTCGTGAGCCAAGTCTGCAGGTGCTTGCCACATACTCCCTCGGTGCATCATGTTGTCTAGCTCACCAAGAATTCCACCATGGCTATCGTTGGATTGGTATGGTCGTGCATCCCACCATCTACCAGTGAGTTCCTCAATATTCACTGTCTCCAGGACTTTTTGTTTATCGCTGTTGATAACCCTTATTTCCGGTGGATATGTGTCCACTGCACTGTCGATAGCTTGGTCTACGTATGTCGTGAGAGATACCGTTCCGACGACAGGTCCAGCGCACGCATCGTAAATTCGTTCCCGAAACGCCAGAAAGACGTGGTTACTGAATTTCGAACGATATACCGATGTAGGCGCAAGGAGAAGCTTCGAAGTTTCGTTAGAAACGAAGGGGTTGTTGCAATTCTTCTCAGCAATTCTCCCGCCTTCTGGGAAGCCAACGAGGGGAGTATCGTGGAGAAAACCAAAGGGATTCATGAAATAAGCGATGAGGCTGTCACGGTCGGTGTCGTCTCTGCAAGCGAAACTGATGCATAGACTTAGAATGCCTGTTTGATCGTAGCAATTCACTGTCGGCTTGCTCTCGGCATATCGTAAGTCGAAAAGATCCTTCGTCTTTGGGCTTGCAGTTCCGTTTAACACGGTCCAGATTCGAAGAAACTTGTTGAGTTCGAATAAGCGTCCTGCGCCGCTAGTGAAAGCATATCCTCCGCCGGATCGATCGTAAACAAACCCGCTGTTGAAAACACGATTTGTCACAGCCTCTAGATATGGTTTGTTTGCGTCGTCCCTTGACCGTATGTTATTTGGACCCAAGGCAAAGCGGAGAAGGTCGACAGGAATTCCTTCATAGCGGAGAAACTTGGGAAGCGCGGGGCAGATTGCATATAACTCAATTGGAACCAACTGATCCCGCAAGTCGAATTCCCGCTGGTAAGAACCTCCGATTTTGATAATAAAGCCGATGTTATACACAAAAGCCCAAGGCTCTTCGGCTTTGCGTGATGGAGATACCAACGATTTGAGATCGATGTCCTTGAAGTCGCATGATAACAAGTTTTCGTCTGAACCCTTCAGAGTAGAGTACGCTGCGGATGTTGCGACAGCGATTCTTCGCCTGTCACGATGCTCCTCGGATCTTGTAGTCCATAGTTCGACACTGATGTCGTAAAGCCATTGCAATCTCTCTGGAAATCCCTCACCATGAGCCGGCGACTCATGCTTGAGGTCCAGAACATCAGAACCAATATAGACCGAGAAACCAAGACCCTGACTTTGACCCAAGGCATTGATAACAGAAACTTTGGTCCCTCTTTGATGATCCCAGAGGTCAGGGCCATAGTCCTCAAAACTGGGTGTACAACCCCGTTCGTTTACTGCTGGATAAAGTACTGGACCTAGCAGCCGTACCTTACGTACGCCCCACTGTGCCGTTGAGAGGGCCATTGGCGGCGGAGGGCGGGATAAGAAAAACGAGAACTCTAGATCAAGTTGGGAAATGTGAGACGAAAAAACAGTGTGAAAAGATCAAGCCGTGTTTACATCGATCGGTGACTAGGTATATATATACCTCGTGATCTCTATTCCTAGTCATCGATCTGGTTCGTAGCTATCAAGGTCCGTTCGTCCCAAGATACCCATATAGGCTTGTTGGCAACGCACATATTAGATATTGCAGCGTACCAGTCGACGTATTTAGACTGTAGTGGCGTGGAGCTAGATATATTTGGGCCGGGAGAGGCTGGTATCAATGTGCTTGAATATGTCTAAGTATTTGTTTGGGAGGAGGCTACACAGATTGGGCAAAAAGACCGACCGAGGCCGCTGTACATTGCTTTCGAATCATGCACGAGAACCCGATGTGATGTGGCCAGTTGTGGAAAACCCTAGCATAGAAAGATCCAGACTGCATATATCAGCTCGTGAGTAGTCGCCCAGAAGCTGAGCGGGGTAAGATTCGGTGGTACTTCGGATGTATTGCGGGGTGGTGTCTCCAAATCCCTTGTGAGTCTCGATCTGACACAGCTGAGATGTACGGCTGAATGCACTAGCTCATTGCTGCAGAAACAGATTTGTTGAGATCTTGTGAGATTATTTGTATTGTACATGATGATAGGGTGCACGATTCATCATCGCTCTGGACCCTGTGGTCCAATCATCTACCTCCTTTCAAGAGTTTCCTTTGCGCCCTGCTTTATCGACTGCGCAGCATTTACGACGGCATCGCGGCCGGGGCCGAAGTGAGCTCCGAACCTGTCCTACATCACGATATTAGCTGGGTTCTGCACTACAGACGGGAATTGTTATATACCTGCTCAGAACCAGTACCCTTGGCTGCCAACAACCTAACCCTCTGCTGACCATCGTAGCCAAGACCGTGGTTTGACTTTCCTCCACTCAAAAAGCTCTCGACCGCCTTCGTGACCTTCTGTGTGTCGAGGACTCCAACCTTTGGGTGAGAGAAGTGTGATGCGTAACGGTCCTGCTCAGCGCCCTCGCCCTTTGCAAGAGCAGCCTGCTTCAATTTGTCGAGGCCCTTGTTGCCAACCTCCTTCAGCTTGTCGGTGCTTGCGCCAAAGTGTGCGCCATAGCGATCTTGCTCGGCGCCGGAGCCAGATTGTGAGGTAACGTCGAGGTTGACGGGGTGTGTGGCGGCCGCGCTCTTCTCGTTGCTGCTGAAGAAACCCATTGTGAAGTGTGTAGGGTATTGAATATAGGGAGCTAGAGTTCAATGTGGTGGATGATCAATGGCGAGTTGAATGTGAACTTGGAAAGAGGTTGGGAGGACAACTTTATGTCGTCGAAGCGAGGAATGACGTAATTGCAAACGGCACATATGTGTTCGGCCCAGTGCCACCAGCCGTCGCATGAGTTTCTTGCTTTTCATGTGAGAGTTCTAGGTGGTAGAAAATAATTTCCTATCCTTAAGACGTGTGCGTCCAAAACGACAAGGGATGGGCCGCTGTAGGTAGTTGTCTACTCACATGGCTTTCGTCGCCAATTGGTCCCCGTGATTTCTTTGCATGACTGGAATTTGCATGGTGGTCTCTTATAGCTATCACGATCTTCATTCGTTTGTTACATATTACGGCCTGCTGTACTTCAATGTCTTCTTGCTATCCCTCGTAGTGTCCGCTTCGTCAGGATGACACACCCAGGCCCTTGGCAGGCCCCACTAAACGCGTCACGTCTTCGCGACTTGCTCGTTAACGTATCCTCGGCATCGTCGAAGTCAGCTTGAGCCTTGATACCGATCTTGTCCGGATCGCAAATCTCTGGTCGTTTACGTTTGACAGCCAATACTTGTTCGATGTTAAAGACCTACCGCTCTTTACATGCTGAGAGTAGCTCATGCACTGAGCTGTGGGTTAGGGGAATGTACTTAGCCACAATGTCAGTAAATTTCAGCAAGAGATAGCAACACCATGTGGCTCCTCCTACCTTGAACTGGTTAATATTTTTTTGATCTCGCGACCCTGCATCGCGATGAATACACTGTAGTTGTACTCACCGTCCAAGGACGAAGCACGCGTATCACTTTTCGAATGAGACGATACCTTCTGGAAAACTTGGCGTATAATTTGCGCATTCTGTTCAGCCAGTTCGAAGATTCGCGAAGCACAGTATGACCATTGCTTTTGACATGGCTCGTGTCCTTAGGAGTGAAGCGTTGAACGATGCCAATAGCAAAGTTAATGGACTTCATTGGTAGTATTCGACGACTAGTCTATTCAATACAACAGTCTTATTCCTGCGTTCTTCTTTCCTCCCCGTTGATGTTCATTTTCCTCATCTTTGCCAGCAAGTTGCCCGCCTCTGGGCCAAGCTTCTTGCTCGGTCTGTTGTGTGTATTATACGGCTCCCACCTCTTTCCTGATGCGTCTGCCAATCTTTCCATGGCGATATCTTTTTTGTGGCCGATTTGGGCATCGGCAAGTCGTTCACCCAACTCCTCCATCTGGTGCGCTTGTCGATGGGAATTCGTAGTGGATGTCATGAAGTATTGTTTCGAAATTGCAGACCTACTCCCAAATGTCTCTGAGGTGTGCGTAATCGGGGTTCCTGTTTAGATGGTATGTTGAATACTAATGGTGTGAATTGAGAAGTTGACAAACAAAAGGCAAGGGTACTGTGAAGAGTCACAATGATGGCGGTGAGACACTTATGTAAGTATTGTCGTGCGGGTTGATTGCGTGTGAATGGATCCGAGTTGTGAGGCTGGCAAACAGTCTCACAAGGATACCTATTCACTGGTCGGCTTGACGGTGATGCATCGCCTGAAGTACTGAAAGGCACCTGGACTGATAAAACCATGCTCACTGTACCTGCTACCCATCTCGTACTATACTCAACCAACATCCAACAGTGTTACTCGGGCTTCCATTACAGAACTCACCTTCTTCCAACAGTGTCAAGCAACCAACCTACAGCAAACGCGACTCCTTGGACACGCCAGCCAGTCACTGTACGTATCCTGGACCGTACCTATCATCATTTATACCTCAACTTCGACTTCCATATCCACTCACATTACCATGGGCTCGACGACACAGAGCTCTGATACTCTTTTCGAGTTCGGTTCATCATCATCGAACTACGACGAATCCGACTCAGAATCCCAAGTCGACTCGACTGGAACGCTGGTACATCAGCGGTCTCATATGCTTCCTAAAATCGGTGGCTTCTCACTTCAGAACGCAATGCGGCCATCATACACATCACTGGAACAAGCTTACAGCTTCCCAAATCCCGACGGAGGAAATCTCCCTGGGCGAGACGACCAAGGTAGCTCTTACGTTCAGTATCGTTTTGGAACTCCTAGAGAAGAAGAAGAGCGTCTTCGGGGAGAGTCTGATCGAGCGAGTGCACGAGTCTCAAGTCAAAACTCAGGTCTCCAAGCCTCATTTGCACACATGCAGCAAATTATCGCAGAAGGCAATGCGTGGAATGTAACGGAAGCGCCTCTTGGCCAAGGATCATTAAGCAACGATAGAACTGCTGACCTAGACCACGAAGCAGAGCTGTTAGGTCCTTACCATCATACGTCCTCGCGTCTGCGCGATGATGTGACGAATGAGGATTACCAAAGTCATCGAGGGCGTCGTGATATCATGGCATTTGATCCCGCCTATCACGTCCGTCGATACCTTTCTGAACCAGAAGGTAGCGAAGTTGGAGATCAACTAGAACAAGAGCGGGAGGGTGCATTTCAAAACACTTTGCCAAGTTCTAATATCCGTCCAGATAAGACAATATCACCAAGTCTTCAGCCCCTTTTTCCCTCTAACCGGTGGTCAGAGTCGGAATATGGAATGAGCAACTCCAATGCAAATACTCTACACCGCTATAATGATCGCAACTTCGATCTCCAACCCATGCCAGACTTCGCGACGAGCGCCTCCAGCTCAGACTATCACACAAATCCTGGTCATTCTCGAAATCGAGGCTCGCCAGGGGAGTCAAAACAAGCTCGACACCATAGAAGATCTAGCTGGCGCGACAACTTGACAGACCAAGTACCGATGGAGGGAGATCAGACTGCGACCTCGGACGTCCGCCAACAGTATGGAACAGGGAGCTCGACGCGAGGCTACCTTTCCGGTGTTTTTGTCACTTTCTTACCTGGCCCAGCAAACGAGCAGGAAGACATAACGAAGAAGAGTCTGTTGAGGCGTATCGTATGCGCCTAGAAGTCAATCTGAGGTTCGAGCGGGGTTGATATAGACTCCTGGAAATGCTTGACAACGATGTTAAATCAGCAGTATTCGATGGAAAACACGTCGAGTAGCGTCTTCTACATAGTTTCTAGGCGTTTGAACTTGTGATTGATACTGATCAGACTACTACCGCGCTGGAATCAGGTTTTAGTGTTGGAAACGCTACAAACTTATCGAGATTATAGCAAGTTTCCTGAACGTGTTGTTCAATATATGGATTTGTGCTTCCATGGAGAGACTTGAGTTAAACACTAGGAACATACCTTTGGGTTTTGATGAACATGCTGTGGAGAGTGAGAGACTGTATTTTATTATTCAGTTTTCATCGGCAGTAGTCATGATATCCTGCTGAGTATAAATGTTGTCCTCACCGAAGAACTATTTACACTATGTATCTTTCGAAGTGATGCGAGCTTTTTGGTTGAGGAGTTCTGCGTCGATATCTTTACCTTCAACACATACCAGCGGATTTACACGTAACATATCTATGTGGCATATATAATTAAGCTATCACGCTTATGGGTTCTCGTTCCTCAGCCTTCGAAATGAACGACTAAATTAATTGAAATTGGGATTGTTAAAGAAGATCATTATTACTCGCCTTTGAAAGATGTAACAAGACATCGACTGGTCAACCCTGTAGTCTCTATCTGACTTACAACGTGAGGAAGCAGTCGTTCCTGGTCGACAAGGCTTATCTCCAGTTTCCTTTTCAACATTACACTCTTGAATGCTTACACAACTGTAGCAAAGAACCTATATCATGCAACAAAGTATTATATCCCTTTACCTTCACCTTTACTTCAAAGCGACAGCAGCTAACAGCAGAACGCCAAGCCCACGTGTGTGGGTGATTACAGGTAGGATCTATATAATCCTTCGTGCCCCCTCTCTTTCTTTCTTACTCCAGACACGTCACTCAGCACCTCCATTCCAAGCTCTACCCGCAGCAACATCCCCGCTTCCACGCAGCTATGAACCCACTCGCTGCTCCGTATCAAGCCCCCTTCCAGGACGTACCAGAATACCAACTTTCCTCTCATGACCATGCTAGAACCAACTCGGCACACTCAACTGCGGGGACAAACCTGCAAGCTGATTCCAGTTGTGCAAGTTCTGTCGCCTCAGCCCAGTCCACTTCTCGGACCGACATATCAACTCTGCATGCTTCAGATATCCATCGGTGCCCACCACTCGGCATGATGACACGGTATCACTACGACGAGAGCGGAAAGCTGATTGGCTCCACTAATGGTCCTGAGAATGGAAGAGACATCGTCGCCACTTTCCTCGCACAGCACAGGGTGCCGCAACCTGGATCTTCTGTCTTCGATGGATACGTAGATGATGGGAACATACATGGAGCATACAGTCAGCAGTATAACGCTTACGATAACGATCAAGTGTACTTGCCTCCATACTGTTGGTCAAGCGGAGGCGTGTTGCCGCCAAGATATGAAACCCCTCCACATCCATACCAGGCGAACCCATTCAGCCACACGAACCTGCCTATGTACTCAGAACACCGTTTCCCATATCCCGATCCGGACAGTATCCGCCACTTCCACACCCTGCACAGTTTTTTACCTCACCTGCAACCGGAACGTAAGCTCGGCGCTCTCGACGGCCCGACCATTGATATCGTCGAACAACACTCAGGTACTATCTATATACAAAACGTACCCAAGAAAATGCTCGTGCTCTTCCTCGGCCGCCAAACAGTCAACAAATTCCTCCGGACCATCGAGCGTGTGGATAACGTGAACTGGCGAGGCGGTCCCACACGTCAGGAATTACGTTTACCACGTGGTTGTGCTAGTAGCAGCGCCCTAGAAATCCTGATCGTATGGATGAGGCGGGCGTGCCAGCACCAGACGATGGGCGATATGAAGCAGTTCCTTGTGCCAGTCAATCTCTTTGCAGCATGTTCGCTTGGAAGTACACTGGAATTGTTCGGTTTGCGCAAAGATGCGTTGCGCGTGGAGATGTTTATCGGGAAGAACCACTTCCAACGTCCGATCTTCGCAGTCGAGATGAAAGCTTTGTGGAGTTGTCTTGGCGAGACGAGCAGGTACACATATGGAGCTATCAAAGTGCTGGGTCAGCGATTCCGGGCATATGAGAATGGGACAGAGAAAAAGCTGTTGCGTGATTTCGATCAGATCCTCGAGTTGCTGGAGGCGTTTCCCCTGCTTGGGGCTCGTGTGCGTGATGGATGCTTGAATGAAAGATATGCACCGACGTTTGGTACGAAATGGTTCAGCAAGATTTCAGACGGTGTGTAGTTCATAGAGTTTCGGGTCAGTATAGCAGAGCGTAGGTATTGATATTAAGTAGTACAAGAAGAATATTGCTGATGATGTTCAGCTCAGTGTTACCCGTAACGATCTGGCGCCAAGGAATGAATGAGGACGATTAGGGAGGACCTTTTTGCCGCAGTGAATACAACAACATTTTGAGGTTGGTTGCTGCATGGCCTAGATACTAATCGGTAGAATGTTTTGATTCTCTCTGTGGTATGACGAATGAAAGACTCCCATACCAACTTTTGCGTAGTATGTCCGCCAAGCGTTTGCCATGCGTCGGGTGTGCGTGGCAGACGAACGCAAAGAAAACCAAAGTGTTTGATCAGTGAATGAGGTCGTCTTGGTTCGGCCAACGCTACATTAACCATGTCGTTCGGTCAGTCACCCCTTTCCCGTATTCGCAAATTCACCCGTCGGAGCCACGATATGCTTCTTCACACTGTTGACGGTCTGTTTGCAAGGCATATCTCATGCCCCACAACACAACCCCCGCCACCATCGTTCAAAGTATCGCACTTCCTTCAAAAGCACAATCTACCATCATCATTTGTCCACTGAGCGATTTCGTAATGCCTACTAGCGACAAGAATCGCAGCAAGAAGTCCGGCTCTGGCAGCCACTACCAATACACCCACACCTCCACTCGGGACGATCACAACATTCACTGTCCCCCCACCCCTCTCGTACAACGTAATTCCCTCGCCGCCCCCATCCCACTTTGGAATGACGCCACCTTCGCACTCCCGACTTCTCTCGCACCCAGCCCATCGCGTCAACAACCTTGTCTACCTGGTTTCCCAGGATTGCACACTATGGTGACTAATGCATGTCCAGACCAACAACATGTGAATTTCCAAAACGATCTGTCGAATGTAACCGGGAGGGATATGGATACAGGGTTTAATCGGCAACCGCGCCGAGGAGAGCCGCGACGGCCGCCGAGGCTGGAGAAGGAAGGAGTTTTCGTCGGGCGGGTGGAGGAGCGTGATGAGAGAATTCCAAGGGAGCAGAAGAGGAGAAGGGAGTTCAAGCCGTTCGTTGACATGCCAGAAGAGGGCAGTGCTCGGAAGAAGAAGGACGTTGATGTTGAGAAGAGACCTGCGCTAGGAAGTAAGGATGTGAACCAGAAGCTTAACCCGCCGGCTTTGCTGACTCGAAAATCTTGTACTCTCGACCCGAGTAACAGCATTGGGAAGAGCGGAGCTACGCAGCAGGTTTCTGATCCGGAAGATATGCCTGGTCCGGCATCTCATAGCAAACCATCGGTCATGATGTCCGACGTACGGAAAAGAAGGCGGGAAGCAGATTTCGACCGTTCGCTCCCATCAGCCAAAGAAACTATTCGAATGTCCATACACATCGAGGAACCAGCTCCCTTGACCATCCAAAAAACGCAAATCCCTACTGACCTCCAACCACTATCCCCCACCATCCAACACTTGCGAAAGCTACGCGCAGAGGATCAAGAATTTCGACTCGCGAAGTTATGGGCAGAGGAGCAAGAGACAAATCTAGCAGAAGACGGGACCGTGCCGCACCTCCGAACCCACAACCCACTTGAAAAAGAGACGAAGAACGTTGATTCTGACCCACGCCGAAAACCTCTTGATGAAACTGAAAGCGACGCGAGCTCCGTCTCGGAGATGACCCGCCTGACCAGTGCGTTGGAGGATTGGTGTGTATTCCAGAACCTGACTTCTCTATCATCCGACTCTCCTGGTCTTACCTATACCTCGTTCGAGAGGAAGAGTGCCGTACCCAATAGTCTAAATCTGAAGGCAAGCAAGTCTGCGAAAAAAAGCGCGAGGAGAGGTGCGACGAAGTCTGTAGAGTCATTCTCGACGGCTGCTTCAGAACATTTTGAGAGGTTGGGGACACCGACGGGGAGTGAGACGGAGATTAACGGGGCAAGGAAGAAGTGGTATCGAGGATTTCGAAAGTAGGGAGGTCGTTAGATGATGTTGAGTGGAAAGGTTTGAGCACTGATGCTGCATAGCGCTGTCAGCAGGTCATGATAAGCGTTTTCACTACCAGATTACTTACGTTTTCAAGAGAAAGTGAAAGCTTACAGTGTGTCTTGAGAAGTGTCGGGATGGTTCAATACAACAGTGTATTCACGTCTGATCCCAATCTCAACATCATTCATAGGTAAACATGGAGACGTCCAATTTGACTCTGACATTAAGTGGCAGCTTACATACCATCATGTATAATCCAAGTTACCTTGCAAAAAGGGACACTGCGCTCTAAGCCTGGCGGGAATTGATCGACATAATAGGTACGCATTGCCGAAGTGAAAGTGAAAAACCTCATGCGGGACGGAACAATGTGATGCCACGCGACTTGGCAACCACCGCGCCTCTTACCAGTACTGTTGTGGACTGCGTACGGTAGTAGCACAGCCAGTTCGCCATGGCAGCCAGCGATCTCCAGAGAGAACTGCTGCAAATGCAACTCCACCCTCACATCGCTCAGCAGGCCAGCCACCGTGCGCGCTCCGTATCCGGACAGGATCCATTTCAGTTCGGAATTCAGACTGGCGAGATCTCTCTCCAGCAGCTTCTCACCCTACCAAATCACGAACGGAAGGCGATTATCGAGCAGGGACTCTTCATCGATATCTATCTTGGCAACACTCGGGTATACAAGCGGACGTCCAAGACCCTACTCTTCGCCTTCTGCTCCGACATTGGACGATTTTTAGAGCCGCTGTCGGATCGGTTCATCGTTCGATTACCGCACGGGCTTAGCAATAGCCTTACGGTGAAGCTGGCAGTGCTGTACATGGAGCAATATTTGCTCAATCACAAAGTCCGGAGCGCGCCGTGGAAGATCAGACGTGATATCGCTCCATACGTCTGTCTTGCGGAGCTTTTTGCATTCATCGGTATGGCGGAAGCATCTCGAAAACTCGAGACTGCGATACTTCGGCGTTTTCGCGAGGTCCCGCTTCGAATCGAACAGATACGTGCTATCTGGGGTCGCGAGGATGGTCTGCATCCGTCAAGGTACGCCAAGATCATGGCTGACAATGTCTTCACCTTCCTCTGTGTTCCCAAGATGGAGTTCTTTGCCAAGGAGCACGACATCGAACCGGCAGAATCGTACGAGAAGGAGGTAAAGCGAAAGCTAGAATGTCTGGCAAAGACTTACCCGCAGTCCACGAGGTCAGTCTCTGCATATTTTATGGCCACGCTCAGAACTTCTGAATCCTGTCATGTTGGTAAGCTGAGCATTTCTGCTTTCGACCAGCATGTTTCGTTGCCCCGTATGCTCATCATTGCACAGTACTGACAACGACGTAGGCGCGCGATCGATTCCGCGTGGCGCGATACAAGCCTTCTTGAGCGTGTGTTAGATGCTCCAGCCAACGTGTTGTTGAAGCAGTTGGTGTGGACAGCCAACACCTTGTCGACAGCAACGCCTCGGGACCCCGCAGAATGGATCGAGATTGCAGTCATGATGGGGAGGGTAGCATCGCATCCCCACCCCACAACGATCAGAAAGATTGTGTTAAGAGAAAGGACTGACTTGGAAAGTGACGAGGAGACTGAGCTAGGCACGTGGGGATTAATGGGGTATGGAGAAAAAAGGAAAGGAAGAGTGGGATGCTGAGGAGAGCTACTTGGTAGATACGTAGCTCGCAGGTGTTCTACGTCTCGGTTAGTATTTGAGATACGGACGCATATTGGTATATGTGGGGTAAGTTTAGAAAGAGGGATTTTGTAGTGCTTGAAACCCAGCAGGGTATTTGAATGAAACGTCCATCAAACCTCGAACCATGCTGGAAACAATCCTAGATGGGATAAAAGAATCGAGAGCATAGGTTCAGAAATCTTGTCGCCTCCAAGATACCATAAGTTTGTCGAAAAGGACAACGGAATGCGGCATACACTCCTCCAAGCGTGGTGTAAAGGAGGGAATTGAGACATGAGACGAAGTTCACTCGCTAACTCCGCCAAGGCCGGACGGAATACCGGAATACCCATGACGTACCCCCCGCGGGTCCACTCGCACCTGCGTCCACCACCATCGCGTCCTAGCTAGGCATACCCACTGGTTTCTCCGCGCGACTATGATTTTTCCCACCATGCTTCCTCGAAAATGTCTACATCCTCTGCGCCTCTCACGCCCGCGCAAACGCATGCCCTATTTGATATCCTGATCCACCACCAACTGTACTCTGAAATCGAAGCGTTCAAGTACCCCTCCACTATCGACCAATATGGCTACCCGTTCAAGAAGGCGGATGGCGTGCAAAGCACCAGTCCGATGCTGCAGAACATGCACAACAAGTTCGCCCTTACCAACCCGGCGCTGAAGAAGATGGGGCCCGATTTCTGGCAGGACAGGGTCAGGGTGATTGTGGCGAAGCTGGCAGAGGCCGAGCTGAGCGAGAGCTATGACAAGGGCGCTATTGGGTCGCGGAAGGCGCTGGCGACGGCTGCGAGCAGTATCGCCGAGTACATTGCGCGAGGCATGTTGGGAGGATATCCAGTAGCACCCAAGAAGGAGGGGAAGATGGAATACGACACCAGCAAGCCCGAAGACGTCATGCAGGCATGGGACGACTGTGTGCGCGGTTTCATATACGGCGACCTACTCCATGAAATGTGCGAGAAAGTAAAGACAACGGACAAGTTGGAGGAGCATACGAGCGTTGTCCAGGCGGCGCATGAGTATATTCTGCTGAAGTGAGTGCTGTCCGTATTCACGAGCGACGCCGTCTGACAAATGTAGTGTCGCATCGTTTCTCCACCACATTTTCATCATGTCTCCCGACGGCCAGTACCTGGTCCGCCTTCTCGAAAACGTGCACCGTCTGATACCTTACTACATGATCAAGCAGACGCTGCGTGTGGGCAACGCGGCCTCCATGATCAACGGCATGGTCAAGCTCATACTGGCGAAGCTATCCGTCACTGCCATGACCAACTGGATAGGCCTCACAAACAACTCCAACGATGGCATGAACTTGTTGCAGCAAATCATATCGACAATCCTAGCCTGGGACACCGCCGAATTCACGAAAAGAGCACAAAAGCTTGAATCTGCGCGTGATGCACCAAATAAGAAAGTTCTCAAAACCGTCAAGGAGTTCGTTTATGCGTCGAGGGATAAGCACGAGGCTGCTCGCAACATGTCCATCCAGGAGTCCAAATCCATAGTTGCCATCATCCTACAGTCCGCCGACAAACCGATCGATGCTGAATCCTTATCTGAACCCCAGCACGACGTGGCCATGGAGTACTACAGCACCTACCTTTCCATCCGCGACCGAGAAGAGATAACAAAGGTCGTTTGCAAGTCACAGCCCGACGTATTGACCTCCGCTGTTCGTGAAGCTGTCACAGCCATGGACCCTGTGTAAGTATGATCGACTCTAACAAATACGCAACCGAACTGACCCGAACACAGAATCCGCGCGATACACAATGCCGTCGATCTGTCTGGGACCGTAACAGATTTCGAAAACTTTCTCACCGATCTCATCAAGGTCTCCAAGCCTAAGAAAAAGTCCAGCACCAAAGCCAGCGACAACTCATCCACACCAGGTAGCGTCCTCGATACGGAAGCCAGCGACGCCCCCACAGTAGAAGACTTCGTCCAGCTTCTCCGCAAACACGCCCCTTCAATGCACAAATTCATCCACCAAGTCACCAAAAACGCGCCAGACCTCGCAAACGACTACCTAACATACGCCCAAACCATGTTCTCAGAATTCCGAGTGGACGACAAGGCAAAACTCGCAGAGGAAAAAGGCGAAGGCGGCGCAGGCAACATGACCGGACCACTACACTCCCTATTCTCCACTCTATCACAGGAGAAACAAGACGATCTGAAAAAACTGTTAGACCAACATGAGCAACATCTCGCACAGCTCAAGAAAACCTCCCAAGAACGTCTTGAATCCATCATGGAATCAACAGCCGCCTCTAAACCTTCTTCCGCTGGCACAACACACGGCCCGGGCATGTACCTCTCGCGCTGGAACTCGCTCCTCGACTCGACGCTCATCACACCCGCGACGGTCCATGGTCCTGTACGGCGGGGCTGGGAGGTCAAGGGCGAGTTAGATGGTAAAGGGCTGAAGACTACAAGTTCCTTGGTTGGGAACAAGAAGGCGCAGAGTAAAGATCAGAGTCAGGTGGTGATGGCGGATGGGACGGGTGATGCGCTGGATCGAAAGGAGAGGAAGAGGGACGCTATGGAGGAGGATCAGATGGTACGGGTCTGGGAGGGGATGAGAGATGGGTGGGTGGGCGTTTGTCGCGGGTTGGAGGTCATGGGGGACTAAGTTTTTAGAGGGGGGGTGTTTGGTTGTGTCTCGGTTTAGTGATGTAATGTACCTTTGATGACTTTTGAACTTTTGGCTTGGAACGTGTTGTGGAGCGTCGGAATTGGATCGTGGGTTTACTGGGATCATGGTGAATGTATATATATATGCGAAGGGCAGTAAAACCAAGATTTGAAAATAGCTCACTACGAGCCAACGATTGGCGATTTCACCAGTGGCACAAGAGCAAAGCATCGACCGACGATAAGACGTTTGACACACACTTGATCGTTATGAAGGTTGTCCAAGAAAGTTCATGATTGGGTATTCTGCACCACAACGTCTCAGGACAGCATTGCATATAACGAACTACGCCGTCAAGCCTACCGCCCTGGAAACAACTCAATACTTCTACGTTCCCTTCCCGCGAGACCCCAAGATCACTTCTTCTTACCCTTCGTCTTATCCACGACATCCACCCAATTTGGCCTCACGCCGCGCTTCTCCAGCGCCTTCAAAATGGCATCCTTCTGCGGCCCCTGAACCATCACTTCCATGATTGGATTCTTCGGACTAGAGCCTTGTAGCTTATCAACGCTTGTGCTCCCCGCGCACGTCTTCCGCAGCTCATCGGCAAGCGGCTGCGGTGCGATGTGATACGGCTCCAGCCCATGGACCTTGGACACCATCTTATTGCCACTGCGCGTCTCGAGCGTGATCGTGATTTTCGGTGGGGCACCAGCCTTTGGCTTCGTGTCGGCGATGTCAGCGTCGTTGCGGAGAATCGCATGAAATGGCGATGTCGCAGCGACCATGCGTTCGGCGAGGGCGTCTCTTGGCATGGTCCCCGAGGACAGTGCGGCATTGTCTGCTGCTGATGAACCGAGGAGGGCGTCGGCGAGCTGGGGATTGATGTTGATGAGGCGCCTGTTTTTTGCGTTGACCAAGTTCTCTGCTTCAACGTACGCGATAAGGATCTGCTTCAGCTCAGCAGGCGTGTACATGCCTCGTGGGTCGGCCTTGGAAGCATGGAAAATGGGCGCTAGCTTCTCCTTTGGCCGCAGTAATGAGACGAGCTTTAATTTCTGACCAACAGAGGATTCGTTACTCGATGGCGCACCTGATTTACCACTTGCGCTGGCAGTTGGGGCGTCTTTCTTTGGTAACCGGTATGGTACGAATTGTTCAATTTGCCGATCTTTGAAGTCAATGTCAAGGATAACCACCTCATGCCCGTCACGATCTTTGCACCTGACCATCTTTTGCTTGTCCAGTGACTTGACAAATTTCTTGAGGTTCTTCCAGCTTGTTTTCTTGATCTGTAATGAGGCTGTTCGCGCGGGTGTGTAGGTGGGGAGGAAAGGCTGAACGAGTTGCGACATGACGAGTGACTGCGAAAGCGGGAAATCGAGACCGTAGGAGGGGTGGTTCTTGTTCTCGTTCATGTGCTGCCGTACTCCATAGAGGAAGGCGTTGTGAAAAGCCTCATCGATCTCTGCGACTTGTTAGCACACGCCTGTACAATCGTGAATGAGCAGTGCATACCCTTCGTAGTCAGTTCCTTGTCGTCGATCACATCGATAAAGTCCTTGTTCGCTTGCGCGTCTTCTCCCTCGACGCCCTGCGCCAACTCTGCTTGTGATCGCTCAGTTGGACCAGCATCAAGCGCAATGCCACCTTCTTCCTCTTCTGCGTCAAGGTCCAACGCGCCCGTCCGTTCGGCCAAGTTTGCCTCATCTTCCTTCTCATCATCCCAACCCTCGATAATGGCGGGAGGGTTGCTGCCAGGCTTGCTGGTGGAGCTCCACGACCAAAGCTCGTCGCCAGCCCAGTGGAATGTCGACACGGCGTGTCCCTTCATCCCTTGTGTCTTTTCCAGCGCGCTCACATCGATCTCGCAGGTGCCGACTGCCATGGGTACGGTGGGTGCCTCGAGGCTCGCGATGGCTACAATGGCACCTTTAGTGGCTCTCTTTGGGAACGGTGGGCCTCGTTGCAGGCCAGGGGTCATGAGGTCGGCGCCGCCTTGCAGCTTCTCGACGACGAAGAGGGGCGTGTAGAGGAGGGGCACGATGCGCGGGTTGTACCAGAGCGTGTAGACTGTGGGGTACATCTTGTCCCAGACCTTGACCCACAGTATCCTCTGCTCGTTGCCTGTTCCTTCATGGCTGCCCACATATATTGTTCCCGACACCTGCTTGAGGTCTGGCCCTGCCGTGGTCGTGAAGCGCGCGGACTGGGCATTCTCGGGGAGGAGCGACTTTCTCAGAGCTGTGAGGCCTGCTGCTGCCGCTGTCTTGTCCTCGGGGTCGGCGCTAGCATCGACTGGGACCTCGATGGCGAAGTCTGAGATGATCTGGTCGGCGGTCCGGCGGCGGTCGCTGGACTTGAGTGGCGAGAGAGGCTTGATCTGGTTATGTCAGCTTGGGTGTGGCAGACGGCAGCAAAATGCATACAGTGGGCTTCTTTTTGAACATGGCGACGATGTGTTCTGGAATACTTTGCTGTCGATCTGCAAGCTGTCGAGCTCTGTTTATCGACTGTTTGGCGGGGATGACTTCGGCGGGGCAGGCGCGCTAGCTGGCTGCAGCTGCCCTCTTACCCTTTTCCTCTTCGAGGCATGAGTCGATTTCACTCATCCTGAGCCTTTGCATGTCTGTCACATCTGTCACATCTGTCGTGTCTGTCGTATCTGTTGTGTCGCGGCTCGTGGGCTCGACGACTCCCGGAACTCTGGGAGCAGGGACCCACGGGCATTCCATCAACAATCAGCCTCGGACATCATGAGACATTGATATGCCGACAAGGAATGCGAACGCCACACCTCGATTTCCTAGGATAAAAATCGGCGAACATCCCTGGAAGCCGAGTTGAGTCGTGGAACGATGTGTCGTCATATCCACACGTTATGAGCCTCGGTATTGCTATGCATCGTTTAGGAGGTGAGAACTTTGTGTACCATACGCTCATACTATGTGCGTCCAGTAAGTCTGGATTTTCGTTGCTTTTGCAACATTACTGCTAACCTCAACTGCCGTCGCGCTACCGATGTTTCTTTTGACACGCTGTACATCCCCCGGGTTTCCACGACCTTGGAACGCTTAGCTGCCTATGTTTAGCGTCCGCTGTACAACTTAGTCGCGCCAAGACACCAGAAAATCTCGACTTCAGCCGTCTGTACATACCGATCCGTGACTTCCGCTCACCCCACGGACGAATTCGTTGTTAAACATGGCTTTTACGTTACGCAATCGGCATCCAGTCATTGCGACGGACATGGCCGCTGACAAACATTGGAGACCCGTTGGCACCGTTCGTGTATTGACACCACGCAGGGCTTGCCGGACCGGGTTTTTAGCCACAACATGCTAGGCTATGAGTGGTGCAATATTACCTTGACTCGATACCGCCATGCCTCGATGAGAAAAGCGTCATTGATATTCGCCTGGTGAGTCGTCCCATGCTTCTAAAGCCTCGCGTCCACAACGGTTGTAAAATCCGGAGAGCGGAGAATACGAGGCGCCCCGTATGTTCGTGCTCACTCTCCATTCTCCTTGCGCCTCCTTGTCGCTCTTCCTCATACGCTTCCCCTTCTCCGCCTGCCATGCGGTGAGTGTGGATACCAATCTTCAGATCCTTCTTAGGCCAGGGTGACATCACGCTTCCTCGGGCCACTCGAGTGCAACTTCAAAATCGGTATCCGCGAAACAACATGAGCCCTCTTCCCGCTCCCAGCATAATGGCGCGCGCAAAGGCGGTTGAGAAGCCCACCAACCGTACTGAACTTGTACTAGAGGCCTGGTCCATGGGTTATCTTGTTGGGTCGCTTGTTATCATGGCTTTCATCACGTTGGCGAACATGCGACGAGGCGTTCTTCTACACAAGTTGATCTTACTCGAAGTGAGTCTGCTTAGTCATTGACCCGTCTCCTACCTAACACGGCAACAGCTCATCCTCGGTATCTGGCAAGGGTTTTGGGTCTTCTTCGATAGTCCGATCTTCACCTGGTGGTTGTCTGTCGCAGCGATAGCACTCAACATCTCGTGGTCGCTACACAACGTCATTGCCTGGATGAAGATTAGGCCCTTTCTCTCCAAAAGAGTCAGTTACATCTTCATCGGCACTGTTATCCTGGCACAGCCATATTGGATTTTGGAGATTTACGCAAACTTCGCCTACTTCCACGGCGTCAACACCATCTTTCTGAAGACACGGCCATGGGAAGCATTGTGTCGCGATCCCTGGTGGGTTCTCACGACTGTCTATCTGTTCTGGATCATCAAGACCCAGTATGAGATGACGCTGAAGGAAATCGTTCGAATTTCGCCGCGCTTCACAATCATGCTCGTCGCCATGGGTTTGAGCATTGTCTTCGTTATTCTGGACATACTCTCTGTAACAGGCGCGTTGAATCTCCCTGGTCCAACTGGCATAAACCCGTTCTGGAAGTTGGCCTTCGTCTTCAAATGTCTGACGGACTCTGTGGTACTGGACGACTTCAAGATGGCCCTTGACCGATTAAGGGCATTTAAGATCAGCCGATTGGGTAGCTTCTCTGGTGACATGAGCGATAGTCGTAACCGCAATAACGGCGATTTGGTAGCGACATGGGAAGAGGTGGAGCGAGAATCCCATACCCGCACACTTCACCAGGTTAGAAGTCCGGATGGAGACTATATCCACTCAAGCAACTATCCCTTCAAGCCGAAGCGATCACGAAACGTTCACAAAGACTCCGGTGTTTCGCCAGACCATGTCTCCTTCCACTCGTCGAGTGGCAGCATTGCCCCCGAGGATATCGTTCCCAGCGCTCTTGTGGACCAACCTATGCGAACCTTGGAAAGTGCACACTACGCGCAGTCGAAGAATCAACACCATTTCATTGACAATATGGATTCGCGAACGAACCGAAATTCCCTAAATAGAATCGCAGAGAATGATTATGCTGAGGCGTTAAGAGAGGTCAATACTCGAAGAAGTGGTTCGTCTGGTCGTCCTGCCCCAGGCTGAACGTTTTGTTCTTCTGGTTCCCGTCAACACTTACCACGCACGACTCGAGGGGCACTGTAGACGCGTACCTACATGGGTAGTCACTTTGAAGATGTCCATGCACGGGTACATTCGCAAATGAAGCGCGATGCACCACACCACTGGACGATGTTTCCGATACTACGTCCTCGTCATTGTCGGCTGTATGCCTCGTACCACTTCGCGGGTCGCTCCATCCAACTCGACTCTTCAGGGGCCGTCGATGAACAGAGACCCTGCAAGATATGCAGTGCAGCACCATTTTCTCCAGAGGACGAAAGTGAGACGAAGCAGCCCTGTCGGCTCCTGCGACGCCATGATTACCGATTGATGATTCGGTACGTCTGCGCAGATAGGGCAAAAAAAAACCGTATACCTATTTTTATGGTATGGGCATTGTATAGACAATTAATGCTATTACTACCAGTCACGTTATGTAAACACACGCACACAGTCAATGCTTCCTCTCTCCATGAGAACAAAAGTCTTCCTTGCCAAGCGCTTTCAATCTTGAATCGCCTCATTCTATTAGCATCAACGAATCTAAGTCATTGTTTAACCGCCACGGCCTACGTTATTGAAAGATGCAACTGTTGAGGAAACAGAGAAGGATTTGTTGGAGGCGCGGCGAACAGGCATCACAATCCTATCTTCCATCCGCTAATTAATGAAAACACAACGCATCTTGCGATAACGGTAACATCGGTATAGACAACTCTCACGTACCGTTACCTTACAACACTTTGAAACACATGCATCCCCGCGTCGATCGTTCCCCAGCCCCGCTTCTTCTTTGTCGCTGAAACAACGTCCTTGAGATCAACCGCGAACGCGACGACTTTCGCTATTGTAGCGTGTTTCGAGCAAACTTCTCGAGAAACATGCATTGAAAAACGCGTCACGCTGTCTTGGCAAGTATGTGGGTCGACCGTTCCATCACTGTGAGGCTGAAGTGTGGGGGAACCATATTGCAAGAACATATAAACAATCGAGCAATGGACTTTAGTTTGGATATCCAGAGCGGGTTTCTGTTCATTCTCTCCTTTCGTGACTTCGTTGAAGACTTCCTTTCGTTTTGATCTGAGATCATCATTCATTCTTTCGCTTTCAATACTTTGTAACCGTCATCATGGTTCTCACCAAATCTCTCGTTCTTGCTTTCCTGGCTTCGACTGCGGCCGCTGCTGGTGTCACCGGCACGGCGGTCGGCTTTGCGGCGAAGACTACTGGCGGAGGTGATGCAGAACGTGAGTTCATTGGCAACATCTCCATTTTGGACCGTCCTCTAACCAATGACTAGCCGTCTATCCCACCACTATCGAGGAGTTGACCACCTACCTTACCGATTCTGAGGCGCGCGTCATCATCTTGAACAAGGAATTCAACTACATCGGCAGCGAAGGCGAAACCACCGAAAATGGCTGCCGCCCGGACTCCAACACCTGCCCCGATGACGGCGGCCAGGATGCCATCAACGGCGCCGACTGGGTACGAACGCCTCTCAGAGCCCGATAAAACTCCAAGCAGAGAAACTAATATCCGCCAGTGCACAAACAGTGATTACCCCCTCGATACCAGCGTAACCTACGACAACGCAGCCATCACGCCAATCAACCTTGGTTCCAACAAGTCCATTGTCGGCGAAGGCACCGCGGGTGTCATCCGCGGCAAAGGCCTCCGCATCGCCAACGACGCGCAAAACATCATCATCCAAAACATCCACATCACCGAGCTCAACCCGCAGTACATCTGGGGCGGCGACGCCATCACGCTCGCGGGCACAGATCTCGTCTGGATCGACCACGTCAAGACGTCGCTCATCGGCCGCCAGCACATTGTCACGGGCTACTCGCCCAGCGGCAGCGTGACGATTTCAAACTGCGAGATTGACGGAAATACAAGCTGGAGCGCCAGCTGCGATAACCACCACTACTGGGCCATCCTGTTCCTCGGCACAGACGACAAGATCACCATGCAGGGCAACTACATCCACCACACGTCCGGGCGCTCGCCCAAGATCGGCGGTACAGACTCCGGCACCTTGCTCCACGCTGTGAACAACTACTGGTACGACAACACCGGCCATGCGTTTGCCATCAGTGAGAACGGACGTGTGCTTGCCGAGGGCAATGTGTTCGAGTCTGTTACCACGCCGGTTGAGAGTGGTACGGAGTATTTGTTCGCCGCGCTGACGGCGAGTGCCAATGCGGTTTGCGAGGACCCGCTGGGATATGTTTGCCAGGTCAATCAGCTTACCAGCAGTGGTGATTGGGCGGGCTCTGGGTCGGACTTTCTCGATGGGTTCAGCGGGGAGGGTGTTGAGGCTGTGGCTGCGAGCACCGTGGCTGCTAGTGTCAAGAGCAATGCTGGTGTGGGAAAGTTGTAAGTGGGCTGGGGATTCGAGCTGGTGCGACGTAGTTTGTGTTTTGGGGTGTTTGTGGTGTTGGGTAAGAGGTGGAGAGGTGGAAAGTGGGCTTGGAAGTGGCTTGGTAGTTAGTTTTGGGAGAATGGTGAAGACGGATTGGGAAATTTTATTACTTCACCGATTGGATACCTGAGCAACAGCTCGTCTTACAAAGTTCCACCAGCAAGCCATTGTAACTTCCCTCGTTTGATTGCAGTAGCAACTTCGACGGGACGTAACAACGCCATACCACAGCGTTACACCTATTTTCTTGTTACTGTTCACCCCATTAGGGCTTCCAAGTCATAAGCAGTAAGTATCGTTAATCTTCAATATTAGTGATTGCCGGCTTTTCACTAAAATTGTTAGCGTCGCACCAGTTGCTTCGACGGTTGCTGTGGATCTGATGTTGTACGCGTCTGTCATATGTAGAACTCTGTGTTACTGACAGCCTCGCACAGTATCAGCCGTAGTAGATCGTAGGGTCTTCGTGTCGCTGATATGGACGGTGGGAAAAGCTTATCTAGGCAAGGTATGTGTGTATGTTCTGCATCTATAACGTCATAACATCCAAAATTGTCAGGCGCTTGCTGCGGCGGGCTGGAGGTTGGGAGAGAGCGGGGGAGTGTAGTACCGCAAAACTGGGTTCACGCAGCTCACACTAGCTAGCATTGGGGACGATCGACGAATAATGATCCGCTGGAGCAGTGGCGCACTGTGGCTAAGTCGATGTGTACCACTTGTGAGGTCTCGCTTCGCTTCTTTCCCCTGCACCGAGTTACTGAATTCATACAGTAGCGCTCAATGGGAATGCAGGGTTCCGCTGAAATATCAATAAAGTGCATGTCGATCACCATGCACGACGATCAGGTGCTCATGATTTTGCCTTCTCTGAGTCGCGCTTTCATCTATCAGTGCTGCGTGGTATCCTTGAGATGACAGACGTCATTTCCATACTTTCCGTCTCACGCCTTCTGTATATACAGCACCTTCCACCGTGAAGCGTACCACCTTCTCGTAGTATAAATCCACCGGTCCTCTTCAGCATTGTCCACCCTTTTCTTTTTCGACAAACTCTATTCCCGTCAGCTATAAACAGCGACTACCTCGCAGATTTACTTCTACAGCCCCAGCAACTCAACCATGAAGCTCTACACCTTGGTTCTCGCAGGTCTCACGGCACTCACAGCGGCGCAGGACCAGTACTACGATGTACAGTCCTCGGGTTTCCGGCTCATCCTCAAGTCTGCCAATGAAACGCTCAATGGGTACGCCATGACATCGATTCCATACCTACCTGACTAACATGCCCCAGCACCGCCCTCGGAGCCTGCCATCAAGGCGCCGCGATCGAAGGTCTCTGCCGCACAGATGTGACTCTAGACGACCCCGCCACCTCATACACAACCTTCTACCACAACGTCTCGTCGGCCCAAAACTACAGCTCCAACGCCTTCGACACCGACGGCATACTCAGCTGGGTCCTGAGCGCCAACAACGGCGCCCTCCTCGTCCCTTCAGCCATGAGTCTGTCCGAGAATGTAGGCACGAACATTGCGATCCCGATCTTCATGCCTGGATGGGACAAGTACGACCTCGTTGCCTTTGAGGAGACCGGCAGCATGTACATCAGCGTCTACCAGAACGACACTGTGTCGCCTCCAACGTACTACAGCCCGACGCTCAAGCTCAAGAACTGGTACGTCTGTGTGACAAGCTACTCGTACACGTACGAGACGCTCGTCTTCAAGATTGGTGTCCAAGGCGTGCCGCAGAATCCGTCGTGTACCAAGGTGGACGTCGAGCGTGTTTGGGTCTGAGGTACGGCAAAGTGAAAGGATGGCCCGTGGAATAATGGACGTGCGGAGGTGGGCTTAATGGGAGCGGAGGAAAAGTTTTAGCATTGTTAGTCCTGTTAGCGAGCGTTGAGGTTCTGATTCAAAAAAGCAACTCCATTATTCCTCATAAACTTCTCACCTTTTGCTTCTGATTGTTTGGTTCATTGGGCACGGTTATTCGCGCCATCTAAAACCTACAACGTTTTCGGTACCGACGTGATGGCTCTCGGCTGATGGAGGAGACTACATGTCGTATTCGTTTGGGGAGAGGGCCGGGTGCAAAGGAGCTCGAGCGCGTTTGCGGCTACATTCCATAGTCGTCGGTTCGATGCTCGTATTGACACCATGCCAAGCGAACACGAACGCGTCGCGCGGTCTCGTTTTGTCGTCTTTCACTCTACACCTCGCTTCCTTCCAAATCTTGTCTATGCGACAGCATTATTGCAACTTTTGGTAAATGTGGCGCCGCTAGGTCCTCTGGAGTTGTGGAAGCGGTCGAGACTACGTCGAGAGGTACTCGTATAAGTTTGCATTCGGCATTACTTTACGACGACCACCTGGAGGGCTTAAATGCAAAGAGGCTTTCTCTTCGCCAGGACTGGTCTCGGCTTAAGGCCCGATTTGTAGCTATCTTTTAGCTGGTTCTATTCGACGTGTTCGACTTCATCTGCGCTTGTTCGAGTTCAAGCCACACACATATCTGTTCAGCCAACACTGACTTTGATTCTGCTACAGTCGATGACATCGCTTTGTTATGCCCAAATATCGTTGCATTCGGCGTGTATTTCCCGTTTCTGTAGAACATAATCGAACTGGGATATGGTCAAACATGATACATAGTCACTCTAGCTGTTGTCCAGCTCCCAACAAGTCATCTATATCTCGATGTGTATGCCAATTCATTGCTGTTGGGATTGAACATTTGCCACTTCTTTGAGAAGAAAGGAAGAGAAATCATAAGACAACATCGGGCAATCATTAAACAGCACATGCTTGTTCCACACGCTCTGCGTGTCCGTCCACAAACATTATATGATCAAGCAGGCAACGATCTATGTGCGGCATCTGATGCCTTCACGCAAATTCCGCAATCAAATTCATACCACATAAAATGACGGCTCCTCGCTCTCTCATGCCCCATCTCATCATCCTATCATCCCACGGTTCAGAACAACAGGTAACGCCTTCAGTCCCCAGAATTCCAACAACTCTACTCTTTCTCTCAATCCGCAAGTCTCAGAACTCGAAATGAGCAGCAACAACCAGAACCAGAACCAGGGCGGCAAGCATCCTATGGACAAGAGTGATTCGTCTAGAATCCAGTCTACTCAGGTAAGTAGTGGCGGAGACGTCCTGGCGTGAGGTCAAATGCTGACGCGGTGTAGGCTCAGGGAGGCAAGGACACTGGAAAGGATGCGTTTGCTGCAAGGGCGCAGTCTGCAGGTGATAAGAATGCGAACTCGGGTGCGGCTTCGAAGCAGGGAGGCGATGTGGAGAAGAAGTAGGGAGGTTGAACGGAGTTGAGAAAAGGATGATGGAGGAAGATTTGTGAACAGAAGACTAGCTGCCTTAGAAAATTGCGAAAACAACATTTGCTATTTTATGCATGTCCATATGTTACCAAAACGCCAATTCAAACACCGCTCTACATCGTTCCCATCCTCAATCCCCTCATCCCACTCGCCATAGCCGGAACCATATGCCCGGCAATTGGTGGTGCCCCTCCTTTTGCAAACAAAAGCACATACCTCACCATGACCGCCGACTGATCGGTGATAACATGAATTCCTGGCGAAACACTCTTCCCATTCCCCACAGCCTCACATCCGAGCAGCATCCTCATATTATGTAGTTTACTGTTCTTCCAACTAAGCGCGGCAGCCGAGTACGTAAACGACATTGCGGGATCTTCGGCAAGATAGATACCGTTACCGTAAGCCGCGCCAGTGCGTTGGAGGGATGTGCCTGAGCAAGTTCTCAGTCCATGAGTGAGGATAGCAGGGAGACGGGAGAGAGTTGTGCCATGGAAGAGGACGGTGGACTTTGGGCTGGAGTTCGGGCTCGACTTTGAAAGTGTAGACATGAAGGCACTTTCTACCGTTGGACTGGCGTTCGCGAGCACGAATTGATGGGTACCGTGGGGTAGATTGGGAATCTTGCATAGTCCTATTGCAGTGGCTAGGAAGCCTCGGAATTGCACACAGGCCCAGGATATCAGCAACTCGGCGTCTTTGTGGTGAGAACGTAAGAAGAAGACGGGACTGGCAGTGTCTCGAATCATGGCGAGAGATGGAAGACTGTTCAAAATGGATTTGACGAGTTCGTTGCCGCGGATTGGACAACCTGGGAGGAGTTCAGGTTTCGAGTCCATTGCTGCTGCGTATACGGCCGAGAGGAGCAAGTCGACGGCGAAAGGATCGATTTTGATTTCTGGGATGCGTACGTGGAGGGGGAGGAGGTACCAAAGTCTCGCGCAGGAGAGAAGATTGCATGGTGTTGAGCGTCGTAGCTGCGCGTTTGAAGCCTTGTGTGATATTCCGCATGAAATGCACAGGTGACCTAGCTCTGACATGCTCTTCTTGATGAGGCTGTGCAGGTCTGCAATAGGCGTATGTCCCGATTTCAGCTGCCTGTAGAGGATACGGTTCAACTGATACAAATAAGCCGTCTCCACGGACTTGCATATCGGAAAGTTTGGTGCCTTGAGACTTTTTGAGCAGTTAAACGGTAAGTGCTCCAAAGTGCCAAGATTAGGGTCGTTGTCGTAATGGAAGCAAAACGACGTAGCTGTTTCATCGCTGTCGTCCAGCAGAAGCCGTAGCAGAAGCGTGTTCGCTGCGTCCGGGATACCCATCGCACCTCGCTGTATGTTCGTATGCGCTGGCAGCGGAAAACTGATCTCAACTTCATTTTCGCTGACCCTTTCGACGACATCGATCACTCCAGCTGGTAGTTCCAACAACTCTATGTCTAGAGCGTTATCGGCAGGAAATCCCAGCTGCTCAAGAAGCGCAGATGTACCCTTCGGGTCCTTCTTCTTCAGCGCCTCTTGCAGAGCTTCCAGTCGTTCTGCCTCCTCGGTGATTTGTCTTTCGATTTCACCCCAAAACGCAACCGCTTCTTTAAGCTTCTGCTCAGGTATGGCAGACGTGTACGTCTCGATCTCTAGGAGCTCCGCAATGGACTGGATCAAAGCCATACCTTTGTTGTCAAAGAGCGCGTTTTGTATATACCCTGCGAGCATGACTTCCACCACAGAGAGCGGAATGTTGCGTTTTTGAGTAGGTATTTCATCCAATGCTGAGTCAGAAGTAGAGGGCTTGTTCAAAGCGACTGGAAGCGACGAATCCCCGGGCCTTCTCGATGCCACCTTACTGATGACATTTCGTTTCGCTGAACTTGGACGTTGCTTGGATTCGCTGTCGTCTGGCAAACCAGGGATATCCAGAAACCCATGCTTAGCATTCCACATCTTCAGACAGACCTCTTCGACCTCGTGCGGAGCATTCAGTAGGTTAAATGCACTGTCCGCAAGTTCCCAGTTGTTTTTTGTTTCGATAGAAAGCTTTTCCACAACTTTTTGCATCAAAGCTTCCACCGGCTTGCCCTCCACCTCTTGCAAACTCTCTAGTATGCTTACAAGATTCTTGCTCCAGATCTCTTCACCAGACAGAAGGTGTCGTACAGCACTCGAGTCATTTCCAACTTGAGCCTCTAGCCTCTTGATCGTGCCTTCGTACCGTGTTATTCGCGTTTTCCAACTCAACAGCCGTGGTTGCAGTATGGCTGGGTACTTGTCAGTGGCGGAACTTGGGTACGAGAAACCTGTAAAGAGAGCCTCAATATCGTGCATGAAAGACAACCACTCCGAGGCCCTCATCGATTTTAACGTGTGTTCCAATAAACTCCTCTGGATCAGGTCTTGAGACTGAGTATCTGTCTCGAGCCACTTGTACAGTACATCCTTCCAGCAACGTGTTGAGGTTTTCATCCTATTCAATAACCGTACGAAGGCCACTATGGATTCGTTCCGCTCTTTGTCTATCCGCCGCATGATGTACAAGGCATCTCTACAGAAAGTGTCATGTGGGATTGACTCATAAGGCGATGCGATCTCAACAAGACACCTAAATAGGAGGACATGGTCACTACCTAGGCTCTTCGAGACGTGTAGCGCGAGCGATCGTCTGTCTTCGTCGATACTAGGCCCTGATGTAAGTTTCCATACGTCGAGCATCAGTTCTATTGTGCGTTGAGAAACATAATCGAGCAGGCCTGGTTTCTCGAACATGTGGAGACAGTGTTCTTCGATTCTATCTTCTAGAGGATGTCGCGCTGTGTCGAGTTTAGCGTCTGGCTCATTGGGATTGGTTCTGTCATGTTGATTGTTCTGCTTCGCCACTTGATTCTTGGATTGCTGAGAGAACTCGGTTTGTGCAGCAAGGTAAATCGCGATGACAGTTTCGAACTCTTCTATTGAGGGCAGCACATCCAGGTCAAATTCATCCTCGTTTCCGCGCAGCCAAAATTCGGTCTTCGACTCCCTGACTGTGATACAAAATTCATGGAGTTCGAGAGCAAGTGGCGTCCAGTCCAGGTTCTGTTTGATATAGATTTGTACCGCAGCCCGACACTCTCCAATACAATTTCGGATACCGCGCAAAAGCCATGGTTGGAGGAGTATCTCACACAGGCTTTTGGCTGATGGCTTGTCAAGACTGCGAACGAGATGCTGAAGTGCTGTGAAGTGTCGCCCTCCAACGTCATCCTTCTCGGTGTAAATCTCTCGAACCGCGTTGTAGATGTCGTTCTCGGGCGTATATGGAACCCAGCAAGCTGCCTCGAAAAGATCGAGAGCTTCCTTCGAGACTGGTCGGATGATGACCAGTGCGGTGAAAAGATTGAACATACTGTCTTGACTTGCATCGCTACCCATTCCAGCTGTCACAATATCTAAGGCCCCTGACAATCTCTCAAGTAATTCATGGAGACCATCTCTTGTGTGATCAGGAACCTCGATTACTAGGCTCTTGTATTTCACCAATTTTCTTTCCGCATTATACCGATTCACCAATCCTTCTGCCAGGGTGCGACACTGTCCGGTGAGGATATCAGGGCCATCAAGCGCCGCCAAGTTCACAATGACAGCCATGCTAGCACTGCCCATACCACAAAAGCGTGCAATACGTTTAGAGTGTGGTCTCCAGTTCGCCCAAACGCGCCATTCTGGAAACTCTGAATCTAGAAGCTGCTCCGGTGATAAACGTTCAAGTATTGTTGCAGCAGGCCCAGTCCTTGTCAGCTCCATCATCCATGCCACAGCCGCGTATGCGGCAGTCCACTGACATCTCAGTCTCATACCCTCTAGCTGGGCTGCAAAATCCATTATCGCTCTTCGCGTCAAGGTGGCGAATTCGGGCACGCTTCCCATATTCGGCGTGCTAAACTCCCTGAGCACCTTACTTACGCCCTGTAGATACCTTCCCGCTGGAGAAGACCCATAGTTCGAAAAGGGTAGAAGTTTACGTGCCCAGAGCGCTTCGAGGTCTGTGACCGATGCTGGGTTCCCATGATTCGCAGCAATGAGACTTTGCAGCCACGTCTCCAAGCCCCAATAGCTTCCCTGCGTTACATTGAGGTCAACGTGCAATAGTGCTCTGAGTCTTGCGCTCCCCGTAGTCATGAAAGGAGCTGCAGCTGCAATAGCGACGTCTCTTGCCTCATGGGTATCGATCAAGATTATCAGACGCGTGTCGATGTCTGTCTGGTCGATTTTGCCTTTTTTCTTGAGATATGTGTCGGTGTGTTGATAGAGGAAGACATAAGGAAATCTTGCGTCGGATGGATGTAGAGTATCTATGCAGGCGTCAATACTCTGATGCCATTCTTCGCAGTGTTTGGCTTTATTGAAGAATATGGTATTCTTCAGCGGAATGTTCTTTTTTGTCCAAGGTACGCGGAACCGTTTGTTGGCTGGTCGCTCGGTCGTTCTGGGCAGGAAGACAACGTCCATCTTTGCAACGCCCTACAGTTCGGCCTCGAGGTACCAATTGGTGGTGACTAGTTGTCGTGGTTGGTACGTGAATAGGAAATGGAGCTTGGAGAATAGCTTACGGTTCAGTTCGTCGACAGTAAAAGGCGCTGCAGGTGCAGAGATTCTTGGGGTAAAACGTGAAACGAAGTCGCATATGCCAACCACCAGTATATTTGAAGAAACAAGAGCACTAGAACGATTTGACAAAACTGAGATCAAGAACTTTACACCAGACAAGTTACTTCAAATCTATGCATCAGCCTGCCCTCTTCTCAGCCTGGAGAAGAAAGTGATATGTGCTCTTAGAGCTTTCAACAACGGGAAACAATAGCCGTAATAGAAAAACAAGACTATTGCGGTCATGCGATATGCTATGGTCTCAGCCTCTCACCTCTGGAAGTATCATTGACCTCATTGACAACGCAATATGTGTGCAAGGCATTGTCTTCCTCGCATCTCAGATATGCAAACTAAGCTAGTTATGGCCTGAGGTTGACACAGTGCGACTGCGCACAAGGCTGAGCCAGAGTGGCGCACAGATGGTAACTTACCGACTTCCAGAAGCAGCTAGTGCAATGTCGATCGTGAAAACTAGACAGCCGTTAGCGAACGATTCGCGATGGCACAGGACCGGTAATCAAGCCCTGTAGACGTGGGACAAGGTGGGACAGTTGGTGGGGTAGTCAGTGGGGTAGAAGACTGCCTTGTGGTGCCTTGTGGCGGTAGCATTCAGTGTACATAAACGAAGCATACATATTACTGGTACCGACTGAGACTAAGATGCCGTTATGTACCAATCATGTTGCCATGACCTAAAACATGCCATGAGTTCAGGCAGACTGCTGCAAGCCGAATCTTGTCTTACCACACTAACGAACGTGTCCCAATGAAACTCTTCCAAAGGAAGACCGCGATACCAAACGCACAGCTGCAGTTACGGACAAGGCAGTTTCAGCTACGCCTTCGCGACATCTCTTCCCTAAGCGTAGATCCAGCTGTAGCTCCATGCAATACTTCCGAACCAAGACATCACATCGCTACGCATTTTTCCGCATCTGACGGCGCCACCCCACGATTCTGGCGTAGGTAAGCAGCTGCCTGCTTGATGAAGTCACCCGTTTTGTGGAAGCAGACGCGATTGCCCTTAGCATCGCGTACAGCCTCTCCGATGCTGAAGTCATAGGCCTGACCGGTGTGGCTATCCCTCGCAGGGCACTTGAAGCCATCAACGGCTTGTTGTTCACGATCGGGTACTGCTCGTATTAGCTAGGGTTCAAGGTTGAAGTGTGAGAGAGAAATAGGTCGTCGTACATGTTGCTATGTACGCGAGGAACTCGTCGACTGCTTTTCGGCTTGGCAGTGTATCGCTAGTTTGGTCTTCAAGAAGGATTTTGCAGAGTTTATCCATTTCTTCGATAGTTCTCGGACGCACACCTTTGGATAACTCGTGTTGTTCGACTGCGAGGGCAGCAAGGTCTTTGCCGAGGGGATGTGTACATATGCCCTTGACGTCCTTGGGCGTGAACATTTCTTTGCTTAGAGGATTCCTCATCACACCTTTTCCGACGGTGATGGCTTGTACTAGCTCCTCCATATCCCATGCGTAGTTGTCCTCTGTAACATAGAAGTTTGCTCTAGTTATATCCTTGACCTCGTCGCCCAGCATCGTTTCAGTATTGACGTAGTTTCTTTCAAGGTTCTCGTGTTCAATGTGCATGAGTGCGAGTTCGCCGTGTATCTTTAGATTGTCTGGTAAGGCGGACTCTATCGCCTGCTTGCGCTTTACGAGGGCGTCCCGAACGGTATCAGCACTTGCGCCAGAGGGCTTCCCGTAGGGCGTACGGACCCATCTCATGGTATCCTCTAAGTCGGTAATGATCAGACTGGTTGCCTCATTGGAATGATCTTTGACAGTACGCGCTACTGATCGAGCACTGCCTGGTAGGCCCGTTTTGACGGTTGAGCGACCTCCATTCCCCTCTACGATGGCCTGAATCTTGACCGTACGACTGGATTGGGGAGTTCCTGCCTTCTTTTGGAGCGCTTGCAGATTTAGCAAGTCAGCTAGAATGTAGGTAGCCTTTGCACGTAAAGCCCTATATCCTGTAGTAAGGTCTTGTCGTGCAGCGTCCAGATCGCCGTCCAGCTCAACTGTCGGAGTCTCGTGCTTCTTCGTCGTCGTCGGCAGTTTTGGTACCGTTTTTTTCTTGTATTGGCCAGCCTTGGGATCCCACTCAAGCTGGTCGGGTGCAGGCTTTGATATTCTCTTTTTCTCTGGCGCTGGAGCGTCAGATTTCTTCTCAAGCATCTGCAGAAATGCCTTGACGTCTAAGTCTCCTGGGGCCAGGCTCTTCAACTCTTTGGTGTTATCCATAGCGGCCTCCAACCATCCAACTGAGATGTAGTGTTCAACGAGAAGCTTTCTGGCTCCTATAGCTGGCGGGTGTCGCGACATTTCTTCCATGAGCTCACCTATGAGGGCCATATCCGGGTCGCCCGATGCAGTAGTGCCTGTTGTTGAAGCCATCTATGGCTGTCGCGATATGTATATCACACTGAGAGGTCGACCGCTTTCATATACCGTATGTATGCACGAGAATCGTAAAATCGATTAGCACGACAGGTCGTCAGGCTGCACGGTCGTGTCAGAATATGTGGAGAAAAGATGAAGTGAAAAATGTGGTCTGCCAGGCCGTGGTGAGTACAAATCGCGCAGTGAAGGTGAACCCCCGATAGTCAGTCCTAATTGTTCATCGAAATGCATTAGTTGGAGAACAAGGTGGACAGCCACAAGGCTACCACAAGGCTGTATTGTAACATAGGACCAGCAGGATCGGCGGCCAGTTAGATCTCGCATGAGTCTAAAGTTGGTGACCGGTAGCAGAGATGTTGAGAGTGGTGGGCTGCAGCCTTGGAGGCGGTGCAGAAGCTGCGGTCGGCTGGCTGATACGGACGCCATCCCCTCTACAACTGACCTGACATGGCTTATCACAGTGAGTGTGAGGATGACCAGTAGAATACAGCAGAGTGTAACGACGACAAGCCAAACGAATGCAAAGAGGTTCGCGGTATGCTAAGCTAGTTATCGGAATTCGGATCCATCGTCTCCGAGCCGAGGCTTGCGACAATTTCTACACCATAATGTGACAACATCCTATCACGCGCTCGCTATATTGCCCATCCGTTCTTTCCTTGTATATATCAGTCGCTCTTCGCTATCCTTCCGGCCGACATGCGCACTATGGCGCTACTTGTCGTGGCGGGCGCAGCTATCGCAGCGTTCGCATCGCAACCTACTCTACGAAATAGCATCATCATGCACACAGTGAAGATGTTACAATGGACAGGATACGACAAACCAGGTGGAGTATGGAGGATCCTTGCGATCCTTCTAGCGCTGGTGAACCTGAAGAACCTGCCAGGTGTATGGCATGTACGTCTCCCTCTCCATCATCTACTCCCACCTCTGTACAAAGAACTCAAGCTAATACGAACATGCATACAGTTACGTTTCTTCCGCGCTCTCTTCTACCAGATTTACCTGCAACCAACCCCGATCCCCCCTCACGCGCTCTTCCATCCAGTCATAACCTCATCCCGCACCACCCTCCTCGAAACCGACTACAATTTACACAAGTCCAACAGTACATATTTCAGTGATATGGACATTAGCCGCACACATCTATTCACTGCATTGATACGTAACGGTATCAAGAAAAATAGCCGCCTATATGGTGCGAAGAAAACCGCCCTGAATGGAGCGATAGGCGCCACAGAAGGCACCAGAGGTGGTCATCTCATTGCGTTAGGAGGTGTGAGCTGTCTGTTTAAGAGGGAGATCAAGCCATATGTCAAGTATGAGATGTGGACGCGATTACTATGTTGGGACCAAAAATGGTTCTATTTAGTTACGCATCTTGTGAAACCTGGACATAATCATGCGAAGCAGTGGAGTTTGCAGCCTTGGAGAAAAGATGAACGGACCAAAGGAGAAAAGGAGCATGACGACAAAGAACTGCTCAATGCAGTTTACGCAACCGCCATCGCGAAATATGTCACGAAGCGCGGACGCATTACTGTGCCACCTGAGGTTGTGTTGGCTGATGCGGGTATGGTGCCGCAGAAACCTGAGGGATGGGTGTATCAAGCGAAACGCAAACCAACCTCCAAAGCAGCCGACAATAATGTGACTCCCAACCTTCGACCAGAGCCAGTTGATGGAACTGAGTGGAATTGGGACATCATCGAAGCAGAACGTCGCCGGGGCTTGGTGGTTGCACAGAAATTCGCTGAGATGGATGGCATGCATGGTTTTTTCGATGGGGGGAAGGACGGCGTGATGGGTGAGTATGTTGATTTACTGTTCTAGACGACGAATATATGTAGATATGGATATACCCTAGACTTGGGAGTGGGAGAAGATATGGGCGTTGTCGGCTATCTACACACACTGTTCCCTTCAAGTTTTAGCAAAGTAATAGTGGGCAGGAGTTCACCATTCAACAACCAAAGCTATAAGAGTTCTTTTGCCAAACACACTAAAAACTGGCAATGAGCGCACAAAACGGTATATCCACAAAGGTGGGGTTGATAGAAGAACACGAAACTGACGCGTCGCGATCGCGGTACATGCTTTGCTTAGTCAGTCGCGTATCTGATCAGCCATCTTTTCCGTCTTGTTTCCCCTCTCCTTTATTCTGCGGTACTCATTTGGCTGGACACTGATACGACTCGAGACTACCAAAAAATACCTTAGGACATAAGAATTTGAACATATTGGTCGGCGACAACCATGCCCAGTTCATAATTCCTTCTACCAGTGTCAGAACAATACATGGCAACCTAAGTTCTGGGAGAAATCGGCAAACACAACGCGACTTCCGAACGAGGATCAACTCTTTCGATAAGCAAGCACATAGATCATATTCTCTACCTGTATCAACTCGTTCTGAGAAACCTGTGTTGGCTACGATAACGGTCCTGCACCTGCCAAACGTGTCCACGCGAACAGCGGACTACAAGAAGATTTAGCAAGCGATCTAGGCAAATTCTCCTCATCGTGCAACTAAGCACATCGCTGACATTAGTAAAATGCGAGGACAATAACGATGGTCCGACACGCAACCATCGAACCATGTCAGTACTACATGTACGAGAACGATGGATTTGGAGCCAGGTATACCTTTATTTGAATCTCCAATCTATTGACAATTCGAAGGCAAAGTCACTGTCATCATTCTTCAAAGGCTTCGTTTTGTCAACATTGAGATAAGGGATTTCTGCCGATCAAGCAGATTCAAAAAAACAACGAAAAGACCTCCGCGGTTCACAGAAGGCTCGTCGTAAAAGAAGTACGCTATCAACCATCCCATGACAAACGACCCTCGACGGAGGCAACACTACTGAAGTCTCTAAAGCTACGCTCCAAGCCCCGAGCCAGCCTACCTCACTTGTGCTATTGCCTCTACTTGTACTAGATGAGTGGACGAGATCAAAGGATATGCACTTTGAGTTTGAGAAGACTGCTTCCGGATAACGCAGTACGAGCCTTACAGTGTGTTTGCGGTGGTATGACATTCGCTTTTGCGATAGGAAACAATTTCATATGCAGGAGCTCCGAAGAGTCGCCCTTTGGCGTGTCTGCCCTTACTCGACCATTCAGAGAGGCAGAATTCCCTCCGGAGTTGTCAATATATTGTATATGGATATTGACAAACAAGCTTCACCGGCTCGGGCTTTTCTGTTCAAAAGGTCGTGCACGCAGTGAACGAGAGTAATATCGAAAAGGTTACCTTGCCGTTTGTTGGCAAATCGTCATCACTGATTTTTAAGGACCAAAATATGAAGACTGCATCCGAGGGCGCATTGTACAACTCTGACACCCGTCGGTATGTTTGATGAGCTGACCTATTCATCAGCAACCCCCAGGCTTTTCAACCAACAACGGCCAAGCTTGTATTGCTGCCTCTCATCTCTTCATCCAGTCCAGTATCGCCAACGAATTCGGTGAGAAACTCAAAGCTCATTTCGAAGGCTCAGCTATCACAATGGGTGACCACAGTGACCATCGACCATCGACTATACTCGGCCATCCAGTAGACAAAAAAACAACTGGGAATCTGTTGAGCTTCATTGAAACAGATAATTCTGAGTTCACCTTTTCATCGGCAGTCAAGAAATGTTGTTTTCTCGTTCTTCCTCCTTTCTCTTTCTTTTCGTCTCAATGCTTAGTTCGTCTATCCATATCGACATGGAATCAAAGCATAGCAAGTACAAGTACGATGTCAAATCGAGAAAACTGCTGGTATGTTTATTCTGACATTGTATGTCTACAATATCAACACAGCTTACGCCGTTCAGTGTTGTAGAACGCAAGCATCCCAACACTCCTTGGATAGGCGATACCCTCGTAGCCCTAGCACAACTCAATGTTATAGTCTGTGATCCAAGAGAGTTTGGAAGATGGGAAAGCTTGGGACTTAATTTGAGGCACAATGGCTATATATATCCATGCCCTGGGTCGACCACGTTGCGGTGAAGGTGGAGCAGGACTTACGGACATGTTTGCCAAGCTTCTCGTTCGAGTCTCGACGCATTGAATACACCGAGTTGCTTTGAAGCCCTCTTTTCCATACTTTGAGCACCATCGTCACGTTCAGCTAACTTGGACGCTCGCAAGATCATAGGTTTAGGGGGGACACTACCTTCATGAAGCAGCCTGCATGCCAGTGAGTCCTACTACTCCATGGCGCGCTCGTTCTCCGTCAATACCAAGATTCACAGTCGCCAGAAAGAGAGCAGAGCAGTAGAGCTCACATATCAGGTACAACAAACTGTCTCTGGGCATGTTTTTGGACGACAGTTCTTTAAGTATGCCCAATCCAATTCATCGCACAAAGGACTCGTATCTTACCTCAACATGCAATACAGAGGTACCAAACTTACGCTTTTTCCATAGTTGATAAATATCATCACCGTATACGAGAACACAACAAAAAGAATTCGCCGATGTCTCTGAGACCATGTACTAAAAAGCTGGAATGAGTACCTACGCGATGTAGTAATCCCCAGAGAAAACGACGCTGTGAACATAACGCAGTGCAACGTGAGCTGTATGATCTCGAATCCTTAATCAACAATAGACTAGGTCATCCCATCCAAGGTCATTGTTTTGGGTATTTCAAGTAAGTCCAAGACACCGGCGAATCATGCCGAAATCGGAACATCTCCAGGCGATGCATACTTGCTAACAAGGGACTCGGCTTCATCTTTTCGCCGAAATGTTACCCTATCCTTGACTTCTGGTTTATCACATCGGACAAATGATTGTGAAAGCACCGAGAGACAGGCCGTCAAACACCGTGACGTCACGCGCCAAACGCTGAGCGCCACTCACTCTCCATCACCAACCATGCCCTCCACCAAATACCGTCCCGCGATAGATGACATCAGACGGGAACCACCACGCGTCAGAGGTCCGCGGCGAAGTGGGATACTAGGTTGTGTGTACGCGACGTCTGCTTGCGTCTCTGCGCATCGCTTATCAGAGCGTTGTAGATCAGACGTCATGCAGATTGACATGGAGGCAGATAAGCAGTAACAACACGATCTTGACAGCACGTCCATACGAAATGCCTAAAGCGATCGACGTCCGAGGATGCAGACCAGGAGCGCCATGACATACGAAAGGCGGAGAAGTGACATGCGAAACACTTCTCGTCTACCAGACATGAACATGTACCGTTCGTTCAAACGCCCCCACCACGTGAAAACCCGATCGGTGGCAAGGAGCAAATGTCCAAAGCACGTAATCTGTCTTATGACCATGGAGAGTTATTCCCGTACCAGGTCTACCTGCCTGCATACTTCTCGCTTCGGCTCACCTTACATACAAAATCCCACACTCAACACGACGCGATCCATGCATCCAACCCCAGTCCCCCGATCCCCCACGACTGCAAAGCACACGCTAGTATCTGCAGATAGACAAACACGCAGTAGGCGCAAGCGACTAGGAGCCAAAGGTCGCCACTAATGCGTGCCTCCCGAGGCCTGGCTCCGCCGCACACGGCGCGCTGCACGCTGGCTGCATGCATGCAATGCAATGCATGCAAGTCCGTATCCAACGAGCGGGGAGCAAGCTCAGCGAGCTGCTTGTTCTTTACCCCGCCTTTGTCGTTGGATAGCATCACCACCACGTCAAAAGCTCAAGTCTGCAGCTATCATAGTGGGACATGGCCAATCATAATGCTCCTTGCCAGTGTGAGCATACGAGATAGAGTTCGACACGTGCAAGCTTGTTCACGCAAAACACCCGTGAATCCGGCCGGACGCGAGATTATCAATATAACCGGTATGACTATGCGTATTGGTTGAGTCCGTTGTAGGTGCCTTGAGAAATCGAAGATAGTGGCTTGTCGCGAGTAGATAGGTAGCGTTTTCAGCGTCTAACAACGGCTATAAGCAGAGATATGGGAAATGAGTGAGCTAAGATTCATTTCAACAAAGTAAATAGGAAAATTGAGCACACATCGAACAATGTGCAGAAGTACATATTTTCATTTCACGCAAAATGGTCAAGATTGTTTTAACATGTAGATGAATTTATGCTTGATGGTATACATGAATGCTAGAAAGACAGCGATTAATTAAAGCCTTCCGCAGAAGGCAGGCCATTCAAGCCGTTCACAGATATACAACCACACATTCCCTTAAGAAATCCCCTATGCAAACGCCCATAGTACACGCTTAATCCTCATCATCATCCTCGATGGCGCGAGGAGCAATAACGTACCGTGTGGTACCAGTGTGCTTGTCGGTACCGTGCTCGAGCGAAAGCTTGCTGAGAGCAGCGATCATGTTCTCGATGGCGGGGTTCTTGCGGTTACGGTCCTTGCGACCGAGGCTGTCGAGCCATGGGATCTGGTTAAGACCGTAGTAGACGATGGCGATGATGATTGTGACACCAATGGAGTAGGCCCAGATGACAACGACGGTGACAATGTCAACCCATCCATCCTCACGGAAGTTACCGTGGGTAGGGGGGTTGGTCTGGTAAGGTGCACCGGACATCCAGCCGAAGACGCAGAAGATGGTAGCAAGGGCGTCGACACCGAGAATAGCAGCGACAAGCTGGAAAGACGGCAGAGTCTTGCCACCACGGGTGACAAAGATGAGCCAGTTCTCGGTAAGAGCGACCTCAAGGAAGAGAATGGGCTGGATAGCACCGAAGTTCTGGATGACACCACCGTTGGGCAGGAAGAGAGTACCACGGATAACCCATGTACCGAGAGCGAGCAAGAGACCGAGGATGACAGAGATGAACCAAATCTTGGGCAGTTGCCACTCGACAGGACGTTGCTCAGAATGAGCGTTGTCGTAAGCGACAGCGACGGTGGCCAAATCAGCGAACAAAGCCAAGAAGACAATGAGCTCAGCGCGGATAGTCTCGTTAAGGATGATCATGGTGGTAACAAGGTAAACCTCCAAGTGCAAGCAAAGGGCGATACGGTACTGGATGTACGCCTTCATACGCTGGAAAATCTGGCGAGCAGTCTTGATGGCCAAGACGATCGTGGACAGACCAGGGGCAAGGAAGACGATATCGGCGGCAGCCTGAGCAGCCTCAGTGGAACCTTCGACAGCGATACCGCAATCGGACTTCTTGAGGGAAGGAGCATCGTTGACACCATCACCAGTCATGGCAGTCAAGTGACCACGCTGTTGCAGCATTTCGACGACCTGGTACTTGTGCTCGGGGAAGACTTCAGCGAAACCATCAGCGCGCTCAACGAGATCGTGCTGAGTAGTACCGGTAAGACCACCGTGGATAAGCTTGGTAGAGTTGTAGACCTTGGTTCCGAGAGCCAGCATCTTGCAAGTCTCCTTGGCGATAGCAATAGCGTCACCAGTCAACATCTTGACGGGAACACCGAGCTGCTGAGCCTCAATGATAGTCTGGGCGGTATCCTCACGAGGGGGGTCGAACATGGAAAGGAGACCGAGAAGGATCCAGTCACCGTCGTTCTTCTGGTAAGCAACACCGAGGGATCGGAAACCACGACGAGCGAACTCGGCGGCCTTCTCCTTGTAGAGGGTAGCAGTGATCTCATCGCAGTTGGCGAGGTTGACAATAGCCTTGGGGGCACCCTTAGCACAGACGTACTTGTCGCCGCCCATGTGGCAAACAGCAGTGATACGCTTGGAAACGGGGTCGAAAGGTGTGAACTTCTCGGTCTTCCAGCCCATGTTGAGAATCTCACGGGCCTTGGGGTAACGCCTGATGGTCAAGATGGTAACCTTGTCGATGGGGTCGAGAGACTTGAGATTGTGCGAAGAGGCGAGAGCAGCGACGGCCATCATCCAGTTGACATCCTGTCCCTCAGCGACGTAGGGCTCGCGGAGAGAAAGCTGGTTAGCAGTGAGAGTACCGGTCTTGTCAGAGCAGAGAACATCGACACCAGCGAGGGACTCGATGGCGGTGAGCTTCTGGACGATAGCCTTCTGCTCAGCGAGGTAGGCGGCACCGACGGCGAGGGTGGTGGTGGTGACAACGGGCAGACCGACGGGAACACCAACAATGAACATGATCAAAGCGTAGTGGAGAAGAGTGACCGACTTGTCAGTTCCCTCGCGGGCAGTGGCGATAGGAATGTTACGGAAGAAACCACCGATCCAGGCGAGGAGGATGAAGAACATGACCAAGACGAGAAGCGCTGTACCGATGGAGTTCATGATAGCCTTGAAATGACCTTGGTCCTTAGCGCCCTGAACGAGGGTAGCAGTGCGACCGACGAAGGAGTGCTTAGCCGTGGCGACGATGATACCGTAGGCCTTGCCGCGCTTGCAACCAGTGGTGTAGTAGGCAATTTCTCCCATGTACTTCTCGACGGCAAGGGATTCACCGGTGATGGCAGATTGATCGGTAGCAACAAGGGAGTGACCTTGGGTGATTGGGTTCTCCTCATCGAACTTCTCCTCATCCGCGTCGTCGTCCTTCTCGTCATCAGGGTCGGCATCATGGAACTTGTCTTCGGCCTTGAGCTTCAGGTACAGTTCGAAGTCCTCAGGGTGATCGTAGTCGCAGATAATACGGACATCTCCGGGCACGGTCTGACCTTCCTCAATGACGACGATGTCACCGGGGACGAGCTCACGGGCGAGAATGGTTTGTTGCTGGTTGTCACGGACGACGGTCGCCTTCATGGCGATGTCACCCTTCAAACTGGCGACGACATCGGCAGCTTGCTTCTCCTGGTACCAACCGACGAGGGCGTTGAGCAGCAAGATACCGCAGATGACACCGAAATCGACCCAATCCTGAAGACCGGCGGCGAGAAGGGCAGCAATTTCCATGACTGGTTCAAGTTAGCGAGGCCCTTACATCATTGAGCACAGACATGCATACCATAGAGGACGGGACCGGTGAAGTAGCCGAGAAACTGTTTGAGCAAGTTGGTCTTCTCGCTAGAGATTTCGTTGCTTCCATAGCGCTTGCGGCGGGTTTCGACTTCGTGGGAGCTGAGACCAGTGCGAAGCTCAGTGTTGACATCTGAATTGCGAGTTAGCTATGATCTTCTCCATGTTGTGATGAGTCTCGATTGGCTCTGCAGGCGGGTGGATTCGCGGAGATTGGTGCGGCACACTAGAGCGTTCGCGGCTCATTGGCCCCACCGTACCTGCCGCGCAGGAAAGCTCAAGGGTGGTAGCTTGCGCTTGGACCACTTGGCCAGCCACCAATGTCGATGCGAGCTCAACAAAGCCAGACTGGCGATGACGAAGGAGCTGCATCGCGTCGTGCCGCGAGCCATTGAGATCGTGATAGGAGGAGGAAATACATACACTCGTCAGGAACTTCGGCAGCGCTCTCAATCGGGACGGAAGAAGCAGTTGCAGAACCGGATTTCCAGAACTGCCAGAAGGCCTTCTTCTTCGCCGATGGCTCAGCGTGAGGGTTGACTCTCGCGTCGCGGTAGAACAGAATGTACTTCTGCAGGGCGGTGTACTCGTCCATGCCCTCGAACTCGGTCATGCTGACGATGGACTTTTGACGCTCTGCGGCCGAGCTGGCACGTCGCCCGCGCTCGACATCGTCGGTGGGCGCCATGTTGTCGATATTAAAAGGATGCTAATAGGGGTCGATGGGGTATTATAAGGCGGGCATGCACAGAGAAGGCTCCACGCGACCAGACGATATGGTTGAGGTGGTGTCGGGGTCGAGCAAGCTCAGCAAAGGTATCAGCGAGCAAGGCCTCCTCTGTGAAGAAGAGAAGAGCAGGAGCGAGCGCACAATATATCTCACGGGCGCCCCAACAATCAGCCGAAGATCCGACGGGTTAGCAGAGTTTTCCCTGGTCGAATTGGATTGTCGTGATAGGCCACCCAGCTAAGGTAAGGTTGAATCTCCGGCCTCGTCGATTTTGCGTGAGGGATTTAAGTGTTATGATGAAAGACTAGTGACGGTAGCGCTGCGCTAGCCAGATTGGAACGCGACGAGGTTGGCGGCTCTTCCCTGCTCAACGCCTGGCTTACCTCACGGTGCGGCGCGATCTGGGAGCGTGCCAGTGGTCGACGCATTGCCTGCGATTGCGACCTCTGGCTCGTCCAATAGTGGGTAGATTCTGCACGGCAGAGACGGGCGTGTGGTTACCGCGACCGCTCTTCAACACCGCGACGCTGAATGGCCACAAAATCGCGATCAAGTGTGGGATAGCGCGTTTCTGCTGCATATCCCGGCTTATGACGTTGCCTCTAGCGGCCAATATCTCCACCGCCCTACCTCTGCTGCACGGCACCTTACTCGGGATAGCTCGCAGCCAGTGGCCCCCATGCATCAAGCTTCTGAACACAACAAGAGGATGAAAGCTTCGCAACTTGGCCGCATCGCGCTCTCTCAAAGCGCGAGGCATTTTCGAGCAGACCGCGTCCGAGACGTGAGCAGTGCGTGAGCGCTTTTCACTCGGGGGTTTCTCGTCGAGCAGTCTGGCCCCACGGCGTCTCGTCTGGCTGTGTTATCCGAGCCCTTTCCATAACTTGCGACACAAGCATCCAGCCAGCCAGGGCAGCTTCAGCACAAATGTTAGTAGCATCGAGGACTGCCCCCCGCGCTCTAGGATGCGACGGTTCCCCCAAAAGGACCGAAACGCCCAGCCACTTGTTATCAAGCCCGCTACGAGGCGCCGGTTCGGCGGTGCGTCAAATCAGTCTGTTGGACGATTAGAAGAGCCCCATCAGCCGCCGAATCATCATTCGTATCCGAGTTGCCCGGGGCAACCAAGCTCTCAATTACCTTAGAGTGTATTGTCATACATTGCAACTTAATAACGCGCCGCTGTCGTCGCAGCAATGTCTCCACCCAAACACGCAGGGTCTCAGTCTCAGCCTTGGAGGGCACGGATGTGAATCTTTCGTGAGCCTAGAAACTACACGGATTGTCTGGCTGGCAAGAGCAAATTCGCTCAATTTTGCAAATCATGGAAGGCTTTCCCAACAAGGAAGCCGCACTCGACGGCTCACGTGAACCTCAGTTGCGGCACTTTCTTGCTTGCCGATGTCTCGCCGCAAATTCACGATTGCACACCGCATCTAAGTCGGGAATAAGTAACCGTTGAATCCACAACACCCATTTGCCTCACTTACCTCGGTGGCCTTTCGTTGTCAACTACCAATTTGAGTCGTTGTCCGCTTCGTTGTCGGACCGCAGATGTTGCGACAACACGTCTTCACCGTGTCTGATGTTCTGTTACACGAAACTCGGTAGTTGATCGACTCACCTCCAGACAACACAACCACTGTTTCGTCTGGTATGTTCTGGGGCGCGCTTCTCCGTACGTAATCGTCATGTATAGACCGCTTGGACACTCTCGCGTATCCCGCATCTCCACTCCAGTTTCTCCGCAGTGTGGTATGGCACTTCATCGCCCACTGTACACGAGCACCGGCCAAATGTCAATCGCCTGGAGAGACCACGGTCATGGGTACGATGACAGTCACACAATGCCGAATGTTTTCAGTACAGTCTTCAATTGCTGGCGGTGAAGGCAAAGTGCTTTGGAGCCTTATAAAATTGTCTTGGTTATCGTACTACACACCTGCCGACGGCTTCGTCTCTTTCACTTTCCTAGGCAATATGCGAAACATTTTTCTGTGAGTCGTGTGGTCGTCTTGCTCACTATGACAGTCTCATCACAAGAATACCAAGACCGATGCCACGACCAGCAGTGGGGTGTGAGCATAGACGTTGCGGCAACGCGTCTTCCGCGAGCTCCAACCTCCCATCTCCAGCATGTGTCCCCACAGATTCCAAGACATTCATGCACCGGAATAATGCTACAGTGGTCTGGTCAATGTTTTCCCCGCCTCTCCCGACGCACAGGCAGCACGGAGATGTTTGCTCAATGAAACCTCTCCCATGTGTTTCAATGACCGACCAAATCCATCTGCAACCCTTCGCTTGCCATCAATATCGCTTCGGAAGAGATGTCACTGGGATGGAGACCGTCCGGTGAAAAACTCCTGTGTCTAATTCCTGGACCCTTGGTCGATAAATCTTCCATTAAACACAAAGCACAACAACGACCGCCTGGGCAAAGATTACAATAGTTGTCTAACCCGCATTCTTACGCGTCTTGTGCGTCGTGCGTGTCGCATGTGTTTCTGAACTGCTTTCGGAAGAAGATCATATTCTCTAGTACGCCGGAGGTGCGCTGATCCACTTGGCGCTAAGACAACATCTCTCGACATGGACTCGTGTATGACAAGCAATGAAGATCGACGACATTTGCGACAAAGCTTCCCCATCCCCTGGAAGTCTGAATTTGTACTCGATTTCAATATTGTTTTCATTTTCATTTTCACATGCAATCACCAATTGCAAGTCTTATCAGTGAGGCCTCTTATTTTTGCGTAGTGTGTTTACAATCTTTCGTTTCCTCACTGGTGGGTCAGTAATTTTAAACACTCATTTCCCTTCTCTCGAGAGCGCTCCACTCTGAAACCATTTTTGTTTGCGCACCTAGGAGATGACCGATCAATCCTGATTTAGCAGTTTGTTCTCCCATGTCGCTCATCTCCTGTCTTTTTTTGCAAATTCAACATCGCGTCCAATACTAACGACATGGAACTCCCCACGCAATTTCATTTCCACCTCCCATAGCATAGCATAGTTACATACAGGACATGGTCCACGTCACGTCAAGTCAAGTCAAGTCACGTCGCGTCACGCGCTCCACCCATGGTGCATCCTCGGTGTATTGTAAACAAAGCTCGCGCATCATGACCCAGCACATACCATCACACAAGCAGTCAACGATCTCCATGCCAACGTTCGTGCGCAAACCCAATGTCGCCTGCCAAGCGCACTCACAGGCGCGGCCGGTTACATATCACGTCCCTGCGCGACGCTCGGCCAGCGCTGGTGCAACATGGCGATGGCGACACCTTCCACTCCCCGCCTTTGCCAAGCCTTCCCGCCCCATTCTCAATGGTTCGTACAACCCGCGCGAAACCCCTTTTTGCTGCGTACGGGGCTTGGCGCGGCGGACTCCTGGCTTGCGTGCTGGGCGGTGTGGCTTGCCACGCACGTAGACTAACTAACTGGGTGGGTATGGTGTGCGTTGATGGTTGTGAAGCGTCGGGCGGGGGGATTGCGATGGTCGTTCGTGTTGGGGACTAGGTGGTAAGTGCATGCGCGAGTGTCCGCCCGTTGTTTGCGGCATGAGACTTTGTTTTGTTGATGAGGGGATGGTGATGGTGCAATAGATACATAGATATTCAATAAAATGATGTACCAAACATTTAGTCGCAGTAGTCACCAGTAACGATGGCGTTGTGCCTACATGAAATAGGTAGTCCCGTGTGCCTTCCTCGCCACATACACCACTCGACGTACGATGTACATGTACACGTACACGAGAAGCCAATACGCCGAACCATTGTTATTATGCCGAACCCATTCCAACCCGTCATCACGACACGACACGACAAACAAACAAACAAACAAAGAACAGGATGCGCCGCCAGACTAGTGTGAACCGATATGTGTGTGTATTGCCACTATATCATCATTATTTGGTCGTGAATTATACTGTAGATATTCTACTCGTATGTACATACTGCACTTTACACCTTAACAAAAAAATCGCATTTAATAATCATATGTCTATGAATGTTAACATAATACTTATATGCAAACGCTGGATCGCGTTGTGTTATTTCGTGTCGTGTTGAAATATTTATCAGCTATGTGTCGTGGTGAAATACCTACTAGCTATGTGTCGTGATAGAGATATATGCCTACATTCTCTTACGTGTGTATTTCTGCGTGTGTTCAAATAGTTGGCTTGTGTGTTTGAGGAGATGAGGATAAAGGATAGGAAAAAAAATATTACTCATTCTCTAGGTGTGTAGGAAGATGGTAATGATTGTACTACTATTAGCATGCGAAATATAGAACAAGATGGGATGTGAGGCAAGATGTCAATGTGTTGTAAATATATGGTTAGGTCTACATATCATGCGGATAGATGGGCAAATATACTCTACTCAACCAGGAGGATGTAAATCAAAGCAAAGAATGGCTGGGATAGATGTTTTCGTACTGTGTCTGATATTACTACAACGAGAAATAAATAATAGTACACACTCTATTATTCCCATACTATTCAACCCCTTTTGCACATAAATATCGAATACTACGTATTTTCAGCGTGATAGATTCATCCATCCATCCATCCATCCATCAATTAATCAACACACCAAACACATATACACCACACCTACCTACCTACTCACAAGGATCGAGGAATTAACTCGCCTATCTACCTTCCTTTCCATTCCTATCCCCATGCCCCTCGACACGCGTACACATATACATACATACTTATCCCCCCTTCCCCTTCCTCTTCCCATCCCATCTCATCCGCGCTCTACTTACATCCCCCACCTACCCTCCCTTCCTCCCTTCCTCCTACACCCCAAAAAAAATCAAAAGAAAAGAAAAGTTCGATTCGGCAATCCACATCTACATCTCCATCCCGTAGCAACCAGAGCAGTGGTATCATCATCTGCACGCCATCCGATCCGATACGCAGCTATGTGGATTATATGTCTGTGTATCTGTATGTGGGAGGGGGAGGGGGGATATGACTTGTTGAACAAAGATTTGCAAGGTCCGCGCTCGGGAGTAGATATACACTGATTTTTATAAGGGGAGTAGTGTGTTGTGTAGACGGAGAGAGGTAGCTTGACATATTCTTGCTACAAGCAGAGAGCAGAGCGGAACAAAAGTATGATAAAGTATAGATATACAGCTTAAGCCACGTGTAAAACCCCCACAAACAAGAACAAGAAGACTGCCCAAATGCGCACCCAAAACGCCATACCCCATCCCATCCCATCCCATCCAAACCTACTTCCCCTTCCCCTTATCCGCCTTATCCACCCTCTCCACCTCCCTCCCCAAAAGCCGTCTCAACTCCTCACTCACAACCTTCGCATCTTCATCCCTGTCCGCATCCTTCGCCGCATCCGTCCCCGACGTTTTCGCCTGCGCACTCGCATCCGGGCGACTGGGTCCCGCAACAACAGCAGCAGCGACCTTCCTCTGCCTGGCGTGCGGCGCGGAGGGGAAATTGCCTTTCTTATCGATCATATCGACCGTGCGGTGGAAGCGGCGGAACAGCGATTCGGCGCGGACAAGCGTGGATTCGAGGTCCATTGTGCCTGATAGCTCGTTGACTATTCCGCATGAAAATAAACACATTAGCAAACGCCCCTTAAACCCCAAAAAACACCGGGAAGGAAATAATACGCACCATACTTAAGCACCTCATCAAAATGCTTCAAATGCGTCATCACCACATCGCGATGTTTCTCCAAAATCGCCAACGCAACAAAGATATGAAAATTACTGCTCAAATAGTCCGTCCACAGCGCCTCCCACAGCCGCAGCACGTCGGGCCACTCGAATTCGCGCTTGTACCACACGAGCAGCATGCGGAAGAAGAAGAAGAAGTTGGTTGACTCGGCGGATTGCAGGTGCAGGTAGAGTTTGGGGTCCATGAGTTGGACGAGGTGGTCGAGTGTGGTGAGCTGGTGGCGCATGCCGGATTGGTCGCGGAGGAAGTTCCGCTCCTGTTGAGATCATGGTGAGAATGGGGGTTGTTTTGAGGGGAATGTTTTTTAGGGGGGGGACGTACCATTCTCTCCATAAACCCGACGAAGCCCCAGAATGCTATTGCGTCGTCTTGCATCACGGCGTAGATAGGCGCGAGTAAATCGCTCATGCCCTGCACGTAGCCCAGGTCCTTGTTATACTCGTTATACGTGAGAAGCATGTCCTTCATCTGCTCGAGATGGACGTTAGTGCCGACATCAGCAAACGGCGAGTCGGGGTCAGGATGGGGGATGTCTTCTCCCTCGAAGATGGGGATAGTGCGATCTGTGCGGTGAACATCCTTCTCTACAGCACGAACCCCATTGAATGGGGACAAGTCAGTCGGATTCTGGTTGGATGTCTGGGGATATGGATAAACATACCTATCCTGTTCTTCTGCTCTCGCCACCATTCCTCCTGCTCTTCGTCTTGCTGGCCCTCGACCATGCGCTCCCACCATGCGCCTTTGAGCCGGATGTACTCGTCGCGACGGCTGTTGAGGTTTACGCGTCGCTCGTCCGCCGAGCTGTCCCAGTCGTAGACGCCCAGGAGGAATAGCCACGCTTCCTTCCGCACGCCGTCGTCAGGATCCAGACCGCCGTGGAAAATGCGCTCCTTGACCTCGTCTGGCGTCAGTTCCAATCTGCCTGAGTCGTCGAAGAAGCCCTTCCATTCCTGCAGGGTGATCGGTTTTCTGCGATCAGCCATGGTCATCTTGTCCATATCCAGGATCTCAAAGTCGCCGACATCGCTCTCCTCCATGGCCAGGACGTCTTTTGCCGTCCAGATGCGCTGGTTGCGGTCGCGCTCGCTCTGTTCGGCAATGCCCATGGCCCATCTTGCGAGGTATATGCGCGCGCTGTCGAATTCGTCTTGCAGGGTCTGGACTTCTGGGTTCTGGATCAGGCGGCGGACCTGGGGTGGGAGTTTTGGGTTCTCTGCGACGGCCTGGGCGGTCCTCCTGGTGAAGGTTGTGACCTGGCTGAGCTTCTCGAGAAAATTCCACCGCGCTTCCTTGAGCGCCTTTGTGACGGGATCCATGCCGCCGTCCCTCTTGCCGGGTGTCTGCGAGGAAGACGCATCGCCGTCCTTCTTCTTGGACGCGCCGGGCGCCTCGCGACCAAACGACTTCTTGTCGTCATCAGACGGGTCGATGAGGTATATGCTTGGATCAGCGCCAGAGCGCTCGACGGTGACGTATCTCTTCAGCCAGCGCAAGACCTCGTCGCCACCCCAGAACATGCCGCCGCCGTCGCCAAACGGATCGAAGCTCTCCTTGGCCAGCTTCTTCCGCTGCATGATGGTCGACTGGCATTCGCTGTCGTGGAAGAACAGGGCGGGGAAGCTGTCGCCGGCGCGCGTGTTGACGACCAGGCTGCCGAACCACCATCCTATGCTCGGCGGGCGCACCAGGACAGAGTATATCTCGCTGACGGGGAGGGCAAAGGCGTAGCCGGGTGTGCTTATGTGGGCCGAGGTGGAAGGCGGCGGGGGCACGAGGTACGACTGCGTGGGCGGCGAGGACGAGTCGGAGAGGTCGACCTTGACGTACGTGTCGTAGGCGTCTCCCAGACCCGACTCGGGGATCCAGGCGAGGAGCAGCGAGGCGGCGCTGACGCTGCGGGCAGACGAGGAGGAGGTCGGGCGGGCATCGTTGGAGGCGCGGGGCGACTTTTGCTGGACGAGGGCGACGAAGCCGGCGATGTTGTCTTTGGCCGAGGGCGAGGGGTGCACGTAGACCTGCGCGTGTTAGTCGGCGCGTGTTTGGCGGGCGTGTGTATGGTACCTTGCTCTTGGTGTACAGCAGCTTGACGCCCCTCCCGCTGGCCGTGTGTCTGATGGTGTTGTACTCGCCCTCTTCGTCGTCGCTCAGGTCGTAGAACGAGGCCGAGGGCGAAGACGCCATGTGGGGTGATGGACGGTGTCAAGCTAGGCAAGAGATGTGTATATTTGAGAAGTATGTACAGTAGAGTCTAAATACAGCAGTGAATAGGCAGACAAATAGGTATTGCAGGAGTACGCGCTGACTTGCAGACGTGTTGCTGGGTCATGGTTGACTGCTGCGCCTGATCACCCGCCTTCGCCTCCCGCAATGACGTTCGTGGTGGGGGCAGGACGCGTTTGGTCGCGCATCACGGCATACCACGACGCAGGACGGGACATATATCGACACGACTCCATTTGCTGTGTGAAGTCGCTGCATGAAAGCTGCCGTGCGTGCTGCTCTGTGTGAACGCGCCATGCAAGACCCAAAACACGTGAAAATCCCACTCAAACTCCCTAAACGCCAATGCTGCACCCATAAACCCAACATGTAGACACTCAGTTCGAACGCATGCGCGGTCCACTCGGCAGGCCAACGCGACCTCCTCCCGGCGGAGCGCGTTGTGGTGCACCACCATAGCCCCCGCCTCCCCCTCCAGGTGCATACGGGTCTGGCATGCTGTATGAGCTCTGTTGCTGGTTCGGTGGCCTCCCTCCGCCCGAATAGCTGCTGCCCCCGCCGTCGGGGTAAGGCGCCCGTCCACTCGAGGGAGGGGCGCGTTCGAACGGGGTACGCATGCCGGACTGACTCGGGCTGGCGGGCCCTGGCGATTGCGCGCCCCCCGTCGAGCTGTTGGACCTCCCCGACCCCCAAAGCCGGGCCTTGAGCCTCTCTTGTGCTGTCGTGCCGCCGCCTGCGCTTGGAGGTGGCGAAGGATCTGCAGCGCCTCCGCCCGAACCCGTGCTCTGGTAGCTTCCTGCGCGTTGGCTTGGGAGCGGCCTGCCCTGACTCTGTGGTTCTGGCGCGTACGACTCGGCCATGCGGGTTTGCAGCGGGCGTGTTGCCCCTCCACGCCCTCCTGCCCGACGCAGCGAGAGTGGCTCTTGTGGCTGTGGCGGCTGCTGCGGCGTGTCCCACAGGTCACTCAACCCTCCGCCTGTGCTACCGCGACCCAGCGGCGGCGCTTGTCCTCGCCCGGCCGACGATGCGAATTGGGCGGGCGCAGCTTGCGGGGCCTTGGGGTCGGCGGGCAGCCATGGTGGGAACGGCCTGCCCTTTTCCGTGTAGTATGCGCGCAGCACGCGCGAGATGTGCGAGTCGTCCTCGGTGTTGCCGTCGGCTTCGTCCGAGAGGAGCTGCTGGCGCAGGCTATTGTACTTGGACGTTGTGTTGGTGAGGAGGTTGTTGAGGTACGACGACATGGCTGCGCTGTGTGGGTAGGGAATGCGCGGGACGTGTGGCAGGCCGTTTGCGCTCTCTGGGGTGCCCGGGAGTGTTGTCGTGGTGGATTGCAGGAGCGTTGATGGGTCGCCGTTTCCAATTGACTCGCCAGCTGAGACAAGCGAGCAGCTCCCATTCCTGCACGCCGTCCCTGCCACAACCCTCCTCCACGACTGCACTGTTCACTTTGATCTTTCACTGACATTTCACGTCTTGTACTCTGCATGCAGCAGTCGTTGTTGTACCGTTGCTAGCTTACGTCCGTCTTTCACGTCTTCCCCGACTTACATTCTCCATGCATGCTTCAGCAGTCGTCGCAACTTCCAACCCTTGGACACAGAAAGACATGTGACCAGATCCACTGAATGGATGCCTGAGATCAACTCGCCACCCTTCTACATTACTTATCGACAGATAATCCTCACAACAGCAGAGAGTCAGCCGCGTGCAAACACCCCAACAATAAGAGCTTACAGACCAAACCATGGCCAGCACCTTTCACGATTTCTCCAGACTATCCGCAGAGCTTCGGGCAAGTGTCTGGAAATACGCCCTTGATTGTGAAACGCACTCAGATGAGCCTCTTCCTGGTCGAGCAATCGAGTTCCTTGACTACGATCCATCCGCAGGCACAATTGCTGTCAGCATCTCGAGCCCGTATCCCGTCTTGTTCGCAGTCAATCGCGAGGCACGATACGAGTCCGCGAAAATCCAGGGCGGCGAATGGGTTCCAGTTCATGTTAACCACGCCAGCTACACAGGGACCTCCCGTGACAACGGATTCGACATCTGCATCAATTTTAGTATCGATAACATCGAACTTTCCGAGCGATTCCTGTCCGCCAACATGAGAGATAGCTGGAGTGTAGGCATGCCGACGCCTGAGAACTACCGTCTCAACGTACTATCGCAGATCCTCGACCTCGACAAGTTCAAGAAGATCGAGACCCTCGTCATCTCAGCAAACCCGCCTGGTTCAGCACATCGTCTCGAAACCAACGCGTGGTGGAGAGGTGAGGGACTTGGGACTTTCTATCCAGGACATCTGAAGAACGTCATCGTGTCCATAACCGCACAGCACAACCACAAATCGGATATTCAGGACTACGCCGTATGGCTCCAGAGTATACTGGAGGACGAATTGGAAAAACGATGGGTGATTGATGGCTGGGAGAGCCATCATCCTGTGGTCAGCATGGACGTCATCCAGAACAACGAAGCTTGAACCATGTGCTTGGATATTTGGTCCACGATCGGGCAGTAGAACGCCATGAAACCATCTGGTGTTGACCAAAACCCTCGGATCTCTGCATTCATTCCAACCTCGTTCTGAACAAAGGATTGTTCTATCTTTTCATTGTTTTCTTTGCCTACTCAACGTTGCAATCTAAATCTTTTCTAACGTCATGTCGGCACGAAGAGATGAGAGAATGAGTGATGATCACGCAGGTGAAGTACCTGTCTCCCGACTTGGCGTATTCACAGTCCATTGTTCCTCATTCAACCAGACAATGCAAAGTGAGGAACTCATTGATTGCCTTTCATCAACGAACAATCATCTTGACAAAGGCGAAAGCTTCTTTACGAATACTTCTCTTTTCAATTGCAAAAACATGTCGTATCTGTATTCCGCAACTCCCTGACGACACCAGAACTTTGCAATTTCCACAACATCTATAGCTTCACTCACAAAGCATCCTCACCATGCCACCGAAGAAATGGCCATACGCTCCTGGAGTTTACAACAATCCAAATGATCACAACTACGCGACACGTTCGAAAGTACTTCCTGCCACAGCCCCACCACCGCTGCATCTTCCACGCCGCCTCCAACCGGGCAACCCCCGACGAGTGATCGCAGACAGAATCAGGAAATCGTGGCCAATTACTCGTAGTGACAAACGACCCAGAGGCCTTCGGAGCTCTGGAGTTTCGTGTTACGTCAACAGCACTCTCCAAACTCTTCTTCACTTACCAAAGTTCTGCAATTGGATTCTAGAACACTGCGATGATAGAAGAGGTGTAGATTGGCCTTGTCATGCTGGAGATCCAAATCGCCAGCTTCCACTTTATCAAAACAATGATCCACTGATTCTGAAATGCGGCGACGGTATCAGAAAATGTGTTCCTTGTTTACTGAAGGCTCTGGTCCAGACTTATTGGGGGAATGATGGTCCTTGGGTCCTGCCACATGACACACCACCGTTAGGACCCCTCAACTATATGACGAAACGATGGTTTTGCAAACTCCCAGGTGCGTTTAAAGGTGGCAATGAGGCGGACGATGCTGCCCGACGACTTGCAGAGGAGACATATGAAGGACGGAAAGCACGGGAGAACGACGCCGAGGGCCATCAAGATGCAGACGAGTTCATGAGAGCGGTGTTAAACGGATGCACAGACAGCGTCACATACGACCCTCAGTGAGTATACTTCCATTTCTTACCCTAGATCGACCTCACCTGCTAACCCGGCGTCTAGGAATCTTAAGCGCCTCCGCGAGTTCAACTCCCTCTTCATGCTCACCCGCCATCAGACTATGATATGCACAAACTGTCAAGGAATTCGAAGGATCGAACGCCATGACCAAACCGAGGACATCGGATTCGCGAACGTCAAACCGCGTCTCACCGGACAGGACACGCTGGAGGACGCACTCGCACGTTGCGACTCGCTCGCCACTGAAACAGACACATACAAAGGCCTAAGGTGCGACCTGTGCAGAAAAACCGGCTACATTGTAGGACTCAGGAGCATATACTCTGCGCCCGAGTATCTGCGCATACACCTCTCACTCGGTGAGGTCGGTGCGAACCAACAGTCAACACTAGATAAGAACATCAAGATCTTTACACCAATTGAGATCCCGGAAATATTGGACCTGACACAGTATGTCCACGTCCCTGATGTAGTTGGGCCTGTAGGTGTGGCTGCACCGGTCAAGTACACGGCCGAACCGCTACGGTACAAACTCATCAGCGTGATATACCACGCCGGCGAAACGACGAAGTCCGGACACTTTGTAGCTGGCGTGACGAGTGTGGGGGACGACGCCGTGCAGAAGCTAGATGTAGTGAAAGTGGATAAAACCGGGCGGAAGCGCAAACGCGCGCGAGTCACACAGAAGAAAAGGAAGCGCGGTGCCGCAAAGAAGAAAGTTGCAGAGGAACTGGACGAGGGAGATGAAGATGAGGAGGAAGATGAACGACCACCCACTCACTACTTCATCAATGACACGATTGTCCGCCCCTGGCAAGGCGAAGATGGAGAAAATCCACTGACGAACAACCCTGAATTCCGTGGGGGAGCTGAGTTTAACGCGTCCATATTGATGTATGTGCGTTTGCCGAATGGGTCGCGCGGTTTGACGGAAGAGGTTGAGCAGTTGGTGGCGCCTGAGGGGAGGGAAGGGAGACGCAGAAAAAACAAGGACTTGGGTATGGGGGGGACGCCCTGAGAAGAGGGCAAGGGTAGGAATAGGCGTGTGTGTGGGCTGTGTTTGTGAGGTGATCAGCGTATTGGTTATCTATTGTTGCTCTGTTCTGCTTTTGTGTTGTGTTTTGTGCAGGACATGCGCAAGTGCAGACTAATGTTTAGTGGTATCTATCTAAGGTCGCCATGTTTCTTACTTTGGTTTTGGTTTTCATTACTTCACACAGTGATTTCACGTTTTGAGGCACGTTTGTAGGACGTCACCTGCTTTACGTTGTCCTATTGTTCTTCACTTCTTCACTTCGTCACTGCCAACGCTGCCACTCCACGTCACCACGCAAGCAACACTTCAATTTTCTAACTTCACGCAAAGCTACAGTCCGTCACCCATGAACTATATCAACCGCCTTCTCCATCGACAGTCCACGTTGCCGGAGTCGCAACCACTTCATCCGCATCACCGTTCGCACAGCGCACATTCACCGAGTAGGCGCGAGACATCTCCTCCACGTCTCCGACACACCCAATCGCAGCACCTGGCTTCTCCCCATCAGCCCGCGACCTACCGTCCATCATTCGAGCCGTTCGTGACTTACCGTCCACCCTCCCAGTCACCTGCGACCCAGCACCATCACAGACGCCATCGCAAACACCCCCGCCGCAGAATGACATCTTTCACTGGTCCCTGGTCCAAGGACCTCGACGCGCTCAAGAAATCTGTACACTCCATGCCCAAGGAGTACAAACATGCTTTCGCCAGCGCGTCGAAAGACACGTTGGAGAAGATCTGCGATGCTGAGGTTCTGCATGTTTGGGAGACGGATGCGGATATTGATAATCTGCTGCAGTTGACGAGTGTGATTGCGAAGCTGTGTGATCTTGGGTCTGGCAAGGAGGAGGAAGAGGGGAAGGGGAAAGAGGCCAAGGGGAGGATGGTTATCGTTGCCGAAGAGAAGGGAGAGAGGGATAATTTCAAGAGGGTGTGTGAGTTGGTCGAGTATCTGACGAGTGTAGATGGAAAATCGCACCTCGACGGCACGGTATGTGCGTTTGGAGGGATCGTTGTGGTGAGGGGATGGAACAACGCACTGCCCAGTGGAGGCAAGGAGGCAGAAAAGACAGTCAAGAGGATCAACACTGCCATTGAGCGCGTGCTCAAACTCGGCGGCCTCAAACAGAAAAAGATTGTCTGGCACCACGGGCCCGTCATACACTTCCTCCTCCACTGGATCAACAGCACAACACCCACGCTCCGCAACGCCCTCCATGCCATAACAATCACAAACGCCCTCGACCTAAGCAGCAGCGTCGCGCCCTCCACCGCAGGCAAACAAAACACACTCCCACACCTCCAGCACCTGGAACAATACGCCCGCAAACTAAACATCCCCGTGGTATTCCTCGACCCCACAACCCAACTCATCACCTTCCCCTATCTGGGCACATACATGTACTTCTTCGCCTACTACCTCAACACCTTCCTCCCCCCCTCGCTCTCCCGCCCCCACCTCCACAAAGCCTACGACCAACTCGTCGCCTTCGCCTTCCGCCTCCACGGCGCAAGCACCTCCACATACGGCGCCTCCGTCGTCAAACTAGTAAAAACGCACCTGGACCCCGCGACAGCACGCACATGGGCCCGCACCTGCGTCGCCGCATCGAGCTACACGAAAGAGCGCTGCCGGACCGCAGGCCGCGAGGCGGAAATCCACCACGCGGTACAGCTAGCAGACAGTCCGTTTGCACTATTCTCGCAGCCGACGACCACAGGTCCAGCAGCATTCGCGCGCCTCGCCATAGGCCCAGCGGCCCCCATAGCGGACTCCCTCTACACCGCCGCACCAGTGCATATCTCCTTCGCCGATGCCCGCCTCCGCGCTTCGTCCGCCACGCCCTTCCATATCCTCATCCCCACCCCCGCCGCCTCGTCCGCTAAATCCGAACAAGACGATCTAGAGAAGACGACGAATCGCATCCAAGGCCTCATGATGGGCGTGCTCGAGCGCGTCCGACTGGCTAAAGGTATGCCTACGCTCAGCCCCGCGGAACGCAGCGCGTGGAAAGAAGTCGAGAAAGCGTGTTCGTGGGCGATTAAGGGGTGTGGGAAGCTGCCTAAGGGCGTGGATGAAAAAGTTAAATTCGTGCTGGAGAAACTGGGGAGGGGGACGTGGGGGTTTGTTGTTGGTGCGCCCGGTGGGGGGGAGGGCGCGGTGGCTGGGGCTGGGGTTGGGGGAGGTGGGTATACGAGTGACGCCGCGAAACAGTATGTTTCGCAGAGGGTCTTGGGGTTGGGGTATGGTGGTGCGATGGGTCCGGGTGTGGGTGCGCAGACGGGTCAGATGCAGACTCCTGGCGTCAATCCAGTCATGTACGCACAGCAAAATCACGCGCAAGGTTTTCCGCAACAAGGCTTCCCGCAACATCTGCAAACGCAGAACTATGCGCCTTTGCCGCTGAATCAGAGAGGCGGGGCGGTGTATCCGCAGAGTATGGGTGGGCCGTGGTAGTGGTTGGCGGTGTGGAGGGGTGGGTTGGATTGTAGGAGACATTGGTGCGTGATAGAGTGATGGAGTGATGGGGTTGGTTTGGCGTCTTGAGTATGCGTATGTGTATGAAACTGGATTGGGTACCTTACTAGCTCTACGGCGTGTAGCGTGTTTATGTGTGTTTGATAGACTTGCAGCAAGTATCTTGCCGGTATAGCGTTGTATGTCCTGTTCTGTCCTGTCCTGTATAGTATAATACAACACGAGTTCATCACAATATATGGCAGTGAAAATGTGACTAATATGTAACCTCAAATATATCCGTTGACTGTATATCTTGCTCGATGTTAGGGTAGGCCGGGAATATCAAGATAGTCGGATTCGTGGAGAAGCGGGTATTGGCCTGCGTACTTCCTCCCTTCCTTCCAGGGCGTGATCGCACCGTAGCCAACACCTCCCTCCAGCGCGCGCTGCCCAAGACGATGCTGAGAAATATCTTACCAGATCGTTGAGTGGAATGTGTTTTCTCCTCGGTGGTGCAGAGAACAGGCGAAAGGAGGGGGGTGGGAGTATTCTTCCAGTATGGTGATGATGATACGCGAAGACGGTGGGCTGTGGTGGCTGGTATGTGGATTACTTATTCTCGGGGTATCAAAGGGCTTTTGTTAATTGAGACTGCTGGAATCAGACCCAGTCGAACTGTTTCGAGGGTTATGGATGTATGGGAGTTGTTTGGGGAGAGGGAGGGAGGAGGGAAAGGAAGGAAGGGGGGAAGTGATGGGCTGGGTCAAAGATAGTACTTGGGGGAGCATTTTGGGGATGGGTGGGGAGTATTGCGTGGAGTAGCGATGGTTTGGATAATGGTAGGATGGGGGACTTGGGGGAAGTGATGTGTGTTATAAAGATAAAAGACAATGCTGATATCTGTGTGAGAAGCTGGCTCGGGATGCGTTCGACATCTTCGTCGCCCATGATCGCGCTAGTTGGCTAGCGTGTTTTCAGGGGGATAGCAGAATATCATCTCTTTGGAAACTCTGAACCAACTATCGTTTTAGGGTGTAAGAAGTATCTCAAGCAGTAAGGCTTAACACATTCTCGCCCAATTGAACTAACGACCTTTTCTTTTGACGACCGAGAATAATTTAGTATGCCACTGACGTCATTGATTTGGTCGCGTCTACGCGTAGTACCATCGCGTTCGCGCTTTTGTTCCATGACATTACTTTGTAAGACATGTTGCGGAGATTGTCTTCTCTTCAAGTCTCTAGGCTATATTGCTCACTGGTTCGATCCCAGGGATATACCTCACGACTCTCCTCAATTGCGAATTGGCTACAGACCCGCCACTTCCACGCATCTTCAACAATGACAAGTCCATTGAAGCGTAAGGCTGAGAACCCTGCCTCGCCTTCAAAATCCAAAAAGCAAAAGACAGTAGTGCCAGAATACCACCTTGCGCTTTCGAGACGTGATGAATCGGGGGAAATCGTCTGGCCAGCTCCAAAAGAGCAAATTCAACGTGCTAGAGAAACCATTGAAGAATGGTAGATGAACCCTTCCGCCAATCTTTCCCGGATATCAATTTTGAGCTTGGCTGATGATGCGTACAGTGCCAAAGCGCAGAAGTCTACGGTTATTCTTCCAGACAAAGATGCGGACGGCTTGTCATCTGGCGCAATCCTGCACCACACTCTCACCTCTCTTGGGCTATCGCCTGATCTGATATCGGTGTACTTCCCACCGAAAGGATCCAACGTTCATGACCAAAGCACCCAAGACGCTATATCTGCCAAGTCGCCAGCATACGTCTTCGTCCTAGACCAAGGGAGTAGGAAAAGCCCTCCCCTCACGCACTTACCACATACTTGTCTCGTTCTAGACCACCACTTCGCAGAAGAAGGTGGCTTTCCAGAAGGAGCCGAGTATGTCACTGCTCACGACTGTCCACCTGTAGCAACCAGTGCGCTCTTAACGCACCACATCTGTCTTCCATTACACCCCGATATAAGCGACAAGATATCATGGCTCGCTGCACTCGGCACACACGGTGACCTTGGAACCACAATAAAATGGGAACCGCCCTTCCCAGACATGACAGCAACATTCAAGCAATCCTCCAAAAAAGCCATCAACGACGCCGTAGCCCTAGTCAACGCGCCCAGAAGATCAGCCGCCTACAACGTCGAAGCCGCTTGGGATGTAGTCATAGCCGCAACGGGGCCCGAATCGGTTAGGAAGAACGAAACACTACTCGACGCAGCGTATGAAGTGCGCGGCGAAACCGAGCGCTGCGCTCACACACCGCCGAAGTTCTCGGCCGATGGGACTATTGCCGTACTTACCATCTCGTCCGCGGCCCAAATACATCCCGTTATTGCGACACGCTGGGCGGGCCACTTGAAGTCTAATAAACTGGAGATCGTCATGTGCGCAAACGAAGGCTATCTTCCTGATAAAGTGAACTTCTCATGCCGCGTGGCTAGGGTCGCAAGAGCACGAGAGGGCGAAGAGAAGGTTGATATAATCAAGAAGCTTGAGAGCATAGCGCAAGAGGACAAGGGTTTGCGGGAGAGACTGGGCGAGAGTTTTGCTAGGGGACATAAAGAGGCTAGTGGCGGTATCGTGGGAAAACAAGAGTGGGAGGAGTTTAAGAAGCTGATGGGGGTGGGAGAAAGTACAAAGACCAAGACAGAGGCAAGTGCGAAGAAGGACAAACAGCCGGCACAGAAAAACACGTTGACGAACTATTTTGTGAAGGCATAGTGTGAAACTTTCTATAAAATTCAAAAGACTGGTCGTGAGTTCGTTATGCGGAGGCTTAGACCATGCACGTTCTTGGATTCGATAGACCAGAACGCTTCAAAGTCACTCATCGCATCTCAAAACCAACATAGAAAACGGTATCAGACGAAAGTGTTTGTCCCTATTATTCCTTATCTCTATGTAACTCACATAAATTCTCCGCTTGGAAGTGATAGCAAACGTGAACTTATATTCCAAGAAGAGCCTTATCGGACACATTGGGCTACAAACAAGGAGCAACGAAATTTGTGGTCATGAATATCCACCTCTGATGAGAAACTTCCACACATCTCAACTAAAGGCGCCCCATCTCCGTGAACAGGAGACGGCGCTATGCATATCCATCAGCCGTTCACTATTCGCGGTGGGGAATGTATATTGGAGCATTCCTGTCCCTCCTTCTGGTCCGCCTCTCGAAAGTGTCTGTCAAGATCAACGTCGACAGAGACGCGTCTCTATCTTTGTGACAAACTCCGATCCCTCTAGGGATTATGGTCTTCGTGCACCAAGGTTTGTGCAGTTGGATTGCGAACACTTCTTCACGCGAAGCTCTTACTACGAGACACCTCATTCGTATGCTTATTGCCCACTCTGCATATGGAGGATACCTTACTATCTCTATCACTGCCAAATGGAGAACGAACTGATGGAGAAGTACTGGATTATCACGGAGGAGAATGTGGGAATACTTGGGCGCAATTTTCAGATGACGTTCCGGTTGGACACCAACCCTTGCGCGCCTTTGTTTTGGAAAGATGATGCTGAGGTTTGAAAGGTCCCGCTGAGTATGAGGTTTAAAAGTGTTTTATGATACCATATATATTTCATGTCTTGCATCAGCGACAGTGTGTGGATCGTTGTAATCGTAATATTGCACTTCGATGATCCTTCTGTTCAAGACTATGCTATGTAGAATGGAACATGAGCTGCAAATTGACCCTTGTGATTTGGCAAGCTGGACATACGTTTAAAGCTCCAACATCTCTATCACTTCCTGCCCCTCTTGACTCCAATTATGTCCTTTCTCGACCCTCGTCAAGTTCGCTCGGAAGGCAGAGATTTCCAGACTCTCGAATAAGCCGCTTTCCTGACTCTTCCAAAACACAACCTCGTTCAATGGCAGACCAGCATACAATGGAACCTCAACGTCAGTCATGCAAAAGTCGTCCCAGATCTTGTTTTTACTTTCAACACGCTGTTCCGTCACGAGGACACGCCATTCTTCGCCCTGCTGCGTCTTCTCCTCATGATAAAGTAGCGTGGGGACAAGTTGAGCGTACCACGGCCGATTTTTGGGAGCCATAGATGTTATCAGTATGCTGTTGAGAACATCTGTTGAGTTGGACACAAAGTCTGTCAAGACGAGTCCGCGATGGTCGGCTACGAAAGTCATGGAAGAGTTGAGAGATGAGTTGGTGCTAATATATGTGCCTGCGTAGCGTTCTTGAAGCTGACGGATAGCGAGTTGCTCAGCGGCACGAACCATCACGACTGAGATAGTCTCCTTGATCTCGGGGAGCAAGTCCCGTGAGCCAGCGACTAGAATTGTGATACCGAGATCGTATTCTGGGATTGTCATGACGACAGATGAGTAGCCTGGAAGGCTACCTCCTTTCGTGATGAATCGCACGGTCCGCCTGGAGTCTTGCAGGATGCGATCTGTCTGGAAGATCTCCCATGGCATGCCGTAAAAGCTGTTCAGGTCCTGTGAGGGAGAGACGGGGTTGAACCAGTTCACGGCATGGGTGATGCCATTGTAATGCGTCAATACGTAGCGAAGGTACTTGGACAAGTCATTTGTTGAGCTGTAGATTCCACCAGTAGGCGATTGGATGCCTTGATCGATATCCCAAAAATGTGGCTCGAGTGGAATAACACCAGTATCATCTGAGGGCAGCGAGAGGGTACTTTTGAGCATCTTCAAAGGTTTGAAAATAGCTTCATCTATATAAGATTCGAAGCTCTGTTTGGTCACTCTCTCCAGCACAACTCCAAGAAACTCAAATGCGACGTTCGAGTAAGTTGACTTTTGGTTAGGCGCAAAGACGGGTGCTTTCGATTTGAGCAGTTTTAGTAGATCTACAATAAAGTCAGTACTATCCTCTGCATAACTCCCTCACGCCTCACCGTCAGCGGTGCACGGTTTGTCATAATTTGACGAGTATTCATCACAGTCGATCAAGCCATCCCGCGACACAGGTGGGAGACCCAGCATGGTAGGGTCAATCTCGTCAAGGTTGATCAAATCCCTCTCGGCGACTGGGGGGGAATCAGCTGGCATACCTTCAAGCGTAAAGCAACGCCTACATTCGCGCGGGATACCACTCAGTTGGCTAGCAAGACTCCGCAAAGTGATGTCCTTCCACGGTATGCTACCCTCCTGCTCGTCTCTCAATTCCTTGATGTACTTATCAACGGGATCATCCAAGCTCAAGTTGCCTGCCGCATGCTGATATAGTACACCCAGGACGGTGAAGGCCTTCGTGATGCTTGCAATTCGATAGAGCGCATCGCCGTTGACCTCGGGTATATCCGGACGCGTTGTGTTTCGCTCGCGGGCTGTATGATGCCGAGACCACAGCAATTCTTTTGACGAGGTGATGGCTACCGAGAAAGACGTCGATGCGTACTCAGACGCGTCAATGGTTGCCGTAAGCGCAGAGTCGATCTCGGAGAATGCATCCTGCAGGAGCGCGTCCTTGGGGTCGTATTCAGGAGGCGGATGCGCGATGGAGGGCTCAAAGCACTTCGCGCTGACAAGAGCAGTCCATAGCAGTGTTTTCAAAAGCATGGTGACGGTGTCTGTCCCTCAAGTAGATCTACATAACGTTTGCGACGCTGAGGTAGACATGCAGCGGTGGGGCAGAGTAAGCATCGCATTTGGAAGTCGGGCCGCGTGCCTTCCCTGCCAGTCTGTGCCTCGACGACACTTCAACCACCACTTTATGTTACCGCATCGTTGACCCTAGTGAAACCAGAATGGTATGTCTTGATGTGATGAAATGTTGAGTTTCGCGTGGATACTAGCCAGACGCTTGAGACTTTACTCCCCGTTCATCACGTGCATCACGTAAAGTCCAGCTACCCCCAGGTATATCTTGTCTCTTTGTTTTTGTCTTCAATTTGTTGTGTCTTATTTCCTGCAAGCACTTAGTTGGAATTGCTTTCGTCGAGACTGTGTCTTATCTAAATTCCGCGTTGACCATAACAAATTGTTGTTACCTTATGCTACATGATATGTGCTTGTTAGTTGCTAAATGATAATTGTAAGATCATGTATTTCGAGGAACGTCAGATCTAGCACCAAACGACACTATGAGTCGTGGACCTCAGGGCTTCGTGATACGTGTATTGGAAATGCGCGATGGATAATGGTTGACAACAATCTTATCAACCAAAGTGTGATCTCGTGCAACATCCTTACCTCCACTCCAACAAACAGGTGGAGAACGAGGGCTCCATGCGACATGTCATCACTGGGAAACCTCCCTTTTCCACTACGGTTTATAGCAACCACCTATATCCATCAAAGGCTAGTGTTTGTCTTCTCTGAACAAAAGCCCCTAAGTTCTTCGGAGTCTCCCATTCTTTTCAATAGGTATTGATGCTTTCTCCAGCGTTCCCTTGTTGTTACGAAAAGAGATGGATTCATGGTTTCCAGCCGGTTACATACGAATTACCGTATGCTATCACAGTTTGCGGCTAGCGAAAAGACTTTTTCAAAGCGATCACCAATATCCTGGTTGCGGTAGAGTGTCTTGAGCTTGTTTGACGGTCATGACTGTATTTTCTTTTGTAGTCTATGTCCGCCATAGAGAACTCTAAGGGATATCGTGAGTAATGGTCTGCGCATCAGCGAGATCGACACTGAGGATGACAAGCAGGTCGCGTTTTTAATACAGCTTCTTGCCGCTATTGTCAAGGGCGGTAATTGTCTGAATGACTAAAGACAATCCCATGATGGAAGGCAAGAAAATGGCGCTGTCCTTGAGGCATCTTGCTGGCCCTGTGAAGGAGATCAGGAGTGACAACTTGTACAAGAATTACCCAACAGGATTCGGAGTTTGTGGAAGCAAATTGTCAGAAATTGGGAAGCCACAGAAGAGAAAGAAGGACACACACGTCTTGGAAGACCAATGAGTTTTTATGAGGCGGCGGTTATGCGTGGTATGTTCCATCTGTCTCAACCATACGAAGTACGTTGGAAACCGACTGATGTATCGACTTACTGCGATGCTGCAAATGTGTATTGAACAAAGCATAAGGTTGTAAGAGGACATCAGATATGTTGGTTCCCACTGATCGGCCATCAACAAACCTTGGTTGCCGATATTCTAGGCCATGCATACCCCGCTAAGTCCCCTCACTAGTAAAACTCTGCAACACATACCTCGAGGAGCCCAGGCTCCGAAAGGCAATCCAAGGTCTCAAAGATGACCTCCAGTTCATGTAATATCTTGCTGCAAAATAAACAATATAATACAATGGTAAAATCTACCCCTCATCAATGTAACAACGGCCTGCTGGCCCAATGGCAAGGCGCTTGACTACGATTCATTCGAAATCAAGAGATTGCAGGTTCGATCCCTGCGTAGGTCACGTACAATCATCTTTTTGCTGTTGAATGGATCTTGTTGAGGCTGAAATTGATGGCAAATCTTTTTGGTCATGGTTTGGGTAGGTCACATGACATGCATGGGTTGACCAAGGACCGAATACGGGATGGAACAGCACGCCATCAACACAACAAATCTGATGTGCCATGCACTGTGATTCGCACAGCCCAAGGCCCGCATCTTTGCCATGCTGATGCAGATCACAAGCAAACATGAAGTTGCTTGAGGGGAAGAAACTGACTCAAGTAGACGGCTCGTTCGGGCCTTTCTTGCATTGATCTTCCTGGCAAAGTCTTCGCTGACCTCTTGGAAATTCATACGAAGGCTTGGGAACGAGATCATCGCCTGCTTCCTCATCATCTTGAAGCATTTTTGCAGCGATGATTACTCGCGTGCGACAAAAAGGGCCAGGGTTGGGGACGGGGATCGCCATTTCTGGAAAATGTATGGTCAAGGCCTACCAAGATGCCGTTATCTATTTACAGCAGGACTGTATTCGGAAAATAAACCGCTGCGGGATGCCGAAGGTGAAGTACAATAATACCAAGTCGGGAGCCGTTGGTTGCCACTTCTGACTTAGTTCCGCTTAATATAGCTTCCGTAAAATCCCCTTCTGTAGTCACGACGGTAGTTTCCGCGCCTTGTAACTGTCCCGAAAACTTAGTTTCAAGCGTCCCGCTGTGGGTTCTTTCCAAGCCTGTTGCACTACCGCGGCGAGTATTCTACGTGCTTGGCTTTCCTTCACCTGCAATGCAACCCCGCTGGCCGAAACAGGTTGGCCATCTTCACTAACCATACAACACCACTTTCGTGCCACCCCTATTCCGCCTTGAGCATACCTTCGAACCGCCTGTTTCCAGGAAGTCAGTATAGAGGACTGGCGCCGAGGACCACTGCAGGCGTCGCGGCAACAGGTTATGTAACTCTCACGTCTGCTAGATAGAGAACGTGGATCAACAAAACGTCGAAGAGTCCATATAACACTGCAATACGTAGTATCCCAAAATAGATTGTTTGGTGTTCAACCATTTGCATGTGAGGGTGCGACGTTTTGAGAGTGCGGGCCGTTGAGACACATTGTTTGCTTGTAACAAGGTATATTTCTCTTTGGTATTTCGACTACTAGCAAGGTGGGCGGCCAACCAGCTCAACGTCCGAACTCGATCGTTCACTGCGGTAGATGTTCACGTCCGTACTCTTCTGGATTGTGCCAAAAGGCAGCGAGTCCTGGCGCCGATCCGAGTTGTGGCGCAAGTACGATCCTCTGCTTGGGACATCATGTTGGCCCTTACTTGCGTAGGTGCTACTACCACCACGAATGCGTCTCAACGCTTTGTGCATGATTGCATGCATGGCTGGCATACAGGCGACGATAATGAAAAGATTAGACTCGGTCGCACACCAGTAAAGGCCGGAAGTGTTGTCATCTAAACACCAGACGTTAGCGTTTGAGAATATGATAGTTGTTAAGCTGGGCACCTACATGTCGGATTCTGGGTCTGCGCAAACTGGACAAAGGACCAGAGTCGGAGGCAGCTGACGACTGTGATGACAAAACCGACACAGAACATGGACATGATTTGGAGTTTCTTCTTCCTCGACATGTTCAGTTTGGCCAACATCGGCAGTGGCAGACTCAAGATAGCCAAGTCGAGGAAGATCTCGATGCCGCCTCGAGCGAAGCCAAACAACTGCACGTCAACACCGCAAAATCCAGACATCTCGCCCCTCCAGCCGTCCCAGAAGTAAGGAATAGGCGTGCACTGGAAGAGCATGGCGAGGAAATTTGCAAGTCCGAAGCCGATGACCACCCCGGTTAAACCCCAAACAGCCATACGCAACTTGCGTTCGATCATGACGCGCAAGTAAAAGGCGAGGATGGAGAGTTGACACAGACACTCGGTGGCCATGTACATGAAGTAGGCAACATATAGCCATTTCAAGCTTGCGGTAATATTGTCGGGTGGGATTCCCCACATATCTCTTCCGAATCCCAAATCAGCAGCGACGATTACGGGTGCGTTGATTCCAATGGATGAGAGCTGAAAGTCAACACAGGTCAGCACTACTTCTAACATAATTCAATGTAAGAGGGTTGTTGCGTACTCCTGATAGGGCAATCAGCAAGTCATCCCATCCGAGCCTCGCTTGCGCAGAGTTGCCTCGATCCATCAGTCGCATAACAACCATCACCAAAGCCAGAGCTCCGAAGGATGCGGTGACTCCCACCAACGTGGGACGCTGGTCGCGTATGGGAATACCACAGGCAGCATAGGTTTCGTTGGTGGACTGCAACACCTCTACGACGGAACAATTGGCCGCATTGCAGGCTCCAGTAGCTGCTATGAAGTTTGCGTCGTTACAGAGACAGCTGATGTCATTGGATGAGCAGGCCGTTGTAGACAATGTGGCTTGAAGGCATTGCACCTGAAAATAGGGTCAGTCCTGGTCAACACGGGAAGGTGGATATGAACATACGGCGCAGTCGGGCAACCGACCTACTAAATCCTGGGCAACGACGCCTTTCAACAAGGCTGTGATGAACAAAACGGCACCGTATAGCTTCATTGTATCAAGTGGCGACACCACGAAAAAAACGAGGCTTAGTCTCGTACTCGTCTGCGGTTTCAAACGACGACGACGACATAAGGGCCTCTTAAGCTTGATCCTCAAGTCATGGAACGAACGGCGATTAGGAGAAGCTTTGGCCTGGAAAGATCTCTCTCAACATGGGTTCAACTCAAGGAGACGGCTCGGGACGACTCATGGGCCACGACTGCAGCCGCACTCCGAGCCTATTGTTACGGAGCCCAAGCCCCATAGGAGTAAAAGAGGTAAGGGTAGCTTTCTTCGACACATTCCTTGACTTGAGATCTTCAATCAGGCGCCCTACATTAAATCGACGGGGGTAACGTGGCTGTCCACACGCGAGCCCAAGCAGGTTAGTCATATGTATCAGACTGCGGCACACGGGGCATGGGTGTGCAGAAATTTATCTGGAAAGCTACGCTCGAACTTCCAAAAATATCAGTTTGTGAACGGATTGTCCAAGTTGCAGGTAAGGAGAAGCAAGGGAATCTCGATCTTTTGTTTCATCCATTCGCGTTTACAATATGTCTCCGTGTAATTTACCTTGCCCATGGCCCACGGCTCTTAGCCAGTGGCTAAACACTCGCTCTAGTCCGCTTCCCCGCTAGAGCACAAAACTTGCCCCAGACTAACCAGAATACCGGTCGCATGGTGCCGCTGTGGGTTCTAGGGGTCCGTAGTTACTGACGGAAGTTAATGTACCCTTTGATAGGTTAGCACAGCGTCCTCTTGGGCAGCGGTTAACTACTACCCACATAAGTATTAATCACCACCCACATAAGATAGATCTAGGATAGCGTTATGCACTTATAACACAGTTGTCCTGTGTTGTAATCTCTAGTTTATATAGTAACTTACACTAAAGCTAGAGCTTAAGTAATTAATTAGTAATATAGAACTTAGTAGTAAATATTACTATTATATACTATTATTACTGTTATTACTATTGTTACGTGTAATTAAAAATTAAGGTGTAATAATTTAAATTAGCCCTTATATAGAAGCAATTTGCTAGCGTAACTATACTGCCTTATTAGTACTAAAAACCTAAAGCTATTATTATCTAGCTCTACTAGATAATTTATTATATTGTAATTTATAGTATATAGGCTCTAAACTTATAATAGAGGCAGCTAATTTAATAGGTAAGCTAGGTGTTATATAAAGGTTATTCTTACTAGTAAAGGAGCTTAGTATTATAGCTCCTTTAGTTACTACTATTACTGCCTATATACTACTACCTGTAGTAGCTGTGTATACTAGGGAGCTTATTATGCGTATAAGCTAGGCTGTAAGAGCTGTAGAGTAAACGTCTATGTTATATAATAAGCAGTAGGTATTACTAGCGCTAATAAGAGTAGTAAGATTATGTATAGTACGCCTAATTAAGCGCTAAATTATATAAAGTTTACACTTATTAGAGTACTAAACTATATATAGTTTACGCTTATTAAAGGTGTTAAGTACCTATAGTAAGCTATTTAGGCGCTTAATTAGTAAGCTTATAGAAGGTATATACTATTAATTTAGAGCTCTAATAAGCACAGTGCTAGCAGCTAAGGCAGTAATTAAGGCAGTAGTTAAGGCAGTAATTAGGGTAGTAATTAGGGCAGGCTTAGGCAGTAATAGTAAGTATTAGCGTGTAATATTAGCTGTATTAATAGAGTAAGTATAGGCCTTATAAGCTATAAGGCAGCTATTATATATAAATAGCTAACGTAAGTAGCTAAAGCTGCCTAATTTACTAGTAAAATAATAATACCTTTATAGAGTGCTAGCTTAACTATTATATAAGCTAGTAGTATTACTAGTAGTATTACTATAGTATTATTATTATTAAGGCACTTAAATAAGCTAGGCTTATAATAATTACTTTATTACCTACTACTAGCAATATAGTAATGTAGCTTATAAGGTTACTATTATTATATAACGCGTAGCTCTAATATATATAGAGCTAGCTTAATTATAGAAGCTTATAAGTAATTAACCTACTAATATATATTAAAATTATTAAGTTTTAAAGCTTTAGATATAAGCTTAAGCTTTTTTATCTAATACTAATAAGGTAGACCTTTAGAGTATATATAGACACCTATATAAGCTATTATAAGGTAGCTAAAGTTACCTTATAATACGTAAAGCTTACCTTTAGTGTACTTAAGCTCTTATACTGTAAGTATAAGTATATAGTATAAGATAACTCTAATAACACTAGTAAAAGCTAGGTTTTAATAGTTACTTTAGATAGCGCAATTTGCTTACCTATTAAGTATTTAATTATACTTAATGTACTTATTATAGAATAACTTTAGGTAGTAAAATAGCTAAAGTATATTAGCTTCTAAGCTGTTAAGCTAGTCCTTAATAATATAGTAGGTACTCTTAGCTTTTAAAGTTATAGATAGCCTAAAGTTAGCTAACTTATTAATCTATGTATTAATAAGCTTATCTTTATAGCAGCTAAACTAGTAGTAATTAAGGTATACGTAAGTATAAGAAGATAGTATTTTAATAGCTTTAAAGTTTATATTAAACTTAGCTAGAGTCTTAGAGCCTAGTACTATATAGTATATATTAGTAAACTATATTATAGACTTAGTATTAACCTAAAGGATCTTATTATATTACTACTTAAACTTAGCTGTTAGCACTAATTAAATATAGCTTAGGATGTTCTTATTTATATACTACTAATATATAATAATTTTAGGCAAATTAAATATGTAATTAAGTATATTTATATATGCTCTATTATTATTAGTAATAAATAGTTAAATTAAGATACTCTCTACTATAAGAAGCTTTTAGAGTTATATAATAACTTAAGTAAATGTAGCCTTGTCCTTACGCAATATAAGTATAATACTAAGGTAGATTATACAGTTATTTATATTAAAGCCTACTAAATTAAGTAGTAGAAGGCTGTAATAATTTATTTTAAATATATAATTAAGGAGGAGCGTATTAGGCAATATTTTAAATTACGTAAGGTATATAGGCAATATAAGAAGTAAAAATTTAATATAGTTATTAATAGATTTTAATATTCTGTAAAGTTTAAAGTTTATTAGCTAAGAAACTTTAACTCTAATTAAGGTAGCACTAAGCTTAAATAGTAAAGTGCTAAGCTAATAACTAATATGCTAAAGAATTTTTAGTAGACTAGCATAAGCTCTCTAAAAATTAAGTAAGTTTAGAGCTTAACTTTAAAAAATCTATTATAAGCTTACTTATAGGTAGTGCTAGCTAGCCTTATATAATTCCTATTCTAAAACCTTAACCTTTATCTTCTACCTAAGCTACTACTACTAGTAGGCTTAGTACTTATTTTTAATATTTTAGTATGTCTATTTTAAATCTAGCTACTTTTTTTGTACTATTAATAGTGCCTATTTTATGCTCTTTATAAGCTCCTAAATCTTAACTAGCTACTTATAATAAAGCCTACTGCGTGTCTTATAACGCTAGTAAGGTATTATATAAGTATTTCTCTCTAGTAGATAATTATAGATAATAGTCTTATAATTTTTATAGTATTATACTGCCTACGTACTGCTTTTAAGGTTAGTATTATTCTTTATAACTAGCTAAAACTTTATTAGGTAACTAATCTTTACTAACGTAGCGCCTAGCTACTTCTGTAAGGCTGTTTTAATAAGCTCCTTACGCTTACCTAAGTAATTATATACTATTTAAAGCTAGTAGTAACTACTGTAGTACTATTTTTAGTGCTTATAGCTAAGCCTATAATTTCTCTTCTAAGCTCTAATAGTACTCTTAGCCTTCTTTAATATAGTATACGTTGCCTCTAGTAGCAGCTTATAGTTATAATTCTTAAATAACACCTAGTTCTATAAGCTATCTAGGTCTACGCTAGTAATAGTAGTCTTACAGCGCTAGCACTTATAAGGAATATACTAAGGAGTACGCCTATATATCTCTCTAATAGGGCAATTGTAATTAAATAGTAAGTTATCTATGCTATTAGTTGTACTAATTAAGACTATACTTTACTTATTATTATTACTTATATTAAGTAAGTTTAGGCTAACTTTAGAGGTAGGCGTTACTAGCTAAGATAGCAGCTCTACGTTAGAGTTAAATAGTAATAGTAACTATAATAGTAAGTATAATAGTATAAGCTACGCGCCTAGTAGTAGTAATAGTGTTAACAGCGTTAACAGTAGTAGTAGTAATAATAATAGTAATAATAAGATATAACATAATATATTAAATAAGATAAATAATATAATAAATTTAGTATACTGTAATATAAGTTTTAATAGTAACAAGCTCTATATGTATAAGATTTAACTAATTAATTAAGCTTTAAATAACAACAAAAATTACTAAATATTTGTCTAGTATTAATAGTTAGCTGTTATAATACTGTAAATCCCCTTAACTAAATATGCTATATATAAAATTGTATAGTAGCTGTTAATTACTAGGTCTGTGCAACACTACTAACATTAGCTGCATATAGGCGGCTTATGTGGGTGGTAATTAATACTTATGTGGGTGGTGGTTAACCGCTGCCCGTCCTCTTGCCCTCGGGATGCTTTGTACTTGTCTTTCCGTATCCTCGACTAAAACTTTTTGACTCGCGATAGAAGACCTGGCATCGTCCACTGGAACCGTTATTCTTTCCAGTATCGTCGTACATTGCATAGTCGAACCATTGTAGGCACAAACCTCTTGGTTACCTAGTCGCGAAGGCTTGGGTTCAAGCTGCATTGAACTCTTGCAACACTTCCACAGCAACATACAAACCCACTGCATATCTTATCATCTCTACTTATTGCAGCCAATCGCTTGTGCTGCTTTGTTTGCAGCATTGATGCCTGCAGTTTGGACGCATTCTTGGGCTGGCAACAACGCAGCTCAATTCCGGCTATCGCGACTAACCAAGAGGCACAATCGAAACATCGTGATGCGCCACCAATCCCTTAGAACATACATCCCGTTTTCTCGTAACGACAATGATTCGTCATGACTGAGATGATTGGGTGCTACCATTGGCTGAAGCGCAACCGATCTGTACGGCTCTAGCATCTAATTCGTCATAGTACTTGGTCGGAGCTTTATCGACGAGGCGCAATTCACGCTTGAGGTTTCGAAGTACAAGTGATTGGCCACCCACTTGGTTTGTCCCTACACAGTACATTGCTTTTCAGCAGTGGCTTGAATGTGGAGATGCAACAATGGCAGGGTGTTACGTACCACCTGGCGGCGGACTCTCCGTAAATCGAAAGTTCAGAAGCAGGTTTGCACGAACCTAGCAGACAAAGGACAACACACCGGTTAAACCGAAACAGAAATTACTGCCATAGACGCTGGCATGTGCGTACTTTAACAAGCAGGGGTTTGGACTTAGAAACGACTTCAGCCCTCAATATCAGGTCATATCAAGCTTTTCTGGGGGTAGCCTGATTCCCGGTATTTTGAACCCAGAGGCGGGGACAGAGGGCTGAATGTCCTCATGTGGCTGAATCCTGTCCCGCGATCCGGCGGTGGTGTTCATGCAATACCTGGGATTAGATGGAAGAACACCCTTGCGTTTATGGGCTCCGCGGACACCTTTACCCTTGTGGTGTTTGATCGCGCTCAAGAGTTTGTTCAAGTTCTCCGGAACCTGCTTGACTAACTGGAGGACTTGCTGGGTCACTTCGAGAAATAGGCCAATGCAGTCGAGCTGAAATTCTCTTATGAGTAGATTGCACAAGCAACAACTTTTTATTCACAGAACTAGTGATACTACATATCAATTCGCCAATGCTACAGTACCTAGTCGGTAAGTCAAACATACTATATCTCTACATAGGTATCTATTGGTGCATGTATACATACATGATATCGATCCGACTTGGCTCCTTGTTAATTCCCACATCTCTGCTCGCCCTCCAAGCCAGCAAACCCGCTTCCTCAAAATTTCGCAAGCATCTCAGTAACCTTGATGAACGCCTCGTTCGACGCGTAGCCCCCGTCTGGCTCTCCGCAGCAGCCTTAATTCTCGCTAAAGTCTCAGCTTATTCACGCTAGTTCCGGATCTCTTCAGCTGGAAAGTGATACGGTCATGGTGGCCCGTTGGTAGTAAAACGATCCCATCCGTTTTGTAAACGTAGTCTATTCCCAGCGAAATCAGTCAACAGACCTCTACACGGATGGAATATTCCCGGAAAGGGTGGAGACAATTGTCCCATGCAGAGCTAGCAAACGCCTTAACGTGCTCGAGAGTCAGGTCATCGGGATGTCGCATTATCTCATGCACTGGGTGGTTCTTTTCTGCCATCAACGTTTCGTACGAGTGAATCGAGATAGACTGGGATACTTGATATCTGAGCTGGTTCTTAGTAAGTTGGTCATTAGTAGCCTCGTCAAGGTGTTAGGGTTTTTTCATGCCGGTAATGTCTACAGAGACGGCCAAATCCGGATCGCCCCAGTAGTCATCGGAGCCAACCCTCCGTTGATTCTGGCCCACAGGTTCAGCATGTTGATGAAGCTATCCGACAATTTCAGAGTCTTTAGGGATGATACGTAGGGTTACAGATATAATTTTAGACAGCAGAGCTATAGAAGCTTCTAAGGGATGTTGCTTTACACGTGTACTGCCATAAATTTCCAGTCGCGCTGTGTGGATCGACTTGGGCGTTGATCCAGTCGATTTCGCGCAAGTGACAGACTCTGTCGAAAAACTTCCCCAGAACGATTGTGAACTTGATGTCAAATTCGGTGGACCTTCAGGGGCATACCGATACCTTGATGTTGGTGCATGTCACTACGCTGTTTGTCCGGGAACTCTCTCCGAACAATGGGCCCATGCAAAAACGCGATTCAACGCAATCGCGGATTTCTAGCAGAACAACTGTGACGACTGCAGACTCGCACGCATTGGGGCAAGCTGTATCATACTTATCAACAGCCACCAAGAGCAATCTCCTTTTAACATCCCTCATTTGGTGAACAACACCCCCTTTGACTCACAGTGCAAGACCCTTCAAAACGTCCTCAAGACGAAAGCCTTTTGAATTCCGCCTCGACAGGCTCTGATCCGTAGCACACCAAGCCACACCCCTTGGAGTAAATAGCTCCAGAACAGTCTCAGCAACCTCCACAATCGCCACTCCTAACGCATACCAATCCCTCGTGAGCCAGCTTCAAGACAAACAATCTTCACTACGTTTTCCTGCCCACCATCCATAACAAGACAATCCGCCTTGTCGCGTTTACTTCTTCTAATCTTCCCCACGGATACACACTGCTACTCCCACCATCTAACAGGCCACGACAATGCCCGAACCAACCTTCCACTTCGTCATTCCAGACCTAAACATCGTCTGCCGATGTAGCAAAACCAAGGATCTATATCCATCTCACATGGTAAGGGTATGGTCGGATGGATACTCTTCGGGGCGCAGGGGAAACGTGTCAAGTGCGATTTTGTGCGTCTTTGGCTAGTGTTGTTGCTAGGAAATGTGGATAGAAGAGTATATGTGATGATCAGAGAGATCTGCGCATGGAATCGAGTAAGGAGTTCAGTGGGGAAGGGTAGAGGGTTGATACTTGCTGATCGATCGATCGATTGATCAGCCGGTGCACGGTCTGGGCTAGACGAAATCTTGCAATACTCCTAACTACGCAGGATTTTGTTATAGTAGGGGAAGACAAGGTTGCACTTAAAGTTTTATAACGTGTAAAGGGACGGGAGATCTTCGAAAAGGTAATCACAGTGTGTCTTGGATCAGTTCCTGGGTGTCAATGCTGAGAGGTTAAAAAGCAAAGACAGAACCACCAAGAAGAAGGAGTCAAGTATTCATAAGTGAATGAGATGAGTAAGAATTTTGTGCTACAGCTACGAAGCCGAGTGCTAATAGAACACCATCTTTGCGTCGAAACTACGAATTGCAAGAAGGCCTAAAGTGTACCGACCCAACCCAAACACCACGCTATGCATCGAAGAACCTATGACCAACACTCCACCCACCCACTACGTCTGTCTAAATACCATCCACTCCAACGTCTCACCCAAGGCCATTCAAAAGGCCCTGACCTTCTTCCCCTCCATCGACACGTCACCTGCATCAGCCTTCCGCTTCCCCAGCACAGAATCCGGGCTACTCGGCATCGGGATCCCGGCTCCTTTACTATACTCTTCAAAGCAAGTAGCATGATAAATCTTCCCGCCCACACTCAACGCATCCATCCAGACAAAATCATTCGCCTCAACATTCCACTCGGGGTCGAATTTCTCCTGGCAGATCGGACACGGGGCGTGGATAAGCGCTGTGTCCTGGGGAACAGACACATAGCGATCCTTTGCCTGTTTCTTCGGCTTGGCGACGTTGGTGGTGACGGCTGTGTCGGTCACGGGAGCCGTTTCGTCGACTTCGCGGTACTCGACCCAGTCTTTTTCGGGTATGTACCAGCTGCGGTGCACACCGCGCTTGACTGCATCGGGGTCTTTGACCTTGAAGTGCCAGTCCATGTGGCGCGCCTTCTTCTCCTTGGCCTCTGGCGTGTTCTCGAAGCGGCGGCCACATGTCGCGCATATACTAGGTTTGGCTTCGTAAAGGCGGGAGATCAGATGGAAGCGTGGCTTCTTCATGGATGCAGTCGTGAGTTCGATTTCATTGAGCATGTTTGGAGGTGGCAAAGGCTGTGACATTAATGGTTGAGATGTCATAGGGTTTGGAGTCGCGGGAATTCCGCCTGGAACACCACTCAGGGCTTTCAACAGCCAGTCGGCGCTACCCATGGCAGGAGCGGGATTGTGCGACTGCGGCGGTAACTGAGAAAGGGGTGGGCCTTGTATAGGCGTCGGTGGTAGGAGTGGTGGTGCTGCAGTAGGCTTGTTGAACTGAGCTAACAGCGCAGCAAGGTTGGCCGTTGGCGTGGCAGATGGTGGTGGTGGTGCTGCGGCTATCGGGGCTGGTACCGGAGTAGTGGCAGGTGGTGGATACGCCTGGAAAGGAAAGGAGTTGAACGGAGCAGGTGCCGGTGAGCCTGTGGTTTGAGCAGGAGAGGAGACACGCTTCAAGAGATCGGCCAAAGAGGGAGTAGCAGGAGTCGGAGTCGGTGGCGGTTGTGGGGTATGTTGCATTGGCGGCCTGAAGCTTGCGAGCAGCTGCGTGAGGTTTGGTGGAGCACTGTTCGACGGTGTGCCAGCCGTTGGGAAGTTTGGAGGCATCGCTTGTTGAGGAGCGTACGCCAGTGTTGGTGTCGGGGGAGGATATATTGGCGTAGGCGCGGGAGGAGGGGCCAAGTTTTGAACCTGCTTTCGTACAGCTTCGAGCTGCTGAGGAGGCAGTGTCTGTGTGTCGAGAACGTGTTTGAGTGCTAGAAGTGCTTGTAGTTTTGTTCGGAGAGCCACATCTGCAGGATTTTGTGCAAACATGGTTTGTGTAGTGCTTATGAGCTGAGCGACCTCGGCCTTCAAGTCAGCAAGATCAATAGACGACATTGGCTGAGCACTCTGTTGAGGTTGTTGGAACTGCATGGGCGGCGTAGTGGTGTGCGCAGGAGGTCCGTATTGAGGAGTTGGTAGTAATGCCTGCTGTTATGTGTTAGAGACTTGGATCGCAGACGTGCGGGGTTTTGCGAATTACCTGTCGGATGCGCGGGTCTTGGGGAGCCGCGTACCGTGGTACGTTCTGTGGAGGCGTCGAAGTATTCCTCCAAGCCACATTGGTCGGTGGTCGAGGTGGGAGCGCATGTTGCGGTCGCTGAGCCTGTACTTGACCAGTAGCTGCACGAATCTTGTTGAGTGCGTTTTCAATGTCTTGAGTCACATCGGCTGGGAATACGGGACGGGGATCCATTGATTCAGGCACAGGTTGCTTCCATGTCCTCAATAAGCCTTCCATAGCCTTACGGATGCCTTGGTCCATGACCAGGTAGGCATCCATGAATGTTCGATAGAGATTGCGACCCAGATAGACGGTGTATGGGGTGCCAACATTCTTAACGATGGAGTCGAGTACATAGAGAGCTGGGAGTTTCCACTCAGGGCGAGTCTAAAACGCATTAGTCACTGTCAAGGAGATAGTCGAAGAACGGAAGGCTGGGGATTTGATTGTTACGTCTGTGAATAGATGCGCAACGACTTACTGATCGGACATGATTTTCCAGTTCTGTCGATATGGCTTGTGCGTATTCTGTGTTCTCTTTGGCGATGAGTGTTAGATTGCTAATTTCTGGTCTACTGTTCTGCCTCAGATCTTGGAGAGCGTCTCGAAAGTCGGCTGCCACTTCAGCAGCAGGCAGAGACATGATGGGCACGTTTGTCTTGTATCAGGAAGGAAGGAGACGTGCTAGGGTTAGAAGTGGAGCTTGCGCGTGAGACGGTGCAAATAGAAGTGTGCGATGTGCGGTCGATGAGTCGCAAGGTCGGAGTCGGTCGTTCTCGAACGCCAGATGAACAAGATGGACGAAGTGCTTCCTCGCTCTCAAACACACGAAATGACAGGTTGTTTGTGATGATCTAGCTATGACCTCGCTGGATAATGCAGCGAGAAGACTGCGCCAGTACAGCCAGAACAGTGACAAAACACGCTCTCCCCCAGTGACTGCGCTCCTCCTACAGTGTGTGCCTTCCTCCTCCAAGCCACCTGACGTGACAATAGCGCGCGACTGCAACACGGTCGACAGCAGGGAGATACCTGGTGAGTGCCCAGCGGCAAATAGCTGAGCAGGGGCGTGACTAGAGAGCTGTGCCGCGGGCGTGTGGGCAGTCAGTAGGATGAGGAGAGTCGCTCACTCTGTACGCAAGTTGGGTGTGAGGTTGGTGAGTGTTGAATGAACGGCAAGAGAAAGGTGAGGGCTGCGGTGTTTGATTGATGAGCCGCACGGACGCGCCTGCCATCCACGGTTGCGACTGCCAAGCTCGGCAAGTTCCGCTCGTCACTGGCAGACGCGCTCTGCTCTCTCCTCGACATTCTTTGAGAGCGCATACATCAAATCTTTGCACGCCTGTCGCCCGTCGCGCTACCACACGGCTGTTGTCGCGCTCATTGGACTCATCAACCCAGCCAATACTCCAAATCGCGCTTTCCATCTTTCACCTCACTCTCCTGCATTACGTCAAACAACATGGAGGACGTCCAGTTCAACAGGTCGCATTCCAACTCGCCGCTGCCCGAGGCTGGCAACGACGCCGGAGACCCATTGCGCCCTGAGATCGAGGAAGAGCATCTCCCCGACGCTACTATCGCCGAGCCCTACCAGGACATGGAGGTGACGGAGGGAAAGGACGAGATGCCTGACGACGATGACATGCAAGCTGGCCTTTCAGACAACGAGTCCGTGCTGTCTGAGGCGCTGGATGATGACCAGTTCGACGAGCAATTCGGCGAGTTCGACGCGAGCAACATCGCCATCGAGGAGCGCCCGCAAGCCATCGACGAGGACACGGTCAAGCAGATTGGTGTGCACAAGCGAAAACGGACTGCCGGCGAGGGCGAGGAGCCAAAGAAGAAGAAAAAGAAGGCGGACAGGCCGCGCCGGAAGAAGGACAAGGGCGGCGAGGAGGCTGAGGGCGACGTCGATGGTGGCAGGAGGAGCAAGCGATCCAAGAAGGAGGGCAGGGTCCGCGCAGCAAGCCCGGAGGACGAGAACCTCACGCCAGAGCAGCGTACGTGCGCCTGTATCGTGACCTCTAAACTCTGCTAATAGAAATTCTAGGACGAAAGCGCGCGCTCGACGCACAGATTAACGCCCTCGTCAAGGGCTCGTCGAACCGCCGCCGCAAGAAGGATGGAATCGATCTCGAGCAGATGGCCGACCAAGAGATCGAGGAGATGCGCCGTCGCATGGCTCAAGCCGCCGAAGCAGACAACGAAGGTCGGAAGCGTGGCGAGCCCGCCCGACACAAGCTCAAGCTGCTGCCAGAAGTCGTGGCCTTGCTCAACAAGAACACGCTGCGGGAATCCATCGTCGACCCCGAGGTCAACCTGCTCGAAGCAGTACGATTCTTCCTGGAACCCCTCAGCGACGGTAGTCTTCCCGCATATGACATTCAGAAAGAGCTGTTTGCTGCGCTGGCCAAGCTGCCCGTCAACAAGGACACTCTTGTCGCGTCTGGCATTGGCAAGGTCATCATGTTCTACATCAAGAGTAAGCGCCCAGAGTTGACCATCAAGCGACAAGCCGAGCGCCTCTTCACAGACTGGACTCGTCCGATTCTTAGGCGTACGGACGACTACCGCAAGAAAGAGTTTGCCCAGGCCGACTACGATCCAAAGTACGTCATGTTGCTCATTCTATGTATACTTGTGGCTAACTCAGTTGCAGCAAACAAGTTGCAGTTGTCAACTCGGCCGCCAACAGCCAAGCAGCAGTTCGTGAGAACGCCAGGAAGAAGGCCCTCGAAGTCCCTCGCGCCTTCACACGCGCTCGCATGGAGACGGGTCCAACGTCCTACACCATCGCGCCCAAGAGCAACGTCGTGTTCAACGAGAACAACAAAAACCGCTCGCAGAATGTGGATATCATGCGGCAGATTCGCGGTGGCCGCGGTGGAGGCAGACGTTAAATCGCCTCTCCAACTTCTCGCCTCCGCATTGCTTGTTCAATTGCTTCTGCACGCTCTACAGAGTTTTGCTGTTTCTGCACTTGGTTGATGGAGTTCTGGGCGTATGCAATGGTTTGGGAATGGGCATTGTTACTTTCGAGCTTGCATATACGGCGTCTTGCAAGGGGGCTGATCGACAGATTGGTGTGTATACTATAAATTGGAGTCTTGAATCTGATTGCGTTGATGAGATGCGTACCACGTGCGCTTTTTACGATGCGCTCCGATGTGTGAACTCAACACTGCGATGTGGGATGTTACATGCATGCTTCCCTGTTCATCCACATGGAAATTGTGTTATGGCCAGTTGAACATGTCTTCGAAGTAATCGTGAATCTTCTGTACATCCATACTCATACCATAATATACACTCCCTCTGACATCGGGGGCGCTACTCGCATTCCCACTCTGCCATTCATCCACCCCACTCAACGCGCCACTCTGTGCAGCGATCCGTCTCTGCGAACACATCACATCCCATCCTCACAAACGCGCCCCACGTAGCAGCGCAACAGTCCCCCCACCCCACCATCTACCCAGCGTCTCATCACCCCTCCCATCGCCCCAGAAACACGATTCCCATATCACAGGTCCAGTACCATTTAAACGAGCTTCGAAACGTAATCGACAATAAACGGTGCTGTTACACTGTATTAGCCCAGTCCAGCCCATGCCATCCCTCCCCCAACTTCTCAATACAGAATCGGCGACGCACAGAAATACAGCACCACGGCCGTGGCGGCGGTCCACTTAATATCGGTCATGGTCTGCGCCTCGGCGGCTTCGAGCTCGCGCTTCGAGGGCTGTGGTGGTGCTGTGTGGTATTAGTGGGGTTGTAAGGAGGAGGGGATGGGTGACGGACCGCCGAACATGTTGTTGTGGGTTGAGTTGGAGAGGGTTGAGTTGGTGGTTTGGCGGTCGCGAAGATGACGTGGGTGAGTCTAGGTGTGGAAAATGTTCATGTTCATGATCATGTCGGGGTTTCGCGAGGGGAATGCCCGATGGAGGGTCACGTGGGGGCGCGTTTGTCTCGTCAGTTCGGCGTGTGGACTACCTAGGGTTTTTCACGTCGTGGTTCATCTGGTGGAATGTGGGTTTAGCACGCTAGGTACGTGGCAAGGCTTCATTTTCCACGTGCAGTATTTGGGGGAGTCTGTGTGCAACTAGTTCAGATGTCCAGTATTGTCCATGGCTCAATCTTCACGCTGGAATCTTTATCTGCGCTTCCAATATTACGATGGTGTTTCTTGGATGATTCCTCGATGTCCTGGGGGTGGTGAACAGTAGGATTGGCTTTAAAGCAACAGCAAATCTTCTCACTCGCTTGAATTCGTCCGTACGGGGCGGTAATTTAGGCAAATATCCGGAGGATAACATAGTGAACGCAAGGCCGAGCGTGGCTGAGCTACTGACGATATATCCTTCGGCCTTATAGCGAGAGATTTCGAATATCTAAAGGCTTAGCGGAATCTGGGATGTTTCTTTCCTCTTGGACACTCAACCATACAAGATTAAGATACAACAACACTCTTTCATCCAGAACGACTGACAAACAACGACGCTACAAAACCGCCATGACATGGAAACCGCTAAGAGCAAGACGTTATTTAACTCTACCCCTTGAAACATTGCAAACTTGGTTGTGGATGCTGAATATTCTTTTGCTAGGTACTTTTTTCTGGATCGCGTGGCTAGCATAACATGGTACCTACATCAATTGCCGACAGTAACTTTTGTGCGCGCTCCATATGTCCAAGATACATACAATATACTTTGTCTTGATATCAATCTTATTTCCAAATACTAGGCTACACTCAAGAGCTATTCGGCACGATTCACATCAAGCACCGGCCGTGGCATTTTATATCTTTTCGGTAGAGCGGTCTCGGTCCGACGACGTTCGCGACCGCGGCCCGAACAACTACACCAAAAAAGGACGACCAACTCTGTTTTGCCCCTTAGAGATCTAGTCCAGCTCCCACGAAAAGCAACAGCGTCGCATACCGGTCTTGGCCCAATACCGACCGTCAGCATGTCATAATCTGCGGCGAAAGACCCACCCGTTGATCGAAATCTGGAGCTATTGCTGGTTCGTCACAAGGGGCGGCCACTACGGCATCATCCATCACCAAATCTCCAGCTGACTTGGCGGATCTTGGGAATGATCGGCCTTGTCCACCCCCCAAAAAACAATGGCTTGGACGTGTTTCACAATCAGACGACGTGCACGCCACAGGTAAAGGGTGCAAGCTGACGTTCGCAGCTGTCCTTGCGGTTGCGGTTTCTTTGGCGATTGGCTTCGCCTAGGTAGGAGGATCGCCTCCCCTGTAGAAAGTAGATGCGGCAGGGCTGAGTAGATAGGCTTGTCAGCTTGTGGTGTTGTGTTGTATTTATATATCCTTCCTTGTGATCCCCAGCCTGGTGATCTGGGTTCTTCGACTCTTTCAAGGTCGCTTTCATTCACTCGTTTGACATCTTCCTTTTCTGCAAAAATGTTGGTTTCTTCTGTTATATTGGGTTTGTCTTCTTGCGCTTTTGCGCTCCACGGTCGTTCTCGTGCAGGTTATGGACGCGGATATGCATACGGTGCAGAGGAGCGAGAGGTTGTGAGCTCGAGTCTTGTTGCGTCGGAAACAGAGGGCGTGTATCCGGTATACACTCCTGCTCCTCCAGCTCCGAAACGAGCCTACAGCGTTGGTGCTTCTATCAGTATTGAAAACGACCATCCTGCCAATCCACCTTATCCCAACCTCAACGGTACTTTGACTCAAAGTCATGGCGCTTCTTCGCCTACCGGAATCCCTGGGTCTTCTTGCGCCCCGTACTGGCTTGAGAGCATCAAGCATCAAGGACTTGCGTCTTTCAACGCCAACCCAGAATCATACCAGGTCTTCAGGAATGTGAAGGACTTTGGCGCGAAAGGAGATGGAATTACCGATGACACGGCGGCCATCCAGCTTGCGATAAGTGAAGGGGATCGATGTACGCCCGGACAGTGCGAAAGCTCAACAACCACACCGGCTGTGGTGTACTTTCCACAGGGCACATACTTGATTTCCACCAGCATCATAAGTTACTACTACACTCAGGTTTGCTCACCGAAAGCCGTTTGAATAACGTAATCTGACTGACGCGATTAGATTATTGGTAATCCAAATTGTCTCCCTACTCTCCTTGCTTCTTCCAACTTCACTGGCTTAGGCTTGATTGATGGCTCCCCGTACCAGGGTTCTGGGCCGCGCGCTGGCAAGACTGGCTTTGGACCCACCAACACATTTTTCAGGCAGATTCGAAACCTTGTCCTCGATATGACAAACATCCCAGCTGACGTCTCTGCGACTGGTATCCATTGGCCGACAGCTCAGACGACAAGTCTGCAAAATATTGTTTTCGATATGAACGCTGAAAATAATACTCAGCATCAAGGCTTGTTTGTGGAAGAGGGCTCCGGAGGCTTCATGACGGATTTGGTCTTCTACGGCGGCATGTACGGCTTCAACGTTGGCAATCAGCAGTTCACAACACGCAACTTGACGTTCCACAACTGTGTAACTGCTATCAACCAGCTGTGGGACTGGGGCTGGACGTATAAGAGCGTCTCCATCAACAACTGCCAAGTTGGTCTGAACATGTCAGCCGGCGGCCCTTCAGCGGTCAACGTTGGATCCATCACCTTCCTGGACAGCGAGATCAACAACACGCCGATTGGAATTTCAACAGGCAGAACACCCGACTCCGAGCCTGCTGCTGCCGGAAGCTTGTACTTGGAGAACGTCAAGCTCAATAACGTTGGCGCTGCCGTAGTCGGACCTGAAGGGACGTATCTCGAGGGGGCATTCGGCTCTTCAGTCATCGATGCCTGGGCTGACGGCCACCGATACCTTCCCAACGGCCCGATCGAAGAGCGCGGACCCATTGCTCCCAGTAAACGGCCCGCTACCTTGCTCGACGCTACAGGGAAATACTACGAGCGCTCCAAGCCGCAGTACGGCTCTGTACCTTTGTCTGGATTCCTCAGCGCCAGAGATCTCGGTGCCAAGGGTGACGGCCACTCAGATGATACGCAGGCCTTGAACGATGCAATCTTGAAAGCTCAGGAGGAGGGCAAGATCCTGTTCGTCGATGCGGGTTACTATATAGTCACAGGTACCATCTACATTCCGCCCGGCTCCAAGGTTGTAGGCGAGGCGCTCTCGTCCGTCATCCTTGCAGCTGGCACGTACTTCAACGACATCGACAATCCCAAGGTCGTGGTGCAGATCGCCCAGCCCGGCGAGCAAGGCTCAATCGAGTGGTCGGACATGTTCGTCAGCACACAAGGCCAGCAAAAGGGCGCGATCCTCATTGAGTACAACCTCGCTTCCTACGGCGAGCCGGCTGGCATGTGGGATGTACACACGCGCATTGGCGGCTTCGCAGGCTCCAACTTGCAGACTGAGCAGTGTGAGAAGACTCCGGATGTTGAGACCACTGCTGACACGCTGGTCGAAGAGTGCATTGCTGCGTACATGTCTATGCATGTTACGAAGTTTGGCACCGGCTTGTACATGGAGAACAACTGGTTCTGGACTGCGGATCATGATCTCGACGACGCGAGGAATAATAATACGCAGATCACTATCTATGCTGGTAGGGGTCTTTATGTCGAGAGCCAGCGGGGTATGATCTGGTTGTAAGTATCCCATTTACCCTTATATATTGACTATTCACTGACGAACGCAGATACGGCACCGCCGTCGAGCACCACGTAAAATACGAATACCAGTTTGTCGAGTAAGTCCCACTCCACACACTCAGCCCAGCCCAACACCACGCATACTAACACCCCACCCAGCACCCGCGACATCTTCATGGGCCAAATCCAAACCGAAACAGCCTACTACCAGCCCAACCCCTCCGCCCTGCTCCCCTTCCCCCCCAACCCCACCCTCTCCGACCCCATCTTCACCCTCTCACCCAACAGCTCCATAAACGCCGCCTCAGGCTGGGGTCTCCGCATCGTGCGCTCCAACAACATCCTCGGCTACGGCGTCGGGCTCTACTCCTTCTTCGACAACTACAGCACGGCCTGCTCAGACGTGGGCGGCGGTGCGCGCTGCCAATCCCGCATCCTGAGTATCGAGGGCAGTCGCAATTCGTATGATGTTAATTTGTATAATTTGAATACTGTGGGGACTACGCATATGGTTACGAGGGATGGGGTGGATTTGGTGGCGAATACGGAGAATAATAGTACGTATGTGGATACGGTTAATGTTTTTCGGATTGGGAGCTTTGGGCTTTGAGGGGGGTGTTGGGGGAGTGGGAAGGAAGATGGGGATTTCGTTTGTTGGTTTCATATGTTGATGTAGATTTCTAGGTGGCGTTTTTTCTTCTTCTGGGGCATCTGGGAGTACGCTCCTAGGTTGGTAGACGGCATATATTCAAACCTAGTATTTATTTTTCCAATACTGTTTCGCAGTGGACAACACTATGTCAAGTGAACGTTGTGGGGAGGTCAAACGACGCTAGGTTTTTAGTACCGAGGTGCGGGACCTCGCGTCTCCAACAACGCGTCTGGGACTCGAATCATCACGACAAGCAATCACACTTTTCCTTGCAGACAACAAGACACACACCCAAAAATGCTGACCCTCCCATTAATAGCTCCCCGAGCAGTAAGCCACCCAATTGCCCTCGCACAAACAACCAAATCAACAAACCCCCCCCTCGAGACAAACCCCCAACACGATACCAAACAAAGCCACCGTCCCACTAACACCCCCCCAGGACGCCTCCCTCTGGCCCTCACACCACCTCTTCCACGCGCCCCCAGACGCCGAACCCTCCCCACACTCCCCACCCAACACGCACACCAACGCCCCCCAGCGGCACGCACACCACTCGCACCACGCACGCGCCACAACAGCATTCCTGCACTCGCTCACACACGATGAAAACACAATCGACCAGCGCAAGCAAAACGTGCGCCGCTTCGGGTCCGGGTGGCTGCGGCCCCCCGGCGTGGCCAAGACGCTGCAGGCGCTGCGCGACGAGGAGCTGGAGAAGGAGGAGCAGGAGATGATGGCGCGGCGCGAGCAGGTCATGCTTGATCTGGCGGCGGCGCAGCAGGAGGCTGCGAATGAGCAGCAGCGGGTTGCTGGGGAGGAGAGGGATGGAGATGGTGCCGGGGAGGGGGGTGAGGAGGGGGAGAGGGATTTGGACGACTCGGTGCCCGAGGCGGCGTCTTTGTCGGATTCTGCGTCAGCCAGCGGGTCTGCGTCTGATGACGATGATGATGATGATTCCGACACCGCAGGCGGTAGCGACGACGACGAGGAACAAGAAACCGCCAGCCAAACAGCCTCCGCCTCCATAACCGGCACCGACACCTCCGTCCCCTTCAACGAAGACTCCTTCATAGAAGGCAGCATCCTCGAAGCAGAAGTCTCCCACATGCTCGAAATGGAAGAAGCAGAAATCGCAGGCGTCTTGCAAGACGAGCGCGACCTCGACGACTCCATCCCCGAAGCCGGCGAGTACGAGCACACAGACTCCGAGCTCGAACCAGACACAGACAGCGAGGTCGATATCAGCGGCTTATCGTCTGCACGTCGCCGGCCCCCGCGCCGCCGCTCAAGCGCCCTGCGCAGTCGTCGCAGCTCCGGACTGGCATCGCGCCGCTCCTCCGGTTTACCCCCCGCGCCTACATCTACGAGACGTGCGTCTGGCTTACATGCCACCGTGACGGCGGGCGCGAGGCGGAGCTCCGGGCTGCCTGCGGGTATGATGGGCGTTTATGCTACGGCGGGCACGCTGGATCTGGGTGCTAGTCTGGGCCATGGGCGCAGTAGCTTTGGGATGGATGGGAGTAGTCTTCTTGATGGGAGTTCGTTCCTTAGGAGTTCGCCTGCTGCGACGGCGGCGAGGGTTAGTCTTAGGGAGAGGTTTTTGAATTCGACGACGGAGGGGGGGACGAGGGGTGGGAGGGGGAGGAGGGAGTAGGCAGTGGGAAGAGGTGTTGTGAAGTGTTATACCCCTTGTTCGAGGGCGGATTGTGGAGGGCACTCAAAACCTGAGCGCAGTCTGTCTGTCTGTATCGATACGAAATATCAGTATCATCACCAAGTACCGTCATGTCCAACACATAGATAACGCAAAACGTCAAAGATCCAAGCCATGCATAAATTACTCTCCACCCCCTCTTGTACGCGCTCGCTCGCTCTGGTATCCCTCGACGCCAACGTTCCAACCTGCCCCAAACATCCAGAATCGTTTCATTTACATATCGCACTCTCACCGCTTAGCAGGCCTCTGCTCCTTAGCCGTCTCCCACTCATCATACTCCTGCTTCGTATCATCGATCCACTTAGACAAATGACTGAGCTGCCTATCATAGTCTCTCAGAAGCTATACACACATTAGCTCAGCACAGCAACAAGTATCTTACAGTAAACAAAATGGGGGTAGAAAAGCATACCTTATCCAGCGCCTTCTGATCATCTTCCGAGAGCAGTTCCCCATTCTGCTGTTTCTCCAGCGTCTTGCCCAGTTTCTCCGTCTCGTCCTGCAGGATACGCGCACGCTCACGCACACCCGACATGCGAGCCCAGATCTCCTCCTGGCGGCCGCCAAGAACAGGGTCGAAAGTTTTCTTCTCAAGGTCGAAGAGTTTCTTCTTCAACTCTTCCTCCTGCTGGTCCATGACGTAGCCGCGGTTGCGCAGGATCTGGACTTTTGTAGCGAGGGCGAGGGTGCGCTGGGTGAAGACGACGTGTTTGCGCTTGGCTTCTGTGATGCGCGAGGCGACGTTTAGCTCGTGCGTGTCTTTGAGCACGGAGAGGCAGTTGTTGATTTCGTGGAGGCGGGTGCGGAGCGCGGTGACGGCGAGCTGCTGTTGGCGGATGCGTTCGGCGACTTGTTCGAAGCCGCGGGCGAGGACGGGTATGGCGCCTGCGCTGGGCTTTTTGGATAGGGCTTCTTCCCATTTCCGCTCGTCTTCGCCGGGGGAGGGCCCGTAGAAGGGGGCTTCTTCGGGTTTGACGGCGTTGTAGAAGTAGTGCTGGAAGACGCACTCTGGGTTCTGGGGATCCCATTTGTTGTTTAGGACCCGTATCTGCTCGACGACCGACTTCTCTCCTATTCGGTTGTTAGTGTTGTTGGGCGGGATGCGCTGATATACGTACGGTGGCCGCTTGCCGATGAACCTGCATAAGGTGCAGCCGAGGATTGTCGCAGTTGCGGGAGCCCTTCGCGCTGTTGCTGGATGCTCTGCGCCTGGACGGGGTTCAATATGGGCGCTGGCTGCAGCGACGATCCGAACAGGCTGTTGCTAAAGTTCGGCTGTTGTTGCTGTTGCTGCTGCTGCTGCTGCTGCTGCTGTTGCTGCTGTTGCTGTTGTTGTTGAGGTTGCCCAAACAGACTCCCGCCAGCATTGGGCTGCTGCTGTTGCTGCTGCTGGGGCTGGCCGAACAAGCTCGAGCCTGTGTTCTGCTGTTGCGCACCGCCAAACCCGCTGTTCTGTTGCTGTGGGGCGACCGACGAGCCAAAAAGAGAGGGTTGTGAGCCCGTCTGCTGTGGTTGTTGTTGTTGCTGCGACTGCCCAAACAGCCCCCCAGCTGGCGCCGTTGTGCTTCCAAATAGCGTGCCCGTCTTCTTCTCTCCGCCTCCCAAATTCCCAAAGCTGAACGACATGTCGACGTGTGACCGCTAGTAATGACCAACCACCTCTTGTATCAGGTGTCGACAGCGGTGGCTGCGAACGGAGAGCTTCACAGCTGTTTTGCTGTTGGACGCGCTCCAACACGTGAAGGAGAAATGTCGAGGGAGTGGACGCGATGGCACTGCTAATACCCAGCGCAGATGCCTTGCATGTCGATGTCGATGTCGATGAAGGAGAGGCTTTTGTGGTTTGCGCAGAGTGTTTTGGCGACGCGCAGAGACGTGTTTTGCTGCACGAGGCTTTGTCGATTGTCGAAAGCTCCAACCTCCGCCAGCCAATCACGGCTTCAGGGACATGTTAGTCAGCATCGCGACTTCCTCAGTGACGACCGTCTCAACTACATTCACTTTGGGAGCAGTTCGCCCGCCATTGGCACTCCACACTCACCATGTCGTCGCGCCAGCCCAGGTACATGCCTCCTGCTCGTCACCTGACTGCGCCTCCAGGCTAATCCGGCGCAGATTCAACCAGCAAGCCCTCATCGACACGACCCCTCTGCCCGACGACATCCCCAAGGTCAAGGAGCTTGGAGCCAGTTCTGCGCCCCTCCTCAGCGCCTCCTTCTTCATCGGCGCCCGCTGCAAGGCCTACAACGATGACTACATGATGTGCAAGACCGAGGCCAATGGCCGGGGCGAGCTCGACTGCATGAAGGAGGGCCGCAAGGTGACCAGATGTGCCGCTAGCGTGTGAGAGCACCCGGAAGGCGCCATGGAGGAAGGACGTGACTGACGCATGCGGTAGGATCAAGGACATCAACGAGAACTGCCTGGACCAGTTCCGCACCCACTGGCAATGCCTCGAGAACCACAACCAGCAGCTCTGGAACTGCAGGTCCGAGGAGCGGAGGTTGAACAAGTGCGTATTCGAGAAGCTGGTACGACTGCCCTCACGCCCAGTATATGTTGTGTCTGGCTGACTGTTTTAGAAACTGGAAAAGACGATACCAGATGCGCCCAAAGGCGACACACCCGTCCATCTGCGGGCGCGCAACATTTTTTCTACTCACTGAGCTTGTACATATATCGTTCAGGACAAGAAATTCAATACTTCATTTCAAAGAGCATTTTCTGCGTCTTGTGGCTGATTTGTTGGCAGAATGTGAAGAACCGGACAGTATGTCACACCATCAGTCGATGATACTTGAAGAAATGTGTCCCGCAACCACTTTCCATGTCAAGACCCGTGTGAGTTACGGAATATTCGTGACTGTCTGCTTTTGATCACACATGTCATTGTAGTTTTTGATTTCTCTCTTTATACTTCTTTTGCTGCTCTTCTCCCCGTCGATTTGCTCGTTATCAAGTCCAGTCACCAAATTGATTAATTGCTGGGGCTTCCACACTTCCTGCGAAGTGCTGCACCATCACGGAAACATTCTCTCCGAGCTTGAGAATGAGCTCTAGCTTCGAAATGAGTGTCGCGACCGTATCGACCAATCCATTAGGTAACTGCGACAGCCAACCCAATAATCATTCCGACACGTTCTGCAATGCCCACGACAACTATACCACCGCTGGTGATGAACTCTCCAACAAGAGTCTGCCCTTTCCAGACCTGGTCGAGGTTCCAACACTCCAACCTCCCCCCCGAAAATCGCCACGGAGTGCCTCCACAGACTCACCCACTCTAGTCCCCAGCTCCCCACCATCTCCCACATCCCTCCCCAACACACCAATCCAATGGACAACCGCCGACCTAAGTCCTCACCCCATCATCCCACCCCCCACCCCCCACTAACACAACCCAGTATACCTAACCTCCCTCCTCCACCCCACCGCCCTCCTAACAAACACCCTCCTCTTCTCCCCCCCTCTCGACTCCCACCCCACCCACCTCCGCCTCTACACCACCATCCCCCGCCCCCCATCAGCCATCGCAAAACTCCTCCCCACAAGCATCACCCGTCCCCACTTCCGCCGCGTCCTATTCGCCGAATCAGAAAAATGCCCCTCCGCCGCCTCCGCGCGCGCTTCGCTCGCACACGCTCTCCTCGCGGATGAGTGGCACGCCGCGTACATGCTCGCTACATACGACGTCCTAGCTATACTCTACAGCACACCCCTCCTATTACTGACCAGCATACACCGCGGCATGCTGTACATGCTCGCCGTCTCGGACGCGGAGTGGCACGCTCGCCTGATACATTTGCGCGGCGGGGTGATCGGGCCTGGCGGCGCTGTGGACTGGAGCGGTGGTGCGGAGGCGGGTGTGGACGGGAGTTGTGGGGTCGAAGCTAGATTGGAGCTTTTTCTGCTGGAGAGCGGGAGGACGGAGATCGAGGGGTGGGTGGGGAAGGTTGGAGTAGCGGTTGGGTTGTCTGGCGGGGAGAGGGTGGCGTGCGGGGTTGTGTATGGGGATGCGGCGGCGTTTTTGGGGAGGGTGGTTGGGGGGTGTGGGTAGGGGTTGTTGGGGGGGGTGTGGGATGAGTGTTGGGGGAGGGAGTCTGGGGTCTGTATGCGAGGGTGGGAGAAGATGGGTTGAGAGTGGGGCGCTGGATGGATGGATGGATGGACTTATTCTTTTCTCAGCTATGTACATGCAATCGATGAACTCTAACTACTGCATCCTAATTTCCCACATACTTCAATGGTGCAGTGCACGAGACTAGCACGTGGAAACGAAGTTGTGGGTGAAAGGCTATACATCCCACCTATGTTGTCTGAGAGTAAACAGTAAGCCATCTCCCACGACCTTACTCTAACAAACAAACGAGTCACGTATAAGAACACAACATCAGAGGTAGATAAACAGACCATCACTCCGGACTAGAAAAATCATCTACACCACCCACCCCATCACCGTCCTCCACCTCTCCGCGCAACAATCGTACACGGCTCATCCCCATACCAACTCCTCAGCCCAGGCGCCCCCAGCACACCCCCCTGCAGCAAACTCTGCGTATCGCTCCTCGCCCTCTTCCCCTCCTCCCCGCCGCCGACCGGGCTCACAACCTCCACCTCATCGACCGTAGCCCCGATCTCAAACGTCCCGCTACATAGCGCCACAATACCGAGTTCCGACTCGACCGTCTGCCCAGGCTGAATAACAGGCAACTTGCGCTGCAAAACGCCCGTCCACGAGAAACGTTTATCGAGGTCGAGCGCGATATTATGCGGCAGGCCGGCGAGGTGGGGCTGTAGTCTCAGGAGGAGGGAGAGCGGGTTCGGGCTGCGATTGTGGATCGAGGTTTTGAGCGTGAGGAAAGTGTCGATGTTGATTTCGAATTTCGCGCGGCCGAGTTGGCGGACGGGTGTGCTGGTGTCGTCAGCTGGGTGGTCGGGCACTAGGTGTGTGTCTATCTTGATGTCGTCGAGCTTCACGGCTTCGACCATGCGCGGCGTGAGGTGCATGCTGCGCAGCTCGATGGCGCCGGTGCGGTTGTTGCTTTCTTCGGTCCAGGTACCGTGCACGAGCTGCAGGAGCGAGTCGCGGTACCAGAATGCTTCTCTTGTGGCGCGCTCTGTTTCGGGGGAGATTTTGCTTGTGCTGACGACGAATTGGCGCTGGTTGGCTGGGTTGAGCGAGGGGATGGTTGCGTGCGGGTTTGGGAGGTAGATTTTGGGAATCACGACGACGACTCGATTGACGTGGCCTGGTTGGATTACTTCGTGTACTGCATGAGTGTTGTCAGGTGACTCGTTTTGTTCGTTGTTGTCGGTTGGTGGTGGTCGGACTTGGAGTGAGACGGATAGCGGGTTGGGCCAGGAGTTGCGGAAATCCAGGAGTAACATGCAATATTCGTCGACTTGCCCTTGCTTGGGTATGAGTTGGAGAAAGGACTCGGACAACGCGGATGATTGCGTTCCCGATACAGGCTCATTGCCGTCTAAGCCGGCTCCAGCGCGCCGTTCCTGATTGTGCCACGAGATATCACCTGACAATGGTAGGATATCTGGGCGCTGGAGCTGCACACTGGCGTTCACTGTGATAGAGATTGGGACGAACACCTGCCGGGTAGAAAACTGGTCGCTGACCTCGGAGCGTCGCTTGCCAAGGTTAGCATAGTCGATCTGTATGGATGCTTCAGTCAGACGAGTTCGCCCAACAACCTCGATGGCAAAGTCCATCTCTGCACCTGGTGCAATGCTGATCGATTCTTCCCCTTCGTTTCTACACCAGCGTAGAGATGGAAAGTGTGCTAGTTGCACTTCCAACTCATGAAGCTCGGCAGCTGAGATGCCCTTCTCCGAGGTAGCTGCTTGAACAGACGCTGTTGCAGAGTCCTGGAAGGAAATATGAACAAAGTCGACTGCTGTGATTTGCGACGTGTTCTTCACGGTTACCGTGAACCGTTTCTTCTCGCCTTCAAGAACCATGAGCGCGGACTGGGGTAATGACACCTTTGTCACAACGATTACAGGCTGATCAGGTATGACATTAAACGTTAACGACTCTGGAGTAGGCGCAGTATCCGCCTTTCGAGATGTTGACGGGACGGCTGTCGAAGGCCGAGAAGCTGGTGCCCCCAGACATGCTTTCAGACCAATCTTCTTCATCTTTGGCTCCCGCGTTGGCTTCCAAGGCTGCGGGAAGATGGGGAAGAGTCGTTCTCGACAGCCAACGACCTTGACGTGACATCCAATAATCTCCAGTTTACCAGATGAAAGCGCCCTGCCTGCGATTTGGAACTTCTGGGTTCGGTAAGGACCCAGGATGAAATGCTCTTCCAAGGCGACAAATTCGACACCTTTCGCGGCAATCCTCAGCGAATCCACCCCTAGTTCGAAGTCGTAGGGATTTTGCAGAGCGATGACAAAGCGATACTTTTCGTTGGCCACGAGTACAGTCTCCGTAGTATCTGCTTCTGGCCTTTTCAGCCAGGGGTTATGAATGAAAGGCCCAGCGTTTCCTGAGGTTGTTGATTGTAGCTCGGCAGGACGGTGATGGGTCAATCGAAGCTTCTCCGGCTCCTCCAATATAAACAACCCGCGGACCAGAAAATCGTCCCAATACTCTGTCTCGACATTCTGCAGGCCAAGCTTTTTTGCTGCGGTAACAGTCCGAGAGACATTTGAGAACAGTCTGACCTGTTCTTCTCGCAACAACGACACAAACACATCCGTGCTGTTTGACTTTGGCGCTGTTCCAGGCCCTGCTATCCGGAGTATCAGTGCTGTAAAATGAAGGATTCCGTTGAAATTTGGAAGGGCTTCGCAAAAGTTAAGACACATCCGCAATACATCTAGCTTTAACTGGAGACTTCCGAAAGCCCTCATCGACGAAATCGTCAGGATGTCCTCAACCACATCCTGGCTGGTTTCGTTTTTGGTCATTCTGTTACCTCCGATTGGGCTCTCAAGCAGAGACTGCTTCGAGTTCGGAATCCCGTATATTCGGCCAAGTAGGCCTAGAAACTCGTCAATACCATTTTCGGCCTCGCCTTCGCGTGATTTGAGCGAACCAGCACCGGAAGAGTTTCCGCTGGCCACATTGAGAGCGGCCAACCCAGCAGCAGGGTGTACGCCCATCTCTGCTGCACCCACCTTCCTAGCTTGAACAAGACCTGGGATAAGTGAGGTGATGAACTCTCTCATCACGATGGCTTTTTTTCTTTGCAACCCCAAAGATGTCAGCACGGAAGCAATGCCTGACAGGATCATGACTCGATCGGTAGGGCTGATTCCAGACGTCTCGACCGGTCCTGGTAGAGCACGAAAGAGCATTCCAGCAATGTCATTCCGCGTGGGGTTTACGCTGAGCCGTGGAACAGAGAGCCGGGGCTTCTGCCTGTATGGAGTATTTAGAACAAGGTGTCGGAGCGCATCGTCATCGAGATGGCCAGCCGACAGGTTGATTGCAGAGAGAAGCTTGGAGAAGCGTATGACACATTCAGAGAATGCCAGAGGCGGCATCGATTCCCCTGCAAAGTTCGCTGCTCGGGTATAAATGTTTAATATCATGTTGACAAGATCAGGTAGAAGCGAGTTCAGGCTCTCGAGAGCGGCTTCGAGATGGGCGGGCCTGGCAGGAGCGGATAGGTTAGCATTGCTGTTTGATGGCGTGTGCTGAGGCGATTTGCTGTTTGCCAGTTTATCGGACATTGGGTAACATATTGAAGGTATCTGACAGTATCAACATCGGACTCTATAAGACTGTAGATACTACCAACCTGGAACTCCACACCCGACCATGCACATAACGTTAAGCAGACCATGATGTTCTCGAGGGCTTTGGCATGCCACAAGTGATCACTATAGGCACGGGCTTTTGTCGCGCCTTCGATGAGTTCCCTGAGAGCTTCGTGCCATTGTCCTGCAAGCATGTATAGTGTTCCGATCACGATACTGACCCGACCACGGCCTTTGTTCCGTGCCCGCTCACCAACACCTCCAGAACCAAATCCGTGAATGGAAACTCTTTCAGAACCCCGATCTTTTGATGTTGAACCTGACTTTGATGAATTACTGCTCGTTCGTTGCAAACTATTCGTCGCGTTTACGCCGGGTATTTCATCAAACGTGGTAGGTGGTGTACGCGCTCCCTGCGTAGTAGATGTGGCAACTCTTGGATCTTCTGTCGTCAATGCGTCTCCTGGAGCAGATGAGAGTACAGGCATGGACATGCGGTGAATGTCCCTATGATCGCCTGTCTCCGGCGATTCTGGTCTGCTGGTGGTCGGCACTTGGGAATTGCGCCGCGAAAATTGTGAAGTAGCGGATTCCTGATTAGCCCAGCTGGGAACATACCCTGCGTTGCCGCTTTGTGATGCAGGTGAAGCAATAGTGGGAAGTGCTTGATACGACCTCGCCAGCGTGGTCATCTCTGCCAGAAGAGTCGCAGTAAGGTCGCACATGAACGTCTTCATCGTCGTGGTCTTGAGCTGAGACTTGGGAGGAATCAACACCGTCTCCTCAGGCAAGCTATGGTGTCGTGCCTGGGCCGCATAATCAAACATCATAAAGCTGTGTAGGTAGGCTCTGGGAAATTGCTCTCTTAAATCTTTCACGGCAGACTGGACAGCAATCGCATGTTCGTCTTCAGGCGCAGGCTCGCCAGTTGCGCTATCTGAAGTGGCGCCTGGTGTACGAGACGGTTCCAGCCATGCATACTCAGTAGCATCTCCGATGCCAATGATCAGAAGCGGTTCTCTGAACTGTTCAAATGGTGACAGTGATAAGTGAGAAGCCGGGGAAAGTGATGTTGAGAGATCATACAGGAGCGTTCCGCTAGGATATGCTAGAGGAGAGAACATATCTACTCAATGCCAGAATCAGCAAATGTCGTGGTTGGAAACGTCCTTTGAAGGGTCCGTACTCCTATCAGGCCTAGGATCAGGGCTAACATCTCCCAGGCGAACTAAAGACTGCTGTTGCAGAAAGTCGACAAAGGCAAGAAAACGAGAGCGCTTGATGCGTCCAACAGGGACAAGGTGCGCCTTTATACGGGCAGGCGCAATGAAGTCCATCTTGAAGCAGGGAGAGCGACGTGGTTGATATTGTAGGAGCTGAGTCGAGCTTGTGTTGAGGTGATGAAGCGCAGTCGGAACAACCTGATCTCCGAGTAGAATTGCATTTACATCTGCATCTAATCGTTCCTATGGGTAGATTCTATCGAGAGGATGACTCTGCAGGACGGTGATGCATGCTGTCGATGAGAACGACCGGCCTTAATGTCGCTAGCTGAATCCTTAGAAGGCGGTCAATGGCCGATCTCACAGGCTTGGCAGCCGCTACTTCGGCTCTAGTCTTGAGACAACACGTGCATGCTTCGCGTATCAAACTTGTTGACATCGAACGCTCCTTTGGAATTCGCATCAAGTGTTCCTGCGCCTGCAATTTTTAGCCATATCTTTACTTGAATTACAGATCTATACGGTGACTTTGTAATATCGCTGATCTCACCTTCTCGTCGTTTCTGTGGGCAGCTTCGCCACCCTGTCTGTACCAGTGCTGAACACCAAAAACTCTGGGTCATTGAATTTACATCGACAATCCTTTCACTCTCGTCACATATTAATCTCAACGCATACGGATGATTCTGGCCAAAACCCCTGACTTTTGACATTCCTTCAACCTTCAACCTGGAATCCGGGACACATCACGACTTATCAGCCACATTCGCCACAACCTCATCTTCAACATCAAGCTAAGAATCCGAAACCGTAACAGTCCACCATGGCCGCAATAGATTTTGCGCGGTTGCGCAACCAAACAATGGCCGATGGCCTAGACAGCGAGGTCACAGTCAATACAAGGTCGTTGATTGATAAGGTTTTGGCGCGGTATTCTAGTGAACACACAACTCTACGAGAATTAATTCAAAATGCTGCCGACGCCAAAGCCGACACTGTGGTAATAAGACTTGAGACGGATCCTTCTCTGAACATACCTACGCCACAAGGTACAGATGACTCGATCCTGTTGAAACACATCATCCAGCACCATACTCTCAAACGACTGATAGTCACCAACAATGGCCAACCGTTTACAGCCGCAGATTGGAGCCGACTAAAAAGTATTGCGGACGGAAATCCAGACGAGACGAAGATCGGGGCGTTTGGTGTTGGCTTCTACTCAGTCTTCGCTGACTGTGACGAACCTTTTGTTGTCTCTGGCGACAGAACGATGGCGTTCTATTGGAAAGGGAACACTCTGTCTACAAAGGTCGCCAACGTCCCAGCCGAGCACGCAACATCAGACACAATGTTCTCCCTGGATTATCGGCAAGCCAATCCGGCGTCACCATCATACAATCCTTCGAAGTTACCCAACATACCGACATTATGCCAGTTTTTGGCGACCAGTTTGACCTTCGTTGGGCTCAGCAAGATTGAACTTCATGTGGACGATCACGTAGTGGCGTCCCTCACTAAAAAGATTTCACCGCCTGAAGACGTTCGAGTGCCTGGGACTCTGAAGACAGAAACTGAAGGCGGGCTGATGCGCGTCACGCACGTCACACGTCAGCATTCTCAAATAGATGCCGAGTGGTTGAACGTCATTGCATCTGCTCAGAATCCACCGAAGAGACCTTCAGAGTTGGTGCAGCAGGAAGTTCGCAATGCGGGGACTTCATTGAAAAGCTTTTTCTCCAGATTCTCGAATCCAGTTCCACAAGCCCCATCGAGGGCTCCGAAGCCGCAGTTGGCTGAGAGGATCAGCGTTAGCGAAGATATAGCGGGAGAGTCAAAGGGCACGATATTCCTGCAAGTCTGCACAATCGAAGTCGCCACGCGCGTGTCCCGCAATTTTGCAGCGGAGATCGAGCGGGCGACGAAGAAGGCACCACCAAAAACAACAAAAATCGCTCTGTTGACATCGCCATATCAAGAGTCTTCGACAAGTCTTTCAACAGGATCAGGGAGCACAGCAGAGCTGGCCTCGAAGATCTTCGCGGAGGTGTTACCAACAAAGGCCGGTCGTATTTTCATCGGATTTCCTACCGCGCAGACGACCGGCTTCCTTGCTCACATCAGCGCTCCGTCACTCATCCCAACGGTCGAACGAGAAAACGTTGATATGAATGCCCGATTCATCTCCACATGGAACATTGAACTACTGCGTGTAGCTGGACTGGCATGTCGGATTACCTACGTCTCTGAGATGGCAGACATTCAGGCACGCGTCGGAAAAGAGTCTGTTGACTCTTTAGTTCCCAGAGCGATCTACACCTTCAAGCAATACACTGCGAACGCGTCTCATCCTTCCACATCCTTAGGAGAGAAGATTGACGAAGCATTCTGGAGCTGCTCTAAGGAACGCTCCATCGATATACTCTCTACGAAGGGAGTCATGGCAAGCAAGCATGTGCGCATGCCGGCGGAAACTTTGAGTTTTCTGGGAGAAGTTCCAATGGTGCCTCAAGAATTAGCCAACGGGGCCGTCGACTTCATGCTCAATCTTCACAACCGAGGGTTCATTTCGGAACTCACGATGCAAGACATCCGCAAGGGCCTTGAGTCTCGTGCGTTGAATGAGGATGAGCTGTGTGAGTTCTTGAAATGGTGTGGCTCCAAGCTTGAGAGTAATGAAATCGATATTCCCGGCGCGCGTAGTCTTTTCGAGAATACGGTTGCGAACATCGACGTGCAGCCTGACAAGAACTCTGGGAAGATTCTCGCTCTAGGAGACATCGATACATATGTCAACCCAGCCAGGATCACGCCTAGTCTACCATTGCCCCCAAGTACAATCCCTTTTGTCTTTACGAAGGGCATGTCGATCAAGCAGCTGCAAATGTTCGCCTGGATAGAGTTGTCCATGGTTCGATGGCTTCGGCATATGACGACACAACCCCAGCTTGAAGAATTTACGACGTCTGAGACGCTCGCTTCTGCGGTGCTTACTTTGGCATCGAAATGCTGGGAACAATTGGATACAACTTCCAAAGATACTGTAGTCAAGATTTTGACACCTCACGCCATTATGCCGACCAAAATGGGAATGCGCCGTCCACAAGAGTCCTACTTCCCCACGGTGAAACTGTTCGACGACCTGCCGACTGTCCAACCGTTTGCTGGATCCAAAGACAAGTTCCTACTTGCGCTGGGAGTCAGAAAGACCATTGACCTACCTATGGTGTTCGATAGAATGCGAAACCGTGATACCGCGCAACCCTCAGAGAAAGCGTCTTGGAACCATGTCGACCTGATCCGATACTTTGCATCTGTGATGCAGGAGATCCCCAGGAACGACCTTTACCGGTTGCGCGATACACCATTCCTGCCGGGAGAAGGTGGACCCATTGAGCAAGGACAACTGTTCAAGGCTTCCGAACTTTATGCTCCTGACCCAGCTATACTTACTTTGGGATTGACCCAAATCAAAATACCCTTTGAGTTCAAGGCTACCTCGCGTGAAGGTGTACTGCTACTGGCTCTTGGCTTGAAGCTGTGGCCTACATCTATGACTATCGCGAAGATTTTGCATCGCGCTGGGCAATCAAATGACAAACACCTCTACAATCTGACCATGGATTACTTCCTGCAGAACCACTACAGACACAGCTATGCCTCGGAGACGGCACAATTTGCTGCGCTGGCCATTCCAATCTTGCCTACGGACCAAGTCCCTTTCCCTGCACTAGTAGGGCCATTTCAATGCTACACGAACGAAAATGCAGCTTGTTTTGGATTTGCGATTCTCAGAAAGGATCTCCACGCTCATGCTGAAAAGTTTGGAGTTCAACGTGATCCCAACATCGCGCCGTGTGTGCAGTACCTGATGAAGGCGCCTCCAAAGACCAAGGTAGATGCGGAGATACAATTCGGCTATCTTGCGTCTCGTGCGACCGACCTCGAACAAAATCGTGGCTTGATTGGCAGCCTCTCATCAGCCAACATCGTACCTGTATTCCGGAAGTACTATCTCGATCCCACATGCAGTGGTTTTGAAGATCGAACGAAGCGCCAGACGGGCAAGACGGAGTATCGCGTTCATCACTTTGATCCACCCGAGCATGTCTTTGTTGGTCGCGATCAAGAGTACAAAGGTATTCTTGATTACGTTCAGTATGGTCCCGAGGCGACTGCATTTCTCTTGAAAGTTGGAGCAAAGCACGAGCCAAGCATACACGACCTGGCGGCCTTGCTGGCGAAGAACCCCGCTCGGTTCCTTAACACAATTGGACAAGACAAATACCTCGACCTGCTTAGAAAGCTGGCCGATCACGCAGGTAACCTGTGGAAAGACAAGGAACTGGTGCAGACGCTGCTTGCGTCAAGAATACTCCTGGGCTATCGGGACATCAAGGAGGATACCAAGAAATCAGAGGGGGACGAGGATGACTTTGATGACTTGGACGAGCCTGGTGTGCACCGAGAATGGTCCCTCAACCAGGCTCGTGAGATTGTCATCATCGACAACGTCAACTTCCTGACCAGATTTCGGGACTACATCATTGCGGCGCCTCAGGAGGAGCTGCTTGAAGAGTTTTACGCTCGTTTCGGCGTTCAGAAGGTATCGGATCTCGTCAAGACAGAGCAGCGAATTGGCACAGTAGCTCGTGATCAGACTCCTGCGCAACATCTGCGGAAGGATATTCTGGAGCGCGTCCGACTTTTCCTCCACGAGTATGAGCGCGACGCTTCGTCAAATGCTGTAAAGGCCGATGCAAAGTGGCTCAACTCAAATTTGACTGTACACTGTGTGTCTGATATCGGGATTCGCTACTCGCTTGCAGAGCGGAACGTCGCTACGACGGTGAAGAAAACGGCAGTCATCCTCAAGGTACGGAGTACAGGACACGTATTGAGTATCACACCAAAGTACGATTTGTACGAAGTCTCCAGCGAGCTTATCCGCCTCCTGATCCGACGGCCCAAGCAAAACGACGCAATCGCTCTGGAGCGAATCTTGACCGAACCGCTCCGACGGCTGCAACAAAAGGGCATCAACGTGGAGCGTATTCTGCGCAAACGAGAGCACGAGGCGCGTATAGCCCAGCAGCAAGAACTCGAACGCGAGTACGAAGAGAAACAGCACGCAGCCGAAGAAGCCAAATCAGGCGTCGTCAAAGCCATAGAGCCCCCCAAAGCGCCCGAGACACCAGAGAAAGGAGCCAGCATGCCCGGCGCCTTCGGCAGCCCAGAAAACACCATGGAGCTTGCCAACAATCCCCGCAACGAAGACAAGAGCCTGATCAACAACTGGGCCAAGAAACTCGGCTTCAAAACCGCTCCCACTGCACCTGCCCCTGGCGGCACAGATGGCCCTCAGATTAGCCGCGACATCCAGGCCACGAAATCAAACATCCAAAACGCTATCAACGAGTGCAGACCAACCGGCATGCAGAACATCAACACAAAGCACCACCAGGACCCCACCGAGCTCGACAGAGGCGGCTACTGCAACGGCGAGCAGTGGGAGAACCTACATAAAGCCTTCTCCGTGCCCTACGCCGGCCGGCACGTCGACATCTACTACGGGCGCGACGAGTCCGCACCGCTCGACACACTGCACTCGCACCTCTCCGCCTTCCTCCCGCTCGTCTTCGGCCTGACGGCCATCTTCGCCGTGAATCCCGCAGCGGTGAACATCTTCCTCGACCGCAAGTCCAACACCGTCGCGTTCAATCTGAGCGGCAGTCTATTCTTCAACTTGGCGTGGTTCATGGCGCTGCATTCCGAGGGGTGGGGCACCAAGGAGGGCAGGCTTAGGGCGTTGGATAGCTGGTTCTTCACGTTTTGCCATGAGTTAGCGCATAATCTCGTCAGCGATCATAATGCGCGGCATAGTTGGTATCAGCAGCAGATTGCTATTGAGTTTAGTCAGGAGTATCGTAGGAGTTTGGAGGTTGCTACGATGGGGATGGCGGGTTAGATTGGGGGGTTAGATTAGATTGGCGGGAAGATGGGTTGTTTCGGCGTCTTGATTGGGAGGAGGAACCGTTGTTTTGTTTTATTTTATATCGCATGTAGATCAATTTATCATCAGAGAGGTTGTAACTCGTTGATCGAAGTTTTTTCTCTCGTGAACCAGGGTTGAGGGAACCAGATTTCCGCAACGGCTGCCTGCTTGGGCTTTTTGAACGCGCGTGCTCGATTGCATCGGTGGTACATCGGTGAGGCAATTATTGATGATTACCGTGAGTAAAGGTGTTGAGTTTCAACTTGTCCCATACTGCGTGGGAAAATTGAGGCTTGTGACTGTGCTGCGTCTATCTCCCTGCTTCTACTCTACACCACAGACGAACACAGTGAAACTTCGCCTGAAAAAATCGAACAATTCCCTCTACTGTGGCGTATACACAGCATCAACAACGACGCGTTCTCAACCAGAAATCCAGCTGTATCCGCCTGCTGACCACCTTCTCCTCCACGACCACGATTCGCCGTCCCAGACTCCTTTTTTTACCATACACCGGTACACTGCAAATCCCTCTCTCCCCCGCACAATCCTGAACCAAACTTGACACAGCTGGACAACTACATAAGTCGCAGCACCCCTCGCTCTTCTAACTAAATAGCCACTGTATCCTCCACAGCGCTTTACCTTCTTACCAAAAAAGCTTCAAACACTTCCCTTCCTCTCCAACACCAACATCAACATCAACATGATGTTCACCACCACCATCCTGAGCATGCTGCTCTCCGTCTCCTTCGCCGCCGCAGCGCAGGAGTTCCCCTTCCCCGGCCCCATAAAGGCCACACGCACCGTCTCGGCTTCGGCCGACTTCAACATCCTCCCCCTCCCCTCCGCCCCCCTCGGCCCCTCGGCCATCATCGACATCCTGCCCGTCCCCGAGCAGTTCTTCGGGGCCTCGGCCTCAGCCTCGCCCACTGCCGCTGTCGTCTCTGCCGCCGCCGCGGGTCTCAAGCCCCGCATCCTCCCCGTGGACTTCTGGTCCACACGCTCCAGGCCTGCGGAGTGGAGGGCGCCTACTCTCGTCGCCGCCGCCGCCATCGTCTCGGTCTCAGCCCAGCCCACTCCATCAACGCGGGCAGAAATCGACACCCTGCCCCAGCCCTCAACCATCATCATCGTGATCGAGCCCCGTGCCCTCCCCACAGACTTCTGGGCCACACACCCCAGCCATACGGTCGCTGGCCTGCCTCACCCGTCGAATATCCCCCTGGAGTACTGGCGCACGGGTCAGAGGTTTACGATGAGGGCGGCGCCTACTGCTGTCGCTGAGGTCGAGGTCGAGGTTGAGGCCCGGCACTTGCTCATGCCTTCGGGCTTTGATGTTGAGGTCGAGGCGAGGAGTTTTTCTGCGCCTGCGTGGTGGTCTACGCGTGGGATGACGTTTGTGAGTCTTGTTGCGGTGCCGACGGGGGGGTTGGCGGTGGAGCGGAGTACGCTTCGGACTGTGGGGAGGGGGTAGGGGGTGGGTTTGTTGTTTGGTTGGGTGTGGTTGGCGACTACGCGGGTGTGGTCGTCGCCTGGGGGTTTGTAGATAGTGGTGTTTTTTTCCTTAATAAAAGTTTTTCTTCTTTGAGGTTGTGTCTTCTTTGCTTGCGTGATTGTGTTCATGGTTGATTTAAGTGTTGATATGTACTTGATGGAGGGGGATGTTGTAGTAGCTGGACGACTACAGTCCGGATTAGTGGAGGATTCTTGTGCCTGGATTTCTTGCTGTATACGCCTAGCATGTACTTTTTCAATTTGTATAGGTGTAGTTTTGCACCTTGTAGTCGCCACAAATGAGGCAGTTCACTTCCCTCTTTCACACCCGACCTCGAGGCACCATCCAGCCTAGGACATGCAACACACCTGTCACGACTAACGTTGCAAGAAACCGAGGCTTTGCACCATCAGAGCAAAAAAGTCATCCGCCGACGGTGAATGGACACAAGCAAACCAGGGCTTACCTCGGCTGTTGGCCCAACGCGGACCGATTCCCAAGCAGCGTGACGTTTTCACAAGCCAAACCATCGCTCCCCACAATGTTCTCCGCATCCTGAGCGTCGAGATCTGCTGCACGTTCTTTAATAACCCTCGCGGTTCCCGTGAAGCTTATCGTTGTGACTTTCCACTCCTGGTGCCCTGATCCACCTTTCATTCCGAGACAACACCACACACAACACAACACAACCCAACGCAACCCACCATGACAGACATGCAAGACAAAGCGCAAGACAAGCTCGCCGAATCGACGCAAGCGCTACCCCAGAGCACAGCAGCCCAGCAAAGCGACAATGTAGCACACGCGCTCGCCGGCGCAGGAGGAGGTCTGCTATCCATGGCGGTGACGTACGAGACCCTGACAGCCTGCCCTCACGGGTGCTCTCGCTGACGCCTTACCAGCTACCCGCTCATCACGCTCTCGACCCGCGCCCAGGTCGAATCCAAGCGCGCGCAGCTCTCGACGCTGGATGCCGCGCGCCGCATCGTCAACCGCGAGGGCATCGCGGGTCTGTACGCGGGCCTCGACAGCGCGCTCTTCGGCATCAGCGTGACGAATTTCGTGTACTATTACTGTACTCTCACCTCCCCTATCCATAGCATGTGCAATCAAGTGCTAATATATGCAAGGGTACGAATGGACGCGCTCCTTCTTCGAAAAAGCCGCCGTAAAAGCCGGCCGCGCCTCAATGAAGCTAACAACCGTGGAATCGATGCTCGCGGGCGCCCTCGCCGGCAGCGCAACCGTGCTAATCACAAACCCCATCTGGGTCGTAAACACGCGCATGACAGCACGTAAATCGCAGTCCAACGACGCCGTTCTACCGGGCGGCGCGCCCGCCAAGCAGCCCTCAACGCTCAGCACCCTGCTCGCTCTGATCCGCGACGAGGGCCCCCTGCGCCTGTGGACCGGCGTCATGCCCGCCCTCGTCCTCGTTATAAACCCCATCCTCCAATACACTGTTTTCGAGCAGATGAAGCAGTATCTGGAGAAAAGGCGCCGCGTTACGCCGAAAGATGCGTTTTACCTCGGTGCGCTGGGTAAGCTGCTCGCGACGAGTATTACGTATCCGTATATTACTGTGAAGAGCAGGATGCATGTTGCGAGCAAGGATGGGCCGAGGGATGATATGCTGACGACGTTTCGGAGGATTATTAGGGAGGAGGGGTATACGGGGTTGTATGGTGGTAGGTTTTTATCCTCGTTTTGCTGTGGTGGGGTGAGGCTGTGCTGACTGTTGTGTGTGTGTGTATTAGGTATTGGACCAAAGGTTACCCAGAGCGTTATTACGGCTGCGTGTTTGTTTGCGTTCAAGGATGTGCTGTATGCGTATACGGTGCAGGCAAGGAAGAAACTCGCTCGCGCGTAGAGCAATGCGAGGGAGACACACGCCCCCGTTTATCTCACGGAGGGGTACAGCACTACAGGAGGAGTGAGGGAGGCGAACTGTAGATGAACACGCCAGCATGGCCGTATGTACGATATGATATATACCCCCAACCCTTTGCATGCATACATACACCACACGTGTCTTGCACTTCATCTACATCTACATCGCTACCCATGAACGTCCAGAAGCAGACCTCCCATCCCATCCCATCGCACCTGCTCTAGTCTAGTCCAGGCCAGTCTACTCCATACACCCGCACTTGCAATTCTCAGACCCCAAACGAAATCTTTGAACACATATCGTCTCTATCTCCCTTCCCCCCCGGTGGTACTCTCGTCCATTGATACCCTACACACGCGGATAGTCAGAACCTCATGTATGGAGGGAGCGTAGCTGTACTCTCATTGTTCTTCACGCTTCGCGGGCTTATTGTGGCAATAGACCACACGGTGACCAACGTCCTGCTCGGTATGCGCTGTTTGGGGGTGGGTCTGAGACGGTACAAGCAGAGCGTGAGTGTCCGACGGAGGTTGAGCGGAGGACCGTCAAGTGTGGTGGTCTAGGGCGCGGTATATCCAGGATATCGATACACACTCCTTTCCCCTCACCACTCACCACAACCCCCCGCCATTCACCGTCCCCAAACCCTCCTCTCCCACCACCGCAACGGCACATACAACCCCGCAGCCAACACAAACCCAGCCTCAAACCCAACATCACCCGTAACCCTCGCAATCGGCCCCACATACCAAATCTGCGCCATCCCCGGCACCACCAGCCCAAAGCACAGCACACTCGCCGCCATAGCCGCAAACCCAGGCGGCAATTTCCCCGCATCGTCCCACGCCGCCTCATCATCCGTATACGCCGCCACCCTGCGCCCGCGGAAAACGATATGCTCCGTGATAACAACGCCAATAAACACCGCGCTCCAATACCCAATCAAGCCGAGAAAGTTCTCCAGCGCGGGGAAGAAGCTAGCCGCTGCTTCGATAGCGACACCGATTACCACGCCCGTGAGCGGGATGCTGAACAGCACTCTTGGGACGCGGAATAAGACGGGGAGGAACATTTGTAGGTTGAGGGTTACGCTGTACATTGTCGCCGCGAGGTTGCCCAGCATGCTGAACCCCAGGACTACCGTGACGAAGCGACCGAATCCGCCTGCGGGATGTAGCATAGCGGCTAGCACGCCGCTTGCTGCGTTGCTATCGTATCCGGCCTGCCAGGTCGGTGTATTTGGCACGGCGCCGCCCATCGCCGCGCCGAGGGTCATGAGCAGGATGGTCGGCAGCGCGAGGCCTGCGTACGTGTATGTGAAGATGCGGGCGCGTGGTGCGGCGGGGGCCATGTATGTTGAGAAATCGCTGGCGAGGGCGGCCCAGGGGAGCATGAAGCTCGCCACCAGGGCGCCGAAGCTGAGGATCTGGGGCGCGGTGGCGGGTTCCACGGCGGTTTGGCGGTGTAGGCCCGATGCGCCGCAGCCCGTGGCGATTAGCAGCGCGAGGAGGGCGGGGATCCACGCCCAGCGCTCGTAGACGTGCAGGACGCGGAAGCCGCAGAAAGATATGAGCAGGGCGAGGGCGGAGATTATGACGATTCCGACGGTGGCGGAGATTGTGCGGCCGGTTGTTACGGCGGAGAGGGCTTGCCCGCCGATGATGGCGTCGACGATGCAGAAGCCGGTTAGGGTTGCGAGGTTTAGGAGCACGATGAGCGAGATGAAGTGTTTTCCGTAGGTGAAGCGCGCGGATACGAGTTGGCGCATTCCCGTCTGCGGGCCCCAGGTGCAGAGGTAGGCGACGGGAGCTGTGGAGATGAGGGTGAAGAAGAGGATTATTAGGGCGGAGGAGCGCAGGCTGAGGGCGAAGGATTGGGGGCCTACCATGCCGAAGGTTACGCTGCGGGGGGTCAGCTTTGTTGTGGTGTTGACTGAGTCCAAGAACGGTGCTGTTCAATGTCGAATAACAATGCCCATCAATAATCACAACGGGAGAAGACATACGGCAGGGGATTACAGCTCATGCAGAACCACAGCGTGAAGATCCGGGAATACCTCGTCTCTGTTCGTTCATCGTAGGGAACGGGTGCCGCGCCTCGCAACTCGATCTCTCCCCGTTGCTCCAGGAAGCTCATCACACCACGCAGACCTCCGACTCTTGACCGCTTCTCAGCGTCTGACTCCAATCCTGCTTTGTCGACATCCACCTGCTTTGTGTCCAGCGACGCTCTCTCCTCATCCCTCATGATTGCCATGCGTGACTAGCTCTTTCTTGGATCCGCCGTTATACGCGTTGTGAAGCGAGAAGGTTGGGTAAGTACGTCTATCCAGTCTGGGGTACAGACTATATCTCAGGCAAACACACACTCCAGTCTGGCTTGTATTTTTTCGTCTTCGTCGTCGTCCCAGACAGCAGGTCATGATTCGTCTTCAGGCGTGTTATTTTCGCTGACGTCCACACCCCCGGTATGACTCCCCCCTGCTCGGTGGCGTCGTGAAAGAAAACCTTTTTGATACCAATCCCGCGACGGAGACGACCCGCAATCCGCAGGCCGGGAATTCCGATAGCGCCATTCCCAACGGGGAGGGGGAGGCCGGGTCATGGCACTCACTCACTGCGACAACCGTTGACAATACACTAGAAAGAAGTGTAGTCTAAAAAGAACGGCTACAAATCACAAGACGACAAGAGGCCTGCCCCAGCGACCTGGTTTTTTTTCTTCGTCCCGAGTTCCCACGACAAACTGGGATATACCTACCGATGAAACGACGACGGAGAGTTTGCCGATCCGCTCCAGTTCGCTTATTCTTTTTGTGTGGGGTTTGTATGCTAGGCTCCTGACGTCTCCACGCCTGGAACCTCGCGACGTTGGACACGAGATACATGGCCGACTCTCGCCGATGTCCTGCCTTTCCTCGGATGCGCATTGCTTTGCGGTGCCTTTTACTCCGAGAAGAACGTCGACCGGATTTCGGCTTAAGATGACGAGAACGCGCGCTTTGTTTTTGGGGCGATGGAATACTACTACTGCTACTTCTCCTCCTCCCTTCGACATCCTGCATGACTGTGAGTGAACCATGACTATCGAGGAGAAGCCGCAATCTGCCCTCGACGCGGAGAATGGCGTGTCCAGAGAAGCCGGATCCGTGGATGAGGTCCCGTATAGCATCTACACGCCCAAGGAGAAATGGATGATCGTCGCCATGGTCGCGTTGGCGGGGTTCTACAGGTACGTCAGTCTGCAGGGTGTAGTGCTTGCTTTCACACATATGCGGTAGACTGACCATTGCTTAGCCCGTTGCCTGCTAATATATACTTCCCGGCTATACCCACCCTCGCCAAAGCTTTTGGCAAGTCAATCGACACTATCAATCAGACGGTCACTGTGTATCTGGTCTTCCAGGGCGTGTCGCCCATGCTATGGGGGCCCATTAGCGACCGCTATGGACGACGACTGGTGTATCTCGGCTGCTTGAGTATTCTGGTGGCGTCGAGTATCGGCTTGGCGTTGTGTCCGACTGATAAATTCTGGTTACTCTTGTTTCTGAGATGCTTTCAATCTGGTGGAAGCGCGAGTACCATCGCCCTTGGAGCTGGTGTGATTGGTGACATTTCCACTTCCAAAGAAAGAGGAGGATATTTCGGCATGTTCAACCTAGGCCCAATGCTAGCCCCCGTCATCGCCCCAGCCATGGGCGGAGCCCTATCTCAGAGCCTCGGATGGCGGTCCATATTCTGGTCCATCGTCATCATGGTCGCCGTATGCCTAGTCTGCATCGCGCTCTTCCTCCCCGAAACCCTCCGCTCCATCGCCGGAAACGGCAGCCTCCCCGTCTCCCCCCACTCCCGCGCCCTCGTCCCCATCGTCGGCCGCAAAGCCGCCCGCGAAGAATACACCCCCGACCCCTCGCGCGCCAAAGCAAAACAATCCGTAAACCCCTTCGTCCTCTTCACATACCCCGACGTCATCGTCCTACTCACCTTCACCGGCATCGTCTACGCAGTAAACTACACAATCACAGCCACAATCTCCTCGGCCTTTGCAAAAATCTACCCCCAGCTCTCCCAAACCGTGCTCGGCCTGTGCTACCTGCCCACCGGCGCCGGCATGATAATCGGCAGCACCATGACGGGAAAAATGCTAGACTGGGAATACGCCCGCATCAAATCGCAGCTCGGCTCGAAATTCACAATCGAATACGCTCGCCTGCGTATCATGCCCTTCTACCTCGCCCTCTTCATAATCTGCGTCATAAGCTGGGGATGGGCCATCGAGGCCAAAGCGCACATCGCCGTGCCGCTTATTCTCGGCGTTATGCTGGGCTGGACGTCCATTGGCATCCTCAACACGACGATGACGCTCAATGTGGATATTTTGCAGTCGCGCAGCTCGGGGGCCACGGCGTGCACGAATCTCGTTCGCTGCTCGTTGGCTGCGATTCTTATTTCGGTTATTGATCGCATGACGGGGGCGTGGGGGCATGGGTGGACGTATGCGTTTTGGGGGGCGGTTTGTGTGTTGTTGCTTCCGCTTATGTTGTTGGAGATTAGGAGGGGGCCGGTTTGGAGGGCGAGGAGGGAGGCTGCTGAGTAGGGGTGGGCAGGCTGGGAGTGAGGATGGGTAGGCTGGAGGTGATGAAGTGGATTTGTTTGTTTGCTTCACGACAAGCAGACATTTGTGGAAGCGAGGGAGGGAGGAAGCTTGGAATCTTTTGTCCTTGGGATGGTGCGTATCGGACCAGAAAAGTTTTATACCCCTTAGTCGTACATTGTTGCAATTTGATCACGCATTTTTTTTCTCACACAAACACACTCTCCCTAAGAACCTAAGAAAGTGAAATCTATATTCTATCTTATCATACCGACCAGCAGTACCCTACACCCTCATCCCCGTCTATCCCCATCTACCTCCATCTACACTCCACTCCTCTCCACTTCTCTTCTTCACTTCCCCCTCCCAGCAGCCTCCCTCGCAGCACAATACGGACACTCCTCCGTCCTCAAATGCACGCATTTATCCTCCACACACAGGATCTGGTGCTTGGTGCAGTATCCAAAGGCGGTTTGGCCGCGGCAGTTACCCTTGCTTTTTAGCGGGCAGTGGTGCGTTGTTTGGCCGCGGTGGCGGGGCATGTTGTGTGGTTTTTGAGGGGGTGTAAGGGGATAGTTTGCTGGAGGGTTGACTGGGGGAGAACTGTATGGGGGATGGGATGGAGGGTAGGCGGGATTTATACATCCCCGTCCTGCGCTGTGGAAAGTTCGTCGGCGGACATTGTGATGCAGTGAAGATACTGTAGGGCTGTGTGAAGACGTTGTTCGTTGTGGGGATGGGGGGTTCACAATGCGGGTTGGGAGGTGCTAGATGTTCGTCATTGTGAGTGGTGGTATACACTTCTCTGGTCGACGATGGGTGGTGCGGAGTGTCTTTTCACTGGCTTGGAGAACAGGCGGCGAGGCTTTGTGCGTGGCACTGTCTGTGGATGATTATTACTACAGCGTTGTCTCGATGGGGGATGGCAGTATTATAAGGAAGGGGAATGAAATTTATATCTATGCGGGCACTATTCAGTAGAGCTAGAAGTTTGTTTGGCGGAGTGGTGCCTAATACACTGAGCCTTGCGGGTGTTGTCTTACGTGATAAGCATTCGGTTAACGCACAGGCTAATCTTGATATGTAGTTAACTGTGTGCCCTTCTAGTATATACAACATGTTTTCCCAAGCATCATATATATGACGGCTAGTATTGTTGAAGCATCGACGAAAACACAACGCAACAAAAAGATGTGCAGTGAAGATTTAAACTGTCTATGCGCCAAGTCACTGTTACACAGTCCCACTCAAGTAATATCTGAGAAACTATCGACTGTCGTTAGAATGTTGAGACCTTTGTCACACAACAGGCCCCGCAAGGCCTCGCTCCACTGGATAGAATTTCAACCCCATCGAACAGTCGTTGCCTGTACTTATTCAAAAAAGCTTACATACGAGACATAAACCATGGAGTGTTTAACTTGTCATATGACGATGCGAGATATGCGTGGAGAGTACTATTGCACATTTGATAGGATGGTATGTATTGTAGGTGCCCATCCTTCACATAATTTGTTCTTGACATGAATACTGTGATTTCACTTAAGTAGATTCCAACCAATTTCCCCGTCTTCAGCATGTCGAAATAGTACAAATACCGACTTAGTTATCTACTGCACAAACCCCCCCACAGAGTGAAGCAGCTAATACAGTCCCAACCTCACGCCGAGCACCCATTCAAGAACGGAAAAACATGACCCAACGGGTGCCGCATCCCCGCCCTATCCTCGTTCAAGAAAGGAAAAACATGACCCAACGGATGCCTCCCATCCACCCCATCCCCACGCGCCTCCCGCCTCACCCGACGAATCTCCTTCCACTCCCTCAGCATCTCCTCAGCCTCGGTGATATCATGGCTATACTTCATACCATCGATAGCAAACTGCACAAGTCTCCTCGCCAAGCGATACGCCGGCTCATACGCATAGCGAAGATACTTCGGCCCGGCGGCGTCTTCAAACGCGCGTTTCAGTATCCCATCTTCTTCGGTGGCTGGCATGTCGTTTGCCCGTAGCTCGTTGTCGTCTTCGTCGTCATCCCACGCCCATATCCATGTCGGTGGCGTGCAGGACATGAAGGTGGGGGCTAGGACGGCGTCGTCCCAGTCTAGCACGGCTGTGATGTGCGGCGTTGGACAGTCAGGAGTCGTCCCGCAGAGTATGTTCCGGGGTTCGAGGTCGAGGTGGCAGAGAGAGATCTCGTTGTCGGCGAACCAGCCGTCTTCTTCGAGTTCTGAGGCCATGACGATGAATTGGTCCATGAATTTTGGGCGGAGGACGTCGGCGGGGAGGTTTATCAGGCCGTCGTCTTTGCGGTCTTGGAAGTTTGTTTCCAGGAGTTTGCGGATGGTTGGGGGTGGCTTGTCTTGACGCTGGGGTGAGCCTTCCCACTCGAAGAAGGGCTCGATGATGACCTCGTCCCGCGATGCATTGTCGATGTCGTTGGCATTGTCATTGTCATTCGACGGCAGACAAAGCCATCCCGCAGTTGAACTCGTAACATCCATCAACCTCCGCAAGACACGCCCCAAGTCCTCAGCAACCCTCCGCCTCCCCTCCCCGCCCAACCCTCCCCACTCCCCCAACAAGCTCCCCCCCTCCAACCGCGTAATAACCATAAACCGCTCGCCCACCTCATTCTCCCTCCCGCCATCAAACCCCACCACCCGCGGCACCGGCACCCCGCCCATATCACCCACGTACCGCAGCGCCGCAACATCGCGGTCCAGCCGCGCCGCATCCATGCGCGGAATGCGCAGCACGCAGTTCACCCCGAGAGACGGGATCGCGATGCCGATGATGCGGTTGTAGCCGCCGCCTTGCATGCGCTCGATGGTGATGGAGGAGGGTGGGGCGAGGGGCCAGAGCGTGTGTGCGAGGGAGAGGACGCGCGGGTGGAAGGTGGTGAAGGGTTCGTGGGCCCATTGGGTTGTTGAGGTTGTTGAGGTTGTGGAGGAGGTGTCGTTGTCGTCGTCGTCGTCGTCGTCGTCGTTGTCGTCATCGTCTGAGGGGGGTGTATGGTGGGATAAGGCGTCTGGGGTAGGCAATGGTGGTGAGAGGACGTCTTCAAGCTCAACCATATTTCCCGGTTGACAATCTCGGTCTGACATCTTCGGTTGATACTCTGTTTGATTCTCGATGTCGTGGGGAAGGAACAAGCCTACCTTCCCACTCGGGAGAAAACTAATATGTGTGTTGGGCGGTACAAACACTTTCACAGGGGCGTTCTTTGTGCGCGCTCTCTGCATGCGGTGAGTTGGCATTCACCCACTCACGCAATGACAAAGACAATGAAGCTGTTCCCGTCCGTGGTGCGAGCACAAAGAAGCCCTCCCCACCTGGCTGTGAAAGGGTGTCAGTGTAGGCAGTGATGACTGGCTGTGAACGGTCCACTGACAACTTAATTCGTCGGCCTGATAACTTGGTTTGTGCAGGTTCAACACATTACCTCGTCATATAATAGCAAATTCTAAGTGAACTCAGAAGACTTGAGACCCCGTCTCGCTTGTACAGTCGAACGAAGCTGCAGATTAACGAGAGCAAACACACAACCGAATCCATCGTCCTTTCCCCAAGACATATCCTTGCGCTCGGACCGTCTCACTACACCTGCCACTGTTATGTCGCAGTAAATCTAGCCCAAAGATTCGCATTTACACACCACCACGGCATGAATGTAGATGAAGCGCATCACCCACATACACCCACATAAGTCTTCTCCGCAGCAGCTCAGCTCAGCGAAACAGTACACCAAAAACCGCTTAATTTTCTTCATATAATATCGCGACCGTCATCCGTCACCTGATCTCATAGCTGCTTCGATAACGCCCCCATTCCCATTCCCATTCCCATTCCGCTTTCTTTCCACCTCAGCCTACAAGTACAAAGTAGCACGCGCGCTATGTTGCACGCGGCTCAAACCGGTTCCCGATCAGATACGCAAACGCCAGATTCGGGCCCAAATGGCCAGTAACCGTGGGGAGAAAAAAGACCATACCGCCCATCTTTACAGATTTGCTGGAAGCCACTTTTTTTTGAAGAGGTATGAAAGCCAGGTCTGATCGCCATGCATGACTCCGAGACGCAAGCGAGAAAGACCCCCAATTCCCTGATGTCCAGCCTGCGCTTCACTCACGCACCAAAACTTCTCATTTCAATCGTGACTTGTCATGTAGTCTGGCAAGGACCCAAGTCCTCATGTAACACCTGAAAATTCCTAAGCCGTTGGCTGGTCCCCAAAGGCAGTTGGTGCGCCACGGCCCCTGAAGGCAAAGCCGCCGCGACCGCGTCCTCGACCACGGCCACGACCTCGGTATCCACCGCGGTAGCCATCGATACTGCCTTGGCCGAAAGTCTCCATGTTCTTCCTTCGCTCTTCGGTACGGAACTCCTGACCGCGACGGCTGGCAGCCTCTTCCCTGTCCTTGAGTTCGCTCGAGATGTTGTCGAAGAAGCTGGAGCCCTTGTCGTACATTGCAGAGGGGATAACAACGTCTCCCTTGCTTTCGGAGGCGCCGTTTGCGTGGGTATTCGAAACCGCCTCGACCGTTGGCGCGACAGAGGCGTCACCAAGCGGCGATCCCGTTGCAATAGCCTCCTTGACCATGTCCTGCTTGTTGAACTTCGCGTTCGCAGCATCGAAATCGTAATCGGTTGTCGGGACTTCCATCTTTGGGTGCTGGTGACCACCCCTGCCTCCTCCTCTTCCGCCACGACCGCCACGGAATCCACCAGGGGCTGGCTGGCGGGTTTGACGGCTCTGGTGCTCTCTCATTCCCTCGACTTTCTGCGCTAAGTTGTTCATAGGGTCTGAGACTGGTGCAGGCGCCTGTCCTCTGTTCTGAAGGTTGAGCTTCGCCATAGCCTCGGCGACAGCAGCAGTCGCAAGCTGAGTCGCATTCTGTTGCTGAGCGGCAGTAGCTGCAGGCTGAACAGCGGGAGCTGCAGCTGGTTGTTGTGTTCGTGGTGTGCTCTTGGTCACGTTCGGGCTAGCGATCGGAATAGCGGGAATGATGCGGCCACCCTTTGGTCCTGTCGGAGCGGTTTTTGGTACACCTCGGGCTTGTTGGACCGGCAAAGGCTGTGGAGGCGCAAGCGCAGCCGCAACATCTGGCTTCGACTCGACGGGTGGAGGTGGAGCTTGCTTAGGGGTAGCAGCTGGTGCGGGTGCATTTCCTGCTGCCTTTGCGCCCGTCTTTGCCTGTGCAGGCTTCGTGGCGCCATCTACTTCAGCAGCCTTGGGCTGTGCAGCGGGCTTCTCGTTCTTGGCCGCTGGAGGCCCTGTTGGAGCAGCGCCTCGCGGGCCTGTTGGGGGCTGGTTCTGGTTTTGGCTCTGATTCTGATGCTGGTTCTGCAGTCCAGGAGGACCAGCCGGCATTTGAGGCGTGTAGGGTCCGGGAGGTCCGGGAGGTCCATTGAAACCTTGGCCTGGCGGGAACCAACCTGGGGGAGGTGGTCCATATGGAGGCATGCCAAATGCGCCAGGGGGTCCTGGTGGGAAAGGGCCAGGAGGACCGCCAGGAAATCCACCCTGCGGACCAAAGCGGTTCTGGTATGGGCCGCCGGGGCCGCCGGGGCCGCCGAACGGAGGATAGCCACCTGGTGGGAACTGGCCATGCTGCGGAGGGAAGTTCGGAGGCGGTTGTTGCGGGCGCTGCTGTTCTTGCGGGGCGCTTTCTTGGCGGGGCTGAGACTGCGGTACCTGTCGCATCCATTCTGTGTTAGCAACAGAACTTGAATTATGCGTGACAAGGGATGGATTGCATAGAGGGTCTCAGAAGGAAGGCAACGGAGGATATCCACATGGTTTTGCGCTCTCGGTGGTAATAAAATGATTTACATCCGAAAATGTTACATCATCGGACCATGACGTGCAGAAGCTGGGGTAGACTCACTCCGATGATGGCTGGGTCCTGGGGCATGGCTGGAGGCGGGGCCTTCTCCTTGGCCGGCTCCTCAATGCGCAGGTCCTTCACATCGCTGCCGCGAAAGACAATTTGCTCGTAGTTGACGTCGGAAGGCGGGTACTCGTCCTTGCCGCCCTTTCGTCCCTCGGTGCCGTAGGATCGCACATTGTCGAGGGAAACGGTCGACTGTTCCGAGTTGATCTCGACGAGGGTACCGACATAGCTGCACATAGTCAGCGCCCAGAACCAATGCCTCTGCACGTGATTGCCACTGACCGGATGTCGCTCTTGGAGATGAGAGATATGCGAGATCTACGCGTTGGCCGTTAGCAGAAGCTCCAGCACCGCGTCCGAGCTACCACTGACCCTATGAACTCGGACATGGCTGCGCACTGCGGGTATCAAAACGGTCGTCTGGGCGAGGAGAAGCTGTAGCAATGCAAGAAGAGGGGGGACAGCAAGCAAAGGGGACGGGTGAGAGAGAGGCTGGCGTCGTGTCGAAGCGGAGGCCCGATGTACGTATGGACGTGGGAGAACTTGGCGTCTTAGCCTTAGCGAGCCCCTCGGTTTGACCATGTCCCATGTCCCCTTACCCCACACCTCATGCCCATGCACTACCTTCACTCGCCATGAGCGTCGCTGGAGCCACCGATGGGCTGAATGACGTATACGAGGCCCTTGAGCGATACAACTGGGACGACGATGTCGAGTTCCAGTCGGGCCTGAGTGCCATCTTGGGGAGCAACAGCACGCCCGAGCAAGCTGCCGAGCTGGCGTTGCGCGCACGATGCTTCTACTATGCTCGGTATGCAAACACACACGCACGTTCGCGCCTTCCTGATGTGCTTTGGTGCTGAGCATATGCAGAAAGTATACCACCAACATCGACTTCGACGCTTACAAGGCATACCGTAACGCGCGCGGTCGACCACCCCCTGCATCGGCCAGCGTGTTGACTCTTGTACCTTCGACGGAAGCTATACCACCAGCTCCAATTGAATCTGCCGGTGGTGTCTTACCCGCGCCTGCGAGCGCAAGTGAGCCGCCAGCACCATATCCAACCACGTTTGCACATATCGTGGACCTCATCACCACCGGACAACCCATACCCGGCATCAAGGACATTCCGAATACCGTACTTGAGGGGCAGGGCACCCAGCCTGAAAAGACCAGGAGAAAGAAACCGTGGGAAAAGGACGAGAAGTCTCCAGCCACCGAGGAATCAGTCCCAGCTGCCGTATCCTAGATCGAATAGCACATATGAAACACGATATCAAGAATAGATATTACACAACCTTCTCTAACACAACCATGCTCGATTAATGTGTATGAACACGTACAATTCGACCTATCCAACGAGTACCAAAACACGAGGGGTATATAGCAAAACCAACCACCTGTAACAAAAAGAACTCCCACCCAGATGCACCAAAGATCCCTCCAACCTCTTACCCAACACCCGCTCACAATACAGCCTCAAGAATCTTATCCTTCAAGCTCTTGACCTCCTCCTGACTCTCCCAGAGCTTCCTCTGCGCTTCCAAAAACTTTGCTTTCCACGCCACGCCCTCCCTTCCGTCCTCTTGCCCCTCTTCAATACTCCCTTCCCCGTCATCCACTGTAGCAACAAGTCCTTTCGCCACCCACTCGCCAGCGAGTCCGCCAAAAGTCACGGCGAAGAACACATCAAACGTCTCCTTGACCGCCCCATCGTGCATTCCCTCTGTATCCTCGTCGTCTTCTTCGATAGGACTCTCGTACCCATCACCCCCAACACGGAATCTGATGCATTCTACCCGTCTCACTCCTCCATTGGGACCACCAATGCCAAGTCCAACAGCACCCGTGAGACCCAGACAACTGCTGATTGCGATGCTCAGCATCTGGTCACTCATAGGAAACCCTGGACCTGACGTGACTTTCGCGTAGAGAGGTTGTAGGATTGAAGAGGCAAGGTTTTTTGCTTCTGTACCACGGAGACGCTTTCGACGGCCATTCAATGGAGCACGGATCAGTTCTGCGGCGAGAGCGCGATTCAGCGTCTCAGGGGACATGTTCGGGAGGGGACGTGCTGCAGGCGAAGATTGAGTTTGTGGGCGTGGAGGAGGAGGCCGAGGTTGCGCTGGTGTTTCTGAAGGCGTGAGAGAGCCGTGGTATGTGTGATGTGTTGGCCCACTGTGGTGGTCAAACGTAGATGCTGGCGAATTATGCACTGAGATGGGATTGAGCGTCGAGGGAACCAAATCAGTACCAGGGCTTGTGTTCTGTTCACCATTGACGAGCACGGTTGGTGTGACCAGCCTCACGGGATTTCCCAGATTTTGCGGGACCTGAAGACTCAGTCTGTGTGGTCTTTGAATTGCACCATGTAAAGCACTCTCTCCATGCAGCGATACAGCAGATGCAGGTGTTGGTGGAAAGCGGAATGAGTGGTCGTGTCCTGGAGGGTCGGATTGGGCGCGTTCCACAATGGGTGTCAAGTTGCCGTGGTTCCTGTGCATGTCAATCGTTGGCCCTTCTCTCGTCTTTGGGTTTGCCGGAAAGGTAACGAAAGGTCCATCCCTGACCGACCGATTACTAGGCGGCCGCCCTCGTAGTTTTCCACTCGACGAAGTGTTGTTGCTTGACCATGCAGACGAGACTGCAGGACCATGGCGACGGCGTGCGCGAGGCCTTGCACTGGAAGGAGTTATTGCGGATTGTGGTTCGTCAAAAAATGGATGCGCAGAGTGCGGTGTTATAGCTGAGAGTGGATGTGGCGTGGTTGGATGGTCCTGTGTATTGAGACGCCAGCGGATCTGTTGCCCTCCCATAGGCGAAGCTGAATATGGGGTCAGATTCTTGTGATTCATCCGACTTGGTGCTGAATCCGTCGTCATGGCGGACGATGGAGTGATGACGGATGCTGCAGTCCAGGGATCATGAGGTGTCAAGAACCCTCCCATATGGTCAGGGTGGGCACTGGTAGGATACGCCGACTGAGGCTGCAACGCGTTTCCAAACGGAATTGATGTGTCCAATTGAGGGCGCTTGCGGGCGGGTGCACTCTCATCCCCTTCCATCTCTTCCTCGCCATCGTCAGCTTTCCGTCGCCCGCGTTTTGGCTTGAACTTGGGGTCAAGTGCTCGTATTGCTAAGTCTTCCTCTAGAGGCACGCCATCACGTCCTCCGTCTGGAAACGGATTGTGTGGTAGGGGTATTTGTAGATAATAAGGATGCTGCTTTCCAAGTAGGTACTCGAAGAAGGCGTCGATGTGCATTGCACGCATCCATCGCTAGACACCGTTAGCATTGCATACACAGAAAATGAGAGACAAGCAAATACGGAGAAGAAGAAGCGGTAGAAGGTAGCTGACAACGACGGGAGGTTATTTGCGGCGTGGCGAACGACACATCGGGAAGGTAGTGGGCCCATTCCTTGCACTACGATTCTGGAGCAACTGGCTACGCCGTAGACATCGAGGCTATTCGGGTTGGTTCACCTCTTAGATCTCACCTTACGTAGTGGCGCATGGAGGCCCAGTCGCTTGTTCGTAGTTCGTAGTCGACCGTTCCAGTGTTCTGGTTGACCGTGCCGCACGATCGAGCGGCATCTGAACCAGATCCTCGGAATAGGAGGCGTTTTCAGCGAAGCAGTTCCTCAAGTCCAAGGATGGGCAGAACATGGTGTCGATATTTGGGTGGATGACTAAGAAAGACATAGACAAACAGAAATATCCTCACCTTTAGCCTCACAGAGTACTGTTGTACTTTCTGTGTACTCTGCCCCTTCTCGGTATCTGGCGGTGCAACGCCCAAGTCCAAAGCCAGTTTTGTCCACGTCGTAATCTCCTTTGCGTCGAACTTGCGTATCAGCTCGAACAACGTCCAGACGCTAAACGCGTTGCCATCACTCTTAGGAGGCGTCCGAAACAGCTTCACCAACTCAGTGGTGTCGATGGACGTGGGGAAGTTGGGGTTGCAATATAGTATAAAGTTGGCGAAGGCGTTGTCGATGGTCGCGTCGGACACGTCGCGCGATGGAGGAGAGCGGTCGTCAGGCACAAAGGAAGGTGTCAGCTGCTTTGGCTGGCTGGTGGGTGACATGGCGGAGAAGCGCGGCGAGGCGTTGGAGGGAGTCGGTGAGCTGCGCGCCATGTCGCCATAGAAGCTGTGCGCCAGCTGGCCGCCGCCGAGGGAGGCATTCTGGGGTTGGAGTAGGTGGTTGTGGGTAGCTCCGTGTCCATTACGGTTGGCACCTGTGCTCTGGTCAAGGCTCGGATCAATTGCTGGTACACCAGCGCCTGAGTGCCGAAAGGGCGAGTACGCCGGGGTGTTGTTGGTCCCCGCGTGCTCGTAGTGCCCGCTGGCCGTGAGATGCAGACTGTGCTCCGTCTCAGATTCCTCGCCAAAGTCGACTTGCATGGTTTGGAGGCGCGAAGGATGGTAACGTGGTATCTGGGCCGCTCAGCACGCCATGTACGCTCTGATGTAAGTCGCGCCTGCCCTGACTTCAATAGACTATCGGCCACAGTGAACAGGCGACGCGCAATGTGCTACGCTGCTGGAAATGCCTTTTTTCGCGGCTCCCCCATCCAAAGGGTGAGCTGCTGTATACAAAGGGCGCCTGCTGCAGCAGAGAGAGTTCGCGAGTCCAGCGCGAACAGCCCCAGCGATAGGATGCGATGCGCCCAGCGCTGTCGCGAAAGCACCTCACTACGAGCGGGGGGGCTATATTGGTCGTCTTGGTATGTAGACGCGACGGCGCGCGATGCAATCGTGTCGTCGAGAATCGTTTGTTGGTATTTGCGGTTATGACGAGTTGTTCTTGCGTACACTTAGGTATTGTCGAGGGCCAAGGGTCATGTCTATTTTTGGATCGTCAACTCCGACCCGCTCCCATGTCGCTGCAGGAACATCAGCACGCCTTTCCCATCTTCCCTGTCTTATTGGTTGTTTCTGTGTTTGGAATCAATTCGCCTCCGACAAGGTTACGTCGAATCTGGTGCGATGCCGGGTTCCAGCAGCGCATGAACGACATGTGGGTTTTGCTTGTGGTACGCCAAAGACAGGTGCCCACCTCACAAGGCTGAAGAGAACGAGGAGCAAAAGGTGTGGTAGACGCGAAAGATCGACGGTGGCGCCTTCTGCTTTGCGAAGAGTGTGAACCTTAGTATTGAAATGACAAGGTGATGTGTATTGGTTGCTCACTGCACCAACACGGTTTTGTCTGTTGCCTCTCCAAGCGCCAGACGATCTTTTTTAGCAGAATCTGGGCACATAGATGAGAGACTTCTGTTTACGGCAAGTACTTGCTTGTCAAAACGTGCTATTGACGCACAACTACCCATCCTTCATTTATGTTTGCCAGACATGCAGCGCAAGCAAAAGACAATTCACGATGCTAGAACTTGAACCAGGCTACCACTGTAGAAACATATGCACAAGGACGTTATTACATTCAAGTACTCCCGTTCCATAACAACATGACCATTCAGAGACCGAAAAACACTCACTGAGAACAAAGAATGAGTGCTAACAAAACTCGTATACACTACAAATACCGACTCAAGTCCCTATGTACAGTGAGCCTTTCCAATTATGTAAGAAGCGTAAACCACAGCGGAACAATATCGACGGCCCTTTCAACCTTTTTAACCCCCAGATCCTCACGTCTGTCTAAACGCGGAGCTCCGTCTGCTCCCCAAACGATGCATTCGCGTGCCCATGATGGTGATCCTTCTCGTTCATAAGCGCTCGATACTATTCCACAAGTCAGTATTCCATCCTCTCTCTTGAACACAGATCATCAACATACCTTGAATCCAAAGTTCAAACAAAGCGCAACAGCCAACCCGACACAAACAACCAGCGGTCCCGTCAGCCCGTCGAAGTCCTTGCCGCTCCTCTCCCGGATTAGCTTGTTCCTCCACATGTACATTCCATACCCCCACGCGAGTGTGAACGCCGCGATGGATGTGTACACCACTGCCAAGGCTCTCGCAATGTTATTGCCCTCACCTGCCGCGTTGTATAGACCGAGTGACAAGGAAGCTAGCAACACACTAACATGCTGCCATTTGATGAACGTGCGCTGATTCGCAAGCCAAACCTTTGCTTCGACACGCACAGGACCCTGATCTTTGATCCAGACGCCAGGGTCGCGAATACCGGGCGGCAGTTGGATGCGACGCTGTTGTTTGCGGGCATATTTGGATGTGGAGAAGGAAGGGAAGAGAGAGGCGAGACCGGTACGTTTGCCGTTGAGGGCCTCGGGTATGTCATCTTCGTCTGAGTCTAGTTCCTCGTTCGTGCGGTCATTGTTGTTCGATTGCAGAGAGCCAATGTTGATGGGAGCGCGGGGCATAGATTGCGCAGTTCCGCCGCCGCTGTTGGCGATAGCAGCACTGGCACTTCTCTTCGGAGCGGAGCGCGACACGGCAGGGGAGCCGATAACCGAAGAACGGTAGCTGGGGCTTGCGCGCGCGCCAAAGAGGGAGCCAACTGCGACATCGTTCTCAGCGGCGCGGCGCTTGCGTTCTTCCTCGTCGGCAATGGCTTTTGAGGGCTCTTTCCTGATGTCATTATCGACTTGGCTGAGCCAGAAGGGGAACGTATTGACGTTGTCTTCGAAGAGCTTTGCAACACCTTGAACGAATTTGGAGAAGCGCGGCGACTCTTGAACAAGGTGCGAGTTCATCAAATCCTCGACCCACTCGTACTTGTTGACCCCCTTGACCTTGATCTCCAGCAGCGCGTAAGGGAACTTGTTAACCTCCCCCTTCTTGATAGCCTTGAATGGGAATTCCATTTTGCCGCTATCAATATCACGCCTGTGCCAATCGTCGGGGTCGCGACACGGTCGGTCCATGTCCAAGGCGTCTTCGCGAATCAGGGCGAGATTTGTGTCGAGCGAGATGCGGACGCGGTCGTCGCCGGGAATCTGGAACGCTGTACGGGTGTAGTTGGCCCGTAGAACAGGCTGCAGGCTCTTCTCCTTGACGAAGCTCTGAATGTCCTGGACGGCCTTCTTGAATTTGTCCACCTGATTCTGATCCTTGTTGGGCCGGTACTCGAGCTTTTCGATGCTCTTCTCCATATGATACTTGTCCTCGAGGAAAGCCTGCACGTACTTGCCTTTGATAGGGAACCGTACTTCCTCGCTGGCATTACCCTCCTTGATGACCTTCTTTTCGAAGACAATCTCTGGCTTCTCGCCCAACTGACCATACCACCTCAGGCGCAACGAGGCAGCGTCGGGCTTGCCGTTGACCTTGTCCGTGTACAGCGAGAAGTTGGGATTGTCAAAGTAGATTGACGTGATGGTGGGATCGCGCTGCGTACTGTCGGCGACCTTAGACGTCTGTGAGTTATAGACGAGGACGGGAAGACGGCGGAGGATAACGGTTTTGACTTCGAAGAGGTTGTCCATGTGAACCCAGACTACACCATATTAGTCAATGATGACAACCAAGACATGCCACTCAACTTACATTTGTGTGAGACAAAGCTCTCGCCGCCCGAGCTGCCCTCGGCAAAGGAAAGTGCTTCCTTAGGCTTGCCCTCCAAGCTCTGGCGGACAAACGAGTACAGCGCAGACAGCCGGTACAACAGCGGAGATGCATCCTCAGTCTGCAGCGGCTGCTCGGCAATGCGGGCATCGATGAATGGCCGCAGACGGTACGACTGGCCACGGAGCTTGTCGTGCTTCTTGGTCGCCTTGATGACGGCGGTGAAGTTGATCCTGCTAAAACCTTCCAACTCCTTGGTCTCCTTGGTGATATCGTCGAGCTCCGCCAGCACCTCGTTCAGCAGCTTCTCCCTCTCCTCTTGGCCAAGCTCCGACTTCTTCGACGCTTCGCCCTCACCGGCCTCGTCCTTCTTCTTCTTCTCCTCTCCCTGGTCTTCAGATGGGATGCCTACAGCCAATGGCTCTAGCTTCTTCTCGCATGCTGACGTCCGGTCGCGCAGCTTCTGCGAAACCTCTTGGATGAAGTTGTGTACGTTCTCTAGCTGCACGTTGGCGAGCTCGTCGACAAACGCCTGCTCGTCGTCGGCCGTCCACGTCTCTTCCTCGTCACTATCCTTGAGCAGCTTCTTTAGCTTGTCGTAGTCGATGTATTTGCCCTTCCATGGCGGATACACGCTTTTGCGCAGCGTAGTTCCGAACTTCATTGCGCGGATCTGCAGACGATCTTATGGCAACCTATGCGCACTTCTCAAGCAAGGATATCAGTTTAGCGAAGATTGGCAATGCAGTCGTAGGTCCAGTAGCAATACCAACAGCAGGCGCAGAAAGCTGTGCGTGGTTGTCTTTGTCGTTGTTGTTGTTGTCGAAGAACCTGGATTCGAGCTTGCCAGCCAATCCTTGGCCAATCGCGGTGCACGTGTAGCACCTTCCCAGCCGCGTCTGCAGCGTCATGGCTGCGCACGGACTTTCAACCAGTCGCGACCAACATTTGTTCACCAAACCCAAAGCACACTTCCTTTGACAGATTGCTAACTCGGAATGAAGAATCAACTTTGAGCAACTTCAGCCAGTTGATTATGATGTCGTGTCATGTCACATGCATACAGATCTCTCAACACGTGAAGACTTCGTGTATGAAGTGCTACTTCGTATCAATCGGAAAAAGTTGGTCACTATGAGAGCGAGGGTATTCGAACTGTAGTCGTGGATTACATTGGCTCTAATTATGGGTATACGAAGAGAGGACTATCCTGGCTTGGACAGATATGGAATTATTTCATCTCTACCTTTCTTTGAACTGAAAAGGATCTTGAATTTCCATTTCAGATAAACACGTCCAGGAGATACTGTGAATACCATGTAAGCAGGAAATCTTACTTTCGTTGGCCCTGGAGAAACCCTTCGGAGAATGGCGTACCATTCGAACCTACACAAAGCGCTCGTTGCGCTGGCATTGGGACCTTCCTGTCACCGGACTTCGTGTATCTTACGTGGTTCCATTAGTTTTGTAGAAGTCGATAATGTCATCGATCATGGGGTCAAGCCCTGAAGCGCCGTCTTCGTTCAGCGATGAACCTTTCAGGTTTCATGATACTGTCCTCTGACGAAGGCGACGATCAAATGAACGGGAAATACATCACAACCGCGGAACTGGGTATGTTAAACCCTAATGATCTTGACCGAAATAACCAACGTATCTTTCCCGACGGAGTGAAGGATTTACATGCATAGTTACGAGTACTGGGCAACTCGGTCCTAAAGAATTCGGTTCTGCCAGTCTAGAGGTTTGTAGTGCGATATTACGTCGAAAGCTATGCCAACTTGCTTATCAGTGACACAGCGTATGCTATGCTTCCTGTAAGGTCATCTTGTCTGCAGATTTCGCGCACTAATGCGCGAGCCAAGGTACTACGATCACAGTTCAAACTCCTATCATATTACGTACAATCCTACGTAACGTACCCGATTCTGAGAATCGCTGCATTGGAGGGCGGTTGTCATTCCTCAGTCATCAACAGTAGCCGCGTGATTCTGATGTTCAGTTGCATCCAGGACTTTCGCCTTGGGCCAACGCTGTGAACGTGCCGAGACCGAATTGTGTAGATTGTCTCCAATGTGAGCACCTACAGAACAAATTACCGGCATAACAACCGACTGCATGTAATTGTACCAGAAAAGCAAAACTGAGAAGCGGTACAGAAACACTGGAGAAGCTCAGGCTTTGGCTGATTACTATTTTGTCGAGGGACTTAGTATTGTCCAGGGACTTGATAATGCTAGCACATGTATCGAAAAACGCATATATGAGGCGTTTATTAGGAGTGTTTGCTCATGACTTCATTGGTGGATGGGTAGAGAGTTCAAGATCGAGCGGATGTGCCATCACACACAGATAGCTTATCAACGTCGTACGACGTAGGTATTCAAGGATGTCTGTAGCTGTTTGCCTCACGATTAGATCTGAAATTCAGTCAAGGTCTCTACAATTCAAAGCAGCCATCTTTTCTCGCACATATAACCAATCGAAGCACACATAAGAGGTTATGGGGGAGTTTTGTTACCATAGTGGTACAACAAACACTCTACTGAACACCGGTTCTTATGAGGAACCACGGATACATGAGAGGGGTTCAGTTCACCTCCAATTATAATGCAAAGATTGTAATGGACATGTAATGGACACGCATGCACATGATCACGCGTTTAGCGTGTAAACTAACTCTAATCCCCGCTTTCGACCCAACCCGTGTACTGTCTGTATAAATTCGACGTGTAATCGTCAACGCACTGAATTGCTTTTGTCTCACTCTGTTTACATACTTAAGATCAACAATTTGTAACAATTCACTTCATCACAATCCCTCCATCGAACACCACAATGGCTTCTACAGGCAGTTCATCACCTTCGTTTCGCTTTCGCGACCTCCCCAGTGAAATTCGCAAGAATATCTACCGCAACCTGCTATGCGATTTCGACTTACCACCCACCACAATCAAAATCGACACAGGGTTAGCCTTTTTGCGCGCCGGCCATACCATCGAGACGGGCATCCTCCGCACAAATGCCGAAATCCACCGCGAGGCCTACGACGTTATGGTTAAGACCAATCGCTTCGTCCAGATTACCTCTTCCAGTGGCTTTCCATTGCACTTTGCCCTTATGGGTGCTGCGGTGCCAGTTGTAGCGGAAGATCAGAAGATCGTCAAACGGTTTAAGGGATACGTACTAGCTATATCTCTCAAGACCCAAACATCCACCCAGGAAAACCCAGAGGAGTCGCACCTCAACAAACCATGCACGTTGATGATCTTGCACCGAGATCTTGACAGGTTCTGCAAGGCACTCACAGATGGGGATGCCATAATGTCAGGGTTCAGCGAGAACATGGTGATGACCATGATGGTGGCACCTTCTCTGTTTGAGCAGCAAGTGCCGTGCTATAGACCCGTGCTACAAGAGTACTTCTCCGAAAAGACTCAGCAGGCACTACTGGCACCCTTCCGAATCATTCGAGGCTACAAAAATGTACGGATATGCGGCCATGTCCAGCGTGAACTTGCCAGTGCGGTGCAAACGGATATGGCCCAGGACAGTTGGTCAAGCCCAGAGGCGATATTGACTCAGTATGGGACAGCAAAGGAAGAAGGGACCCGGCTTTTTCAGCAACGGAACTTCGAAGAGGCATGCTTGACGTGGCAAGACGCTGCCCTTGAGATCGACCTAATGCACCAAGGAAGCTCCTGGGAGGGTTTGGTTGCTGGAGGCGGCAGGCCCTTCGTAATCAGGATCGCAGAACTCTACTTCCTCATCAGACTCAACGTCGCACATGTTCAAATCTCTGGCATACAAAATCCAACGGGTGGGTTCATGGGTATCTCAATCCTAGCTGAGGATGCATTGCACTCTGCGGTCGCGTCGCTCAAAAGGGGTTTCTGGATGCAAGACTTCACGTACAGACCTTCGACCAAGCAACTGGCGAAGCTGCATTACAGGTTGGCGATACTTTTGAGACTGGTGGGAAAGCGTGGTACTGAGCAGCGGGCTTTGCGCTATATTGACAAGGCGTTGCAGCTTGAGTCGGGTGATGCTGCTCTTCTGCGTGAGCGGCAGAACATTATGGCTTGGATCAATCGCAGAGTCTAGATTCCGATCTTGGTCACGAAATAGTGTTCCACGAGTAGGCACCAGGTACTTCACCGGTTAATGAACGTCGATTATTCGATCAATTGGTCAGTGTGGTCTTTTCTTTCATCGGATTAAATAACTTCGAATCTCATGCAGTCCATCGGCAACTCAGCTAAGCAGGTTCTCCACTGGCGGATTGCGTTTACATACCACCCATTCAAACTTTGCCCTTTAGATCCGTGACTGTGGCGAACATGAGCTCTTTGATGCCACCCATGCCTCTCTCCTCAAGCCATTGCAGAACGAAAACTTTGTACCCCAACGGGCCATCCCAATCCACGCTCACTCCTCCTTGCCTCTTCAATACGTGCAAGCTCTGCTGGCTTACAGGGCCTTGATGACGCCGGGTGCTCGTTATATCAAGATTCTCTTGCTCAATATTCCGCTCTTCGATAGTGCGCCACGCTGCTGCAGACAACGAAGCGAGAGCTGGGTTATTGGAGAGAGCGAGAGCGGCACCGATGCCATACTCGCGGCTAAGACTGCTCAGGTAATCATTTAGAGCAGAGCGTAAAGAAGGTTGACAGTACAAGCCAACTGCTTTTTGGTCGGATACAACGAGAGCGCGAGACACCCAGATAAAGTTGTAGATGTCGCGGAGGCACCAGTTGAGCGCGTCGGTGACCGCAGTGGAGTAGTAGTTTTTGACGGGCTTTGGGTGTTGGTCGAACGCTAGCTTGTAGCTTCCTATGATCCCACAGGTTCGTGATAGTGTAGCTGGCGGTGCATCTTGAACTAAAAGGTAGACTAGATGCATTGGAGGGAGAGTAATGGGGATTACATATGGTTTTGAGCATGTAGAGAGGAGTTCGTAGAAGGAGAGGATGGAGGAAATGAGGCTGCTGCCTGAATTTGCTGGTAACGTCAATATGATCGAGGTCGAAAAGGTTGCGATGTGTGTCGTGAAGTCCTTTAGCGCCCGCTGATCTGGAGAGCTGCTGGATGTCTGATGTCGGAGGAGAGAACTGTAGAAATTGACAAGCTTCTCACAAGATGAGGGGCCTTGGGTAACCAGAGCCTGCTCCAAAGAAACCAGATAGGTAGAGTATGCGTCTTCGAAGGACTCAAATGGGATGTAAACAAGTAAACCCAAAAGAGTATTGACGTGGTCCCGACCGTTCCAGATCCCGAGGTACTGTTGGAGAAATGCAAGCACGGCGGGATGCAGTGTCTGGAAGGTGTCAGAAGTTGGTTATTTCAGAAACATGATCTGATGTCGATTTACCTTGGTGTATTGGGCATGCTTGAGCAGTCCATCGAGCACCTCAGACAAGTACCGGGAGTCTCCAGTCCCCTGTCTTGCAATCTCGTATTGGTCCTCGAGACATGTCGCAAGCCACAAATCTATCCGGGAAGATATGATTGGTGATGGCCTCAGGTCTACGTACTTTTGTAGAAGTGGGTCTGTGAGAAAAGAGATCAACTGTCCAGGTGGCTCTATTCGGTCGAGCTTTTCCACAAAATCCTCCACACTGTCGATTCCTTCAAGGGTCACAGAATTCTGTCAGACACCATCAGTAGCCGTAAATGATTGAGTGTATTGCACAACACACACCTCAGTAGCATGATACGTATGCACATCGGGGATAGCCGACACCTTGCTCCTTTTTGGTCCTCTCCGTAGGACCTTGAAGCCGTTATGCCGGTCCAGTGTGGAGTCGTTCGCTATAGTAATCGCCTCTTGAATGGCCGATATCTTCGTTTGCCATTCCGCATCAGGTTGCTGTAAATTAGCGACATGTTCAAGGGTGTCACAAACAGTGGCGGGGAAGTACTGGAAATATCTTGAAGATGCATGTCGAGTTGTACAAACAGACGGGAACTCACCGGAGCAAACGACTTCCGGCTCAAGGATGTACTTCCAAGGATAATATCGGGGTAATAATCCTTGTAAACGCGGAGAAGGCCTTGAAGTGCAGGTTCGTTGCCAAGACCGCGAGAGAGCTCAAGTCTGCGAAAAGGTTAGTATGCGCCATTGAGGTAAAAAAGGGGTGAGTAATCTATTTGTGACGTACAGCTGCTGCATTCTGAATGGCTTTACATGCTTTCTGCGGGTTATCAAGGAAAGCAGATGGCACAATGAGGTTCTGATAAAATTAGCTCAGGTTGATATGTCCTACAATTGAACTACGCGCACCTGATACTGATCATATCCAACATACCAAATAGCACACCATACAGACGAGATAGGATGCTAGGGTTCTCAACGATCTCATGGATAATCGTAAGCCACTTCACGAGGCTGTCTTGAGTACCTGGTGTAGGCTTGCCTCGACCCTGACCGAGAGCTCCCACAACAGTGACGACTACATCGCCGGGTACTCGCTGAGCAGGATACAAGTTCTTGATGAGTGTGGTTACACTAGTCTGGTCTAAATTTGTCTTGACAGACGCGATCTGTATGATTATTCGAAGAGCTTCCTGATCGAGTCCATCATCAAATGCATGTCGGCAGATGACATCAACCACGCCAGATACTTTGACAGATCGTTGCTTTGCTGGTGTCAACGAAGCTGTGGTCCTAAGTCAGTAAGGGTCTCCGCTGCACGGCCCGTATTTATACCAACCTTCATGCAACGATTCTAACGCGTCGTGCAGCGTGGGCTGCTCTTCTGACGAGTGTATTAGCGGACTATGTTCGAGACATCGGATGCTGTCATACCGGAAACGGAAGGCATCGAGTTGTTCTTAGCCCATGCATGTAGCAACACAATGGACAGCGTAAATGGGGCGCGTCGTGGTCGCGTTTACAGCCAGATCGCACTTTCCCTATTCGAGATAGTGACTAAGCTACGTTTATACCTAACAATTCATGCATTTCTTCTTTCTACACCTTTCATCGTTCTGCGTTGCGCTCCAACTTCGTCAAAGTGTCATCGAGCGCTATCGCATATGCCACTTATGCAGTCAGTCTGCCATTCGCTGTACAAGATCGCCCGCGTGTCATTCGCCTCCCCCGTCCGCGGCTATGTCTTTCATGCACACTCTCTTGCAGAAGTCACCTTGTAGTCGCCCCGCATGGGCGTTTGACTTGCATTGAAACCCTGACTGTTGCTGTATTTGAATTGCTGCGTTACACAACAAGAGTTGGTTGACGACATCTGTCGATTCACGGGTCGCTTTTACGCTCTGAAAGGCTAAGGATCTGGCAGGTCAGCGACAGACTCGACAATGGCTGCTGCAGAGCTGGCTCAAAATGTACTGACTCGCCCGCCACAGAACGTCGTGGTCAATTTCGTACATGTGGCGGGTATCCGCATTCTGCTATGTTCCCCGGTCGTTGGCTGGCTACTTCATGTTCATTGGCTGGTGTTCCGAGCCGAGCACTCCTGCGGGCCGGTCAAGAAGGTGCCTCAGCCAGGGCTACCACTATGCCAACAGCTACGCCCTTCAGCTCTATCGGCTATCTATCCTGGACTTATCTGACAGGATATTGGCGTGTGCGAGGCTTGCTGCAACCCAAAGCATCCATCACCAAACGGATATAAGTCCGCTGAAGCCTTCGTCTTTCGTGTAACCACCACGCCGCAGCAACCGTCCTGTCGTGTGTCCACGATGACTCTGAGCCCCAGCACACGACATCCAGTGGCAAGAACTCCGTTAGCAAAGACATGTCTACTTTTCTTTTCCTACACGCGGTACGCGGTACGCGGTACATGCGTGTCCATGACTTCGTACTATTTTAGTGTTCTTGAATATGGTCATTCCTGAGCACCACACCCAGCACTAATGATATATATCTGGTCAGAGTATTTTGACCGAGTCAGGTTCCAGAAGAAAAACAGGCTACTTTCGTTACGGCCATCTTTTGAGCTGACAGCTAGCATTTAAACTAACTACTTCATTCCACGGCTTCTGGTCCATCACTCTAATCCTTACTGGCAACGCCGTTTATCCACACTTGTGTACTACGTTTTGTTCTCCACCGCTGCGGATCAATTGGTGGGAACATTTGTTCAGCTGTTTTAAACTTCGTTTACAAAAATTACGTTCGTCCATTTCAACTAGTGGGCTGGTTTTGCTGTCGAGTGCGACAACTTCAAGGACTATACCAGGAAACTCAAACAAAATCTACGTGTATTCAGGAAGTATCCTATAGACGCCGACGATCTCTCTCACCTCAAGATCAAGACTTTGCCTGGTACATGCTGCATAGTCTAGCTCTACCTGCTACACCAACTTCTCGATTCCCCTATCATTCGGCTTAAGGAGGAAGCATTTGTCCTCGCAAGAATGGGCGAACACAAGGTTAAGACTTCGTCGAAATCGACTGGACCCAAGATGACCTCCCAAGCAACAGATAGGCACAGCTTTGCCACGGTGCAGCCAAATCCACCAACCACTGGAAGCGCAAGTCTTGTACACTGCCCAGCCGAGGTCTTGACACGATTGCGAAAGCTCCACGAAGCGGAGATTATCACACTCTTCACACCATTCGTCCCTCACTCTCCTTCTTCGACTTTAGCAAAAAACACGGATCCCTTCGAGCCTCTGGGCAGAGCGCTACCCCGCCGAGTCCGTCATGTTCCCTACCGCCTGGACCACGGCATGACCGAGACCCACGCCGGCTTCCTGCCCGCAAGTGGAGTCGTAATGATCGTTATCTGCATCACGGAGAACATCATGAGTCGCAACACTCAAGCCTTTGCACAGCAGCTCAAGTTTGCAAGAGGAATAACGAGGAAGGTGGAAGAGAGCTGGTCAACAATGCAGGTCCCAGTTGTGGTATTACTCGTCAGCGATGAGCCCGCTGGACAATCCTACTCCAAGGCTGTGCAAGATTTTCCGGTGCTGGTCACTACCAACAACTACACCCCTGCCGCGCTTACGAATGCGGCAGCGGTACTGTTCGGAAACTAGGGCATCTTCACTTGGTAGTTTCTTCTAGGACGACAGCATGGATATGTTGACACAGCGACGGACGACAAGCTGTGAACGTTGGACAAGGTCTTACTCGCTCTCGTTTCTCGTGGGTTTTCTTACAAGGACTCAGTTTCACATCCTACTCGCGACGGTTTCTGACGGCTTGCGTTGTATACATGATTCAATATGGATAGGCACTCTCTCTTTCAGCGGCATATGCATATGCATTGGGCGGTATCTGTGAGCTGGCTTCGGCGAGTAGTATTCTTAGCGTTGATATAGCTTTGGTCAATATTTATGCATGGTACTCTTGAAGCTGTACACTGGAATTTAGTATCTGCGGCAAGAATGTTGCCCTTCCTTGTTTGAGGTCTACCTGCCACGTTGGTGTTTATCACTTACACCTTGGATGATCCAAGGCTCTCTTCTTTTTTCTTCGAAGACTCTCATGTCCTACGCTTCAACGACGGTATAATCAAGGAGTAGCAAACAGTGCACGACTTGTCGAATCATTACAATTAGGTGATATTCTATATTCAAGCCCCCAGCCAAACACAGAGCCCATCAAGGGCTTCTTCAAGCACCACAAACGCCATATCATGCAACGCTTATAATCCCGCCTGGCGCTAGGCAAAGGACGCAACGAGTCCCAGATCCTCCCAAACAGCTCAACGACAACCCAGTCGAATAGCACGCAACCCTTTCAAACGACCCGTCTACAGCTCTCTCCCATGCCCCGCCAACGCGCCACCCAAGCCATCTTGCCCCAAAAACTCCGACGCCTTGTGCGCAATGGTATCCTCACTGCCCGAGGCGTAGTAAAACATGCGATTCGCGATGATCATGACATGTTCGGGGAGGTACAGCGACGCGGCGATGACAAGGAGGGAGAGGAGGAGGAAAAGGACGGAGTCTGCAGAGCGAATGTTAGCCCTGGACCACGAGCGAGGTTGTGCGCGGGAGAAGTGAGGTGAGGTGAGTAGGGGAAAGGGGGCGCTAGGGCAACAGCGTAGGCATATACGAGGAATCGGGGTTACGACTTACTGAAGATGAACTTCTCCGTCCCGGTTAACATGTACAGCGAGAAGGTGACTTCGTATTGGTACTTCTTGCGCTGGAACCAGCGGAGCAGCGTGGATGGGTAGAGCATTGCGGCGACGAGGAGGGCGGATGCGGCGGTTAGGAGGACGATTGTGGTGAGGAGCATCGACGTGCGGGAGTAGATTTAAACCACGCGCGTGAGGAACTGCCCTGTGCTTGGGGAGCCTGTTGTGTTGGGTGCGTGGGACTCGAGACAACAGGGTGCGAATCAATGTCTGGGTTGACGGCTGTCAGAATTGGGCATTTTCGGCGCAGACTCGGGGGTTTTCGCTCGGGAGTACCGCATGCAGTGACATGCGCAACACACCCCGACAGGTCGTGACGAATTGGCTCTACGACAATGCTAATTCAATGCCGCCTCCAACCCTGACGTTCACGACGATGATGTCCCTACGCCCCCTCCTCGCCTTGTCCCGCCCGCAGGCCCATCTCCCGCTCATCCGCGCCTTCACAACGACCATCGCCCGCAACAAAGCCGCACACAGCAAAGCGCTCCCGCCGCGAACGCCCATCCTCGACTCTGAAATCGTGGAGAACTTCCTCAAAGGCAGCGGGCCCGGGGGCCAGAAGATCAACAAAACCTCGTCCGCGGTGCAGCTCATCCACCTGCCGACGGGGATAGTGGTGAAATACCAGGACACGCGGAGTCGCGAGTTGAACCGCAAGATGGCGCGGCGCATATTGCAGGATCGCATTGAGGAGGCGACGCTGGGGGATGATGCGCGGACGAGGGTTAGGGCGAGGGAGGCGAGTAAGAAGAAGAAGAGTGCGGAGAAGAAGCGGAAGCGGAAGTATCGCGCGTTGGAGGGGAAGGGTGGAGAAGAGGGGAGCGAGGAGGGTGCGGAGCTGGAGGGGGAGGACCAGGGAGATAGTGAAGAGGCCGAGACAGAGCAGGTTGGTCGCGTGGAGCAGGCACTTCCTGAGGGTGCGGGCAAGGCGGGAGGTGGATGAAGGTACATGGAAGGACAAGATTTGATGCTTCACGAAGAGGAACACACGCGATACAGCGAAGAACTCCACGCTCCATACTATGCCACACCGCTGCAGTAGAGACTGGCCGACAGGAGTCTGTCAGAGGCTCAGTCGTGCTCCGCCATCCTCGTTGCTTCACAAAGAACGCGTTGCCGGAGTCACAGGCAGCTTCGAAACTACACAGCGCGGGCTACGTGAAGGCACCCGAGTAGGAACACAAGCTGGAAATTGCTTCTGTCTACAGAAGACAGCGCTTGAATGCCAATAACACCCTCTGTTCATACCGCCTCTGTCCTACGACAGGTCCGCCAGTGAGCCCCGCTGCACCGTGTAACCGCCTTGGTAGTCCTCATAGCATTTGCTGGGCAGCAACAAAGCCATAATAGTATTGACGGTAGACAGAAACGTCTCACTCGCATCAACAACTCGTAATGCACGTTTATATCTATCTATATGCTCGCGACAACCATACACTCAACTCCCAACTCCTCCCATCATCTCCTTTCCAGGCAGCACTCTCACATCGACAACCCAACGAACAGCCCTCATCGCGCCTCTCACTCACACGACCACAACAACTCCCACTCTCACCTTCTTCCTCAACGCACCACCTCACGGCAGCGCAATCAATGAAAAAAGAGTTCCATGCCAACGGCAGTCCAGCAAAAATTGCCCCAGTGAAGCCCCCGAAGGAGATTCATACTCAGACCTGTCCTCGCTGTACAATGAAGCAGATCCAAGCAGATCGACTGAAAGCTTGAGCTCAGTGATCCCAAGAAGGCTGCAGGTTGTTAGCAAAGCTGAAAAGTTTTGGGGTGGTTGGAAAGTACGTACTAAGTATACCTAGGAAAGATGGCTGCGAAACTGGTTTTGAGCTCGTGAGGTCTTGGCGCGAGTGGAGTACACGTGATGGAGCTAGCTGTCGGACTGGGCGATCTTCGGGCTTGAGGTGCCGGGGTTGGGCCGGTGGTGAGGGTGCCTTGGTTCGTCGGAATATCTGGAATCAAGGTCCGGTCTTTGCAGCAACACAACAAGTTCTACAAAGAAAATATGCTAGTAGACGTATACAAACAACACGTAAGGCGTGAAAATTTCACAGTTTTTTACATGTAGTTGTCAAGCTGTTGCAAGACGTCGCTGCAGCCTGCTTAGTTCCGGGTATTCCGACTAACCAAGAGGGTGCCTCACTGGGGCAGTGAAGCAATTTTCAACATCTATTTGCCTTGCTAATTCGAGGCTGTGATGAGTCTGGAGAATACTGAAGTTGTTCGTTGGTTCACCTACATACAGATCAGTTTGAGTGCCATCCTCTTCCTCTCACGCCAATCCTCGCAACCTCTATTACCTGGGATTCATCGAGTCTTGGAGGCTACATACAATTGTCTCGGTTACGCAAAACGAAAATAGAATTGGCTGTATTTGTCTGAGATTGTGAGTATTGCTCCAATCTGCACACAAGTGTTTTCAAGCGAGACGTTATCGTCGTTCTTCTCATCCTCTTACATCAATCCTTACAAGTATGGCCATCGGAACCCAGTTATTTTGATAACTGTACAGACGATACATGAAAGTACCTAACTCTATAGCACAATGTTCACATCACAACAGTCCAAAACGGTTTCAACAACAGGGACTGCTGTACCAGGCGATCCGAACATAGCTCTCATTAGTGAGCTTATGGAAGAGGTGTCGCGACACCCGCCAGCGATGGGAGCCAGCAAGTTTCTCGTTGAGCATTACGTCGCAGTTGGATAGTTGGAGGCTGCTATAGACAACGCAAAAGAGTTAAAGAGCCTAGCTCTGGGAGATTTAGATACTAAGGCGTTTCTGCAGACTTAAGAGGAAGTCTAACGCTTTAGCACTAGAAGAAAAAGAGACTATCAAAGTTTGTGACTAACTAGCTTAAATGGGATCTTAAGGCTAGCTAATACAAGAAAAAAAGGGTACCAAAACTGCAGACGAAGAAGAAGTACGAGGCTCCGACAGTTGACCTGGCTGGACTAGCTGCAACATGAAAGATCCTCGGAAGTTGGATGCTGGGTTTGGCTTGGTGATGAGTAGGAGGGAGGCTACAAACGATTGTCTTAATTGTGCAAGAAAGAAAATGTTCGGCTGTAGTTATCAACAGTGCCTTTACGCAGTTCCATCACACAGATATGCATGTGTGTATATGACATTATCAATAGAAACTACGGTCAAGTAATACTGCTTTTATGCCCAAACTCCCAGGACCTGCACCATACCCACAACGGTGACCAACGCCCAACATCAAAACGCCAATACAGGAACCAGGTCGTAACGACTCCTAATCATTGTGCCATCAAATTAAACACTGATACCCAGCGGGTTCCAGAAAACATTCCCAGGGTCCACCGTCTTCTTCAGCGCCGCCAACCTCGCATACAGCGCGTCTCCATAGTACAATTTATGCGCCGTAGCCACATCCAGACTGGGGTCCACGTAGTTCAAATACGCGCCAAAAGCCGTCTGGGGTTGCGCAGTCGTGATAGCGCTGTTCAAACCATTAATGAACGACACAGCATCCCCAGCCCCGCTGTACCCCCAGTTCTGGAACACCCAAAGACTATCACGATCGCTGTATGCCGCAAAGTTCGTGTCCTTGGAGTTGATGGCAGATCCAGGGCCGCCGTAGAGATTGATGATGACGTAGAAATCAACAGAAGTGCCGCGCTTGATGTAGCTGTAGAAGGCGTTGAGTGCGCTTGCGGTGAGGCCGTCGCGCTCGGGAACTGTGAGGGATTTGGCGAAGAAGTTCTCGTGCTCGTCGTAGCCGGTTGTGGGTGTCTTGATGGTGCTATCGCCGGATTCGAGGACAAGGTAGTCGTACCAGCTGTAGGACTTTACGGTGCTAGTTGTTGGTGCTGGCAGACTGCGGAGCAACTCGGGCTTGATCTTGGTGTTGAACTCAGTCACACTGCCAAAGAAAGCACCGCTGAGACTGAAGGTGTTGTAGCCGTCGAGGTAAATGCCAAAGGAGACGCGGTTGTCGACAACAGAAGCGTTGGTAGCGACGTCCTGGATGTGGAGAAAAGAGTTGGTGAACGTGGTCTGGGAGTTCCAGACGCTGGTGATCGCGAATGAGAAGTAAGTAATGCTGTCTGGGGCAGCGCGTGTCTGAAGGTAGAAAGTGGTCACAATTCCGAAGAACTCTGCTGCTCCTCGAATAGCCCAGAATATTTCAGAGTTCTGGGTCTGGGAAGCTTTGATGAGCGTGCCATTGGCGAGAACAACGTCTGCAGCGATGATCTGGTCCATAGCGAGGCCGTAGTTGCGAGAGGTGGGACCGTAACCACCGTGGGTGTAGTGTCCACCGATACCGACACCTGGGCATGTGCCGTGAGAAACAGCAGCCTTGCCCTGGGTGAAGATGCCGTCTGCAAGGTTGCCCAATCGAACGCCACCACCGACTGTGGCCACGCCACTAGCCTTGTCCAGCTGAATAGTCTGGAGGGACTGGAGATTGATTGCTACCGGTTGTTAGTCACAAGTCTGTCCACGAGTTGAAAACACTTACTCATCGAACCGTCTTTGCCACCATTTCCAAAGTTAGCGTATGAGTGACCGCCAGATTTAGCCTGAACCTTCAAACCACCTTGACCAGCGCAGACAACAGCGTCTTGCACGTGCTGGTTTGTAGTAGGAAGTACGACAACCGCAGGAGTGTAGGGAAGACGTAGGTTGTAAGGTTCTACAAGCTCAGCGTACTCGCCGTCGGAAGACATCTTGTAGGGAACACTCTTGCCATTTAGACATTGCAGAACTGAGCCTGATGGGGTGGGCAAAGGAGTTGTAGAAGAAGTCTTCGTGATGCTCGACGACGTGCCACCATTGCTTCCGCAATTCCCGAACCCAGCCTGACAACCTGAGCCACAGTACGGCGAAGTCGAACCACAATAACCGGAAGACGAGCAGCAGTTTCCGAAGCTGCTACCCAAGCATGTGTACCCGGTAGTACCACCACAGGTCGCGTCCGTCGATACCTTCTTGGTAGGTGTTGAGGCAGGCGCCGAAGAAGAGCGTGTGGTTGTTGAAGTTCGGATTGTCGAGGATGTTTGAACGGTGGAAGAGGTACGAATCGTTGAGGAGCCAGAGCAAGTTCCAAATGCTGCATTACATCCAGTTGAGCAATGAGCTGACGTCGACCCACACCATCCATACTGTGAACAACAACTGCCATAGGTAGAGCCTTGACAAGTGTAACCATTCGTTCCGGCACACGAGCCATCTGTAGACACTTTTTGGGTTGCTACCAGGCCTGCAGAAAGCAGACCCGCCGTAAGAGATAGGATAAGCTTCATGATGAGCGAGACAACTGGTGGGGATCAGGATACAGCTCTTATCCACAGTCGAATTTGTGGAGCTCTTCAAGTGGTGATATTGTAGAAAGAGCGTCTGTTGTAGTTGACCCAGCACAACAGTCCAGAGATGCCAGAATCTGCAATCGAGACAAGAGCGACAGACGGAGAAAGCGAGTGTACAGATGAACAGAACAAGGGAATGCAAGACCATTTAAGTCAACGACGAAATATAACTTTACCCCACCGGCGAACAGACGACAACTGGCATACGAGGTCCTTTGTCCATACCCATCCTCAGCTCTGCAACCCCCCTACCTTCATCTACCGAAATACAACGACACCTGACGCAATTCCCTGCAACGGGCCGCTTCTTCCCCAGACCATGCACATTTCGGAATCGAACACGAGCTTATGTCAACGCCATCAAGGCTTACCTCACCCGATTCGACGCCACAAAATGCATGTTTCGCGCCCAGCGTCCTTCCAATAAATCTTGTCGCAACGTTGCATCGTGTATGTTTATGTCGAAGCAACGCTGGGAGGGTGCATGGAGAGTATCGAAGAGAAAAGAGCAAGGCATTCATTGCCCGGGATGAAGTTCCCGTGTTTCGAGGATGCCCCTGCGAATTATCCATGCCGACGCTCGGCTCAGCTGAATTCGATGTAAAGCACAGGAGATGTCATCGAATCCCTAGTCAGGCGATTGAATCTGCCATGTTTGCAATACGATCGGCAGCTGTGGATCAATGTTACGTTTTGGAAGACAACTCGTGGTTCTATTCTTGGAATCGAGGCGAGGGATCAAAGCTCCGGAGAAAAAAGGTCGCTTGTGGTTACTTTGACGACACACATACGAGCATAAACATGAGCACAATATCTAACGTGTAAACAAGGCAAATGAGAGAAGAGTGTAAATCGGGATTGTTTATTCATTACTTCCCATATTGATTCGTACAATCATGGGCATGCGCTGAGGAGCTACACCCTCACCTCGTCCAACTCCGCCTGCAGATGGTTCGTGCGTCATCGTAGAAAACCTGCAGAAATGCACCTCAATGAGGAAAAGTCGTGTTATCCCTCGCGCTTCAAGCATAGCGCCCTAGACCGCATAATTGCCTGACAGGTGTGCAATTTTTCTGAATGTTCAACATCCTTTTACGGCTGCATAAAGCCATCGCCGTTCATCTCGGTGTGAGTCTCCAGAGAGAAACTGTCTTCGAACGCCTTCACCTGCTTCAAAGCAACGACTCGGGAAACATGCACACCTCTCGGCTTCAGCTTCGTCGTCATCTCACGGGCATTGCGCTTCTGACTATAATCCCCAGAAACGCACTTGCTACCATCACTCCAATGCGCGTTCGCAGCTGCCTTCCATACGGCCGTGATGTCTACTGTCATCTCAGGCGTGTAGTAGAGGCGACAGTCAGCTTCTTCATATACGAACTGCAATGCAATCCCTGAGGTGTCATTGAGAGCGAGTCCATCTCGGACATTGATGGACATGGAGCCGCCGCCACGATTGAAGGGCAAGTCGCTGTAGTAACCCTGACCCAGGCTAGAGTTTCTCAGCGTTGGGCTTAGTGTGACAGCTCGTTGGGCGAGACTCTGAATGTAGCTGTACTGGTAGTTGTTTACGCCTTTGACGCCACCGATGGCCTGGATCCGATCCTTATTGCTGCGCCCACCCATAGCAATGGTTTTCACGCCAGCCTGCTTCGTCATAAGCTCGCTGAATATGGTGCAAGTCGAGGCGCAATAGCCGTCCGTCAAGAGGACGATGTTCTCGGGTGCAAATTTAGGTGGACCAGTAACATTGGACAGACTTCCGTATCCGGTAACGTTGATACCGCCCGAAACGTACGGGATGTAAACATCAGAGAGATTCCAGCGGTTGGGTGTAGTATACTTGTCTGATTCAGTGTTAGCAGTTGCACAAGAGACATATCACACGTGGGATTCCACATACCTCCATTCACCTCCACAGGGCCAAACTTCTCTGGCCAGGACGAGAATGGCTTCTCATCAACAGTCATGTCGGAGTGGTAATCGAAGTAAGATGACTGAACCAACTGGGCTGTCGCATTCCTGCCTGGGGTTCGAGGAAGTTGAGAACTATACGCACTGTACGACTGGCCAATGAGATCAGCGGCCTCAGTTGCACGGAAACGGTTGGCACCGTAAGGATCAATATCTGGGAACAGCTGCTTGAACATATCGTAACCTTGCATGATGGTTCCTCCTCCGTTAGCCTGGAGGTCGATGATCAGCTTCGTTTTACCAGCTGCCAACGCTGCGGGAATGAAGTCCTGAGTTGTGCTTTGGAAACGAGCCTGTGCGGAAGAAATGCCTACAAAGTTTGGCACCTGTAGCACCGCGACATCCTCGTAGCCAGGAGCATCAATGAAGAATCCATTGATCAAGTTGGATGGACCCGCAACAATAGGTGCGGGATATCCAGGCGCAGCAGCTGCGATGGCCTCAACGGCGGCAGTCGACACTGTTGGGGTAGTGTTCATCTCCTCCTGTGACAAGACCATCGCTTCTGTAGCAGAGCCCCAGCTAAACCATTTTCTGCCTAGTTCCTCGCCGGAGTTGACGTTGCGGAAATTGATCACTACGTTGGCGTAGTTCTCCATAACGCGCTCTGTACCGTTGGCGAACTTCAGCGTCGTGGTGGCCCCAGGATAAACCCATCGTCCACGTCCTCCTCCCGTGAACATTCCGCTTCCGCTGCCACTATCGGCCAAGCTGACTTGCGCTAGCTCGTAGAAGACGTTGTTGTACAATGCGTCACGGTCCTGCAGTGAGCCATATTGACTCACAGTCTCAAGAAACTCGGTAGCTTCCAGATTGTCTATTTCGACGACGGGAGATGGTGTGTATGAGATGTTCTTGAACTGCAGACCCAGGACGTCTTCAAATGCGAACACTGCGGGCAACTGAGTTCCATCCTCGGAGACGGAAACCAATGGCATGGGACGACCCCACGAAAAGATGCTGCCGACAGAGTCTGGAACGTAAGAGAAGTGGCCATCGTGGGCCGATTGAATCAGGGTGTATAGAGTCCAGCCAAAGTCGTACTCGCTCGTGAAACGACCAGCATCGATATCAGCTTCAATCTGGACAAGACCACCAAGAATGTCAATAGGTGGTTGGACCTTTTCGGCATAGTCTGCAGGGGGACTCTTCAGTGAGGCGAGTGTACTCTGCCAGTTGATGTACGGCCGAATTGCGGGGATGAGTCTCTTGGCCGATGTTGCATTGAATGGAACGCTGTTGATGCAGTCCCACGCGATCTTTGCTGGAACCTGACGTTTGACAACAGTAGTTCCATCGCCGTACATGAATTGCGAGACTTGGGCACACGGTGCAGACGTGGTGTTAGTCTCTTGACGGGCCTCAACATGAGGGTGAACCTGAGGCCGGGTAGGAGACGGGGCTGCGCCGATGAGCGTGGCAAGGCCCGTGAGGGCAAGCAGAGCGGACGTCCTCATGACGTAGTGGTAGTCGTTGTCGTCGACAACTGATTAACAATTGGCAATTCAGATAGATGAGATGTTGATGTTGAACGAACGGACAGCCTGAGGCAGGATGACAAGCGAAAGAAAGGCGCCAGACGGCGGTGGTGGAGGAGTAGAAGAGTAGAGGTTGTGGGTGGATAAACTAGTTCGCTCGGTGGTGGCTGCTTAAGAGGTCAACGAGGAAGGAGCGACGCGAGCGTGAATGTCACGTGTAGGGCCCGAGCGACGGCAAACGACCGAGTCACTAACAATTCACCCGTCTTGTGACCGTGCTTCCGGAAGTACAGGCTTTGTGTGTCCGGGAAAGTGAGATTACAGATAGGTATTGCGCTCCCGGCTCTTCTTGGGGGATCAGACGATAGGCACGGCGCGACAGGACGAGAATGTGGTGCTGAATTATAAGATAAGTGTGATGTAAGACTTGCCTAGCTAAGCACAAACAATGGGCACCTAACAGCTTTTCACACAACGCCTCAACAGTCCGATATTGGGATGTGGCGTGTGCAATGGAGCCGAGTAAACAAGTACACAGTACATCTGGGCGGTAGCACCAATCACAAAAGATCTTTGCCGGCATTAATGCAGGTCCATTTCTAGGGCCAAGTCGCGGCAACGCGACGGCGTTGAGGTGGTCGTCGAGGAGCCGTAGGTGATACGACATGAGGCGTCACTCTGCATGTAGGGAAAACCCCTCCAGGATCTACTTCGGCGATGAGCTGTCGCAAATATTGATGCACATCGTGGTGAGTCTTGCTTGGTTCCGGATATCGCGGCTTGGTGATGGCTCATTGGGAAGCTATGGCACCACGTCTGATCATTGAGCGATGTCAGAGTGTGAAGATCTGATGGGTGGCCGAGAGGCAACACGAACCGGTCCCGGCAGTTTTAGCGCGGTTTCATTGGAGCTTGCCCGCATTGCCTCCTTACCCAAAACTTTATGCACGACCAGCTCAACGCCCTACTGTCCTACCAAATTCTCGCCGGTTTGCCGTTACCATGCCGACTCGTCTTGTTTTCGACTTCCAAAACTGAGATTCGAGTGCTCGCGAAGCCCACTGCTGTCGTGACACTTTTATTGGATTTTGCGCACTCAAGCAACCTCATCACCCTACATACACAAGCTGATATTCGCTTCGTGGTCCGTGATAGTTTCACCATGGCGTTTTCTCCACATTCATATAGTGGATTATGGAGTACCGTAACGGAGGCTGGTGTACCGCTGCGTGACGTCAGCGTGGTAGGCCAATCAAAATGTCCTCCCTTGCGTCGATGATGAGGCCAATGAGAACCAAGACGAGGATTGCTCAACGCTTGATTCATGGTTCTATGGAAGCTCCCGACTTGGAGGTGGTATTATGATCTCTGTGCAGCAAATTGACATTATGCTTGCACGCAATCGTGCCACGATTCACAAGCTGATCATGTTACATCCATTAAATACATTTTGTGATATCTGCCAGGGTTCTAAAACCATTGGATATATGCCAGGGATTGCATTGATCGTTTTGTCAAATTACCATGAATTGTGATGCTTTGGAAAAGAGTGCAGGACATTCATGATGAACACTAGCCGTATGTACACTACGACCACGCAGCAATGTTTCATTGGTCGACGATTCGTTCTGAGCCTAACACTAAACACTAGATGCTGAACAGGCATAACTGCAAGTATCCGCAAACCTCTGGGCTCGACAACCACAACCTCGTTCAGCCACCTACCACCGCGCTGTCACCATGGCACCAATATCTGTTATTTGACTACACAACAATCCCCGGCGCACCCTTGACAGCATGTTCGAAATGGCTGCCAATATGTTTTCTTTTCAAAGAAGAGCCAACCGCCTCTTCAGCCTTAGTGTAGTTTCCCCTTGATTTTCAACAGAGTACTACGTATCTGCCCGTGTAACCGCTGAAGATGCAGAAGCCTGAGCTCCACACAGCATCGTGGTTCCGACCAGTCCTAGCAACGTGTTGCAGAGTAGTCGCTCACGATCAAGGAGTAACATAATTAGTACTCGATCTGTTTCTGTCAAACAAGGTTTATCTCAAACCACAAGATCAAAAGCTACTCTATTTTCAATCACGGAACCGGGATAAATTTTTCCAGCTCTGTGGTCATGTCAACCGACTATTCCCGCAGCCATTGCTGCAGTTTCTGATAAAATCTCTCCACTCAGTGTGAAAATCTATCCGTCTAAGTGACAAATTTCTTTCCAACACATACATCGCCTCATATTCAATGTACTTGGAATGACACATTGTATTATGGTGCGCTCGAGTCTTTTGATGGTCAGACTTATGACAGTTGACTGTGGTTGTATACTTGCCTGTATCACGAGCCGTGAGCTTTCGTCGGTCTGGACTGCACCTCTTACCTTTTGAGTCAGTGATTTTGGTTCCTTGTATTATACCCTTGGATCACTTAGACAGACTACCCAATATGGCTGTCAAATTGAGTATAGTGGTCAAATTCCAGCTAACGGTACGGGGTCGGTTGGAGCAAAACGTTAGGCTATGAGCGCTGCGTGGTATCTGGTCCATTATAGTCCACGTGAATTGCAAGGAGAATATCAATGGATTTCTCAACGCGCTCTTGTACAAGTGGCTTGAAGATTACTTGCCCTCTGATGTAGGTCTAACAGTCGACCCACTTGATAAACTTACGTGTCCCTTCGAAATTATGTCAAATATGCCGAAATTTATAATTCCAGAACCCTCCTATATAGGTGGATCATGTCATCGAACTGTAAATGTCCAGCTCTCTACTGGAACAAGATGTGTCAAAATCGCTGTGGTCAGGAAACTTGGTTTACGAATATACAAATAAAGTAGCAAAACGACAAAGAATGTCTTCACAATCATGGTAACATGCCATTTCTTTTCTTGGCTCTCCCCAGAACATTATTCTGACATGTTCCTTCAAGTAATCGTAAAAATCTCTTCTAAAAGATGTTGGCTTCGATTAAGCTGAATCTACTTCGTCTCAGGTAGCTTGACGCTTGTTGTAAATGGGTTGCTATCACAGTAAAACAATAAAGAGTTGGACAACGCACCTTTCCGTGCGCCATTCGTTGCCAGAGTCAGCATCATAGTTATATTCGATATTCATCAATCATGCTATGCCAAGGTCAGCGTTGTGCATGATCAATTTGTTGTACACATAAACTTTAGAATTAGTCTGACAGCGACATTCATCGAAAAAATCTCGATCTATACCAATGGGGTTGAATTAATCCATGACCTGGATACTAAGAATTCAGCACACCGCTTCTTGATAGATGTTATTATCGGCGGTTGTCTTTGCTGGCCTTTTCCATTTCGAATTTGAGTCCTTGAATGCAACGCTTCCAAACTGGGTATAATTGAATGACAGTCGACGAAGAGAATTTCGCATCACATCGATGTTTCAGTTAAAATTGGTCTGATTCTCCTGTAGACTTGGATTGGTGCCGGTGTCAAAATCCGGAGATACAGAACACTCAGAGTTATGTTTCGGTTGTGCAACACTCTCTTATCTTACTCCTCCGCCAGAATGTCGGACATGCATTTGTATATAGGAAGCAGACTTTATCACGACAAAATTGTTGTTAGGTTGATGCTCTTGCTCAAACCCGTCATTTTGATGCGATAATAGCGTCTAACTACCCCAGGTCCGATCTCTATTTTGTCCAAGTGCCTCCGTGGAGGGAGAACTCCCCCAGGGGTTGAGTCCCACTTATGCCCAGGCGGCAGACGGAATCTTAAATCTCCGCTATTTCGCCCAGATTCTCAAATGAACACATGGAGTGCCGCATTGAGTAGGCCCGGTCTCACAAAGGCTTCAGATGTGGCAAGCTCTTCCTCGACACTGATTGGCTGGAACACCTTTTCCCCACGACTCGAGTACCCAACGACTCTCTGATAGATCTCCCGGATCAGATATGAGAGTTCCCCGTACACAGACCACGAAGAGGCTTTTTGACTCGTTATTCCAACTTCCATGCCTTTTTTCTTCTTCGGCTAGCCATACTAGGGTAGCGAAGAAGCTCCATGAACACTTGCTGTGTATTGCCTCGCTACACCACATTGAAACGCACACCTTGTTAGTTGATTCTAGACCAACCTACTATGATGCACATATGGCAGCCGTTTATCAACTTGCGGTCTGCCTTTCACGTCTTTCTCACCACGAACACCTAATCTGCGCAAAACGTCACTTCTCTTTGTATCTCCAGGATGCCGGGAGGTACACACCCTCCACTTGAGGTTGTGCAATCGTGGCCTACACCCAACTACATCAACCCAATTACTAGACCAAACACGGTTCTCTTGCTTGCGTGCATCTGTGGTCCTATCACTGTCGCTACGTTACTGGCAAGATTATGGGTCCGAATCTTTCTTCAGCGCACTCCGGGATGGGACGATTGGTTGATGTTGATCGCTACTGTGCGTTGCACCTTCTTAATGACTGCTGCTGAGCTAACCATCGCAGATACCAACCGTTGTTGTGACTGTCTTAATTCCCCTAGGTAGGTTTTCTCGAGCTCATACAACATGAAAGCTAACGCACTGCAGCGGTTCATACAGCATTCGATCGACACGTCTGGGACACCGAAGTCTTCAGGAATCCGGAGAAGATTGTCCTATCGAGGAAATACGTACTCGCCATTTTATGCTTCTTTTGTACTACATCTGGTCTAATCAAGGTTTCCATCCTCCTCTTCTATCGGCGTCTATCTGCTCGTGCAGTCTCGAACAACTTCCGATGGGCAACCTGGTTAAGCATCGGCTTCATTGTCGCATATACTATCGCTCTGACACTTGCTCCCCTTTTTGGATGCAACCCAATCTCGGCATTCTGGGACCAAGGGAATCCAATTTGGGTGAAGCAGGGACATAAGTTTCACTGCTTCGATGAGGGAGCCGACATCTTTGTTGCGGGTCTTCTCTCCGCCATACAGGACTTCATTACTGCGATCCTTCCTAGTTTTCTCTACTGGAACCTTCAGATCTCACTCCGTCAGAAAATACCACTCATTGGTATATTTGCCCTCGGATATGGCGTTGTAGCGCTTGCCAGTTTGCGTGCGTACTACTGCTGGAGAATATATTACGACACCTACGATGTTTCTTGGGAGACATGGAAACTCTTTGTCGTAACGATGCTGGAGCTCCATGTTGGTGCATTTTGCGCTAATGCACCGGCTATGAAAGTCTTCTTCTGGCACTTCTTCCGACACAAGTTCCCCTCGGGATCTAGAACAACAGGCAGATTAGGCCATAAAAGTAGAGATATCAGCGGTTCTACAAGATCAAGGACTGATAGATCGAACTCAAGCGTGTTGGGGAAAGTCGCCTGCCTGTTTTCGAAAGAGAATGGCTCGCATGTCAAAACAGGATACATTTCTGAACCCGGTACAGGATTCTCAGTCGACGCGCACGGTGGCGTTCAAGTCCAGAAAGAGGTTCACATCACTCACTCCCGGCCACCGACCATCGGCACCAGCGCCAACCGTAACGGTATCCGTGACTCTATAGATAGCACCGATGTCATATGTAACCGAAATTACGACGGTATCGAGCTCAGTCAGTACATCAGCGACACGAATTCACGCGCCTCCAGTTTGTAATCATTGGAAAGAGCCTCGGAGGATGGCGTGGAGTCTCGTTTGACATCACCGGTATAAACGACGTTCCGAATGCCCGATTCAAGCTAAACCTTTGTCACAAACGTTGGAAGTACCTCGCACTAGTCGCTCAACATACCCAAATGCAACTCGCCGCTAGTTCAATTCCAATGATTCGCCCTTACTATGTTAATCGCTGCTGTCATCACAACTCAGGTGCTCCTTTGGCTACAAGGGTTGCGGCACATTGCAACGTGCATATGCCGGCAATACGACGCCACAAAAGCAGATCTGTCAATTGACTAGATTACCGCTCGAGGCTGCTTGAGTGACGGGGGGCTTGGGCTGGAGATCGCGCCACATGGGCGCATCGGCGCTGTCACATCTTATGAGTGCATTTCCAACTCTCCATCTTGACATTGACTTACTGGTAGATGTCATGTCGCAAAGATTTTGGCCTCCTATCATGTATTTCGTCGTCATTCTTACTCGACCAAACGCGCTAAATAAAGGAAAGGTTGGTTTACCTATTGCAGTTCACCAAGGTCCGAATCCGTGGAGTAAAAACCAACAGATTCCCTCGGAGACATGCTCCTATCGGCCCTTCGTCAAAATCGCGAGGGTAGACATTAGGCCACGCGGATAAACTTTGATACAACGATTACGTTCAATCAACAGCTTTGTGCCAGGTTCTCTGCTAGTCGAAATCTTGAGCCAATGGGTAATATTTAAACGCGAATGCGATGCAACGCCCGGCAGGCGCTATCGTTACCGCTGTATACGAACCTAGCGCACAAGCGCCACGGTCTATTGGCAACATTCAGATTTTGGGAAGAGATGTGTTCTGCATAGAATCTACTCAATGTTTGGCTTACTTCTTGACCCAGGCCGGCCTCCGAGGCAATAACAATACTCATTCACAACTTTTACAAAACCAGGCAGATTTGGTTGAATAACAAAGCCCTTACATCTAACAGTACGTTGCGCTGTGACACGAGAAATCAAGAGCAACATGGAGAGACAGAAAGTAGTCCTTCTAATCCCCTACAAGTCTGCCCGATATTCTGCCCTAAAATGTGTAGGTAATCTCTCTTCGGCTCTGGCACGTGGAACTAGACGACCTTGTACGGGAGGCTCCTTTGGCTTCCGCGCAGCAGGCTAACGTTGTCCGATTCGATTCGCGGCAATGGAACTTGAACCGCTCGTGCGTTACTAGATATGGCAAGGGGCTTGCTTATGAACTTCTCTCTATTTCTCCTTTCTTTGTTCCGTTGATTCTTTGGCATGTCTCGCTTCTATGTATGCACGTTCTGTTACAGTCATTGCACACATAATCTTGTTTAATGTAATTCTCGGCTGGTCTATTTGGCACAACTTCAGTAGGGGTGCAGGTGCTAAAGCACACTAAAAGCTCATTGGCTGTCATGGCTTGCTATGGTTCGTGGGGAATGTTAGGGGAATTGAGTTGTCAAACCTCTGCTAATCTTAGCACCTGCGTTGAGCCTCATATTTCCGCTGCTAGCGTTATTCCCCACAGACCGGGTTTTTTGCGGTAATACCCGGCTCGTGAATATTCCTCGATTTCCATCCACTATCAATACCCTTGGGTTATGATGAAACGTGGGTTTGTCGGGGCAGGGGCAGGATCCTTCTCATCTCCTCTTATGCAAGGGTTTGAAGGATGAACCACAAGGGCTTACTTGACCGATTAGACTAACTTGATTCGACAATTCTCGCATATTATCCTTACCCTGTCTTGTCTTACGTAGCATTTGTAATGGGGATCAACTGTGATGACCGGATATGCCGAGTACCTAGGGGGTGGTTCTTCCAAGAGTTCAATATGTAATGACGTATCTAAGCTGATGCTGTACCTTGTTCATGATAAATGTAGCATTTCACTACCAGTTCAGACGAGGCAGGCAATGACTACCAGTGAGGTGAACAGGAGCACACAACGGGTAGGACCATGAGCAATACTATTATATGTATCTAAGAAGAATACTCGGCCGACCATGTATACGGGTAAAGAATCGAAAACGCCTTGAGCGACTCATATCTATCAAGGAAGGGGGGGCGAATTTGGCTCCCATGAAATTACAAACTCCAGAGGTCAGAACTAACATCAAAAGCACCTAGGTCATCAAAAGTTACATCCAGACTCTGTTGCAACTGCAACGAGTTCATGTAGTTCCTGTAAACGTGGTCAGACTGGCGAAACGACGGTGAGGGGTGAGAAACAAAGGCAGGTACTTACGGGTCAAAGTCGTGCCAAATCTGGGCAACCAGCTCATCGTCCAAATGGACGTCCGCAGTGGCATTTTCATTCCCATCTTCGTTCTCATTTACATTCGGCGCTCTGGTAACTGTGGTAATAATTCCCATATCCGCGAGCCGTACGGCGGTTTCCTCTGTCACCATATTGGTGAATCCAATCTGCTCCATGTTACGACAAAGCGCCATGCAGTTATCGATGTACACGCGATACATATGCACCCTCGTGTGTGCGTATGCGAGGAGGAAGATCATGACCAGACGCAGGATGCACGTGCTGTCAGAAGCCGTAAGACTTGACAGCGTGCCATCGGTTGCCATCTGTTGCAATATAGCAAGACTTTTTTCAGCTGCATCGATGCATGTTTTGCCCATTCGGTCAAACCATGTTTTCTTAGACGAGATAATAGTGCTGTGTTTGATGACGAGATAGAGAAGGAATGGGCGAGTGAGGAGGATAGTAGTGCTCCAGTAATGCAGATGGAGGACTGCCACAGCACGTCTGTGTGTTGGAGGCAGAAGGTTGTTGTGGTTCAGGTGAGCTGGCATCTGGTGGTACCATTTTCGAAGCGAAAGGAGAAACTCTGATACTGTTGAGAAGGAAATGGTCTTTGCTGAACGTTCTGTATAGAGAGCTTGTATGATCTCTCGTTTTAGGTGGCACATAGACAGCAGCGTAGGTAGCCATGATAGCGGTGTATGTAGCCCGGGATATAGAATCTGACAAACATTAGTGTTTCTCGAAAAGACATGTGTCGGTCTTGTAGAACAAACCTGCTCAGAGGGAGTCAATGTGGTAATCCGCATGTTTCGCTCGTCAATGATGGTCGGACTGCCGTTTCTAGACGCTATTTCTTGATCAAGCATAAACAATGTCCACCATATTCGTCGATTTCGTTCGCGTTCCATGGCTGTTCCTGATTCTGTTTGATCACGATGTAAACCAAGGGAATACGCCATCTGAATGCTGGCTCCTATGTATAGATAGGAGCTAATTCGAGAGCACATGTTTTCAAGAAGCACACTCTGATATTCATTAGCGATAGGAAGACGTAGATCGTAGAACTTAACTAACCAGAATCGCCAATGCGCGTATACTATCAATATCTGCTTCATCGTATACTGCTGGAACCAACTCTTTCGCAAGATTGAGGTATTCTGCAGAGGTCTTTAGATCTAGCGATGTATTTAGATTCGACTGCGGTGAGTAGACGTTAGAATCTGTATGGCGACTTGCCCCAATGGCGAATATGGCATAGAGGGAGCACATCCACGAGCTTGTCGCTGACGTTGGGGCCGTGCCCAAGTATGTTTGATCCACTCGCCTAAGCAGACTCTCGACAGGATATAGCCAGTAAGTGCAATGTACGTCTTCGAGGAACCTAGAGACATAATGATCGCATAAGGCTCGAGCTGGGAGGTAGTAGCTCATCTCCCCACCAGCGTCTGTGGACGGCGATGAGACCGACAAAGCAGGCGGGTACAAACCAAGTTTGGGTGAAGCGATGATGGCAGGATTTCTGGTTCGATTGCCCAAGGTCCCAACAGCGCCATTGAAGGGTATATCGCTGTGATTGCCAACATATCGAAATTTTCCTCGAGAGTCCCTCATCATACAACCCAGGGATTCATGTAGGTCGTCCACATCCTGAGCTTCCGTATCTTGGGGACTTTCTTCGTCTTCCGGCGCTTTTTGGTTTTGCACGAAAAGCCTATCGGCATTCTGAACTGGCGACGCAGCTAAAGAGCCATCAGAGATGGCTTTCACAATTGTTCGAAGCGATTCTAAATTCAACTCGCGGTCTGGGAAGAAATGCTGGAGTATACGCATTGAACATTGATACTCTTCTTCGGTGACATGGTAGTACGGCCGCTTCTTTCTTGGTGTAGCAATAGTACACGTGGCGCCCGTGCGAGCACAATAGCGACATGGCCCTGGGACTGGAAGATGTCAGTCCTCCACAGCAAGACTTGTCTACTTGGCGAATGGAGCCTTACCAGGATCAATGCACTACGGTTCCAATCAGTGACGGTCGTGTACAATGTGTATCAATCACACTACCTTTGTCTTTCTGCTCCGACACCGATCACAGCTGTTGTGCGACCGCGCGGTCCGCACGGAAGTGGCCGGGCGAGCGTCCGCCATGATAGACTACTTTCCAGGATCACCTAGGAGACACCACCTGATCTCATTCGACCGAACTCCTGCAAGGCAGCTTGGGAGGTGTGGAGAAGTGTAATGACGCTCGGAGGGAAAGAGCCGATGGAAAAGTGGGAGATGCCCATGCGCGTAAGACTCCGTGTTATTGGTTATTGCGAGGAGTTTCGCATGGATCACTTCGAACTCGACACGACAAGGCGGTCGGGACTGGCAGTACGCTGCCACGGTCGCCGCAAACTTACCCGCAAGGGGTAAAGCTCAAGAATCGTAGGGCTCATTTGGTGCATGTGCAGGAACATCAATATTTTGGTACGCCTCTTTGTTTACTTCACTAAGAACTGATACGTAGAACCAAAGCAAGTTTAGAAGTTGTAGAGAAAAGGCTTCTTTTTGGACTTCATAAGCCTCTATCGTTTGTGTATATTACTGTTCAGGAGAAATAGACTCTTTCAGATATATCGGGAATAATGGCAGCCGCGCGGCCTCTTTACTTGCTATGTCATGAATACAAGGGTGGAATAAGCCAACGGGAAAACGAACTACCGGTAGGGAAAGCAGGTTGTTCGACATCATACGATAAGTGCAGTAATTTGTCCTAACAGTGCCCGATGTGGTCTGCCATACACAGCAGCTATAGCCAGTATATCATATCCAAAGCAGAGTCACAACCAACGACGCAATCAATACCACACTCCCCATGCGCGTATTCAACGCGCTCGCCGCTCCCTGCACGTTCAACTTGACGACAGCGCCGGGAAAGCTACATGTCAATCTATCACCTGTCGGATCCCGCCGACCGTATGAAAGCTCCCTGGCAGGGGGGTTGGGACATGCGAAGCCAAGCTGTGAAGGACAGCTCCTGACAATGTCGAAGCACAAGTCTTCACAAGGAAGCATCTCCTTATACGGACCGGGGCTAATCTTCTGATCAATCATCGAGTTGCGACTTTGACTATACGCGAAACGATCCCTCTTGGTTTCGTTGAATTCTTTGCTTAGATTTCCTCCGTAAGGCACAGTGCCGTTTGGAAAAGGGGCGTTAATATTGCGCTCATGAAGCCAAGAATCCTCTGCAGTCCAGTCTTCACATCGGGGTATGAGGACGGAGCAGAGCCATCGTTTGTAGTCCGTACGACAATGGTCGCAGGTACGGGCAAGTGAGTACTGAGACTCGGAAGGGGCATCGCAGGCCACTTGGTCAAGTGAGTTCTCGAAGTTCTGGTAGTATTCGCGCGCTTGTTTTTCGTAGAGGTCTTTGAGTTTGGCGTCGTTGAGCTTGAAGTCAGGCGAAGAAGGTACCGCATAGGCGACCGAGTCGCAGAACTCGAGGTCGAAGAGAACTTGGCAAGAGTCGTCTGAGAGATTTGTTAGTATTGCTAGAAAGTGGATACGGTAGCCCAAAGGCCAAACCTACCTGCTTTCGTAGTCCAGTTGAACTGCTGGAAGACCTTGCCGCCGGCTCTCACTGTCCCGACTCCAGGTAGCTGCCATGTTTCTTCGTTGCCTTGTACAACCAGAAAGCCATTGTACGTTTTGGCGGCATCGAGGCCCTGGACGTGGAACTGGCCCTTGGGGTATCCGGCACCAAATCGTGTCGTGATGGTAGTATCTGTAGTGAGATTGCTGATCGTCGTGTTGGTAAACTGCCTTTTCACGGCGCAGTAAGAGTGTTCCAACCCCGTCACTGGTGTACGATCGCTGGCTGGAAAGGCGTACATGGTGAAAGGATTGTTGTTTTTCCATCTATCGACATTTTCGGTTTCATTGGATGCGTTTATGTTTGATGCGGTAAGGTTATAGGTGATGAAAAGTGCAGACTCGCTGTCCGTGTCGACCATGAATAGAAAGGGATTCGAGTCGTTATAGCTGTGATAGAGCCCATCTGTACCAGCGGCCACCTCGAAGTGCCAACTTCCAAACCAGTCATCGCTGAGCTTTGGTGCCGAGATTCCAATGTACACGTTCGAAGTGGCATTGGCCTTGAAGCTTGCGAAGCCGCCGTCGAATACAACGCCTGTATTATTTGTGGCAAGATGGTCGGTCGAGTTTGGCCCAGGCTTCTGATTTCGTGTTGATGTCGAGACATACATGGTGAGTTGGGGCGAGGCTGGGCCCGTCTGGTTACCCTGAGGCACAGGCTGCTGACAAGTGTTTGCAGATATCCAAACGCTGTTGTTCCCCTTTGGGGCCTCCAACACGAAGTATGTAGTGGCGTCGGGGCCTATGTCTAATTCCGTCTTGTTGTTGTTCACCAGCTTTCTCACATCCGGTGCTTGTCGTCCCAGCAGGCTCCGCGCAAAGTAGGCAAAGTCAGGCATGTAACCTCCTGCGTCCTCTCTTTCGGCTTGGCCATTCTCTGCGAGTACAAGCTCTTCATCGAGGGGCGCGGGCAGCACCAGCTGGCTGGCATCTCCGGGTCCAGGAGAGGCGAGGATCTCGGCGGCACAGGCGAACTGAACCAACTGGAATGGCGTACTCAGGGCGATGAGGAGGCAGCTAACGATGGCGTACACGAGCAGCCTGGACCGCAGCAGCCATGTGGGTTTCGGGGGTTGCATTGCCCTCTCCGCTACCCTATCAACGGTTCCGAGGATGCATGAGGGGAAGGCACAGAACGTGCACGACGTGATCAAGCGAGACGTTTGCGGGTGCAACTATATCACAGGTTTTGGGTAGGTGGAGTACGCGATCAATATGGGCCGCCATGGGCACAGCTCAGCTTACGCAGTAGGTGGACCCTGCCAAGACCTGCTTCTGTCGAGCATCCACCTCCACCAACGGATTGACACTGACGTGAACATATTGCTTTTCAGACCACGTCCCCGTCCTCTCCCAGTATCAATGACAAATACTCACATGTGACTGATAGGCTGATAAGCCCGTCTTACTTGCAGCTTCAGACCTCATATCACAACCCTATGATACTAGCATCCTTGACCCTCCGATATTTTGCGAGGTGAGGCGCGTTTATTGCGCGTTTTGGTTTGGCAAGACAGTCTCCATCTTGCTTGGAAAAGTTTCTTGATGGCGAGCCGGAGATATCGACTGATCAGGTTCGACAAGTATTATTCCCGGCAGGATCGTTAAAAACTACAGATTGTCTACTTTCTGCAGATGTAAAAGCATTAGGGCGAAGTGAGACTCCCAATACCATGCCACTACCTCGTTCACCACCATCAATTCTAGTCGTTAAATGCCATCACCAGCGAACACGAATTGATATCTTGTCCCCATCCCCAATCCCCTACTCATCCATATATAAAAACACACCAGACCCTCGTCCTCTAGGTTCTCAGAAGTGTTACATTGTTTCCAAACTATATTACCCTCCAGGTTAAAGAACTCGACTCGCGAAGAACAAACTTATACAAACTTCATACAAACCTCAAACCTTGAGGGCATTGCTTACAATCCCCTCCTGCTACCACTACCCACATCCCTACCGTTACAATAGCGCTTACAATTAGGATTTGTACTGTCCCAGCCGCATGTATATTCGCTACTGTATGTTCTGTCAACAAGGAGGAGTCTATGCGAGGCGATAAAGATAATGGAGAAGTTAACGGCCTGAGATACAACTCAGAGCAATGGGAAGGACAACGAGCTGTGTTTGCCCTTAGAGTTCTTCTCATTGATTAGTTCCCGGCTTGGTTAATCGATTATAGCATGAATGAACATAACGTTGCACACAAGTGCTTCGTGAAGATGGTATCTAGTGAATCATTTAACACTATTATACAAGTTGATGATATAAGATACTTTCTACCATCTGCGCTGTATCTCAGCATGGATTGACTGACTACCCGTTATGAGGAAAGAAGACCATGTACAATCGCTGCCGGATCTCTGCAGCATTAGAAGCATATTATGCCAGTCCCACACATGAGATTTCTCCCCGAAATTGATCCTTCTAGCTGAGAAACACTCACCAACCCGTCCATGCATCACTCATAGTTGTTCCCACTGAACCCTTCAACCTTTCTTGGCAAACCCGAAGATCCTACTGAACTGTTTGAACGAAACTTCCATTCCTTCCTCTTGTTGTTTCCACTCTGCATAGCGCTTGATTGTCTCGATATCGGAAGTGAGGTAGTTATCAGTGAGCGGAATCTCTGTAATGCCACCTCGAGTATGGATGCGTGCGACGAACTCGATAGTGCCTGGTACCATCTCTTGGGCGTTGACAGTAGTGGTGGTGTTCGATCCAATACAGGTGGGAGGTGCAGCTGACGAGGTGCTATTGACTACGTTGTCGGAGGCAGCTCCTACTGTTGATGCAGCTGCTAACACACTACCGATAACCTTGTCGGAAGCGTCGGTGCTGATGTGTGTAGCTGGAGAGTCGGCGACTTCATGAGCATCATTCACGCCATCGTTGACCCAGCTATCATCGGCATCAACCGGCAGATCACCATTGACAGTAATGCCCGCTGTCTGCTCGTCGATTGATGCATGTAGTTTACGAATGTTTACCGTGGCGGACTTCTGCACAGCAGACAACTTAGGGTGCAGCTGCCTGCCATGGGCACTTGTCTTACTCAGACCAAGAGCAAGCAAATCGCTCACTGAAGCTAGTGGCGGTAGCACAGGTGCAAGAGCTTCCAAAACAGCATTAGCTTCCGTGACTGGTCGTGCCACGATCTTATCCTCGATAGGCCGTGTGGGCTTGGATGCAACGAAAGTAGGTACAGTATCCTCGTAATCAGCGGTGGAATCTTTGTCCCCTTCCTCTACTACTTCTTCTTCCTCTTCCATTTCATTTTCGTCTTCGACCATAGTCGTGTTCTCGTCCTCGACCACCTTCTGCTGCTTGTGTTTCTTTGGTGTGAGGCCTGTCAATGTGGGCTTCGCAGAGGCAGGAGAATCCGAAGGTGTCAGACTATTGACGGCTGAGCGACGCGTCGTTCGTCGAGTAGCAATTCCTTTCGTGGCTGCTGCGCTGCTTTCACTTGGTGTTGATGGCTCCTCACGGCCGGTCTCCGCAACATGCCGATCTGTCGTGTGAGACTTTCTGGCCGTGCTATCATGCTTAGCACGCTCACCTCGAGCACGCTTGTTTTGACCTTGTTGATTCGCAAGCTCACTCTTTCGTTTGTTCCTCCGAACGAATCCTGAAGGAAGTTTGTCGAGATTGGAGTCGATAGGATCTGCTTCGGCGGCAAGACTGTATTGTAGGGCGGAGCCTGTGCTGCGTCAGTGACTGAAATATGACCGTGAGAGGGCGATTCGAAAGAGGTTGGTATAAAACAGCAACCTCCGAGAGAAGAACATAGCAACTGGAACAGCCAAACTTACTGTTTGAGGCCATGTCACTGAAACTCGTATCACCTGCTGGTTCGCTATCGGTATGATCTGAAAACGTATGTGCAGCGGGAGGAACTTGTGCAGAAAGTGTTAAGGTAGTCGCGTTTCCGTTGATCTGTCCTCGGTTGTTAACAGGCAAAGGTGAGATATACCCATCCGTGTCGGCAGTACTTTCTATAGACTATTAGCACAAATTGTTTAGATGAACTTTACTCAAAAGCGACGAACCTTTCTTCGCATATCTCACTCGTGCGGCGATTGAAGAGCGAAGAGACTTTGCAGGAACCAGGTCCTTCTTCGGCAAATAGCGTCCGTTGGGTCCGCGAATCTTACCGCCGCCCGCATCTTCAATTGGAACCAGCTGATTTGATTCTGCGGGAGACGAAGTACTCACCCTACCCTCGAGAATAGCCGACGAGTCTTCATCCATTGTCAAGATTGGCGGTGTCTCTTCTAGAGAACTAAAAGGAGATGACGACGCCACAGGTCTGGTTCTTATGCCCCGATTCTCAGATACTGTCTTAGTCTGACGTCCTGGTTCACTAAAAAGATCTTGGATTCCATGATCAGCAAACGTTTCTCAATTGCTAATTTGGACGAAGCCACACAATTCGTCTCGCAATGACGAGAAATAATGTCACGAATTGATAAGTTAACATACCTGTGTATTGTGGGAGCTCTCGCGAGGTGACTGTTTCGGGCTGTCGCTGCTCTGAATGTCCTCGCGACTTCATCCGCTTACCCTCTGATGACTTCTGAGACTGTGATTTCCTCTGATGCGAAAGAGTGACAGGCGTAGTCTCGACTGGATGAATGTGAGGTGACTTCATAGTCAAGGGCTGGCCGGGTGGCCTCTTCCCGAATGGCACCTGAAGTGTGGGCGTTCTAGCAGCTTCATCTGATAAAAGTGAGTAAATTATGTCAGGGTTTCAATGATCTGTTTTACTGGTGAAACTAACCATCGTGCTGGTTCAAGTCGTTAGATATAGGCGAATCGCGCGCCTCACCTTTCATACTCGGGAGGCTCACACCGGGAGCGGACTCGCCACGAGAGTTGTTTCGTACCATTACAGATGACATAGTTTTCCAACTTCTGTCGAAGAATGGCCACTTGTCTTGAGCCTTTCCTGTTAGATTCCGCACGCGTCGATAGGCCCTGTCAAGCTGTGCAAAGCCCTCTGCTGTGCGGATGATCCTGCCTTCTTCCGTTGGGCCAATGGGCTTGTAAAGGTAATGCTTCCTGATCCACATGGCTAGCTCGATGTCGGTGTCAACTTCGCTTTCGTTCAGATAACGGTGAATATCGGTCAAGGTCTTCAGGTCAATGAACCCTACCGCGTGTTCTGGAAGAACCGTCGGAGCTACATTGTTTTCGGATGGATTGTAAAGAGGACGACTGCTGGAAGCCATCTTGGCGTAAGGATTCCGTGGTTGCGACTGGACTGAAGCGAATGACGAAGTTCTATATGGAATGATAAAACAAGCGTTTGCTGTGATTGCGCCTACAGGCTGCTGAGATACGTGAAAGTAGAACCCAGACCTACGGAGCGATACAGAAGAGTAACGGGAACAGAGTTCTTGTCGCGTGAAAGCAAAAGTTTTGGCGGGCAGAAACCTCTGGACAGTTTGCCGGTCGATGATTAGTAACTGTGGTGGCGCTTGCGCGAACTAAAGAACTTTGAGACGCGACGTGTAGGTTGAGATGAATAGCGCAGTTCCACACCTATCCAACCGTGGTTGAGTGGGTGCTGGATGTAGAAGAAATGGAAGTGTTGGCGAGGGCGAGGTGTGAACCTTTCAGCACGGCTCCCAAATCAGCACGTGACTTATGCCACCCCACAACTTTTGTCCGAACACAGTTGAGGCATACCAAGTATGATTCAAATGGCTTAAAGAAGTGTTGCAATAATCTGTGGGAGTTGAGGCAACCAAGCTCCAAAACTCATTATCATTGCTGAGCAGGAAGACTACGACACAAAGAAAACATGGCAAGTGGACATCAGATCTGACAGCAAACTGGTTTGGTTCGAAATAGTTCTAGAGTATCTAAAGTCAATGGTTTATACATGAGCCACCATCCTGACTACTTAGTTCAGTTGCACCCGTCCTTGCGCCCATCATTCCTATGATAACTCTGCTTCTAGATTTAGTGTGTGCTTTGCAAACTTTTCCGTCCATTGCATCGCCGTTTTTTTCATAGATGGATCTTTCCATCTGATATTCATGTGCTATCTCAGGGACGACAGCGTCTCCTGGATCCGGATTGGCCAAAAATGTGGACAGACTCAGCAGGACTTGCGATACTGTCAATACCGGGGACCAGTCAAGACTGAGAATACTCAAGCCGATGAAGCCGCTACGACTATCAATAATGGGGTGGTAGGTCTTGGTAACAGAAGTCACAGTCGGTGGCTGGAGAGGATAGTCCTGAGGAAAACGAATAACAAAGTTGAATGTCCTGCCCGCGTATGGTGATGCCTGTGGACCCTCAATTGTCCCTATCCACTCGAAGAGGTTCCCATCCATTGGTTGCGCTGAACATCCCTCAGGTGAGTTCTGGCGGAGGTGGTCGAGCTCTTTTTCGAGCCGTTTGCGCGCTCTATCCATTGGTGTGATGGCAAATAAGCACGTCGACTGGTTTGAAGGCTGTTCAAGTTTAGCCAAAGAGTGCATGCACGATATCCTCATACAAAACGATGATTAAGAGGTTCAGGTGAAACATAGTAGGGTATTAGTCATAGCAACGCCTGCATCTCCCTACGTCATATGCTTATGCAGATGAACAAATCTGGATCATTCGATGGGCCTAGAATTCAAATGGTCAATGGAAAAGTAGCATATGAAAGACGACACTTCAATGATAGTACAGACAAAGGTCCTAACCAGCAGAAGCTTCACTGACAACGGCACACACTCTGTCTGGTAGCCGTTCAAGAAGCAGTCTATGAATGAGTATTTATGTTCTCGACACGCGTTGAAATTCTAAAAGTAGAGGAGAGTTAGGTGCACTTCCAAGACGGAAATCAATCATGATGTGTGAGAACTTCGAGGGACCAAACAGCATCCGTTGGCGCGCGAAAAAACGCGCCACGCGATTCGACGCTCCAACTGAGCGACCACGTCCAAATCAGGCCTAGGGTGGAGACCCTCACTAGACTTCGCCTTTCGCGGGTCCATCAATCCACAGCATCACCTCCACAAGACATCCAAAGATCTTCCGCAAACCTCCACACCTCTTCATGCGCAATTCTCCCCTCTGGCCATCGATCCTCCCACGCTTGATGATGCCATACCAACATCGTTCTGACTATGCCAATCAACATCGGCCACGCTTCATCCGGAATTTGGATACCCAGAGGCAACACCCCCCTGATTTGCCCTATCAGCAGGCTCTCGTCGATTGCGAAGACATCTAGATCATCTACGCGCTGGCTCGCTTGTCGGAAAAAGAAGCCCGTCTGGTGCCAGAGGTCGCGGACCGTGTGACAGCAGCCTTCTTGTGTCAATGCGCCATTTACTCCGATAATCTCGCCGCTGGAGAACATGTAGTTATCCTGTCCGCTATCACGGCGTGTGCGGCGAGTGGCATGGGCTGGGCCAGGAAATGAATGGGGAATGAGAGACCAGTGATGGCTTTCGTCCGAGTCGGATTGCATCTGCGGAAGGAAGAGTATGCTTCTATCCAGGGGGCATGTGTTCGCGTCACCCTTGAGCCACTCATGGATGCATGTACGCCCAAAGATATGCCCACAACCAGGGAGAAGAACTGGTGTGTGGAGGTCGTTGTATTCTTCTTGACAAATGGGACAATGATTTGAGGCTGAGCAGATAGCGACAGGGGCAAGTGCTTTGATGTAGTCCTCGCGCGAGAACAGGGGGGTGTCTGTGGACATGTGGTTCAACTATTTGCATGAGATGGCAGAGCATTGTGGAGTGAGCCTTATATGTTGGACCCGCAGAATGATTCACGGGGAGGACCTGTGATGGAAGACATGTGACAGAACGTGTTTGCTCACGAGCTGGCGGGTGCTGCAATGCTCTCGTTGTGTCTGCGTTGTTCTAGACAAAAGTCTGACATTGATGTGAAGTGTGGAACACGCAGTTGGACGAAGTCACGATCATACGGCAGGGACTAGTCGCTCGACTGATAAACAAGTTGTTCAGACAGACAAGGTAAGTAGGTCATGATCCATTCGAGATGATCGAACCAAGATAGCTCATGTACTGCACATACGAAAAAAGAACAACTGGCGGCCAAAACTGAAACAACAATACAATTCAACAAAACACTACAGTATGGCCCTATCTACCGTACAGAAACACATCTCCACAAGCTTCTCTTCCAAACCCGAAACGCCTCCTCAACACGCGAGCATCCCGTTCTCATTCCTCCCTTTCTTCTCTCTCCTCATGCTTTAGAAGTTTAGAGTTTATCCGAACTCTCTTCTTGACACTCCTCTTACCATCTTTCACAGACGGCGACGCTTGCGACGCTTGTCCAGATTGCTCCTCGTCAGATTTCTCAGGAGAGACCGAGCGCTTGCTGAGAGTGTTCACGTTCATGGATTTGGTGTTTCTAGTACTTCGCGCGCTTTTTCGACCCGGTGCAGGTGTGCTGGGCTCGGGTCTCTGAGGATGTTTTCCTTTGCGGTTATCATTGGGTGACGGGACTGGAATTTCCGACGTGCGAAGTGTACTTTGAAGGGATGCGGGTGTGGCGGTCTGGCTACCGCTGGGGGAGGAGGGAATGGCTGTAGAAACTAAACCGTTGTTGAGCAGTGAAGCCGTAATGTTCCGTGCGCGACGAGGTCCGCCAGGAGGCGGCAAGTGAGGAGGATTATCCAAAGGATTCGCAGGTATGGTGTTGCCGCCGCTCTCGCGATGAGGGTAAGATGGTCGGAGTGGTGAGCCTATAGGTATCCCACTTGTCAGGCTGCGTGAGGGCAGCAGTGAAGGCTTCTTGCCCAAGTCCAACTTCAGTTTATCGTCCAGAGGGCTCGATCGAGGCGTTTTACTTCGCTCACTCGCCTCTTCCAGGCTCTCGGCGTGCAGTGAGAGCTTGCGCTTGGTACCTGATGCAACTGAACCCAGAGTTTTCGAACTTGACATCTGGATCTTCCTGGCCGATAACTCTGCGGCTCTCTTTGCATGCTCTTCTCCTCGTTGTTTCTTCAGCACTTCATATTCTGCCCACAATGTGGCTAACTGTTGCTTGTATTCATGAGGTCCAAGCTTGTGTTCTGTCATTTGACTTTTGGCAAGTTCTCGAATCTCGGATGTCTTAGCTAGCAATTGTGAGCTCAATGAAGTGATAGTCGGAGTAGGAGCTCCGGGTTGCGAAGACTCGCCCTGAGGCCGATCATGATGCCCTCCAGCAGCGGACGAACCCTTCATTTCGTTTTGGTCGCGATGTTTTTGGGTTAATGGAGTTTGTGGAGTACTAGGGTTCATGCTGTGAAAACCTTCCGTGGCTGGTTGTGCGTGAGGTGATGCAATTGCATCATGTTCGACACCTACTCGAGCAGTCGGACGCAACGTCGCAGTACCTGCGTTCGAAGTCTTACTCTTTGACCCCAACACTATATTCTCTTGTTCTTCACGGTCTTTCTCCTGCTGTTCTATATCCGATTGTATCTGCTCGTCTTCGGTAAGCTCCTTGTCGTGCATATCCTCGGCTCCTCCCGACTCTCGATCCGATTGATCATCCTCATCCTCATCATCCTCATCATCCTCATTCTGTACTTCCTGTACGCGTCGCGCTCGCCGTTCTCTCCGCAAGCGTTTCCTCTCACGTGCAAAGTTCCTCGCACGCGCGAGCATCACCCTGGATAACCTGTACAATTTTGTCCCAGCCAAGATGCCACCAGATGCGAGGATAAAGCGAGCAAGCACAGGATTGTTTTGACCCCATCGACCAAATGCTCGTGAGTAGGTGGGAGCGAGAGTAGTGAGTATGCGCGCCGGAATTGACGGCATCCTGCGTTGTACATGCCTCCCGCGAGGCAGTGCGCTGGACAGGGTGGTTTCCATAATCTTCTGTATGGTCTCGGTCACGGTTTCGGTGACAGTTTGCGTGGCGGTCACAATGGAAGTGCTGGTGCTGACCGTGGGGATTGGGGCAAGAGTGTCTGCCATGCTAAATGCGGTGGGAATGTCCATGATGCTATGTTCTCGAATGTTGATCCGGCGCTGATGGTGGTTGTGTTTTCACAAATAGTACAATAGACGAAATAGTCCGACGATTGTGGTGTATGTCAAGACAACTACTAACTCGAGCTGATTGTACAGCAGTAACGATGAAAACAGTTTTGAAGTGCAAGTGACCGAGAAAATATAGAGATAGATTTTATGGCAACGAGCTTTCCTCAAAGCTGTTTGTTACAAGAAACGAACAAGGCGCTGATAAGTATGAACGACAAAGCCAAACAAACTCACGACGCTCTTCCATTGTAGAGAAGACTTTTGTAAGATTTACAACAAAGAAGCTGACTATCACAACTCTTCCAATATGAAAGATGTTCATTGTCAAACATGAATTGATCGGAAATCCGGAAAGATGATCAGTAAACACATAGGCGATTGAACATGCTATGGGCTCGATTGAGGTGTATCTCTGGTGCATAGAGACTAAGAAGTCAGTGTCTGCAGACTATGTCTACACGATCTCCACCTTGGACTACTCGATATCGAAATTTTACCATCAGCACGAACACGCTTCAGACCAAGTGTCCGTCTGTACTACAGAAAGTTTCCTCACCCCTACTAAACAAAGAACTCACCGACGCACATCAACCCATACACTCCTCATCTCCACCAAACAACGCATCTCCCAGCATCACCATCACATCTCAATACGCACCAAACAAAAGCCTTATCACTCCATCAGCACATCACATTCGTACCCCTCCCTCACTACCCAGCCAGCACAAATCAATATCTCTGCCCCCCACCAACTGAAGCACAGCGTGTTTCACATCTCTCCCAAACCACGATATCGGGAATGCTGACCGTGCAACAAAGCACAGGCAAGAGATACACATGGAAAGAAGTATTCACAACGCGTAAGAAAAACGATCGGATTTCAGGGGGGCATGCAAGTGGAGAGGTGCGTGGTACTTGTGTCATGTAGGAATACGTGTTTTAATTGAAAGAGTCAAGTTGCATGTATTTGTGAAATCAGTCGTAACTGTGATTTCTCCGCTAATTGCTACCCATGCGCTTGTCTCAGGGCAGATCCGTCAATTTCTGTATGACACTGAACGTCGCTCTCGAGTCGTCGGATAGCGGTGCATTACCGGGGCGGTCGACGACGACAGTATATACGCCTGCCTGGGTTGCGGCTTCGGCTTCTGTTTGAAGAGAGTCAGTCGGTAAGGTTGTAGTAAGGTTTATAAGTTATGCAGGGCGTGCCGTTTTTGGCGTAGGAGATGAGGTGGGGGTCGATGAGATTGCTGTGTTTCAGATGCGTCTATCGTCAAGACTTGAATCTGATGTGACAAAGGAAGTTTTTTGCGGGGTAGCTGAAAGCTGGGATGCGAAGATGGTTGGACGAACACACACGGTGATGTAAACATGAGGCACGCATACCTTTGACGTTGTCAGTCAGAAAGGTCACTTTCGACACATTCTGACCAAGCTCGTTGCAGATCTTCTCGTACGAGCTCTTCTCCAGCTTTGGGCCCGCGTTCACAGTGTCATAGTGGGCTGAGAAGAGGGGTTTGATGTCCTTGGTCGTCTCGCCAACCTGTACGTACGAGAAGAATTGCAGCTGAGCCTGCACACTTCCAGACGAGAAGATGGCCAGCGTTTTACCAGCTGCTTTCCAGGCTTCCAATGTCGGTATTACGTCTTCGAAGAGCGGAGTCTTGAGATCTCCATCACTAAAACCCGTCTTCCAGAGATGTCCTACGTAGTGTTAGTCAAGTGACACAAGCATTGCAGCCGATAACGTCCGAAGAGATAAGGCGATCGACGCTAAAGTGGGTATAATTGTGGTGAAGTTGCGATAGGCAACGCACTACAACTCAACATCATCGAGGGAGTGACGCGTAGTGATGAATACCATACAGTCGCAACGGAGACCATCATAACTGAGATGCTTTGGTCTCAAAGACCGGCCCGAATGATGCGAGGTCGATCCTAATCTGGGACAGCGCGCTGTCGGCGCCTCGGTCTTGTGATGATGTGATATGACGAACGATGAGACATGGAAGGGTCGGTATGCAAGAAAAGGAAATCCTACAACACGAACCTTGCAGCTGCTTCAGGTATACAGCTTTGATGTCTCTACGCGTCAGATCCTCCACATGAGCGATGAGGGCATCGGCGTTTTGCTTGGTCTCTTCCGGGAATCCCACAATGAGGTCTTGAAAGTCCGGATCAAGCCAGGTGTCGCGTGCTAGTCTCGTGAGACGATTAAGCGCATACGGGTACTGCGGCTATCGTGAGCTGCGACCTCAGCGTGCGTCGCGTGATACATGACGGAAATTCGACGTGAACAGATCTTCGCGGCGAGCCAGGCCTCTCGTAAACAGTGAACAAGGGACGCGACGATTGCCGGAAAATCTCCTAATGGGATGGACGTACGGACCGCTCGGATGTTTTGGCTGGGCTTGGTGGCGATGATCACGCTTCCAAATGCGGGGAAGTTGCGAATATCGGGATGGCAAACAGAATGATTCGACAAATTCCGAAAATTGAACATGAAACTAAGGAAAGCTCACCATAACATCCTTGACGAAGGAAATGCTCGAAATTGTGCCCTCTACAAGTAAACAAATTACATGGTCAGCACTGTCTCGTGGAAAACGTGCTATGTGCAACGGTGAGACAACTGCGGGGCGCAGCTGAAGCTATCTGGATGGCTGCAGTGGCGACAAAGTCTGGGGTAAGAGCAGCCGGGCGAGCGCATCAACACGATGGCGCGAGTTGGAGCACGTAGGTGTTTGTGGTACGAACGGTTGCTGGCCAGACCATCAAGCTAGGAACGCTGCATGCATCGGAGCTTGGTGGTGGCGGATTGCAGTCGTTCTCGCCCGAGCAGAGTAGTGTTGACAGAGGACTCGATCATGCGACTCACCGATGTCGAGCAGCACAACCTCAGAACCGCTCCAGCGCCCGCTGTCAACCGCCGCGGCAGACATGTTGGTTTTTCTTGTTGAACTGAGAGCGGTGAGGGGCGGTGAAGCGAGATGTCTCAAAGGCTGATGTGGTGGTGTGTCTGAGACTGCTCTGGTTGGTGCGAATACGTGAGACAGGAACGTCAAAACAAGGCGGTGAGGTCTGTGTTTACCGTTGCGACGGCCTGTTTGTATACAGGTTGCTAGAAGAGGTGTAGCAGTTCACGCATGTGTAGGTAGGTCGGGAGAAAATTTTCATGTACAGACGGAACCAGATACGCGCTACGGGGTTGACATGTTCAAAGCAGTTACCATGATCGCTGTTTTCGCCGTGTCTTCCTTGCTGCGATCAATGTAAGAAACTTGATATCTTCCTCAAGACTCACACCGACTGACTCTGGCTCCAGACTTCCTCGTAACGTATGCGCTGTCAAAGAAGTGCGAGACTGATGTTTGGGAGTACCTTGATAATCTACATCTCGATACAGGCCCCAGTCGATGCAGATGGACGGGTGAGGCCCACCTGATATCCACATGCCGTGTGCAAGCCCCATGCCCACCTGGCGTGATTAGAAGACACCTGCACTTTTCAGGATGAGTTGTCTTTCCGAATGCTGCAACTGCTCCACACCGCTTGGGTGGCATCCAGGTACAGGTACGGAGAAGTGGGTAACGGAAAGCCTGGCCACATGTGACCTGCAGTAGTCTCGTCGTGTGCCTGTCCAGCACCCCTAGGTACCTAGCGGGGAACGCGTATCCCCCGCCTGCATGCTTTTTGCTGCAGCCTACTGCAAGTCCATACTTAGGATGCGTTTAGATAACCTTGACAGGTGATTAGACTGGTTGGCATAGCCGAGGAAGGACAACAAACAGCAGAATTGGGTAGGTGGATGTGCTGCGGACATGTTTCATTCGTGCAAGGCTGGCCACACCGACTCTGCTCTATCTCCACTGCATGCATAGCGGCCAGTATAGTGAGAACACGATGTTGGAGACGATTCGCACGACTACAAAGCTCGCCAGCAGGAGCTTTCCCCAGATGCCAATTCCAAGACGCAGTTGCCGCTACCCATCGACGGAGCTCATGGCGGACACAACAAGCGTACCAAAGAGCGACTCTGCGCGCTAGCCAGTGTACAGCTGTAAGCACTCGGAACACATGTCATGTGGTATTGGGGCGAGGTGTCGAACCGCACCACACCTGGCAGGACAACACCTGGCAGTGTGGACGCGTTGATAACAGTGTGCAAGAGGGCCAGGGTGTGAGAGGTGGCAAGCATCGCAATAGATGATAACGGTTTCGTGGGAGCACACACCTCTGCGAAAAGGGTGGCTGCCGTTGGGGGATCGGCACCAATTACAGGACAGGTGGCAGCTTGCCGGTACGACGTTGCGACATGCGACACGCCCCCATGATCCAGCCCATGAGAGGCCGAGATGAGGGCGGTTAAACGCGAGGCCCTTCTGCCAGCTTCCATAATTGTGAAGCAGGATCAATGTTTCAGCATGGGCGTCATAATTCTTGCAGCCTCGTCATGGGCCCCAGTGGGTAAAATTGGGGGCATCAGTCATGCTCGGAAGCTGGCGCAAGCTGGACGGACAAAGGCGTGACGGAGCAGCTTCGAGGCGATTCTGCGGGCTTCGAAAGTTGGCAGGCGACCAGGGCTGATCCGGCTGCGTAGCGCCAAATGTCGTGTCGTGGCTTGCATCACCTGCCTAACCCTTCTGGTCATTCTTGCTCTTCTTACCCTTGTTGGGCTAGACGGGCAGCCGACAGCTTCTAATACCCAGGGCCCTGCCCTCCTTTACCCGCTCTCACCACCTCACGTCCACCATACCATGTCTTGACCTACAACAAACTACCTATCCTGTCCGTTCTACAGCCTCGCAGCCTCTCAGCCTCCAGACCACCATCACCGCTCCTGCCCATAATACCTCGGGTCCTGCATGCCACTCGTTCCTTCCGCAACTGCCGCTGAGTACTAGACGACAACAACACCATTCCTCCCTCGACGCCCGCCTCATCCCACCCATTGAAGCCAATCTACTCGACCATATACTTGCCGCCACCGGTCCCTGGTTTGATGTGATAAAGAGAGCGTGCTGCTGGCGATCACCCGATACGAACCGACACCTCGTCCTCGTATACGCTACAGCCTCACCACACATCATCTCCACCGACGGCCTGCGCCGCTACATTGCTTCTTGGACCAGACGCTTGATGCTCCCACAAATCAAACCTCTCTTCCAGTGAAAGCCGCCTTCCTCTAGTACCTCGACTTCCGCCGAGCCCTCAGCTAGTCTTCCCGAGTCCGTGCGCCTGACTCACCTCCCGCTCACACCTCATCCACACTGCAACCTCCAGTCTACCCCTCGACGTTCTTCCACGTGTTACGACCATCTTCTCTCTTCCGAGGCAACACTCCCGAGCTTCTGCCATCCCGGACGTCTACGACTCCGCATCGACAGTACCTTCTCGACCGTTCGCCGCCTCCAGCTATCCATACGCAATTAATACCTCCAATGAGAACCGCACTCTCTTAAACTTTCCTTGTTTGTTTCCAGTCAACGGACACTTGTTCATATCACCGACGACTTTGCTCTGCTTTCAGTTTCCTTGGACTGGCTTCCTGCAGCCTGTATCTGACGACATATTTCCTGGCCCGTGCATACATTCCGTCACGGACCAGACGCTACCATAAACATTTTATTGCTATCTTTCCAAAACTCCGTGGTCACCTAAAAGTCCAATAGAGCATCGCTTTTTGGGTGGACGGCTGTCGACCCATTGTTTGATTTCGGCTTCGAGCATTGCATTCGGTGTTCCTGTCTTATCCCTCAAGTTTTACCTGGCCTGTGGCCTGTTTCTTGTCACCACCATCCCCAATGGAGTGCATGCGCAACCAGCTACATGACGGTGTCGTGCTGAACGGACGATACGAAACCATCTCCCCACTCAACCATGGCTCTTTCGGCATGGTCTTCCAGGCCAAAGATCTGTTGACTGGCGATAACGTTGCGATCAAGGTTATCACCAAGCCTACAGCGTCTCTCAACTGCCCTTCTACCTTCGCTGTTGACGAGCGTTCCGAAGAGCTCAATGTCCATCTTTGCCTCGGTTCCCATCCCAACATTGTCAATCTTGTTGAATCGTTCGAGTCTCAGAACCACGTCTACTTGGTCTTGGAGTACTGCTCCAACGGAGATCTTTACGAAGCCATTCGATTTGACAAGGGCCCGCTGGAGACCGAGCATGTTCGCGACTTCATGATGCAGCTAGTTGGTGCTGTTGAGTACTGCCACGCAAAGGGCATCTACCATCGTGACATCAAGCCCGAGAACATCTTCCTCACCCAGAACGGCTCGATGAAGCTTGGCGACTTCGGCCTTGCAACATCCGAACCCTGGTCCTGGGAGATCGCGGTCGGTAGCGATAGGTACATGGCTCCCGAACAGTATGATCCCACCAGCGCTGGCTACTCGACCCCCAAGGCCGACATCTGGGCGATTGGCATTGTTCTCCTCAACGTGCTGTTTCAACGCAATCCCTTCGCCGTTCCGGCTGGCTCGGATCCTCTGTACGCCGACTTTGCTCTCGACCGTCAGAGTCTCTTCGATGTCTTCCCAAACATGTCTCAGGATACCTTCGAGGTCATCAGGCAGTGCTTGGCTATCGATCCTGAGAGACGTGATCTCACCGCCGTCAAGGAGGCCCTTGCTCGTGCCATCTGCTTCACCACGGATGATGAGAGTTTGGATGAGTTCTGCACCGAGGAGCGCGATGCCATCACTGTTGGTGCCAACCGTGAGCCGCTTCGTACACCGTCCATCAGCACACCCTCGCTTGATGCGAGTGGTTCGTTCCCATGGGCAAAGGCTCTCGCAATGTCTCCGCCGCAGACGATGCGTCAACTCTCTGTCATTCACGACACGGAAATCTATTCCGACGACATGTACCCCACTTCCTACGACGTCAAGCCAAGCAACGCGTCTGGAGTATCTTTTGTCGACTCTGGCTTGGGTCTGTCGTTCAAGTCTGGTGACATGTCTTACAAGTCGAGCGAAGTGACGCATCTGGAGCCTATCAACATCACGCGATCCAGGCCTGTCCCCATCTCTGGGTCTCTTCCAGCCAAGCCCTTCAACAGTATGGCGTCCGTCTTCGGTAAGAAGCGCGATGTCTTCTCGAAGAGCTGGAGTGACCTCTGGGACGAGGAGGAAGAGGAGCAACAGTTCATCGCCGAGATTGAGAACAACTACTCTTCGTTCAGCGCTGCGAAGGCAGTGAAGCCGGTTGTGTCTGAGGCTGGTTCTGGCGTGTCGACTCCACGTGGTGGTCTAACGGAGCTGAAGAACCCTGCCACTGTTCACAACAGCAGGAGCCGCTCTCCTCAGGATCGCCGTGCTACGGACCACGTTAGCGAGAACACTGGTTTCATCTTTGAAGAGCACCAGACGTCGGCACTTGCTCGGAGTTCGCCTTCTCCTAAGCGATCCGTCGCCGACAAGTGGGCCGCTCTCGGTGACCGCCGTCGTGGTCAGCTGGTGCATTCAGAAACTCCTTCGAAGCCTATTAAGTCGCCCAAGCAAGCTCAACCCAGCCCAACGTCCGCTCGGAAGCGGAGTCGGGCTGGGACATGGCGACGCCCGACCCACGGTAGCCCAACCCAGCATGACATGTATGGTTCCTGGGAAGCCAAAGTGGACAATCGGTACAAGAGCAAGGACTGGCGCCAACATCCCGTCCATCATGTTCAGGAGAACTTTGATGACATTGGCGACCTTGAGTGGGTGTTGTAGGCAGTGCGCCTTCAACTTGTAGTCTTGACAACTTTTTTTCATCCCTCTGAACTTTTTTACTTTTTTTATATTCGAAACAAAAAAACTCGAATACGTTATTTTGCGGAGAGCCAAGAGAAATTACCGGGAACCTTCTCCTCGCCTACTACCTCCTACCCGAACGAACCAACGAACCAACAACAATACCCCCCCAAGCTAGATTGTAGCTTTAGAGATACCAGTTTTCTTGCTTTCCACTCCTCGCGTCTACATATATACTCTACTCCTGTACGCCATACTTTTGCTTCTCTCTACTCGCACACCACTTGGCGCATTATCCACTCATCCTACCGCTTGGTATCTCTCCTTTGTTGCTTTTGCTGAGGTGGTGGTGGTGGGGTTTGGGTTCCCTGTGGATTACTCATTTTGGATTCTTTGCATTTTTTGGTGGATGGAAAACCCAGAAGAACCTCTTTTTTCTTTTCTTACTTGTTCTACTACGATGAAAGGCTTTTCATCAGACTGATATATGAAAGCGGCATATGGGATGGAGTTTTTGTGCTTTTTTTTGTTCAGAGGTTTTTTTGTTACAACCTCCTCTCTCTCTTTCTCTCTTTTGTCAAGCAAGGGTTTTTGGGCGGTGCCGCGAAGGGATTGTTCGCGTGCCTTCTGTCGTTTTTTTCGATCTCTCCTTCTGCTTCGATTGAAAAGGGATGCAAGATTAGTTATGTCAAGACTCGTATCCGTCTGTGATTCTGCACTCCTTCTTTGACGGAAGGGAGGACTGCGGGATCCGGGATTTACCCACTTACTCTGTGTGTTTTTGGTTGTGCGTGATTGTGATTGTGCCTGACTGATGCGCTTCAATGGAGCTGCTGATCGATTGAGATGTAATCCTCAAACATTATACGGTAGGCAGTTGTAGTACTCGGAACGTTGGTGTGAAGGGTTTCAATAAAGTAGAGTCAGTAAGTGCTATGCATGAAAATCGATAGCACCTTGAACAGGTAAAGTCCATATTATTCACGTGGATCGATAGAACCAGGATTCAAAGGCGAGCCATGCTCAATACTGATTTCCAAGCAGAAGTCGACATATCTACCGTTCGAAGGTTGCATTACTATTACGCGCTCAGAGAAATAAACATAGCCATCCATCCACATGACTGAAAGAATAAAAAGAAGCTCAATCTCTCCTCCTGCTCCTCTGCTCCGTCTCATGGGGCGACCTACTCCGTGTATCGCGTCGACGACGCCTCTGCCTATCGTCCGAGCGAGACCGTGAGCGCCGTCGCGGTTCATCAACATCTCGCTCCCTCCTACGCTCGGGGCGGTCTTCTCGTCGCTTGTGATCACGGCTTCGTGATCGGTGCCTGCGCCTCTCGCGGTCTTTATCGTCATCCCTCCGCCTGTCGCGTGATCGCGGTCTATGTCTGCGCTCGCGGTCCCTCGAGCGACTCCGATCCCTGTGCCTCCTCTTGCGCTCCCGCTCGTCATCACGTCCATGTGTATGTTTTCGCGACCTCTCTTTCTTCTCCATATTGTCATTTGCATCGTCATCGCCAGCTTTCTCCTTCCCACCCTCCTCCTCCTCCTCTCCCGCCTTCTTCCCCAAAGGCACCATGTTCGCATTCTCCTCGCCCCTAACCGGAACAGGCAGCCCCATGGCCGCTAGCATGGCATCGTGCTCGGCCTCCTTCAGTTTGCGCTTCTCCTCGCGGATGCGGTCTGCTTCCGTCTCCTTGGCGTCGGCGTCGCCTTTGGCGTACCAGTTCAGGTCGCGGCCGTGCTGCCAGCGGCCTACGGGCGCCATCAGCGAGTGGCCCAGGTAGTTTTCGCGCTGCGCGTCGCCTTTGACGTCTTCCCATTTGAAGTCGGCGCGGCCGCCGCTGAGTGGGGGTTAGTATGTGTGTGTGATAAGGGAGAGGGGGGAAGGTACCGGCTGCCTTCTTTGCGGACGGTTTGCACGAGGTCCATGGTTGTGGTTGGGTGGAGTGGTGTGGAGGAGTGGTCGAGTGAAAGTTGCGGGCAAGTCGCGGAAGTCCCGAGCTCTGACCTCTTTCAGACAGCTCTCCCACACCTCACCACCAGCCCGTCTACACTCTCCACACACACACACTTTCCCTAACCAAACATGGCGCCCCAAATCCCGCCCCTCGACGAGCAGGAATTCGATCTCCCCTACACGCTCCTCGGACTCCCTGGCGGCGACCTCAACGTGCACAACAACCAGCTCTGGTACTTTTCCTCGTCGCAGTTCTTCGAGCCGCAATCCCACAACGTCGCCCTCCTAAACCAATACCGCGAAGCCCCAAACGGCCAGGAAATTCTCAACGACCGCCACCTCTTCCACGAGCACCTGTCGCGCCAGGCGCACGGCACGCAGTTCGTCGTCGCCGGCGAGCCCCAGGCCGACGCCCAGCCATGGCTCATCCAGCGCCACAACAAGACGCACAACGCCGTGACGGAGCAGCCCGAGACCCTCGTCGAGGGGAACTGGTATACCCAGGGTACCAAGGTCCTCATGGCCCCGAGCCTCGGCGACGTGCTCAAAGCCCGTCTCCTCACCATCGCGACCCGCGTCCAGCAAATGGCCGATCTGGCAAATGGCCTCGACCACTGGTCCCCCGCGACAGGCCACACGTACATGCCCCCGTCTGCGGCCGAGGCGGCGAAACCAGCAGCGCAGAGTCGCGCGGGTAGTCCGACGCTGGGCCCCACCGACCCAGACAATACTACTTCCACAGCAGCAGCAGCAGCAGCGACAACGGCAACCGACCCCGCCGCCTCAACAACCCTCTTCTCAGACGACCTCTTCATGCAGAGCCTCAACATGACGCTCTTCTACGGCGACGAGTACGCGGACGAAAATCCCATCACCGGCGAGCCGGGCGCGTTTGTCTTCACCAACACGGGGCGCGCGGTCGATGCGCGGAATAAGGCGTTGGGGCAGGCGGCGCTTGCTGCGCCTGCGAAGAGTGAGGTGCAGGTCCTGACGCCGAGTGCGGCGCCGTCGGTGGCGGCTACGCCTGTTGCGAGTGTGGCGGCGGATGGGAAGGCGGGTGGGGTGGGGTTGCCGAGGGAGAAGGAGAAGGAGAAGGAGGGCAAGATGAAGAGGCGGAAGAGTAAGGGGTTGGCTAGTCCGACGACACGGCCGTCGACGCCTAAGGTGCTGTGAGCTTGGTGTTTTGGTTTATTGGCGTAATGATACCCGGTACTTGCTTGCTATATATACACAACCTACTATTTCACATCTATCATATATACTGCTACTCATTCATACTTCACGACCCCATCAACCATCCATTCCCCGTCAAACACCCCCCTTCTGCCCCCACCACCTCTCCCCCTCCCCCTCCTTCCACGCATCAAACTCGCCCCCAGCCCTCTCCCTAACCGCCCTCTCCGCAGCACCCTGCCACGTCTTCCCCAAATGCCCATTCTCCAGATCGGCCTGGAACTTCGCTACATCCGTCCGAAAACAATCGTTATTCACCGTTAGCGCGGCTGGCCTTGTATCCTCCTCCCCATCCCCATCCCCATCCCCATCTTCCCCAGCAGATAAACGATCGAGCAGCGCACGGTTCGCCCCCGACGGCGGCAGCATGCTAACCAAGCGTGTGCGCTGCGCGGCGGTTAGGGCGCTCCATGCAAGTGGGGACAGGAGGAGGTGGTATGTGTCTGCTTTTACGAGGCGGCTGGTGGGGTGTGTGGTTATGTAGACTGGGTCGAAGACTTTGCTGCTGGGGGGTTTGGGGGCGGGTTTTGCTGCTGCGGGTGGGGCTGGGTTGAGGCGGGAGGGGGGGTTGCAGGTGCGGGTTGGGCGCGTGCTGGAGGGTGGTGGTGGGACGGGTTTCTTGGGGGCTTTGGGTTTGGGGGCGGGCTTGGGGTTGGTGCTGGGGGTGGGGTCTTTGTCTTTGGGGTCGTTGGTTGGCGTGGGTTTCTTGGGAGTGGGTTTCTTGGAGGAAGGCTTCTTTCGAGAGGGGGTGGGTTTCCTTTTTGGCCTGGCGATGGGCTTCTCGAATGCGGATGATGAGTCGCTGTCGTCGTTGCTGGTGGGTGTGGTCTTCTTTGGAGGAGGCTTTACTCTTACTTTTGGCGTCGCGGCGGGCTTTGCGGGGAGCTCGTCGTGGTTATCATCCTTCTGAGCGTCATTTGATGACGCAGTCTCTTCGGGAGTATGCCTTGTCGTCGTCTTCGCCTTCCCTTTTGCTTTGGGCTTTGTTGCACGCGTTGTCGCGGGCTTTTTGAGTGGTGGAGTGCCTTCGTCACCATCGTCCTGGCGGGCTCGCTTTTGCGCACGCGTCTCGGCCATGATGGATATAGTTGATGCAGGTGAGTCTGGAGTGACGATGGGCTCTGATGTCACGGTAGGTTGAACCTCCTCGGCAGTAGAGTCGCTCTTGCTGGAATCTTTGAGTGAGAACTGTGTGGCAGCAGGTAGACTAGCAGGTGAGTCCAGACCAGCTTCGACTTTTGCGGGTGCGTTTAGATCAAGCTCAGGCAGAGCAGAACCACTGTGGTTGATACTCCCGGGTGACTGGATCGGGCTCGAAGCGATGGGCGAACCGAGGACAACTTCCGCACGGGTATAATTCGGGGTTGATGGTTGAGCGATGGGACTGAAGTCGACAGAAGAGCCAAGGGCAATTCCAGATTCTACGACGTTGCCTGAGACTTCATCTGGAAGGGCTATTCTGGCCTTGTAGGAACTGATGCCAACTGGTGTGAACAGCTGAGAAGACGAGGGAACCGACGAGAGGGGAGAAGAATTGACTGATGATTGCGACATTGTGACCGCTTTGTCTGGTGTTTTGAAAGAGTGTCTTTTGTTTTGTTTGTATGTGGTGTGATCAGAAGAAGCGGGCTGGGAACCGGACAATGGTCTGCCTTGCTTTGTTAGAGGTGGAAAGAGTGAGTCTTGAACGGTCACCAGAACGCGTAAAGGTGCTGTGTGTGCAGTGGCGAGGAATTGATGACAATAGAGTACAGCAATGAAGACAAAACGGTGTAATGGTGATGGGGGCGTTCATTGGATGAAAGTAGAGACGTGGTTATGAATAGTAGCAATCGCGCTTTCGGAGTGGTTGGACATTGTTCCGGAGCTCATGCTGACAGTAGATGGGCCTAGGGCTAACAGCTCATGGTGAAAGAGCCAACACGTACCGCACTGGTAGAGACATTGTGCAGTTTCACTCAGTCCCTCTGGGAGGGCGACAGACAAACAAAACTGCCTTGATGGTTCAAACGCTTCGCTAGCCCACTGTGTTCAGAAGGGATGGTCTATCAGAAGGTCGGCAATCAATTTGGGATCGTCGCTCTCAGCAGAATGCTCGACATGGAATGTCAGAGATTGATGGGCAGATGGAGGTGTCGAGCCACGAGTCCACGTGGTTGAAATTCCAAGCTTCGTTGCAGTGATTGTAGAAGATGAATGGGGGGTGGGAATTATTCGAGTAAAGGCACGAACAGTTGGTGAATTGTGGAGGAGCGACAGCAGGCTCCTGCGAATGAGGTTGATGGCATGTGGGTGTTTGGGGTGTCCGAGCTCTCCTCCGCGATTCCGCATCGTCACCTTTGCGATTTGGCCAACTCTACCACCGACACGTCGCCTCAACTTTTACACCTTCTTACGTACAGAAGCCCCCTTCTAGAAATACGAGACGACCAGAAAATTCTCCCATACTTGTTGTCTCCTCGACGACTCCACGCTGCGACCATGATCCAACACACGATAATAACGCGGCTCGACGGTTAGTTGCCCCTGCAGACGCGTCTTTGCAGAGACCTAACAAACCACTAGGTCTGATTTTGACTGCCTCTGTCGACGACGGACAGGTGCGATTGCCCTGAAAGAATTGGCGCAACTTGGGAAGAGTCTCACAATGCCCAGACAGACGCCGAATTCAACGAAGTCAAAGCCAAGGTCAAGCTTGTCCAGCGCCGCCTGAACCGCAACTCGGAGCCGCAAGCCAGCATAGAGAGCGGCAACTACACATACCAGTACGTTGGCCGGCATCTTGTCCTGGCGATACCCCCCTTCGAGTCCCAATCACTGACATGACTACCCCAGCTACATGATCAGCGGCGACCTCTGCTTCCTCTGCATATGCGACCGCTCCTACCCGCGCAAACTCGCCTTCACATACCTTTCCGACCTCTCTTCAGAATTCACCACAATCTACCAACCACAGCAGTACCTCACACCCTCGTGCCGGCCCTACGCCTTCGTCGAGTTCGACACCTTCATCCAGCGCACCAAGAAGACATACCAGGACTCGCGAGCGACGCAGAACTTGGACAAGCTGAACGATGAACTCAAAGACGTGACCAAGGTCATGACCAAGAACATTGAGGACTTGCTGTACAGGGGTGACAGCCTAGAGAGGATGGGCGATATCTCGAGTCGACTGCGTGAGGACAGCAGGAAGTACAAGAAAGCGGCTGTGAGGATCAACTGGGAGTTGCTGCTGAAGCAGGTGAGTGGACTGGTCCAACAACACGGCACGATGCTGACAAGACACAGTATGGCCCAATTGGAGGTCTGGCCTTTATCATTATTGTCTTTGTCTGGTGGCGCTTCTTCTAGACGCATGCGATTAGCGAGTCGACAGATATGTGTTGCATGAAGCACTATCAGCCTTAAGGCGTATCGTGGAACTTGGCGCATCAGAGGCTACAAGAATAATACCCAAATCCATACCCTGACCTAAACCATAGATGACTGAGGCGCGTAGTTAACCATACACAGAGGGGAGATAACCGCGTCTCACATAAGACTAGAGGTATACATATGCGTCAGCTGTGTATGAACACTATGGCGTGCAGGCTTAGCTCGCCCCGTTGAAGAGCAGAAGGTACGACTAGCCTGGAGACTAAGCACGTTCTAGTAACTGGAACCGCTTCACGGCTGATGCATGTGCCTAAGGCGTCTATACAGCAAGCAGAGGGGCGTAAGGTCTACTCTACGCCACAACAGCAAGACTGTCATCTATCTGGTCTCGATGCTATCAGGCCCCCAGATTCAAGAGACAGCCAATCAGATCTTTCCGTCCATGATCTTCAATACTCCTTCCCAAAGATCAAGTACCCATATAAATCTTGCCATATATATCTATCCTCACAACCCCACCTCCCCCTCCAACTCCCAACACTACACTTCCCACCATGTCTCCCACCCCTAAACCCCACCTCGTCCTCATCTCCGGCGCATGGCACACCCCCGCCCACTACGCCCTCCTAGTCTCCAAGCTCGAAGCCCGCGGCTACACAGTCCACACGCGCCAAATGCCCTCAATCGGAAACCCAGACCCACCAACCGACCTCTCACAGGACATCGACGCTACCGACGCGCTCGTCAACGACGCTATCGCCGACGGCAACGACGTGGTCGTCCTAGCACACAGCTGGGGCGGCTTCGTCATCGGCAGCGCGCTTCGCGGCCTGAGCAAGACGGATCGCACGGCGCAGGGGAAGAAGGGCGGCGTCGTGCGCTGCGGGTACATTGCCGCATTCATGGTCGACGAGGGGTTTCGCTGGAAGGAAGAGGAATTGCTGCCGAATTATTGTGTCGTGGAAGTATGTTTATCCCTTTCCCTTTCCCCAAATACAGAACATGGAGACAGAGAGAACCCCCTCACCACGGCACTGTCTGACCATCCCCACCTCACAGGCCCCATACGTCCACGTCACCTCCCCCGCACCCTTCTACCAGGACCTCCCCGAAGCAGACCAGCAGCACTGGTTCGCAGAGACGCGCTCGCACGCCCTGGGCTCGTTTACATCGCCCGCCCGGTCGCCGAGCTGGAAGCGCATCCCCTCGGCGTACTTGGTGTGTGTGGACGACGCGGCGATTCCGGAGAAGGCGCAGGATGGTATGTTGCAGGGGGCCCGGGATCTGGGGGCTAGTATCGAGGTTACGAGGGTAAATAGTGGGCATAGTCCGTTTTTGAGCTGTCCTGATGTGGTTGTGGAGTGGGTTGAGGGGCTTGCTGGGTGAGTGGTGAGAGGTTGTGTTTATGGTGGAGGTTACTCATGGGGGGTAATGTAATATTATGCATATGTTGATGCTGGTATGCTCTGTAGATGTAGTCGCAAAGCTACACCACACCTGACGTATTTATTCATATGTTGACCAAGTCAATCAAATCCCCTCCTTCCTCTCATAATGGCGGACTCTCCGGCCGATCAATAGCCAGCGAGTAATAGTAATCCGTCAGCGCATTCACCTCATCCCCAAACGTCGCCTGCCCATCCTCCTTCCCCCGCAAACAACCCTCCTTCCCAAACCCCTCCAGCCGGGGAACATCCAACGGTTCGCCCACATAGTCAGGCTGCTGAACACACTCAAACCCCAACGCGCCGATCTCCCAAACCCCAGCACACGAATCACATATCAGCGTCGTCGTAACGGGAGCAACGGGATTCACAGCCCCGCAGCGGAAACACGCGAACGAGCAGCGCTCGCAGAGAATCGGCGTGTCTGGGTCGGAGGAGGAAAGGCGTGCAGACCGGCCGCAATGTGTGCATTTTGATTTTCCGGGGACGATGAGGTGCGAGTCGAGGGCTTTCCACTGCCGACGCAGCTCATCCGGTATGCGATCTGCACTGCGTCCTGAGTCACCGATTTCCTCGCTGGTTAGCTTGCTCATGCTGTGTTTGCAGCTGGGGATGGTGCATTGTGGGCTTGGCTTAGATAAGTTGAGTTGAAAGTTGAGGGCTTGTTGGCGTAGGAAGGGGGCGTCGACGCTGTGGTCGAAGGGGCCGGCGTAGTTGGGTCCTTGTAACACTTGGCGGATGGGTAGGCTGCCCATGGGTGCTAGTTGTAGTTGGCGAGTTTGGAGAAGGTGGTTCGCATCTGCAATACCAGACTCAGTGGAGATGATGGGATCTTCATCATCGTCGTCATTAGCGTATGGGACATATCGAAGTGTGTCTGCGTCTTTGCTCGAGCAATCGTTTCGCCCCACTTCCAGGATGTTGATGGACCCATTTACCTCACCGATAATAAGCCTACTCATGTCGGGACTGAACGACCCTGCCATGATGCCTGAGTCTGTAGTGATGAGATCTCTAATAAAAGTATCCTTAGATGAGCGAGTTACGTCCCAAACCTTCACAACACCATCCGATGAGCCAGAGTACAGTCTCGTTGCATTCTCACCCCACGACAGGAAGCGCACGCCAGTGTCTGTACGTTCGTGGTGCACGTCGTCCTGGAGCGGCATCAGGGACTGACCGTGTAATAGCACAAGTAACGGATCGTTCGGCATTCGCATATCCCAGACATAGGATCTCCCATCTGTGCATCCAGCTGCAATGAGGTGTTCGTCGTAAGGACACCATACAACGTCGTTCATATCCAGTGCCTTACACTCCATCTCAAGTGGGCAAGTGTACTTGTTTGGAGAAGCTCCTTCATACAGTCGAACCAGTGATCGCGTACCCTTGTTGATGTTTCCTCCCGTGGCGACGCAACCGTAGGCAAACAAGGGCATATGTCTGTGGTTTGGATTGAATGTAATGTCGAATATGTTTTTGCTTGATCCATGTACGGCCATCGGGACCTGTGTTTCAACGTCCCAAAGACAGATGTCGCCAGTAGTGTCCAAATTATGATCTTGCCGTACGTTTGCTCCAAAACCAGCCAACAGCAGCCGACCATATCTCGGCTCAAATTGGAGCGCTGTGGGTAGTATTTTCAGATCTGAGCGGGAGGCAGCTTTGGCTGAGTAGTAGTTGTGCTTCGTGAACTCCGAGGGGTTATCTTCGTTGGCGCTGATCAGTTTGATAGTGTTCTCAGATGATCGCTTGGCTGCTGTGGCCAACATGCCATCATACTGCGGATTGACTGCCATCATGTCAACCTCAGCCTTGTGTTTCCATGCACTAGCAAAGCTCGGTTGCGAGGAGTCCGTATCAGTACGCCACACGCAGACACTATTGTCATAGCCAGCCGAGTACATGAGCTTGCCACTGCGTGAGAATCTCACTGAGCTGACGGTCGTATAAAGCTTAGGATCTTGTGATACAAACATGGCGTGAGTCGAATTCGCACCAGTCTCTGTTTTTGGACGTTCAATGTTATGTTCGCCCAGCTCATGGATGACTCCGCTTGAGACATCGCCATACAAGAGATTGTTTCGACGATTGTATTGCATCGAGTCAGGGTCAGTCACAGCTACAGCACCGGCTACGAAGGACTGACCGCCCGGAGACCAAGCTACAGTGTGGATATCTCCGGAAGCTCCTGTCCATGTGTGTGAGCAACCCAATGTGTCCATGAACTTGTTCTTTGTCTGATATGTGAGAGGTTTCGATGCACTTTTCCATCCTCTTCTTGATTGTAGACCTAGCTCTCTCTGACGAATTATAGAAGAAGTGGACAACTTCTGAATGGAGCTCATATCCTTGTCTGTTTTAGCAGCCGCCAGCCTCTGGATCTGCGGTGTATCTGAGATCTTGCCTGCCTTAGCATCTTGTAAGAATGCAGCTATGCTTGTGCTATCACGGGACGAGAGATATCGGCGAACCTCACTCGTAATTCTCAGCAGCTTCGGTTCTGTTATGCTTTTCAACACTGTGCGCAGGTGTCTTCGCCGAGTGTTGTGTCGTGAGCTACGATCGGTCAGGCTCGTGACCTTCGCAATAACACGGTTGACCACGTCGATTTCTGCCGGGCTGAAATCAACGTGCACAATCAAACCTTGCCACTCACGGCTTGAGAGTTGATCCCATCCGTATTCGTTTGGGGTGTCCTGCATTGTCAAACGTTGTTTGGATGTTAGGTAAGGCAGAGGTTCATCTGAAGCACTGCGGTGTCCTTTTCGTGCAGCCAAGGCAACTGCAGCATCGTTCGCATCGAATTCCATATCAATGGGCGCGTTATCGACAGCAATGGCCTTGTCTGGAGGTTGATCAAGTTCTTCGGGTGGTGTTTCTGACCGCATTGAGAAATCCGAGGCCATAGGTTCGTCTCCGTCGGCAGCATCTACCTCATCTCGTGGCCCAGTTCCTCTTTGCCGTGGCCAGGTATAGTTGACTGGTGGGGCACGACGGGCACGTTCTCGACGAGGTGCGGATTCTGTCCCAGAGGAATATTCAGTTGTCATGCGAGCAAAAGGTGGCCTTGTCGTAGGGTGGTTCGAAGGCTGATTTCGTTCATTTCGCTGAGCTCGCTCAGAGGTCTCAAAAGAAACAACCACATCTTTATCTGCGAATTCAGCTGCCATCTCGGAGAATCGAGGTGGCAGATTTAGTACAGCGGGATCTTTAGAACGATCTCTTCTGTTCAGTCTAGAAGAGTAACATGTCTGCAGGGCAGAATACTTGCGATCAGGATAAATAGTGTTGAACTGTTGTGTGATCTCGTTCCACTTAAATTGCGCTACTTCTTTCAAAAATATGAGCAGATGATCTTCTTCTTGCGAAAATGGCTTGCTGCGTTCTACGATTTGCGTAGGACCTCTCAAATTTGGAACAGGTAATGGCGGAGTTGCGACATGTGCTGGTACCGGTATCGGATTGGATATGTCCGACATAACACTGTCTGTGTCTTCGTCTTGCATCAAAGGCATAGATTTCTTTTCTACTGGTCTCACCGAACGCGATGTAACCGCAGTCTGGATCGTGACCTCCGCTTTTTGTGCAGGTACCGACTTGGTTTGGCTGTGAAGGGCGAGTTCACGTATGTTGTCAGCCGTCTCACTGGAAGAATCTGCGACGCGAGAGAACCTCAAGGTCGGTCCAGGTGCAGTCGCATAGGGTCTGAGGAGCCCGTTGAGGATATAGGCCTCAGGAACTTGTTCTTTCTTGGGTGGTCGCGTTTTGTCCTCAACCATGTTGTTCATCATAGGTATGGCGGTTCCGTTCGTCTTCAGCGCAGCGTTCATCTGATGAACGGATAGTGGCTTGTATGTGCTGGTCGACTTTGCACACGCGCTTGGATCCGTATCTCGACCTTCTTCAACCTGCATCTTCCTAGATGTTCTGTTGGGCCCTGCGCCAATGTCCGTCGGCTGTTCATGTGCAGTCTTCCCTGTCGCAGGAGTCTTAGCAGCACTTGACAGTCCTGTGTTTGTTCCCACTACAGGTGCTGACAACTTCCTCCTCTTGGCTGCTTGTTCTACAGTGTTGAAGAGCTTTGTGTTCTTGTGGGCGCCCAAAGAAACTGGTAGGTAGCGTTTTGGCGCGGCATCATGTCCCGTACCAGCAGAGCTGGTTGTTATGGAGGGCATGTTCGAGCTTGTAGGCTGCGTTGTACCACTGGGGCTTCGCTTAGGATTTGTGGGAGTATTTATCGGAAGGGTTTGTGGTGCATGACCTTGGGTGGATGTTTTGAAGCGAACATTGCTGGGCAGAGGTACCGGTGTTCTCTTGAGGAAGGGCGAGCCTTTAGGTGGGAGAGTTGTTGTCGTATTCTTCTGTGGAGAAGTCGTGTGCTCAACGAAATGTGTATTCTTCTGGGTGAAAGTGGTGGGTGGGGTTGCGGTCGTCTTCTTGAAGGCGGGCGCAGGTGAAATAGTGCTCGACTGCCGTCCTATATTTGCAGGTAAAGGTACTGGTGTTTTCTTCGCAGCAGGTTTGGGATTCTGAGCTTGAGAGGGCGCAAAACCCATTTCGTCGTCTGAGTCGAGTGTCAAGTCGACAATGTTGCTCCCATCACTAACAATAGCCATATTAGAGAACGGTACTGGATGTGTCATGCGGGAGGCCAAAGCTAGGGGAGAGTGAGATCACGGAGAGAGACAAACTTACCATGGGCCCATGTTTGCCCAACCGACGTAACGCGTCCATGAAACGCAGTGAACTCATCGGGAATGTCGCGTAAAGAGGTACGCGACCGATGTCCTGATTCAGCCACCGCTAGTTTAGCGTGTTGCGGCGCAGTCCCTTCCCCATTTTCACCTCACCATGAATGCAATCTCACTCTGGTTTAGATGATTTCTGGTCGCCGATGCAAATACTAGTCGAGGTTCAAAAAGTGCTTTGAATTATCAAACGAATTACTCTAGATGTATCACTCCATGTACCTACTACACTACACTACATCTTCTTTCCCTTGGCCTCCACATCTCCATTCCTATCTTGCCGACTCTCGACAACAGCCAGCCCTGCAACAGGCACCTCCTCGCCCGGCGCAACATCCGTCGGCACTGGCGGCCCTGTGAAGTTCTTCCTGCCACTTATGAAGTACCACGCCAAACTGATCAGCGCAAAGCCCGCGAAAACTACACTCGCGTAGTTCATCGTTGCAGGAGCGACGGGCAAGCTAACCGGCATGCAAAACAGTACGACTGCAAGACAAATCCACGCAAGCGTGGCAACGTTGATGAAGTACCCGAAGCGACCCAGGGAGTACGACGAGTTCTTGACGGCGTTTCGGCCACGCAAAACAGAGATCAGAATGGGCATGCCGTAGGATGTTGACAAACAGATCGTCGCAACACCTGTGAACGAGTTGAACGCCGCTGAGCTGCCAAAGTAGATGAGGCCAAGAAGCATGTCAACAGCTGTGGAGAGGACGAGCGCCATGAGCGGGATATCAAAGCGCTTATCGACCTTCTTCCAGATGTTAGATCCGGGGATGGCGCCATCGCGCGCAAAGGCGTATGTGCAGCGGGATGCTGCGGTGAGTGCTCCAATGCCTGCGAAGAAAAGAATACCCAGGATCAGGAACAGCAGCCCGAATCCGCCGGCTGCCGACCCGGTCACAGTTTTGAAAAGAAGACCGATGGGTTGGCCGTTGGCGACGCCGAGGAGTGTTTGCACATCCGGGAGAACGAAAAGAATCGGGATGAGGTAAATGACACCAGTGATTCCAGCAGCAAGGACAGAGAGCACAATAGCCTTGGGGACCTCGCGTTCGGGAAAAGCGACTTCTTCGCACATAGAAGCGACCATGCCGTACCCTGTGAGCGTGTATGCAGCTTGCAAGAGTCCGACGAAGAACGCCCATCCGGATGGCCTGGAACACTATTAGCATCATTCTTCTCCTGGCCTTGAAAAAGATTCATGAGACTTACCATCCACTCGCACTAGCATCGTAATGCGTGAACACGAATTTCGCATCCCTCTTATTATCAGCCATAGTAAGCAACGTGATCAAAATGATGACCACACTACTCGCAGTCCAGTAAATGCAGACCTTGTTGATCAAGTCCAAATACTTTGCGCCAAAAATATTCACACCCATGCAAATCAGCATGACAGCCCAAAACGTGAGCACAGTCTGCCACTGATTCGCCACGAAATCCTCGTTCCAAAGTGTAATGGCTGAGAGAATCAGTTGCCCGCCGGAGAAGCAAATCGACAGCGTAACCGTCCAGTTTCCCACCAGTGTCAGCCAGCCCGTCACCCAACTAGCAATCGGCGCCCATTCCCGCGTACTCAGCATGGCACTCCAGTAGTACACACCACCCGCGGTGGGATACACAGCGCAAATCTCCGCCAGCGATGCTGCGATGCTAAGCGATACAATCGAGACGAAGATCCACCCGTAGAGAATCGTGACGCTCTGGCCGTCGGTGAGTGTGATGTACATCGTCGTCGAGAGTCCAAACGGGACAGCCATGATAGCAAAAGAACTAAACAGCACGCATTAGCAAACCGCACTATCCAACATTTCTGCACCAGCAGTATTCCATCTTTTCTTTCTCCCCAACCGTACGTTATACATGCACATGAGAAGCGAACAGAAGGGAAAGAACCTACAGTCCCAAAACGCTCAACATGCTCAGATTCCGCGGCAACTCGCTCTGATACCCCATCTTCGCGAGCGCTGCATCAGCACTCGGATCCGATGCTGATGTCCTGCGCCCGCCGCCCATGCGCGCGCTCTCCGTAACCGACGAGTTCCTTTTCATCATCTTGGCTCCCAGACTCTTTCTTCCTTTGGGTGACTCTGCTCTTTCTACCTCGTTATCGTCGCGAGCGCTCGCGCGAATTCGTCGAGACGGGATACAGGAACAGAACAAAAGTGCAGTTCGATCGCCAAAAGAAAGACGCGTGCTGCGGCCGCTTGTATCGGTCGCTCGCTCGCGCTTGCGTTGGTTCGGAAGTCAAATCGAATCAAACCGGAGAGCCCAGAACCCAGGACCAGAACCGCGAACCCAAGCGTGCGTCTCGAGCTAAATAAATTCATGGGGACCGCCCAATCAATCTTGCAATCATTCGCAATCGCGACGCGACAAAGATATCTACCTCCATCAAAGCTTTCGAGATAAGCCAAGCGTGTTGCGTCCAACCAGCGTGCACACCACGCGCGATAGCAAGATCGTGGGGCGTGTAAATTGCGCCGATGTTCGTGTCGTATCCTTGCTGTGTCAGACGCGCATGTCACCGACTTCAGATCTGGGTGCCTCGTGCGTCATCGGGTGCACATGCCGGGTTCGCGGGGAAATATCGGACGGATCGACTTCGTATCTTTTTTCGAGAGGATTTGCGGGTGAATGGTGATAACGAAAAGGGGAGATATGGTAAATAGAGATATATTCCGGTAAGTCTTTGAAGATGGAATGAATTTCCTATTTTGAAAGTATGGTGCATGCCATTCCAAGGGGGAAAAATACAAAACTATCTGTTGGGGGGGGATATCATCATATACGTGTCCGTCCATGCTTTTGTAACGCCTTTGTAAATCGTAATTACCGTAATAGGTCATGCAGTAAAATCCTTCATAACGTGCCATTCAAGACTAGATATTCTGAACGGTTCTACAAAAGAAAAGAAATTCGGCGTTCTTCATCCATCACTCTCTTCCAGGCCCTGATTTCTTCAAGCCGTAACACCGCCAACTGGAGGCTCATTCTGATCCTTCACCTTGTACGCTGGCATTGCCCATTCATAAAAGTCAATTTTGCTCTTTTTGGATGGCTTGTCAAGTTCCTCAATCAACTGCTCCGGCGTCATGACCTCGGCGATGTTGTGGATCTTCTTCCATTCCTGCACATGCGGAGCTGCGGGCTCAGTATGCACAACGTAGAACTGGCGGTAGTCGCGGCGCATATCAATGAGGAGTCCAACGTAATACTGTATCATACGTAGATTGGCTTCATTCTGGCTACGAGAGAGGGTATTGAAGTAGTCGATAGGCTGTTCTTTGGCGATGTTGTAGCGCTCCGAGAGGATGGGGTATTTGTCATGGACCATGCTGAGGGGGGCGATGGGATCGTCTTGCTCAATCCAGTTCGTTTCGCAGAGCAGCTGGTAGAGTTTCGCGCGACTCGTATGATCTGGATTTCCGGCCTCCAGCTCTGCTTCGTGCTTCTCGCATATCTGCAACAAATGCTGCATCAACTCGGGTCGCACGCAAAGACGCCAGAGTATGGCGGCATCGTTCACTTCGTGCCATGGAGAGATTGGGCCTGCCACCTGTCGAAGTTTCCTTATCTTTGTGAAGAACAGCTCCACAATCTTGAGTGCAAGTTGCGGTTGCTTTTCGAAGACTTCATCTGTGATGTAGATAAACCCGCCAAGCGGGAAGATTTCAATACGATCATATCGAAGTTCAGGCGATGAATCGAATGCTGCCGGACAGTACTCGAGGACTGTTTGCAGCCCAATAGACCACATTCTTACATCGCTTTTGAGCACTTGGCCAAGATCCGGAAGTTCAGAAAAGTACTCAAAATCAGGGTGAGCGATGATTATACCTGAACCTCCTCCCGTAATTTGCTGCTTGAAGTGGTCCCAAGAACCATCATACCAGGCATTACCCACCTCGACATGATGCATGAGTAACCATCGAGTGATGAGATCGAGTTCTTCCACATGGTCTTGAGGATGGTATAGCAGAAACGCTCTTCTGTCCACTATGGCACCTTCGTCTCTATTGCCAGTGAACATGTCAGTAAAGTCAAGTTTGCAAATTTGCTCAATCTTTTGCTTCATTTGCAAGCACGGTATACTCGCTAGATGCCGCTCGATTGGAGGTGGCACAGTTGTTGAGGTCAAATCATCTGTAAGAACAGGTGCTGCAACATCGGTCATTCCAAAATCTATCGCCGAACCAGAGTCAGCAGCGGGCATCTGTGCAAAATGACTAGGTTGTCTTCTTTCAAGTGGCACGATATTGACGGGATCTGGAGACAAAAATCAGTAATCTGCTTTGGATCCTACAAGAGAAGTCAGACGCACCAAGTTCACTGAGGAGCTGGTCTGGATCAGCATCCGTATCAGCATGCCGATACCTACATCCTTCCGCAGTATTCCGACATCTGCCCTTAGCCCAATCACGACACGTGGTATGCCGGGGTGGTGGATTGGCAACAATTCCAGTATCGGTATGCTGATATTGACAGGTCTCTGACGTATAATGACACTGTTGGTGCTTCCAATACCAACAAGTTACTTGACTCGGTGGTAAGTTCCTCCTATCTTTGTTGAACTGGGGGTTGCCGTGTACATTCTGCATGCTGACTGGTACCTGGTTGGGATCTATCTTCACAGGCTCGCGGCCCTTTGAAAGCTGCTTCCAACCTGTGTTTGTATGGGCGTAGTCGCACTGGTCGTCCGGTTTCGTACATCCTCTCTCCGATTCCAGCCAGAATAAACATGTAAGTGGCGGTTGTCGATATTTCGCTTGCAGTAATCCATCTGCAGGTGCAATCTTAATGTCTCGACCTTTGAGATCTTTGTCGCGGTGCAAGTAGCGGCACTTTATTCGACCGTAAACGCAGTTGCTGCTGAGTCTCCAATGAGGGCAAATCAAAGGAATTTTGTTGGACTCCCAATCCTCCAAAGATACGGCGGTATCCGTATGTCCTCGTTGCGGTATTTCATCGTCGGAGTCAGCTTCTAGGACACGGCGTTTTGTGACCTCGCGACGTCCGTATGGACTCTCGTTCGATGCCGGGGCTCTTGATCTAACCAATGCTACGGGAGGGCCGTTCACAAATTCAAGTGCGGCAATATCAGGCGTACCTTCAACACGCGACCTCTTCTCTGCATGACCCCGGTATTTCAGTCTGCTGTACTGTTTGTCGCCATGTTGCCACTCCTTTCGTAACTGGGTCCTTGGTTCATTGATCATCTTGATTCCAGATGGCCTGGGCCCTGCGACGCTGCTTTTTATTGTGGACATGGAAGCTGACTTTGACGGTCGGGGTGCAGCGGTTGTTGTACGCTGTTCTATACCTTTCGAGCCACCCGACATGCCAGTTTTTGGGACCGAGTTACCAGCGAGACCACTGATCTTTCGTGTTGTCGAGGTCGTACTATGAGGAGCTGGGTTCTTTTCACGCTGGGTCTTGCTATTTTGTGCGTTTTCCTCGTCCAATGTTGGATTCGATCTTGCTGTAACTGTCTTGACAGGAACTCTGGCCTTCAAGTCTGGTACACCTCGTCGGACTTTTTTATCGGCCTCGTTACGCTTGGTTGTCTTTGCTCTTGTTTCTGAATCGACTTCTTGCAGGTCTTCTAATAGCGAATCTGCAGTACTGTGAGTATCAGAAGAGGAGGATTCATCATCTGATGAAGACTGATCCAGCGGAAGTCTGCGAGCAAGCGGAGGCGGTCTTTCAATGGGTGACTGTGGCTCCTGGCTATCCACAAACAGGCTGTCAAATGAGCGGATGTCGCTCTCATTCTTTGTCTTAGAAGGTTCGAGAGGCTGGTTTTTCGCTTGAGTGTTCCGCCATTGCAAGATAAGAGGAAGGTCTTCCTCGCTGTCATCAGATGAGACAATACGTCTTTCTTGCTTCCGCAGCTTGTGCTTTTTCTTCGAACGCTTCTGTACTCTTCGTTGCTTGGCTGCCGAATATTCTCTTACGGACTTTTCGAAACGAGCTTTGTTGTTCCGCTTTATTGCTATAAAGGCAGACATCCCCTTGGTTTGCTCTTTCTCAGACCATTCATCGAGAAGGGTGGTTCCATCCAGATTTTCTGCAGGTTCCCACGTGCCTATTGAGAGTCAGCGTCAGTGCGTAATGTAGACAGCTCAGTACTATATGAATCGTCAGAAAGTTCCGATTCCCATTTGATTAGTATACTACAAGGCCGAAGAGTGTTTGGATCAAGCGCGGGCAGGGCGTTCCTAACTCGTCCGATGCGATTGTCAACCCAGCTGTCGGTCAGACAAGATCAGTCGCGGTAAGGTTGCTCGCGCTTGAACACTACTCTATAACATGTTGTAGTGTATTATATGAACAGGAGTCGAAGTTTGCCTAATTCCTGGAAGAAAAGATATGGAGGTGTTCTTACATCTATAGAACACTGTTACTCTTGCTCTAAATGATCACGTTTTGGGCATGAACTTTCCTGTGCCATCCATAGCCATACCACTTAACTAAGTACTTGTAAATTGCATCTTCTCTATCCCACTCATCACTCAGGATACATTCGACGACGTAGGAATCTTCTGGTTCGCTATCGACCGTCGACGTAAGAGAGATTGTATCTGTATCGTACGTATCATATGCGGCGTCGTCGCCGTAGTCACTCATTTTGTGAAGAAGTTGAGCGGATTTCACGGCAGTGGCGCATTATAAAGACTCGGTTGAAATTGCTCGAGATGTTTGCTCAAGGTGAAGCTGCAGGCGTGATGCGAAACGTAGGAGTATCCCCCGCTAACGTACTAGCCTGGATTGGTCTTGGCACGTATCAGCGGGCGAGGACTCCCCTTTGTGTGCATGCTTCTTCGAGGCAGCCATACCCACCACCTTGACGACGTCGACGACCTCTACAAGCTCCCACCTGCTCCACCACACCTCCACTCGCAAGCCCTTCAACCCTCGGCCTCGCGCTACTTTCCCAGCACCTGCCACGACTGCGCATCTTCACCCCGCCCACTGCAACCATGGCGAACGACGAATATGACGTGAGTGCCTTGTACGACAGCTTCGTGTAGTGACATGTGCTGACTTGCCGTGTGCAGTTTCTCTTCAAGGGTACGCTTTGCCCGTCATCCTCCTCGTGCTATGTCCGCTAATCCCCCACAGTTGTCCTCATTGGAGACTCGGGCGTCGGTAAATCCAACCTGCTGAGTCGATTCACACGCAACGAGTTCAACCTCGACTCCAAGTCGACCATCGGCGTCGAGTTTGCGACCCGTTCCATTCAGGTGGACGCCAAAACCATCAAGGCCCAGATCTGGGACACCGCTGGCCAAGAGCGATACCGCGCCATCACCTCCGCATACTATCGTGGCGCAGTTGGAGCGCTGCTAGTCTACGACATTAGCAAGCACCAAACGTACGAGAACGTGACAAGGTGGCTGAAGGAACTGCGCGACCATGCCGACTCAAACATCGTCATTATGCTTGTCGGTAACAAGAGCGATTTGAGGCATCTGCGGGCAGTGCCTACCGAGGAGGCCAAACAATTCGCAAGTGCGTATACCGAACCTGCGCGAGCTGAAGTTCCATATTTACTACGACATCTGCTGACGTGTGCCCTCTATAGGTGATAACAACCTGTCCTTCATCGAGACGTCTGCCTTGGACGCCAGCAACGTCGAGCTGGCCTTCCAGAACATCCTTACAGGTGCGCTAGCCAGAATACACAGAGTTACAAATGGTACCTGGCATTCAAGTAGCATGCACGCACTTTTTGAGTCGTGTGCTGCTACTTGGAGGGGCATGCGCTTACACCGCTGTCTCACTCTGCCACTCGAGTCCTTGTAATTGTATACCCAGCTGCAGAATGTCGCTAACATTTAACTAGAAATCTACCGCATTGTCTCGAGCAAAGCCCTGGATCAGGGAGAAGGCAGCCAGAACGTCCTCGGCGGCGAGCGCAAAGTCCTTGAAATCAGCAAGTCCGCCGATGCAGAGCAGAAGAAGGGATGCTGCTAGACGACCAAACTTTACGCTTTACACACGATTGATGTTCACGCACCCGTAAATGGGCTAGAGAGAGCCAACGGGTTCTAGACGACGACTATACAGCGTGCCACGCTCAACGATTCAGATACACATGCCATGCGAACGCTCACGAGTCATGCGAATGTCTACGGCGTCTGGGAAGTTTATTCAGTCCGCCGACTTAGGGGGCTGTGTTTTGCTTTCTTTGCATGCGCGCTGGGAGATTTTTTCTTTTTTGTTACTCCGGCGGCGGTAATGCGATGTGCTGCTGTATGAATTGATATCACGACAGCTATGTTAATTCATATGAGCTTCTTATGATATGCTCCGCTTTTGTTCAACCCACCTTGAATTACCTTCTTGCACGTCTGACAGCCTAACGAGTATAAAAGGGCTACAAGTCAACTTTCTCAGAACTTACGCCACCCCTTGTCTCCACTAACCATGTCATCAGAAATCTTCTGAATCTCCTCGCTATTCTTCACCCACGCACTCGTCGCATCAACCCACTCGCCCTCCCCAAACTTCTTCCTACACCACTCCAAAACCCGCTCCAACTCCCCACGTATACTCTCCTCCAGTTTCCTCCCCTGCTCCTCCTTCCCCGCACCCTTCATCTTCCTCCACGCCTCCACCTCATCAATCACGCCCTCAGGTCTCTCACCCCCATATACATGCTCCAAAAACCCCTTCTCCATGCCCCGCCCCTCAATCCCACGCATAACCTCCTCACCCAGCCTCTCCCCTTCCTCCCTCTTCTTCGGCACAAACCCCTCGCATATATCCGCCACGTCGCCAACCCAGAGCCGCGAGTTCCGCATGTCGCCTTCGCACCTATGTAGGATGCCGTGGAGCAGCATGCCCTCGACTGCGGGGGGCGCTTGCATGTGGCGCACGAGGAAGTGTGCGCTGGGGAGGTCCGCGTTGAGGATGTGTAGTGTCGCTTCGAGGGTGGGGTGCAGAGCGAGGGCGGAGATGTGGGATGCGAGGGCGGGGTGTGTTGGTTTCTGGGGGGCGTGGATGAGGGTTGTTGTGGTGAGGAGGAGGGTCGATAGGCTGGCGAGGGTGTGGGGTGGTTTGGAGGGAGATGTGGTGGTCGTTGCCATGTTGACGGGTTTGTGTTGACGGCTTTGTGGTGGATTTCTGGGGGTTCGAGGGAGAGGTCGCGTATATTCTGGTTTGAAAGGAGTATTTGTATATACTTGGTGGTGTGATGAAGTGTCGAATACAAGTTTCTGTCGGTGTCGAGATACTCTGCAAGGTGAGAAATTGAACTGTTGCTAGAAGGATGCATGTGCTTCGCGAAAACATGTGACGCGCATATGTGTTCCAGACTTCTGTCAATGGCTAGAATGCACACGTCATGATGGACCCTGCATGATCTGGGGATGGGGATAGATTGAACACTGACGTGTGGGGTTGCAGTGAACAAGACCGAGAGCTGAATTCATCGAACAGAAGAATAAGAGGATAATAACAGGCAGAGGAAGCCGTGAAGAGTAATGGTATATTGGAACTAGGAGAAGCGCCGTTTCTTAGCGCATTTGTGTTTACAACGCAGGTATCAATTCTGTGTCCATTCAACTCGAAACAGTAATATTACAGGTTTCGTAGGTACGCGTAATAAATCGTATGCTTCCTAACGCCGTCAAATGAGGAAAAAGGTGTTCAGAAGTTCGTGATTGCCATCTGATAGCCGGAGATTTTCTACCTGCTGTACAGCAGGGTAGAGGACGTTCGAGATGATATGGGGTCGAGGGTTACTGTGGTGGACGGATTTACGATTCAGCCTCCTTTTTCGCGGGCTTTGCAGGCTTTGCAGACTTCGCAGGCTTGGACTCTTCCATCTTCGCCTTAACCTTAGCGTCGCGCTCCTTAATGCGCTCTTCTTCGGCCTCAACCATTTCTACACAAAGACAGTCAGCGTGGGGTTCTCCAGGGGCAAGCCTCGCTTGTAGAAATGTGGTGTCATGACGTAACACCACTCGTTCCATCACCCCACCAAACCCACAGGAAAGCAGAAGGAAGGGGCTTCAAACATACCTCTCCATTGATCCTCCCCAGCATATCTCTCGTGATGAATTTTCTTCTCGATCAAATGCTTATGCTCGGGGTCATTAGGATCCAACACCTTGATCGTTTCCCAGCGTCCCTCCCCATTCGCCGCATCCGCGCCCTCAAGCGCAAAGCTGGTAAGTAGAGCCGCCAGTGTTCCGCCCTGCGCATACATACGCGCTTGCACTAGCTTCTGGCTGCCGCTCAGGTATGGATTGCGGTTAACCAACACCCACGACCCGGCCATGGAGGCAACCCAAAAGCCGAAGAGTAGAGGGTATCGATTTCCCGCGGCCCATTCTTTGGTACGTTGGAAAGCGGATTTGTTGGCCTCGCGGAGAGCTTCGCGGTCGCGTTCGCGCTCGACTTGCGCTTTCTTTTCGGGAGTGTGCTCGATGTCGTAGGCGGCTGAGGCGCGATCGGCGGCAATGACGGCTGAGAGGAAGGCATGTTAGTTTCGTTATTCTCTTGCAGGTCCGTGTGTATGGCGTGAACGTACAGACGAATGTTCCTGTCGAGGCGACGAGGAAAGCTCGGAACGGGATTGTGAGTGCTCTAAAAGAGTGGAATCTTCTGCTCGCCGCCACAACGCCTAGGGCGCCGATTGATGTGCCGATAACACCACCGATTGCTCCGCCCTTGATGGTGGCACTGTCATTGTTAACACCTCCATACTCTGTATGTTTTTGTTGTTCGTAAAACATACTTGTAATGTGCCTGCTCTTCTTCCTTGGTTAGGACCTTCATTTTGATTTATTCCAAGTCTTTTATTAAAATCTAATAGTCGTGATGTCGCGGATATAGGCGCAGTTTTGTGAAATCAGAGGCAAGTTGCAAGACAAGTGAGACGAATCTATGAAGGCGCGCACCACTTATTATGAGCGATAACCAAATCCTCATGGTGACGTCGCCGAGAGCCGGCTGCACTAGCGCACGCGTGTGAGGTAAGGTTTTCGGCAGACCCTGCCTAGCCTGTCCTGCTTAGACATGCGTTTAGAGATCAGTCCATCGCGCCATGATCGTACTGTGTAGCAATATCTCTATCCCTGGAGTGTGTGAGAGTGCGTTTTGTTGAGCCAATGTACAGTGAGCAAGATGAGGAGGATTGATGTCTGTTATCGGCTTCTTCGTCTACAAGCAGAGCGTGCAGTCGTCTCATCGCATACCATCTTCTCTGAAATTGAAGGCCACGAGTGCGTGAACGCGTTGCTTGGCCCTGGATGGAATATCGCCGCAACAATACGACAGCAAGCATCTCTCCGGTTCCTCCCCGCGCGTGTTATGTCGCGTGTTATGTGCCGAAGCGGCATCTTAAACTTGCCGCTCGCCGCTGCCTTACATTCACGGTAAATGCTCGCGTGAAAACACCGGCACAACGATCCAAAGACTGCGAAACTTTACGTTGGCTTTCATGGCATCCTGGTGGCTTCGAGAAGTTGGACATGTGCGCAATCTCTAAGCGCGCTCCGAGCCTTTCCGAGTTCTCGCCGACATCGTACCATCCCCGATTTTATCCCATCACAACACCATCACAGAGGAAATATATTGTATTGGTCCAGGACGTGTTTGATTTTCGAGAAAAATACATACATCCCGGCTGATGCTTGTCGTCATAAATATATACTCATTCGATGCCTGTGTGTTTTTCGCAAAAAGGATAAACATGTTGAAACAGTCCAGTCTCCACCATTCGCCATATTGCCTCCAGCTGGTCCGTCACACCAATGCTGCAGAATAGTTCAAACCCAAAGGAACTGTTGTGATAAACAAAAAGGAAATATGGGGGTAACTGTATTTGCAAATTGAACAGGGGAAGGTAGTCATGTTTCCAGGAAGCAATGCTGTCCCAATCAACAGTGGGAAAATGCTCCATTTTCGTCTTATCCCAACCAGTTCGACAATTTTTCGACATGAGCTCTGTAATTTTGGCATATTCGCGCTACCATTTTCGAGATGGTCATTGGGAGCTACTGCTTCCATGGCTGATAATACCCAACAGTGTATGTGGTAGGCATGTAAGCGGAGCAAATTTGGCACTCAACGGAAGCCGCCATATGCGTTGCGTGGCATGGGGTTACTGCTGCTGCTGCTGTTGAATCGAGGAGCCATATTGGTTGGAGGTCCCGGACGCGTAGCAAGAGCAGGGTTGCAACAAAGCATAGCAACGCGAGAACCGTACTTGGAGCCACGCAGGGAGACCATGTGCTTGCGGATATGACCGCCGACAATTTCGCGGTGCTGACCGCCGCTACTGCTCAAGATATACTGGATGAGATAGTTTCCAAACTGATCGCCGGCGACTATACGGTTGTCAGTAACATCTTGACGGTGGTTGTTGGATCAAGACTTACTGTCGATAAGAGGCATGCGTGGACGATCGGGTCGAGCTTCGCACACTCGCTCCAGGTAGCGGTCAAGGAACTCGTTGCCTCCAATCTTCAGACACTTCTCGATCACCTTCGAAGCATATTGGTCCATGCTATATTCGGTGGCAAAGCGGAGGATGTGGTCAATCGCACGGCTACGATCAGCAGGAGCTCCGTGCTCGCAGATGTGTTGAATGCACCAGTTACCGAACTGGCCATGAGCGATGACATCGATACTGGCAAGTACTTCGTTGATACAGGGACGCTGCTTCTACTTAGTATAACAATTACCTAACCCATCATGAGCCTCATACCTTGTCTTCTTCGAGACAGTTCTCAAAGATATTCTGCACTACCAAACTACCAGTCTCACCCAGGGCGACCTCATGCCACATGCCCCGGAGGGCCTCGTTGACGTAACGCATGATCTGAGGCGGAGAGTCGCTCCAGCGAAGCTCGAACAGCTTCTGCCAGACATGGCAAGCGTAGCGGTGGATGACAGTTTCCGGGATGCGTCGAAGTAGCTCGTGAACCATGGTCGCTTTATATTCTTCGGGGACGCAGTCGAAGGCCTTCTGGATGACATGGCACCCGAAAGCATCCATGCTGAGAGCAAGTGTATTGCCGCGGATAGCTTGAGCGATAGCGATGACTTGCTCGGGAGTGCCATGCTCGAAGCAGCGCTGAACGAGGAAGTTGCCGAAACGATTGACCATTAGGGCGTAGGCTTGGGAGATGATGGCCTCGACTATCTCGAATTTCTGCTCAGGGGTGCCCACCTTGAGCTTTTGCTGCAAGAATATAGAAGCTTGTTGATCGTTGTTGCAGATGATCTTGTCGACAATGTACTTCCAGTTGCAGCTCATGTTACGATCCAGCAGGCGGCGATAGTTCATCGGTTCGACAGGAGGGACGTATTGAGTAGGGCCTGTCTCACTGGGTGACTGCATATTCTTGTCAGTGAAAGAGCTAAGCACAGAGCTTCCAGAACTGACCTGAGAGTTCCACGGAGAAGGACCTAGTCCGGTAGGGATGTTGAACTCGCTCGCATCAGGCGACAATCTGCTGCCCATAGGAGGCATGGTTCCAATCGGTGCGGGATTACCAGGACCACTGTACATTGGAGACATGGAGTACTGGTTGTACAGCGGTTCGAAAGTGGAGCCTGGGCGACTCGGTGGGTTGCTCAGACCAATGTTGAAGTTGTTGCTGAAGCTGTTACTCAGACCGTTGCCCAAGCTAGCATTCATGCCACCACTGCCCCGGAAACTCTGATCGAGAGGAAAATGTGTAGGCTCGTTGAGATGGTTATTGCGGCGATATCCTGATTGTTCCGAAGACGGGCGAGCCATAGTCTGAGCTTGATACGGAGGTCCAAAGCTGTTGCTGCTGGTATAGGGAGGACGAGCTGCCTGAACCGGCTCGTTGCCCCAGCCATAGTTATTACGGGTCGAAGTATTGAATTTGTTCTGCAGTTGGGTAAGAGACTGCTGCGCAACGTCGCCGCTATAGTTGTAGTCGGCCTCAGAGGTCTGCCAAAGGTGCTCTGTTGTGGATTGCGCTACTTGGTGACTGTGCATTTCCTGGTTCATGCGTGTGACTTCGTTTCGAGCTTCCATCAACTCTGCTTTGAGCTTCTGAAGTTCAGTAGCATCGATGATGAGCATAGAAGAATCGGTCGATGTTGGCGGCGTAGAAGCAAACTCGTCTGTAGCGGGAGTAATGGGTACGGAACCGCTGGAGGAGTTGTACTGGTCCTGAGGAGAAGAGCGACCGTTGAGACGCTGGAGGAGCGAGTCCATGACGGAAGATTCATCCTGGCCATCCATCCTGGCCTTCTAGAGCAGTCAGCTTGGTTGTTGTGAAGAGGGGAACAATCAAGCTGTGGCCCAGCAATGTACGGTCACGGTCGTGAAGACGAGTGTGGTTGGGTAGAAAGGATGATCGTTTGACCGACTAACCTTATAGCCATCGAAAGGATACTGCTGCATGGGCAGCATGGCCTGATTTCCTAGAGCAGAAGAGCCCAGCGGCCGCTTCATACCCTGCACATTCGAGGTCAATGACGGGCCGAAAGCACGATGGAGGTTATATGGATAGTGGTTCTGGCTGACGCCTACTGCCTGGCCCAGTACCTCTGGTGAAGTGTCGATCTTCAGATCTCCGGCAGCCATGGAGAAGCGGGTAAGGCCCTTGCGGGGCGTAGGAGAACCGTCGGATGTTATGTTGAAGCTCATTGCTCCTGTTGACGTCGGATGCGTTTGTAGATGGAAGAGATCCGAGAGATGCGTGTAGTCTGGCGTGACTGGGCAAATGTGTAGATAATATGCAAGACACAGCAGTTCGATGATGCTCGTTTGGCGACGTATATGGCCAAAGTAGATGCAGAAACGGAGAAGAAACGGCTCAGATGGAAATAAATCAGCAGCTCCCCACAAACGTAGGTGGCATGGAAAGGGCGAAGGAAACAAGACCGCAGTGACGAGCACGAAGGTATCGTGGTGATGGTGGAAAGAAGAAGTGGAGGTGAGAGAAAAGAAGGTGAGGTGGGGTGGCTACAACTGAAGCTGCCGGAGGAGCAAAGGGCAGGCGCGACCAGACAGGGAAAACGCGTGAAGACACGTTCGTGACAAGCCAAACTCGGCTTCACCGCTGGGTTACAAAGGCACGCGCGCAAAAAGTCGAGGAGCCGAATCTAGACTCGTGGACTGGAGAGTTTCCTTCACCTAACAACCACGGCGGTAAGATCGCTCAGAAAGTGCGTAGTCTCCAAATACGAAAAGCCCATCATGACAATACACTCGACGCAGTCACCTCCCAGGCAGAGTCAAAGAAGCCCATAGCCAAAACACCTTCAACACCCTTCCACTTCGCACTCTCCCCCAACACCACAAAATCCGGCTGTCCCACGCCCGTCAACATTGGTACCAGTCTCGCAGCCTGCTGTAGACCTTCCTCATTCGCGCCCCACAAGACAAGCTCGAGTCTCTCGCCGTCCAGCGGCTGCAAGAAAGCTGCACCCGTAGCCTCCTTGTTGTACTGCTGATTGCGACCCTTATAGTCACGGATAGAGACACCGTTCTTAGACACTTGTACAGGGAAGGTGGGTAGAGAGCCTTTCACACCGGAGCAAACAACGAGGGTTATCACATTTCCAGTAGTATTAGAAGGGATGTCGTGTGAAGCAGGGGAGACGATTATGGTGTCGGCCTGGAAATACTGGTGCAGATTGCGAGATATCTGAAGTGCGACGTGAGACATGTTGCCAGCTCCTGTATGTTGGATGATGAACGGTCCATTAGTGCGGAGGATGGCAGTCATGGATCCCAGTTGCCGACCACGTCTCTGAGGTATCGCCGCTCCAACCTCAAAGGGTCCGAAGGCCCAGGTTCCATCTACTGCGAAGGCGGTTATTGAAGGTACCTTATCTGGCTGTGAAAACTGCAATTCCTGCCCATCGACTGTCACTGACAGTTCGTACGAACCATCAGCAGAGTCTCTCCACACATCCAGATCAAACTCTAGGCCCTGAACGTTCGATGTCTTGATATCATGACCTTTCACGTTGACTCTTCCATACTGTCCCGGGTCTTCCAAATGCGTGACTCTAACGCCGCTCTTACTTCCCATGTCTCCTGGATCACCAACTACAATGGTAAACTCATGAAGCTTCCGAGGCAGGCTCTCCTGGTTTCTTGTTTGCTCATGATAAAAGTCCACAAGCGACGGGGTGGCCATGATTCCGTCCCACCAATGATTTTTCTCCGGAACTTCGTTGTAATTCGAGTTGGTGCCAGCAAGATACAACTGCTGTGCGAGTAAGCGAGAATGGTACGTCGGAACGTTGTCATCGATTCCTCCGTGCTGTTGTTGAATAGGAATACCACGAGCGTTAGCCATAAGCATCTCATGGCGATAGCTATTGAGTGAGGCACTGATTACCGCTGTACGCCTTGGATCTGCAGGCTGCCATAGTTCGTACGGAACATACTTCTGGATGGAGGCATACCCTGACACTGGAGCGGCTGCAAGTACTGAATCTGGATGATGCGTGAGAGCGAACCACGCTCCCTGGCCGCCATTCGAGTGCCCTGATACAATCCATCGATTGGTATCAACGCCTAGCCCGCTCCAACCGACATTCTGAATCCATGCGGGAATGGCGCCGATGGCAGCTTCAACATCCGCAAGGCCCCAGTTATGCCAATCGTCCCCTGACCACAGGGTGACGCCTGTAGGAAATAGAACCCAAGCGCAAAGATCCCGCACCGAATCCAAGGCGCCAGTGAGCTCGGGATCGTCTGCTTCTACACCAGCACCATGCAGGTCCAAAAGCACGGGGAGTTTTGACTGCCCGGTATGACATGTCACATTCTTTGCGGGAGGCTGAAGCATAGCGTAAGATAGCATGCCGCCGGGATGAAAGAAAGTGATTTTGTGTGGTTGAAATATAGAGACATGATTCAGCTCTTGGGTGACTTGTAGTGTAGAGTGATGAGTGCTGTCGAGAATCTTGTAAGTAACGGTGTACGATACCGAAGATGCATTGTGAGAAGCAAGAGAGACATTGAAGGCCACCGGTCTTGTCTGACCACCAACTATCATAACGGACATGCCATTTTTGTGCTCAACAAGAGAACGCCGAGCGACGAGCAATTGATGGTCTGAGTCTGGTCGTTGGAGAGGCCAAGCGGACTCCGTACCCGAAGAGTGGATATCGATGACTTCAATGTCCTCTTCGCCGCTATTCCTCAGATAAATCGAGCCAAAGGGTGTTGCAAGCTTGCCATCGACAACGTCTGACATGAGAATGCCAGATTTCGCCAATTCCAGCGTCCCAGATACCTGTTGGACGTCTATCACAACGTCAATTGTCGGCTCCAAAATGCCGCCAAAAGCCCGGGTATCCCTCACAAGCCGGAGATCAATCTTGTGGGACCCAGGTGTGAGGTGAAGAACCGGTGGTGCTTTACGATATGTGTAAAAGTCGCCTCCATAGTAGTGAAGGCCATCCACCCAATACTCAAGTACGGCATCTGTATTGAGTAAAATACGCTGTGTCTTGTTACCGCTGACTATGAGTTCCCCACGAGCCCATGCCTGGTACTGGCTAGCAGCCCATCCGTATATGGTTTTCAAGAAGTCCCAGTCAACATCAGAATAGCTAATGCTCAAGGAAGCATTTGCAGAGGACTGACTGCTTGAAGTTTGCACAGCGTTCGTGATGTTCCATTTTGCAGTGCCATTGGTGGGTATAGAGCTCCGAAATGTTGCATCTGGATCATATTGTAGACTTCTGAAGCCGCCAACGTACTCAAGTGGATCCGCTCCCCATGTAGCTTCTATGCCGGATGTTAACATCTTTCTTGCTAGAACCAAGGCCAACGTACCCCTCGTTCCAATCTGAAATGGTCCCAGAACCTGCCACGAATTGCTGAAAGAAAGCATTGTATGGTTTCGGCCGGTGACTTGTGTTGAAGTGTATTCATAAGCTCTTGAAGGATCGCGATGAGTTACTTTTGCATGTTCAGTAAGCTGGAGCCTATTCTGAAGACAATGACACGGTTGCAGGAACAGGAGCAGGCATATTGACAACATGAATTCACAGTAACGAGACATGGCGAGCACGAGAATCTTTTGTAACGCAGCCCTAAGACTGTTAATAACAAGCAGAGTGACTCGGCTGATACCTCTGAGGACCCTACCCGCACTAAACTCCTAGTAGCGGATCATTCCAACCGCATCGGGACACGCGCATCGTCATCGCATCACACCAACCAGAAGGCGCGCAGTCAACCACGGATCTGCTTCGCAATTCAATTCAGCACCTCCTTCCAATCAACCTGCCGCAATTTGACGAACCTTCACACAGACGCCATTTTTTTGTGCGGTCAAAACTCGTTACACGTCCAAGCACGGCAGAGATACAAAACATCGCTCAGTCCAGTCCAACGGCGCATCGCGCAATATCTCATGGCTTAGACATCGAATATCCACACGACTCCTCGACTCCTACACTGCAGTCGCCATGCCCGCGTCGGTGCGCGACCCGAGTCCGCAAAACACCTTCAAATTCCCTGCCTTCCAGCCAGAATTGCTCCCTACGCCTGAAGACTACCCTTACGGTCTCAGTTCGTCGCGAACACCGAGTCCCGGTCAGCCAACGCAAGCAAATGGCAGCGTCACACACGCAGAGAGGTGGCAGCCTCGGAAAGAGGTAAGAGCAGGGTTTGCAAATGGCTTAGGATTAAGTGCTGCGGCAAGGCACGGGCGACAGAAGAGCTTGACAGAGGCGTTCAGGACAATACGGACACGCAACGGGAGTGTCAGCCAGAATGCGCATGAGATCGCAGACGCGCTCAAGGCGCCGCTCTCCCCCAAACTCGTCGTATGTGGAAGCATCCTGGGATGAAAGAGCCGTCGAGTGCTAATGAGCGTAGATGCTCTGCGGCGTCTGGTATTTGACATCCATCTTCACCAACATGTCTTCGAAGGCCATCCTCACCGCGCTTCCGAAGCCAATCACGCTCACAACCGTACAATTCGCATTCGTGTCAGGCTGGTGTATCGTGCTTGCAACGCTTGCTAGGAAATACCCGCGCCTGAAACAGACGATGCCATTCTTGAAAAACGGGATTAGGCGGCCAACTAAGGAGCTGATCATGACTACGCTACCTCTCACACTCTTCCAGATTGGAGGTCACATATTGAGCGCTGATGCTACGTCAAGAATACCAGTGTCTCTGGTGCATACGATCAAGGGGCTGTCTCCGCTTCTTACCGTCCTGGCGTATAGCATCTTCTTCAAAATTCGGTACGCAATGCCCACGTACCTCTCTCTGATACCCCTCACGTTGGGTGTGGTTTTGGCATGCTCGGCAGACTTCAACGCCAACTTCATTGGCCTTTTCTCTGCCTTTGCCAGCGCAATTCTCTTCGTAGTGCAGAATATCGTCTCCAAGCAGATTTTCAACGACGCCGCAACCGCGGAGAGGGACGGAATTCCGCTAAACCGGTTCACAAAACCAGACAAGTTGAACTTGCTCTGTTACTCTTCCGGCCTAGCTTTTCTCTTCACAATCCCGCTCTGGCTCTGGTCTGAAGGGTTCACACTTCTGGGTGATTTCCTGCATGACGCTTCGATCGAGTTGTCAGATCATCCTGGAGCTTTTGACCACGGGCGCCTCTTTCTTGAGTTTCTGTTCAATGGTACATTTCACTTTGGACAAAACATTGTAGCATTCCTCCTACTGTCAATGGTTTCTCCCGTCACATACTCGGTCGCCAGTCTTATCAAGCGCGTCTTCGTCATCGTCTTCGCAATCATTTGGTTCAAGAAGCCCATGACGAGCGTGCAAGCGTTCGGTTTCGTGCTCACATTTGCTGGCCTGTACTTGTACGACCGGACGTCTGATGCTGCCAAAGCGGATAAGCGAGCAAAAGCACTACAGTCAAAGTCTCAAGGTACTCTGCTACCATTGGTAACCGACGTTAATGCACGACCTACATTTTCTACAAGCCCTGCCACCATATCTGGCGGGACAGGTGGATATCCATTGGCGGGCATTCCGGAGGCGAGAGACGCAAAGAAAGATGACGACGCTGGTTATGGGCGGCCTGGAACAGGTCCTAGCTATTTGCCACCAGGCACGAAGCAAGAGGATACGTGGCGGCCACACGAGATGAACGGCAGGAGAGGTATAGGCGTGTTATGAAGTACTCGAATAAATGGTCTTTTCTCACTATATAAAGTATATTTATAGACGTCTAAGTAGTTGACGATCTGATGTTAGAACATGATCTGCATGCAAGCGTATCCAAATTCAAGGATAGATAGTCAAAGCATATGCAAGACACGTGTTATGTGGACACTACAGCAACGATGCCTGCTTGTATGTACGTGTCTGTCAAGGAAGTAATTCAACAGTTAAATTGCCCAGCTGTGCTCTGTTCATGGTTCGACCTGCAAGCCCTTGATCTCACCGCATCGTCAATAGCCTCCACGGGTTAGCAGCACGCGGCGAGTATCGCCGTTTCCTCTTGCCAACCCTGTATCAGGCGAGTGAATGATGCATTCGACCGTCATCTGAGCGGCACTCGCGACTGTGTCCAGACGCATCTCCGCGAAGCGAGCAGCGATACAGCGAATCACCATCGACCGACCCCTGGAACCTTCGATCCCGGTGACATCAACGGCCACCTTTTCCCTAACCACGAATTATTCTTCCCGCACGTGTTGCTGCCGTGGCTGCACTCAATATCATGGCTTCTCAACTCCAGGTCAATGGACAGACCCGCCCAGGGAACGTCCGACACCCCACCGCACCAGGAATGATGATGAACTCGCACTTTGCAGGCGTCGGCGAGAACGCTTCCAAGGAGTCGTACGAGCATGGCATCCAGGTTATTGATGAGGACAAGGTGTTCAAGTATGTGTACACTCTTGTTGTAGGCGGTTCTTTGGGGGTGCAACGGGCTAACATACAATGCGCAATGTAGCCAGAACCTTTCTACGTACCTCCGCATCGAGGACATCATCCCCGCTGGCTTCAACTACCACCTCATATCCGTTTTCGGTTCGCAGTCCACGGGCAAGTCGACGCTGCTCAACTACCTTTTCGGCACACAGTTTGGTGTCATGTCCGAGCAGGAACGTCGCCAGACCACAAAGGGCATATGGATGAGCAAGAACAAGCGTCCGGCGGGGGGCTCGGGCATGGCAGAAAACATTTTGGTCATGGATGTCGAGGGTACAGATGGACGAGAGCGAGGCGAGGACCAAGACTTCGAACGAAAGAGTGCCCTGTTCGCCCTTGCAACGAGCGAAGTCCTTATTGTCAACATCTGGGAACACCAGGTCGGATTGTACCAGGGTGCGAACATGGGCCTGCTGAAGACAGTATTTGAAGTCAATTTACAGCTGTTTGTCAAAGACAGCAAGTACGTATACTCGTGACATCAAGGTTGGGGTCTGCTAACAGCGACTTAGAAACACCCCCAAGTCACTCCTCTTCTTCGTCATCCGCGACCACCTAGGAACGACGCCTCTCAAGAACCTACAGAACACACTTATACAAGACCTGTCGAAACTCTGGTCTACCATCTCGAAACCCAACGGACTCGACAATTCCCGCATAGAGGATTACTTTGACTTCGCCTTTTGTGCCCTCCCACACAAGATCCTACAGCCGGAGAAGTTTGAGGAAGCAGTTACAAAGTTGAGTCTGCGATTCAGGGAAGGGTATAGCGACCCCAAGAAGAGTGGCCTGATCGACGAGACGGAACTTCCCATCTTCCAACCACAGTACCACCGACGGATACCCGCAGACGGCTTCCCCGCATATGCGGATGGTGTCTGGGATCAAATTGTAAACAACAAGGACCTGGATCTTCCAACACAGCAGGAACTCCTGGCCCAGTTCAGGTGTGATGAGATATCCAGAGAGGTCCTGGTTGCATTCGACGAGAAGATCACACCACTGGAGGACAAGCAAGCAGAAGATACTCGGATTGGACAACCTTCCGTCATACCAGACCTGGGTCTCACAATGAACGCCGCACGAACGCAGGTGTTCAAGGACTTCGAAACCAACGCGAGCAGGTACCACAAGGGCGTCTATAAGCGAAAGCAGGCGGAACTTGAGGGCAAGGTCGACACACGGCTCAAGGCGCTTTCTCAGAAACAACTCAACGCCGCTCACAAGTCTGGCGTCGAGAACTTCACAAACGCTGTCAGCGCTGCTGTGAAGAATGGCCAGAAGAAGGGATCTTCATACGACTTTGCTCAGACCATTGACTCGGAGAAGAAGCAAGCTTTGTCCAAATTCGAGGACGATGCAAAAGCTATTACAGTCGAAGGCGCCTCTTGGAGCAGCTATGAGCACGAGATAAAGATCTACCGCAAAGAGTTGGACGACGTCTCGTCTCGCCTCCGCAAGGATGAAATGAGGCGACTGGCCACACGGATAGAACGCTGGGTACGGTCACGTTTGGACGAGTCTGTCGGCCTTGAATTCAACAAACTTGGTTCTGGACGTGGAGGCTCCGGTGCACCCGAGCACGGCGAGCGACCTCCATCCGAGAAGGACCTCTGGGACCGTGTCTGGACTATCTTCACTGACACCGTCTCCAGCGCAGAGAAGCGCTTCACTGATCGCGCACAAAGCTTCGACGCTAGTCCCGAAGAAGTGGAAGTCGGTCTGTGGCGATTACGACGCAAATCGTGGGGTGTACTTCGCGCGAAGATTGACGAGGAGGTTATGGAAGGCAACATCCTGCTTAAGTTGAGGGAAAACTTCGAAGACAAATTTCGCTACGACGAGAGCGGCGTTCCCCGCATATGGCGACCCACTGACGACATTGAGGGTATTTATACCAAGTCCCGCGAATCGACCATCACCGTCATTCCACTTCTCGCACGCTTCAAGCTTTCGAAGACTGCTGCGCCGCCACCACTCGATTCGTGGATTGGCGAAGCGCCTGAATCTGCATCGCCAGCCGACGAAGACGACTTGGCGCCTATTGGCGGTGTTGACGATGACGAGGGAAAGACCCTAGAAGAAGAAATGACCATCCTCAGCGACACTAAGCAAGCCGACCTCCTCATCCGCTTCAAGAAAACCGCAGATGGTGTGTACGTAGAGGCCAAGCGCAGCGCGATCGGTGGTATGACACAGGTCCCGCTGTACTTCTACGGCTTGTTATTGGCGTTGGGCTGGAACGAGATAGTAGCTGGTAAGACGTTTTCACGTTCAACTACAAAGGAGTATGTCACTAACTTATCCAAAACAGTTCTACGCAACCCAATTTACTTCATCTTCCTCATCCTCTGCGGTGTCGGCGCTTACGTTACTTACACGCTCAATCTGTGGGGCCCCATGGCGCGCATGGCGAATGCAGCGTCGTCCCAGGGTCTTGAAGTGGGTAAGGAGCGATTGAGGGCGTTCCTCGAGAGCAGCGAGTCGGGGCGCCAGGCTATGGCTATGAGTGGACAGGCCCAGAACTCCACAAGGGAGAGGCAGAATGGGAGTACGAAACTGAATGGTCATGACAAAACGGACGACATCGAGTTGGACGACATTTGATTGGGGGTAGGACTCAGGCTGGACTTTTGAGCATGGTAGGGTTGTAGTCATGGGTTTGTACAACTACTGTCTAGGATAGGATTGGCAGTTGGGTGGTCTCTTCCTAGTCCCTAGGGGTTTACTTCTTTCCTGCAATAAAATGGGTTATGTTCGACCTTGCTGTTGATATCGTTGTTGCAATATGTTCATGGGTGACTGGGTGGTATCTCATCAGGTGTCGACGATGGTATCCAACCTTCGCAAACGCCTTCGTCAAACGAGTTCGTTCACGTGTGTGCACAGGGCGACAAGAATGCATATATAACGTACTCCCCTCCCGTCTTTCTCCAGGTATCCAACGCTTTCCTTATCGTGCTTCTTGTTTCACCTCCAAAACCTTACAGTACTTTCTCATGGAGGCGGGCAGACGCCAGAAAATCCACATCCCGACGCTGTAAAGTTTCTCGCCTCACTTTGGATTTGGCTCGAAAACAGAAAATCTTAAGTTCAAACCGAAATTCAGTCACTTTATGTTCCGGCCTCCTGCCTAGCTGGAAATCGTAATCACACCTCGATTTCTCAACCTCGCTGGGTACACAGGATTGTTTTCGAAAATGCATTTGGAAACTTACATGGTGGGGTTTGGATCTCTCGGGTTCCGAAGATTGACACCCATAAAACCAGCATGAAAGATACGATGTTTTGTGCGTCTGTGCTGAGTTGGACGGAAAATTGGTCTTGTTCCAAAAAGCGTTCTTCGTCAAGGGCATGGAGGTGGGATTGAGGAGCACGGCAAGGCCGGGTATCTGTGTTCTGGCCTCGTCGGTTGGAAATGATCTACTGAAGCATCCATGTGCATCAAATCCGACTGGTTGTATGGGAGTAGTCTGCCCCCCTCGAAATGTATTTGTGAAACTTGAAATGTGGTTTGCTTAACTCTTTGGGTCGGAGTGGCCCATGGATCTCTCTACCGGAAAATCATATGGCTGTTGTGTGACTGGCGCAAAATATCTGGGCGAGGAAAGAAGATGGGCCCGGAGTTGGCAAGGACAGAGTATCCACTCATGACTGTGACGCTTACCATTCAGGAGATGGGTATATAAATCTGTTCGCCGTGAAATTTGAAAACTGCAGTAAAACCTTTGCTTTGTTCTTTTCATTCAAAATTCCCGCACCAAATTGTCTATGGAGGCCAGAAACGAAAAACCCTTTGGAGATTGACGAATGGGGGTTTGCTTTCCTCGACCATGGCCATTTGGATATCAAAAATGACGACTCTGGTATGGATGTGTGGCTCCTCTCGCCGAGCTCGAGGGCGGTAGTTACCATCTTCGGAGAGTCACTGGCGGGAGACTCAAAAACCTGCTCACCACCTTTCCGGTAATGGAACCTGCCTCATTGGATCCAACGTTTTCGAAGACCCTGATCTTCACATCCTCGACCAGCGGTACGCCTCCCCACAGGAAAATTCTGCTCTGCGGCGTGCATGGTTGAGATTTGCACCGTGCGCTGAGAGGGTTTATAAGGCCTTCGACTCCCGTCTACTTTCTACTTTATCACTTCTCCTCTTTCCGAAAAGACACCACAAAAGTCTCATGTGCTTCTCCGAATGGACTTTCAAAACAGCGATACTTTGGTTGGATGCCGCTCCTGCCCAACGAAACTCCACCCCGCAGTCTTGTCGTGTTTTGGTACGTACATGATGCGCCCTCCCAGCTATCTCTCGCCCCATTTCCCTGACGGGAGAGGCGACGTATACTCTTGGACCGATGCTTGGAATCAAAAACACTTCCACGGATACTGGACAAATCAACAACCTAGCGACGTTTGTATGGCTGGGTGGGCAGCACGCTTCCCTACGATGTTATAAACCTTCGTGTGGTTTATCTTCTACTCCATTACTCAATCCCTCTTTCTCCAAAAACCCCCTTTGCTCTGATGTATGGGAGCCGCTGGACCGGCACTCAAATCCGCCGACCAAAAAGTTCATGTCTGTTGCCCCCTCTGGCCTCGAGGGAACCACATCCTCTATCTCAGTTGGTTGAGATCAAAGAACCCTACCTATCGTTGGTGGGGTTGCTTAAGAAAATGTTACGAAAGACTACTTTTACGCCTACCTGGTCATACTCAAAACTTCAACATCTTTTTTTCATGGTTTCTGCCTGGTGCGGCATGAAGAATACTGCAGCTATCGAGTTTCTCCAACGCTTACACGATTCGGCCATACCACCACGTTGCCGACCACGATTCCAGTTCTGCGCCTTCGAGTTCGACTTCTAGTTCAAAACTTCGTTTTCGGATATTCCATGGTCCCTGCTTCTGTCTTTTCTCGAAAAGAGGATTTCACTTGCAACTTGCACTGCAGGATACCCTGTACTACCTGATTCTCATCAATGGGATGAGACTGCACGGACAACATCAGTCCTGGTCGGTCTGCATCACCATCACTCGATTGTCTGGTGGCCTGCATCACCATCACTCGATTGTCTGGTGGCCTGCATCACCATCACTCGATGTCTTGGTGGTCTGCATCACCATCACTCATTGTCTTGGTGGGCTGCTTACTGTTGACCTCGAGCATCCTTTGGCTTCACCCTATTCAAGCATAGTTCACCATCTTTCGGGTCCCAACAGCTATGCTCTTACTCAAATCCATCCGAAGACATCAAGAACGGCCATCGATACGCTCTGAGAGAGCCATTACCTCCGTTCACTTTCAGTCATTGTGTGGTCTTCTCATGGAGATCCTGTTACGACTTCTGTTTTCCTCGGTTGAATGAGCATTCCGGGACTACATGCAGATCATGAAGTTGTTCTTCCAGCGCAGGAAGAAGTGATTCACTCTCAGTGGTAGTATCATGCGTTTTGGGAATACCATCGCCTTCTCGGCGACAAGTTCTGAAAGCCCATGGAAGTGTGCCTCTTGGATGGGCAACTACGGTCAAGTCTAGCCTCAAGCGCTTCCCTTTCAACAATTTCATACCATTTGTACTGGTTTTCTGAAGTACTTTATAGCTTGAGTGGAGGGAGACACGTTGACGAAGAAAAGGGTAGGCCTGATAAGAGGTTTACCAGAAATGGTTTCAGACACAATATCAAATCATTCCCATCAACATACACAAACATGATTCAACCCTTGTATCAACCCGATATACGTGATATGTGTTGTGTTTTGCCCATTCAATGTGTCAAGATGTGGATATACCCTGAAGTTCGAGACAGGTACAGAAACAGGATAAAAGATTGTGCACATCTTACATCATGAGAATTAGAACATACAAAAAGAATGCAAGACACAAGCAAGTCGTGAAATGATTCACGTAGAGAGCAGCCTCTCGAACTGCTCTTCCATGAGATGTCTGACTGGAATTTTCGGCTGGAGCCTATGTAGAGTGGCACAAGCGTTGTAACAACGAGGAGATGTATGCCGATCTGGCGGTAAAATAGACTTGGTTTGGAAGTGAACATTCTATACTAAGGTAGACGCAATCTGTTTTGTCAAGACAGCGTAGATACCAAGAATAACGGCACTGGTAAAAATTCTGTGGTGTCTGCGCACTTACCTATTCATGCCTAGTAAGAAATTGAAAAAAAAAAGAGGCAAAAACATACAACAGCGGGAATTCGCTAGTTGTCACCAACCCAGCTACTAATCCGCCGGTACACTGCTTGAGTACAGCTGAGCGAACGGGAAGCTCTATATTCAGCGTCCTATGGTCGTATGTGACAGTTCTAGCGAGTCTTGTCCTAGAAGTTAGCAGCAATCAACGTGGACGTAGAGCGAAATGCTCGGAAAATGGGCGCATATCTCGAGTGGCGTTGAGATAGTGATGAGATGGTCCGAAAATGTTATAGTAGAGACTGTTTTGGGCTATTTTAGGCGATGACTCCACGAACACGTGGGGTAAATGTATGCTGATAGGTGCGCATCCTTGTCTACATAAGCTTTGCGTGGGACGGCGTAGTAGAAGGGTCTCCGGTGTTATGCCCTTCATATATGCAACTCAAGATGTAGCTAGCTGGTAGCGTGGTGGTGCGCAGAACAATCAAACACCGATAATGATGTCGACTTCGTTTCTAGGTCTGACGTCACGATCATGTGGACGTGATTACAGCCACACGTATGGATAGAAACCGCTGGATTCATCCCGGTGACTTGCACAGAGTAGGTATACATGTGAATTGAAGACGACGAGTGACATTGTAGATGAAGAGAGTAGTCGGATTGGAAGGCCTCCCATTAATCATAACTGGCCTGATGGAGTAGCATGCTCCTAAGAGAGTTAGTTGCACGATCTTATCGTTTGTCATCTGATCACACGGTGGGGTGACATTTCCTATCTGATATGACTCTGGGCTGTTGAATTCAGTAATGGATCAATGAAACAGTAATTCCATGGCCGCTTTTCCAGAATAAGCCAATTGGAAGAGAGAGAAAGAAGCGCATAGATTGGAGAGTCCTGTATGCGTACACGGTGCCTATATGCACAGGGTTTGAGCATGGATAGTAAAATTGAACGCGTAGAAGCCTCTAGAATTTCTGTACACGGAAGACTAATATGACAGTAGCCGATCGAGCAACGGCTGGTAAACCTCCCGATCTTGGTGTATATATGACACAAACAGTACCAAATGGAATGTTGACCCAAGGAAAAGAGGTATTTGGTATTGGTATTGTGTGTTTGTTGTGATGCTATTAATCCATCCCTTTACTCTTCATTGAGCTTCTCACCGGGGGGAAGGTTGTTCTTGGACACCGACTGGACCATCATGCCCTTGTAAGCAGTGATGGGCTCAGTTCCTTGGGCCTGTGATGTGTTAGTATGTAGCGAAGAAGCAGTAAACCTGCGATAAGGGCTTTGGAACGGCATACCTTCATGTACTCCTCAGTAGCCTCCTGCCACTCCTTGGTCATGGTGCGTGGTCGGATTGGGCTTGCGAACATGCGGGAGAAAGCGAAGACGGCGAAAGCAGCCGCGATGCAACCAGCGGAGACGAAGAAGACGTTGCGACCCTCATCCGGAGGAGGTGGTCGTCGGGGACCATGGGGGCCAAAGGCAATGAAGTATGCTGTAGTTGAAAGGGTTGTCAGCGATACATCCTTTTGACACATTCGAGATATTGTTCGTGATAGCGTCGCGTTGACGCCCGAACTCGAGCGGGCCAACTCGGGTACCTGGATGAGTACAGCAAATACGTCATACAGGCACTCGGAGCACCGAGTTGCGCGGTAAAAAATAGCTCTACGCACCAGCCTTCTTCTCCGTCATGGTCAGCTCCTTCCAGTCGGTCTTCATGCGATCCCTAAGCTGCATCCACAGGTCGGCCTGCTCCTGGGGGGGCATCTCCTCCCATCGCTTCTCGATATTGGCGAGGGTCGGGTTGGAGATAGCGTGTGCCTGGCGGGTCTGCTGGATCTGGCAGGCGGCGGGGGTGGCTCTGAAGACAGCTGTGCGGGTCGCGGTCGACGGAATGACGGTAGCCGAGCTCCTGGAAGCGCGGGCGATTGACGAGCGCAACATGATGGCGGGTTGAGTGGAGAGTGTCGAAAAATGCAAAGAAAGGGGCGGAGCTTCCCGTCGAGGGACCTGCGGCTGCCAATGGGTGGAGTTGGTGATGGAGGTGAGGGTGGATAAGCAGTGCGATGAGGGTTTCTTGCCAAATGCCAAGGCGAGGTATCGAATGACACCGCCGCTTATTTAAATTCCCAGCCCTAATTGGTTAGAGCCAACTCCCATCTTTACCATCGACTGTTGGTCTTTCTCCTACAAATTGATGTTGTTGGTACAGCGCAACTTGAGTAGGTAGCCTTAGCAGTGGCATATACAGTGCATTTTACAAAATTGCGTTGTGCGCTCTTCGTTCGTTGGGAGGGTTGATCGGCAGCATCGCGTAAAGACCATGCGACTCGAGAATCACACATGTTGGAAACAATCCATCACATATTGCAGCCTAAACGAGCGAGCCCTGGGGTATAAATGTATGGGCTCTATTACACCTTGCTGATGACGTTACAAACGCTCCCGTGCTGGATCAGCAAAAGCCAGCAACGCGGAGACGACCACGATCGCCTGCCATGTGCGTGTCTGTCGTGTACCTGCAAAACGTTCCACGACAGGAACGCACCTGTTTATCAGTGAGGTTTTGGGGTGTCTGGCATACAATCAAACAGGTCCCTGAAGCTCCTGGAATGTCCGACTGGAATATGAGCGATCCACCGCCCGCTGATGTCTTTGAGTTGTCGCGTCGACAGCTTCCAGGTAGAGGGAAACAGACTTCAAGAATCCGGAACAGAACATTATTTGTACTGCGAGGCACTCATAGCATGCGACGCTGCAGAGACGTGATCTCTCCTGAGAACGAGCGCCTGTCAGTCGATCAATCACCCATTATAATCAAGAGTCGATGCTATTAGAGTGCGAGTAGCAAAGACTTTCGATGGTGTTCCACAGTTGTCAAAAGTCAGCTCACCACGCTCGGGCCATGTGTATCAGACTCCTGGGACCTCGGAGATCGATCTTGTCAGCCCTATGAAGCTTCTGCGACATGGTTTTCGAGCTCTTTCTCGTCCTTGGACGCGTGACATGATGTTACAAGGCAGTAGGTACAGAGCTGCTTCAGCTAATGCCTCATCTAGACCCTGGTGCTTCTCCCGGCCGCGCACCTCACCTCAACCTTCTCGACTTTGCACCACGGTGAGAATCTCGGCGGTCAGGCAACGTGCTCATCTCCCCGGCGAGCGAATGGTCGACTGATACAGTTTGCCTGTTTTGTCTGACCGACTGATGCAAATAATCAGCCCACCACAGAAAATAACTGATCATGACACTGAAAACCACTTTTAACGACTAATCTGATCATCCCGCTGGAGCGGACGATTACGAGGCGCGCGGATACCTCTTTCGTAAAGTGTTCTGAGAGCGATATCTGTGTTGCTAGCCGTTGGCTTTCTGTCCATCTCTTTGGCTAGATAGCGGTAGCCAAGCATAACTACGTGCATCACTAGACGTGAACAAGCATGGGCCTCCGAACATATCGTGAACTCCGTCTAGGCAGTCGAATTGGGGAATGGAATGTCCTCAAGGGTACTCGGGTAACGGTGATCTCAGAGTAACGATCCGAGATGCTCTTTCACCCGGTGGATTCCGCGGCTTCCAACGATGCTACACGCGCCCGAGGTAAACAGCAGCTGTATTCCCTGAGATCCACGTTAATCCAGCCGGCCGGGCGTGGGAGGCCAAAAAGTATTTTATTGGGTCTTGCGGCCGCAGCTATCGATTACCAGTGACGTCTAGTGTGTTGCTATTGCCCCTCTCACCTCACCCCACCTACCCAACAAAACACAATCTCTTCTCACCCAGCCTCCACATCAGTTCCAAATTCCCTTTATAAGAGTGAGTCGCGCCTTAGTATTGAATCATCATCAACTCAACTCATCAACTTCCACAGCATAACAATCTATTCATCATGGTTGTCAAGGTAAGCTCTTTACCCCGCTTGAGCTTCACAGCAGCTGTTAACGCCTTGCACAGGTCGGTATCAACGGATTCGGTCGCATTGGCCGTATCGTCTTCCGCAATGCGTGAGTATATCACATTCCACGGTTACAGTTGAGCCCATGGAGCTGACAGCACTCGACAGCATCGAGCACAATGACGTCGAGATCGTTGCCGTGAACGACCCCTTCATTGAGCCTCACTACGCCGTAAGCCCTCCCTAGCTCCAGTGCTTTGGTCCGACGCGACGAGACACTCAATATGCATGCGGGCATCGCTGACAGACATTCAGGCATACATGCTCAAGTATGACAGCACACACGGCCGCTTCAACGGCGAGGTCAAGGTCGAGGGCAACAACCTCCTCATCAACGGCAAGACCATCCGCTTCTACACCGAGAAAGACCCCGCCAACATCCCATGGGGCGAGACCGGTGCGTTCTACGTCGTCGAGTCGACTGGTGTTTTCACCACAACCGAGAAGGCCAAGGCCCACTTGAAGGGTGGCGCCAAGAAGGTCGTCATCTCTGCACCCTCGGCCGATGCTCCCATGTTCGTTATGGGTGTCAACAACGAGACCTACAAGTCGGACATCGAGGTGCTCTCCAACGCCTCTTGCACAACCAACTGCCTTGCTCCCCTCGCCAAGGTCATCCACGACAAGTTCACCATCGTTGAGGGTTTGATGACCACTGTCCACTCCTACACAGCCACCCAGAAGGTCGTCGATGGCCCATCCGCCAAGGACTGGCGTGGTGGCCGCACTGCTGCTCAGAACATCATTCCCAGCAGCACTGGTGCCGCCAAGGCTGTCGGCAAGGTCATTCCTGACCTCAACGGCAAGCTCACCGGCATGTCGATGCGTGTCCCCACCGCCAACGTCTCTGTTGTTGACTTGACTGTCCGCATCGAGAAGGGTGCTACTTACGACGAGATCAAGGAGGCCGTCAAGGAGGCTTCTGAGGGTCCCCTCAAGGGTAAGATTATTGATACCATGTTTGACACAATTCTGACATGTTACAGGCATACTCGGCTACACCGAGGACGAGGTCGTTTCCTCTGACATGTGCGGTGATGACCGTTCTTCAATCTTCGACGCTAAGGCCGGTATCTCCTTGAACAAGAACTTCGTCAAGCTTGTTTCGTGGTACGACAACGAGTGGGGTTACTCCCGCCGTGTCCTCGACCTCCTGGTGTACATCGCCAAGGTCGACGGAAACGCTTAGGAAACAGCCAGGAGCCAGGCTATACCAAAACTCTAAGATCCGAGCAGAAAGCTCAAAGACGATTGGGGCTTAGAGGATGATGGTATCTCTTCCGTGCAAAACATTTGCCGGGAAGAACATATGCAAGGTTTGCGGACCAGTGTATTTATGGTAGTCATGAATCAATGAGAACAATTGTCAAAACACATCAATTTACTACACATGACGTGAAATTGGAAGCTCTTCTCAGCGGTAGTATACAAACAACGATTGGGGTTGAGACGCATGCTCCGTAGTGCATTTTAATCTGTTCCCTTGGTGCAGACGATGATGAGACGCTACCATTGTCAAAGCTTTTTCTAGCCTACTCCCAAGATCTGACCTGACATCAAGATTGTAATATGGGCTACATTTAATGTTATGGCTTCTACCCTCCTGTTGTCTGCTGAAGAACTTCTTCCTCTAGTGTTGGCACCACGATCTCAAATAGGGTCGTGGAGAAGGAGCGATACAGACTGGAACTTGACTTCAGCTGCTGAGCAACGAACGGCAAACAAAGAAGGGTGGTTGTAGTAAGAACACAAACAAAGGATACAGCAAGATGCATATTTCATGCTGTAATTTCAGATATATTTCACTAGATGTAAAGCTTGTTGCTCGTTTGCAATCAATCACGCAGTTTGTATATTGGATCATATATGTGTCTAACTTTGTCAGGCTAGCGCAATGCTTAGTCAGTATCATCTGGCGCTTGCTTCCACTTACTATGAAAGCGTCTACTTTTATCCTTCAGTTTCGACTTCCAGTAGGCGCAATTGTTTCAAGCGGACGGCAGCCAATAGCTTTTCTCTTTGTTGCTGTCGGTACCGTAGCGCGGCATAATCTGTCTTGCAAACGATTCATACGCGGTCGCGTATTACACGGCCTCTAGATCTCGCGACCTCCAGCATTACAAGCACCGAGAGCAATTCAACTTCACCTGCTGCGCTGCAAAGATTCTTGTCCAAGCATAACACAATAAAAAAGAGTCATTAGATCACCGGCTCACCTTGACCCCATCTCCATAAATCTTTCGCTCTTTTGCATAGCAATCGAAACGTGGAAGTTCAAACCAAAAAGCCGTTCCGATGTGGTAGAAGCGTATCAGGTGAGTTTGCTATTTCTTTGATTTTATTTTCTCCCCTAATAGGCCTCCTCAGATACAACGCACTTGAGCTATCCGCAAATCGACCCCAACACTGTCATTGCATCAAGCCTTCAGTGCCGCACACTAGTTGCATGCTGCGCTTGGTATTTGGTCTAGGCTTGTCTCAGTCCCGAAAACAACACAGCTGCCTGTTTTATCGCATCTTGATTTGACTCTCTGTTCGCGTTACTCTCCATCAGCCTATTGCCTACTTGAACATATTCGACTCTGTACACTGATACTGCACAGTCGGTGCTTAACCAGATACGCTCAGGCCGAGGCGTTCAGGAGCCGCTTTGCACACCCAGGTCTAGTCATGGACGATGAGGACTACCCCATGGAAGAGGAAGAGTCTGTTGTCATTACGACAGAAGCAACAGACCTGAGCGAAGACCATGCCTCAAGCTCGGTTGCTCCATCTAGGCAATACATGTCTATGAACTCTCATATCAAGAGAAGAGGAGAACTTCCAATTCACAACCAGTCCAGAGTTCCATCAAGATTGCCATTCAGTCTTCAACAAAGCCATGGTAGTTCTAGCCGTTCGGTAAGATCATCAGACGGTTGGCCCGATGAGATGGACATCAGACAGCCGGCACCTCAACGTCACACAAGTCCCCAAGTGAGAATACCGCCGCGGCCCCGGTCTGATGTCGTGCCATATGCGACCTCAAAGACCGGCTTGGTTTACGATCCTCGTATGCGTTTCCATACAACCTTTCCAGAGCAAGAGATTGACGAAGACGGCCATCCTGAGGATCCACGCCGTATACATGCCATTTTCGAAGAGATAAAGCAGGCTGGGCTTGTGCGAGGCCATGAGAATGCGGATGAGGACGAAAGGGAAGACCATTGCTGGAGAATCGGTATACGGCCAGCGACAAAACCCGAGATTCTGCTCGTTCACACGGAAGAACATTACGCGTTTGTGGAGTCATTACAACGTAAGTACTCACCTCCATCTAGAACGAAGTCGATAGATGACTGACGCAAAGCATAGACATGACTGCAAGCCAACTCATGTTTGAAGCTAGCGAACTGGATTCTATCTATCTCAACCATTCTACGTATGAATCCGCAAAACTTGCGGTAGGTGGTGCGATTGAAGCATGCAAAGCTGTTGTCCAAGGTGCAGTGCGCAATGCGATCGCTATTATTCGCCCCCCAGGACACCATGCCGAAAGCAGCAAGCCATCTGGCTTCTGCATTTTTAACAATGTTCCAATTGCGACTCGCGTATGTCAAGAGGCTTTCCCAAACACTTGTCGAAAGGTGTTGATCTTAGACTGGGACGTCCATCATGGGAACGGTATTCAGCATGCCTTCTACAACGACCCAAACGTGCTTTACATCTCTTTGCATGTTTATCAAGGCGGGCGCTTTTATCCTGGCCTGGAGGATGGAGATCTTAACTTTAGTGGGGAAGGCCCTGGGGAAGGCAAAAATGTCAACATCCCATGGTCAGACACCGGGATGGGTGATGCCGAGTACATATACGCGTTCCAGCAAGTTGTCATGCCCATTGCCAGCGAATTCGATCCGGACCTAGTCATCATCTCCGCGGGGTTCGACGCAGCTGAAGGTGATACCCTTGGTGGATGTTTCGTCACTCCAGCTTGTTATGGCCATATGACACACATGCTCATGCGCTTAGCCAAAGGAAAGCTTGTTGTGTGCCTCGAAGGAGGCTACAACCTGAGATCAATTGCTCGTTCAGCACTAGCAGTTACGCGAGTGCTCATGCTTGAACCTCCAGATCGTCTGCGCGAGGACCTACCTCCACCAAAAGAAGACGCTGTCTATACGATTGAACAAGTCAAACGTCAACACTCTAAACACTGGAAATGCCTATATCCAAAACACTTGGACAAAACCGATCCTGGATTTGATGATGCTTTTCATCTACACGAGGTTATAAGAGAATGGCAAAGCCAACGGCTGTCAAGGGAGCATGCGATGACACCTCTGCCGCTCCAGATCAATAAGGCAGGCTTAGCGCAAACCTTTGAGCACAACGTGATCGCCACGTAAGACTCAACTATTTCCATCATGCACATCACACACATGTCTGACCGCTGTAGGCCAAACTTCACGGATCGCCATCCCCTTTTGATCATCTTCCATGACCCGCCAAGTTTCCAGGATCATCTGGACCCTATGACAGGTCAAAGAGAACTGCATAACACCTGGCTTGTAAGTTGAACGTGCAGTCTTGCGCTATCAAGTCGCTGACCCTGGGATCAAAGACTGATGTCACCAAGAGGTACGTCGATTGGGCGGTCGTCAATGGCTTCCAGGTCATGGACGTGAACATTCCGAGAGTTGTCTCAGTTGAAAATGTGAGTGAACTTTGCTGTTTGCTTCAGAGGTTTCTGCTAATGCCAGTTCAGGAGTTTGGATACACAAGGTCAGACGATTCTACAGTTCGAGCACACCAGACCCGAGAATTGGCGACTTATTTATGGGAGAACTATGTTGAGTAAGTTGACAGTCAGTTGTTTGATATACCATTGACTAAAAAATACAGACCCTACGATGCAACACAAGTGTTTCTCATGGGAATTGGAGACGCGTATTTGGGCTTGGTAGATCTTCTCAGCCTTAACGGTAAGTCGATCTGTAAATTCTGTAAATCATGGCAACATGACTAACCTTGCAGAAAACTGCACGGAACCCGATAGCCCGATTGCATGTCTCATTGGCTTTGTAGCAGAAACCGCCATCCAATCCATAAAGCGACCAACAGACGACACAATCGCTAGTTGGTACTTTGAGGTATGTTAGCAAATCGTCCTATTTCTGACAGTACACGACTGACTCCAATCTACAGCGATCCAGAATCTTTGTCAAAAACAGCCACTTCGCCTGGGATCCAGCACGAGCAAAGAAACTGCGCAGAAAGCTAGGGAACCTTGTCAGATCTCCGATGGAGACCCTGGATACTATGCTCCGAGAGCACGAGGAAGAGGTGCAAAGCTTGCTATTGAAGAAGAAGAGCGAATACGCAGAAGACTACTTAACATCCAGCGTTGCTGACGAGAGACCACAACCAACCGCAAATGGCTTGCGGAGCCCTCTTCCGATAAGCAGGGCGCAAACACCTAGAGGAGAACTAGGCGCCCGGCATGAAGGGCCCACGAATTCTGTCAAGGGACCGCCACGCGGGTTCTTCACTGTGCCGTCGCAGGCTCCGAAGAGCCCGTTGAAAAGAACGTTTTGATGCGGTGTTCGAGCGCGGTTGATGCGTTCTTGTTTTTTCGGTATTTTTGTAGTATTCATCACTGCACTGTTTGGCGTCCGATACTTCCTTGGTGCGTAGGTGCATATTGGAGCATAGCGAGCAGCTTGGATTTGGTTGATGTGCGCATTGTAGCAACTGTTAGCCCAGGTTTTTGTAGAAGTGCAACTTCTATCCTTCCCATAGTCTGGACCAATCGTTGTGAGGTTTAGTGTGCTTACTCCGACCCCATGTAGTTGCTTTACAGTGAAAGGAATAGCTTAGACTACATGTAGATAACCACGACTCCTCCTCGGAGCAGACTCTTCTCAGCCTAATGCCGGTCAAATGCCATGAATGCTGATAGTTCTTCTCTACAGCCACGATCTCGACTACATACTATACGTCCTGAACAAGGTAGGAACGAGACAACTTCGCCCTCATCCCCACACCCTTGAACCGGCATTATCCACACGTAGAATCCTCCCGCTTACAACCATCCAACACAATGATATCAAGATGATAAGAAAATGCTAAGAATACGTCCTTGGTAAAGCTTACGCCCAGACGACGATCGCGCTCGGCGCTGCAAGCTAGTATCGAAAACCAACCACATCGCGTTGATCTCGACCTAGATCTCGACCTCGAGTGAGGGAATGTCCAGCCGCACATCTACATTCCCGCCCATGTTGCTTTCGAGTATAGATACGCAGTGTGTAGCTCAATCAACTCATCAGATACACGACCAGAATCCCAAGCATGGGACACACACAAGAGCAAGGGCGAAAGACCACACAGTGAATATATACAGATCTAAAAGCACACGTGAGAAAGACACGATAGCCGCCATCCATCCAGCCAGCCAACATATCCGCATACAAACCAGCCTAAAGCGGGGGCCAAAATCCTTCAGCCTTACGCCCTCCTACCTACCTTGGACGCCCTCCCCCCACCCCATCGCAAACCCTGACCTACGAGGCGTAGATCAAAGGACCATAACCCCAAACCCCGCCTCTGGCTCCCAACCCTGGCTGGCTGGATGGCCACAATCCCGTCGGTTGTACTACGCATGCGAGGCAAGCGAGGCCTGTGACGCTGGGGGGGATGTAACGCGGGCGGAATCGTGTGGGTGGCATACTAGGGGCTTGGGTCTTGGGTTGCAGGATGATGGAGGGGAAGGGCGTGATGTCGGGTTGGAGATCTGAACTGGGTTTGTGTGTTGGCGCTGGCTTGGGGTTCACATAGCCTACTGCGTGGGTGGGTAGATACTCTGTTCTACGTCTTTGTGTCCGTCTGCCCGCTTCCCGTGTAGCTGTTTCCCACGGGTTCATCTTCTGTTGATTAATTGATTGATTGATGTCCCATGCCCCAGGTTGTTGAACCCGCGGATTTCGCCCAATAGAACAGTGTTGTAGAGGGACGCGACTGGCTGGCCCGCGGAAGAAACCCTGATCGAAGCTCCTTCGCATCTCGTCTTAGACACGGAGGCGTTTCCAATCTCAAGGACCTGGGCGTGGGAAACCAACCAACCGACCAACCCGCATAGCACAATATGGCTCCGTCGTGGATCTCGAAACTAGCTGTGGGGTTGCTTGCTACCGCTGGCCTTCTTTCACCCGCTTCGGCTCAAACGTATTCAGATGGAAACATACAGACTCCATCGACTCTGGTATCGATCACATCACGCGCTTCTTCTGTGGCATCAGCGAGCGCGGCTGCGACAGTCTCAGCGGCTTCGAATGGAACGGCGAGCGAGCCTAAGGAACATTATATCAAGGTTGGGTCTGGAGGGTATAAGCTTGATCCGGATTCGATATCGAATGTGTCTGTGGGGGATACGGTGACGTTTGAGTTCTTCCCATCGGGACACTCTATCATACGGGCAGCGTATGGCAGCGCTTGCGTTCCATTCGAGTACACGGCACGTGATCGAATTGGGTTCTATTCGGGGCCGATGATGATTGATAAGGTATCAGATGTAAGCATGTATAGTCCGAACCCACTTCGGACGACTCACTCACAGCATGCAGACGGTACTCTGGAGCATAACCATCAACAGCACGGAGCCGATCTTCTACTACTGCGGCGCCGACACATCCTGCGACATCCAACTAATGGTCGGAGTGATAAACCCAAACAGCACGCAAACCCTCACGGCGCAGAAAGTCTACGCGCAGAAAGCAGACTGGAAGCTCATCCCCGGCGACCCCATCCCATCAGAAGGCCAATCCACACTCGCCATCCCCACATCAACACCCACAGCAACAGCAACAGCAGCAGCAACCCCCACGCCCTCGCCCGCCGCACACGCCCATGGCCTATCCAGCGGCGCAATCGCCGGCATCGTCGTCGGCGCCGTAGCCCTGCTCGCCATCTGCGCAGCCCTCTTCTTCTACGTCGGCCGCGCAAAGTCGCTGAAGGAAACTATCAAGCGCCAGGACGACGCCGCCGCCGCACGCGCTTCCGCAAACCCTGAGATGAGCCAGTATGGCCTTGGCTCGCCTGGTCTGCACTCCCCGTACGGATCGCCCGATCTGCGCCAGACGGACTACTACGGTAATCAGCTGCCTGCGTATGGGCAGTATCATGCGGCTGATGCAAGGGCGAGCGGGTGGACGAGCCCGTCTTTGGACCCGCAGCATGCGAGTGTTGGGTCGGGGTATGAGGGGTTGTCGCAGCAGCAGTGAGTTTTTTGTCCCGTGTAGCTTTTTTCGCTATGTGTCTGGTTGATTTGCTGATGTGTGTGTGCTAGACTTGATGAATTGAAACAGCAGCAGCAGATTACGCGGGTGGAATTGCATTCTCCGACGCCGGGGCAGGGCCAGTGGGCGCATGAGCTGGAGGCGGCGCGGGGGCAGAAGTAGGTGGGTGTTTTACGAGGATTGTTGTGTTGGTGATGGGCGTGGCGTTGTGGGTTGGTCTGTCGTTCGTTGATACCATGCTTCAAAAGGGGTGTCCTGGAGTTGTAGGGCCAAAATCATGACTTTGTCAGTTTCTCAATTACGAGTTAATGCCTGAACCAAGCTGGAACCAAATCTTGCAACAGCTTGACGACTGCATCCAAGATTAGTGTAGAACTTGTGTATACGCCCAACATGCCATTTTGTGAGATCGTTGTTGTTGTTTCGCTGCTCTTGGGCACCATGAAGAGGCAGTTTACTCCCACAAACTTCCAGGCACAGCGTTGGATATGCCCAGCTTCACGTTGGAATCATGATGTTGGACATGCGGAAGCTAGCGACAGATCATTGCCCACAGTCGGCTTCCCCCGAGGCATTTTCCCCGAGGCATAGGGCTGAGCTTTCTGGGCTTTGTTGGTAGCATCGACGACAATGCTGAGACGCAGCAGCAGGCGGGGACAGAGAATGCAGTGTGGAATGACATATACAGAGCAAAAACAAACTCCCTCAAAGTGACAGGGTCTGTATGCATGTGTCATGAACTTGTACGCGTCCAGACGTCGAGGTCGTATTTGATGGGCCCAATGGCCGCAGAGCCCTCAGCACGTTTCTCGTCGTCGGCCAAGCTTCGCTCACAATCATGGGCGGCGTCGCAGTTTCGTCGACGGTGCCACGCGAGCCGCCGCTGCCGTCTTTGCTGCTGATCTGCTGCCGCCGCTGCTGCTCTCGACTGTCTTCGATGCGCGGAATGGTGCTATCGCGCGACTGCAACGGGCACATCGCTCGCAAATCCATCTAGACCGCAGCCGCACCCGCACTCGCACCATCTCGCCCGTCGCCATGCTCGCCTCGTCGTCGCCGACCATCTCAGCGCCCGGCTCGCCCTCGACGACGTTCCACGCCCCCGCCCGCGTCTACCATGCCTCTTCGCGCCGCACCTCGACCTCGTCTGGCGCCCCGTCGCCCCGCTTCGTCGTGAGCAGCGCCAACGCCCGCCGCTTCGAGTCGCCGCACCTGTCCAAGCCCGCCATCGCCGCCCCGTCGCCCGTCCCCGCCTACTCGCGCTCCCCACAGAGCAGCAGGCGCGGCTACGTGGATGCTGGCACCCAGTACAGTCCCGCCGGCCTGCCCCCCACCTACCATCCGCCATCGCAGCCCAACCTGGCCGACACCGACAGCGCCCGCGCAGAGTCTGCACCGCTCGCTGCGCCTGCCGTCGTGGAGCGACCACGGGGCCCGGCCTCGCCTGCGCCGCCCACCACGGACCCGCCAGAGCCCACGGTGCGCGTCGACCCGCAACCCGCCACGCCCGCGCAGCATGCCCAGCCGCCGAGCCGCCGAATGTCTAGCGAGAGCACGCGCGAGGACCAGCACGACGCGCCGCAGAAGCAGCAACCAGCGGCGTCAGACGTCACCGACTCCCCGGCCAAGCGTGCGCGTCCCCACGAGCCCAACGTCAAGATCATGCCGCTGAAGTACGAGACGTGCAACGTCAAGGACCTGGGCGTCTTGGTCTCCGACATGCTCATGGAGCTGGTGCGCCTGAACGACGGCTATCCGCTGCGCGACGGCCAGCTCACGAGGTTCCATTCGAGGTGGGTTTCTTGACTGCCCCTGTGTGCGAGCATGCACTGACTAGACCTCCTCTCGCAGAGCTCCGCCCGGCATCTCCGTGCGCGACTACCTAGTGCGCCTGATAGTGCATGCCACGCTGTCTCCCCCGATCCTGCTGTCCATGGTATTCTACGTCGACAAGCTGTGCACCATGTACCCTGCCTTCACCATCAGCAGCCTCACCGTCCACCGCTTTCTCATCACGGCAGCCACCGTCGCAGCCAAGGGCCTCAGCGACAGCTTCTGGACCAACAGCCTGTATGCACGAGTAGGCGGTGTGAGCGTCAGAGAACTGGCGCTCCTCGAGCTGGAGTTTCTGAGGAAGCTAGACTGGCGCATCGTGCCCAAGCCAGAGGTGCTCGTCGATTACTACAAGGGCTTGGTCGAACGTGGATCGGGATACGTTATGGAAACGGGGCCAGAGCTGCCTTCGACGCCCAGTCGGGAACAGGTCCAATCGCCCACCGGATCAGCGACCGGCATTCACACCAGCCTATCAAGCACCTAGTTGCACGTGGAGCGACTACCACGCAGCATCACCTCTACGACACGCTTCTTTCCTATATGAATGTTGCGTTGTGTTGGTGCACGTGGCTTCTCCCAATATTCACCATGTGTAGACCATCATGCCTCCACTACATGGATGCATCGTGGTAGATTCTGTGTGGGCTCTTTGACCAGGAACATGTGCGAACAATGAGCTGGCGGACTTAGTCCAAGACGGGAAGAGGTACACGAGAGGCTGAAAACCATCAGACAGGTAGGGAGCCCGGCTCAAAGAGGCAAACATGTGCATTATTCGTTGATGGGCGCGATAGACGTGCATCTTGCAGACCCTAACGGTCCGGCTCGCTGCGGCACGCTTCCGTTTGGGAGAGCACCCTGCGTTGATAACAACGTGTGACAAACTGCCGGCAACACATGGCCTCTGCATAGGGGCCCGGAGGGAGAGTGCATGTTGGCTGGCTAGTGCAACGACGGACGACATGGCATGGCATGAGCGTGCATAAAGGCACGTAGGAGAAGATTGCATAGTAGCAGCGTGATTGGATACATGGTCGCAATGGCATGATAATATAACTTCTATTTTTTCATCGTCGTGGTGTTGTCCTGAGCATTGCGACATGGTCAAGCAGTTAGCTTCATGGTGAGTAACGTGGACGAATGATAGCATCGCACGAGCATTACCCCTGTCGTCGGTTGTACAGCATCCTAAGAGTGAGGCTAACTATCCACCTTCCACGGCTAGGTATTACTTGCATGGCTCGATTGCGAAGCTGCCGCGAGAACCGAGACGTCAGCGGCGATCAACCACAGCACGAGGGCTGTACATGCAGAATAGTCCATTGAAGCAGTGATTTGAACTTGAACTTGAAACCATTCTCTCCTCCCCATTGATAGCCGCTCTCCACACTCCACACTCTACCCCACGGCTCTCCTCCCGCGCTCGACGGACGGTGGTTTCTGGTTGCGATCGGCGGTTAGACGCGTACCGTCCCGTGAGACGGCGGCAGCGGCGCAATTGCAGCAATAACATGAGAGTGAGTGGCTGTCACGAGAGCTTTCCCAGCTCGCCTTCCATGTCTCTCGCTTGCTGTAGCCTCATGATGCAGTGCCCGTGTTTCGGTCGTGTTGCGTGCTGGACGAGTCCTCTAACACGCCCACCAGAGTCCTATGTAGCACACCCACCCAGCACTGCTATGCCCAAGACATGAACTCCGAATTCGCGTGGTGGGAGTTTAGCCAACACCAGTACGACCCGAACCCCAATCCAACCCCCAACCCAAACTCCAGCACACATTCACACTCGCATTCGTACCCGAACCAGAGTCCGAAATGGGGCGTGAGATACCCGGAGGCTCCGCACGCGCCCCCTCCCTTCACCTTCCCCGAGCAGCCTGTCGTGCGCCTGGCCGAGGGGTTTGGCCATCTGCAGCTGATCAAGGTGCCCAAGACGCGAACGAGCCCCGTGGTCACGAGGACGCGCATCACCCGCCATGGCTCCCAGCCCACGCCCATCCGCCCGTCGTCCAGCGGCGGGGAGATCAGCATGGCCTCACATCGCTCGCTTGCCCCGCCCCGCCGCTCCGAGTCGTACTCGCACCCCACGCCGCTCGAGGAGTTCCGCACCGCGAGACGCTGGCCGCCGCATGGATACCGGCCGAATGACGCGCTGAACCAGCACGAGGCTGACGACTTGATATGCGCGGGCGCGCTGACGTTCAGGGGCATATGCGATACCATCCCCAACGCGCCTGCGGGGTATGACCGCTTCTACGCCGTCATGGAGTCGGAGCACCAGAGCCGCACCGACCGCGCACCGTTCCAGCAACACGCGTACCGGGACATGTCGCTGAATGTGAGGGGTGCAGCGGACGGCCAGTTCCCATGGGGGTCGTTGGAGCAGCCGTGCATGGCGTACGCGTTCGGCAAGAGCGCAGGCACAACGACGCTCAACTACTGGGCTGGCAAGTCGGGGAGCAGCAGCCCGCCGACGCAGTTTGCTGCCGACGCGAAACCGCGCAAGATAAGGCTCCTGCAGATCCTGGACAGGCTGCAGACGCTCGAGAGCGGCCTTAATGAAGATGTTAGTGTGAAAACCCCGTCTCGCGACTGTTTTGTTTGGTCCATCTAACCTGACGTTTGGTCTGATAGGATCCAGAGGACGTGTATCAGTATTTGTACGGCACGCTTATCGAGAAACCCGAGCGCTTCGAGGATGATCCGGGCTTTGATATGGAGCAGCAGATTGCGGATCTCATAGCCGTCTTGACGAATTCGCGCTGGATCGACTTCTCCGTGCCAAAGAACCAGGTTGTCGCCAAGTTCTTCGACTCCCCGGATCAACACAAGAAGCAGGAGTTCTTCCATCAGTTGCTGCTGTCGGTGGAGCTCTATCTGCGGATACACTCTCGGGAGTTGGAAGGGAAGGCTAGGAAGAACCTCGTCAAGCAGCTTCCTTCCATCATTTCATGGGATCTGGCTATTGCACAGCGATGGCTCGACAATATGATGATCACAAAGTCGCGGACGTCTTCTACGCAGAGCACTTTCAGCTTCGAGCTGATGAGCAAGAAGAGGCAGAAAGAGGCGCTGAGGCTCTTTGCAGCGACACTCAAATGGCCAAACATGGACGAAGTCGAATACGTCCTCGAAGAACGCGACATGGAAGAGAAGGCAGTCGAAGACCGCTCGGCCGACGCCATGTCATGGTTCTCCGGTATCATCCTGCCTGGAAGAACGCTGCCATGGCTCATCATGAACAGCCTGATTGACTGCGACAGAGACACGAAGGAAGCTCTGAACCACCTAACTCACATGCAGCCTTCATCCGGCTTCCAGTACCGAGCAAACACGTACTGGTCTTCTCAGTGCATCGTTGGAAAGGTCCTCGGGGCTGCACGAGGCGTCAAGCAGATCGCAGGCTGGATCGGGCCGTGCATATACACTCCAGACCTCAAGCGCACTGAGTGCGTCAAAGTCAAGCAACTCGAGTCTGTCGATCCAAAGCTCACGCCCAGGGACGTGGAGTTTCTGGGAGAGCGATCACATCCTCTAGGTCCGACTGAGACGAGCTACCCAATAGATGACTACGAGGTACCGTTGCCAGACACCAAAAACGTCACGGACCTGATCAGGATCGAGAAGCTCAACTTCAAGCCTGCAAAGGACCAGCCGTCTTCCACTAGGAAGGTCTCCGGTTCGCCCCTGGTATTCGACGCATCGATCTTCTTTGCATTCGGAGGAGATACTTGGCCGATGAAACTGCGCTATGATGTCGATTTCATCAACGCGTTCCCCTGCCACCAGGGCCCTCACGGTAAGCAGACAACCCTCGAATCTCAACACCATTTTGCAAAACTGACTCGACCCAATAGTCCTCTTCTACGACTTCACCTACAAAGCCATCAAGATCGGCCAAGGCCTCGTCGACCTGCACGACTGGGCTCGTCAATCCGGACGCCACTCCCGGCCGTCATCCACACGCTCCTCGCCCAAGAAAAACGCCCTCGCCCTCCCCAACGAACACACCCGCACTGCCCACGAGCAGGTCACAAACGTGCTCGCCATCGAGGCCCTGGGCGTCAGCGACAACGAGGTCTTTGCGCGAGCGTGGTGCGCGCACCATGGCCTCAGCGCCATCGTGGCCAACATCAAGGAGACGTGCATGGCGTGTGCGATTCGAGAGGCGTATGCGGCGTGTGTGGCGGTGGTGATTCTTACCGAGGGGGGGAAGGAGAGGGAGAGCGATGAGGGCATTCCTGATATTCCTGAGTACATGTGAGGAGGTGTTGATGGTTTGTTTTTAGCATCTGTTGCATTGATGTTGTGTGTGTTTTTGTTTTGTGCTGCTTTGGCTAGGGTATGGGTATGTGGTGGTCATGGATAGGGGGAGTTGGTATGCGCATTTGTACTGTCTTATGGGGTTGGTGTTTTTTTGGCGGTCATGGGCGGGGTGGGATATGGATATGGATATGGATATGGGTGATGGATGGGATGGGATGGGATGTATCTTTACGCTCGCGAGAGCTTGGGACGGTCGGTCATGGCAAGGTAACGGTTACCGGTATGCTCAGGGTAGCTATGTGTTATGAATGTATGAATTAAGAATTTTGAACCCACTACAAATATGTTTGCAATCTCTGCCAGTCTTGCAGTCTGTATCACAGCCCGACATAACGATGATCGTCACAGCATATTGCGTGCAGATTCCTCGTCCCACGAACCACACATTGAGCAAAGCCCTCGCAGGTGATAGATAGCAAGTCACGTGGCGATAACCATAGCAAGAAAGTGACGTCTGAGTCGCTCAGCAGTGAAGCATGCGCTGATTCGCCAGCACCGCTCCCTCACACCCAACACACTGCCATTCTCCCAAAGAAGCAGCTTTACAAGCAAGAGCAAAAGCACTCATAACGTCTCTCAACCCCATTCATTCAATCGCCAGCTTGAACACTCGACTCCCAAGTACAGCGGCAAGCTTGAGTCTTGCGATCGACGTCTGAAAGCGGACATTTCCCCGCAAAGTCAAGTCTGGTTACAACATTTACCGTCCGCGCGACTCGAAGTCTATCCACCATCGAGCGCTTCCGTGCTACACACAACGCGACGCATATCCCTCCTATGCGGGTTCTCGTCTACGCGTAATACGCCCCTGCGTTCTGGTTAATCGTTCGGTCAATCGTTCGATTGCAGCACTCGCTCGCACCACTCGTATACTCGCTCTCACGCGCTCGCACCACCATTACTACATTACAACATGGGCCGCTCGATCATCCCGCCTGCGCTCGCGGAGCTCGCACACCCCAGCACACCGGAAGCACAGGTCACCGCGCTGCGGAACCTGAAGAACGAGGTTGTTGGGCATGAGCAGAGGAAGGAGTTGGCGGTCACACATGGAGTGGTAAGGCCACTTGCGAGGCTGTTGAGGGTTGAGGCAAGGCGAGGGGGGAAGAGGAGGAGAGGCGGGGATGGGGCTGGACGCGGTGCGGAGTGGTCGACTGAGGACGAGCTGAGGTTTCAGGCTACGCTCGTCGTGGGCAGTCTTGCGAATGGTGAGTGAATGGGTGGGTGGGAGGATGCTGTTCTTGGGGTTGGCTGACTTTTGGAATTGTCTAGGTGGACCGGCGTTTGTTGCGCCGCTGCTCAAGGGTGGTGTGCTGCCGCCGTTGCTGGACGCGCTGAATCCGGCTGAGACGCATGAGAAGCTCGTTACGACTGCGCTGAAAACACTGAGTCAGATTGTCGATGCGGGCGCGCAGGAGAAGACTTGGCTGGATGCCACGGGGGCTTCGTCGCGGTCGTCCGTGTCGGCGGCGGTTGTCGAGCATATCTACACGAAGCCTGTCATCGAGAGCCTGGCGGAGATACTGGCGCAGTTGGCAGGGACGTCGAACAGCAACCAGCAGATCTACCAGGTAGTCGGTCTCATAGTCAAGACATGTCGACAGAACAATCACAAGAAGATGCTGGTCGATGCTGGGATACTGGAACTTCTGGCTGACAAGCTGGTGGGCATCGCTGCGTTCGACGATGCTGTTCCAAAGGCCAAGACGAAACAATCATATCGCGATCGAACACCGACTAGGTTCCTGCCTGATGTACTGGACGCCATATCGGCTATTATAAGGGACTCGCACTTTTACACAGCGCGGTTCCTCTACTCCCAGCCAATACAGCAGCTCTTTGGGTGGCCAAAGGAGCGCACCACAACCGCATACGACAATAGTGCTTCACAGTCCACATCATGGGACAGACTAATACCACGCGTGCAGACCATGACGAGTAAATCAGATCCATATACCAAATCCTGGCCCGCTCTGGGTTCCTACACCAACGCAAGTGGAGACAGAATCGCCTCGGACGATCCCCTACCAAGCCTAGGCTCACTACAACAGACCCCAAATCGCAGCGTCATAACAGACGAGTCAGAGTCTTCGTTGTTCATCTGGCTCGTGTATGTGGCGCGTCGGGGCGAGGGAAGAGAGCGCCTGTCCGCCTGCTGGCTCCTCGCGCTGCTGAAGAAATTCGGCGAGAGATGGCCGCTCAATGACCCTTCCAAGACGACGCGCGAGCGGCACTTTTCGTACCTGGTTGTTCCGCTCGTGGTCAAGATGATTGAGGAGTCTAGTCCGACGTCGGAGCAGTCGAAGAAAGCGTATGCTCTTAGTCCGCTGGCGAGGGAAGAGACGCGGATTGTGCTGGAGCGGTCACCGCTTGTTCTGGCGGAGCTGGTGGCGGGCAACAAGGCGCTTCAATCCGCGGCGGTGGATGCTAAGATCCTCCCTACGCTCGTGCAGATTCTGAAGAAGAGTTTCGAGGCCGTTACCACGTCGTCGAAGCCGCTGTGGCAGCCTAGGTCGTCGGCGAGTGCGTTTAGGGATTCGAGTGTTGATCCTGCGTCCTCGACGTTGGGCAGACCTGGGCTCAACGCAGATACACTGCATGCTTTTACGTACAGAGAGAATGCTCTGCTAGCTCTAGCTGCTATCGTCGGAGAGCAAGATGGCCTGAGGAAGATTGTCATTGAAATGGGCGCTGTTGCTCATATTGTTGAGTCTTTGGTCCCGTACTCTGAGGGTACTGAGAATGCGGCCTCGACAACAAAGAAGGGCGGGAACCCCGAGACGGTGCTCATCGCGGCTTGTAAGGCTACGCGCTCGCTGTCAAGGTCGGTCAGTGTGCTTAGAACGAGCCTTATCGACCATGGCATTGCTCAGCCGATTTTCGATCTTTTGACGCATCATAGCGTCAATGTACAGATTGCGGCTACGGAGGTTATTACGAATTTGGTGCTGGAGTTGTCGCCTATGCGTACGGTGAGTGGATTGCGAGCTCTTCTTTCATATATCGATTCTAATACAGTGTGGTAGGAGATCATCGAGGCTGGAGCTTTGAAGACTCTTTGCGAGCATTGCCGGTCCGCAAACTTTGACCTCCGATTGATCAGCCTGTGGGCTCTGAAGCACATGTGTCTGGGTCTGCCGTATGCCATGAAGATTAAGTGTCTGGATGAGCTCGGCGTCGGCTGGCTTGTGCAGGTACTGAACGGTGAACCCACCAAGCCTACCATGGCTACGCCAAATGCCGCCGGTGAGCAAGTCGACATCCTCAACGCCGTCGATGAGCCACACATGGACGTCGACGAGGAGCCCTCGTCCGACGAAGAAGACGAAGACACAATGGCAGACAGCATCCCATCTATGCGCCGACACCAACGCCCAGGATCCCGCTACACAAGCGCGACAAACATCCGCGACCGTCTCCAGCAAATCCGAGACGACGAGCAGGACTCGCGCCTCAACAGCGAGCGCGAGGACATCCGCATCCAAGAGCACGCCCTCGACTTCCTGCGCAACTTCATCACCGAGGAAAAAGCCTCAGGCGACATGATAGACCACCTGCTCAAAACCTTCGGCCACACGCGCTTCTTCGAACTCATGGACGCCAAACTACGCCCTAAAAACACTCCCTCATCAACAACAACAACTACAACAGCACCCTCACACCGCCTCTCCTTCCCCCCAGCCCCCACACAATCAACCCCCTCCTCTCCACCCTCTTGGTCTGCCTACCCCGCCCCCGAACTAATAGAAGCCGCCACCTTCGTCCTCGTCCACATCGCCAATGGCCGGCCCTCGCACCGCCACCTCCTCATCTCCCAAACCCCGCTCATGCACCACCTCCTCCCCCTCCTCACCCACCCCCGCCGCCAGGTCCGCCTCGCCTGCGCCTGGATGCTAAACAACCTGGTCTACGTCGAGGACCACTCCGACGAGCCCGCCGCCCGCGAGCGCGCCCTCAATCTGCGCCACCTCGGCTTCGAAGACGGCGCGCGCGTGCTGGGCCGCGATGTCGATCTGGATATTAGGGAGAGGGCCAAGACGGCTATCGATCAGTTTGCTAAGTTATTGGGAGGGACGGGGGCTGGTGCGGGGGCGGGGGGGAGTAGTTTTGCGGTGGATGGTGCGCTGGGTAGGTTGAGTGGGCTGCATGGTGGGTGGAGACATGATTCTAGGTAGGTGGGTGGGTGGATGACGGGCTTGTGTGTGTATGATTCTGCGACCGGGGGTTGTTCTTTTGGTGTGTATGTGTGTGGCGTATTGTATCAAGTATGAATTGGGGGGTTTCAGGTCTGAGGGCCTTGGGGGGTTCGGAAAAGTATTCTTTCAATGGGGAAGTAAGCTGCAGCGAAATCTTAGTGCACCTGGACAACTACATGCTAGGTTTATGTGAAAACTTGTGTGCCTTAAGTCTCCTTGTATGCGCCTCGCTGACTTTCACCTGTTAGTATCTGTCCAGTCTCGTTGTTAAGTTTGCATTAGCTGTGAGAAGAACATACCTTGATTTTACAGGTATTTCGACTAATGAAGTGCTTCTTCCTCTTCTCACGTAGAGCACTCGCGGCCAATCAAAATACCAGGAACCATGGCGCAGCAAAATCTTGCAATAGCCTGACAACTACAACTAACTTTAGTGTAGGAATATTGTGCTAGAATTTCAAGCTGTATACGCCTTGTATGCACTTCAACAAATTTTAAATGTGTAGTTTTAGGGCCTGTAGGAGCCACAAAGGATGAACGCCGTCACGAACATAAGTCATATAATGAACAGGAAAAACGTTGTCTTTGCATGCAAGATAGATTACACGGGTCCGTCCAAGCATCCACTCGTAATCCCACGTTTTGAGGTATATCTTTTGTACAAAGTGAGACTACCAGCGACTGCCCTCGACGTGATAGCCGACTCTCATCTCTCGCCCACCACAACTCGCGTCTATGACTTCTCAAGCTCCGCAAGAATCTTCTCACCCTTGGCACGCGCCGATGCGATGTCACCGACCATGTAGAAAGCACCTGTGCAATGTCAGCTTTGCTGTGTTTGTAGTGTGAGAATGGACAAAACGTACCCTCGGGAAGGTCATCACCCTCACCGTTCAGGATAGCCTTGAACGATCGGATGGTCTCCTTGATGTCGACAAGCTGGCCCTCGATACCTGTGAAGACCTGGGCGACAGCGAAAGGCTGGCTCAAGAACCTCTGGATCTTACGGGCACGCTCGACGGTAAGCTTGTCAGCTTCCGACAACTCGTCCATACCCAAAATGGCAATGATATCCTGGAGCGACTTGTACTCCTGGAGAATCTGCTGGACACGGGACGCGGTGTCGTAGTGGTCGTCACCGATAACACGGGGATCAAGGATACGGGACTTGGAGTCGAGGGGATCGACGGCGGGGTAGATACCCAACTCGGAGATACCACGGGACAAGACGGTTGTGGCGTCCAAATGGGCGAAGGTGGTGGCAGGAGCGGGATCCGTCAAATCGTCAGCAGGCACGTAGACGGCCTGGACGGAGGTAATGGAGCCCTTGGAGGTAGTCGTGATACGTTCCTGCATGATACCCATGTCGACGGCGAGGGTGGGCTGGTAACCGACGGCAGAGGGAATACGACCAAGCAGAGCAGACACCTCGGAACCGGCCTGGGTGAAGCGGAAAATGTTGTCAATGAAGAGCAACACATCCTGACCCTCTTCATCGCGGAAATACTCGGCAACCGTTACTGTAGTTGTCAGCGACCCATTTTTCGAAGCATTTAGGAAATATACATACGTCCAGTAAGGGCGACACGGGCACGGGCACCCGGGGGCTCGTTCATCTGACCGAAGACCAAGGCGACCTTGGAGTCACCGTCAAGCTGAATGACGGAAGTCTCCTGCATCTCGTGGTACAGATCGTTACCCTCACGGGTACGCTCACCGACACCAGTGAAGACGGAGAAACCACCGTGGGCCTTGGCGATGTTGTTCTGCGGCGCTGTTAGTTTGCGCGTGGGTGGCGGTCTTGCGGGGTGCTTACAATCAGCTCCTGAATGAAGACGGTCTTGCCGACACCGGCACCTCCGAAAAGACCAATCTTTCCACCACGGGCGTAGGGGGCCAACAGGTCGACGACCTTGATACCGGTAACGAGCACCTCAGCAGAGGTCGACTGCTCGGTGAACTCCGGAGGATCGGCGTGGATGGGAGCGTACTTGGTAGCCTTGATGGGACCACGCTCGTCGATGGGCTCACCAGTGACGTTCATGATACGACCAAGAGTGCCGTGGCCAACGGGGATCTTGATGGGTGCGCCAGTGTCGGTCGCCTTGCCACCGCGGACGAGACCCTCGGTACCTGCAGAGCCCGCAATCAGCCTCTTGCATGGCAGCAATGTCCAGTCGAGCTGACTTACCGTCCATGGCAATACACCTGACAATGTTCTCACCCAAATGTTGCTGCAGTCTGTCAGCCATGCGGTCCCGTGGCTAAATCCTTGGCGTCCTTACCGCAACCTCGAGGACGAGCTTGTTGCCTCCATTGTCTGTGTTCAAGGCGTTGAGAATGGCAGGGAGCTGCTCGCCGTCGAATTTGACTGCAATCCATCGTCAGCGGCCGTTTTCCCCATGTGAGCTGCGCTGGCTCGGACAGCGCTCGAATAGCCGGTAGCGGAAAAGTTTTTCGCAGCGACCACGAAGACGAGGACAATAAACATAAACACACCATCCACTACGGCACCAATGACCGCGTGTATCTTGCCCTCGTTGGCGGTGCCAGTGCTGGCATAGCGGGACAGTGCCGGCGCGACGCCGCTCCTGATGGGGTTGAAGGCGCGCTGGATGGGCGTAGGCCTGAAGGCGGCCGTACGGAGGGACCGCTGGAATCTAAAACAGATCATCAGATTAGCACTCCAGTCATCATCAATTGGTTCCAGCAGGCGTCCAACTCACCCCTTCAGCATCTTGTGAGGTGTTGAGAGAGTTGTGGTTGGTGGGAGAGAGGGTTGTCGAGGTGGAAGGTGCGAAGCTGTCGTACTGGTAGAAGAACTGGAAGATGGCCCGAGCGCACTCCACAGACGCTAGCATATACTCCCGACCACACACAAGAGCACGACAAGACTATTACATTGGCTCTAGTTCAATTGGAAAGTTGCTGTGTATCCTCCTTGGTTACCCTTGGAACCGATTACACAACCCATCTTGACCTGTATCGCAAACATGATGTCTGGTAGCTACATCATACGTCAACCAATATACCCCTCCAATGTTCCGATTCGCCCCGACATTCATCACATCGACCAACCAGTAGACCAACAGAGCTAAACTATAAGACTGGAAAGTATGAGTGAACACAGGTATCGGACGTATACAGGTGGCTTTTGGCCAGCACAAGTTCCACGAGAATTTTGCATGTAGTTGTCCAGCTGTCGCAAGATTGTACTGCAGCTTGGTCTTAGGAGAAAGCTGCCACGATGGCTACGAAGACGTCTAACAACCTATCATCAAAAAAATTGTCAAAGGAGGTATTCGATTTGCTTGTAAGATTGTCTTTAGATATCACTTTGCATCATTCGGCGCCAGCTGAAGAACACAGAAAGAGCAGAAGAGTCCTCATAGATAGGAATAAGACTCACTAGCAAAACGCAAGATTCCAAACCTTGACAAATACCGCAAGTTTACAAAAGAAGGTTGTTACATCAAATTCATGGATGTAGTTGTCCAGCTCGTTGATTCTCTAGAGACAACTTGGTTCCTCATGATTCTGTTAATCAGTGAGTAGGTGAGCATCCACTACTCCCAGTCAAACACAAGAGCCGAAAGTAAGCTGCAGAAATCGTTTGCACCATGTTGACAACTACAAACGAATTTAGTCAAGAATTGCGGTCCTTGATTACTCTAGGTATACGCCCAACTTGGTCCATATCGTCGCACTGGATTTGGCGTCATCCATCAAGGGCGAGACACACCGCAGAACACACCACCAGGATCAAGGCATTTGGGGAACGTTCTGAGGATAGAAACGCACATCCTTATAAACAGAGAAAAGGCCAACACTCCTCCAGAGGATCTCCAATTTCTAACCAATGATACCTCAAGATTCAATACTCTATATACCTATTCAGACCAAGTCTCTGGCACTCGAACTTCCAAATCTGCGGAGCGCAACTGCTCTACTCAGTCATACCGACATGACCAGCCTTGTGGCTCTCGGGGAATGCGATCTCTTGCACAAACACATTGAACTGGGCCGCAGCTCCATAGTCTTGTCTTGTCTTGTCTTGTCTAGTTTAGTATCTGGGAGAATCCTTACGAGTATCCAGGGACAAGTCGACAACCATCAGGCGTCAAGCAAGACCCATTCGAAAGGTTCTTGCTGCGCTCAAAGTTAATACCAATCCTAATCACACAAACATACTCAAGGTTTACGATGTATCGCCTGTTTTTGGTACATCTCCGGAAGTATATAAATCTCCAAATCAACATTTCACTCAAGGCTTCCTTGAACATTACATGTACTATGAGCGCATTTCGACGCATCGAGGCTGACATACACTTTCTGAACAGACTTTTGACCTGTTTGGTATCTGATAATGGCCTTGATATCATGACGGGATCAATCGGAGGAGGGTGGGCGGCGACGAAGGTAGTTTCCAAGCAGAGATTTTTGGCTTGGACATTATGAATTGCAACATGAATCTGAAATCTCAACTACGAGAAAGTGGTTGAAAAGGTGTGAAACTATATAACTCATCCTAAGTAGAACTAGACTTAATGTAAATATTTGTTCAAACTAATGTGCCGTATACAATGTTCGGGTAGTAAGTCACAATAGCCATGATGTCGAAAGCGGAATAGCAAACGACCGAAAGATACTAGACACGAGTTTAGCCCAAGTACTCTACCAAAACAGTTGTAACATATACATCTACACAACATCATGTTTTCATTCGTTTTTCATCATACATTGCCACTATTATTCTCAGTCTACCCGGCGAAGCATGCAGTTCTTCCAGAATCGTGCGACACCTGCCTGCACATCACCTCGTCCAAACTCGTTATTCATGTTTATCTACAAGGTATTTTCCAAAGCCAAGACCTGAAACTCAAGATTAGCAAAACGTCAAAAGGTTCACTGCAAAGGGGAGTGACTTACAATCGCAGTCCTCGACGGAATGTACACCTGCACAAAGTTCCTCCTCTCGTTCCACGCAAATGGCGTAGTGAAGAACCTCGTGCTCTCATCCACGTTGCCATGCCCGCCGAAAGACTTGCTATCAGTGCTGAGCACAATCTTGTACGTGCCTTCCTGCTCCACGCCGACGCGGTAGTCGGTGAAGCTGCTTTGAGGATGGAAGTTGAAAATCCAGAGGAGCCCGGCGCGCTCAAACACGATAACCTTGTCGACTTCATGCTTCAGACTAACGTAGGCTTGCGGTGCGTGCAGCCAGCCGTATTTCTCTTCCGTCCACTGCATCTTGCTGTCAAACTCGTTGAGAAATTTGTATCGAAGTAGGTCATTGTCAACAAGGTTGAATTGTCGCCGTGCGTAGTGGAAGCTGTTGCCGTTGCCTTCTCGCGGAAAGTCTAGCCATTCTGGATGGCCAAACTCGTTGCCAATGAAGTTCAGGTAGCCCTCGCCTCCCAAGCCGTGGGTGATCAGTCGGATCAACTTGTGGAGAGAAAGGCCTCTGTTGATGACGGGTGTCAGTTCTGATTCGCGCGACATGTTGGTGTACATTTCAGCGTCACACAGCCAGAATAGCAACGTTTTATCGCCGACAAGCCTGTCGTCTGTTAGCTTTGGACGCAGATGCGAATGTTCTCACGTACGCTTGATCGTGGCTCTCAGCATATGCGATCGTCTTCTCGCCATATCTTCGGTTGGTCAGGGTGAAGGCAAGGCTGCCCATATCCCAATCAATGTCCTGCTTCTCCTTCAACCATTTGATGTAAAGGTCGGGAACCGCCATCGCCAGCCTGTAGTCGAAGCCAACGCCGCCCAGTGACAACGACACACAGAGACCAGGCATGCCAGACACGTCTTCGGCGATGGTAATGACGTCGGGGTAGAGTTGGTGTAGCAACTCATTGGCGAGCATGAGATACACTACAGCCTCCTCATCGACACCAGGGCCGAAGTACTCGTGGTAGCCGCCAGAGAAGCCCCTAAATCAGGTTAGCAATTTTCTCGATCCAAACAAGACTGCTACTTACGTTCCAATACCGTGATGGGTGTAGAGCATGCTGGTGACGCCGTCGAAGCGGAAACCGTCAAACTGGTACTCTTCCATCCAGAACCTTAGATTGCTAAGGAGGAAACGCATCACCTCGTGGCTGCCGTAGTTGAAGAGCCTGCTGTCCCACAGTTCGTGTCGCCCCCTTGTACCTTCGTGGAAGTAGAGGCCGTCGCTGCCATCGAAGTGGTTCAGGCCATCGAGGACGTTCTTCGACGCATGGCTGTGTACAACGTCCAGCAGAACAGTGATGCCCATGCCGTGCGCAGTGTCGATGAGCTCCTTAAGCTCGTCAGGGAAGCCATACCGACTGCTCGCCGCGAAGAAGCTGTTGATCTGGTACCCGAAGCTTGCGTAGTAGGCATGCTCCATGATAGCCATCAGCTGGATGACATTGTATCCCAGATGCTTGATTCGCGGCAGTATGTTCTGCGTGAACTCCTTGTAGGTCGCAACCTTGGGATCGGGAGAGGCAATGCCAACATGCGCTTCGTAGATTCGCGCGCTCTTCGGCTTGGGAGGTCGCTTGTTCTTGAAGACGTACTTGTGCGGGGGGTTCCAGAAGCGCGCATCGTAGACGGGGGAGACGTTGAGGTCTTGCGTGACTCGACCGATCCACGCTGGTAGGCGCTCCTGGCGAGCATGGTCGTTGGGCACAACGAAGGAGATCTGCACCGTCTAATCAGTTTTGTTCCATTCTTGTACCATGCAGTAAACACACCTTGATCTTGGAGTCGTGGGGAATGGTTGGCTTGCCGTCCTTTCCAGGCACTGTCACTTCGAAGACGCCAAACTCGTTCTTGGTCATTGGCGTCGCGTCGCGGTTCCAGCCATTGAAGTCGCCGATGAGGTATGCTCGCAGGGCGTTAGAAGCCCATTCGCGGTACACGACGTCGCCGTTCTCCTGGACATGGAAGCCAAACTTCTCATAGCCCTGTGGTGTGTTAGTCGCGCAGCTGCTCAGTGTCAATTGGGGTCGCTTGCTCTCGAGAACTTCTCCAGTCCACCTTCCGTCTCGTCAATTCTCTTGATCCAGTTCTGCGCCTTTGAAAAGCGGCTCTGCAGCGCGCCCTTGAAGGGCTCTAGGTAGCCGTCGAGCTGGATGATGCCTGGGAGCAGTCAGTCAGCTGGTACACGGACGCCCGCCAGCACCCCAGAAGACTCACCAGTCCCGTCGTTCGGAATCTGTCCCGGCGCATTGCTGGTCACCGAGTTTCCTGAAGCGTCGTTGAGCTCCATGGTTGCGAATGTCGAAGGGAGGGAGCGCGGTGGAGCCTGAGGTTTGCTATCAGGCGAGGTGTTTGCAGCAACGGCAGGGCAGGATGCAGGACGGCTTTTAGTCAAAAGGCCGCAAGCTTGCGCTCAGACATAGACAGCGCAGCAGAAAAGTCATGATTTGCGGGGTCGTGCCCCAACTGCTGAGCTGCACCGCTCAACCAAATGTCATGTTTGGACTCAACGTCATAGCGCGCCTATCGCTATACAGCATCGCGCCCACGCCACCTGCCCAACAACGCGTATCGCAACATCTGGCGCAATTGGCGCCTCCATCTGCTGGAGCGTCGCCCTGCTTGTGTGCGCGTCACTGCAGAGTGCGAGTGCGAGTGAATTGTCTGGCTGGTGGAGCAGAGGCATCGCATCGCGGCCTGAGTGGGGAGCTCTTATCAGAGGCGGGCAGGCCTGGGGAAGCGGGCGGGGCAGCAGCTGTCACGTCGGTCAATGCGGAGAGCTCGCGACTCACCCTTCCCCAGCGCCACTCGAGCCACGGGAGCCGTCCTAGCGCCTGCGACACCTGTCTCACTCTCGCAATGCAGACATGCACGCGACTGCCATCCGCTCGCCATGATACCAGTTGCACGCACCCTCCGCGCCGCCGTCTCCCCGCAGGCCAGGGCCTCCTACCTCGCCCTCTACAGCATCGGACGCGGTGCTCGCGCCCTCTCCACCCGCAGCGCCCTCCGCTCCTCGTACAACCGCTCAGACTTCAGCGGTCAGGGCTTCACGTCCCTGTATGAGACTGATCAGCCGACACGGGGCCCGCTCGGCGGCACGTCCAGCGTGGGGGCGAGTCTCATCACACCCAAAGGGCTGAAGCAGCACCTGGACCAGTTCGTCGTCGACCAGGAGCGCGCAAAGATCGTGCTGAGTGTGGCGATCCATGAGCACCATCTGCGCGTGCAGGAGCTGCGGCGGCAGAAGGAGGATCAGGCCAGGCTGGAGGCGCAGGCCCAGAGGAGGGCGTCCGTGTATAGGCATCCCGTAGAAGGTAGCTCCAGCTCTCCTTGTCTGTCTCTGTGCCGTGATAAGCGTGTCTGTCTCTGCTGGGTCGTGACTGAACAAGACAGATGAGTTCCCAGGCCAGCAGGCGACTGTAGAAATGTACAACCACCACGAGCCCTCTCCGTACCACGAGTCTCACTCTCATGCACACACGCCCTACAACCATCGAGTAGAACCTGAGCCTTTGTTGGATACAGTCGCCACGCCAATCCGATTAGACAAGGCCAATGTGCTTATACTGGGGCCTACAGGTGTGGGTAAGACGTTGATGTGCAAGACACTGGCAAGGTCTTTGGGCATCCCCATATCCATGTCCGACTGCACGACCTTCACGTCAGCTGGGTACATTGGCGATGACGTAGAGCAGTGCGTACACCGCCTCTTCACAGCTGCGAACCACGATATTGAGGCTACAGAGCAGGGCGTCATCGTGCTGGACGAGATAGACAAGATTGCCAACGCAAAGGTGTCGCACGGCAAGGACGTCGGAGGGGAAGGCGTCCAGCAAGCCCTGCTCAAGATCATCGAAGGCACCACCGTACAATGTCGAGCGAAGCCAGAGAAGAACGCAGGACGAAGTCCTGGTGGCCTGTCGGGTAGCAGCGGTGGTTTATCAGGAGGCCCAGGTGGCAAGGAAGAGATATTCAACGTGAGAACCGACAACATCCTGTTCATCTGCACCGGCGCATTTGCCAATTTACACAAAATTGTACTCGACCGGAAATCCATGGGCGGCATGGGTTTCGGCGCGTCGATCCGCTCATCCAACACGCACGCAGCTGCCGACGGAGTGATGCTGAAAGGCGCCGATGCCCTCATATTCAAGAAAGACTCACCCTTCTTCGTCCCACCCGAGGCAGAAGACCAAAATCCCGTCATTGCAACCAAGCGAGAAGACAAAGTCAACGTCCTCGACCACGTGCAACCCTCCGACCTGCAAAAGTACGGCATGATACCCGAACTAATCGGTCGAATACCCACAATGTGCGCCGTATCGGCTCTGGACGAGGAAGCGCTGGTCCGCGTTCTCACAGAGCCAAAGGACAGCCTCCTCCGACAAGAAGAGCACAAGTTCTTCCTTCGGAACATCGAGCTGCGCTTCACCAGTGGCGCACTGCGGGAAATCGCTCGGAAGGCGAGTAAGATGGGCACGGGTGCTCGTGGTTTGCGGCACGTTGTCGACCAGTTGCTTCTGCAGGCCAAGTATGAGACGCCTGGTAGGACTTTCCCCCCCTCCTGGCTTGTTTGAACTGATGACTGATTGATGCTAGGTTCGACCGTCAAGCACATCCTCGTGACACAACATGTGGCTCTTCTGAAGTGTGCACCTGTGTACTTCTACAGAGGGCAATCCATTGCGTTCCAAGACATGGTCGCGCAGGAGGAAGAGCGGTGGGATGAAGAGGTACGCAGTAAAGAGGATGCGTCGATTAACCACGTCACCACGCTCGAAGAATACAGGAAAGCTGGGGCGGCGGGTAGTTAGAGCAGTCGTTTTGTCTTGTAAATATTCGCCCCTTCTCTATCGTGAAATCTGATCACCGTAGCGGATTCTGCACGTGTACGCCTCTATGTGAATTGTCTATATTGGGATATTCATTAACTTGCGTGAGAACTTAATGTCCCGAGATGTTGCCTTCAGGTCGCGGCTGTAGCATACATAAAATCCATATACAAATCAATCAAGATACCAACAACAATCATACACTGCTCATTTCGGCCTTCTCTACTGCCTATCACCTCCAAGAAACACCGTACTGGCCAAGATATGCGCGTGTGCCCTGCGTTGCTCTTATAGCTCATCGATAGAGGACGCTTATAGATAGAGGCTCTCGGGACTCTCCATCTGTACGAGTGGGTATGATGGGGTGTGTAGTACCGCAGAGTGGAAGGAAGTTGGAAGGAAAGCTCGTGACGCGAATAGTCAGTGTCCAATACCTGCGTAAAGAGTAGATTTTAGTATGTTGGCAATTGTTATTTTGGGGTTATAGCGTATTCATGCTTGTTGTGCAAGCAGATAGACGCAACACAGTTAAAATCTAGTATGGTAACATAATGTAGAAGCTAATACCTAGCCCCTTTGCACATAGTAAGCATTAGTAAGAGTACACTGTAATAGTAACAGAGAGCTAATTAACTGTCACTTAAAAACTAGCTGCTGAATGTATTAACGCGGACGCGTGTTCAACAGCCCAGGCAGTAATCGAAGATTGGTTCGGCTTTGGGTCGTGAACCGTGGTTGAGTCGGGAAGATTCTTCAATCGACCAGTAATCCTGAACACATAACCAGGGCGTATGTTGGCAATACACGTCAACGCAGCTTCCCAATATTCACAGGTAGACAACCTCACATCAGCAAGCCATATAGTTCGGTATTTTTTCTTCATTGAGCTGTCTATAGTCGGTCTATCCTCGCGGAAATCCTCGGTCATGCAACAGTGAGAAAACCAGAGAAGAAAAAGAAAAAGTCTAAAGTGGATTAAAAGTATTTTACCTCTGAAGGTCAGTCAGTCTATTTCAGAAAAAAAGAAGACTATGCGATGCCGCGTAGAGAGAAGAAAGAAAGAAAAGAGAAAAAGAAGAAGAATAAAAAAATGTTGGGTTCGCTTTTTTTTGCATAGCATATCAAACAGCGTTTACACGCTTTGCAAAGCTCATCGCCTCGTGAATCCCGATAACCCAATCGTCCCGTTTGCATGATCCAAAATAATGGTCGGTATTCCCAAAAACGCCCACCCAAATGCCTCTTATAACTCCGTGTTCGTAATTCGTGCATTCATATACAATGGCATGGTGTCTTACTCTTCAAAACCATCTCCCACAAAAAAGGTAGTGTTGGTGCGCATGCGCTTGCTTATTGTACCGCCTTGGTCCCACGATGGAGAGGCCGGTCGGGAAGTAGCGCGTGATGGGGGTTGTGACGCGAATGTTTGGTGATGCGAGGGACTTGGCTGCGTGTAGTTGTAGTTGAAATGCTGGCTAAAAGTGTCCATGGAGTGGGGCCGGTGCAGTGCATATCCAACCTGGGGCGGAACCTGATCTGTTGGACTCATCATCGGGGTGTTGTAATAGCTGCTCTGGTGACGTTGATGGCTGGCATATGTTGGAGTTTGAGCTGGGGTGGGAATGGCAGAAGCTTGAATAGTGGTTGGAGAGAAGACCTGCAGCGGAGCTTGATAAGGCGTCTGAGGTATTCCAGAAAGATCGACGTTCCGATTGAACTGTAGATCGCCTGGCACCATTGAGTTCTGGAACTGCGACAAGAGCGGGGTAGTTGGTTGTGAATATGGATCGAAAGCGTTGGTGTTGTATTGGTAGACGGGAACCACGTTAGATGCGTACTGCGTTGGCACGAAGACCTGCTGCGGTTGGGTGGGTTGGGTTTGAATCAGCAAAGGAGCCGATATGACCTCGGTCGACTTCTTTTCCTTGTGATCGTCCGTAATGTGTATGATCTCCGACATGTGCTGGTGAAGCACATTCTCTTGTGTGTCGCGCAGGGTGAAGATGATTCTGTAGCCACCTGGAGACTTCTCCTCCTGATGCCTACAGTAACACACAATTCGCAAAGCAAAATCCACCTTTTTGGCCAATGGGGAAAACTTGGGATCTGAAGAATTCATTTCCTGAACCTCTTTGAATTCCTTCTCGTTGATGGTGATGATGCGCTCATCCGCGTATCGTTCCCATTCATCTTCCTCTTCTTGAGTGCGCTTCTTCTTTCGCTCAAAACGCTTCGCCTCGCGTGCCTTGCAGCCATCGCAGATGAGGACTGCACCGCCATTCACTGGATGGCACACGTCGTCCTTGCTGATATCAGAGATGGCGACCCCTGCTGGTCTACGATGAGTTTTGGCTTCACCCCGGGCGCGTCGAAGCGCGAGTTTCATTTGGTCCGGCGAGTCCACTGCAGTAGCCAGGACAAGACAGATATCCAGACGGACGGTGCTGCCATGTGCTTCGTTCTCTCTGGCCTCTGCATCAGTCGCTAACTGCTTTATCCTAGCGACGTTTGGACGGGGAAAGCGGAGAAAGCGGACATGATCTGGAAGAGGGTCCAAATGAATACTTGCTTTGATCTGGGTTTCACAGCGGATCCTAGTTTTGTCGAAAGAGGTTGACATGTGGGGCGGGTTTATAGATTGTGGAATGAGGATAGCATCTGGTGTTTCGGATTGTGACATGCGAGAGGTGTTCTGTCGAGCCGGTATGGCATGAGTCGTCTCGGGCGAGTTGGTTTGACTGTGTTCCTGAGCGAAGTCCCGTGGTGAGTTGGCGTTGCTGAATATGGAAGGGTCTGCGTTGGGGGAGGATGTGTTTGATGCCTGTGAGGAGGGTGAAGTCTGGATAAAAGCGTCAATGTCGACGTTGTGATGGCCATCCAACTTTGAGCGCGTGTACGTCTGGTGTGGGGAGAAAGCCCTAAGATCGACGGCTGAGTCTTGGTTCCGAGTCCCACGCTCGTTCAAATTGACAGAGTCTTCGATGTTCTGATGTGAGACGGGATTGAATGCCGAGTACCCTTGCGACATGATGTCAGTATAAGGGAAGTCGTCGCATTGCAAGTCGGCAGGATTGACGTAGTTGTCGGCATCCACAAAGTTGTAGCCAAAGTCCTGGTCCATGGCGGTAGTTGTAGATATGGCGAGAGGGGATCGTCGTAGGATTCACGGCGGAGGGAGAGAGTGAAGGAGGATCAGGAAGCGAGCGTAGAGGAGGTCGTCTAAAAAGCCAAGTCCCAAATAACTAGTACAGGGCGCTAGAGTACCACGGGTGAGGGGTTGATAGTAATGCGGTAGCTGGCGAACGGTGATGAAAACGCTGACACAAGCTATGCCCGGTCCAATGATGCTGTTCAAATGCCGCCCAGTCGGGCACCGGGGGTTCGGCAGGGCGCGTCTCAAGGTTTGAGCGGATAGAGTGTTGCACGCACGTGAGGAAAGCGTGGCCACGGTCGCAGAGGGTCGTGAGGGCAGTGCTGGGGATGGAGGGGGATGGAGGACGAAGGAGTGGATTGTGGAGTTACAGGTATCAGCAGAGCGTGGGTATTGATCTATTTCTCTTTTGTCAACAGAACCCCACTCAGCAGCAGAGGTTCGCCGCCTCGACCCGCCAAGAGGCCCCCTGCTACACGCACCTCCACGACTTGAGCAAGCCTCGTACAAGTATCTTCGACGACATCACTCGCCTGTAATCGTCCGGCTCGAGTTGCCGCTGGGTTGGATCGGGTACGAGAGCCCACGCCAAGGTGCAACAGTGCTCCTTGGGCCACGCATTCTGCCTCTGGGGCGCGCTATGCCAACTTTTCCACTGCAACAGCACGACATGCTCGCGCTCAAAGGTCAGCACAAGTGCGCGGGAGATGTACCTGAACATCAGCGCCGCGTAGGGGTGCACGAGCCACGCACGGCTAGCTGCAGACGAATCTGCAGACTTTGCCCTTGTCCTAGTCGTTACTCTTTATCGCGCAGCCGCTGAGCAAGCTCGTCGCTGACAACGGGCACAGACGGAACGAGTCGGCATCTGTTGCGGGACTGCGCGCTATTATGCTTTCATCTACACCTAAAACCATGCACTGTCGGTAGGGCCTGCAGCCTGTCGCTGAGAACCATGCTGCACGATTGCATCGAGACAACGCCGTGCATGCCCTGTGTAGACCAGCTGCACGACTTCTCCACCTTGGTCGGCTTACCGGATGCAACTCCGCTGCCACCTGGGCGCCTCTCCAGTGGAGTCGAGTGGTCGTCATATCGGCCCATCTTGCGAGACATTACTTCGCAGGGCAGGTGGTGCCAGAAGGAGAGCAATACATCGCGCCACTCTTCCAAAAACGACAAGCACTTCGTAAAGATACACGACTTGATAAGCGGCAGAATTGCCAACCCCCGCCTGCCAACACGAACGAATCTCTGTGCCAAACAACGCATTCGAACGTGTCCATCTTGCCCATTCTGCTGCGTAAGAGAAACTGCTAGTCATGATCAGGCAACCTTTTGGGCTTGACATGAACTTTGAACCCCAGGATTCAGTCCTAGCGCCCGTCCTTAAGCGGCGAAAAACGCATACATCGCAGAGTTTTTCGGAGCGCGACGACTCATTTGCGATTTCGGCCTTCCGATGATCTTCATTAGCGAACCTGCTCTGTACGACCACAGATGCATCTTACGCGAACTCGCATCTATTGGCTCACTCTCGGTTTCGGCAGCAACATGCAGGTAGGGTTTTCAGCCTCAATCCTTGAAATCGGGAGAGATTCAACCTAATGTGCTATGCTTGTTTACCATCACCCGGAACAAGATGAGATATTCGTGGCATCACAAGTCGATCTACAGCTTATCTGCCCCATACTAGATTCTCCAGACCCCAACATGCTCAACAAGAACGACGAGCGTGTCTCTCGACATTCCCCGCGGACCCGCAGTTTGTGAGAATCGTGGCATTATCCACCCGGTACGATCCATGACTCTTGCGCGGCGATTGACTTCCTAGCTCCGTAGGGTACAAATCCTACACATATCGTGCGATTATGCACGAAGAACTGCATCAGAACTCCTATCTCGAAACCTCTACACACCTACCATTCTGGTGTATGTTAATATCAATGGTTGGGACGCCTCGCGTAGCTGCTGATAAGAAACCGTTCTTGTCTGATCTCCGCGTGAGCATGGTTTAATTTTTCGAAAAAGGTATTCTCTACCAATTTTGGTACGGTTCACCCGTTGCTATGCAACGTGATATACGAAGGACCTTAATTTTATACTTTAGCCACACAACTACATGCACTGACCAATGGTATCAACACCAGTCAGGGTGAAGCATGGAAGCTACTTGCGTTTAGGAAAAAGCAACGCACACTAGCTTTGTAACTGGATGTCTCAGGTAAATACCCTATTAGGTACTATGCATAATGGGGTTACTTGAACATTTTTGTGCACTCCTGCCTCCTTGTCACAATCCGGTCTTTGCATCTTCACCACAACCGGCCTTCATCAATCTTCAATGGTGAACTTGCTAAATCACCACTCACAGCACTGAGGAACACGAGATGGTCATCTTTTTTTCCAACCTGCCTCTACCTATCCACATAAGTGTTTACCAGATATGTAGAGACAAAGCCTTGCAAACCCTTTTCAGCACCACTTAAGCTTTTGTTATTTCTCCAAGTTACCATGTAAAAGTCAGAACCGCTTGAAACTTCCGAGACCCGCTTTTCCACAGCCACAGACCTCCAACTTGACTTCAACTTGACTCGTGAAGAAAGGGTGATTGGGTTGGTCTAGAACTCCGCCTAGCAGACGGACCTGTGGAGGATGAAATGATGGCTAGGCGCGAAAATCAAGATGCTCCACAACCGACGGCGTTTATGACACGAGGAGACCCTATTGTTAGTTGGAGCGAGCGGGCCTCTGATCGGTATACCGATTGTCAGGACGAAAAGGTTGTGTGCCGGCTTGCTGGAGGGAATATGCCTGGTTTAAACGACGCTGTGCATCTACTTTGTGTCTTGTAAGTCACAAGGCAATGCAAAGAATTACAACATTTTTACTGTCAAACGGCGCACTGCATTTTGAGAAGCAATCTGATTGAAGACTGTTTCACGAAATAGGATCTCCCATAATGCAACACCGATCGTCCCCTACTTTGTCCTTACCGGGTTGTGCATCGAGAGCTAACGACTCTATACAACACATGTTATACAGTGGGTCAGCAGAGGGTTTGATCTCCAATGGCCCAGGCTGGACACAAGCTGTTTCCGCGTTAGCAAAGCATGTTAGTTTGTCACGATTTCCTTGCCGCGCATGCGGTGTTGTAGGATGCTGCTCGATTGGCTAGTGTGTTGTTGTGTGGTGTAGTACCTTGATGGTCAGGTCCGTGGCGTGTTTACATGTATTCACAGCGACGTCCAATGCACAGCTTCATCTAGAGACTTCATCAATGTGCTTGTGCTGCAATCCTATAGAGGCATCGATGCTGTGCGTTACAATCTCGCTACGGCCAAGCTCTGGTGATTTGACGGGCTGCACCATGCCGCACCTGCAGCACTGTGCCCCCACCAGACAAAGCACGTAATCCCTCTGTTTGAGACATCATCCAACGACGTGCTGACGCGTTCCTACGCTGTGGGTCGGGATACCGATATGGCTAAGCTTTAGATTTGAAGATAACTGCTCCTACATCCAGCATGAACTTCCGCTCATCCATGACAACTACCGTATTTGGACGTATCTCTGAAATCGGAAATTGACGCACTATCAACAGGAGCCCGTCATGTACTCTGTATTCGCAATCCGCTGGCGTGCATGAGCCAGCGAATAAGTGTTCCTTCCGTGGCACCATGTAAGCTGCAAGATGCAACTGGTTACTCCACCCGAGTCTCGCCTACGTCTTCAACCCTGCTCGGCGGCGAGGGACGCATCGTGCCAGCCGTTGCCGTTCGCATGCGGTTCCCGCTGCTAGTGAAGAGGCGATAGAGACTCAACAATATGATACGAGGTCAACGGGACGCAAATTAAGCAGGACCTGGTTATAAGTATGGGCTGAGGTACTGGGTACTTACCCCTCCTTTTGTCCATTTTCTGTGCCTCTGCTGCGCAGTAAATGGGTCTTGGAGACTGTCTTATCGCATGTACGAGCTGACGCCGCGCCTCTTACGTTTGGAAACGATTCCTGAATCCCAGGCCACACGTGGAAATCGTTCGCAAAGACCACACAGTAAGTAGACGTAACTGAGTCTTTCAATTTTCCGCACAACATGCGAGTCTAAAAAACCGATTCGCGCGTTGCACTTTCTACTGGTGAAAGTTCTTAGTCATCGCTTAAGCCTGTGGCGGCTTCCAAATCCTTTTGCTACCATTTTACTTCCGCTCGGCTTCCCCAGAGGAGACCATTTCCCGTTTTCCGTCTCGGCCCCGGCCTCCCACGCTCCGTCAAACGCCGACAATTACCCACCTTAGCAACAACCACACCCACGTCCGCATCCAGCCTGCCATGGCCAGAGATGTTGAACTAGCGGCTCCTCGGGGAATGGATCGTTAGGCTTATGTCGCCAAGCGGCTATGTGGCCTCGATTTTCGGATCGTCATGAACCAATAATACCGTGGCGAGTAATGCTGTAGCGAGTAATCCTCGCTTGAGTCGGCGCCATCTAGACGTCTGGACCCGGAACCGTTGCGCGCTTTCGGAAGCGTCCGATGGGCATCGGATGTTACATTGACAACGACGACGACGACGACGACGACGACGTGTCGCTTTGCCGAGATGGTGCCGGACGCTGCAACGCAAGAAGTTGCCGGTTTTAAGCTTCTAAGCGACTACGGAAATTTTAGGATGACAAGTTCCCGAGAATTGAGAATTGACGGAGAGAACCGATGAATGTGTAGATGTAGATGTACATGCACATAATGAGACAGATATAGGCGGCCGCGGAGGTTTGAGCAACGCTCATGCAGGACAGGCGCATTGAGGTCCTACGTTTTTAACAGAGTTTGACGGACATGATGGTCAGATGCAGGAACATCGGCACCGATGGCAGCCGCGTAGAACTGACACCGCACATGTCTAGATGTGTGGATCGCGGTTCTGAGAATAAGTTCGTACTGTGCCTATGCTCCTGATTGAGTCTTGTTCGGGATATCTATCAATAATTTGACATCGAACCTAACTCATTTTCTACAAAACATAGCAAACATATCCAAATTACATAGGCACAATCTCGACAAACTTCCCTAGTCCAGAACCTGCATCTCCCATCACAATTAGCCTAACCCCCAAATCTATAATCGATCGGCCATAACGATGCCCCCAGTTCTCTCTAGTCCCTCGAATCGGCTTGCCCCATCAGTTCGCCCGCAGTTTCAACGGCGTCCCAAGCACATCTCCAAGACGATGCAAGGCCCCGACTCGCTAGCACTTGCTCATACTCCTGCCGCCCTTCCTCTCCCCTGCCTAGCTGTTCACCCCGTCAATGGCCCTGGGTATCTTGGCCATGACGCTAGACACGACATTCAACCGATAGGCCATGCGCCATACCCGCGAGAGAGGAGAACGCATGGGTAAACTGAATACTGCTCGGAACAACGGGTGTAATGTTGCTGGGATGATCGACGTCGACGAGAAATTCAGATAAGACGAAGTGGCGAAATAGATACGTCCCGCAACCAGACTCTACCCTGATACACACATGTGCCAAGCCATCAAGGGTCGTCGTTCATACAAAGAAGGAAAGGCCTGGATAAGTCATTCTGGGGTTCCCAATATCAATGGTGGAGTTTTGTATTGAAGAATACCGTTGCTGATCAGATATCTCAAGCTTCTTACATGGGGACAGTGGTTGCAGCCAGTGGTCAGGTGGAGGGTGATGTGTACGTGGACTGGGTTCTGCCTTCGGCACTGCTAAACTGGAGGGTCCATATCTGGAGACATCGGTGTGGAGATGGAGGGGACTATGGGAAGAACTGATCGGTAGTGGGAGGATGGAGGTAAGAACCCGCAGTTCTCTCTACATGGTACGTCGAGAAATGCTCAAGAGCGGGAGTTTACATCAGTAAGAGGGACGTTGCTAGGCATCAGTGTGGGAGACTGAAGTCCCGTTTACGCTAAGGCTTCTTCTCTTTTCTGTCTTCGAACTGACTTTTGTTTGTTCGTGGTCTACTTCTCGTCGACCATGTCAAATGCGTCTGTGAAGGACCGACCCAGAACAACGATATGTTTGCCTCGTTTCAAGCTCCCTTCGATTGCCTCGATCCCCGTACCCAACCCCTTCGTCTTAGCAGGGCGATCCCAGAACCCCAGTTCCAAGAACACCTTCTCGTAATCACAATCTATATTGAGGGGAACATATTTCCTCTGTCGATCTCAATAAATGTCGCGGCTCTTCCCTTTGTGTGGGGTATTAGTTTAGTTTAGGGGCACGTACCTTGGTCCATGTACCCGACTCTCGGTCGACTGTAAAAGCGGGAAACAAGCTACAATCTTTGTAGCTACTATAAGCCGCAAACTGCATGATTAGAATTTTTTAAAGTGCTTGTAAAGCGTATACTGTTTAAGATTCAAGCGCAAGATTCCCACACTGAACTTAGCCATAGCTGTCAAGTTATTGCAAGATTTCGCTGCACCCTAATTCCTGGTATTTCGATTGGCCGAGAGACCGAGTCCAACCCCCACGAGATTTCTTTGCTTTTGTTCTTCTTCGATTGTGGGAACTAGAGCTGCGGTTGTGTTATGTTTTTGGGGATCCGAGAATGAGAGATTTGTTGTTGGAGAGTACCAGACTGCTTGTGTCGAAGACTTAGGTGAGATTGGCTGTACGATAGACAGGTTGGATGTACGTTCGCACTCGCGTTCCGAGTCCGTTGAAATCTATGTGATTACGGCGGTGGACCGGGCACTGAAGCGCGAGTGCTGGAGTTGGGTCGTTTATCATGGACTTGAAGCAAGGAAGGCGCAGGGCGCGTTCAATTTTGAAGGTTGTTGAAGACGAGAGCATAGCAAAATGGGAGGATTCACTCGTGTAATGAGACTCAGAATAGCATATTTGTTTGCTGATGTGAAAGAGTGGTTTAGTAATCGAGATAAAGTGAAGAATTCTTTAGACTCTTGTCGAGTGACCATGCATGTTCACTGGCAAGAAGAAGGGCGTCAGTGAATGATATTGTCATTATACTGAGTTTTTTCCCTTACCCATACTCGTCCATAGCTCAACATTGTCAACTCTTTTCATTTAACTCCACTAGAGCCCGGTATGTATTACATTATCGCCACTATTTTTCTCTTCATACTCGCCATGCCGCTCTCTATCTTTTTGTTCTACTCCACAAAATACAAAGCGACCAATACAAAACGTCAAGGTCAAGGTCAAGGTCATCGACGTGGATGTTCGTCCGTGTATCCTCCAGGCATGCAGTTTGATTCTCTGCAAAGGAAATGGGCAACACAGGGTATGGAGCCGCCGTTTGTGGAGTTACATTCGTCCGCTTTATAGTATGTTTGAGGCATACCGAGAGGGATCTTAGGTCTTTCGTATGGTAACCCCTCCAAACTTCAGCAGAAGATGTGGCTTGTGAACTCAAGGTGAGATATTTCTTGCGATCGAGAACCAACCAGAAATAAGAAACTTTGCGGCCACCAAGCTTCAAACTTCCTCGAACATGTATGAATGTGGCTTGAGAAACAAGCGTTCATAGGAGCATGTGCTCAGATCTTCTCTGGCTCCCACATGGCTAGCGAGGTGCCTGATTCTGATTTAGAACAGTTTGTTGTAGACTTCTAATAGTTTCCTCCCTATCCCTGTGTCGAGTTATCTTCAGCCGTGTGAAAGAATGTTTGTGTTGTGCATGTAAACACTCGCTTCACTATCCTTCGATGATCTTCACTCACACTTTCACTCTAGGGCATAACGCGCCTGCTATAATACAATCCGTTTATTCTCACGTCAATCGTGATACGTAAATAGCTCGGATGTTCCTTGCGGTAATGCTGTTGAGGGATGATGGGGTGGGGCAGGGAGTCGGTAGGACATGGTGTATCGCGGCGACGGACGAGGCCGGTTTGAACGATATTTCTGCGTATGGAGACACAAGTATCGGAAAAGCTGATACGGATCAGTTGATGTGGGCTACATGCTATGATATCCGGTATGACTTCAATACAGCGCTGCAGATGTGTACGTAAACAAGGACTCATAAGCGCACCGAGCCTATCCAAGGACAGTTGCAATGAAATCACCAGCAATAACCCTTTTTCTCTGTCTTCATTCTTCGTTCCTTGCTATATCCACCCTCTAAAACCGTGCCTTCTACACACCAATCCGCTTAGCAAGTCTCCCATCCGCGTTGATGCTCTACTTCCTCTTTCTCCCCTCGCCTTTCTTCTCGCTCCCTGACGCTTTCGCCGCCTCTACCGCCTTTACCTTCTCCATATCAGGGACTTTGAGACTCTTGTCCGCCGCTGGCGCAGCCGCCAGTGGCCTGTTCGCATCCTTCTCCTCGGTCTCCTCGTCATCACCACCCTGTCCAAATTCGTTGATACGGGTAGGATCAACCTTGTACTTCCAAGTCTGGAAGAGATAGACAAAGAAGATAACGTCGTCTCTCAAAGTCGCTAGACGATGGAGGGTGGGCATTTTGATAGTGAAGGCGAAGAGGTCGTCGATGAAAGTGTTTAGGAACTTGTATGTCATAGCACGACCAGGCATGTGTGCCACAGACTGTAGACGGTAGTTGATATACAGCGAGGGAACCATCATGAGGAAACCGTATGCGTAGACGGAACCGACAAGCGTGGCGATGATGAATGAATACCATGACTTGTGGGTGTCGTAGTAGAGAGAGTAGGTAGCGTATGCGAGGAGAAGCGGGACGGCAACCATGTAGAGGTATTTGAAGGCGATCTGATCATACTCCTCGGTCTTCTTCTCTGTCTCAGACAAGACGTGTTTATCCTCTAGAACAATCTTGTAAGGGATTAAGGAGCCCGGCGCGGTCTCGCGAATGCGGACATCAGCAGCCTTTGTGATCTTCCAGGCTTCGATGGCAATGCCCATGCCTTGACCGAACAGAATCATCCATGAAGTGTTTTCGTTATTGTCCATGAGGTAGAGGAAGATGATGAACTGCATAACAACGTTGGCAAGAATGGTGCGGACCGAAGTACCGATGTTGTCTTTCTTCTTACGCCAGTGCTGCACGTCGTTCTTAAAGGCCAGCATTTCAAAGACCATGTGGAACAGCGAGACGACAGCAGTTATAGCGAGGAGGTAAGAGTTGCTATCAATCAGAATCTCCTTGAACATCTCCATCTCCGAACCGTCACCACCGGTGGGGCTGGCCTGACCAGCTGCAGCTGCAGCGGCCTGAGATCGGAGGTTTTCGTCGACGGCGGCGTACAAGTTGAATTTCCAGTTGGCAAGATTGTTGAGGTTGACGTTCAAGGGGAGTGTGGTGACAGTGTCATTGATCTCAACCATGCTCTTCTTGAGCTGCCAGAAGGTGTTTGTGAAGACGACGGGGTAGTACCATCCATTCTGACCAGTAGCATCGCGCTGGCCTGTCGCTTCGAGAGTAACATGCTGTCTGGGTCCCGGGTGCATGTTAGGGTAGTTGAGAACGCCAGCATCGGGAATGAATGAGATGGTAAAGTTGGGGTGATAGTACGACGCGACGACCTTGGGCGCATTCTTCTCCTCGTCCGTCTCCTTCTCTTTGCGCTCTGGCATATCGCTCAGCAGGTTCCTTGTCTTGGAAATCTTCTTCTTGGGCAGGTACTGGGTCAAGGGTCGGATGAAGTGGTAGGCGTTTGCTGGGTCATATCTGGGCGAGGTGGGATCAAGTACGCTGCCATGCTTTGCCACGTAGAAGTGAGCGAGCAGGGTCGCATTGTGCTGGACGTCTTTCGGAACGGCAAACTCGGTCTGGATCTCTCTGCTCTGCTTGTAGTCTCCATAGACGAAGTTGGTCTCGTCGATTAGCAGCGAGTCCTTGGGCATGGATTTAAGCGGAGGCATGGCGACCGATGTCGAGATGTACAGGGCGATGTCGAGCGGAATCCCCGGGTGCCACATGGGCGCAACATTGAACGGAATGGAACGGTACTGTGCGTCGGCATCGAGCTGGTGTGGGCGGTTCTCCCAGGCGGGGATATTGACAGCAACGCCTTTGGGGGCGACAGTTCCTTGCTGTGGTTGCGCTACGCCGCTGGCAGGTGCTGGGGCAGACGATGGCATGAAATACTTCATGCCGCCCTGGATGAGTAGGAACATGCCAATACTGCTGGCGGCCGACTTCAAAAACTGCACTCAATGTGTTAGCTTATGTCCTCGACCATAGGGCCATTCTCCGCCAGGACAGCAATACGTACGCCGCCGCTCGCTTCTCCCTCCTGACGCGCTGGTGCCTCGGCCATGACTACGACTCGAGAGGAATCGTGCGATTCCAGATGTAGCAATCCACAAGGGCTGTGAGGATGGAACGGCTGCAGGCGGAGGGTCACATATCAGCTACTGACATAGTTGCAGCGAAGCCAAGCCGTCTTTCCCCACAGAGCCTAGAGCCTGGAGCCTAGAAGCCAGGGTCCAGCCAACCACAGCGCGTTCGTTGCGCGGGACCTTCATGACGGTTCTGTTGTCCCCGCGCTGGGGTGGGTGAGTCGAAGAAGACGCGCCTCATGTTGATGCCTTGGGCGACTCGGCCAGTTCACTTGCTGCTTTTTTGCATAGTCTCTCGCTTCCAGTTCCTTGACAGCTCTTCGTGACACTGCTTCTTGTTCGACACACCAGCCATTGTACTTCTCGCGCTCCAACTCTGCTTAGGGACTTGGAGAAGACACTCTCAACATGGCGAACAACAACACCAAGCAGCCCGTCCTTTGCGTCTTGTATGTCCAATTCCCCAGCACCGCCTGCACACATATTAACGGCTTCAAGCTGCGGTGCCTCCAGCGGCACCTCCCCCGTGCACCTTGAAGCTGCGCGCGCTCTCGCCCACGCCATGCACAAGGCGAACATCCACCTCGTCTATGGCGGCGGCACAGTTGGTCTGATGGGCGAAGTAGCACGTACCCTCGTCTCCCTCTCCGGTCCCGACTCGGTCCATGGCATCATCCCTTCAGCCCTTGTGGGATACGAACAAAACACCACGTCCACGTCTGCATCCACATCCACATCTACATCCACCGACCCCTCGCAACACGGCATCGACGCTTCAGTCTACGGCCGTACCACTGTCGTCAAGGACATGCACACTCGCAAGCAGATGATGGCGGCCGAGGTAGTCGCTGGCGGGCCAGGCGGTGGCTTTGTCGCCCTTTCGGGAGGCTATGGCACCTTTGAGGAGCTGATGGAGATTACCACGTGGAACCAGCTGGGTATTCACGACATGCCTGTCATCGTCTACAACGTAGATGGCTATTGGAGTGGCCTGATTGAGTGGATCAAGAACGCTGTCAGTAGCGGCTTTGTAGCGCCCACGAATGCCGGCATCATAGTCGAGGCGCTGAGCGCTGACGAAGTCATCGTGTGCTTGAAAGAATATGAGAGCGCCCCGGGAAGGTTTGGGCTGAGCTGGGATGAGAAATAGGCGTGGAAACGTCAGGGCGGGAATTCAAGTGTCCATGACTAGAACGAGTGAAAAGCAGCACGCCTATCATACTGTGGAAGCGTGTAGCTACTGAAACGTATACTATCAAACTATCAAAATGAGGAGTGTCCTTCTAATCGTACAGACGAGAAACACGGATCTCCGTCGTAATTTTTCAGTGGCAGTTGCCGCCCCCAACGCCTTGCAATGCATTGAACACACGAAGCAATTCAGCCGCCGTAAAGATACTCTGAAACGACCTCACGTAGTTTTTCTAAAATCCCGGAAGCTGGAACCCAAACCCAGGGACCGCGGGTGGCACTGCCACACCTTGTTCTGGTCGAGGAGAGATGTGTCGAGGATCGTTCATCGTACGATCTGGCTTGCGGAACTTTGGCGCTCCGTTATCGAATCCACCACGGCCGCCAAACCCGCCGCGACCACCACGTCCCGCTTCGGTAGGGACACGACGACTGATGGCTAAGTGACGTTAGAAAACACCGAGGAAAGTTGTCGTTCACGCTGCTTGCCTTTTGAAGAAACACCGGCGCCAATCTCAATATCCGGCTCCTCCAACACCATACCGCCCTCCAGCGCTCGACCCCCCGTGCCGCCGTGCTCTGCCGTCAAAGCCCACTTGCGGTCCGCGTCGGTAAGGCGATGCAGAGGTATCACGCTGACACCAGAGTCGTAGTCACTGCAGTCTCGTGGGCCAAAACCTACCCCCCATCGAGTCTACAGATGTCAGCATACTGTGCCATCCAAGAATATCCCTTCTTACCTGGCGAGCCTTCTGTTGAGCGATAGGATCTTGTAGATTATCCATGCCTTTCTTGGCCGCGATTGCATCGGGTCGAGTCAACATTTTGACAAAGGCATGTCGCTTGTCCTGGTTGACTATACAAGTTTGAACCTTACCGAACCGACTGAAAATGCTCCGAATTTCACCCTCGGTTCCACCTGCGCCACCTACAAATAATGTGCGACTCAGAACCCTAATAGTATCGCGCGGGAGGCTACTGTCCCATTCAATAAACTTTGAAGAACCATGTGCATTCCTGGGTGGGCTTGACTGTCTTCGTGGCGGCGTACGTTGACGATACTCACTACGATCATTGCGACCGCCACGACCTTTACCACGGCCACGACCGCGCTCACCTCGCTCGAAGCGATTTGCATTTCCATCAGCGCCTGCATTGGGATCATAGACACCATATGTTGGACTTTCTCGACGATGTGTGCTTGGCGGGGATCTACGAATAGGGGAGTGCCGCTGACGGACGTCAGGCGATCGGCTTCGGTCTCGAAATCTATTACCGTTTTGTTCAAACGCATTGCGGTCATACTGCTCTTGTTGGGAGCCGTTATGGGAGATGGAATGAGTTTGCGACTGAGCTTGAGTTACGACTGGAGGTTGTGACAGCGACAACGACGCCCCTCCATTTTGAGCTACGGCCAGCGCATTGAGCACTTGTATCGCTTGATCAGGTGCGATCGTTCCTGCACTCATAGCTTGAAGTATTTGACCTGCCAAATCGTTCATTCCTGCAGGCGGAGGAGGCATTGTAGACTGTCCGTTTGCTACAGGAGGCGGTGGAAGAACAAATCCTGGAGGTGGCGGTGGCGGCACCATGTTTTGCGGAAAAGAAAACGCAGGCGGTGCAGTACCCTGGGAATTAGCATGGGGATTGGGTTGGCCAAAGCCAGCAAGGGCAGCAAAAAGTGCACCTGGATCCTGCGGTGTCTGTGTTGTAGCTAAAATTGGAAAAGCTGCTGACGGCTGATTAGTTTGAGTGCTAGAAATCTGTGCAGTGCCATTGTTCTTCTGCGGATGATCCGATAGCGCATGTGCGACTGAACCAAGAAGAGATTAGAAGAAGAACGATTTCATATCGTACGAATGAACCTACTATTCTTGTTGCCGTTCAGCTGTTGCTTGAGACCGGCAAGCATGTCGAGCGGAAACGTTTGTCCGCGCTCCCAAATGTCCAGAAGTTTCATGATCTTGTCCTTATGGTTATCTGGGGCTGTTTGAACAAGATCGTTCATCAGAGTCGGTAACACGTCTCTCACTTTCTGCACGCCTGAAGCAAATGTGCCAGGCGCAGCATTTTTCGAAACGGCTTGACCAGCCAGCTTAGCCTTCTCTACCCATTGGCGGGTGACAGAATCTACAACGTATAGCACTCCCAGTTTATGTGTGGCGGGACTGTTTTTAAACTGCTGGACGATCTTCTGGACGATGGCCGCATCGAACTACAATTGGGGACAATGCCTTAGTATGGTCCTGTATGAATGGGAGGTGCGCGCTGGAGTTCGCATCCGGCATACCTGGATATTGTTTACGCATATTGCCGTTATCTCCTTAACCTTGGTTGGAGTAACTCCGGGCGCCTTCAATGCTTGTAGAGATTGCAAAAGCGTTTCTAGTTTCTCCAAATCGTCCATGGCTGCCATGATGAGTTCAGTGTACCAGATCAGACCGAATAAGAAAGAGAGTAGAAAGCCAGCGGTTGTGCGCGAGACTAGACGAAGACGTAAGGTGAGAGCGCCGAGAAGGCAGCACGCAGATTGTACTCGAACCTCAAATCAAGATCCGAAGCAGCACGGTTCTAGGTTGTACGAAAAGTGTAGAGCGGATGAGCAGCTGAACGCGCTGAGTTCAGGACAGCAACTGGTTCAACGGTCCGAGTTGGCTGTACAGTGTTGTTTTGAACTGAGGAAGCTGCTGCTGTGCGGCTTTAATCTAGGGCGCGTCGCGCAGTGAGAACGAGTTGCGCGGGTGTTCACACACGAAGCGGTGAGTCGCAGCGAGCCAGAGAATCAAAGAAGCAGTGGGACGGTGTCGCGTGACTGAGTGAAGGCCTGTCTACGTGACGCGCGCAGATGCAGTGCTGTGGGGAGCGAGGAGAGTGACGTTGGCTTTCGCTGGCTCTGAAGTTGCAATGCGCTAGCGAATGCATCACGTGAGAGCCATGTTTCCAGACGTGGAGAGTTTTTCCTGGTTGCATGGTCCGTCAAGCCCTCTGGTGTAAAACGTAGTAGACATGCACATGCACATGCACATATATAGTAGGAGACCTGCAGGTATCCATCGGTATCCCTGTCGTCATGTCCACCTTAACCACGCTTCGGGGACAAGCCTTCAGAACGTAGACTTTGCCGTGTACGACCCCGGACTTGCAAGTGCTTGACTGCGGGCATCGCCGTGGTATACTGGGCGACCAGCCCACCGAATGGGCATCTACGTGACAAATAGGGTTGGGGATACCTCGCGTGAACCCACGTTGTTGGTATCACTGTGGAGTCCAGACAGAGAGATGATCAGCGCAGCAAAGAGTATCGTTAATGGAAGGAGGATGTCGAGCAGACTCTCGGTTAGTCGGTAGAGCTGGAAGCAAGCTGCCTTCTTCATAGCAACAAATCGCAGCACAACTAGAAGCACATAGACCACAAACGTCCTCTGTTTGGAGGATGCTAGTAGGAATAAAGGCACACAAGTTCCATACTAATCGTACATGCAGTTCTCAAGGTGTTGCACTTCCGGAGGTTGCCCGGAGGAATCGTGACGTCTGTGCGGGAGCTGCTCCGTCTTCCACCGAGCTTCACTAGTTTCCGCCGTTCGCAGGCTTTTATTCCCTCCCACCCTGCCATCATCATTACCTCTCACACAACATCCACAATGGCTTCTGCTCTGCGATTGTCGAGCGCTTTCCGTGCCGCCGCCCCTCTGCGCACCACCGCCTTCAATGGCGTTCGCTGCTACTCGGCGGGCAAGACCCAGGTTCGCGCGCTCTGCGTCTTGCGCGAGAATCACCACTGACCAGGCCAATCGCAGTCGCTGAAGGAGACGTTCGCCAACAAGCTGCCCGGCGAGATCGAGAAGATCAAGAAGCTCCGCAAGTATGTAGCTGGCACCCCCGCGGACTTTGCAGCACCCCATTAACGGAGCATCGCAGAGAGCACGGCAGCAAGGTCGTCGGCGAGGTCACTCTCGACCAGGTCTACGGTGGTGCCCGTGGCATCAAGTCTCTCGTCTGGGAGGGCTCTGTCCTCGATTCTGAGGAGGGTATCCGATTCCGCGGCAAGACAGTATGTGGCAGTTCAAGCAGCCATCCAGAGCATCACTTGCTTACATTGCACAGATCCCCGAATGCCAGCAGCTCCTCCCCAAGGCCCCCGGCGGCCAGGAGCCTCTTCCAGAAGGTCTTTTCTGGCTTCTGCTGACCGGCGAGGTCCCTTCTGAGCAGCAGGTCCGCGATCTGTCCGCTGAGTGGGCTGCCCGCTCCGATGTCCCCAAGTTCGTTGAGGAGCTCATCGACCGCTGCCCGAGCGACCTCCACCCCATGGCTCAGTTCTCCATCGCCGTCACTGCTCTCGAGCACGAGTCCAACTTCGCCAAGGCCTACGCCAAAGGAATGAAGAAGTCGCAGTACTGGGAGCACACCTTTGAGGATTCCATGGATCTCATTGCCAAGCTCCCCACCATCGCCGCCAAGATCTACCGCAACATCTACAAGGATGGCAAGGTTGCTCCCATTCAAAAGGACAAGGACTACTCGTTCAACTTGGCCAACCAGCTCGGTTTCTCCGAGAACAAGGACTTCGTTGAGCTGATGCGTCTGTACCTCACTATCCACACTGATCACGAGGGTGGCAACGTCAGCGCCCACACCACTCACTTGGTTGGCAGCGCTCTCAGCTCTCCTTACCTCTCCTTGGCTGCTGGTCTGAACGGTCTCGCTGGTCCTCTCCACGGATTGGCCAACCAGGAAGTCCTCGTTTGGCTGCAGAAGATGAAGAAGGCTGTCGGCAACGACCTCAGCGATCAGGCTATCAAGGACTACCTCTGGTCCACCCTCAAGGCCGGCCAGGTCGTTCCCGGATACGGCCACGCTGTCCTCCGCAAGACCGACCCCCGCTACGTCTCCCAGCGCGAGTTTGCTCAAAAGCACTTGCCCGATGACCCCATGTTCAACCTTGTCAGTCAGGTCTACAAGATCGCCCCCGGCGTTCTCACCGAGCACGGCAAGACCAAGAACCCCTACCCCAACGTCGATGCTCACTCCGGTGTCCTCCTGCAATACTACGGCCTCACTGAGCAGAACTACTACACTGTTCTCTTCGGTGTGTCCCGCGCCCTTGGTGTCCTTCCCCAGCTCATCATCGACCGCGCCGTTGGTGCTCCCATCGAGAGGCCCAAGTCTTTCAGCACTGAGGCTTACGCCAAGCTTGTTGGCGCTACCTTGTAAGATTATCACAAAAGTCTGCGCTGTGATGAAGAAGAGATGTAGGTTGAGGCTCACCTGAATTTCTATGTACTATGTAGATTGGGAATGTAGGTATACTGGGTGTGTTACGGTGCCGTAGCATGCATCGAGCGTTTGGATGTCTCTGCTGTAGGACTACCATTTAGTGAATGACTTGCTGCAATATCATGTCTTAACGTTGAATACCTCATAACTTTTGATGTTAGTTTTGATTCAATAGAAATTTGGACTGGAATGAGCGCATGATCCGTAATTTTCTACGAGTGTCCAATGAACAGCAGGGAAAGGACACATGCCAACTTCGGTCCACGAGTTTCGGGAATGTCAGATGCCAGATACGGGAAGGATTTGGTTGAGCGCATGTTGGGGAAGCGATGACTTGTTGGGCTCGCTCTCCGCCAATGCGCCCCACCACCCGAGGCTCAGCAGCAGACCACGATCGCAGAAGGCAGGAACAACGTGCCGCTTCTAATCGTTACCGCATGAGCACGCGGGACTACTTTCATCTATATAGACGACGAAGACATCATCAGTGAGCCGGAAAGCCACAAAAGTATTCCGAACCCGCAGTCGGAAGAGCTCTGCCAAGGTATCCGACCGGTTCAATACTCAGTCAAGGATTCGAACTTGTCCCAAACGAACCTAGACTTGCCGTCGCTCACCTCCAACAGATACCCAAGCTCATCACCGCCAGTTTCTCAAACCCTCCTCTCCCTCACATCACTCTACACTCACATTTGCGACGGTGCACCCTTCTGCCTTGGTCAGGCCCATATCTTTCGACAAGAATCCCCAGAGATGAGCTCCACACCTCCGACAGGCGTGCCCACCATGGCTACAGGGCCGATGCAGCTCGAGAAGAAGCCCGTCAAGTTCAGTAACTTGTTGCGTGAGTCTTGTGCTAGTAAAGTCGCTGTGGATGTGTACTGATCAAGTCCTCAGTCGGTGCTGGTCTCAACATGTTCGAGGTGACTACTCTGGGACAGCCGTTGGAGGTCACCAAGACCACCATGGCTGCCAACAGGGCTGACGGCATGGCGGGGGCGGTCAGCCGTATCTGGGCGCGTGGAGGTGTCTTCGGATGTGAGTTCATGGATCCTGACTACCTTTCTGCGCAATCTGTCGCATCGCCATGACCAAGTTCGAGAGCTGACATCTGTCGCAACAGTCTACCAAGGTCTCATCCCCTGGGCGTGGATCGAAGCCTCCACCAAGGGTGCTGTTCTCCTCTTCGTCGCTTCCGAAGCCGAGTTCTATGCCAAATCGTTCGGCGCCAACGAATTTGTCGGCGGTATCTCAGGCGGCATGGCTGGCGGTCTTGCGCAAGCCTACGCTACCATGGGCTTCTGCACCTGCATGAAGACGGTTGAGATCACAAAGCACAAGGTTGCAGCTACGGGCGTGAAACCCCCAGGGACCTTGGAAACCTTCATGGGCATATGGCGCGCAGAGGGTATTCGCGGTATCAACCGCGGTGTGAACGCCGTTGCCGTGCGCCAGGTCACCAACTGGGGCTCCCGATTTGGCTTGTCTCGTGTTGCGGAGTCTGGAATTCGAAGTGCGACCAACAAGGAGCATGGCGAGAAGCTCACCGTCATGGAGAAGATTCTTGCCTCTGCGATTGGTGGTGGTTTGAGCGCGTGGAACCAGCCCATTGAGGTCATCCGCGTTGAAATGCAGTCGAAGACTGTGGACCCCAATCGCCCTAAGAATCTGACTGTTGGAAAAGCGTTCAATTACATCTACCAGAATAACGGTCTCAAGGGTCTTTACCGTGGCGTTACCCCTAGAATTGGGCTTGGAATCTGGCAGACGGTCTGCATGGTCGCTCTTGGTGACGTGTACGCTCCCCCATTCCTACCCTTGATTGTGAAATTATTGACTAACATTTGTTCAGCGCTAAGGAAGCTGTCGAGAAGCTTACCGGTGACCAGGTTACGGCGAAACACTAGATGGCGTTTGGAATACGAAGTCAAGAGTTTGATCTTCGATATCTATTCAATTTATATGCAAATCCTCAATGAGAGGTTTCCAATTTCGAAATGGCATGACTGCATAATCACTAAATTCCATCAATACGAATGAGTTTCATGCAGAGTAATTCTATTAACATAGACTGGTGGCATATCTGGATCAGTCACAGGACCAACCTGTCAAAGATTAAATGATTTTGTGCCTCCGAATGTCGACTAAATTATATGTCGAATTCACTCTCTGCCTGTCCAAACACATAATTGATGATACGTGGCTCACTAACAAGAACTTTGTTCGTGTTCACTCTCTAATCTTGCTTTTGATGAGTCAGTTGTAGGAGTGCTTACACTTTCCGCGTCACCTCACTCGAGCTGCCCAAGCTTGAAAACGCACGTGTCAATCCACCCAGACGGCGCTAGGAACGTCAGCCAACCACTCTCTTCCACTCACTACTCCTCCGGACGTCAAACCAAGTCCTCTTGTAGTCTCAAGAATGAACAATCTAAGATGTGGCATCACATCTCCTGCACATTGACTAGTGTGCAGCAGGGGTCTCAAAGGGTAAGCTCTCTTAGTTCGTATCTGGTCCCTCCCGCCATTGCACTTGAGCACAGTGGAACACTACAACCTCTTGTTCCCCGAGGCTCAATATCTTTCTAACAGAATTCCTCAACTTTATCTCGCGTTGTAATGACTTCTCAGCATACCAGTGTTGTTATGAGGACAGAAACCAAGAGGTGACTTGCTGACTACCAACAGTTCCCAAGTCCTTATGATCGACCGAAGATAAAGGCGTGGCGCTGCGAACTTACTGCCCTGTCTACATGCTACAATTTATATTTTGTCGTTTGCAACGACACAATCCACGTCTACAATCCGAGCTTCCCAAATCAACGCCTGTCCCACGAACCTGTGTTCATATTGTATCCGCCGGTATCATCTCCGCATCTCAGACCTAGTATTGATCCGGAAGATCCTCATTCCATTAGTCGCATACACATCGACCATTTGGGCCACGAAGAGATAGTCTTGGTCGCTTGCGATGACGGCGATGTTGTCGGTTATCGCGTGGATGAGATTCAACGCGCCTTAGAGCGTCGATCAAAATTCACAGATGGAGGTTCGGAAGTCACTAATGGAGACGCCGTCAAGGTGTTGTTTCACCACAATGTCGGTGCCAGCGCCTGGGGCATAGCTGTTCATCAAGAAGCGCGAATGATCGCAGTTAGCGCCAACACCCACAACATCACTGTATTTGCATTTGCTTTAACAAGTTCTTTGCAACATCTGGACGAGTCAGGATCTCATGATAATAGGGTTCCTCTGAGCAACCAAAGCAGACTAGACTTGCATGCTCCAAGACGAGAAGACCGTGTCATTACCCTTCGCGCCGGCACAAACGTTCCCGCTGTATCCTTTAATAACAGTGGCAGCGACCCGTATGGACGATGGCTCTCCAGTAGCTCTATAGATGGAAAGACCATTCTTTGGGATTTGCATCACCCGCAGGCACCAGCTCGAGTCATTCAGCTGGGATTCTGTGCAAGCGTCCAACACACAAACCAAGCTCCGAGGTTACCTCCTGGTATGTGTCATTGTCCAAGATCCAGCGCATTTCCTCACGGTGCCTGGGGAACTGTGTTCTTGGATCCCCATTCAGCTTATGAAGATGCTGCCGTCAATGAACCGGCGCCTGCACACATCTCCCCCTGCTTCCAAGATGTAAGCACACAAAAGGCAGGGTTCTTTACCAAGTCCAAAGACGATTTTTCATCTACAGGAGTTCAAGAAACCGAGTCGTTTGATGGAGAATCGAGTGACATGATCTTGTCAGATACCGAGTCCGGGGTGTCAGAAGAAGATATTTTGGATTCGAGTACAGACAGCGCGCACGCCAACTTTCTCGAACACACACAAGATGATAAAAATGATGAAGCAAGTCCGGAATCTGATCAGACATCTGTGGAAAGTGGTGAAGAGATGATACATGACGACTCTTCGCAACAAAGCAGTTCGCAGCTGAGTTCTCTCTTCATCCCAGAGCAGAGTCAATCCGCAGTGCAAACTGTCGCAAACGCGATTTCGGCTCATGCATCCAACACGCCACTACCGTGGTTTCAACCATTTAACCAAGAAGTCGCTGCAACCATGTATGACAGTGATGATGATAGCGATACAAACAGCGAGATATTCAACATAACGTTTGCTGCGGCATATTTACGACCTTCGATTGGTGCGCGTCCCAATCCCGCTTACTTCGAGGTTACAACTTCGCCTTCATTTCAAAGTCAAGTGTGTACTACCGTTGATTGCACTCCATACCGTCATAAGCTAACTGCATATAGTCCACTCATCTCTCTACACCATGCCTCATTGTTACTAAAGAGGACATATTCCTCTTCCAATGCCCTCTTGGCGCCCTCAACTATCCTCTCGATCCTATAGTAACCATGAGGAGACCACTTCACCCTCCAGACAATCGGAGTGGATGGGGAGGTCAGATCTTACCGTCCCATGATCGCCTTTGCTTCTCTACACAAATTCCTGAACTCGGCATCTTTATCGTCGCAACGCCTCACGGTCGGGCAGGAGTCTTCAGTCTAACATGGTCAAAACAGAAAGACCGACCAGTCCCAACTTACAAATTTCAACTCGAGTATATATTGCCGTTTTCGAAAGACAACAACAAAGAGCTTTGGAGCGTTGGACCACACGTACGTTTGTTGGGTGTGGCTGTTGGTCCAGTACAGGGTATGTTCGATCAGTTTGAAAAAATTGGTGAGGCAGCAGATGGAGTAAGGGTGTCTCCGTCGAGGAGGTGGCGGCTCTTCATGTACTTCTCGAATCATACTGTAGTGAGCTACGAACTTTCAAAGATGAGAGTTGGCGAGTCACCGAGCTTAGGAGACTTGGTTGTCTAGGTGTTTCAAGAGGGTTTCACCGCCCAACGCACCAGGACAATGGTATCTCACACAATCATGGTACGGAGTTTTGGCAACAATAGCGCCAGAAATTCGTACAAGCGCAGGTTGTAGGGAGTCAAAGTTCTGGCTCGTCACTATTATAGCCTAGGAAACATCCGATGAGCATATATGATCATTGCTTGATGCATGTTCATAAAGTTGAGAAAGCATGACTGTCTATTTTCATCCAAGAGATCTTCAATCGAGTTAGAATGATACTCGTAGTCCACTGCCTTACTTTGGACAGGATCCGCTCAGGAGGGTTGAGCTTGTATAGTTCTTCCAAGTGTTCTCACTCCCAATACGGGCAAGTGCTAGCACTGGGGCTCTATGGCACATAGTTCGCAATAACTCTGCTCTTGCTAACAATGTTGCCAGAACGAAAACAGAGTCTATCACACAGAGTGTAGCTATGCTACAGAAACCCTGAGTAGTAAATTGGCAAGGGTTCGCTAAGTATAATCAAGCTCTGATGTCTCAAGGCTCAAGCAACACTCGGCTCCAACAAACCAAGAACGTTGACAGTCTCGACTACTACACCTGAGGTATCATAATGGATGTAGACATATGTGAAGCAGACAGTACAGGAGAGCTATCAATTCAAGGCTGAAGAAGTATACTATATACACTATGGCGATCATTTTTGCAATCAATTCAATTAAACGCGATAAGTAGCCACCTTTGTTTCAAATCCCACCTTCACTTCAACTCTGTTCCTTACTCTCGTCAAACAAGTGTCACTCTACAACTCTGCTTTCTCCTCTTCGTCGTCTTCCAGAACACTACGGATAGGATCCTTCTCGGCACTTGCGATAGCCTTTTCAAATTTCTCTCCGCTCTTCTTGTCGTTCGCGAACAGGTGCTCACGAACCAGCCTCTGCGGCGTCTCACCCATCCACTGGAACAAAGAGAAATCCTGAAACTTGTCGGAACGGAAGATCTCAAGTACCTCGACGTCCTCCTCGTCACTCAAGTTTTCGATGAAATGACCCATGTTCTTGGGCACGATTCCGACGTCACCTGCTTGGTAGTCGAACGTACGGGCTGTACCTTCGGCGGCGAAGATGGTTACCCTTGCGCGGCCCTTGATGAAGTAGGACCATTCGTCCGCATTGGCTGTAGTGGTGTTAATGGCATGATAAGGGATGGGAAAGATCAAGACTTACGGTGCCAGTGCATCTCTCTGATTGCTCCAGGGTGGATGCTGAGGTGCGCAGCAGCTACGCTCTTCGAGACCGGAAAGTTGCCTGAATCAGTAATGCGGACGGTACCACCAGTTGTATTGAATGCTTCTTGAGCAAGCATCTTATGAGTAAATCGCTGCTTGGATTTCTTGTAGCCCTTGCTCTCGCTTGGGATCTCTTTCTCAATCGAGTCTGGGTTCGAGCCTTGGAAAATGTACTTCTCCTTTTGAGGGATGGCGTCGAACACCTCTGGAGCAACCCGAAAGTTCTCGGCAAGGACTTGCTTGGGGGTACGTGCAACCCAATCAGTGAGCAGAAAAGTCGAGTCCTCGGAGAAGTTGCCGTCGTCAAAGACGATCAGGAACTCAGTACCGTTGGGACTCAAGCCTTGAAGTGAGTGAGGATGGCCCGAAGGAAAGTACCAAAGGTCACCCTTCTCGAGATCGTCAACGTAACTACCACCCTCGGTATCAAGGACTGTGATTCGGACTGAGCCTTCAAGAACGTAAGCCCACTCGGCTTCCTTGTGCCAGTGAAGTTCTCGAATGACACCTTCGTCAAGTCGCATGTTGACGCCGGCTAGCTCTTTGCTTGTAGGAAGCTCTCGAATGGTGGTTTGACGCGTCCAACCACCTTCTTCGATACGGATGTGAGAGTCGGCGAACGACCATCTCATGTTGGGCATGTTGCCGTGATCGGTGCTAGGAGGGCGAATCATGTCAGGATTCTGACGTTCACGCTCCCTGTTGCGCGGGCCCAGCATGGTTGCACCCTCGCCATTTCGCTGTTTCCAAATCAGCGATCGTTTTCTTGTGACAAGTACATGAAATGACATGCGAGGAGTGAGAAACGATGGCGTGCACTAAAGGGCACTGCTGCTCCTTGTCACTAGAGAGAGGTATCTACTAACCCATGGCAACGGTTGAAGCTTGTTTGTCTCTGCGTCAACCTTCTTATCGTATGGGTCGCGGTAGTCTGGCGTATAAGGGTCTTGAACCTTATGGGGCCCAGCATGATGGCGGACATTAGCAGCAAGTGGCTTTTGATCAACAGGTGCAGCACAAGCGCAAACACCAAGTGCGACCAACAGCGACGGAAGATGCATGTTGAGTTTCAATCAACCTCAGTTGGAAAAAGGACTAAAGAATTGAAGTTGTTCGAGATGCCAAACCGGCAGCATCGCGCTATTTGACGTTGTCGCGAACCTACCACGCTACCAATGACGACACACTGAGCAGCGATTGCGTATACTAATTCAGCTTCTCCTCACTATACCCCCTCACGAAACAATTCTTCCACGCATAATACACCACTAAACAATCACAAAAAGTGCACTAGGAAGGTGTTGTGTAACGATCCCGCGATATCCTTGGATTGCCGGCGAAGCTTGTCTAAAGCTTGGTCTGGGGTAAGCTTACGTGCATCTCAGCTAGTCGGTTAACCGGGAATCAAGTTGTAGCGCTGGACACTCAGCAACACCTCCAATATCAAACGAGCAAGCATTGTTTCTTGTTATAAGAACTTCCTCGAGGTTGGATGCACATTGATCTGAGTTTTTGCAGTAATTTCTGCCCCATTGTAATATCGTCTGATCTCGCTCGGAGCATTCTTGCAAAGATCAATTCCCGGTCAATCGACGCCGTGCCTGTCGATCTCGTACCATTTGCAAGGGTGCCCTCAGCTGTCCTCGGCCCGTTCCAATCGACGTTAAAAGCTTCTCCACCTGCTGCATTTATCTGCAACGATCCTACACATACCTCCTGCAACCATGAATATCACGTCACACAGGGACACCTCGGGACGTACGGCAGACGAGGAAACCCCGCTTCTGGCCCGTCCCGGCAAAAACTCGGACTCGTCTCGGATATGGCTTCGGATGAAAAGGCACATGGCAGCGGACGTCAGCAAGAATTGGGCTGATCTGATCTTGCTTTTCTGCTACATAGTCACAGGACTACTGGATAGCTCGGCTGTCTTCATTTGGGGCTCGTTTGTAAGCATGCAGACGGGTGAGTAAAACACGGTGCTTGCATCGACCAGTCAGCTCATGCAAAGACTAGGAAACACCATCTACCTTGGTCTAGGACTCGTCGCTCCTACCGAGGGTATCCGTTGGGTCAAGGCACTGGTATCGATATCGTCCTTCTGTCTGGGATCGTTTTGTTTTGCTCGCTTCCATCGATACTTCACACCAGCGAAACGATGGGTGCTCGTCACGTCGTATTCGTTCCAGACTCTCCTGATCGTCGCGGCAGCCCTAATAGTCACAATCGGCAACAACTCTACTAATGAGCTACATTGGCAGGTTTTGGTGCCGCTGGCGTCCGTCGCGTTTCAGTCAAGTGGCCAGGCTGTAACTTCGCGAGCGTTAGGATATCACGGGCTGACCAGCGTGGTCTTGACGAGCAACTATTGCGACGGCTTCTCCGACCCGAATCTTTTTGTCTGGAAGAATGTGGAGAGAAACCGGAGAATGGCGGCGCCGCTACTTCTGCTCCTTGGGGCCTGCATTGGTGGCTTGTTTGCGCACAGCGATATTGGACTCGCAGGCGCACTCTGGACAGCAGTGATCTTGAAGACTGTAACGGTCATAGCGTGGGTGTTTTGGAAGTCCGAGGCAGGCGAACAGTGAGAGAAGCGTGGGTGCCGGGGACTACAAGTGCGCACGAGCTTTTGATTTAGAAGAAACATACATGGAGTTGGGCGTTGTTAACAAGTTGTGTATAAGCTTTGCTGGCCTATTATTCTACAAGAACTCCGTTACACTTCGTAGTAATTCACTAGGTTTCTCTGCTACTCGTGTTCACAAGATGTCACTTTTCTTTAATGTGAATCATATTTTATAAAAACCACGCTAATCGTCTATCTGATACACATCGTCGACACTCGCCAGCGAGCCGAACGGAAAATGCTTGGCAATGATGTGTGATCGGCTGGCAGGTGGTTGGACCATATATCTGTGCTTCCCAAATGAGATTCAGTACCTCCCGTCTTCAATTATTTCCATTTATTTCGAGAAGTGACATGCTTTCCACCTAAGAGGATCAACTTCTCTCTCTGAATTAGAGATTGTTCACATACTACCCAAGGCTATGGAAAAGTTGCAAGCTGGATAAAGAACATAGCTCGCTCGTTGTATTCACAAGAGTTTCAACTGCAATATAGGAACATCTTGTTGTAAATGACTCTAACATGGGTACCTCTGCTCTGATTTAGTTCCTGATTAGAGCTCATTTGAGGTCATTGGCTAACGGCACACGGTATGAACTGCGGTCTGCTAATTGGTCGCGCATGACGATATGAAATCATAACAATAAACCGAAATCTATATCTGATGTACAAGAGTGGGTGTGCTAGTAAAACGAGCCTACTGCGTGCAGACAGCCGCCAGGCGTATCTGTAAATTGCTCCACAACGGGACGCTATTCATGCCGAGAGATGAGGGGAGCGCATGACTTAAAGCACAATTCATTGAGATGATCCAATGTGGAGGCAGACGATCATTGATCAGAAATTAGAGCAAAGAGAAAACAACAGCTTGCTGTTGCGTAAGCCTATGCTTGACTGCCTCCATAATCCATTTGTAGCTGTATAAGATATTGGATTGAGCACACCAAGCGTTTGAGAAATGACAAGTTCAGTAGTTTCCAGTTGTCGCATAATTTTGTGGCCTCTGAAGACACGAACCATCTGTAAACTGAGGTGAATTGAGATGACGATTCGGCGAAGACCACCGTGAACTCGGATGGCAAGCGAAATGATCTGCTGATGACCGTTCAGAGGACTACCACTCCACAGATGTTTCCGGTATGACTGGGATCCCCTGTTTGTACCAAAACCAAAGTAGGTTATGCTCGTCTCAGACACACAACGTGGCTGGCCGTATGTTGATCGTCCTTTCGATCCCAACTTTCACCCTACTGTAACTCTGACGTTCATACGAGCACTGTTGTGCTCAGATGAGGCGGGGCTATAGCGAACTGAGCAATGATCGGGATTTGATCGAGCAAGAGACTTCATCGCGAGAGCTCGAGGCTTGTTTGATTGGCAAAATCTCTGAAACTATACGAGCCAATTAATTCCTGCACCTTCAACAGCCTCTTCTGAGCCATTATGAGAGGTATTGGGTGTTTGAAAACCACTACGATCACAGTGCGAGTAGAAAACATGATAAGACACCGCCGTACCCACATCGCATAGGCTTCACCTCGAAGCTCTGGCTGCTGCGTCATGTCGATTGCAGTGGGCGTGCGAGCAGCAGCAGCACCAACAGCGCTAACCCAGTAAAACACACCGGACATGTTGTTCCAGAGGTTGGCGGTATCGGTACGTGTTAACACTTCGTACAGAGTTTCGGTAAGACGGTTTGCGAGTACATACCCTCTAGCTTTGGAGTCGGTCTGGATTACTGAACTGGAGAGAACCACATTGCGAGCGGGATCGGCCGCAACAGAAAAAGGGACACACATAACAATCGCGGCCGTGTAGATGAGGGCAGTGATGCGGCAAGATTCATATATCCAGTCATTGAAAGTTGGGAGACCTGGCGTGTCAGCCGAAGGTAACAACGCCACTCGTTCGAGTATGCCGGTGACTTTCATGTTGTAGTCAAACGACGCAGAGTCCAGGCGTTTGCTTGTCTCTGGGTCCGCAATTCGAGTCGTATTCAATTTTGTGTTATGGCTTATAAACAAGTCAGTGAGATTGCGCATGTCGCAAAGTAGGCTGTAGGTAAGCGCTGAACAGTGCATGGCTCTGTTGATCGTGGTGAAGTCATTCTTTTGACAAAACAGAGGAGATTCCGGAATGTCTGTTAAATCGATCGGAGCAAGCGTAAATGGCTCCCAAGTTTGGAATGGCGGCGGTGGATTTGATTCGCAGACTATATCGGATTGGTAACAGCATCTACACCAACATTAACATAGACCCAAGGCGAGTGATGGGAAGCACTTACGCTGCGGTCACTTCGGCTATCGCTCCATTTCCGCCCAGACAATCCATTCCACCTCGCTGCACAACAAACCTAGCCGCTGCAGTCTCATGCATACGCAGTGTCTTCTCGTTACAGCTCCACATCTCACCAGCGAGTAGGTTGACAATGACCATGAGCGTGGCATCTTCGAGACGGGTTTCGGGATTCCGAAGCCGAGCGTTGATCATCTTGATTGTTTCCGCTTTGACCATGGTGGTTCGCTTACTATCGCCTGGGCAGCCTGCGTGCATGTCAAGCCACGTGGATGGTGGCAGCGTGGAGCTGAGTATGATGTGTGGGTGCGAAGGGGTCCACTTTTTGTGTATTAACTCCGTCGTAAAAGCTTTGATGCATTCACGCACAAGGTAAATGGTGTTCAGTTCGGGATTTTGGAACCGGGGTAACAAAGTGGATGGGTCAAGATCGCGGCTGATGTGATAGCAACTAGCCAGCGTCTCAATGAATACCTGGATTTGGCGCTCCTCATCGCGATGTCTATTTTCGTAGTCGACTCGTTCAATCACATCTTGATTGCGTGACGTGGTTACAGGCACACCATGGAAGTGCTGTAAGTCGCTTGGTTCAGGACGGGCAGTCAAATATTGGCTTGGCTGTTCAACCTTGACGAGATGCTCTGATGTGGATCCAGGGCCCCACGTTGCCGGGATAGACGGAGGCAGCGGATCCGGTCTCTCTTGGAAAGAATTCACGGTCGGCTCCAGGGGTTTGTTCTTTAGCATAGAATCCTCGTGTCTCCAGTGTATCATAGCCTGCGACCGCACGCTCCTTTTCGCGTCTTCATCCCTGAACTGCGAGGGATCAGTTGCCGTAACGAACTGGAACTGCGGACGACCATCGCGCTTGACCCGTTTTCGGCTGGCTCTGGCATTGGGTTGTGGATCTGGAGGCAGCTTAGAGGAGTCTGTACCACGTTAGACACACCCACGGGCGCAACTGAATGATGACTGTACCTTTGCCGACGCTGCCGCGAGCCGAAGCCATGGACTTGAAAGGGGTTCTTAGCAGAGACCAGCAAGAGATGCTCGAGGCGCGATAGATCGGTTGAGAGATTGAGCTCCCTCATACCGGAGGAAGGCATTTTTGAGGCTTGCAGTGCTTGGGGTTTGCAGTCACAAGTCCAAGACTCGCTTCCCTAAGCGCCCCCATCATGTACCTTCAGAGTAAGGCAACTAGAATAACCGACCGAGTCAAAGCCTTACATCTCCCTGCCTCAGCGACAGATGAGAGAGCGTGTACGCGTAAGGTTCATGTGTTACCTCACCGAAATACATTACTACATTATTCTTCATCATGCGTCGCGTTGTTCTATCTCGTTAGGCATACTGTGTCGCGTCGTGTCGTCGGAAGTTGCATGCTGGAGTGGGGCCGTTCGGCCGGCCTACCGAGCGTAGTACCGGTAGCGGTGCTTTGCTTATTTCAACTCCAACCACGTTCACCATCCCCACCTTGATCGTTTCTACGCCGATTCATTGAGTTCGTAGACCAACGCTTTGAAGGCGACGAGTGACTACGAGCAGCCACAACACACAAACTCTCACGCATCAGGGCCACTCACGGCTATTGGTCACCCAGCAGACAACGATCCAGGAGCGTCCGTGCCATCCTGCCGCGATCCACCCACACCTGTACGACACCATCTGCAGTCATCACTGTACACCCCAAGTTTTGCAGCCCAGTGTCCTGATAGATGTTTTATTTGCTTCTAGTCTGCTGATGTGACATACAACATTGGCAACGAAGGCATCAGAGTCATGTGATCTATGTGTCTCCCAATGGGCTCGATGATTGAAGTATTCTTGCATGAACAACCTCAAGTGCAGGACATGTGCATCCTGCACAAGTTATCTCCAAGCGACCCACTAGGGAGTTAGATCCCCACCTGGCATCTTTGGAAGTGGTGTAAGGTCTGGACTGCGAAGTCTTTCAAATTCGGGAATGATCTCTCGCCCTCGCAATGGACTGCCAGTTGGGTGCGTCAATGAGTTAATCCCCTTGTGGTATGTATGTCGAAAGCCACCGAAATAGAGTTGTGGGGTTCCTGCAGGAGTTTTTGGAGGGAATGGTCGATTTGTAGGAAAAGAAAAATAATCCATCGTCTCGTCGGGTTTCTCTGTGGCAAGGGAACACAGTAGTGTTACCGGTGATGGGTCGTCTTCCTTTCTCCAGTACCCCGGGGTTGGAAACAGTTTTGGTTTCTTTGCTGGTGTCTTTGAGGCTGAAACAGGCTCTATGGGTAGTGAAAAGTAGTCTTCCACGTACTCTTCAGGCTGTTCTAGGGCAACAGAACAAAGTGGTATAAAACCGTGAGCTACATAAGGAACTGGATTGGGAGACAGGCGAGGTTCTTCGTCCAGCAATCTTTCATCGTCTAAGAAAGTCTCTCTGGATAAGGAGTCGCTCGCGGGGAGTGAGAAGTAGTCGTTTGCATCATCCCTAGGCTCTTCGAGGGCAACGGAACAGAGTGGAATAAACCCATGCGCTTCATAGAGGGAAAAGCTTGAGAACAGTGAGCTTTGGGTCTCGATTGGCGCGAAGCAATCGGTTTGCAAAGACTGCTCTGTACTGTCTTGAACAATGGGTGTTATACGTGGCGATCCGAGCGGTATGAGGCCACTCGGAGTGGACGGTGTTGCGAGTAGAACACGTGGGGGGCTCGCGGTGTACTCCCGGCGGAGAGAGGGTTTAGGTATGGTAATGTGCATGCAAGACGGTCGGGATTGCTGGTCCGACATGTTCAAGTCCTATTCTGGCGAGAAGAAGGTACGATGCCAGGATCTTGAACTGGTGAGAAGATAACACACAAGATGTCTGAGAGAGCGTTTCGTGAACTTACACCAGCATGGGAATATGACGTCTTTAAGCACTTCTTTTGCGGTCACGAACAACATCCTAGCGTGAAGTTTTCGCGGCGATTGCTATCCCGTTTGTCACGTTGTCCACGTTCACAGGTTTTGTTCAAGATCGAACTTTGCAAACGTCGAGTTCATTCACTGGTTTGAAAATTTGAAACACGGTCGATTACTGCCGGCCAATGAGTTCACGAGGAATATGTATTACTTGTCTCATAAACGTGGCGCAAAACTTTTCGTTTGCGCTGGTACTCAACTGGTAGTCTAACCATGGTTGGACATTTACAACCTCTACCTGATGCCCCACCGGAAATCGATCCAGACGTGCTACTTCGTATATCTGCATTATTCGATCGGCCTCTGAGTGTCGAGACAGATATCAGTTCACATTCAGCATGTGCGCATGATACTCATGCAAGGGCGGACACACCCACAGATACCACGGCCCAACCCTCGTCTGCTGACAAGATGTTATCGTCAAGTATCGATGTCATGACTGAGCCCAAGCTCGAAAACCCGTCATCACTAGAGCCTGATCTTGAGATAGAAGAGGGAATATACTATGCACAAGATCGAGTGCAGATACAGCCGGAGTTCCACAAGACACAAGTCATTGCGCGCTACATCTACCCATCCGAGCGCCGTCCTACACAAACAAATCAGAGGATACCTCTACCTAAACAAGCTTCTTTCCTCACACGTGCCTTCCACTGGATAAGCAGCTCCTTCCCGTTTGTACGGCTCACCCGCAAACCCATCATCTTGCATCTCAACGAAGCTATAAGAAATCTGGGACGTGGAAGTCCTCATACCCAGAAAGAAAAGGTGGTAGGGGTATTCCTATTTCCGCAGGCCTTCACTGGAAGCACTGACTTAAACACTGTTCCCATGGAGCTTGCTGCTAAGCCCAGGAGGATTCGGGAGATCATAAGAGATGAAGGATCAGTCGTTTTGGTCGAGGACATCTACGATGACGCGATTCAGCAAGCACTCCGGAATCTGAGGGACAACGCGTAGATGAGTGAGAGTAAGAACGATCGTCTTTCGCTCCTGTCCGACATAAATGTTTGGCTGGAGTAGGTTCGCAACTGCCTCGTTACAACACCACACATCCTGGAGAATACCGCTGCACTTGTTCGACTGCTGTTGCAATACAATACACTAACAACAGCATTTCCGCTCGCGTTTACAATCTTTATCTCAGACTTCCTTAAAATTTATCTCAGGCCATAGACCTTCTCTCATAAGTCTCTCGTTTCGATATTTCTCACCACACATCGTCAGTATGTCTACACTGACACCACTCGCTCCTTACGACACCCGCAGCGCTCGGGCAGCGGCACTCGCAGCTCATGTTTCTGGTCCTTTATCAGCAGCAAAACTCGCAGCACAGGGAACGAGAGTGCTCACCTGGCGCGCCACTGGCATAACCATACCTGACACTCGCGTTGATATCGTCCTTTCCAACAAACCTAACAAGATCCTCTTCCGAGACGTGCCCTACGGAATGCTCATCGATTTCTGCGGTACAAACATTGTCAATCATTATAGAGCACACCCGTCATCCGGTTCTCGCAGACTGATACTGCCCGCCTCCAGGTGCGAAGGGCTAGGACTAGACGTCGTTCTCTCATGGATGATCATGGCATACGAACAAGCTACCCACGACATCATACCTGTGGAGCCATATCTCGCCAACCTACTTACATTCTGCTGCATTGAACGCGCGCTCAACGTTTTGGGCCTGTACAACGAAAGAGGTCGAGTTTGCAGGAGACTCGAGTACGAGATATCAAGACGAATACTGCCTGTCCACGATCTTGTCGAGGTGTGGAACACGCTTCCGCAAGGTAGCTACTGGGTTGGCAAGATACTCGACCATATTCGACGTCGTCTAGTTACGAAATAGGAATCGAAGCATTGCCCTTGTGGGAGGGAACATCAAGATCAACGCCATTACTGCCTCTACGTAATGCTGGCCCACAACGCTGCCTTTTCCGCCTGGGTTGAGTGCGGTAACTTCAGATACGGCCCACATCTTCTCACACGCTTTGGACGCGGATGCGAGAGTCCAAGACGTATGGCCAGGATGGGGAAGTGGATCATGGATATTGAAGATATGTCGCCTTTGCCTCTTGGTAGGTTCCCGACAGGACCCAGCTTCGGAGGGTATGGCAAACGGTTCAAACGTCCGATACGCATTCTTCGCAAAGATATCCAAGGACGGTACGAGCTTGAATATGACGATGACGAAGAGCGTTATGTGGAAGTGTACAACGATGGTTGGGGGATGATCAGCGCCTTGACCAATACCAATCTCGTAACTACAGAGGCCAGTCGAGTGTGGTTGGAGGCTCGAGGGTATCTTGGAGTTGCTGGAGACCAGCAGCGTCGAATTGACTCGGGCATCGTCATGGAAGGGGACTGCGTTAGGGACTCGGTGGGAGAGGGAAGTAAAGAGGGGTTGATTGTAATGCCGTGGTGCTCGGATAAATTCTCATGCTGATGTATGTACGGTACACATCTCTAGTTGAGAGGACATGGTTCTGTGTTCGGCCAGCTCACGTTTGTATAGTAGTTAAAGTCGAACAATGTGCATCACATACGAACAAAGTCTAAGCCTCACGTCATCTACATTACATGTACACCCCTAGAAATGCTACAGAATGGCAGCTGAAACTCCGGCCCATATGCTTAGGGTATCATTCATACCAGATGGCGTTGAATCTTCTCCATAGAACGCAATAGTAAAAACTCCGCAAAACTTTTCCTTGTATCAGATAGGCCAGAGGCAGACAATGATTACGCCGATATGAGAGGACCGTGGAAGTCGCGCAGAGTAGCCACTAAATCATCCTCTCTGCACAGCTGTAAAAGCAACTTTTCCTGTACTTCTTTCCACTTCTTCAGCGCGTCGAGTTCGCCTTTGCTTAGCCATTTTTCTTCGTTGCCAACGACATCGGAGCGCTCCGCTTTGCTGAGTAGAGGCAGCGCTTTCTCACGTTCAAAGGCGATGCGCTGCAGGATGCGCACCATGCCCTTGTATGTGTCGTGGAGCAGCTTCTCGCGAGCGCGTTGCCGATCGTACCAGATGAGATGTAACGAGTGTTTTGCTTCTCGCCTCTCTACTTTGGGAATTTCCTGTGTCTGGACGAAGCCTTGGACGGTGAGATCGTTGACGACACCGCGAATGTCGTTGGCGGACATCATCATGGCGTTGCAGGTGGCGCGTTCGTCTAGTTTGCCCTTTTTCCTCAAGGCGCGAATCAACTTGACACCTAAGGCGCCCTTCCTGGCGGATATTGTGTTCTCGACCTCGTTCTGGATCATCTGTTTTGCGATTTCCTCGAATTCAATGTGCCATTGCGAGTACCCAGCGCGGGAGTGCCAGGTCACGAAATGCAAGGGGTCTTCAGCAAGCATCTGGATATGCTTGTCTACGATGCGCGTTTTCTCATCTGTGCTGAGGTTCGCTGGATCGGTAGGCTGGCTGAGCATGTTCTTGCGAACGTGACCTTTTCTCGTGATTGAAACGATTGCGTTGGGATCGAGCCCCTCGCAGATGTCCAGGTCGCGGCTGAGCTTCTTCATGACATCTCGAGCAGTGACGAGGAAGCGGGGGTCAATGCCCATATCTTCACCGAGGTCTCCATTAAGCGGCGGAGGCTCTGGCCACTCCTCGTAGCATCGCGGGATGTTGTATTCCAGCATGCGGAGCATGGTCTGGTATATCTGGGCGGTGACGTAGCCAAGCCGTTGTTCAACTAGCTGCACGAGGTGCTCGGTGCGCATGGCCACAGCGATCTTCTCTGGATTGACGCGAATGACGAGGTTGTCCTCGGGCGAAGAGGCGCCAGATGCTGACCAAGCGTTTGTTCCATTCATCTTGACGCGCTTGTTTGCGCCGTTGTGGTCGGAGTCGCTGGTTGGGCCCCTGCGCGTGAACTTGGGCACGATAAGCCAGTCGTCGCGCATTTTTCGTTTCCGGGCCTGGGTCCCTCTATGAACCTTGTCCTTGTCCTTGTTGCCCGTGGCTACGACGCCTGCATTGTCCTGCTCGATGGCCTCCTGCTGAAGCATGTCGTGCATGTCTCCTGGAGACAGGTACTGGGTCTCGGTGACGGTGCGCACCCAACCGCACTTGATCAGCCGCTCGATGGTGTTGTAGAGGTCGTCGACCGAGGTGATCTCGCCGTCAGCGTGCTCGTCAGATGCGTGCTCGTCATGTCCTGCGCCTACGCCATTCGTGACGCCGTTTGCCTTGGGCTGCTTGTGGACACCGTTGGTGAGGCTTGGCTCCGGGGGCCCGCCGTTCGTCCCGTTCGCGTGGGTGCCGTTCGCCCTCTTCCTCTTGGTGCCGGCGCCGTTTGCAAGGCCGTCGTCTGAGTCATCGTCGGTGTCGGTGTGGGGCGGGAAGTAGGCGTCCTTGAGATCTGCGACGCGCGTGTGGCCGAGGGCCAGCAGGTTGGACATGACGTTGGCGGCCTTTCTGCCGAAGCGGTCCTCGACCAGCTTGGTGACCTTGCCCAGGCGCACGAGGGCGTACGAGTTCAGCCAGTCGATCTCGTAGTAGGTGGGCGGGGCATCGTTGCCCGAGTGGAAGACGAGGTGCTGCTGCAGCAGGATGACGAGGCCCGACTTGATCTGGCGGCCGTTGAGGTACGAGGCGCGGGCGATTGCCGCGAGCGTCTGGCGGCCGTGGCGCGCGAGCACCGAGTAGACGCGCTGGGGCTGTCAGCAGTGGTTCACGTCGCAAGGCAGACGCAGCGGGCGCCGCGGGGTGCGAGGGGACGGCGCATGGCCAGACGGGAGCTACACGTACCGCTGCGAGTTCGCCGTGAACATCCTCGACCAGGAAGGTGCAGAGCTCGGCGAGGATCTGGAGGAGCAGTTGGTCACGGGATTGCGCAGAGCAGGACGGGGGGCAGCGGGCCTACCGGAGTCTCGCGCTGGTTGTACGACATGGTAGCGCCCCGATATTTGCCAGATATCCAGGGGACGTCGCGGCTACCGGAGAGACATCTGGCGTGCAATGGGCAGCAGCGAGGGCTGGCGGCGAGCTCGAAGAAATGGCAGTAGCGGGGAATTTAGCGGGCGGTGGGCGGAGCGAATCACAGCGGGCGCAATGGGCGTTAGTGGCACGGCCGGCGACCAAACCTTCTGCCATCACCTCGACCTCACCCTGCACCCCCATCCATTGCCCTCCCCCAGCACCCCGCACGGCGCCGCCCTTCACCATGTACACCCGCACGACCGCCTGCCGGGGCTACGCGCAGCGAGTCGCCCGCCACCAGGCCGCCCACTCGCAGCGTCGGGGGCTTGCCGCGCCCGCCTCGGGCTCGTTCCAGTACCAGTCGGGCGAGGCCAAGGGCGTCAAGTTTGCGAGCAGAGACTTTGCCGGGCCCACGACGACGCTGGCCCTGGTGGCCAAGGCGGGCACGCGCTTCCAGCCGCTGCCCGGCCTGACCGAGGGCCTTGCCAACTTTGCCTTCCGGGGCACCGAACGCCGCTCCACGCTGCGCATCGTCCGCGAGTCGGAGCTGCTCGGCGCCAGCCTCAACGCCTACCACTCGCGCGAGAACCTGATCCTCGAGGCAAAGTTCCTGCGCGACGACCTGCCCTACTTTGTCGAGCTGCTCGGCGAGGTGGCCAGCTCCACAAAGTACCAGCGTAGGCCCACGCCCCGTCCATGCCCCCGCCCACGACGCCCTACTGACCCGCCCCAGCCCACGTCTACAACGAGGAGGTCCTGCCGCTGATCCACTTCGCCCACAAGCGCTTCCTCGCCAGCGTCACCGACATGGCCGTCGCCTCGGCCCACAGCCTCGCCTTCCACCGCGGCCTCGGCATCCCCACCGCCTCGGCCTCGCAGACGCCCTACACGAAGTACCTCGACGCCCAGACCATCGAATACTACTCCAAGATCGCCTACGCCAAGCCAAACTTCGCCGTCGTCGCCAACGGTGCCGACCACGGCGAGTTCTCCAAGTGGGTCGGCGAGTTCTTCGACAACGTCCCTGCCGCGCCCGTCGACGAGTCGAGTGTTGGCAGCCAGCAATCCAAGTACGTTGGTGGTGAGGAGCGCATTGCCCACGACGGCGGCAACGCCATGGTCATTGGTTTCCCCGGCTCCAGCTCCTTCACCGGCAAGTTCTACCAGCCCGAGATTGCTGTCCTTGGATCCCTGCTCGGCGGCGAGTCTGCCATCAAGTGGTCCGCCGGCTTCACCATCCTCGGCCAGGCTGCGTCCCCAGGCACAAAGGTCAAGACCACCAGCGCCATCTACTCCGACGCAGGGCTCCTCTACACCACTATTGTTGGTTCCGCTCAGGGCGTCGCCTCCACCGCAAAGGCTGCCGTCGAGGCCATCAAGAAGATTGCCTCGGGCGAGATTTCGAGCGAGCAAATCGCAAAGGCAAAGGCCGCCGCCAAGTACAAGGAGCTCGAGCACGGCCAGGACGTTCGCGCAGGCCTGGAGCTTACTGGAAACGGACTGGTGCACAACACAAAAGCGTACCAGATTGACGACGTTGCCAAGGCTATCGATGGCGTCACAGAAGAGACCGTCAAGAAGGTATGTTTACCTTCGCAACTCGCTACCCTTTTCGACATGTATACTAATGAAATATTCCAGGCTGCCAAGCAATTACTCGAGAGCAACGCCACAGTATCTTCTGTCGGTGACCTCTTTGTGCTGCCGTACGCTGAGGAGATTGGTCTCAAGGTGTAGATATAGTGACAATGAGGAGCGAACTAGTGGAAAATCTCGTCGTTTGGCTCAGAGCTTGTGTAACATTATCTTGTGATGGTCCCAATAGTTCCAGATAGAAGTGTTTTATATGAGCATTTTCGTTTGTTGTCTCGTTTGATTCTGCCTTTACCCTATATGGGTGAGCTGCAGCATGTATGGGACGAATATGAGTTCCGATTTCTTCCGAACCATCCATCTCACACGCTTGCACGAACGCCTGTTTGCACGTGTCTACGTGATGAGTGCACAGACCACAATGCGTCAACGTCACTCCAAATAAGACGGGCTTCTTCTTCCAAACGCCAACAACGCGATCGCACAAGTCGACAATCACCATGGCGCCAACCCTCTATCCCCGCGGTACTGTCAAGAAGATTGTCAAAGCTCATGCAAACCGCACACTTGGCAAGAATGTCGATATCCTTGTATGTTTGTTTGTTTGCTTGGATAGACGAAGGAGAAATATACTAACATGGGATAGATTTTCCTCAACTACGCGTTATTCATGCAAGAGTGCGTAACACCGCCTCCTTATCGTGACTTGTATTTGTCGAAATAAAGATGTGATGGACGTGGTTGTGGGGAAAAGTACTAACATGCACAGACTCATCAATGAAGCGTCCATCAAGAGCAAACAAAACGGAGAAAGAGGCTTGTCGGCGCGAAGTGTGAAGAAAGTCAGCGAGGGTTGTTTGAGAAGGTGCAAGGGCTAGGTCGGCCGGATGTGTCGAGTATCTGCAAGATTGGCGTTTTTGGAGTCTGGGTCGGGTACATATGAATACGATACCCTAGGTTAGGTTGAGAAAGGAGAAGAGTATTGCATTAAGAGGCTTAATCAAAGGCAAGTTTATCGAGAAGGAATATGTCAACTTCTTAGCGCTATACGATACCAACTCGCATATCCCCCTGTCACGGCTACTTGTTCGAAACCTTCGCCACTACCCACCCTTCAGCATACCGCTTCCCAGTACCCGCCTCGGGAACCTCGACCTTGATACCCATATCCTCCCCAGCAGCAATGTCCTTTTTCAGCACAGCATTCTTAACCCCTGCAACCGCAACACCAAGCGCGATACAACTCGCCAACGCGCTCTGCACCTCCTTGACCCACGCCTTTTCCACCCCCTCTGCTTTGGCAGCCTTGGCACCGAGCTTCTTCATCTCTGCAAAGGCTCCTTTCGCCGCTTTCAAACTTGTGTCGATTTCGCTCCAAACATCAGACTTTGCGTCTTGCAAATCACTGTAGAACGTGCTTGCTGGTGAGGAGAAGGCGCCGTATGGTTGTGTGTGGGTTTGAAAGTCGTCAAACGCTGGGACTTCTGGGGGCTGGAGCATGTGGAAGGGCTTCATGCGTAGTTCGTACCGCAGTTCCTCGGTGGAAAAGGGCCGCTTGGGGGTGGGGAGTAGGCCCAGATACAGCAAGACCATGTAAAAGCGTGCCAAGGCGAGACTGAGAGATGCGATGCCTCCTGCTTCCACAAAGAGGCTGTCTAGATAGGGCGTAGCATCTTCAACATCCTGTGTCTCGCGCAGTCTCCGGGCCTGGAGAAGCTGTTCGCTGCGGGTTAGGTAGTGTATTTCCACGCGTTTGAGAAGCTCCTTGCGCCGAGTAGCGATCAGACTCAGAAATAGGTACATTCCTGCAAACTCGTCGGGAAGATAGATCTCTTGCTCGAAGCCTAGGAGGAGGATCTTTTCAATCATCCATAGCTTCTTGTGATAGGCCCATGTTGACAAAGAAAACTCAAGTATCTGATCGGAAATACCCAGCTCTTCTGCTGTTCGCGTGATATCGGTGTCGACAAGGCTGGCATCCGCTTGGAGGAGATCCCATCCAGCGACGACGTGTGACAGCATGCGCCGCAGTCGACATCGGTTCTGGCCCAGCGCAACCCAGAGGTCGAGATACGGTTGTCCAGAACGGTCGACAAATTCGTCCATGAGCATGGCTAATTGAAGGCGAGGGGGTTTTGGAAGGAGTGGGTTGCGAGGCGGAGAGAGTGACCAGTTTATGGGGTCCAGACAAGGCGAAGAAGGGAAGACGAGAGAGCTTACGTCTGCTAGTGGGAGTGATGTTGATGTCTGAAGGATTTCCGGGTGGAAGAGTAATGTTGCGAGGTATGATCTTGAGTATGATAGTGGTGCAGGTAAGCGGGAGGCGAAAGTCCAGAGGAAAGATTGGTACTCCAGAGGATCTGGTCCGAGGGTGATGAATCGCGTTGCTTCTTCGCAATCGATGGACATTTGCTGAAGTTTTTCTAGCGCATCCTCAAATCCGAGTTCCACAATGGGCCTTGGAGGCACAGTTGCTGCAAGCTTCCGTTGTATCTTTGGGCTGAAAGCGCTCGGTACTACTTTTCCTAGTTCGTGTGTGGCTTTGAACATATCAATGCCTTTCAATACCGGAGGCCAGGAATACGACATGTGTTCGAGTGAGCAATCCAAGTCCATGGCCCGGAGAAGGTCTTTTCTGAACTCTAGTCGACTGATAATGGCTGATCGAAAAGTGTCCTCAATCTGGAGATCCTTGCTGCACCGAGTAAGCATACACCTCAGCCATGGCTTCTCCAGGGTGACAGGCTTACTCTTCCATAACTTCCATGGCGGCATCCAACTCTCTCAAAAACACATCCATTGGTATACTGACAAACAGTACACGGTTATACGTATTCGTGCAAAAGTCTTCCTCTTCAAAGTAGTCTCTACTGGTGATCTTAGCTATGACGAAATCACAGCCTTTGATGAGCGCTAGACAGTACGCTCGCAGCACCTCGAGCAATGTTCCTGGCTTATTTTCATCAGATATGTCGCCCCGATAGAACTGCGCTTGTTCAAGTGTCTTGGGTTCCGGCCAAAGAAGCTTGTCCATGTACACCGAAGTGAACAGCGTTTGAGACAGAGGATAGCCAGTGTGCCATGCCATCTCGTGGCAGAGCAGTTGGTCCATGATGCCGATTAGTTCTTCGGGTAAGAGTGGCTTCAGGGTATCATAATCATCGTCGAGAGTCTCGCCAGGTTGAAGGTAGCCGCTGTCCATCTTGGCATCCATGATCTGTGAATTCAATTTAGCAATGCGAGTCGCAGATGGGAAGGGGTAATAAACACCTCGATAGCCCCAATGGACTCGAATAGCGTAAAGTATTCATCTTTAATAAGCTGGCCAACTTGGAGGGCTAGATGGTTGTTAACCTTCAAAGCTCCTTTTCCAAGATCAAACGTGCAGTCCATCACGTCAAGCACGCGAGATCATCGATGCCAATATGACCCCACCATCCTCTTCAAACCTAAGAATCACAAAGCAAACTTACCAGTACAAGCTCTGGTGAACTTTGCTGTGATATCGTGAATCTTTGGCTCTAGGCCAGGAACAGGTTTCCGAAGTGCTTGTCTCAATGGCAAATTAGTTGTTGCCTTGGAGGCTTGAGCAGTGCTCACGGAATTTTCGACGTGTGAAGGTGCTGATAGTCATGAGCTTCAAGAAAAGAAATAGTAAATACTGGCGGATGTTTACCTGCTCCATCGTAAGTCGAGATTGCGTCGGGATCCTGGTCCGAGGCGGTGCTGTGGCGGTGGGACATGTTTGGTGGTGGAGTAGTTCCGATGCGGGAAAGATTGTGACGGCCGAGTCGCAGCGGGTATGCAAGGCGAACTTGATGAGGTGAGACAGTGCATTCACTTCTCGATGGATTTACATCAACATCACAAACACAGAAAGTGCGGGGAGCAATGGGAACGCTGAGCTCAAATTTTGTCGTGCATTGCCTTTTGGTCAATCCCTCCACACATGCATGTCGTGTATGATAGCACAGAATATACAATCCATCCACCCTCAGTTATGATCCCTACCCGCGGCATGCGCCCGGTTGTCTTGTTTGCCCAACTGCCTACGATGACTGGGTAGCCTCAACCTGAGCCTGGATAGCCGCAGCGTTCAACTCCTTGCTCTCGCCCTGCTTGCCATTCTGCCCACCCATTAGCCTCCTGCCCTCAATCCTGACTGCAGCATGCCTGCACTCACCTCCCACTTGGCGAACCGGAGCTCGCTCACGCCGCGTCGCTCGGCGATGATGCGCTTGTCCTCCTTGAGCGAGCGACGCACGACGCGCGATGCGATGGCGATGTAGCGGTTGTAGCTGTCCATACCTGTCAATTGCGGCCCTCCGAGGCAGAGGGGAGAGAAACGGCGTACGAGATACCGGCGGTTTTCCACGCGAAAGCCATTGTGATGATCGGGTGCGAGTTCGTGCGTGTGTGGGTGGGTTTACGGGTTGCGGATGGGGTGTGAGGTGCAAAGACTCCGATGTTGAACATGCCGGGGACTAAGCACGTGACCATGCAACAGCAGCAGCTCAAACCAAGCCGGTCACAAAATCAAGCAAAGGGAAAACTCTAGCGAAACATGTCTTGTTGTCATGGTATATTCGTTACATTTTCATGGCCGGCAGCCTCATCATGTCTAGTGTACCATCTCATGTGAAGCACTGGGGCGCCAGTGGGAGAGCGTGTTGTCTGCATGACAGTCTCATGAGTCCGTCTCCATGGCATCATCACCCTCGTCGTTGCCCCCTTCTCGGTTCTCAAACGTAGCATCCAGCCACTCTGCAACATCCTGGCCCTCGAAGTGCACAAAGTTCTCGCCAATGCCACCGATGCCGACGCTCGTGTTGTCGACGGTCAGTTCCTTGTCCTGTGACAGCGACTCCTTCAGCGCCCTCAAGGCATGCTTGATCAGCTCCTCCCTGCTGCAGGCGTCGAACTCGTCAAGGTGCCTCTCGAGATAGGTCCTGGCCATTTGACTCCTGGCACCAATACCGCACGCAATCATCTCCTGTGTCACGCCGCTGGGCTGGAACTCGAACAGGTGAGGGCCCTTTGCGTCGACGCCGGCAATCAGCAGCCCCACTCCGTATGGTCTCCGGCCGTATTGCTGCGTGTTGGTCTGGGCGCGGTCTGCGATGCGGGACGTGATTTCGGAGAGGGGAATGGCGCGGTCGTATGTCAGGCGAGAGGCGAGCGACTGCTGCTTCATGAAGTTGGAGAGCACTCGGGCATCTGAGGCGAGCCCGGCGAGAGCGACGCCGAAGTGCGAGTCTATGGGGATGATCTTCTTCTGGTACGACGAGAGCTCTTCTGCGTTCCTCTGCATCACGTCGTCAGCAAGCGTTGGGTGCTCTCAGGGCAGCGAGCAACCTACCTTGATTGCTGCGAGCACAGCATGTGTCTTGCTCACGATGCCCACGACGACCGAGCCCTGCTTGACAGCCTCTTGCGCGTACTCGACCTGGAATATGCGGCCCTGGGGCGAGAAGGTGACCGAGTCGTTGTCGTAGTTGTTGCGGAACATGATGGCGGCGGCGGCGACGGCGGGTGCTGTTGAGGGCTGGCCGTGTGTCTGTGGATCTCAAAAGCACGCCAGTCACGAGAGCAAGGTAGGCGTGGTGGGTCAGTCGGTCGTGGTGGGTGGAGGGAGGGTGTGAGGGGTCGTGTCGCTGCAATGCGATGTTGATGCTCCTCCAGGCACAGGGTTGACTACGACAGCTTGTGGTGGAGCTCTGGCCCTAGCGCCAACGTGAACCGCCTGCGCCTGCCAACTCTCAGCACGCCCAGACAGCCCGGCAACACGCGCAACACGCACCAACTCGCACTGCGCAAGCCCGCCCTGCATCCCGCCCAAGAGACAGTGACGCCGACGCTCGCCATCCACGCGCCCACGACACGCCACAGCCCACCATGGCCGGCATCAAGACCATCATCGGCCTGTCCTTTGTACGTCTGCCTCGGGCGCAAGCCAGCGCCCTCGCCATCTCACGAGCCCACCAGCTGACGTGTGCGCCCCCTAGATCCTCGCGATAGGCTTCCTCCTGGTCATCCTGTCCGCCGCCCTCTTCAAGAACTACCTCACGCTACTCGTCGTTGCGACCTACGTAGTCGCACCACTGCCGAACTGGCTCTGCGGGCGCGCAGCGAACCAGGATGATTTCATGGAGACGGCAGGCAGCGGCATCGTAGACTTTGGGAGGTTCCTCACGGGCTTCTTCGTTGTCATGGGAATTGGTGAGTTTTCCAAACGCTCAAACCGCAGCGCGCACAAGACAAGGGAGATGCTAACCATCACTCCAGCCCTGCCCACCCTCCTCTGGCACTCTGCGCAGATTGCCGGCGGCGCAGCAGCCATGTCCATCATGGGCGGTCTTCTGATATACGCCACCATCATCAGCTTCACCCTGTTCTTCCAGGAAGACCAAGAATTCTGACAATCCGGCCGGAACCAAGAGTAAAGATGGCCAAAAATCCTCTACAACGAATACCCAAGTAAGCCGGTCTGGACAGACTCGGCGTTGAGTCCAAAGTCTGGGCAAAGGGGCTCCATGTTCGCATCTCGTTTTGTTCTGCAGTCTTTTGAAGCCTTGCTGCTCTTGTATGACTATTCCGGATGTTTGGTCTTTGTAGGATTATACTGGACGTGCGGTCTCTGCATGTTTTGTCCTCGTATGGTAATGCTGGACATGTTGGATATAACAGGGGGATAATTGTATTCAGGCTTTGCAAAGTCAATAAAAGTAATTACCCCAGCTGAAGCTTCTCTCCTTGGAAACCCCTCCCGTGACACTCCATATTCGTACAATGTGCACAACTCATCCTTAACGTGTCATTGCATCCTAGGGTATTCCAATTACACCTCTCTGTACACCCGCAAAGCGCGTAAAGACGCGTCATCCTCGACCAAAGAGACCAAAGAAACAACATGAGCCACGACACTCCTACAGCGCCAAGTTGTACGTGTACTCGTCCTCCATGTTTTGCGCAATCCATAGCACCGCAGAACTGCCACACGTTAGCCTCATGTAACCCAGCTGGAATGCCAGCCGTGTACTCACCTAAGCATCACAAGCGCATTCGCGACAACATTCCCGACACCCATCCAGATGGTCGGCCATACGTATTCGGGCACGATGTACTTCATCACCAACACGACGACACTCCCAGCAAGCCCGCCAGCCAACAGCGCGAAGCCCAGGAACAGCACCAGCCGCGCCTTCCACGCCACGCCGTTACCGCTGTACGAGAAGCTGTCAGCAGAAAGGCGCGACTTGTCAATCGAGTTGATGACTAGCATGCCCAGCGCGGAGCAAATGCCAGGGATCCAGTCTATGAAGGTGATGTGCACGGCGGGCTCAGAAGGATTCATGACGGATTTGGACCACACGGATATGTCGATGAGGGTGTAGAATCCGAGGGAGAACTAGCTGAGAGTTAGTGCAGGCCTGGAAAGGGCGTGTGAGAGGCGTACGAGAGCTCCGGCTATGTAGACGCCTGCCGTTCTGGTGTTGGCGCTGCTCATCCAGGCTGGCTTGGGAAAGCGGAAGAGGCGGTTGGACTCCATGGCTGTCGTGTAGTCGTTTGCGCGCACTGTACAGGTAGGTGGGTGGTTGTGGGACGGTCGTGGAGCTGTTGACGAGCTGTGAGGGCTGGTGTTGGGTTGCGCCGTCGCGCCTGGAACTTGGCTTGACGTCGTCGGCAATACCTGCGAAAAACGCCGATCTTGACCTCGAACTTCCAAAAAAAAAGTTTCCCAAGCTCCAACTCTCCACGAACTTCAGCAATCAACATTCAAACACGATGGCGCCCACAAAACCAACAAAGGGCAAGAGCGCAAAAGGCGGAAAGCCAGGCGGCAAATCGTCCAAACCTTCCGCGCGAGCAAAACCCGCCGGCAGCGCGCCCGAAGGCATCTCCAAGCGCAAGCAGAAATCCATGTCCCTCGCAAAGCCCGGTGGCGCCCAGAAGACAAAGTCCCGTGCTCTCGACGGCAGGAAAAAGAAGCGCGTCTACACGGAGAAGGAGCTGGACATCCCCAAGCTCAACGGCATCGTGCCGGCAGGCATCGCGAAGCCAAAAGGCCAGAAGAAGGGCAAGAAGTTTGTTGATGACCCTGCGAGCATGTTGGCAATCATGAGCGTCGTCAATGCGGAGAAGGAGGGGCACATCGAGAGCAAGATCATGCGGGCACGGCAGCTGGAGGAGATACGAGAGGCGAAGAGGAAGGAGGCCGAGGCTAGGAGCGAGGAGAAGGATGCCAAGTTTGTAAGTTTCTCCTGCACGGGTTCATCGGGACACAGCTAATGCGCAATGTAGGAGGACAGGAAGCAGAGTCTGAAGAAGAAGAGGAAGGGACGGCACTCTGACCCTGCGCGCACCGAAGACATGGAGAACGAGCCGCCAAAGGACAAGGGCAAGTTCAAGCCGAGAAAGAGGGTTTCGTTCGGATGAGATCGCCCAAAGTCTATTCTATACCGAGTTTACCACGTCTAAAAGTCTATGATACCCAGATTTTACATTACATTACACATCGTTCTTACTACCATCTACGCATCCGGCAGGATGAGGCGTCTATTGTTTGGATCGAAGATGGGGTACTTTTTGTCGAGTGGCGCGTCAACCTTTGCCTCCTGTCGCTCGACCTGGGAGGCTTTGTGATCGATCTCATCGTGCATGTTGGAGAGGAAAGAGGCAGCGGCTGTCGCAAACCATCTCCCACCACCAAGCTGGAAGGATCCGAGATGTCCGCCCCAGTTGGTGGTACAGAGGACGGCGTAGGGGTTTTTCTTGAATTCTTCAAAGGGTATTCCTCTCATCGAAGAGATCTGGATTTGCGTTAGCTATGGGTTCGGTAGCTGATAGACGGCTGTAGACGTACTGGGTCATCTTCCGCATTGATGCCTAGAAATGGAATCCTGACACCAAGCAATGCATCCACGCTTTGTGCATCTCGATAATAGGCGCCCTCGGTCGGATACCCCCAAGTGGGCGCCTGGATGACACGGTCAAATTCGTACAGATACCTACTTTTCATCACGTCCTCCAGCTTGATCATGTCATTCTGTAATATTTGTTCTTTATGCCGTTCGAACAAGCCCATCATGTTTTTACCCATGGCTCGATGATACACATTCAGCCCGAGCCAGGTTCGTTGGAGCTCAGTATTGCAGAGCTCCAGATTCCAGGGATTGGAACATGCAACTGCGGCTTTCAACACACACTGACTGCCCTCCTCGCCGCAGTAGTTGGTCAGTATATTGGCGCCCAACGAGAAACCCACAGCATACAAGGGCCTGTTAGGGAACAATGAGCGCAGAGTTTTGATAGTTTGCCGTACATCCCATGTTGAGCGCGAGTTGAACAGTTGTGGCGTGGTAATCTTTGATAGTGCACATCCTCGCCCATTGACAACGCAAGCCGACCATCCTGCTGCTGTGAGGGGCGCCAGTGTCTCACGCAAGTAGACTTCGTGGCTTCCACCGGTCAGACCATGCAGTGCAATGATCATTGGCATCTCGTCATCGCTCGCCAACGCGTTCCACTCATCTTTGTCAAAGTAACTTGTACGCTCCGGCAGTTCTCCATTGTCCTCTTTTTCGTCTGTGTTTTCTCCCTCCTCGGTTGACACGACAAAATCCACAGCAAATTGGCCCGGATATACCGAGTGGTCCGAATCAAGCAGTTTACGCTTGTAGTAAATCGGGGGCCCAGGGTCTTTGACGGCGGTGTACATGGTTTGAAGATGTCCATTGAAGAGCAAGGGGTTGAGGCGGCATGGTGGGATGGAGGATCGGGCCAAGGCGGAGAGGGTCGTCTTGGAGCTCGATCTTGTAACGAGGGGGAGAGAAGAGGTGTGACATGTATAGGTTGTGCGGGCGTGGCCAATAATCCAGGATATATCAAACATGATGCGTTGTGAAGGGATGTATCGCCGGTGTCGAAAGCCACTTGATGTTGAATCTCATTCGATTTGCGTCGATGTCTGCTCCCGGCTCGTTCTTCAGATAGCTGTATGTTGTATAGCCTTTCTTGCCTGGTTTCGTCAGACTCGATTGAGTCGGTCTCTCGTGGTGTCCTTGTAGGAAACTATCAAGAAGCCTAATAAAAATACCTGCCTCGGCCCGATTTACCGCCACGCAAGCTGTGAATGGTGGATGCAGACGCGCGCTTGTCCTATGATGCAGGCAACGCGTGACTTCGTGATTGCGACTACTGCGTGCTACGCGCTCCATTTGGCTTCACTTGACTTCCGCCAGGCCACCATGCGACGAATATTCGGCATTTTCTGGTGAAACTGCTCGCCGCGAAGGAGTCTACCATGGATCCACGGTATAACTGGACGCCGCCGGCCTATGCGAACAGTCAATATGTGCCATATACTCCTCCACAGCAGCAGCAACCGCAACAGCATCTACAACAGCATCAACAGCAGCAGCAGCAGCAGCCACATGGCTATCAACAACACGGTTACCCCGCGCAGTACCCCCCGATTCAGATGGCCATGCCCCAGCAATATCCACAGCTACCGCCCCCTCGTAGTGGCCCTCAGGTCGCCGTCACCCCTCGACAGTTGAGCCAGAACCAGGGCCAGCAGTATCCGCTCATGGCTCTCCCGATGCAGCATCCGCAGTCGCAACCTCGAGCGCATCCCCAAGTTCGCATCCCCGTCAGACCACCGGGTCCCGAGTCGCACATGCAGACGCCTCCACAAAACCCTCGGATACGCTACGAACAGGTCTCTGTTCAGCGCCTCGCCAACGGCCGTGTCGCGCAGATAGATGGCGCCCACGACCGACGTCCCATGTACAGCACGCAACAGGTCCCTGCGCCTCCCGCGACGAAGCCAGTGCAATCCCCATCCCAGTCACATCAGGAAAATGGGCCCCGGCCGCAGCAACGCGTTGTGAGCACGCCTCTCCAAAACCACCGCCAAAACCGCGCACCCTTGCAGCCACAGTATACGCCCCAACAACGTACACCGTCCAATCAACATAGCAGCCCGTCAATACAATCGGCGTCCTCTCAGCCAAGGTCGCATCCCAAAGTCGTCATTTCCTCGAGGCCTCCCTCCCACCAACTCACCTCACCAACCAAACATGCTCGTCCGCCTCAGAAAGCATTACCGGCCGATCTCTCCGTCATGCTGCTGTCAGCAGCCGACGAGTACATTGCTGCCGCGCGCGCTATGGGTTCCGTCGTGGTGCGAGACAGGAAAGAGGTGGATCAACGACAGTATTATAAGCTTATGGCTACAGCCATGGGGTGTATGGAGGCTGTCTTGAAGAAGTTCAACTTGTCACCGCGTGACGAAGCCAGACTACGCTTACGATACGCAAGCCTGCTTATCGAAGAGACGGACAACACCGCCGAGATTGACGACGCTCTATCCAAAGGAGTATGTTCCTTTCTCCCTGTAAAGGTGGCGTGCTGACAACCCCAAGATATCCCTATGCGGGCGCTGCCGACTCCAAGATCTGAAGTATGGCATGTTACATCTCCAAGCTCGCTATCAATCAAAAACCAACCACCGTGCCGCCCTGAAATCCTTAGACATACCAATATCAGAGGCAGAGACCTTCCAGCATATTGCTTGGGTCTATGCCTTCCGCTTTCTCAAAGTTTCTTTGATCCTACAGATACCCGGTCGCATCGAGGCTGTCCCAGCTCTTCAACATTTGCATGCCATCTCGGCACACGCAGGAAAGAATGGAGATCGGGCGATATACGTAGCTTGTAGTGCTTTCGAGGCCATGGTTCATCTACGCTCTGGTGCTCCAGATCGTCTCGAGCACGCACAGAGAGCTATTGCCGCAGCTCGCAGTCTGCAACTTCAAGTCTCGTCCACACAGCTAGGTTCTTTTGGGACACTCATCGATATCATTGATGTTGCTTGTGGTGTTCAACAAGGGATACCCAACGGCAAGAAGTCAATCGCCCTCATCGAAGCCATGGCAACTCACAACGACGAGACACCGAGCAAAGCGAATGGACACTTCACTGTGTTGATCGAGCGGAGCTTCGGTGGAAGCTTGACGATGGACACTGGTGGCGTATTTCACAAAAGTGGAGACGGACGTGATGAATTGGTCTTCACCTGGCTTCCTACGGAGGATCTCAAGACACTGTGCCTCCATATTAGTGCCTTGGATCAAAGTGTTCACGAGAGAGGCCTTGTGTACATTAAGGAAGCCCATGCCCGGTCGAGAGGTATGTTCACCACGTCACATGATTTCACCCCATTGACACTGTTTGCAGAAGCTTCCAAACGCCAGACATCACAGAGTCTCCCCATTTCCCGTGTTTTGGATCGAGTGAGCTGGTGTAGAACGCTCGACTGGCACTCGGTGTTCACTCTTGGCCTCATTGCCTGCTACCGTGAAGACCACCAGACTGCTGAAGAGGCTCGGGCGACGTTGAAAAAGCGTGCCACAAGACCCCCGTTTGCGAACGATGATGCCTATACTCGGACACTATCGTACCTGTCCGCGGTCATTGACCAGAGAAGCGGCCGCTTCGATTCAGCTTCGACCATCTACTCGTCCAACTTATTCACCCTTCCTGAAAAGGGAGCTCTCGCTACTTCCAAATCTGACATCGAAGTTCTTGCAGCAGTGAATCGTCTTCTACTCATACGAAACTCGACGCATCCAGAGCACTACTTGACTGGTGTGCTATTGGCTCAACTACAGCCGCTTTGCGAAACTCTCCTGAACCGGTTCGTGAGGATGGCCATCCAACTCGCCAACGCTATGTCGAGTCCCAACGCGTCCATCAATCGCCAGAAAACGCTAATGCAAAACGCGGTCAACGAAGCCAACGGGGTGTTCCAGAGCACACATAATCGCGAGTTCGTCATCATGGCACTCTGTTACTTTACCAAAAGATTTTTCGCAGATAATGTTGGTGAAAAGGGTCTGCAGGCTGTACGAGCCAGTAGACAAAATGCGAATAAAACCCACAAACCTCTCTGGATTGCCGTCGCAAACGGTCTGTGTATCGGCACGTTTGAGCGTAACGGCATGATGAATGAGGCGCAAGAGTGCCAGCGCACATATGAAATGATTAGAGGGAAACTGCCTCTTGCGTTGCAGAATCAGGATGACATGGATGCAGAAGGAGATGAAGACGCGGAAGGCAGCATTGATGAGTTAGTGTGAGTTAGATTGAACCTGCGAGGCGCATTTCGAGGATCGTCTACATGTTGTTGGCGTTATATGGAACGAAGGTATATCCACTGCTCTTTTACATGTGGGGCTGTAGACCTGGTTAAGGTCAGAGTTGTTCGAATAGAATGATAGCGTGATACTTCGCACTTGCAATGGTATTCGGACAATGTTGAGAGGAGAGGAATCTAGCAAGTAGTGTATGATCATTATTTTCGGAAGGTTAACTCATTGCACACAGTTTTGTGACTGACATCAAGTATCCTATGCTTTATCATGTTGTTGGTACTTATATTTCTCTGATTACCTCACGATGTGAACTGTATCTCTTGGCTCGTGTGCGGCCGCAACAAAATCCAAGTGATCGTAGAGCGGCATGTTTCTGTTAACATCCACTTCGAACGGATTGATGTATACCGATTGCTTGTCATTCATAACGACAGTTCGGTCCTTTGAAAAGTTGTCCATAATTAGATTGTCGTTGCTTTTCACCAGATCATGATACATACGCTCATACCTGCTCAACATTTCTGACCTTGGTCCTGATGGAAGGCAGATGGTACACTACGTTGCTTCCAAAAAAGTCGTAGGTTTCGTTCGTCGAGTCTACTCGATTGATGCGTCATACATCCTCACTAAATTCGAGGTGCCGATTGATTGTGGTCCGAATCAGATGCGAGTAACACGCCGGTGGCAGGAGATCGCGGGCTTGATTGTATTCTTCACACCTTTTGGCTGCTGGCCATTGGCCTTCACGCCTTTCTGGAACCCCCATGGTCTTGTACGGCATCTGAAAACTGGAGCGGATCGCTTGTTCTAGGGCGTGAAGAGCTGAACAAGTAACGTTCAAGATACGGCTTCCATCATTGGGAACTCTTTGCACAATGAATGGGTTCGTTCAATGGTCGAACCCGGTGTCCACTCTCTATCTAATTTCTGACATCGAGGTTTGTGAACTAGGAACTGTCCAGAGGCCTCATCGCGAGTTCCCAATTGAAGCACCACCGACATCGCTCAGGAGTGTCAAACTACTAATACTTCACTGGGTACTATAGTAGGCTGCTGTCGAATATCTTGTCATTACCGGTCGATGTTTGAGAGGATTCAGTCTGCGGACGGTTCCACCTATCCAGAGTTTTTCACTTCGTATATCTTTACTGGTCTGAACAACTATTCCAACCTTCGCAATTATGTTTGGAAGCTTACACGCTTGTCGCTCTCAGCTTTATGCGCGCCTGGTCATCGGCAGCCCGTTGCCATCGACTGCATGCACCCGTAGTCCCAAGTCCCCACAGTTAGCCGAGGTGTAGCGTGGGTCGTTCGTACTTACAGCTTCCCCGCATAACTTGTCCATAGCTCATTGTAACCACGACTGAGGCATAGCGAGTCATCACCATGTGTGAACCGAAGAGCTTTCTCACAACTCAGAAAGTCATCTGCTGGAGTGTTTCTTGATTGGATACTTGCATTGTCGACGTGGTAGTCATTGAACTTGAATCCATTTGTTCACCGTGAGAAGTAAGAAGATGTCGCAAAACATGAACTTCTCCATCCCAGACGATCTTAGGCTGTACCTTGCCGACCTTGACAAATTCATTGACGACAAGATTCTTCCGCTTCAGTACAAGGACGATAACAACCGCTTTTTTGATCACCGCCGGGAGCACGCGCGAACAGACTGGGATAACGGCGGTCTGCCCCGCAAGGAATGGGAGGACCTGCTCTCAGAGTCAAGGAAACTGGCTGACGATGCAGGATTCTATCGATTGTCCCTCCCAAGGAAATATGGCGGTCAAAACAGCGAGGACGGACGAGGCAGTAATCTATGGATGGCCGTTATACGGGAGCACCTCGCCTCGAAGGGGTTGGGTCTCTTCAATGACCTACAGAACGAGCACTCGATGGTCGGGAACTTTCCAGACGTTATCATGCTAATGAACTTTGGCACCGAGCAGCAGAAAAGGGAACTCATTAAGCTGCGGTTAGAGGGCAAGTTTCGGATGACATTTGGGTTGACAGAGCCCGGTCATGGTTCGGATGCAACATACATGGAAACGCGAGGACACCCTGAGAGAAGGAACGGCATTGATGGATGGCTGCTGAACGGCTTCAAACGATGGCAGACAGGCATGCATCACGCTACGCACTGCTCTATTTTTGCGCGGACGGCGGGCAAGGATGGAGAAGTGAAAGGTATCTCGTGCTTCATCGTACCGGTTGATACTCCAGGCCTCAAAGTAGAGTCATATGAATGGTGTGTAAACTCAACTCACTTTGATAGCTTTACTGAGAGCGTACAGGACACTCAACATGCCCACCGATCACGCAACCGTGTCGATCAAAGACGCTTGGGTTCCCGAAACTGCTGCGTTAGGCCCTATTCACAACGGCCTCGGCGTTGCGCAAGCCTTTGTACACGAGAATCGCATCCGACAAGCTGCGTCATCCCTGGGCGCAGCAGTATTCTGCGTCCGGCAATCCGTCGAATACGCCAACGAACGCGCTCCATTTGGCACTCCTCTTTCGCATAATCAAGGTATACAATTTCCTCTTGTCGAACTCGCAACCCAATGTGAGATGCTGCGACAATTGATTCGCAAGACAGCGCTGGAGATGGACTCGATGCCCCATCACGAGATCGAAAGCAAGATCGGCGATAAGGTCTCCATGTGCAACTACTTTGCCAATAGGCTATGTTGTCAGGCTGCAGACCGCGCGATACAAGTTCACGGTGGTAATGGATACTCACGGCACTATCCGTTTGAGCATATATGGCGCCACCATCGACGGTACAGGATCACCGAGGGTAGCGAGGAAATTCAAATGCGAAAGATTGCTGCATATCTATTTGGATTTGGTGGGAGAAAAAGTCTGGTCGACGCTACGAAGCAAGGTTCCAAGTTATAAATGTTGCTAGATATATCGGAAACACAGCACGTCAAAGCACTAACTTTCGCAATGAGTCTTCTGCGGTTCATGATCCTCTCTCTCTCTCTCTCTGTTGAGAAAACTTTCGAGTTTGGATTATTAATCGTTTTCTGATGTATCGTACTGGTTAATTGTTGCATGTTTCGCGTCTATAAGCTCCTTCTCGGCACAAAGATCAGCAGTGGAAACGACGTTCAGGCAAAGGAAATCGTAAGCTTTTGAGCTAATGTTTGTCTGTTGTGAAAAGCGTGAGCACATGGAGATATGAATTTGGGCGTACACTTGGTCGTCCCGATGCATTTTCGTACCTTGGAGAATATTGCAGCATAGCAAAATTTTGTTGATTGCTGAAGCTACGCCCTTGCTCAGTATATATGCAAAAAGATCCGAGTAGTGCAAAAAGACTGACTTTGTGTTGTGCTTGTCGTACCAGTTCTCGTTGACCATTACCAATTCCGAAGCCACCTGTTGAACCCAGGCATTGCATCTCTCTCCATGATGACGGGAAGTAAAACTATGATGAGCAAGAACCATAGGCAAAAGCCAGCCACCCAGTATATGGTGGTCCTAGGATTCAAGCGGCTTGGAAGTTGTGGTAGAGGTTTTGACTGCGGTGATAATCGCCTGGGGAAATTCATGTTCTGGTCTCGAGGAATTGGCGGAAGGGGCTTCGCACACCGTGGCACTCGAGGAGGGCGAATTCCGCGTCTTTGCACGAGAAGTTGCTGAGAACGACTTGGCTTTGACGACGCGTGTATGCCGTCGAAAGTTATCCTAAGGTCACGATTGCGTACAGACTGGCCGTTCATCGGGGATTCCGACATCTTAAAACGAGGCGTTTGGAGGTGAGCCCAATTGATGGTAGGTGAACTGTTAAAATTGGTACTGCCGATTCGCTCAAGCTAGGACTAAGCCAAGATACGTTAGACTTCAAAGGCCCTGGCGACTGACAATTTCTGTTACTTCTCATTTTCCGAGACCATCTAACCTCCCGAATGATACTACTCCTATTCCTAGAGCAATGCGTCGCTTCTCTGATTACGGATGAAAATTACCATCGCGCTAAAGTCTGGTGTCTGGCCGGACCAAATCATCCAGTAAAGACTAGCTGCGAAAGCATGGTGAAAAACGGAAACCAATTCATCATATGTTTATCGCAGTTAAACACAAGAGACGGATCATAAACCTGAAGCATACGACCGAGCGAACAAAGAGTACGGTTACGATGTTGGTTGTGCTACTTGAGATCTCTCCCTCCCTACCTTGCAATACTCCAGCTGCATTTACGTCTCATCACTTCTCCGAGTGGCGACCTCCTTTACGCTTCCTCGTACTGTGTCAACCTCAACCTTTTAAGCAAGGGGAGGGTTGGCGTTCTTTAAAAGCATCGCGAAGTAGGCGTTGAACCACTGGCCGGCTTCCGGTGCCGGCTTCAACGCGGCAGCCCGACCGCACGTGGCGTCATAGCGAACTGAAGTAGTATTTGAGGTACCGTCAGACTGAATCATGTTAGTGGTAATTCGGCCAAACTGGATTGAGTTCAGAGATAAAGACTGACCTCGCCACCTGGCTTAACCCAGACGAATGCATCCACTAGCGAGTTGCCTGTATCTGTAGTGGGCCGTGGACCAAAACCAGCGCCACTGACATTGCACCAGTCACCCCATGCTTGCTGATCAGTAGGTTGTTTTCCAGATCGGCCGACGTCGACAATGAAGTGTGCTGGGAAGCCTTCAGCTTGTAGCAGCGGAGCGAAAGCATTGACGAAACGTTCTTCGTCGCAGTTCTTGTTCGGGCTTGTGATAGCAGGGCACGTTCCAACTTTCCAGGCATTGTAGTTGGAAACGTTTGTCACGATACCCCGAACAGCTCGTGGAGTACCAGCAGCTTTGTAGACTTCGGCGTAAAGTTTGGCAGCAGGACCAATATTAGCATCCCAACCGAGCCAACCAGCATGTCCACCATCGAGATACATATCGACGTTGGCAAAGTTGAGCTTCTTCAATGCATAGGCCGTAAGGTCCTTGTAATATGGAGCGGCGCGCGAGCACCTTGCCACGCCCATATTGGTGACCATGTTAGCCAGAGAGTCAGGCTCAATAGCGAGGTTGATTTTGACATCTGGGTACTTCTGGATAATAGCAGCAATCTTGTCAATGTAATCTGTCTTGTACTTCGTGGCACCATCCTGGTCAATCAGGAGCTCGCCATTGGAAGCCAAAGCCGCGCAGTCTCGATCAGGCAAGTTGTATACGACGAAAGTTCCCATCAGTTTCGATCCGGCTGCATTCTTCTTTTTGATGTCGGCAAGATACGTGTCCATGATTGGGACCTTGGCTCGCGTGTCCATCCAAACATATGATCCAACTTTTGCAGCAGCCGAAGCCGCAGGTCGTAGCGACGTTGCGAGCGATGGTATGGCTAAGTTGTAAACTTCAGACGAGTAGTATGGATTGGCGTAAAACTGGTAGCCGGCAAAGGGATTGACTGCCGCTTGGCGAGGTTGAGGAGCAGGCGTAGTGACACTACGAGCCGCGACTGTGTCGTCAGGGACGGCTGTAGGCTGTGGCAGAGCCTGAACTAGGCCAGCCGCAAAGGCGGTAACAAGGACAATGTTGAATAACATATCCAATGTGAGGTCGAGGGTTCTGCGAGCACGAAGAAGATGTACGGGAGAATCAGAAAGAGGCAAGTATGTGGTTCTTATAGGTAATGATGAAACAAAAGAATATAGATTTCTTCGTGTCGGGATCCCTCTCCGTTAATTCACTTTTTGATAGTGGTAGCGTATTAGTTTGTCGCATACCAAGCGGTCTAGTATGCAAGAAATTAATGCCCAAGTCCCATGGCAATACGTTTTGGTGGGGAGCATATTTGATTGTTGCGCCACCCACAACAATTGTGACAGGCGCAGGAAGGTCATCGGTATCATCATTAAGAATTGATTTGGATAGTTGTGATCAATCTGCAACGAGCTTAGTAAACGTGACCCGCATAGTTGCAATTCCGCGTAGTCATTCCTGGTAGATAGTGCAAATCCAAGTCGTCATGTATCTGGTATTCAGGGGCGAAGGATGAGGTCTTCATCTATTCGGCCCGACAATGTACAACAGGCAATGTAAGGTGACAGTAAACGGGATCTTCTGGTGAAGTTAGAAAAATGGATGGCAAATGGAGCGCTAATGGAATAATAAAGACAGCGATTTAGACATTATCCTCAGATCGTCTTCTTATGAGTAATAGGTGCGCTTGTACCGTTAGTAATAGCTCTATCAAAATAGTAGTAAGGTAGCAATATAATGGTCGTAGGACGACCGAACTATAACCGGGTCCTCGTAATTGTAATTAGCGTATTCCGGAAGCGAACGCTGTAAGCCGATGGTGGTCAGGGATCGCGAGAGTAATTAATATGCAGCACGTAGAGAATAGATTAGATGCCGTGATCTAACGGCACGAGATTGCACAAATCTTGAGTTTGACAGACTAAAGTGTTTAGGCATAGAGAAATCGAAGAGACCTAAAGGTGCAATAATTATAAATAAAATTCTATCCTGTTAATTAACTTTAAATGTTGTTGGAAAGATACTTATAATAGATTTACAGCTTAGAGCAAAAAGAGTGCAAAACAGGTAGTAATATCTTACTATAACGTATAGATACTATTAAAGATCGCAGGGCTATGTTAATAATATCAAGATAGAATAGTAGTAACAGAATAGGATTTTAAAGGTTTACCTATTGCTTTACTGTTATAATATACACAAAAATAAGTCTGCGCTAGTACATTAAGCAGAATATTAATAAGAGACAGCTAATCTGCTTTTAAATACTATTATTATATACTCTTACTTATATATACTATATTTTAAGAATCTAGGTATTAGCTTCTATTTCTAGGGTTATTATACTATAGTTTTACTGTAATATATCTACCTACTTATTTAATAAGCATAAATACACTAAGACCTAAAATAAGAATAAAATTAAGTAATATAATTTCCAGATCTACTAAAGCTGTATTAGTAAGCTACTAAAAATTAAGAGTATATAAAAGAGATCTAGATTGTTTAATAATTTAACTATATACTAATATAGCTAATAGATATTAAAATCTTTTAATACCTAGAACAATTATTTTCCCTAATAGAGTATATATATTTTTAAGTAGTTAAGGAAAAAAGAAACAGAAAAAAGAGTTTAATACTATAAAAGCTATATACTAGACTATAACAAGTAAATCTTACATTAAGTTATAGTTAAAATATTAAGATAAAGTAGTTCTATTAATGGAATTAGGTAATAGTAGTAAAATAGTACTACTATATTTAAGTTATTATATTACTATATTTATAAGTTTCGGTATAAGAGGAAAAAACAGTTTTTTAGAAATCTATACACTAAGTAACTTTAGTAGTTAAATACTAAGAAAGTCTTGAGGTTAATATTTATATAGTAGAAAAACCGTTTAACTTATTTATAATTTAGGTTATTTTATAGGCCTATTTATAATATATAAGCATTTATAGTTCTATCTAAGTAAATAGACTTATTTGTTTAGGCTAACGGTCTTGATTAAGATTCTTAAAGGTAATATTTAATATAACTGCGTTATTAGGTTAGATAAGATTAATTTCTAGTAATAGACTACTTTATTTAGTTACATTATATCTTTTAATAGTAAGGCTGAAGCCTATAATTAATTATAAATATTAAAGATTATATTAATTCAATATACGTCTAGAAGATTTACTTAATACAGAAGCAATTATATAGTCTTTATATATATAAAATATAGAATTAAATATCTACAGTAATAGTAATAGAAAGTTAATAAAATAAAATTTAGTATAAGAACTAGTAACCTTTACTAGGATTAGTGCATAGTAGAAGTTCTAATAAGCTATAGCTTTTATTAAGAACAAAAGAAGAAAGAAAGTATTAGCTATAATTAAAGTAATTTAAATTATTAAGCTAATTAATAGAAATAAAAAGAAGACTGGAGTAGCTAATAAAAGAATTTAGGTAATAATAGTTAATCTAGGTAATCTAGTATATTGAGATATTCCTATCTTAAATATTAAAAATTTTATTCTAATTATTTGTTTTCTATTTTGTTTTTATCTTACAAAACTTAAACATAGAAAAAGGATTATTAGTGCCATACTATTACTGAAGTTTTAATAATTAATTAGTGTATTTTAAAATACTTTAAAGGGATATAAATAGCGATATAATTGTTATAATACTTTCCTAATACTAATATAATTAATTAAAAGTTCTCTATAAACCTAACGAAATAGTAGAAAGAGAAAAATAGTATTCCTTAAAATAATAGAATAGTATTGTATTTAGAATATTCTTTTTTAAAAATAGATTTTTAGCCAATTAAGGAGCTTTAAACAAAGATATAAAATTTTATTATTTCTCTTTTTCTAAAATCTATCTATTAAGCTAAAAGAGCTTCTTATAACACTTAACGTTTTGAAAACTTTAAATAAATCTACTAAGTAGTCCAAAATACTTTCTTAACTTTAGATAAGAGCTAATTAGAATAGGCTTTGTTAGGATCTAATCTTTATATATATTTCTATAAATATATTAAAAGATTAGTAGAACTATATACTAGTAGGTAAAGAACCTGTATTTTTAGTTATTAGAATCTAATTAATAATATCTTTTGTATTTCTTATCTTATATAGTCTTTTATATAGTTAGTATTTATTAGTTTGAATATATATAGCATCTTAAGCCTAACTTAAGTATAAACATTATTATACTACTTAGTAGCTATCTATTATAACTGTTAAGTTTATTACTACCTTTTTGTAAGATAAGTATTTTTGTAGATTTTGTCTAGATTATATAGTTATTTAACAATATTTTATAGATTCTTAACTCTTCTTATTATCTGGAGTTTCTAAATTTAATACCTTAGATTAGTAAATACTTACTAAATCTAGCTCAAATTCCTATCTTAATTTATATACTCTTTTAAGTTAGTAGTAACCCTCCTCTAAGTCTAGAGCTAAGTATATAAGTAAGCTTTAGTTATTGCACAAAACAGGTAAAAAATTAGGTAACCTTTAGAATTTTAAAAAATACTTTAGGCCAAGAATTTAGCTAATAATATTTTAAGATTGCTTACTTACTTATTATAAAGTATTAATAAAGTACTAAGTTAATTTTTCTTGTCTTGTCTACTACCTAAGAAGGGTTTCTATTAATTTTGAAATAAAGAAAGGGTATAATACTTATACTAATTTTTACTTAAGTTTAGTATTTATATGTTTATTAATTATAGAAAATAGTTTAAATTAATCTAAGTAATACACACAAAATCTAAATAATTCCTAGGTATAATATTACTTAAGAGGAAAGAAATTAAGAAGAGAAAGAAACTATATAGAAAAAGAACCTTAGAGCTAAATTTTAAAAATATAGAAAGTTATTTTGTATAAGCTAATTAATATAAACTCTTACTTATCCTATACTTTGTTATTCTACTTTAGTAACATATCTAATACAACTTTTGTAAAACTACTAATACTATTTTAATCAAGAGTAACTTATTAGCGTTTACTTATTGCTTTTATATTATTTAGCGTAATAAAAATAAAAATTAAAGTCTAATAATAAGTTATTTTAAAACTAATTTAACTTAAATATATTTTTATTAAAGCTAGGTTAAGCTAAGCTTTAAGTACTATTTAGATACTTTTATTAATATCTAAATTAGTAATTTTAGTATATATTCTAGAATAAAGGCTAGTTTTTACTTTTTTACTATTACTATAATTTTCTACTAGTACTTACTTTAAAGAATATAGCTAGGTATTAACTTATATACCAAGACATTATACTAGACTATTACTGTCTTACGTCTATATACCTTTACTACTCTCTAGTAGACAGGGATTATTAAATTACGTTACTATATTATTTTAGTTACGCACGCGTTTATTGACTTATTAGTTCTTATTATATATTATTACTAATTATAGTAGCTAAAGTTTTACCTACTTATAAGTTATTAGCCTTTTACCTTCTATTACTGTTACTTTTACTATTACTCTTGCTACTACTCCTAACTTTATCCTTATTCTATACTAATTCTATAGTCCTATAGTATAGTTTTATACCTTTTTAATTACTTCTATAAGTCTTTTTTTCTACATAGTATACCTAAGGTTAATAAAAGCTTACTTAAAATACTCTTAATTTTTAATTAAAATAGTTTTATTATAATACTTAGTAGTAAAGCTATTAAATTAAAAAAGCTAAGTTTTAAGAAACCTAATTAGCTTTATAAATTTATATAACAAAATGCTAAATTCTAACTTTATAAAGCTATATATTAAGATATATATTCAATAATAAGTCTTACTTAATCTAGAAATAACTTAAATACGATATATTACTATTATACTAATTAATTTATTTATTTTATTTTACTGCTAAACAAGGTTTTTTAAGATCTTACTAGAAATTTTTAAAGTACTATACTAGTACTAGTAATTATATACTTTAACTTTTTAATAATTAGTTCAATAAAAGATCTAGTATAAAAACTTCTAAGCTAGACAAATAGGATAATATTAATAGTTAGGTATAATCTTTAGATTAAAAACAAATAAGATAAGATAAATAGATTAAAATAAAAGATTAAGTATATAGATCTTACCTATTAGAGTATTAAAAACATCTATATATTAGCTTACTTATATAAACTTTTTTTACCTATACCCTCTTTAAAGCTACTATAGTTATTTATTTTACATTACTAGTTAATTAAAAAGTTCTTCTAACTTAGCTATAGTTTCTAATATTATTTAAAGTTTATAACTAAACTAACCTTTAATTAAAAGCAATCTAAGCTTTTAAATATATCTTAATACTAGTATATTAAATAGCTAGTTATTTAACAAAAGTATACTAATTAGTTTTTTGTTACTATTACTATCCCATAAACCGGTACACTAAACCCGCGGATTTTAGGCCAACTGTTAACTAATTAAAACAGGGCTTAGCGTTAGTAAGTTAGTATTTAGCAAATGTTACAAACTTTAAACTTAGAAACTATTAATTAACTTAACACTAACTTACTCTATATATTATATTTTTACTCTATATTAGCACTATCTTTTCCTATAATAGCTCTATACGGTTGCGCTAATAATAACCTTATGCCTAAGGATACTTCTATTACATAAAAATTACAGTAGAAGCCTCTGCCTATACACCTTAAAAGTTACGCTAAAAACCCTCTACTATAATAGGATTTACTTATACTTAATAACTCTAATAAACACAGCTACCTACGCCTAACTACTTACTATAATAGTAAGCCTTACAATTAGACTCTTATTAAGCTGTTTAAGCTGTTCTTTACTAATACTAAGATCTTAAAAATTTACTACTATACTAACAAGAACGCTTATTAATAACGCCTACCTAGGCCTACTCTAAAGCACTTCTGCGCGTAGCGTAAGGTAACACCTTATAAAGTTTATAGTTACCTAGCTATACAAATCTATATAGGTATCTACCTTAAGGTATTAGTTAAAGATTACTAGCACACTAATATATAATTTAGAGTTATCTACATCTATCTGCGCAAGATTATAAGCCTCTACTGCTTTAAGCAAATTAATTATTACTTCTATATTACTTTTTTATATAATATTAACAACTTATTTATACGTCTATTTAAATAAGTTTAGGAGTTCTCTAAGTACGTCTATTACGTTAGCTAACGTTACTAAAGCCTAAGGTAATATTTAGCTATAGATAAAAGTATAACTTACTTCTATAGGCACACTAAAAAGAAAATAATAATTAATTATTATTATTTTTAGTTTATAGCGTATTTATGCTTAAAGTACAAGCAGATAGACATAACATAGTAAGAATCTAGTATAGTAACTTAGTATAAAAGCTAATACCTAGGCTCTTTTTATATAATTAAAATTAGTAAGAGTATGTAGTAATAGTAATAGAAAGCTAATTAGCTGTCTCTTAATAACTAGCTGCTTAATATACTAGTGCAGACGCGTATTTAAGAGCCTAAGCAGCTATTAGTTAAAGTTTAGTTTAGTTATAAACTCTAAATTATATTATAAACTATAGCTAGGTTATAAAACCTCTTTAATTAACTAGTAATCCTAAATATATAACTAGAGCAGCTTTAGAGAGGGTATAGGTAATAATAGTTTATATAGGTAAGCTAGTATATAAATTTCCTATATACTTTAAAAGTTAAGATCTTAATACTTTATCTATCTATTTATTTATCTTATCTATCTTATTTTATCTTTTTTTTATAACTAAGATTATACCTAACTAGTAATATAATTCTATTAGTACAGCCTAGAAGTTCCTACGCTGTATTTTATAGTAAACTAATAATTAAAGAATTAAGGTAAGTAATTACTAGTACTAGTATAGTACTTTAGATATCTCTAGTAAAATCTCTAAAGACCTAGTTAGGTAGTAAGAGAAAATAAAAGAAATTACTTAGTATAATAGTAATATATTCTACTTAAGTAATTTAGATATTAAGTAATACTTTATACTTAATAAAAGGCTTAAAGTAAAGCTTTATAAAGTTAAAGCTTAGCTCTTTCTTATATAAGTTTATTAAGCTAATAAGGCTTTCTTTATTATTTTAGGTTTATAGCGTATTTATACTAATAGTACAGGCAGATAAACGTAACACAGTAAGAATCTAATATAGTAACTTAGTATAGAAGCTAAAACCTAGCCCCTTTTTGTAAAGTAAATAATAGCAGGAGTATATAGTAAAGGTAATAGAAAGCTAATTAGCTATCTCTTAATAACTAGCTACCTAATATACTAATATAGATATATATTTTAGAGCCTAGGTAGCTGTTAGTTAAAGTTTAGTTTAGTTATAAACCTTAGTTTAAATTATAAACTATAGCTAGGTTATAAAAACTCTTTAATTAACTAATAATCCTAAATATATAATAAGCAGCTTTAGAGGGGGTCTAGGTAATAATAGTTTATATAGGTAAGATAGTATATAAAGATCTTTTATACTTTAAGGCCTTTTAACTTATCTCTTATTCTATTTTTAATCTTATCTTACTATAACTAAAATTATATACCTATAATATAATACTATTATTTTAGGTTTATAGCGTATTTATGCTTCTAGTACAAGCAGATAGACGCAATACAGTAAGAATCTAATATAGTAACTTAGTATAGAAGCTATTACCTAGCCCCTTTTTATACAGTAAATATTAGTTAAAGTATATAGTAATAGTAACAGAGAGCTAATTAGAACACTGTCTCTTTAATAACTAGCTACTTAATATACTAGTGTAGACACGTATTTAAGAGCCTAGGTAGCTGTTAGTTAAAGTTTAGTTTAGTTATAAACCCTAGATTATATTGTAAACTATAGCTAGGTTGTAAAAACTCTTTATATAGGTAAGCTAGCATATAAATATCCTTCGCGCCTTAAGAGTTAAGATCTAAACACTTTATCTATCTATCTATCTATCTATCTTATCTTATCTTTCTTTATAACTAAGATTATGCCTAACTAATAATATAATCCTATTAGTATAGCCTAAGAGTTCCTGCGCTACGTCTTATAGTAAACTAATAATTAAAAGATTAAAGTAAGTAATTACTAGTACTAGTATAGTACTTTAGATATCTCTAGTAAGATCTCTAAGGACCTAGTTAAGTAGTAGAAGGAAATAAAGAGAATTACTTAGCGTAATAGTAATATATTCTATTTAAGTAATCTAGATATTAAGCAGTACCTTATACTTAATAAGAGGCTTAGGGTAAAGCTTTATAAGGTTAGAGTTTAGCTCTTTCTTATATAAGTCTATAAGGCTAATAGGGCTTTCTTTAATGCCTAGCTTTTCTAACTTAATAGCCTTACTACTAAGTAGTATAATAATACTGTTCTAACTAAGGATAAGAGGCGTTTTAAGTAAGCTTTTATAGACCTTAGGTATACTACCTAGAAATAGAGACTTATAGAAGTAATTTAGGAGGTATAAAACCTTACTGTAGAACTGTAGGATTAATATAGAATAAGGATAAAGCTAGCTAATCTTGTTAAGAAGTAGTAGTAAGGGCAATAGTAACAGCAATAGCAATAAGAAGCAGAGGGCTAATAACTTACAACTAGGTTAAACTTTAGCTGCTGTAGTTAGTGTAAATAATAAAGACTAATAAATAATTAAAACGCGTGTATAAAAATATAATAGTAACGTAACACATTAATCCCCGTCCTCTAGACATATAATACTATTACTAAAGCCTAGACGTTTAAGTACTGTATCCTACAGTGCTCTAGTAAGGTATAGATTATTATATATAATCCCTAATACTATTATAGTACTTTAGATATCTATAGTAAGATTTCTAAGGACCTAACTAGATAGTAGGAGGAGATAGAGGGTATTACTTAGTATAATAGTAATATATTCTATATAAAAGATCTAAATATTTAGTAGCGCCTTAAGGTTAATAAAAGGCTTAAAGTAAAGCTTTATAAGGTTAGAGTTTAGCTTCTCCTTATATAAGTCTATAAGGCTAATAGGGCTTTTTTTAATACCTAGCTCTTCTAACTTAATTAGCTTACTACTAAGTAGTATAATAATACTGCTCTAACCTTAGATAAGAGCTACTTTAAGTAAGCTTTTATAGATTTTAAGTATTATAATTAGAAGATAAGATTAGTAGTAGTAATTAAGTAGGTATAATACCTATATATACTGTTAGCAGTATAAGGAGTAACTATTAGGGTAACAGCAATAGTAATAGTAATAATAGCAATAGTAATAGCAATAGCAATAGCAATAGGAAGCAGAGGGTTATAACTAGGTTAAACTTTAGCTGCTGTAGTTAGTATAAATATATAATAAGAACTAACAAGTAATTAAAACACATGCGTAACTAAAATATAATAGTAACGTAATATATTAATCCCTGTCCTTTAGGGAAGGCTTTCTTTAATACTTAGCTTTTCTAACTTATTAGCCTTACTACTAAGTAGTATAATAATACTATTCTAACTAAAAATAAAAGGCGTTTTAAGTAAGCTTTTATAGACTCTAGATATACTACTTAGAAAAAAAGATTTATAAAAGTAAATTAGGAGGTATAAAACTATACTACATAACTATAAGATTAATATAGAATAAGAATAAAGCTAACTAATAGGTAGTAGTAAGGGTAATAGCAATAGCAATAGTAATAGGAAGTAGAGAGTTATAACTAGGTTAAACTTTAGCTGCTATAGTTAGTATAAATATATAATAAGAACTAATAAGTAATAAAAACGCATACGTAACTAAAATATAATTATAACATAATATATTAATCTCTATCCTCTAGAGTTAATAATAAGTTTAACTTAATAGGGTATAGAATGTAGTACCTTAGAGATTCTAGGTATTAATTAAACTAGCTCTTTTACAGTAAAGGTATAAATAAGGAGGATAGGCCTTACAAAATTAACCTATGTTTTATAGCCTTTAGCTTCTACCTAATAAAAGCTTTTATACTCTATCTTACCCTTAACTACCTTATTAGTAATATTAACACCTAGCTACTTAAGCCTAATAAATACGTAATTTTTATAGATAACTTATTTACGTTAGTACTGTTACTTAAGAAGTTATAATATGCTAGGATTACAGTAGTAGGTACTATATAAATAAGAAAGACTCTATATAAAATTAGTATAAGTAATATTCTTTTTTAAGTATCTTAGGTATTATAGCAGCCTTCTATAAAGTGCAAAGCTACAGCTCTGCTAATATTATTATCTTAGCTACCTAAATAACCTTATAGTTAGCCCTAGAAAAACGTGCTACTAGCGCTATTACTATTACTGTTACCTCTACCTACGCAGCTTATATAGTATATACAGCCTACCTAGAAGACTAAGAGCAGTTAGGGGCTAAAGCCTAAGCCCCTAACTACTCTTAGTAATCTAGCTAAGGGCTTCTTAGCAGAGCTTATTAACGTTAGGGCTTAGTATAATAAACTTAAGTATAGTACTATTTACTTTAATACTTTAAGAAGTAATAAAGTTAGGATAATAGCTTAATATAATAATAACATTATACTATTACCTATAACGTTTAATAATTTAGTAGCTATAATTATTAGATTAAGGAAGAGGCTAAGTAGAATATAAACTAAAGTAGTCTAATTGTGTATAGCTTTTAGTAAAATACTTTAAAAGGAGCAAGAAATTCTAAAACTTATTAATTTATATAATTAGTTTATAAATGTAATTAATTATTTTAATTAACTCTAAAGTTACTACCTGCTTTTATAGGTCTACTATAAAACCTAGAGGCCCTTATTTACTCTTCTCTTTAACATTATACTTATAAATACTTATAAGCTATTTAGCAGTAACTCTAATACTTTAGTTCTTAAATATAATACTTACTAGAAGTTTCTCCTTAAGCTTATAGTTAAGCTTAAGGCCTTATTAAAGCAGCAAATACTTCTTGAAAAACAGTACCTAATTTAAGCTATTCCTATACTAATTATTAGCTATAAATAGGTTAAACTTTATACTTAATATAAGCACTAGCTATATATAATTTACGCTAGAAATAGCTCCTAAGCTACTAAAAAAATGCCTCTATAAGTTATTTTAAGTACAAATCTTAACTTAGTTTAAAATAAGAGATTATAAAGGACAGTTTATAAGTATTTATAGTATAATAAAATAATTTATTATCTTTACTAGTTTCCTTATATAAATAAGAAGGAGCTTAAATCTTAGCTTATTAGCAATAACACGCGCCTGTAGCTTAGGCTAGTGTTATAATTATTCTAAAAATATAATTATCTTAACTTAAATTAATTTTACTAACGTGTATTAAA